CGCACGTCTTCTCGAAATCTACTACTATCCCAGATTATTAAAACTAATCCGATCTAAAAAATTTTGCCACGTGTCAATGAACAAACTTTTCATCATCCTCATCAAAAAATGTTGTGTGTGTGTTTCAAATTATGCAAATTTTGGCGCCATGAAATTTTCGGTGTTAAATGTTGCATAAACACGCCGTTCTTTTTTTCATTTGGGGACTACTGTAGTAACCGGGGTGGTCTAAGAGAAATAGTATGCGAATTGTGGAGGACACAAGACACCGGAATAATGAGAAACACAATTAAAATGATGTTCGCCTTTTCCATCGTTTTTTTTCGACGATGAGATGAGTTACCGTAACCCGAATAGTGTTAGCACAGGAAGTGTTAAGGGGTTCTCTTGGTGGGTGGTCGAGGGTGTTACGTAAAAATATTATTCAGGTGGGGACAAGTAACAATGTTTATATTGAGAGCACATAGTGTCAATATTAGTATTAACACTTCCGTAATTAAACAGTACATAAATTATGTCAACTTTTTTCTGGAGCTAAAAAATTGAAGGAAACAAGGTGGGCACGTGTAGGGGGACTCGAACCTATGACCTTTCGATTGGACAAATCAAACCACGTGGAATAAATTTGAGCTTTGACCAACAATTGAAATTGAAGTCAACTAAAATCAACTAGATTTTCACACAAGATTGAATTTTCGCAATTTCTTAAAATCCCTAGAATATTCAGGAAACCCTTATTTCTGTAGCCTAGTAACCCAAAAATAGTCCCCGGTTCTCTAAATACAGAGGTCAAAAAGTGTCTCTCTCCGCCGCCGCCGAATAGTTTTCTATTGCTCCTAAAGCATTGGCGAGTGAACACAATCGGATTGTGCTTTCTCATCGTTTTTGCTGTATACAGCAGCAGTTGTGTCTGATTAGTTGTTTTGCGAACAGATTATGCTTGCGCGCGGTTCCTCGATTGTTACGAGGCCAATAATTAACTGGAGGCTCCTCTGCGCGGAAATATTAACGGTTTCGCAACCTTTTCAGATGTTTGGTGCGAAAATTGGGTTTTTTCTAGATCTGAGGCAAAGCTGTGCCACGTGGCATTTCATAGGCCAAATTTTAAGAAAGAGTTAGGCTTAGTCTAACACTACGTGGATTCTGAAGCAGAAAATTTCGACAGTTTTGAGGATAACTTTTTTCGCAGACAAAACTCACGAGAAAATAAATTTACAGCAAAAATCAGAGTGTGCCACGCGGATTTTGAAAATCTAAAAAAAATAAATTACGAAGTAGAATCTTCAAGTTTTGATATTACTTCAAATTTATGCCACGTGGATAAAATTATAGTCACTTAACTTTTGGTGTCAAACCAAGTAATTAAAAAAAATTCAAAAGCCGATTACCGTATTTCTTTTCGCCGCAAAAAGGAAACCGCAACTTTTACAAGTAGATAAACGGTTTTTTGTGGGGGCCCAAAATAAAGTGAATGAAAATAATGTTTCGAAATTGGGGGAAAATGAGAAAGACGAATAATTAAATATGTAAATTAGGCTTGTAAGTTACAATACAGGTTCTGGTTTTTCTCCTTATTGCCCAGGGTGGTCTTTCATATATGCACTTTTTGGGCCTAATTTTTAGCGACAAAATCTTCAAGTGTCCCTACTTATTTTAGTAGTAATAATAATAATAATCTCATCAAATATTAAAAAAGGAAAAAGAATAGAAGGCTTTTACCACTTTCACTTTGATTTGAGACACTATTCAAAAACATATGCGCATTTTTAATATTATTTTTTCATTCTCATAGCGAAGAAGCGAAAATTGAAGAAATCGAAAAGGGGGAGAGGATTGACCTCGAGAAAATCTGCGCGCCGGGCGCTTAACACCCCCCGCGGGGGGTCCTTGATCAAGTTAGTTAGGAGAGGAACTTATTGAGAATTAACATCTTGCCCATCCAAGGGGGACTTTTAAATTTCGCAAAAAAATTAAAATAATCTATACAACAATTTTCAAAATGTGTCTGGTGGCCAAGTGGTAAGCTTTTTGCTCAACGTTTACGAGACTTGGGTTCGAGCCCCACCTCCAACAAAGTGTTTTTCTTTTTTTTCAGGTTCAAGAAATTCTATATTTATTTTGATGTTTGTTGTTAGTGTGTTTTTTTTGTCTAGTTTGCACTGTGTAAACACAAATCGGCTACCGACAAAATCATTCACGCTTTTAGAAAAAAACGAAGAACTGACTGATGTGAATGATAATCTCATAATTACATACACATTTTTTTGGACGGGAAAAGGGAACTGGAAAAGAGCGAAAATATGGAGAATCTGGGAAAAAAACACGTGGCAGGAATTTGCGAATACTCAAAAATTGTATTACGGAAAATTTCAAAAAAAAAAAGCAATTAGCTGAAAATCCATAGGGATTTTCGGGAACTTTAAATTCAAAAAACAATTCATGGGCTCTGAAATATTTGGTGAATTTTCGAACAATAAAACAGAAAATCCACATGGATTTTGTAGAATTTTCAACAACGAAAAAATTACGAAAAATTAGAAAACCTAGAAAATTTTAGATTGAGAGGTTCACAAATTTTTTTACTCTTACAAATCACTAACATGAGCAATCCCTAACTTTTGAAATTTAGTAAAACCTTCTTCTGATGATAATATCTAGAATTTTTGGAAGAAAAAAATCATAAAAATTAGCTAATCAAAAAAAAAAAAGAACACAGATAATTCAGAGGCGCTTCACCTCAAAGGGAGTAGCTGCTGCTGGCTCGCGGAGCAGCAAAAAAAACAAGAAGGGGGAGAGAAGAAGCTCATGTAAATATTGCGCACTTTTTGACTGTGCGCGGTGGCGCTCCACAAAAATAGTGCGCATTTGGAAGGAGTGCGCGGTAGAGACAGTCAAAACGGGGGGTCACGAAGTTTCACTCACTTTTTTGCGAAATGCTGTGCACTAAACAGTGTGTGCAATAATGATAGTGAGAGATAGAGAAAGGGAGGGAGATAAGTGATAGATAGGGGCACGATAAGAATATTTTGAACTAGGGAAATTTTCAGAAATTTCTGAAATTTGACGACGTTTTTGATTACTGTAGGTCCAGGGTTTTTTTAAATTCAAATGAAATTTTTGTGCGCCTAAAGCCACGTGGAATTGAAAATTTCGAGGATTTCTAAGAGAACATCGGTTATTACTGTAGATTTCAGTTGTACTAAAGTTTTTGGGGGGTTTTTAAATTAATTTCTGGGAGTGTCAAGATTTTCGGCGTCACGAACCTAGATTACTGTATGCAGATCAAAATCAAATATGTTATTTTCGGTCAACCGTGCCCAATTTCTGACTTGTAATTAATCTATCATTCACTCTGCCAAATCCTTAATTACCCTCAAATTTTCACACATTGCGCAATAAACATTTTTTCGGTCTACCTGGCGACAGATGTTTGAAAAAAGGGGGAATTTTTGGCGCGAAAAATGAGGCGAAAAAAAACAAAAAACAAAATGAAACAAAAAATAATTGAAACAGTATATAATATAAAAAAGCAAATATTGAAATTGGGTTCCAAATTTTCCATTTTCATTTTTTTTCTCCCCCCAAAAATGCACAAATTTGTTCAGTATTTGCTCAAATGACCATTGCAATGTATCTGTCTCCAAATACGAGAAGACAATAAAAAAGCTGCTCAAATATTTCCAACCAACACAAATTCTGTAGGCTTTTTTGTGTGTGTGTGTTTCGCATGTTTTTGGCACGACTAATAATTTGTTGGCAAAGTTCCAGGATGGCTTTTTTTTGAAAGCAACGTTACGAAATTGAGAAAATCTGAAGTTTTCAGAGAAATCTGATATTTTCAAAAACTAAAATATTGTCAGAAAGTTTGGAAAGTTTAACCTGAGCAATGATGTAGTTTTGGAATAAAAAAATAATCCACGTCATAATCTACGTCATGTTCTGCATCAAATACATCAGAAAACCCGTGCGCGGCTTTCTGGCGGAGCCCACGTGTCAATTCAATATTTTCCACGCACAAATTTTTTGATGTCATAAATTCAATTTCAAACAAAGCACAATATTTCAAACATCTACCGTACTCCTCCTAAAATAAAATCCAATTTGCACAATCCGCCAAAAAATCCAATTAATTTTCCATATTTCATCTTCATCTTCTTTTTTGCCTACAATACCCCGTTTTGCCAAGTCTAAAATGAAAATGAATAATAAAATTGGCAGAAATGAAATTCAATTCCAATTGTGCCTACGGTGTGTGTGTTTTTGTGTGTCTGCGTCTCCATTTTTTGCCTAATATTTCTTTTTTCTTCGCCATTTTTGGGATGGCGGCAAATTCTCTTTGTTTAGGCATTTCTCTAGTCTTCAATTGGTGCGTCAAGTCAGTTATTCATTCGATTTTTATGGTAATTTTACATACACCGCATTTTATATTTATTTATTTACCAGAAAACGAAAAAAGAAGAAAACATAGGGGGCGACCAAGAAGTACTGTAGATTATTTAGCTTTGATCTACAAAATGTATTATACTGTAGAATACCGTGATCAACAGTAATCCTACAAGTACTGTAAAATGAAATACAACGTTTCAGTTTGAGAAAACCAAAGAAAAATCTAAACCTTGAGCTACAGTATCTTTAAAATACTGAGAATCGATCTACAGTATACCTGAAGGAGTACTGTAGACCGTTTTTTGATAATTTGACTCTACAGTTATTAAATGAGTACTAAAAATCACATGAAAATGGTAAATTTCATTTACAAAAAAATCAATTCAAAAAGAGACAGAAAAATATACAAGAAAAACCGAAAACTATTTTGGCGGCGATTTTCGGAGCCAAAAAGACTAGAGAAAAATGGCGGGAATTTACATTTGATGCAACGAAAAAAAAGTTGAATAAGAAGAAAAAATGAACCAGTTTACACGAGATTTTCAGACAAAAATGGGGGAAAAAGGGTAAAAATGAGAAAAAGAAAAGAGTTAGGGTTGAAAGAAAAGGAAAAATTATTCTAGTATACCTTTTTCGCGGAGATCGGCTGCTTTTTCAGATGCAAGATATTTTCTGGAAAAAATTGAAAATTTTTGAAAGAAAACTTTTGATTTTAAGGTAGTTTTTAAACTGACTTTTCAATTTTTTTGAATTTTAAAATAATTCTTCCAGAAATTTTTGGGAAAAATCTGATTTTTTTTAAATAAAAATTTTTAATTCTGAATGTTTTAAATCAATCGTTTTTGAAAAATCCAAATTTCAGTTTTTCACCAAAAATTCTAGATTTTTCATCAAAATTTCAAAAATCGCTCACTTTCGATAAGTCTCAATCATTTTGGCTCTTTGAATTTCAAAATAGCTCAATTCTTCGCTCGACTCGCTTTTCGTCCACGTTCTTTCTCTTCCTTCATTACTTTCGGTTGAGGTTTCGAGCGATTCTTCGAAATCGTTTTCAGTTTCGCTCTAAAAATATAGAAATTTGGTTGGAAATTTGAAAAAATCTGCTGCTTCGCACTTACCTCTTCCGTCTCATCATTCTCCAAAACATTTGTCAACAACGGCGACGTCATATTCCATCCAATTCTTCCCTCCAAAATATTCTCAATTGTGGACTGAGCCGATCCAGATCCTCTTAGATCTTGCAAAATCGTATCAGCCGACATTTGGGGAAACATTTCACGAACTTGTTCCAACATTGATTGTAGTTGTTCTTCGGTTGGTTGACTGATTTGGCCAAAGATTGGACCGAGACCTGTTGAGATTTCGATGGTAAATGGAGGAAGACGGACAAAGGCGAAATTGCTGGAAATTATCGAGGTTAGAAATAGGCTTATATTTAGTTTGGTCTTTTGAGAGCTTAGGATTACTTTAAAAACAAATAAGTTAGGCTAAATTGAAAATTGTAGCCCTAGGCAAAGATTGATCTAGAAATACTTCAGGCTATTTTTGGCTCCCCAGGCTTCCTGAATTTATATTCAAAAATTTCCAAAACTCACCCTCCATTAAACCTGAAAGTGGTATTATTTCCGGTTTGTTCAGCAGTTATCGCATCCACCAATCCTCCCCCATTATTATTGTTTATATTTGATGATGACGTGGATTCTAAAGGCGAGGGAAGTTGAACTCGACAAGTTGGACATGATGAATCCTGAGCCATCCACCACATAAGACACCAATCGTGGAATTGGTGAGAGCATGGAAGACGACGAGATTCGCCGAGAAGTTCCCAGCACACTGCAAAAATCCGAATTTTTCGAGATTTTCTGATGGGAAATCTTGAATTTGTATGGTTTTTCAAAAAAAAAAACCCAATTTCTGACTAGAAATGTGTTTGGTACAAAGGATTTTTCGGCTACAAAGATTGAGCTGATAAATTTGTACAAAAATGCAGGTTTGGGGAAAAATCCCTATTTTCGGATAAATTTGTTGAATATAATAGTTTTCAAATCAAAATAAACCTGAAAATATCAATTTTTCGAAAAACTTGATTTTAAAAAAAATTTCTAACTGAAAATTGTCAATTTTGAGGTCCAAATCTATTGAATTCTAAAAGGATTTCGTATATCTGAATTTACACGTGGAATTCTGAAAATTGAGAGCTCAAAATTCAACATGTCCACAAAAGTTCAGATTTTCAGCTAAAATATTCAAATGTAGTTTCAAAATGCTCCAAATATGCTCACCAACACATCGATCATCACTATTTTCACATTTCACCGATGGATAAGTCGTTTCAATATGCGCAAAAATCCTCTTATGACTTTTGTGTCGATTCAATGATTCAATCATACAACTGTAGGTTAATTTGATATGATAAATGAAGAAAATACAAGTTAGGTTTAATCCAGGCGAAACCAATGTGAGTTGAGCCTGAAATATCGATTTTTGGGTAAAAATTCGGGTAAAAAACTCACATAATTCAACATTTGCAGGAATTCGCACGTAATATTGGTTCCCAATTCGAGCCAATAGTTAAAATGTCGGACAGAATCTGGTCGAGATGAGAATAATCGAGAAGATGACATACAACGAAGAAGAATGTAGGTTGATCGGACAATTGCGAGAAGACACTGCAAAAATTGAGGGTTTTCGGGTTGATTTTGAGAGGGTGAGGTGAGATTATTTATGGAAGATTTTTAAAATAAAATTTGGAGCAAAAAGAGTATTTTCGGACTCATAATGCTCAGAATTTGTTTTTGGGATATCGAGAAATCAAGAATCCACTTCGAATTGTTAAAACAATTTAAGTATGAAGAAAAGAAAAGCCCAAAAATAGTTATAATCATTTCAAATCTGAAATTCTCGATATTTCCGAATCAATTTTAATCCCAAAACAACTCACATCAATATACAACAACAGTGCCGGTTGCCACGTCAAATGATGTTGGAATTTGAGCACCAAAACCGACATATAAATCGAGACAACAAACAAAAACATGGATAAAAATGTCATTTTCCATCCGCCTTGTCCGACAGACGGTGAAATATATTTGAGACGTTGGCAGGTGATAAAATGCATACTTGACAGAAATCCACACAATCCAGTCCAAACCATCCATGGTAAAACTCGATTTGATTGTTGTGGATTCATTACAACTGCCAAATAAACGACGGAAAGAAGACAATACGAGAAGAAGGCGTGACGGGCCATTGTTTCTTCCTGGAAAAAAACAATGAGAGAATTTGAAGTGAGTTGATTATAGGGAGAGTATTGTAATTTTTGTGAAAATTTGAGCGATTTGAGCCCAGACATGAGCAACTTAAGGTAAAATACCACGTGGAAATAGGAAATTTTGGGCTAAAAATTACAAATTCAGCTAGGATTCTAGAAAACTCAAAATCCACGAGTATTTTTGATAATTTTGTGTCTAACCATATTCATATTGAAGCTTACAATTTTCGTGGATTCCAATTATTCAAATTATCAGATTTCCCCTTAAAATCAGAAAATCACCAACCTGTCTCGACAATTCCTTGAACACAACCTTAATCAAAACTCTCGTCGCAATCGCCAACATTGTAAAATAATAGTTAATAGCCACCCATATTAATACAGAATCTGATAAAACATAATGAACCACTTGAAATGATGTGAGTGTGGATAAATGTTCAGTGTTTAGACCGTATGAATCGGAGAGTCGCGTGTTGTTTTTTAGCTCCTCTTCGAGTAGGCGTTGGAGCTGTACAATTAGAGTTATGATGGGAAATTTTGAATTTTTGGAACACGATTTGATGATTTTTCACAAAATTAAACTTTTGAGTGATTCTGGGATAAAAATCAAGAGAATTGAGTCATTTTGAATTCAAAAAAAAAAATATTTTTAACCTAAAAGTTCAAGAAATTCCCAGTTTGAAAAATCAATAACTTCCCTAGATTTTTTCAACTTCAAAAAACCAGATTCTTATAATTTTAGCTAATTTTCAACACTTTTTTGGTTGAAAATTCAGAATTCTCACTCACTTTTTGTCATTTTTAAATTGAAAAATAAACTTCGTTTTCGATTTTTTCACGTTGCAAAAAAAGGTCACGTTTTGAAAATAATATTTTTCAAGTTTTTTTAAACGAAAAATTAAAATTTTCACTCGAATAAGATCAAAATTAGACTGAAATTAAACATTTTCAGAATTTTTAATGATCTCAAAAATCATGAATGATATGATTTTTCACACTTTCCTATCAAATTTGATATTAAAATGCTCCAAATTTACTCAAAATCTTAAATTTTCCCATCCCCAGAATATTCCAACCTCAGGCTGTGAATGAAAAGCGGTGGCAACACTTCCAGCTCCAATAATCGTGACAATTGTCGAGATGGCAATATAGGCATCGAGTGAAATGATTGACGATTTCGACAAAAAATTCACCAAACCCATCGAATTGTCACGTCGCCTATTTCCCGTATTCATTTGTCTCTGCAAAAATGAGAATAGAGGGTTTTTAGGCATAGAAAGGTTTTGGGTAGAATTATCAAAGATTCTTGGATGATTTTTAGGGATTTTAAGGATGAAAATTATGAGTGTTAAACTTGAAAACCCCACAAAACTCAATTTTAGGCCTAAAAACACCAAGCTATAATCTTTTGTATACAAAAAAATAGAAAGAAAGTATGAAATATGACCTTGGCAACATGTGATTAATGTAAAGTTATTTGCAATTTAGCTGGGGGCAAGCGCTTGCCTTTTTCTGTGATTTGTGGTTTTGGCGCAAAAATTCAGTGACGTGGTAATTTTGACGAGAAATAAAAAAGAATGTTTGGTCCCGAGGGGAATTGGCGGGAAAATAGAGCGATTTCAAATGTTCGCCATTGTTGACGGTTTTCATTATTATTAAAAAGTTTCAGGTTGAAGCTTCACTGGAAATTTGCAAAAATCGATAATTTGAAAATGCATATTTTTCAGCTAAAAATACTCGAATAAACAATTTTTACATCACAAAATCGATAAAACCTGAATTATTAGTTTTCTGAGCAAGTTTCAGGGAAATTCAGTAATTTTGTCATTCAAAGTTTCAGAAACTCCTTTAGAATCCATTTTTTACATCTAAATTACTCAAAAATTCATTACCTGCACCAAATAAACATCCATTTTTTTCACAAATTCTCAATTTCAAAATGTGTTTTGCCAAAAAACAAAACCCTTATCATATTTTTCCTGTCACGCGTTTAATTTTGAAAAAAAATCGATTAAAATTTTTAAAATACAAAAAAATAAGCGGAAAAAATAGAAAGTGTGTGTTTTCTCTCTGCTTATTATTGATTTTTCGCTTCTCCGTGCCGCTCTTTCTCTAAACTCTCTCAAATTTCACTGAAAAACATAGAGGAGGAAGAAGAAAAAAAATGAAATATTGAAGAAAGAGACAAATAAACCTATGAGAAAGTAAAATAACCTTCTTGCTGAAAACCAGTTATTTATTCACTGAACAGCTAAAATAAAAAAAAGTTTGATGTGTTTCAAAAAAAGAACATAAAAATATACTACATTTTCAGCCTTTTTTCAGAGTTTTTCTTTATTTAGATGGATTCTGGATCGGCGTCGACGGCTTTGAACCAATGTCCGCATTCGCATCTTTTTGGAGTTCCTTTGCGGATTGTCATGAAGTTGACGTGACCGGAATCTTGTTCGCCTAAAATTTTTGGAAATTCGTCATTTTTGTACTTTTATCGCATTTATTTATTATTTTTGTTTTACAATTAGATAGGTTGTGTTGGTTGAAAAATGTGAAATTGCATCAGAAGTTGTAACATATTTTTGTTTTGACACAAACAAACCAAATTTTCCGGAGGAAAAAAGGAAATTACTAATTATTTTTGATTTTTTAAATCGATTTCATGAAAATTCGCATCTGATGCAAAATTAGGAGAATTTTTGAAAAAAGAAAATGTTGAATTCATATTTGAATGTTGAGTTCTCAAATTTTCCAACTAAAATTGATCAGTCGGGAAATTTTAGAATTCTTTTGAAATGTTGTTAAAATTTCTAACACCAAAAATTCAGCTGAAATTTCAAAAAATAATTCAGAAATGGAGTTTTCTGAACATTTTTTAAAATAAATAATTGATTATTTTGCGAATTTTATAGAACTAGACAATCATATGAGCATCAAAAACTCCACTTCTGAATTTCGCAAACTTTTTTTAGTGATGGGCAAAATTTCTATTTTTCAAAATAATCTTGGAACTTCACTAGGAAATTCAAAATTTTTATTTTTTCTAAAAAAAAACTTACACATGCATCCAATAATTCTATCATCATAGTGAGATGGAACAAGATTTGGCGATGCTTTGGTGGAGGCTTCAGCGCGGTAGTAAACTTTTGGTTCATAACGCTGAAAAATAGTCAGTTTCGTAACGAACGAATTGCCGTTGAAAAATTCAGCTATAGAAAAAACTCACATCATCTCCAGCAAGACGAGCGAGAAGCATTTTCTTTTCACGTCCAGTGGCGTGCTCGAGTGGATCTGGATAATAACCGTAGTCTTCTGGTGAAGCTTCAGTTGCCAATGTGCGGCGGGCGACCGCGGTTGGAGCGACGAGTCTCTTAGTGAGAGCGGCGACGGCTGTCTTGGCAAGTTGAGTCATTCTGGAAATGAGAAAATATTGCGAAAAATTGGAAAATGTTGAAAATACGTGGAAGAGAGATCACGTCAAAAATAATGTCGTTGGAGAAAAATAAGACAATCATTTCTAGAAAACAAACATTTTGAATTATTGGAAGTGAGTTTTTATTGGTTTTGAAAACTACTTGGTTTTTAAGTGAAAAACAATGAATTTTTCACTGAAAAATATAATGTTTGATGGAAAAAATCCGAAACATAAATCTAGAAAAAAACCGATTATATACTCTAGAATTCAATTGAACAATTAGATTAAAAATCGACTTTGACTCTGAAACACACATTATATTTTCCAAATTAACTATACCATACAAAATTACGATTTGAAAGTTCTGAAGTAAGGAAAAAGCTTCAAAAAACACGGAAATTTGCAAACATCACGTACGCAATCTCAAAAACCTCACTTCCGCCTAAAAAAATATTCAAAAATAGCAGAAACAGCCTCAAAATTTTCCTAAACTCTCAAAGAAATTAAGAAAAACAAAATTTTCCAGCAGAAAAAAATCACTAAAATTATCGATTTTCTAAATTCCCTCAAAAATCTCGTCATTGCCACCCACCCCGATAATGAAGAGACCCTCATCTACACAATAAAAAGTGCTCTTTTCAAAGAGCACCACAAAAAAGAGCAAAAAACCCTGGAGCACACGCAAAAACACGCGATTTTCTAGTCGACAAACTCGGGTCGAGGCGGTCGCTTCTTGCACACTTTTCGTACACTCGCCGTCTGTTGTGTGGACGCGAAAACACGCTGCAGAATGTCGATTACCGTAGTGTGTTTGTGTGAGGATTTGAAAATGTTGTTGGGCGCGCGCGCCACTTTTCTGCATCGTGTTGTTTGGTTTTTTTCGTCTCGCGCGCGGCCTTCGCCAGCTCATTTGACTCTGTTTCTCTTTTCGCATCTAGTTGTAGGTTCCTTTTCTGTCTCTCCCCAAGTCTTTTTCTTCAAAGACGGCGTCCTTTTCATTCAATTATTCTTGTCTCGTTTTGGAAAAATTGCGAAATTTGGTGGCTCTGGCCAGCAAAAACACATCGATTTTTGTCAAAGAGACGCCAGCTCCACAAATTTTTTTATATTTATGCACTCTTTGTTTTGTGAGAAACAAAGAAACATTTTATTTTCTGAGCAGCCGCCCGTTTTTAGGAACTCTGTTCTTTTTGAGATGAAAATATTCTCATAACTTGGGCAGATCTACGACAAAATTCTAGAGATTTAGTGAAAACATTTTCCGAAAGATTAAATGAAATACTATCTATTCACTACATTTTAGTGAATTTCTCGAGAATTTGAAGCATTCAGTTAGTTATGAGCGTGTTTTGTTAATATTTTCATTTAAAACCTATAGAAATGGGCTAGATTGAATTCTCAATTTTCTGTCGAAAAAATGACCAGAATACGGTTTAAATTCACTACGAACTTCGAATGTCCTAGAGATCCTCTAAAAACTAGGATTTGACCATAAATAATTTAGCTTTTTATTTCGATTTCGAAATTGAGGTTTCATCATAGAAATTTACTCAGATACGGACTTTCTAAATTGAAAATGTAAGCATCTAACTGTAGCCCTTTTGAATTTCTTCGCACCTAAAATTACAAAACTTTGGCGCCAAATCTAGTTTTTCTCTCGGCGCCCTTCGAATTCCCATTATTATTTAATAACCCAGTTCACACAAATCCGTATCGTGTCAACCTCCATGCGTGTCAACATATAAAAACTATAGTTTTTGCGATTTCGCAATAGTTTCCCTCTAAAATTTCACAACTCCAATCAATTTGCCACTCCGGAAAACCCAAACATCTTGTTTGTGGTCAACACGAAATATCATCTCTCCCTCTCTTTTTAGTGTAATTAATGCACAATTCATGTCTTTATTTCATGTGACAGATGTGTGGGGTCGAGAGACGAGTAGTATTGGTAATCCCCAAGAGGTTTTCATTTATTATCCTCCAATGTTTCCCCCTTTTCCTTCCTTTTACTAAATTGCTCTATGCATTTTCTAATGAAAAATGGCTAAAAATTGGTTTTTTTTGGTGCGAAAAAACCTAGATTTTTTTGAAAAATAAATTGTTTTGGTCATCTTGATAACAAAACAATGACCTCGGCGGCTAATCCCAACCAACTATAGTTAGGTAGATTCATTTTGCGCGTCATTTGACAAGATTATTAAATAATAAATAGGTTTTTTGGATTACCCATAGAATTTTTCATAAATTGTGTTCTTTTACTTTTTATATTCGAAATAATTTTCTTCTCACAAAAACCCTAGTTTTTTTCAGCCAAGAACTATCAAAAGATGCGCGAGGTTATCTCAATCCACGTCGGACAAGCCGGAGTTCAAATCGGAAACGCTTGCTGGGAACTCTACTGTCTCGAACATGGAATCCAACCCGATGGAACCATGCCAAGCGATCAACAAGCCGAAGGCGAATCCTTCACCACCTTCTTCTCCGACACCGGAAACGGCCGTTACGTTCCAAGATCGATTTTCGTCGATTTGGAACCAACTGTCGTCGATGAGATTCGCACCGGAACCTACAAGAAACTTTTCCATCCAGAACAAATGATCACCGGCAAAGAAGATGCTGCCAATAATTATGCTCGTGGACATTATACTGTTGGAAAAGAGTTGATCGACACAGTTCTTGATAGAATCCGTAGATTGGCTGATAATTGCAGTGGACTTCAAGGATTCTTTGTCTTCCATTCATTCGGTGGAGGAACTGGATCTGGATTCACCTCTCTTCTCATGGAAAGACTTTCTGTTGATTATGGAAAGAAATCGAAACTCGAATTCTCGATCTACCCAGCTCCACAAGTTTCCACCGCTGTTGTTGAGCCATACAACTCGATTTTGACTACTCACACCACTTTGGAGCATTCGGATTGTGCTTTCATGGTTGATAACGAGGCAATCTATGATATTTGCCGCCGTAACTTGAGTGTTGACCGACCAAGTTATACCAATTTGAATCGTATCATCTCACAAGTCGTTTCATCGATCACCGCATCTCTTCGTTTCGATGGAGCACTCAATGTTGATTTGAACGAATTCCAGACCAACTTGGTTCCATATCCAAGAATTCATTTCCCATTGGCCGCTTATACTCCATTGATCTCGGCTGATAAGGTAATTTTTTTTTGACGGAATAGAAAGATAATAGCTAAAATTTTCGGGCTAATATTGTCAAATCACTGCTTCGTCCTCCCATTCTCATTAAAAAATATCCCGAAATTTGCAGGCTTACCACGAGGCTCTTTCCGTCAACGACATCACCAACAGCTGTTTCGAGCCAGCCAATCAAATGGTCAAATGTGATCCACGTCACGGAAAATACATGGCTGTTTGCCTTTTGTACCGTGGAGATGTTGTTCCAAAAGACGTCAACACCGCTATCGCCGCCATCAAAACCAAGCGCACAATTCAATTTGTCGACTGGTGTCCGACTGGTTTCAAGGTTGGAATCAACTATCAACCACCAACTGTTGTTCCAGGAGGTGATTTGGCTAAAGTTCCAAGAGCTGTTTGTATGTTGTCGAATACAACAGCTATTGCTGAGGCTTGGTCAAGACTTGACTACAAATTCGATTTGATGTATGCTAAGAGAGCTTTCGTTCACTGGTGAGTTGCGGGTAAAATTGAGGGAAGATGAGTTCTGGAAATGCCTAGAAACCAGAAAAATATGATTTCGGTGGAATAGAACATTGTCGAAAATCTCAAATTTTAATGAACAATTTTGTTCAAAAAATCCCTAATTTCAATAGAGAAATCATACAAACTGAGATTATTAACCAGGAAAATGCAAAATGTCTCAAATCCCTCAAAAAAACTAAATTTTTCCAGGTACGTCGGAGAAGGAATGGAAGAAGGAGAATTCAGCGAGGCTCGTGAAGACTTGGCCGCCCTCGAAAAGGACTACGAAGAGGTTGGAGCTGATTCTAACGAGGCTGGAGCCGAAGATGGCGAAGAATATTAAACAACTTCTTGCTGCTGCAGCTTTTGTCTGTTAAAAATTTGCATAATCAGCTTCCCTCTATAATTTTTTAATTGAAATTTAAACTTGAGCTCTGAACTCTCGCCCTTTTAACCCACCAATTTCTAACGTTAATTTATTCTCCTTTAAATATTAAAAGTAAATACTTTCTTTCTTCAAATATGTCTCTTTAAAATGTGTCAATTTGTTTGGAAATCTTGCTCTTTATATCTGGGGAAACTTCTGGAAATTTTTCAGAGAAAATTTTTTTCTGTAGATGGGTAAAAGGAAACACGGAGAAAAGGATTCACATCAAAAAAAGGCTGAAAATACGGTTGAAAAAGAAAAATTGGAAACGTCCGAAAGAATAACGGCTGCTGATTTTGAGGGAAAAGATTTTTTGAAGGATTCGGAATGTATGGACAAATTCACCGGAGGTTGTGAAGTGTCAAATCGAAATGTGATTTGTGCCGAAGATGCGATGCACATTTTATTGGTAGGAAAATTTGAGCACTTGGTTTTTGCCACGTGGCCAGATTCAAATGTTTTGCACCAAAAAATGCCACGTGGATTTACGCCGAAATATTTCTCTAATTATCCTATTTTTCGTCAAAAGTCAGTTTTCGCTCAAAAAAATGCCCAATTTTCCAGCGAAAATGCGGTTCTTCCACGTCTTCAATTTTCGAAGATTTCCAGCAAAATATGCTGGGAAAACTGCGCGAAGCTAGAAATTCTCAAAAAACGTGGGCAAAAATTGAGGAAAATGCCGAAAATGTGCACAGGAAATGTAATTGTGGAAAAAATCAAGGGGAAGATCTGGAGGAGGATGATTCGAGTTCAGGATCAGATTCGGATGAAAGTTCGGATTCGAATTCCGATTCAAGTTCGAGTTCAGAAGATGAAGAAGATCAGGATGAAGAAGATTTGATGAATATGCCAATGAGAAAGAATTTGCAATATTATACTTCGCTTGAGGTACTTTAAAATTAGGGATTTTAAATTTCATAAATTTGAACTTCGAATTTTAAAAATTATGTCTTTTGGACCATTTACTACCTGAGAAAATTAAATGAGTTTTAAAAATCAGAATTAGTTTTGCCTCGTGGATTTCTCATTTTTAGGATTTTTTTCTCTAAAATTTTGAATTTTTGACATATTTCCGTTTCAAAAATTTCCAATTTGGGGAAAAAAATCTGAAAATCAAAAATTTCTAGACTTAGAATTCCAAAACGTTTTTTATTTTTCACTCCAACTCCAACGAAAATTATCAAAAATCTTTGAAATCCCTCATTCAAAATGATTTCAGATTCATCGAAAACGCAGTCATCCAAATGTCATCAACCCCGACATTGCCTACAATGAAAAAGGAATGGGAAATGATGGACCGATTTGTCGATGCTCATTTGCACAGAGAAATAACGGAATCAGGCATGGAAAATATGCGGGGGAGGTGGAAGATGAGAGCTCACAAGAGCCTCAGAGCTCCCAACTCTACCAGTATTTCCTGCGAGTCACCCCAAATCCCGCCGAACATCAAATCAGTCGAACTCACATCTACATAGCTTCCGATGATTTTGTTTTCGAAGGATTCTCGATATTTTCACCGTATCCATTGCCTGACAGAATGCCTCGTCAACCAACCACAGCTTGGTCGAAAGAATATGAATTTGAATTTGTGCGGGAAAATGTTCCAGAATCTTGTTATGAGTTGGAAGAATGCGATGCACTTTTTGAGACGATATTTCATCAGATTTTTGAGATGCAAGATTTTCAGTGTCCTGCGAATGTGTTGCGATTTATGCCAAGATTTGTTTGTTATAGTGAGTAAGGGTGGATTTTACTTTTTAAATTCCTCATTTTTCAGAATCCCATCGTGATCTCAAACTTCTACCCACTAAAGGTGTCATGGCCTACTTCTTGTCGAAATTTCAAAATCCGCTAATCGATAATTCGGAAATCGATCGATTGCTCAGATTAAACGAGGACGAATTTGCGAGAATCACAAATCGATTCAAGCAAAACCTAATGATAAACACGGCAAAAAAGCCAGCGGCAATAAGAGTTGACGCATTTGAAAGAGATCAAATTGGCGGCAAAATATATATGATTCATAATACTGTACGACCACAAGCATATGTGAATTTGAATGCGCCGAGAATTGGGCATTTGGAAAAGATAATGGGGAAAATGAGATATTTGGCAAGAACAACAAAAAGGGTTATGGATGCGGATGAAATGCGGAAAATGCAAAAAGAAGTGGAAAGATTACGAGAGGAGCAAAAGTGCGCAAGAGTTTTGCGAATACGCATTCCACTTGCGGACTATCAACCCTGTGGAATGTTTCCTGATACGGTAGCCCATGTTTTGATGACAATTTTGGCGACGCATCATGCCAGATATCATTTATCATTGAATGTTAGTAGTTTTTCAAATAAAAGACTATTTCGGAGACACAAAAGCCTCGAAAATAATTAACCAAAATTCACCCCGAAAAATACGTTTCATCATTTTCTGAATTTGAATTGTTGAGATTTGAGGTTTAATACTGGAACGATTTTTACTTGAAAACATCAAAGATTTATGAAAAATTTCAAATGTTCACCTATAAAATGTTTCAGACCCTTGAATCAATTCTGGAATATCGTTTCAATAATCGGCAAGTAATCGAAATGGCCATGACACATTGCTCATTGAATGCGAATTATGGAACAAATACAGATCATGCTCGAAATATGATTGCAAATTGTGGATATCGTCGAAAATATGTGCATGAACAAATAAAGGAAAAACGAAAAGGAATTCATAATCTGATGACAATTATGGCTTTGAATAAAGAAATGGCTATGGCTGCCAATTTGGCACCAATTTTGCATAATGAGAGATTGGAATATTTGGGTGACGCGGTGGTGGAAATGGTGAGATGAGCTGAAAATCGAGATTTTTAACCCTATAATTTGAATAATCTGGAATTCTGAAACTTTCATCAGAAAGTTTTCTCGTTTATTTCTACAACCTATTTTTTGAATCTCAAGTTTTGCCACGTCATTCCTTTTCTATTCGAAAATTCACCTTCAAAAAGTAACTCCGAAAAAATAGGTTTAAAACAATTTTCTAATTTTGAACAGGTTTTCGAAATTTATTCAGAAAACTTTTTTTAGCCAGAAAAATATCTTCCCAGATTTTTTATCCAGAAAACTATTCTACCACATTATCGATACTAGAAAAATGTAGAAACTGAAATCTTTTTTTAAAATTTCTTTCATTCTTGCAGATAGTCACTCAACATCTCTATTTTATGCTTCCTCATCATAATGAAGGTGGCCTAGCCACTTACCGTACTTCAATGGTTCAAAATCGAAATTTGGCAACACTGGCCAAAAATCTGCATCTACAAGACTATATTCAATTTGCACACGGTGTTGAATTATGTCATGAAGCGGAATTCCGTCACGCGCTCGCAAATTCATTCGAAGCTTTGATGGCCGCCATATTTTTAGATGGTGGATTTGAGAAATGTGATCGGATTTTTTCTAAAGCAATGTTCGAACAGGAACCAGAGATGCGGGCGATTTGGGAACATTTAAATGAACATGAATTGAAGAGGGAAAATCCGATGGGAGATCGAGAATTAGTTGGTGAGTAGAGCGGGCGAATTGGGAAGGATCGATGCTCCAGATGTTTCAATCTCTATGTGTTGTTTCTTTAAAAATTCCAGAAATCTGAATGTTTCAGTTGGGAATTAATGAACTTGGAATTATTAAATTTTTCATCTGAATTTCATTATTTTCGAAAAGATTTTTACATTAAAAATGTTCCCTAAAGTTTCAAGAAATATAGATCGAACGTGGATATTTTTTACTCCACACATTCAATTAGTTTTACCTAATCTATAAAATAGAAATTTTCTAATCTAACTATAAAAATCCACGTGGCTCAAAATGTGATAATTCCAAAATTTTCCAATAAATATTTTCTCCAAATTCTCTCCAATTTTCAGACCAAATTGCTTCACTTGAACAATTCAAACAATTGGAAGATCGTCTTGGAATCGAATTCAACAACATTCGAATTTTAGCCAAAGCCTTCACTCGTCGAAATTATCCATACAATGAATTGACACGTGGACATAATCAACGACTCGAATGGTTGGGAGATACAGTACTCCAGTTGATTGTATCCGATTATTTATATCGAAATTTTCCGTTTCATCGAGAAGGACACATGTCATTGTTGAGAACAAGTTTGGTCAGCAATCAGACACAATCGAAAATTTGCGAGGATTTGGGATTTGGTGATTTTGTGTTGAAAAATGTGAATCGAGCTGGAAATGAGTTGAGAATGAAGGATAAAGCGGATTTGGTGGAAGGTAAGATATTGCTCATGTTAGGAAAATTAGGAGACTTTTGGAGAGAGATTGCTCATGTTAGAAATTAAATCCTGAAATTGTGTCCATTGATTTTAATCTTGAAATTATAAAAGAAAACTATTTCGCGCTAAATTTTGATCTATGGTAACCCATGAATTTTTTTGGGATTGCTCAGGTTACAATGAAAGTAACCGATTTTTAACGCTTGAAATGATCTGGGGCTTGCTCATATATAAATATTATAGCCGAGTTTTTGGACTCCAAAAAATTCCATATTTTTTCCAGCCTTTATCGGTGCACTCTACGTGGATCGTGGAATGGAACATTGTCGAACATTCGTTCGAATGTGTTTCCTGCCACGATTATCGGTAAGTTAATGTTCTATCGGATTACGGTATCCCCCTTTAAATAACATTTTTCCAGAGTTTCATCGTCGGTGACAAATGGAATGACCCCAAATCACATCTCCAGCAACTTTGCCTAACTTGTCGCGATCCGGCAAATCCAATCCCCGAAATTCCGGACTATCGCGTTTTGCGTCAAGAAGGACCAGCAAGCACGCGAATCTATCAAGTCGCCGTGTATTTCCGCGACAAACGATTGGCATCCGCTGAAGCGGGAAGTGTACATTTGGCAGAGTTAGGAGCCGCCGAAGTCGCGTTGCGTCATCCGGATATTGTTGCGTTGCGACGATTTGAAACGCAACCACCGCCCAAGAAAAATAAGAGGAGACGAAATGGGAAAATGAATGTGGCCTAGAAATTGTATTGTGGAATTCTACAGGTTTAGTTTATTGATTGATCTTTATTTTGTCAAATAGGAAAAGCCCTGATTATGAAAATGTAAATAGATGAAGTTTTTGAAACCCGTTTGAAAATAAAAAAATTAGAAAATTAAAGGATCACGCTTAGAAAATTCTCCCAGCTCATCCCCTCAAACTAAATAGTGTCGAAAAATGCCATCCAGGCCTCCAAATCCACACAAAAAGCACAATGAGCAATTGTAAAAATATGGGTTCTGTGATACAGGCTTCAGCTCGAAGATCTGGCTCATAAATTAGAACATTGTCTATCATATGAATGTAACCGTTGATTCCGGCAATTTCACCGCCTTCGATAACACGAGCGACGCGGTGACCGCGTGGCCAGTACAATTCGAAATCTGAAAATAATATGGGTATGTTCCCTTAATAATACATGGAATATTTTCGTGACAGGACCCAGCTGGTGGTGTTTATACTCAAAAAATACCGTAATTGTCATCCAGAATAATCCCATGTCCCTTTAAGTTTTTCAGACTTTCTATTGAAGAGCCTATGCCCCAAAAGAACACTCACATCTTCCTCTCCTCCTAATCACCACTTTTTCATCATTCATCATAACATAAGTCCTTTCACGAAGATCGGTGTACATAAGGGCCTGAAAATTGAAAATGAAATAATTTAGAGATTCTTCCCACTCACCTGTCCCTGCAAAACATGCCGCTTATAAACATATTGCAATGCTTGCCAATGATTTCCGTCATTCATTCGAGCCACCAAAGATGGTGCAACTTTATCCCAAGCCTCGTTGGTTGGCACGAAAAATGTGAAATTTTGTTCGGGTGTCAGAACTTGCCATGGATCCATTGCGTAGCGGAGTTGCAGATTGCTCATCATTTCGAAAGAGCGTCTGGAAAGGGTTTTGTGGATTGGTGGGTATTCAAATGCGCTCTATTGAGAATCGCTATTTTATGAGAAAAATTTAGATTTTGGAGCTGTTTAGAAAGAAAGTTCGCTCCACGGAAAATCAGTTTTATATTTCAAAAATCAAAAAATTTTTTTGATTAGAGCACATTTGAATTTTCAATTTAAAAATTATCGATGCGCTTTTTTTTTCTAAAAAATTCTGAAAAACTCACTGCAACCGACTTTCATTTCTCATAATTTCCCAAAGTGTTTGATATGGAACTCCTAAAACTCGTTCAATATAATGAACAATTCCATTTGTCGCCGCAACATTGTCCATCATAATTGCTGTTTTTATTCCACCACCAATTACGTAATAGGCTGGAAAATTGATAATTTTGGTTGGAAATTCATTTTAAAAATCATTTTTTTCCACAACTCGATTTGAAGGAATTTAAAATTTATTTATTTTGACTGACTTCAAAACTTCAAAGATAGATATCAAAAATCACAAATCCAAATTTTAAATAATAAAAATTTGGAACATAATTTTTCCGGGTATTTTTTCTGAGATTTTCAAATTGGTTCGGCAAATCGAAATCACTCACTAATATTATTCGCCGGCCATTCTCCTTTGATAAAATACAACTGTCGCATATTATCCACAGTATTCACAATAGTCTCATTAGTTATCTCATCCGAGGTCAACTCCTTGGCTGGTACAATATGAAGCTTCAGAATTTGTTCCAACCAAATTCGATCACGCAAAAGTCGTCTTTCAATTTGTTCCGGAATCCGATCAAAAGCCTCATTCCATGGCGCGAAAAATGTGACCAATCCTCCTGTCGCCGAAAAATAATTTCTGACAATTTGACCGATTGTATTGATATATCTTTGAAGTGTTGTGCATTTATCATTTCTATAAAAATATTAGGAAAATACTTGAGTTGGCCACCTTACGAGCAAAACTTTCGAAAAGTTAATCCCATTCAGTCATTACCTATAAATCAGCATATCAATAGTCTCCGATACAATTCCCAAAACATTATCGACAATGTGAACCACGCCATTTTGAACGGGAATATTTGGAACCAGAATTTTTGCCCAGACTGCACCACGGCGGAATTGGGAGTATCGTTCGTAGACTTCTGAGACAGCATATACTGAAAAATTACTTTAAAGTTGAAACTTAGGACTTGAAAATCAGAAATTATATTATGCGTTCAATCAAAATTCTCAGTCGGAATTTGAATTCATAACAATTATGGAACGTATTTTATCCTGGAAATCTTTGAATCCACACTTTCAACGCTAACATTTTTCAGAACAGGTTCTAAAACTTCTAAAATGTTCAATAGTTCGCATTATGTGATATTTACAAAACATAAAAACTCACAATCCCATCTTCCGGTTCTCCGATCCGTAATATTTCTCATAACCAATTTCAATTTGAAATTATCCTCAATAATATTCGACGAAAATCTGACTGATGGATAATAATGTTGTCCGCCATCATACAACCAAGGCCAAGTGAACAAAACACTGAAAATCCGAGAAGTTTTTGATGAAAAAATGTTTTTTGCTCACCGATTTGTGCTTGTAACATGAGCAAGTAAAACTTCACGATCGACACGATTTCGATCGACAACTCTTGCAAAAGCCTTGTCATTTGGTATGAAAAATGTGTGAAAACCATTCCAGGCTGAAGAACCATAAATAACCAGTGCAATGTCGGGAACACGATCCAGAATATCGCGGATTTGACTGGAAATTTTTTAAAAGATAGAAATGAACGAATTTCGGAGAAAATAGAGGGTGAGGTTTTCACGTTATGAATATTTTTAATTTTTAAAAATTTCAAATTTTAATTTTCGGCACCAACTAGTTTTCCAAATCACTTACAGTACTTCCGCTGAATTCCTATTAAGACCAAAATTTTTTTTTTCGAAATTTTTTTTGAAATCCACGTGGCAGTAACATAACCTTTTCGAACTACAGTAATCCTAGAGCTCAACGATTGCTCAGGGTACAGTAGAATTCTAACCTTGTTCCAAAAAATGTCACATTTTCTCATATCGCTAAAATCTACCGTACTCTCTCTCTCTCTCTCTATCTATCTTTGCCTCACCTCAAATCTCGATTATTATACTGTCTCTCCTCGAATACCGTATTATCGTGTTCTCGAATAAAAGATAGTGCAGTTCCAGGATACGGTCGATGTCCCATTGGTGTGCAAATTTTGAACAAATATTGTTCGCCAGAAATTATTCCCCATTGATTTGAGGCATGATTGCACAGCATTCCAGCATTCGCAAAATAAGACTGCAAAACACATCATAGGGTACTGTAGAGAGGTCTAGGGGTACTGTAGGCTGAGTTTTAAGGGACCATGTTCCTTTCTTGAGATGTAGAAAAATTACTTTAGGTTACTGTAGATAAATTTTTCTCGAAAATTCAGAACAATTTTCTTTTTACTGTAGGAATCTTTTTCCAAACAACTACAGTACTCCATTACATCTATATACAATAAACCATATTAGTTCAAAATATATTTTTTAAATTAAACTTTTTATGTATTTTGGGTCATTTTCGAGCGAATTTTCTGTAGCATCCTGTATGTCCCTTTAAAAACTCACAAAATTTCCGGGATTATTCTCGAATTGTGTCACATAAACATATCCACTATTTATAGTCGATCGAATCAGTGTTTGTTTTTCCCACAATTTATTTTGAGTGAGTTCGACGACTTGTGAATCAACTGCAAAAAATTGGAATTTTTTTCACTGAAAATCTGGAGTTTTTGAGCTCAAAATGATGGATTTTGGTCCATTTTCAAATAATTTTTTCATGTTTTCTATCTCGAAATCCCACCAGAATCCCTTTCTCACCAATATGACTCAAAGTTTCTTTTTGATCCAATGCTCGAATATTCGGATTATAGGTAAACACATCATCAACTGGTGCAAATACAGTAATCCTTGCATTACTGTCTTTCATATAAGCTGTGGCTACTGTATAATATCCGCAAAGTGCTCGCCATTGTTGTAAATCAGGCATTCTTTCGGTTTCGGCCCAAAGATCCGAAAATGCCACGTGGAAACATTGTGAAAATGTTAGGATTTTGAGAAGAAGATTCAGGAGCATTTTTGAAGCATTTGTGAATTGAGATTTGCGGCTGGAAATTAAAAAAGACTGGCTGCTTAGGCTGAGTATCTAATGTGGATCAGGGAATACTATCTGGCTGAGTATCAGGAGTTTGGTAGATCAAATAAATTGACTGCGTATCTGGGATTTTTTACTGAGTGAGTATTGAAAGTTTTTCGGTAGACTAAGTTTTTAAAAATACGTTTGATACTCAGCCATAAGATGATACTCAGCCGTAGCCAAATTTTTGACCTTTCAGGTTTTTTTCTACGAAAAATCACATTTGATACTCAGTCAAAAAATCAATTCTCGCCATCAGAAAAAAAAACAAAAACTATATATTTCCATATTTACACAGAAAATTGATAAGCCGACCAAAAGAATTATCACATTATATTGTATTTTCCGATGACTCATAAAAAACCATGGGAAATTTTAATATCGAGCCAAAAAAAGAACTCAAGAAATCGATAAGATGGTAAAAAATCAACAAAACACAAAATAAAATAAAATAAAAATAGTAGGTGAGTCAGGGGTGGCTGGCTCCGAAGGTCGAAGCAAAACAAATATTAGAAATTAGAAAATGGATGGCGAGAGAGTGGGCGAAATGAAGAGACGCAGACGGAAAGGATTACCTGGCCATGTTTCATATTAGCATATACAGAAAATAAACAACCTCGTGTTTTTCACAAGCAGCGAAATTCGAGAACAAGCAGAAAAACAGTAGTCTTTTTCCGAACTTGAGCTAAAAATTTCCTGATAAATCAAACCAAACCTCGAAGTTCTTTTAAGTGTCTAATTTATTGATTCGTTCTACAACAAAACGAAAAACGGACTGAAAAATTCGAGAAGAGAAAATCGATATAATTTATTGATTGGCTTTTCTCAATTGATATTCGACGACGATGAATGGAGCCCAGAATCCGATGGCGAGGAAGGTGACGGCTTTCGCGGCGAATCCCCATTTGTTGGTGACGTGGAATGGAAGACGCTAGAAAAAATAGAAATTTTTGAAATTACTTTTAGATTGCCACGTCATGGATATGTATGTGTCACGTATTATTTTATTGATAATACATTTTTTTTTTCATTTTCAAAATTTTTTTTGATAGTTTTGAGTGAAACTTTGATTTAAAAAAATCAACTTTTCGATTTCTTGAAACAAAATCTTGATATAACTTGGATTCTAGAAAGCCAGCGAGAAATTTACAAGAGTTCTCGAGAAAATTTTGGTCATTTGTTTGTTCTAACTATTTTCTTTTCTCTCTTTGAAAATTGTGAAAAAATCGTGTCTTGCGGAGAAATCAAGGAATATTCGAATAAAATTTGAGTGAGAATTTTCGATCTATGCTTGAACGTCTGATTCACCTCTGATAAAAAATATGGAAATATTAAACATAAACCCGGCTCTATAATTTTTTCTTCATTCAAAAATTTCAGAAAATCTTACAGCTGAAGCCCATCCGTCGTTAACGAATGTATTTGGTCCTTGTCCAGTTTGTGCAACAGCCGAATGGTTTCCGTGTCCATGTCTGCGGACGGCGTTGATGAATGGGCGAGCAACTTGACGCGACAACATCCTGCAAAAATTCAATTTTCTCGAAAATACATTTGTCGTCAAAAAATCTAAGTTCACAAGAAAGAATATGACATGAATTGGGGGTCAAAAGATAGGGAATTCTTCAAACAATTTTTTGAACAAGGAAAATTTTGGGAAATCCCAAAAAGAGCTCAGAAAACAAGGAAAAACACGTGAAAAATGCACCGGGCATCGCAAATGAGGTTCGTTGTGTGCGTCGCGGTTCGACCGCAATGCACTGTTCGCTGGAGCGATGTTGCATTCTCACGCTGATTATTTCGTCCGTTCTGACCTAAGAAACCAAACAGTCAAAAAACACGGCCACGCTCCGCCCACTTTTTCCCGATTTTTTTATTTTCGTTTTTTTGTTCAGAAATTTTTCAAGAAGTCTATTTTTCCAAGTTCCTCGACCCTTTTTCCAAAAAAGGAACCGATAACTTTGTAGAGAATCGTCTTGCGATCATTATTTGACCAAGCTTGACCTGTGAATCAGCGAAACCGTGTACCCTTAGGCATTTTAGTGAGACCGACCGAATGGAAAGATTAAATAAAATTTCAAAAGCATAGAAAAGTGTAATCGGGCTATTCACTGATAGTTTCATGAAAAATTTCACGGTTCAGGCGTTTTCCAGTGATAATAGGCGTTATTTAGAAAAAAACTTGAAACACCGTGTTGAAAAAATGAATGTGCGCTCTAGCGAACGCGGGGCCGAACTTTTTCCATTGACGGCCAGAACGTTCGAAATAATCAGCGTGATTTCTTTGCAAAAAATATTTTTTCTCCGAGTTTTCGTTAAAAAGCGTAAATTTTCAGATAATATAAAATGTCTGGGAAACTGCCGGGAAGGCCAAATTTATCTCTTGCCGGAAAACGAGAAGCACCCGGCGCCGCACCGAAAGCAGAATCGAAAAGAGGTCGGGGAGGTGGGAGAGGCGCCGGACGTGGTGGACGAGGCGGAAGAGGTGGAAAACCACCGAAACAGGAATTGATTCAAACTGGTGGAGTGTTCTCGGAAGGTCTGGGAGGTGATTTTCCCTCAAAGAAGACGGTGGTAAAGGAAGTTGAGCCACAGCGTGAGTTTTTCATGGGGTTTTAAAAACTTGTGTTTTTGGGAACTAATAAATTATTTAAATATCTATATTTCTAGAATTCACGGTGAAAAAAGCGTCCACAACAACTGCCAAATCTCCAACTCCCGATGAAACCCCAAAACCTCGTGCCGCCGGCAAAACTTCGTTCAAAAACTGGGATCAATTATGGGAAAGCGATGAGGAAACCGATGAACTTGAGAAGAAGGCACTTTTACCAAGAAGAGGAATTGTGAGTGATTTGACGCATGGATCTATTATGCCATGTGTTTTGCCAGCTGAAGATCAACCGCAATTTATGAATGTTTTGAATAAAAATGCGAGATTTGCATTGGAATTAGAGGAAAAATCTGGGGGAGCTGCTGCTGGAGCCGAAATGGATGTTGAGGATAAAAAACCAAATTTGACCCAGAAAAATCCAAGAAAAACCGCTGAACAAATTATTTCAATGTTTGAAGCATCAACCAGTGAATTGATGCATCTTCAACTTCCTTCAGTGATTTCTTCGATTTGTCGGGAAATTGAGGAAAAAGAAGAGATTCCGATGGAAACTGATGAGTTCGCAGAACCGCAAGAAAAAGGCGGTGATTTGCCAAGCGGAAGAAATATTGGAAAGATTCAGGTGACGAAAAAAGGAAGGATTTTATTGCGAATTGGTGGACATGTGATGGATATTACGGCGAAAGCAGTGAATGGAAAACAAATGGTGAGAAATTTGATTGAATTTACTCGCTAAAAATTAAAATTAAAGTCTTGAAATTTTGAAACATCTTGAAACTTGTTTGTGAAAAAACCACCTAGAAGTTGAAAATGTCTAGGATTTTTTTCTGATAATCAGAATCTAATTCTATTTTCAATTTTTTAATTTCCGATTTAAATTTTCAATTGTGGCGTCAAGAAAATCAACGTGGCAGAAATTCTAGGTTTTCATTTGTTAGTTTTAGTTTTTTTGAAATTTTGTTCCTAAAAATCCACGTGGAAAGAAATTATAACTTTAAGCATTCACCTAAAAATCCCAAAATCCTGTAAATTCCACATTTTTTGCAGGGCACAGTTCTACTGGAAACCGAACCACAAATGGATTCAATGGGTTCACCAATTCAATCGACAGATTCCTCAAAAAATGCAATATATTATTTGGGAAATGTGAAACATAATCTAGTCGGATCGATGAGTTGGAATGAATTGAATCGAACGAAAACTGAGGAAAATACGGAAAAGGTTGTGGAAAATGACGCGAACAACGATACTCCGATGCTTGACGCTGCACAAGTTCGGAAAATTCAAGAATTGGAAGAAGTTCAGAAATCGTGGGCTGGATTTGCTGAAAAATGGGCAAAAGGAAAATGAAGTTGAGATGAGATTGTTGATTTATTGTTATTTATAAATTGTTACTTTTTGAGAATTTGTATTCAGTCACGTCGCAGATAAGTTCACCAAAAACGATTCACTTTCAAAACAAAAATTCTCATTTTCCTTGGTTTTTTTTCAAAAGTTTGGGTATCAAAATTCCACGTGTCAAAAATTACTATTTATTTCAAGTTTTATTTTTTTTTGGTTTTTATTTTTTCACTGAAATACTGTAAATTCAAAATTTTCCAGGATCTCGTAGGAAATATTTTTTTCTTTTTTTCTAACAAAAAAATTTGTTACGTGTTAACCTTCCAAAAATGCTCATTTTTTATTATCACAATGATTGTAAGTGGACGAAAAAACAACATTTTTCAAAAATAATAATTTGCAGACATCACATTCACCTGGATCAAGAGGAATTACAAATAAATTAAACGATGTGCAAATGGAGCGAAGTGAAATGGCTCCCGGGCCTGATTTGATGGTGACAGCTGAGGACGAGAAAAGTAAATCGACATCAAAATCGATTGAAGAGACAAAAGACGCGAAAACTGCGATTCCTGGTGCTGTAACCGCTCCTAATCTGAGCAATGCGTCGGAAAATAAAGGGGCTTCCGCTTCGCAAAACGCTAGAATAATCCGGAAATTGAAATTGCGAAAAATTGCGAATTGGACAGGTTGCAATGGTGCGCAACTTGACGATGAACCATTTTATCATGGATATATGTCTAGAGATGAAGCTGAGAGATTGATGAAAAACCAGGGCGATTTTTTGCTCCGCAAGACAGAAATCCAAAAACGTGGAAATTGCATTTGTGTGACTGTTTTATGGGATAATAATTGTTATCATATGATAATTGAAAGAGCTAAATCCGGATTATTTTATCTGAAAGATTTCTGTTTTGAAAATATGAGTGATTTGATTCGATATCATCAACAAAATCGAGTTGAGATTTATCACACTGGTATAAAACTGATTTCATGGGTTGTGAGAGAGGAATGGCAATTGTATCATGAACAAATATCATTGGGAAAGAAATTGGGAAACGGTGAATTTGGCGAGGTATTTCAAGGTGTTCTATCAGTTGGTGTTTTTACAAAAGATGTCGATGTGGCGATTAAAACAATGAAAGGTGAAAATGTGACGGCTGATGAGAAAATCACATTTCTTCGAGAAGCTAATTTAATGCTCAAATTGCACCATAAAAATGTGGTAAGATTATACGGGGTGGCGACGCAAAAAGAACCGATTATGATTGTTATGGAATGTTGTAGTGGAGGAAGTTTGAGAGGAAGATTGGATAAGAATTTTGATGAGTTGAGCGAGGAAACGCAGAGAAAGTTTGCGAAACAGATTGCAAAAGGAATGCGATATTTGGGTGAGTCTGGTTGGAAAACGTGGATTTTGTATCGACATATTTCAACAAAAATATTTTTCCAGAAGAAAAGCAAGTGATTCACCGTGATTTGGCCGCTCGAAATTGTCTTCTCGACAAAAATGACACGTGTAAAATCAGCGATTTCGGTCTTTCGCTCCTCGGAAAATCGCACAAAGAACGAAAGTTGCTGAAAGTGCCTGTCCGTTGGCTCGCCCCCGAAACCCTCTCAAAAGGAATCTATTCCTCAAAATCCGATGTTTGGAGTTTTGGTGTGGTGTGTTTCGAGATTTTCAGCGGAAAATATCCGTATGATGAGATAAAAGTGTTGAAAGAGGTTCGAAAACAGATATTGGAGCATGGTTTGCGACTTCGTCCACCAGAAAAAATACCGAAATTCGACGCGGATTTGATGTTGATGTGTTTTGATAAAGTCGAGACGAGACCCACTTTTGAGGAGATTTGTGAAAAGTTGGTTATTTTTGAGGGAGAAGTGGGTTATTCTCTTGGATAAAATCCATTATTTAAATTTTGGTGCCAAAAACCTGTTGTGAAATCTGAATTTTCAAAAAATCAGGTATTTAGAAATAATTTTTACGCAAAATTCTTAAGAAAAAATTATATATTCCTGGAAAAAAACGTACAAATATTTTACCTAATCCCTTTTTATGTTCAAAAAAAAAAAAAATTTTTTCTTCTTTTTTTTCAGATACAAAGAAGTATCACACGGCATTTCGTTTGGCTCAATTGCACAAAAATTTGGATTCAACAAAAATAATTGAATTCTTTCTCGTTGGTGTAAAAAGAAACAATCAGTGGTGTGGCTAATCAGATTTTTGGTGAAAAAATGAACAAATTTTTTGGTGTGAGTTTGGTGTTTGAACAAATTGATGCTTTTTTCACTTTGGGACATTTTTGTAGCGAATTTGGAAGTTTAATTTTAAACATTCTGGGTCAGAATTTTTATTCTCGTGGCATTTTTTTCGAAAATTTTCAAAATCTTTTGTTTCCCCGGGGACTTTTTTGCCCTCATTTATCTAATCTAAAATCGGACGAAAAAAGTAACTTTCAATTTTTTTTTATTTTTCAAAAAAAAAAAACAAAAAAGTATAGATAGACTTTTATGACTCATATTAGTTAGATGTAAAGAAAAAATTATAATTAATTTTTTTTTGAAAAGAGAGGAAATTGGAATTTTATTTTTGAATTATGATTTCTGGCGCCAAAATCTGAAAATTTTCAGAGATTATATAAGTCCCGCGAAGAGATAAATTTTTCAAAACAAATTTTTTCCGCGCGAAAAATATTGGATGAATTTTTCCAAATTTTCAATTTCCGATAGGAAATTGATAACCCAGAAAAGTATTTTCGAGGGATTTTTGGATATTTATTTTTAATTTCATCTTCACCCGCCCCATATAGAAATTTTATTTTATTTTATTTTGTGTGATAATTATGATGATGATAGGAGAAAAGTGGGCGGAGCCACAGATTTCCCGCCCACTTTTTTCTCGGGTTTTGGTTGAACTTTTTGGAATTTTTTTTTGAATTTTTAGATGCGAGAAGAATTTTTGGTTTTTCTGGCCATTTTTGGTCCTTTTTTATGTGAGGCGAGAGGATTTCATGGAATTCCGGGTGAGTTTTTTGTTATTTGTTCATGAAAATTGTTGGGATTATGGGATTTTTTGCAAAAAAATGGGTGCAAAAATGTTTGATTTTGAAATCTTAAAATTTGGTCTCAAACTTTGATCTACTAGAAAAATTTGAAAGGTACATATTAGCGCCAAACATTAATTTTTAAAAATTTCCCGGACCTAAAACTTTTTCAAAACATCTAGAATTTTTAGTTGAAAACTTGATTTACTTGAAAATCCAAGAATTGATTATTTTCGAAAATCCAGAATTTCGGGCTTACTTTCTCATTTCTCATTTCTCATTTTCGAAAATCATGTTTTTGCACTGATTTTTCATCAAAATTTCAAATATTTTTCTGAATTTTGGGAAAAAGTTCTGAAAATTCAGAACTTTGGGTTCCAAATTAATTTTTCCTGTCAAAAATTTTCTCGAGAGATTTTCAAAATTCAAAAATCCCGTAATTTTTGATCATCTCTCGGATCAGAGTTCCGCACAAAAACAGTTGTTTCGAAACTCAAGCCGGGTAGTGTCAAAATTTTGCTTCAAAACCGTTTCAAGCTCACAGTTTAAACAGATTTTTGTCATTAACACTCTTAACAAAAACGGGTTGGTAGAGTGTTCTGTAGAAACCCGCTTAGGATTTACCCTATCCTGAACAAAACACATTAGTTTGTTCTTTGATTATACCACAAACACTTTTCACAGTCTTCCAAATATCAGTTTCAATCACAGTTGAGATTTGAACAGTGTTTTGCTATACTCGAGTATCAAAATTAGTGTTTCATGCACAACAAAATTAACACTGTTTCAAAAATTTGTGCATGAAACCGGGTAATGACACTGTTTCGTATTATAAGATTCATGAAACATCAAATTTTTTTAAATGTTTTTTGTGATGTTTTTCTCTGATATTTTCTGAAATTGTGTTGATTTTGCATATCCTAACAATTTTTAATCATCAAAAGTAAGAATAAAAAATGTGATGTTTCATGAATCTTATAATACGAAACAGTGTCATTACCCGGTTTCATGCACAAATTTTTGAAACAGTGTTAATTTTGTTGTGCATGAAACATTAATTTGATACTTGGGTTTCGAGTGCTTGTTGTTTCACACTTGATATAGCATGAAACCTCACAAAATTAAAGAGGGTTTGAATGTTTTTTGTGCAAGTATGTCAACATTTTAGCTTCAATCAGAGGTCAGCGTAAATGTTCAGCTGAAATATGAACAACCGAATTTGAAACACGTGTTCAAACCGCAAGTTTCAATCTTAGAACGGCTGAAACTTGGATGTCAAGCTTTGCTTTGAAGCAGCTTGATGAAACAATTGTTTCAGTTCTGCTTCGGGGCGACACTCTGTCTCGGATCATTGTAAATTTCCGCCTCCAAAAATAAATCCTGTTTATTTTTGTAATCACAGAAAATAAAATAGAAAAGAGAACATAAATAATCCTATCAAAAATGAAACATTTTTTTTGGAATCAAGTTTTTTTGGGCCCAAAACTTTCAGGTTTACTGTAGATTCCTGTTTAAAAAATTCGAAATTTGAAATAAATCAAAGAAGTAAGAATAGGATTACTGTAGATTTCAAGACTACAGTATTTTTGGCGTAAAAATCTGGTTTCAAAAATCCACGTAATACATAATTTCCCAATTTCGGCTGCTTACTTGACTTAGTTTTGTCAGCGACAAAAACAATTTTTCAAAAAGATCACACTTTTTTGTTCCCGTTTCCCACGACCAAAAAAAACTTGTGAGAATTTATCTCTTTTCTTCACTTCTGGTCTTCTTGTTTATTATCACTTCTTTTCACAAATGAAGTGATACAACAAAATAAAATATTTATATATATAATTTATCGATTTTGGCGCGGAAATTCTGTGTGTGAGTAGTAAGAAGAAAGCGAAAAAGTCTCCAAATCAAATCAAATAACCTTGACTGATTTACGATGAAAATACAAAAAAAAAGATACCAAAAAAATGTTAGTTTTATTTCGAACAACAAAAAAATGAAATGCTATAATAACTTTTTGATGAATGAAGAAGTAAAATAATGGGTTTGGGAAGAGGAAAACGCCCAAACATTTTGATGAGAAATATGAAACATCAGGGGTTTAGGTGGGAAAATTTGGAATCGGTAGATCAAAAATGGGAATGGGTTACTGTAGATTTTTGCCACCAAAAAACTTTATAAAAAATGACTTGGTTCTGGGTGGGTTACAGTAGATTTTATTCTGAAAATTATTATTTTTCATCTGGAAATTCGTAAAATAATCTGCCCGAAAAAATACGTTTCAAAAAATATATAAACCAAATTTTCTGCTCTTGATCGCGAGAATGTGTAAAAGTTTCCAAATAAATTTCGGCTCTCAAAAAAAATCCACAGTTCTCTTGTAAATGTTTGTTTCAGGAGCCTATTGCTCGGCTCGTTCACCAACATGTTGCACAAATCGAGACGATGATTGTACGGCGCCAATTTTAGGCGATCATTTATGCTATTGTGATATGTTTTGTGATCGCGGACCGGATGGTGGTAGGTCAAATACTTGGCGCGAAAAAAACTATTCAAATATTTCTTTAGGAAACGATTGCTGCCCTGATTTCGAGGCGACGTGTTTGGGAAAAAACGCGCCAAAGAATGATCTGCACTCGGGCGAACCTTGTGAACAAGAAGGGGATGAGAAATTGGCGAATTGCCAAAAATGGTGCGTTTTTTTTTCTGCACCAATTTTTTCAACTGTAAAAATTTGAGCTCTTGTCAAAATGGCTACTGGAAATGCGATGGAACGACTTGCTTGATTCAACCAGATTTGTTGGAGGATGTGAGAACAGGAAGATATTCGTGAGTTTTTGAATTTTGAAACATGGAAATTTGTGATCTACACAAAATTCTGGTCTAGAGTCCTTGATTTTCTCACATAATTATTTCAAATTCCAATATTTTCCAGATGGACCGCCCGAAATTACACGGCATTTTGGGGAAGAAGTTTAGCTGATGGTATCAAATATCGATTGGGAACACTGTTTCCCGAGAAAAGTGTTCAGAATATGAATGAAATTACGATAACTCATCCAGATTTGCCCGAGGAATTTGATGCCAGAGATAAGTGAGTGGAATAACATTTTGTTGCGTACCTGGCTTTATTCCAAATTTTTCACTATTTCTCAATTTTTCAGATGGGGTTCCCTGATCCATCCAATTTCGGATCAAGGTGATTGTGGAAGTAGTTGGGCAATCTCAACAACAGCAATTTCATCGGATCGTCTCTCAATTATGACAGATGGTCGAATTAGTGCAACTCTATCCCCTCAACAATTGTTGTCTTGTAATCAACATCGACAAAAAGGATGTGAAGGTGGATATTTGGATAGAGCTTGGTGGTATATTCGAAAATTGGGTGTCGTTGATGAACATTGTTATCCATATGTTTCGGGACAAAGTCGAGAACCTGGACATTGTATGATTACCAAAAGAGATATTACGTGAGTTTTTTGGGGTTCGGGAGAGGGAAAGCTTCAAAATGAATATGAATAGGATAGGGTTCCAAATGAAATTGACTGCGTATTTAATGAAAACATTTTGATCACGAAACGACTTTTCGCTTTTTAAAGACGTACATTTCTTGTTTTTAAAAACAAAATCTTTCTTTTTTTTTTTAAACAATTTATTGGTAGAATTGGTTGGAAAATGAAATCTAAAATTTTGTTTCTTGAAGGCTTGAGCTCTCGGTGTTTTGGTTTCTGTTTCGAAGAAGTAATTTGTTGATATAACCTGAAATCATTATTTAACAAATACAAAACAACAGGTTTCACTAACAAATTGTAGTATTTCTATAATCTTTAATAATAATGAAGTTTGGAATTGGATCAATTGCTGGATAGATGGCAATAGTTACAGTCATAACACCACTGTATATTCCCAAATTCTTTCCGAGAAGCACAAATATATAAACTGTAATAATTGGAAGATGTAAAAATGATATCGGAATCATTGTTTGGACAACCAACGCGTAAAAAAGTTGTGTTTGTAAAGAATGCGTTTTCTTTGATGTGGATACAGTAGAAAGTATTTGAATCTCTTGATAACATGAAATTCCACAATAAAGCATTACCCCAAACGATGCCAACATTGAAATATTTTGAAAAACGTTCACGAGAATTGACATCAAATGAATATGTCGATTTCCATTCTCATCTTCTGAATATATTTGTATTCCATAATAAACGATATCTTTCACATCGATGTGTAAATCTTTGTACAAACTTTCTCGCAGGTATTCGTCTTTCAAGTTATTTTGGTTTGCAAAAAAATGAAATACTATAGACCATGTCAAACCGGATAAAATAGGTACCAAAAACCAGAGAATAATCTTGGGTGATTTGAACGTTGTCAAATAACGACTTCTAAACATAGATATGACTTATTCATAAAGATTCCATAATATATAGAAAAAAACAAACCGTTTCGCGTTCAGATATCGATAAACAAACTGAATCGAAAATAAACCTAAAACACCACCAACCACGCCACAAAACAAATCACTAAAAATTGTCATGATAAATGGATTGAATAATGATTTTTGAGTATCAATGAACATTATCAATGCAGAACGATGAGTGTAAAAACACTTTAAAACAATTATATTAGAGCATGCTCATAGTAGGTCAAACTCACAGCTGACGTTATAACATCTACAAAAGAATATACAATTTCGAATGCGGAAGTGTAAGCTATCAAGTATTTATATGGTGCTAAGGTTTTTGGTGACTTGAAAGCAACCAGATGCAGTTGATAACAATTTGCTAAAACTGAGATAGAAGCTGATATATATTGAATATAATGTTGAACATTCAACCATCGCTCGCCATGCATTATTATAGAAAGAAATAGAAATAGAGCACATCGCGCTTGAAAAAACAACAAAAAAAAGTATATCTCAAGAGATGCAATTAGAATTAAAGTTATTTGGGATTCGAAGCTAAAATATATTTCAATATTTTTTTTCGCCAAAGTTCGCGCAGAATTAAAAAAAACATTTTTCAGCGATCGTCTTGGCTTAAAATGTCCCAGTGGTCACGAGAATTCCACTGCTTTCAAAATGACTCCACCGTATAAAGTGTCGAGTAAAGAAGAGGATATTAAAACGGAATTAATGACAAACGGACCAGTTCAGGCCACTTTTGTGGTCCACGAGGACTTTTTCATGTATTCTGGTGGTGTTTATCAACATTCGGATTTGGCGGCGAAAAAAGGAGCAGGAAGTGTTGCGGAAGGATATCATAGTGTTAGAGTATTAGGGTGAGGATTTGGATGGGAAATCTGAAATTGTTGAAATTTTTAGCTACATTCTGATTTTTTGACCATTTTGTTTTTCAGATGGGGAGTGGATCATTCAACCGGTCGCCCAATAAAATATTGGCTTTGTGCCAATTCTTGGGGTTCTCATTGGGGCGAAGATGGTTATTTTCGAATTTTGCGCGGCGAAAATCATTGTGAAATCGAGAGTTTTGTGATTGGAGCATGGGGAAAAGGATCGAAAAGAAGACGACGATTTAAAATGAGAAAATTGCGAAGATTTAGAAAATTATTCTAATTTTGTTGATTAGTTTCAATTGGATTTTTTGCGCTTTTTTTGTTTTTGATTTTATTGAAAATGCTATTCTCACTGCCGCCAGGGTTAATAAATATGAAAATTTTGAAATTTTATGTTTTTCCAATATTTTTCGGAATTTTTTTTTCTAATTTTAAATTCCCAATTTTCTCGAATTTCCAATTTTCATTTCAATGAAAACAGAAGTGTGACTAATCTCATGTGATATTTTCGACCGAAAAAATACAATTACAAAATAAAAAAACCGTAAAATTTGTCAATTTCGAGGCGAAAAAGAAACCGCCTTAATTGGTCAATAAAATGTTCGCGATCTTCTTTTTTCGGTCATTTTTTGGGTTTTCGGAGATTTTCTTGACACTTTTTTCAGAAGATAATTTGAAAAAAATGTTTTCTTGAGGTTTCGAAAATGCAATATTTTGGAGGTGAAATTTTCCAGATTTTTGTCAGAAGTCAGGTTAAGTTTTCTCAGTTTCTAACCGATTCAAAAATTCCAGTCATTTCCCGATTTCCAGAAAAATCTATCGTTTTCTCTAACCCTCTCCAAATTTCTCACACTATTTTTTCAAAGCTCCGCCCATCAACAAAGTAAATTTTTTTCAATCAGATTCGGGTATTTAATTTGATCCAAAACCCATTTTGATACAAAAATCATTCTTCAAAATTGTGTTTTTGTTTTTTTTTGTTGAAAAAATAAGGAAACAAAAATTTGATGTGATTAGAGAAATACGTAATTAATTTGAATTACAGTAATTTGTTTCAGCGTTCCTAAAATCCAAATTTTGATCTAAAATATATTCACTACAGTATGAATTTTATTTGTTTATTAATTAACGACGCGGAAAATATCTCACAATCAGACTACTGTAAATAACGCTCCATTTAATTTTGATCTGACAAATTCCTAGAATTCCAATTCTACAGTATCCCATCAGATCAAATAAAAAGTGTGGAATTTTTTGGTTGGTGACCCAATCGGAAATGAGTCATGATCTACTTTTTTGCGCATCGTTCTGTCAAAACCTATCCCTTCCCAAATATATCATTTTTCGAAAAAAATCTTGTCATTTCGTCTCTAATTTGATATGAACAAATACATTCTCAGCTAAACAACAATCAATAAATCATTTTATCTTTTTTGATTTATTTTCTTCCCAATTCTTTATTGAAAAATTGTTTTTTATTGGGAAAAAACATCTGAAAATATTTTTCAGACATCGAAAAATGATCACAGTTTTCACGGGTGAAGGTCCATTGGATGCTGTTTTTGCCGGGAAAAAAGAAAAGAATCAAAAGGAGGTATTTGATCAACAAGCAGCAATTAATCGAAAAGAACAGATTACTTATACGGCATGTGGAAGAAAGGTTTGTGAGCTACAGTATCCAAACTGCAAAGTTTTTCGGAATCTATGAAATTAATTGATTTTGAGGAAAATTACTGAATATTCTGAACTTTTGTGAGTTAGCGGAACTGAAATTTTAAAATTAAATAAATTCTAACTTGATTAGAGTTTTTTAATTCGGAAATTTTCCTAACTATGTAATATGAACATTGCTCTGAAATCATATCTTTCTTATTTTCCAGCTTATAAACGGCGAAGCAGAAGAGAAAAAAGATGTCGGCTCAATGTGGAATAAGACACTTACAGGTGGAATTGCGGGTCAAATTAAAAATGAGGCAACTGAAACAGAATATCAGAAAGCAAGACGATTGTGTGAGTTTTTCAACGTTTTGCGGTTGAAAATCGTGATCTACAAAAAATTATTGTCTAGAAAACACTACATTTCATATGGTTTTCTGGATATTGAGTGGGTGACCTAGAAAACCAATCTATTTGGTTTTCTAGGCCACTAGAGATCGTATGATGCACATATTCGTGATCTACGAAAATTCTGATTCGGAAAACAGACAATACCATACTTTTTAGCTATCAGTAAATAAAAACAGACTTCTCGGCTAGAATTTTGAGTAGAATTCGATATTTTATGTTTCAAATCACCAAATGCTTCATTTTCAGTGAAAAATTACACGTACGATGCGCAAGTGTTCCTGCGTCAACAATATCGCCAAAATCCGACGCCATTTCAAATTTTCGCCATAATCTTTGCCATCTTCCTACTTTACAAACTATTATTTTGAATTTATTCTGACAATTTACAATAAACATGTAAAAATTGTGTTACATTTGGCTGAAATTTGCAAAACTTGCCAAATTGAGTTCAAATTAAGGAAATCGGTCAAATCAAAAGTTTGAGCCAGAGCGATTTTGTTGGCTCGACACATTGCACAAAATCCACATGACATGTAGCAATCCACGTGTGAGGCGAATGCTTTGTTTTGAATTTCAGAACAAGTTGAGCTGGTCTGGAAATTCACTGAATGAGAGTTTTCACAGCGGAAAATTGTGTGCGTTGTTCAGCGTTAGCGCGCTAGGTTTTGTTCATAAGATCAAGAGTTCGATTCCCGCTGCGCGCGAACCTTCGAAATATTCTTCATTGCATCAACAAGACAAGGAGCTGTGCAATCGATCCAAGCTTTTCCAGTTTCATCAAATCTATCGCGATTTGCTGAAATTTTTCAATTGTTCTGAAAATCAATAGACATTTCTATCTTTCACTTACTGGAATTTGTAAACGCCATACAATTTTTATAACCATAATGAAGAGGATAACCAAGTTGTCCGCAATGAAATTGATCTTCAACTTCTAGATATTCTTGACAAATTGATGGATCCACGCTGGCATGGATTTTGATTGTAAGTGCAGAAATCGTGAGAAATACAAGAAAAATGAGCATTTTTAGATGAGTTGTTGTTAGCGTGGGACCTTTTATAGACGAAATTTTCAATAAATATAAACTTTTTGGTGTTTGATGAATGTAAAATAAATAAAAAGTGCAACATTTTTGTGATTTTTGATGGCTTAGAAGTCTGGAATAATAATTTACAGCACTGGGAATAGAAAAAAAATAAAAATGCTTCATTTTCAACAAAAATTCTCTTGCTGACAAATCCGATACGACGATTTTCCCTCTTTTAATTGTTGCAAAACATCAGCTGCATCTTGATTTGCCATTTGCTTGCATTCTGCATCGGTAAAACCGTTGAAATTCAAATCACATTGACTGAAAAACATTCAAAATGGGGTACTGTAACTTAACCGTCTGTTTTGTGTGCTCGGTCTCAACGCGCGTGAGTTTATTTATTCAAAACTTTCAAATTTTTTTTTTGAAAAGTGAAAAAAAAGTAGTTTTCTTCAAAGCAATAAAAGAGAGAAAACTCACATGTATAAGGAATTCTTCATTTGATCAACAGTAACATTTGTGAAATCATTATTATACTCATAACGAACATTATTTATCATAACCTGAAATTTAAATTTGAAAAAACTTCTGAAGTTTTATTTGTCTTTTTACCTCACACATATGACAATTTGGCCCTGATATTAAACGAGGAAGAACCATAGAAGAAACAGAAATCAGGAAGAAATTTGAAAATATCACAATAATAATCGAATTCTTCATTTCTTTCCGCAAAATTTTTTATAATAATAATTAAACTGAACTGATAAACTTATGATTTAAATAAATGGGTTTTCATTGCACGCTCCAATGACGTAAATGAATCAAGTTACTGATAAATAACTACTGATTGACCCGATAAAAAATAACACAGGAAACAGGGTACTGTATTTAACAAAACTACTGTAGGCTAGTAAATTGTGTGCATTGGTGTTTGCAGATTTTTGGCGGTTCAAAAAATATTTTCTTTTTCGAGCCGTTTTTTTGTTTTTCTCCGCGGTTTTTTGAGGTTTCTTCTGTTGATAATGTTAATCCTATTTATGAAATTTGTTATTATAAAATATAACATTCATCCTTCCATATATCTATAATAATACTAATCCTCTTGAAAACGAAGGGGGATTTTTTCAAGTGAAGTACTCGGCGCTGAGCAAAGAAACCTGACGACAAATCGATTTTTCGTCTGTTTCATTTTTTTGTAATTCTTCTTGTTATTTAGTTGATAAGTTCAGTTTTGTGCCTGATTTTTGAACCAGGGTTTTCGTGAAAACACGTGCTTTTTCGAGCATAAAATGAATGTTGGCGATCATTTGTCAAAGGTAAACCAATTATTATTTTTGGTGATAATCGAATGCTATTTTTGATAAGCGATTGAGAAAACCCGGTTGCACATATTGGTTATGAATAGAAATGGAATTTGCGGGGGAAAATTGATAAATTATTGGTTTTCGAAGGAAATTTTGGATTTCAAAGGTTTATTTTTGAAATTTTCAAGATCTTAGATAGAAGTTATTGATCTAAAGCCTCGTTTTCTGATTTGTGAGGAAGATTTTCATGTTTGCAGTTAATTTTTAAGATTTTGAGCAGAAGTTTGTTAGATTATTGGATTTGGTAGAACGTTCAGAGTTTCCGAAGAGACAATTGAGATTTCTATGAGACTTTTGAGTTATTGAACTCTATAGATGACCTAAACACCTGAAAATGTGATTCTCGAGAGCTGCAAATTCCAGCCTGGAATGTCTCTAGAACAAAACAAAAAAGCAGCATCTGCACTATTTAGAAAATTGAGAAATCACAACTTTTTTTTTGATGGATTGAATTTTCTCAATTCCGTATGAAATTTCAAAATTTCAATAATTTTTAAACGTGTACTAGATGATGTGGCAATTTGAAAATGTTTTTTTGTGAAACTCATTTTCAATATTTTGACGACCTAAGATCATGTTTCGATAGCCTTAAAACTCTAAACCATCATTTCCGAGGCTTCTAAACCCGATAAGTCCAAAAATGTTTCGAAAAGAAAATTTCCAGCCAGAAAATGTCACTCTTCACTCTTCCTCTTCATTTCTTTTTTTTTTCATCTAGTTTTATTTTATTTTTTGATATCACCGCCCCACGCATTCATTTTTTTTCTTCTTTTTCAGCCGTGTGTTGTTTTCCTTTGAGCTTCATCTCTGCCGCCTCGGCTCGCGCACGCGTCAGCCACAACTATTTGAGCCGGCGACGGCAGGGCGATGCTCTTAATTGAGTTTATGTTTGGCACACACACACACACAGCATATTAGATATTGAAAATAGAAAAAAGATACATGTATTTTGATATATATTTTCATTGGATTTATGAAGATTTTTGAAGCTTATGTCTGAAAAGCTGAGATTTTTAGACAGAAAATAAAGAAGAACCAGCTTGGTATTAGTTTTCCGAAGATTTTCAGCTGGTTTTGAATAATTTTGATTTCACAATCTAAAATGTCTAGATTTTTTACATACATTGTTAACTAAAGATTCGAATAGAGCCTCTCATCATGAAAAATCTGAAAATCGAGTGAAATTTCAGGCTCAAATCTTCAGAGAAAAATTTCAATTAAAAACCGCATTTGAAAAAAATCCGGAAATTTTGAAAATAGAATTTGATATTCAAAGTTTTCAAGAAAAAATACATCTGAAAATCTTCAGAAAACTGGTACAAAATTTGGTTTCCAAGATCCCGAACAACATTTTCTCAAAAACCTACAGAAATCATAATTTTCCACTATGAAACCCTATAATTTTACCCAGAAAATCCTATTTTTCTTCGAAATAATCGAATTTTCATTGGTTTTTCCTCGAAAATGACGATTTTCAGACAATTTTCTAGGCCAAAAATCGATAAAACTCCCCTCAAAAAATACGTGTTTTTTGTTCCGAAACGCACAAAATCGTTTCGTCCTCCCCATTCATTCACTAATCCTCATTACTATTCAATTCCCAATTTTTTTGCTATGTGGCGCGAAAAAATCGACACACGCACACAAAAAATCTTCACACTTTTTTCGCCGATGGTTTTTTATTCGTTTTCCACTGATAGATTAGCATAATGAGAAACTGAAAAAGAAGCAAAAAAGAGCTCTGCTTGAGCATTTTTTCTTGAGATAGAGATAGATAGAAAAAAACGAGCCGCATGAATTTCTAGATATATATTTTTTCATATATATTTTTTTTTTTGAAAAAAAGAAGAGGAGGATTAGTTTCTATATAGATTTATTAGTATTTTCACGGTGTTTTCGAGCAAAAATTCATGTTTTCGCGGATTTTTGAGCTCGGAATTCTGTCATAAAACAATTTTTAGGGTTTAGACCACTAAATTCAAGATTTGGGGTTTCTAGGTCATCTATGTGTTTTCTAGGCTTCTAAAGGTTTTGGGTTTCTAGGCGAGCAAAACCAAGGTATTGCGATTGATAGCTTCAACATTAATTTTTTTTTGAGCTGTGTGCAATAGAGCGCAAAAGCTTATTTTTTATTTCTCCAAAGAAATGCAATCGCGCTCCAATGATAATCCAAAAAATTGTTTTTCTTTTCTGAAATTCCAATGAAAAATGATCTCTATCGATTTTGTCTCTCTATGTTTTCATTTTTCGTTTTTAGTCGAAAAAAGTACATACACTTCTTGTTTTTTCACACACATAGAAAAATATATTTTGGAAGTAAATAAAAAGTATCAAAAAATTTTGTGTGCGTCTCTTTTGACACAATGATTTTTTTGCAAAAATATTTTTTTTCGAACGAAAAATATCAAGCGAACAGTAGTGTAATAATTTTTCGTTCGCTTGAAATGTTTTCATTTTTTTGGGTATTTACTAAAAAAAATTCCATGAAAATTTTGAACAATTCTAAACGTGAACTAGATTTTTGTCACGTGGAAAATTATGCATTTTCTTTTTTGTGAGAAAAATGTTCATTTCTGAATATTTTAATGCTCGAAAATGGCGAAGAGTTTTGCCATGTGGCAAATACTATTTTGATGTCCTAGAAATTCAGAAAAAAAAGTAAGTTTTGAGAACCTATTCATAAAAAGAAAACCTAAAAACCCATAAGACAAATTATGATAGTCTGGAATTATTCGTGTTACCCTATAAGTCTAATTTTGTGTTTTCGGTGACCGAGTATCTCGAATATTAAAATTTTCATGAAAAGTTAGATGTTCAGTTACCACCGTGAAATTTTCTAATTTGAAATTCTAGTTTTCACCGAAAAGTCTGGAACATTTCTGGTTCCAAGCCATCCAATGAGCAGAAATCAGGACCAAAAGTCCCAAAACATCTTGCACTTTTTCTCCAAAGTTCATCACATCCATGTTTATTTATTTATTCATTCATTTATATGTTTATAAAAATGCTTTCGTCACTTCACTTCTTCGCTCCCAAATGTTTTTTTGCTTTGCTGCTCGATTTTTTCTTCCTCCAGGTGTTCTCGACTAATTGAATAAACAAACTTTTTCTCTCGATTTCAACAACTTGTGTATGTATGTATGTTATATTATATAAGTATAAAATACACACATAAGTAAGTAAGTAACTAAGTTCTTATGAATTGAGAGTAAAAGAGAGAGCGAAAAAATGTCTGTGGTTGAGATAGGGAAAGGAAAGGTTTTTCGGAAAGTATTGATTGTTTTCGTCTTGTTTGCCGCACAGAAATCTCTCTACACTCTCTCACTCTCTCGTCTCGCTTCCCTGGCGTCTCCATCTATCTATTGCCCAATTTTCATCACCCCCTTGTGAAACTCATCTCTCCTCTGTTTCTCTGCCGTTCGTTTTGGGCGCGCAAGCGGATTTTTTCCCTTCTAAACGTGATGATATATTTCGTCATTGAATTTTCAGCTAGAGATTTTGGCTGAAAATATCTTGATCTTGAGCTTGATCACGAAATTAGGTTTTTTACCTGAAATTCACTAGGGGACTAGTTTTTGTAGCTTAGAATCCGACATTGCTTGGTGTTTTTTTTTCTTTTTGGTTTTGCTGGGAAATTGCTTAAGTTCCTTGATTTTCGTCATCTCGTTTTCAGCATGATTCCTTGTACATTTTCAGCTTCAAATTATATAGGCTTCTATGCTTGAAATCTATCAGGGGGCCTGTTTTTGCAGACTAGAATACGGCAGGCCGTATTTTCGTTGTTTTCATCCTATTGTTCGATTAGATTTTATAATTTTTGTCTGAAAATCATAATTTTTCCACTGTCACAATAACCTAAACTCCGCGGACTAGTTTTTATGGCCTAGAATACTACAAATTTCGGCGTTCTCTTCGTTGTTTTCGCCTTGAGAAATTGGCTGAAATTTTGTGTGATTTTCAGCTATTTTCTGGCCTCAGGAATTGTGATTTCTCTAGATTCTAGCCTAAAAATGCTGTTAGTTTGAAAGATTTTTGATCTAGCGCTAAATAATTAAAGTTTTCTTGTGATTTAGGATTTGAAGTTTTGCAATTTTTATTTTGTGCACTTTCAATTATCCGAAATGTTTCATATTTTCGTAGATATTTCGTTTTCAGGAGATTAACCTCATTTTGCTGATTCTAGGCTAGCTGCTCATAAACAAACCCTTTAGTGCTGAAAATATTGATTTTTGGCTGAAAATGGTCAAAGACCAGTGATTTCCAACTTGAATTTGTGATTTTTTAATCCTGTAGAAGCGATTTTTCTTGCCTTTTGTTGTTACAATTCATTGCAATTTTTATTTTTCAAATCCTCATCCGATTTTTCAGCCCCTCTAAATTCCATTAAAAAATCAATATTTCTCATGGATTTTTATCGATTTTCCATTTTCTTTTTCAATAATTTCGTTTTCTTATCGCCATTTTTTTCTAATTCTATTTATTTATTTATTTATTTCCTCATGACTCATTTTTCTAATTTTTCTCATTTTTTGCAGAGGAAAAAAAGAAGGTTGTTGTGTTTTGTTTCATATTTATATACATATAAATATATTATCTTATATCATATATTATTCTGAAAGGAGGTGCAAAATCAATCAATAAAGATATGGTGATGGAAGTTGACGAGGCAGTTTCGGCGACAACATCAGCAAATAATACATCGAATACAAATGATGTTGAAATGGACACATCTGAAGGACCGATTGAGAGAGATGAAATTTTTGGTGAGCAATGGATGGGGTTAGGGGAAATTGGGTGAAAATCTTGGGGTTCTAGGTGGAAAAGGAAGATTTCTGATATTATTTTGTCAAGTTTTGAAACTGAATCTCAATTTTTCTTCATGAAATTGCTGACGAATTTGTGTCTCAAAGATGCATCACAGAAGCCACGTGTTTCTGGTGATTCTTGACGGCAATATTATATTAAAAAGTTGCTAAGAATAAGGAAATGGTGCTGAAAAATCCTGAAATTTTTGGCGTAAGGTCCCTAGATTTCGACCTCCAAAACCTTGTTTTTTTTAGCCACTAGTTCTTCAAATCTTAAAAATTAGGAATTTCTGGCTGAAAAACCCTGAAGGTTCCTGAAATTCTATCCTCGGATATCACCTAAAAACCCGTAATTTCATTCAGAACCAGTCGATCAAATTCAATGGAAATTCAACCAAGTCAAAGGCAACATTGACAATGAAGGTTGTCACACCGAAGCCGACATCATTTCCTGTGTCGAATTCTCGCATGACGGCGAATATTTGGCGACGGGAGACAAAGGCGGACGAGTTGTCATTTTTCAACGAGATCAAAGTGGAAAATATGTTAAAGGAGTCAGATCGCGCGAATATAACGTATATTCGACTTTTCAATCACACGAACCTGAATTTGACTATTTGAAATCACTGGAAATTGATGAGAAGATTAATCAGATTCGTTGGTTGAAGAAGAAGAATGCGGCTAATTTTATTTTATCGACAAATGGTATGGTGGATTTTCAGAAGGGGTTTGGTTTGGGGAGCGGGAGGCTACTTTTTGGCCTGAAAAATTAGAATTTGATAATGTTTTTATGATAATTTTGAGCGGAAAATCACTGGGTTTTGTTATAGAATTCTTTGAAACTTTTGAGATGTTCTTGAGCTCTAAATTCAGGATTTTAAATTCCAAAATTCGTGATTTCCTAATTCTCTCCAAGATTTCCAAAGTTCAAGCCAAATCTCATTTTTTGTTTCTTGCAGACAAAACAATCAAATTGTGGAAAATTAGTGAGCGTGAACGAAAAATTGCCGAAGATTGCTGGAATTTGCCAAGAAACAATAGAATTAAGTGAGTTTGTTTTTTGGTCGAACATCTTGGCTCAGAATTGCAGGTGTATTCTGAAATCCATGAAATCCACGTGGATTTCTGAATTATCCCTTTTCAGCAAACAAATCTCATATACATATTTTCAGCACTTCCTCATTTCGCGGTCGCCTTCAAATTCCCTCAATTGTTCCCATGGAATTGATTGTTGAAGCGAGTCCGAGAAGAGTTTATGGAAATGCACACACCTATCATGTTAATAGTATTTCGGTGAACTCGGATCAGGTAAGATATTTATAAATTCGAATTTTTCTCGATATTTGGAAAATTTTGAGTCTAATTATGTGTAGTTTCGGATTCCACGTGGGATTTGAAACATTTTGAGCCCCAATTTGATGGAAATTTAAATTCTCTTTAAATTTGAGCAATTTTGGGTTCGATATAATTAGAAAACCGTGTGGAATTAGAAAAATATCGAGTTTCAATCCATTACGGACTCGAAATTTCGGATTTACAATCCAAAAATCAGATATTTTCTGTCAAAATTCAAATTTTGCTAAAAAAACCCTCTGTTTTCTAGGAAACATTTTTGTCGGCCGACGATTTGCGGATAAATTTATGGAATCTGGAAATCACCAATGAAAGTTTTAGTGAGTTTTAAAACCATTTGCAAATATGAAATGCATGCTTCCATTATTTTTCACACAACAACCTCTCTATTTTTCTAGATATTGTCGATATCAAACCAACAAATATGGAAGAATTGACCGAAGTCATAACAGCCGCCGAATTTCATCCAACCCAATGTAATTGGTTTGTCTATTCATCGTCAAAAGGATCAATTCGACTTTGTGATATGAGAGATCGAGCATTGTGTGATGCGTATGCTAAAAGTAAGGATTTTTCTCAAAATTTGGGTCTTGAAATGGGGATTTCGGGTTGATTTATTTAAAAAAACACTTCCAATTTTCAGTCTGAAATGAAAAAAGTTTTATTTAAAATTCAAAAGAAAAAACTCACAAACAGTTCTAATTTTTGCCCAAAAAATCTACCAAAACACTTTATTTTCCTCCCCCCTTAATCTCTTTGATTTTTTTCAGTATTCGAAGAACCTGAAGACCCACAATCTCGTTCATTTTTCTCCGAAATCATAGCATCGGTCAGCGATGTGAAATTCTCGCACAATGGTCGATATTTGTTGACTCGCGACTATTTGACAGTCAAAGTTTGGGATTTGAATATGGAATCAGAACCTGTCGAAACGTATTCAGTACATCCATATTTGAGAACAAAATTGTGTGCTTTGTATGAAAATGATTCGATATTCGATAAATTTGAATGTGATTGGAGTGGTGATGATAAGTGAGTTGGTTTTGGAAGAAGTTGGTATGGAAATGAGCTAAAATTTGGAATTTTCGGAGAATTTTGTAACTCGAATCAGTTTTTGGGCTACATTTTGCTTTTAAAAAACCAGCCGAAATGAGAGCCCAGAATCAGAATTTTTGACGTGAATTTAATTAGTAGCCGAGTTTTCTTCCATTTTTTTGGTGTCTTAGGTCATGGTCTATTTTATATAATTATTGAAGAAAAAAGTTTTTCTTATCATCAACGTCAAATTTTGTGGCACCAAAATGAAACAAAAATTTTTAATTTTTTGTTTAATTTCAGTGCCCCACAATTTGACGTTGATAATAACATTCCCCCAAAATTCACTATTTTTCAACAAAATTTCAAGTTTTGTTATAAACTTTCATATCTAATTCATCCCTATTTCCTCTATTCTTTCAGACATATTTTGACCGGTTCCTATCATAATTTATTCCGTTCCTATGCACGTGGCACCAATTCAAACGATGCAAAAACATGGGAAGCTCGACCGCAAGACACGCATACTCAATTGAAATCAAGATTTGTTGTGCCGTCGGCGAAACGAAAGAGGAATCAATTGTCACAATCTGGAACTGAATCGGTAAGATTTGAAGGGATTTTGGGCTGAAAATTGGAAATTTATACTTGAAATTCATGAATATTGATTAAATTTGAGTTATTCATGAAAGTTCGAAGCAAACCGAAAAATGTTGCATTTCCATAGATCTTCCCAGCATTTTTCCGCCCCTTAAAAATTCCCGGAAAAAGTACGTTTCAAAATTTTTATATCTATTTTTCTGATTAAAATTCAATGATAGGCTTGGTTCACCCGTTTTCAAAAATTAGAAAAAAGACAAAGTTATTTGTAGCAAAAAATGAAAATCTGACACCTTTTTGGCAACAACTGTATATAGATTTCCGTTATAACTATCGAAAAAAAAATTATAATGCAAATTTTACCTGGGTTAAAAAAATTGATACTTGAGGGCTGAAAATTGTTTATTTAAAAATAACCCACAAATACTGAAATTTTCATGGAAGCCCAACTAAAATCCTAAATTCTCTCAAATTGATCCAGAAACTAAATAAACCCTGATTTTTTGCAGCAAGGCGAAGAAGATTTATCCTCTGATCAACTTCAATTTGACCGAAAGATCTTACACACAGCGTGGCATCCAAAAGACAATATAATTGCATTGGCGGCCACCAACAATTTGTACATCTTTTCAGATGTTTAATTTCGATTTATCGATTTTTCGCGGCTGAAATTCGCCTCAAAATCGATTATTTTGACCCCTGAATCATTATTTTTTGGCTCAGCTTAAGTATTTTTGACCTATTTTCCTTCCTCCTTACTTTTTTTCACACAAATTATATAAGTTTATTTTTTAATTTTTTCCTCCCAAAAACTGAAACAACAACAACAAGAAACTCGTTCCGGGTCCCCCAAAATTCTTTTTTTTTCCCTTATTTTTTTTAAATTTTAAATTAAACCCGTGTTTTTCCAGAAATCCCGAGTTAGGCAGACTTTTTTGAACTTTTTTGTCCCAATTTTCTCTTCGTTTTTTTTCTTCCCATATCATTTTTTTTCATCTTTGGAATTGATACGTGACTGACTGTTATACGAGACTTATTTTTTCTTTTTTCTCTCTGAAAATCCCCCCTGAAAATTTCCACACATTTCGTTTTTTGTAGTTTTTTCGCTGTCTCTTTCTATTTTTTGTCTTTTTGTCTTTAATACATATTTCTTGTCTGAAAAAGTTTATTTTTTGCAGAAAATTCACAATTTTTGACAATACCGCGTGGCTAAAATTAGTATTTTTTGAGTGATTGGGTACCGTTAGTTGTTTTTTATTAATTCCGGCGCCGAAAGCTACAGTAACCCCTAGGACTTCTTCAGCTGTGCTCCCGAACTTTTCTCGATTTTTTTGACCCGCCGCTGTCCATCAAAAAATCAATATTTGTTACACAGCAAATAAGAAATAAAATAGATGACACAAGAAAAAAAGAAGCGGAAGCCAAACACACATTTTTTTGCCTTCGTGTTTTCTTCGAGAAAAAATTATTGATTGATTTTCAGATAAACTTTTTTGGGAGAATGAAATGTATTTTTAAAAAAATGTTTCAGTAATGCGAACATTGGTTCTTCTTCTGGTTTTGGTTAATTTTGCCGTGGCGCAAAAAATTCCTGGTTGGTTTTTGGTTGTCATGTGGCATGATTTTGGGAATTTTTGATAGTAAAAATTATTAGGATTACTGTAGATCAATTTTCAAAAAAAAACGGAATATTTCAAAATTGTGTATAAATAGAGGATTACTGTAGCTTTAGATCTAGGTGACAAAAATTAATTTTTTTTTGTTGCCAAATAGCATGTTTAGACTAATTTTGAAGTCCTTCATCTATAAAAAAATTGAATAATCAGTCGAAAAATGTACGTAACCAAATTTGTTTGCAGCATTTTCGGTGACCGACGACGAACTCGTCAAAATTGCTCAAAAACTTCGCGACGTCGACGAAAATGGTGCGAAACGTGGACAAATTCAAATCAATTATCAACAACATACAACAACTCGAGACGATTCGGATGCGGCTAAAGATAAGTACGTCACACTGTGTTTTTTTGGGGGAAAAACAAATCATGAATTTCAAGCTTCACCCAAAATATTAACATTTGGCTAAAAAAATTTTCAGAAAAACATACGTTTCAAAATTTTTATATAATTTTTTCTTTTGAAAAAAATTAATGATCGGATTTTCTACCTAACAAAATCGATTGAAATCATCTAAAAGTTGAAATTTCAAGATCCGCCTATTTTTTACGCTAAATTCTGTGAACTTTTGAGCAGATTTTTTCTAATACTTCTGATTTTCTACGATCTTCAGATTTTTCACCAAAGTCGACTCTTCATTGCTTCGAAAACCTTCTTATGAGCTCTATTTGAATATGATGGATAATTTCAACAAACAGACTGGAGTTACAGAGCCAAAAGTTAGTGAAAAAGAGGAAAAAGATGAGGTTGGCAAGTTTTTGACACATGTTTTGGCCACAAAACCAATGCAGGAACTTTATAGTTGGTTTAAACAGAAAAGTGAGTTTTTTTTTAGAAACTTAAGAGCCTAATCTAATCTAATGTAAGCCTAAACCGAAACTTAATCTAGGAACAACGTCACTCCGCTCCCAAATTCCACGTCCTAAATTAATTGATTTTTTGCAGAACATCCAATTGCCACAAATCCAACAGTATTCCGATATTGGATTGGTCAATTATGGTTTTCACATTATTCACGAGCGTTAGGCCGACCTGACACTTCAGGATTTGAACACGTTTTTATTGGAGAAATCAAAAATAACGAAGTATCGGGAATGCATAATTGGTTGAGATTTTATACGTTGGAAAAGAATTCGACACAAAATTTCGATTATAAAGGTTATATTGTTAAAAGATTTGTGAGTTTTTGGGAGCGGAAATAGCTAGGATCAAGCATGAGCCTAACTCTTTTAAATAAAATTTTCCAGAATGTCATGGCAGCTCTAAAATTCAAATGGGATCGAGATCTCAAAAGATCAGGCTCAATTCTCATCGGAACCTCTCCTGAATTCGACATGGCCCTTTATACTTTATGTTTTTTGTCGCGTCGCGGTCGCGACACGTGCAACGTGGAATTGAATGGATGTCCATTACAAATCACAAGTTATGAAATATATCAACAAAATAAAGTGTATATTGGAAGCATTTTTCCATCGGCTGGAAGAATTACTGAACAATGTCGACGACAAAATAGTTAGACATATAATATGAGCAATGCTTTGAAATGTGTGCAATTTGTGTGAAAAATTTGAACAAAAAATAAAGAATTTTATGCAAAATTGGCTACGTACTTGATTGAGTATCTGATGAGTCAAAATAATTCAAGTTGCAAAATTTGAATTTAAAATTTTCGTGGCAAGAATATATTTAGTGAAAAAACTACAGTAATTCGGACTGCACATTCTCGTCGCACAATACAAATTTACAGCAAATCATCAGTTCTAATTTGGCTGCGTACTTGGCTGAGTATTCAATTTTAAAAAAATCCACGTGGCAAAAAAATACATTCTTCATTCATAAATTCATACAAAATTATTACAATCGATAAAATTATTTACATATTATTTAAATTTTTCAAAAATCAAAAGTAAAATATTTTTTTTGGTCTGGGAGTAACCCGAAAGACTTTTCAATCGATCATTTTTGGGGCGCCAAAATTTAATCAGAAAGCGCTAAAAAACGTGTGACGTGGCGCAGTAGAATACATCGAAAAAAGACTTTGACGTGGTTTACGTGGAGTGGGAGCTGGTGAAAAAAGACGATATGAGGAAGTTAGAGCAAGTGATGATGGAAGAGCTGAAGAAGATGAAGAGGTTTGTGGACTGTAGGCTCGACGAAGAGAAGAAGTTGGAAGAGATGAAGCTGATGAGGTTGATGAACGATAAGTGCTGAAAATTTGGAGGGTTTTTTTGGTTTCTGAGAAGGACTGCTGATTTTTGTGAAGTTTGTAGTCTTTTGAAATTTTCAGAAAAAATCTAACTTATTTTTTCTGATTTTGAAATATTTTTTTATTTATGACGTGACTATTAAGAAATACTGATTGATATTATTTGATGAAATTTTTCGAAAACCTAAATTATCTAACCTTGCACTATAAGCTCTTGGCTTAATCGAAGTACTCGCTGAAGTGCTCGAACTCGAAATACTAGTTGGAACATGTCTCAATTCTCTCTGTTGTGCCAATCTTCTCAAATCCTCTGCATAAACATCTGGAATTGGCAAATCGATTTCTGGAGTTTGAACCATTTTAACAGAAGTGATTCCTCTTAATCGTTTCTCATAATCAACCATTTGTTTCCAAAATCCAATATTTGGTCGAATAATTGGTCGGGCTGCTTTTACATAATGATATGCTTGTCGCAAAGTCATATGTTCATATTTTACCAAGTAAATCATTACGAGAGATGCTGAACGTGAAACACCAGCCATGCAATGAACCAATGTTCGACCTCCACGTTCCTGAGAATTAAAGCATGTTTTTTATTTCAGACATTTATCTCTCTGAACTTCATTTTTTTGCTAACTCATGAATATTCACATATCGTTTTTTTTCTCTCGAGAGAGAAAGATTTCCAGGAAATGTGCAATTATTTGCATTATTTTTTGGCCAACGTACTCACAAGATTCAACGATCTCTGACATTAATAATTCAACTTTAGATCTCATGATATCATTCTGCAAAAGAAGATCAAAGTTCTTACCTTGACAGATCGAATTTTATCGGCGACTGTGTCGAAATGTTCGGAAAGACGCGCGTATGGATGATCATCGATGCGAATTTTCAACGTGTCGACGCCTGAAAATCAAAAATTTTTTGAAAATTTCATTTTTCGTCAAAAACTCTATCCTGAACCAAATCTAACCCCAAAAAATTTAGATTCTTTCCTCTCCCTCCAAATTCCGCTAATTTTACCTTGCATATAAGTTGATGGCTCCTCAGTTGTCGCATTAACAATCATGTTAATTTTGCGTTGTTTGATTTTGTCGGGTTTCAACACCCCAGCTCCGGACAAATACAAATGATCGTTGATTTCTGACATCTGACCGAGAACTCCGACTCGAGACATTATTCTACAAAAATAATAAATAAATATGAAATCATTTGATTTCCTTGAAAATATATAGATTTCGAAAAAAAAATAAACGGAAATTCGACGAAAAAGCTTCCGGAGGGAAATGATGATTATTCAAAAAATGGATTTAAAATGTATGTGTGTTTTGAGAAATGTATGTGGGTTTTTGTGCGATTTGCAAAATATGGAGGGAAAAAATATGATTTTCTATCCAATACTGTTCGGTAGAGCGCAATTGCATAATAAAAGTAAAAAACGTAGAATATTATAATTTTTCATATTATAATATTTTATTATAATATTTTTCGGTTACTAGACTACCAAATCTTCGATGAACTTAAATTTGATGTTCAGTAGAAAAATTTAGCCTTTTTCCATTTACGATTAGAAACCATGTAAACTGTCAAAAAATAAAACCAAGAACCCCAAAATCACTAAACAAAAGGTGAACAAGTTTGTCAAAAAAAAAGAAAAAAAAAGTGAAAAACTGGAAAACGAGGTGTAGTGGGCGGAGTTTTGTAGAGGAGACGAGACAAGAGAAATCTGAAATTCAAATGTGACTCATTTTCAGTTGCGCGCAGTTAGTTAGATAGGGTAAACACAGTGGGCGAACACTGTGTGATGAAAGTGAAAACTGGTTGGTTGAATTTTTCGAAAAAAATATTTGGGCAGAGGAAGAGAGAGAGAAGAGACGCCGACGGTTAGATGGTGATGTTTACAGTTCGAGAAAACGAAAAAAAATCGTTTACCTTGAAAATATTTGGAAAAGATGATTTTCAAATATTTTTTCTTCGACAACAGAAAAAAACTTGTGGAATTCCGAAAAATGTTTTGTGTTTTTTTTTGCCGGGAACGAAAGAACGAACGAATGAACAACATATGTTTTGATACAAAACGATGAAAATAGAGACGGGAAAAGAATTATATGATAAATCAAAGATTGTCGCCCCGGAATTCCGGAGATCTTGTGAGACGAGAAAAAAAATGATAGAGGGAGAGAGAGAGAAAGAAGGGTGTGGCTAGAAGAGACGCAGAGAAGTCAGAGAGGGTCAAAGATCACGGGAGGTGATAGGATTGAATACGAGAGAGAGACGCAGAGAAGCTAGAGGAAGTTAGAGATTGAGGATGGAAATAAGTGACGCAAAGAAGTTGGAGAGAGGTGGTGAAGATAGCAGAGACGCAGAGAGATTATAGGAAATAGAAAATTAGAGATCATGGGATTTTAAGAGAGTTCAAAGAAATCCTAAGGATTTCGTTGACGTGAAACTTTTTTTTTAGGATTCAGAAAACGCTTCTGATGACCTAGAAACCCGAAAACATATTTTTGGTGGCCTAGAAATCCATAGAACAGTGAAAATCCCCAAGAGCAACTTCCACGTCATAAAATACACGTCAGAAAAGATATTTGATCAACGAAAAAACCAATCAAAAATTTTTCGAGTTTCAAAACGAAAAAATGAAAATAAAACCTCTGAAAAACAACATCTGGCTGAAAATGTGCTCAGCAAAAAATTGTAGTTTGATCGAAAAAAGCTCAAAGATAGAGTATGAAAAATCGAGAGACGAAGAGAAAAATAGAAAAAGCAACGGTTAGCTAATGGATAAAGATAGATAAAATGAAATGAAGTGAAGTGAATGAAAATTCAAAGATTACACTAAAATTTCGCCTTCTCACAAGACAGTTGCTCTTTTTTTGTGAGAAAACGAATTCCGGGAAATTGCACACGCGGGAAAAAAAAAAGTTATTTTTGAACTCTTTTCCAATTTTTGTTTGTTTTTTTCAAAACGAGGGATTGAGGCTCATGACGGGTTTTATCATTTTTTTAAATGTAAAATGTTCAGATCTGGGCACCGAACAAAATCATGATCAATGTTCTATAATACAGTATTTCTTATTTTTCAAAAGTCATTTTTTGTCTCGAAAAGTAAGTAGTAAATTATACTTTTTACGATGCTAATAAAAAGTTTTTATTTTATTTTTTTCGAAAAAAAGAAGACGAGAAAAGTGTGTTTTTTCTTACTATACTAGTTCAAAAGTCAATAACAATTACTGAAAATGAATGTGTTTTCTTCTATTTTTTCAGGCAAAAAAAGAAGACAACGAAAAAAGAGCTAGAAGAAGAATGGTGCTCGTCGATGCGCGAAGAACAAAGGAAAAGAAAATACGCGACAGAAAGAAAATGTGCAAAAATTTGAGAAAAGGAGACGAAAATTTGATTATGTTTTAGTACTATTCATTTGGATTTTCTTTTTTCTTTCCTTTTTTTCTCATAATAATAATATATGAAATAAAATATTTTTTTATTTGAGCTGCTGGCACAAAAAAAGGAAAAGAAGCGAGCGGATTATTTTTTCATATTCATAAATGCTCATCTAACTAGAAATGATCTTGGATTTTTCGAAAAAAAATAGAAATGAGAGAAAATGAGATGGCGGGGTGGAGTCGAGAAATTTTTAAATTTTGTGGTTTACGCGCGTCGAAAATTGTCAATGGAGCGTATTTAAAAAGTTTGGAGAGGATTCAGTCTCCCGACTAATTCGAATCAACGTTACCTAATGTGACAGATCGTTTTTGAGAAGCTTAAATTTCAGAATAACTATTTCCCACTCCAGAAATCATATTTTTATCAATAGATTGCACAGATCTGGCAGGTTGACTCAGGTTAGTCAGAAGTTCAAAGCCTTCCCAGAATTTCCAGCTTCAGAGAGGCTCTGAACTTCCAACTATCTCGCAACAACATTGCCTAACCTGTCAGATCGAACGATTTTTCACCTGGAAAAATCAAAATAATTGTTGTTTTGCTCTGTTTTTCTTCCACAAAAAATGTGGCTACAAAAAATGAAAAAATAAAAGAAAAAATAAATATTTCAGCAGCCGGATTATGTATATTTATAGATAAAAGCGAAGCGGGGATTAAATGCGATGATTCATATCGAAAAAACTGAAGTTTTTTGTTCGTCGTCATTTCTTTCCGATGTTTTTTGTTGTTTGAAATAGGAGTTTTTAGATACAAAGGAAAAGAATAACAAATTTACTTACCTCAACTCTCAACAATTACCAAAACTTTACTTTTTCACTTTCCAACAACAAAAAACATGAAAAGCGCCAATTTTCTCAATACGTCATTCGATTTTGCAAGCATGGCGTAAAGGTAACAGTTTAGATTATTAATCAAAAGGTGCTGGTTCGATTCCCGCTGTGCGCTTCTTCAAAAATTTACGGAAAAACGTGAATTCTCTACGTCATGGTCTAGAGATAACCTTTGTGCTTATCAATCTAGAGGTCCTAGTTCGATTCCCGCTACGCGCTTCTCTTGTCAACCAAAATACACATATATTTAGATACAACAAAAAAAAACAAAGAAAAACGTCAAAAATTTTTTGACATGTAGATATCTTTTTTGTGTTTTTTTCACATTTTATCCCATTCTATTCAAAAAGAGCAATTTTTGATGAAAAAAAAGCGAAAAAAAACATGGAAAAGTTGCTAGGGCAACAACAACAACTACATACTTCTCAAAAAAAGACAATTTTCAACATTTTTTCCCAAACAAAAAATGAATGTGTGGGGGAAAAGTGCAGGGAAAAGTTGACGAAGTGTGAAATTTGTCATTTTTGAGGGCGGATGGTTGTTGTTGGAAACTATAAAAAGAGTGTTTCTAGGAATTCAAAAATTTGGATTTGTTTTCAAATTTTAGGCTTTTCAAGATTTTCCCCAGTGTTTCAGTCAATTTTTGAGCTCAAATAAATTTACAGATGAAATTTCAAAAAAAAATGCGCTTTAGCGGAAAAAATTCAAAAAAAACGTTTCCATGGCCTAGAAATTCAAAAAACAAGGTCTCTATGACCTAGAAAACCGATTTATGGCCTAGAAACCCAAAAACATGATTTTCATGACCTGGAATCACAAAATGCTCAATTTCTAGGCCTCTTCCAATCTAAATTCAAATCAAATCAAAATAAAATCGCGTTTTTCGTTTCCGAATTGAATTCAATTGAAAAAGTGGGGTGAAAAGTGTGAGCAAAGTCAATATTTGTATTTTGCGGTTTTGTTGTTATTTTTCCCACATTTTTCGTGTTCACCGCAGAAAAAAACAAAACAATACAAAACTATTTTGGGAAAAAATTGATTTCGGTAGAGCGAATTTTCTCATTTATACAAAAAAAAGAAATTTTCAAAAATCATTCATTCAAGAAAAAATTTGCATCAAATTACAAAATCAATTTAAAAAACTAACAAAATTTCTAGACAAAAAACCGGGAGGAAAATCGAAAATTTGAAAAAATTCCAAAAAGACAAGGAAAGGCACTGTTTGCACGTTTCAAAAAAACAGGAAAAATGTATAATATTTACAGGATTCAAAGAAAAACCGGGCAAAAAAACTAGGCGGGAAATACAAAAATTCAAATTTTCAAAAAAAAGTGGCAAAAATGGGGCGGGAAAAAAAGTGGAGAGATTTTTGTGGGAGCATGGGAGCGGGGAATTTTCGGGTGTGTTTGGGGAGGGAACCGTATCGCAAATTTGACTACTTTTGGTATATTTCTTGTGGGACAGGCGGGAATTATTAGTTAGTGGAACAAAAAAAAGGAACTGGAATTTGAGCAGCAAAAAAATCAGTCAAGAAGAGCCAAATCACCACTTGGTGGTCCTTCTTCCGGTCGTAAACTATCATAGACGCTTTCGTACTGAAAATCAGTGTAATTTTATCAATTTTGGGAAGAAAATCTCGAATACTGGTGAATTTTAAGACAACAATTCAAGTTTTTGATCCATTTTCAACTAAAAATCGCAATTTTCTAACCATAAATCATATTTCTAGCTAATTTCCCATTCTTACCTGATTCAAATGCTCCAAATGGCACAAAATATCTAATAATTCCGTATCAGCCGGATCATCAAACCATGTTTGAACTGGAACAGCATTTTCGGGATGGAATGCATAACTGGCTGGAGAATTGTCAATGATTAAAGTACGTTCCAAAAGTCGACCGAGACGGCTCAAATCTGCAAAAAAATTAAAGAATTGAATGATGTTTAGCCTAGGATCAGACTTTCCAGTGTTTTCAACGCTAAAAGTTAGATTTCTGATGAAGATCAGGCTAAAGAGTCAGATATTCATAGGTTTTCACTTTAATTTAGATCCAAAATTTTTACAGAAAACTTTTTAAACACAATTTGAAACGTAAAAAAAAACCTTGGTTTCTTTTTCCAAAAATTACAATAGAGCGCACTTGATTAAATGGTTTTCTGGCTCAAAACACTTCGTTTCAGGGCGAACAAATAGAGACAGAGAGAGTGTGTAGAGTGCGAAAGAAAAACCCGCGAAACTGAAAATACCGCAAAATTTTATAAGGCCAGCCAACTGTTGGGTCCTGCAGCGATGGTGAAAGAATTCTCATTTTTAAAAAATTTTCGGGGTTTTTTGTGTCTGCGTCGCGTATTCTCTATTTGTTCGTCCCAACACAGGGTTGAAACGAAGTGAAAAATTCCCCAATTTCTCGCCCTCTTTCTTACCTTTCACAAAATTTCCCTTATGAAAAACACAAGCTTCTCGGAAAAGCCTCGCTCGAAAAACGCCTTTTTTGTCCAATAAATCGGCGACCGGATCAGCATATTTGGCCAAAGAAGCAGTGAACAAAACACATTCGAACATTTCACCAACTCGCGCCAAAAATTCATCAACATACGGTCTTTTGAGAACATAAACTTGGTGTTCGACACCATCGATTTCGACTGGGATTACGAAATCCGGATTTTTGACGGGCTGCAATTAATTTTTTGTTAAGTTTGGGTGCGAAAATTACAGTAAAAATCAATATTTTGGTGAACTTTTCAGCAATTATTAATACATTTTTTTGTAGTTTTTGAAGGACAGGTTGTCTCGAATTCAGGTTAATTTTAGAACTAATTCTGACATTAAAAAAATTTTCATTAATTTCGGATTTTCATGGTTTCATATAGTTTTTGACCATTTTTATTCAACAAAAATCGTAATTTCCCACTGATTTTTGACTTCTTCTTTCTTATCTGAACCCCCGAAATCGTACTTTTTTCCCGAAAAAATAGGATATTTTTCGAGACTTTAAAAATATCAAATTTCGGTCAAAGAACAGACTTTTCCCAAAATAAAACAAAAACTCATCAAAAAAATTGACATTTTTCGAGAATCAGAGAAAAAAGATGTGAAAAATACGTTTTAAAAGTTTTTGAAAACCAATTTTTACAATTTCAAAATCAAATTTTCAGATTTTTCAGAAAAAAACCAACCTTGAAAGAAGAATGAACCAGTGTTTCATCGAGATCAATAACCAAACATTTTTTCTTGGAATCAATTGGCAATAATGGTCCCAAAAGTGGTTTTTCGTTGGAATTCTGAAAGAAAACATTTCTGATAATTTTTACTCAATTTTGACCAGGAATAGAATTTTTAGTGATTTTCAGATCGATTTTCACCCATTTTTGCTCAAAAAATTCCAAATTTTTCCCATTTTCCTATATACCAAATTATTTTCTCCTAATAACCCGTATTTCATAATTTCCATAGCCGACGGCGTTCTTCCTGGTTTCCATTCGATCAAAAATCGATAATTTAGTCGATAATCGAATTCGTCTTGGAAAAGTAGCGGTTTTCGACGTTTTGCCGGTTGCTCGCGCATTTTTTCTATATTTCGGGTTTTTTTCAAAGAAAATTTTTAGATGAGAAATACGAGAAAATACAAGAAATCAACAAAAATGTAAATTTTTTCACAAATATACTAACAATATAAAAAAAAATCCAATTTTTAAAGTGAAATTTTGAAACATATATTTCACAGGATAATTTCTTTGTCGAAAAATCGGAATTTTGAAAAATTAAATGCTTATTTCCGGCTCGAGCGACGTCAAAACTCAGAAAATGATCGAAATTCCTTTGGAACAGTCATGTGTCACTTATCTTTTTATCTCTTTTTTTTCGAAAAAAATGGAGAAAAATGGGAAGAAAACTTAGAAACATTGTCCATTATTACACAATTTAGTTAGGCTTTTTGGAGCTCAAAAAATCATTGCAAAAAAAAATGAGAAAATTGATTTATTTTCGGAAAAAAAAGACATTTTTTGTGGAACAGACGTTTTTTGTGCGAAAAAAACGAGTTGGACTCTGAACCAAAAGGATTTTTGGCACAAAAACCCACTAGATTTACGATACATATTTCAGGATTTTAGGAGACAACCACGTGTTATTCTTTTTTTTGCAAATTCTTTACAAAATAGGTTTTTGAAAAAATTAACTTTGACGTCAAAAAAGCTAGTGCTAAATTTCAGATTTCAGTTTCCAATAAATCTTCCAACAAAAAAAACATTTCTGAAAAACCCACGCGAAAAATCGAAAAAAAATATGAGAAGAAAACTTTTCCGGATCAAAAAACAGGTGATAAATATCGATTTTTCACTTGATATCTCATATTTTTCATAAAGCAGAAAAAAAATCGACAAGTGATTTTTGAGCAAAAATTCAGCTTTCCAGGTTTTCGAGCAAAATTTGAATACAAATTTCACATCTTTGAACATTTTTCCCAACATTTCATTATTTTCAGCAAAAAATCCCAAATTTTCAACCCAAAAAAAACCCACCAATTCAGATCTCTCATAGAATTGTGCATTTTGTTGTGCTCCATTTTGTGCTCCACCATCACCACTTCCATTTTGATTTTGAAGAATTTGGGTCCCGCCGGGAAGACCAGTTACAGTACCATCGCGATTCACCTGAAAATTGGGTAAATTTGAGAATTTTTGAAAAAAAAAACATTTAGATTTACGATTTTCAGACAAATTTATCAGAAGGTTCAGCTCCATTTTGTGTCAAATACATTGTCAGAATCAATTTTCATTTGTTTGAAAGACATTTTTTGAATCGTATTTTTCGAGGGATGTTTTTTCGAAAAAAAATGTAATTTTTTATGTAATTTAAAAGTTTCAACAAATGTTTAGCTGGAAATTTTCTTTTTTTTGCCGATTTTCATCAAATTCTAGTCAATTTTTAGCGCCAAACTTTAATTTTCATGATTCTCAGCTTAAAATCTACCGACTCAGAGAAACAGGCTGGAGAACCGGCGGAGAAAACGACATGTCGGCGAACTCTCGGACAACCGGCGGAGTGTCTCACCTACACTATTTCGCCGAAACTTTTGTCCACCGGTTGTCCGGAAGTTCGCCGACATGTCGTTTTCTCCGCCGGTTCTCCAGCCTGTTTCTGTGAGGAATTTTCCAATTTTCCCGGCAAAACCCTCCTCACAAACCTGTGTAATAAGTTGAATCTGTTGTGAACTATTATTTGATGTTGCTGCTAATCCATTTCCAGTTCCATTTCCAGCTGAAATTCCATTAATTGGTGTCGTTCTTCCATTCGACAAATTATTATTGCTCGTTCGATTGTTTGAGGATTGGATTTTTTCTGCAAAAAATACAAGGTTTTGGTAGGCAAATTAGAGATTTTTCAGGCAAATTTTGACATTTTTCACTAACAAAAGTCTTGCTTTAAAAACTTACTTTCTAGAAAAAAGTATAATAAGTTTTCAAAATTTGAATTAAATTTAAAAATCGTTTCTCCGTTTGTTTTCGAAAAAACCTCAGAAAATTTTCAACTGAAATTTCAGAATTAAAAAAAATTATTAGATTTACTAGATTTTTAGCCTAAAAATATCGAATTTTCAGAAGGCCTTCAAAACTCAAAAAATGTGGGATTTTCAGAAATTTTTAAATTAAAATTCCAGAATGATGGGTAAATTTCAAGGCTTTCAGCTCAAAATTATGAAAACCTTGACCCCAATTTTTTAAAGCTCAAAATTTATCAATTTCAACATTCCGGGCTTATTTTTCATAGTTTCAAGCTCAAAAATATTCCGAAAAATCCAGCAATCCTCATAAAAAACCCACTAATATGTTCCAATCTCAAAGCAGCGTTCTTGAATCGAAAAATATTGGCAAAATTATAGATTTTCAGTGGGTAAAGAGATATTTTTTCAAAGATAATTTTTGTTTTGAGTGGGAAGGAAGAAAAGAAAACCAGTCAATGATCAAAACAACAACTTTTTTTATATTTTCAGGATGAGAGAAAGAGGATAAGAAAAAAAAAGATGGTCATTAATCTTGAATAGTATAAATAAATAAATAAATAAAAATAAATCTATCAAAAATAATGTTTTTTTGTAGTAAACAAGGTGGGAAATAAGAGGATTTTTGAACTAAAACAAATTTCAGCCTGAAATTTCGACCTACAAACTAGAGATGAAAATTTTCTGAAATGAAAAACTTTCTAAAAAAAGTAGGTAGAGTTATATTTTTCAAGATGTAACTTTTCAATATTTTCAGAGCTGAAATTAACCCTTCCCCAAAAAAATACGTTTCAAAAAATTCTCAAAATTAAATTAAATGGATTTGATTTTCATTACCGATACGGCAGAACTTATTCTGATAAAAATGGCTTTTTTTATGAAAGATATAGCATTTTTTCACCCAAAAACCGAAAAAACTAACCAATCTCTCTTGGTGGTGCAACACAACAAAACAATGTCTGAATACATCTTCCCCATTTCGGTTTTCGTCGACCACTGCCACGTTTTTTGCCATTTTCACTGCTAGTGGCTGAAAAAATCCAATTTTTGGATGAACATTTGGAATTCTAGCCCAGAATGCAGGTTTTTCATCAATTTTCGGCATTTTCACCCGAAATTCCTACCCCAATCCATATACAGGGTGACAACAAATTATAGCGACAAATTCCACTAACTCTGGTGACTGTCGTACTTAACCGATCTCTATGAAAATTTTTTGAGACTTTCCTGACTATCCAGGACCACGCAGAAAAAATATCAAGAGTTCTCGGAAGGTTCCCGATATTTTTCCTGACCTTTGAAGAGTTTTGAAAAATATTTCCGTACTCGCTAGATACTTTGTTCAACAAAAATTTTCCCTGGCTGATAAATTTCATATTTATTGCTCAAAATAGTTTTTCTAGATCATAATACACACTGTTTCACAGTTATAACAATTTCTGATGTTCAAATGAATAATCCGCCGGGGTTCAATTATCATGAATTTTCGGAATTTTGTGAATTTTCAAATCAAGTCAAAATTAAAAAATGTCCCAATAATTTTTTTTAACCATGTTAATGTTTCAAATTGTTCCAAAGGTGTTTAGTGAAGATTCTTTTATCACGAATATTATTTTCAAACATAAATTTTGAAATAAATGAAACTTTTCCAAAAATCATAATTTCTCGAAATCCATCAGTTGACTCTGATCATCCGTCAATAACTCTAATTAATGAAGAGAATTCATGCTCAAAATTTTTTTCAACAATTTTTGATAGTATTCAGACTATTTGCAATCATTCATACTTATAAATATTGGAATTGTATCCCCAGATTTCAATTTTATCGAAAAATGAAATTGTGATACTCGCAAGTGGTGGTTCAATATAACCACATCTAAAAAAGTCCAAAAGTCGGGTAGCTGTAATAATATTTGTGCTGAACCTTCCCCAATACTTACTTTACCTAAACTAAAAATTATAGTTATGAAATATTACTTACAGACATGAAACAATTAGCCGATAAAATATCGAAAATTTAAAAAATCGTCAAAAAACGAAATTTTTAAAACCATCGTTATCCAACTTTGTGAAATTTTTTGTGTTCAAAATCAAAAACAAGTCAGTATACTAATTAGGAACTTTAAAATGATGGTTTTTGAGAAAATTTGAGCAATGAAATCATAAAAAATTGCTGCGTGATTACTGTCAGATCAGCATATACTTTTGTCGCTATAATTTGTTGTCACCCTGTATTTTCGCCCCAGAATTTTTGAACAAATATTGATATTTTATTAATAATAGATAGATATTTTTTGGATGTTTGTCTAGTTTTTTTTCAAGCGAAAAAAAATAATTGTCAGATTTTTGGTCATTGGGGAGTTCATTATTATATGAAAAAATATTTGTTGGCACTTTATTTGAACTTTTCGGATTATTTATTTCATAGAAAAAAGTATTTTGAAAAAAAACAGTCAAAAAATGAAACATGGAAAAAACGTTCAAAGTTTTGGTAATGAAAAATTGTTCAATTTTTTTTGGTTTAGGCAAATACAGGACATTTTCAAAATGTTGAGTATCTAATATTTGCGCCAGGTAGCAAAATTAAAAGTTCAAGTGTCAAAAATCATGAAAATTCGAACTTTCACACGAAAAATCTTCAATTTTCAGATTTTTTACTGAAATTTAGAGCGCTGAGAAGTGCAAGGTTTCAGGATCCCAAAATCATTATAAATCGGGTATTTTTCGGTAAAAAATTGGTCATTGAGATAAAAACTTGAACAATTTATGAAATAATTGATTTTTCAGGTATAAAAATCATGATTTCTTGCTTGTATCCCCAATAATCCAAATTTGTCCCTAATAATCCAAATTTTTCACTCCTTACCCTCTCCATTATTATTATTATTGTTATTATTATTATGCATATTTCCATAGGCAGTAAGTGGTGTATTCGAACTTGGCTCATTGTTCCAATCTTTATCCTGATTCTCATTCCGTTTTCCACCCCAAACAACATTTCCAGAAGCACCATTTGCTCCTCCACCATTAAGTTTCGCTCTCGGCATCGCCGGTACATTTTGATAAATCGAAGCGGGTGGACTCATAACCTGCTCGGCTGGCGAATTATTAGGAAATGGTGCATATCTGGGGCTACCGGGTGGAGAGAATTGCGGACGTCCGGGTTTATCAGGTTTTCCTCGCGGGATTCGAATATCACTGTGTCGACTATAATAACAAGTGATTCCCGATTTTTTGTCTTCCGATTTGCTCCAATAATCGAGTCCTTTTTTGGCGGCAGAATTCGGATTCGAGTTGGTCATATAAGCTTGCGGTGTTCGCGGCGGCGGAACCACTGTGTAAACCGGCGAACGCGGCGATTCAGCGTATGTCATCCAATTACGGTAGATAGAGATTAGGGGGTGAGATGTGTTCCTTTAATATTTACAATGAAGAGAGATACGGTAGGTAAGACGAAGAAACGTTCAAAAATACGAGAAAAAATAATCAAAAATGGGGGTGGCCACGTGGAAAATTCGTCGCCAGAGAGATTTATAGCAAAAAATACGTGGAAAATATAGTCTAGTCTGATTGTGAGAAGGACCTATTATTGACTTTTTAGTTCTAGACAAGATTTTTGAGCCTAATTCTCAACATTTTCAAAAATCATAGGATGAAAATCAATGATTCCAACCTATTTTTCATCCGAAAATGTCACATTTTCCATATTTACTCGAAAAAAAATCGAAAAAAAAGAATACACTCTTGTTTGACTAACCTTTACTCTCATCAGAAAAATGTGACATTCTAGACAGAAAAAAAACGAATTGCGATTTTTTGTGGCATCCAGCGAAAAAAAAATATTCGAAAAATTGTGCTGTTTCGTGAAAAAGAGCACAAGCGTGTAGTGCTTGACAACGACAACCAAAAAAAATTGGAGAGCAAACAATTGGGGGGCACGAAAGTGGGGAGAAAAATGAAAAGAAGGGGGAAAATGAAGAATTTTTGAGGTTGAGGTGAGGTGGAAAAAGGGCGACAATTATTTAGTTTAGAAGAAGAAAAAGTAGAATATTAAGCTAACATGAATAAGCATGAATTATTCAGGGTTTTCGAGTCTAGAGTTAGACTAACTAAGATTTTTCTTTGAATTTTGCCGACTGAATTTTTCTTCGAATAGAAATTAAGAATTTTCTAGCAAAACACAAACTTGTTGCTCATTATTTTTCAGAAAAAAACAGAAAATAGTCAAAAATAGCACGTTTTTTTTGCGATGTGAGTGACTCAAAATAAGGAAGCTAATTCTAACATTTTTTCCAAGCACAGTAAGAAAAAAATGAGGAACTGAATTTTCAGAGAAAATTTTGCATAGTAAGCTCAACATTTCGTTAGAAATTGAAATAAAGTCCAAATTTTTCAGAAATATCAAAAATTATCAATGGAGCGTATATGCAACAAACTCTAAGCAAAAAACTACAAAAGTATGAATTCTATCCTAAAAATAGTGAGAAATTACAGATTTTCAGCTCAAAAGCGGAGATTCCTCAATCCAGATATTCTCACCCTCATGATTTTTGGTGTATTGTCATCCCCACGAGACACATCGACAAAAAAAACAACACAAATATTATTTTTCTCATCATTCGCTTCTCTTTTTCTCTAATTCTCTTTAGAAGCCGGCAAAAAACAACCATCATTTCAGTTTAATTAAATTATATATGAACAATTCAGGCAGCGAAAAAATCGATTAAAAAGTTAGGACCAACATTTTTTTGCAAGGAAAAAACATGGGAAAAAACGAGATGATGGAACATATAAACATGTCAATCTAACTAGAAAAAGATAACGATTTTGGAGCACACAAAAAATGAGCAAATGGGGATTTCGCGTGTTTTGGGAGAAAAAAGATAAAAAATACTTGACAAATAGTCTCTAATGAGAAAATGACGATTTTTTGGAGAATTTCCAACAACTTCCTGCTGAATCTGGAAAGCTTGAAAAGTTCTAATAAAAATTCAGAGAAATCAGATAAATGTCTTCGGAATGTGCCAATAATGACCCAAATGAACAGAAAATCATGTTTTCTGCACAAAAATCGGAGGAAATATAGAGAAACTTAGACAAAACCTGAGACGAGCCACAATTCTTATAAGCCAAAACTATTCAAAAAAACAGTTGAAATTCACTATAAATAGGTAATTCTACTGAAATTATAATAGTATTCAGCTGAAAATGCTTCGAAACTAATGAAAAAACTAACACAAAATATCAAAATCGTCGAAAATCCAAATGTAGGTCAAACTTTGCACCCAACAAAAAACCAGAAACTTCGAATTAATCACTTGGAGCAAGTGAAACAAAAAGTTGCTCGAAATGAGCCAAGTCACAAAAACTCGTTGATAATCTGTCAACTTTTGCTGCTTGCGGGGTTGCGCAACCCCGAATGCGACTAAATAAACATTCGCCAAAAAGTCAGTCAGGTTTCTTCTAGGCTGTTTTTGATCTTTGACATTGGCAGAAAGCAAAAAAAAGAGTTCAATCTGGTTTTTTGTTCGAAAAACAGTGTATTTTTTGAAGGGATACAAAAAATGAGGAAAGAGAGAAAAGAAGTTAGGATAACTCAATTTTGCTCACTTTTTTTGTCGAAAGGAACAAAGAAACAAGGAGTGGTTTTTTGTGTGTTTTGTTTTTTCTTGAAGAGACAACTTTTCTGGGTGTGGCTGGAAAATGTGAGTCAGAATTTGAAATTCAAGTAGTCTTGAGCCAAAAAATCTTGAATTTTCAGACTTTTTGGAACTTCTAGGAGTCAAGAAGATCAGATCCAAAAAATAGATTAGAACTTTTGAAAACCTTGGGGAATTTATTTTTCAAAAAAAAAAAAGCCTGAGATTTTTTATGGGATTTTTTTGAGCTAAACAAAATCCAGAATTTGCATATGACGTGGATTTATTTAAAAAGATTGTCGAAATTAAAATTAGGCTGAAAAGGCAGAAAAAAAAGGTCTCAAAAAATATCCGAATATCCGGTCGAAAATTTCAATAATTTCCGGCTCTTGGTTGAAAAATATGTAACGTTCAAAGTTTGGAAATCAAGAAACCGTGAATTTCTTGCTCCAAAGCTCGAAAATCGCAGTTTCAGATTAAAAATGAATGGAACTTGTTGAGTTCAGCTCAGAAATCCTTAAAAACTGGAACTCTAGATATAGAAATTGTAATAATGCTCTCTCAAGTCAAACATCTCTAGAAAATCTTTAATTTCAGCTTTGATAACCACAAAAATGCAAGTTCCCCTAGGTCTTTTCCAAAAAAAAGATCAAAAAAGCAGATATTGTCGAAAAAACGGGGCCAAAAGCGAACATCGTGTGAACAATCGAAACATGATATTCTTCCTTCTTTTTTCTCGAAAAAAATCAGCGCCAAAAAAAAGGTGAAAAGAGAGAAGCTGGAAAGCGAGAGAAAACAAAAAATAAATATATTATTTTTGGTTTGAGACGACGACGAATGAGGGTTAGAGAGAGTAGGGAAAATGTGGAGAGTGCGAGACGAGCAGACATATTTTTATGAAATCGAGGACGAAGAAAAAGAAGAAGAAAAGAGAGAAAAGCGGGCGGAAAAAACATATGGGTTGGTGAAAAAAAACGAAGAGCTCTTTCATTGTGTCTTGTGATCTATGACATATTTATTATTATACAAAATAGATTCAACCAGTTTTCATTTCTTTTTTTTCTCATTCTATTCCTGAAAAAAAGAGAGAAAAATTAATTAATTATTCATTTTTTGGCCGATGCGCGCCGAATATTTTTGTTCATTTTTCATCAGAAGAAAAAGAACACACGCGATTTTCAGCACAAAAAAGTTGGAGCGAAAAATTATGTGGGAGGAGGAAAAAGAGATGGAAATTGTGAAATTTGTCATGTGGTTGGCAACATTTCAATAGATTTTCAAGGTCGAAAAACATCATAAATTTGGAGAGAAATCGGATTTTTAGGAAATCCACGTGGCAAATTTTAGGTCGGAAATTAGTAAAAACCCAGAAGGGCAAAAATTACATGTCTTAGAAAATTCAGAATCGTTTTTTGAATCCATGAAGAAACGATCAAGGTGAAAATTGGAACTAGACTAGAGAATAACCAAAAAAGTATTGTGATAGATTCGGAAATCTCGCACTATCTAAAATTCGATCCCAAATCAAGATAGAAGCCTTCAGAGCCTAGATCAAGAACCGAAAAACCAGCAATGATCGAAAAAATCCCAATTTTTCTTCGTCACATGATCTTCTGTGCAATTTTCGACCGGAAGGAAATCTCAAATCTTCAATTTTCTCATTTTTTTTTGTTCATAAATAAAGAATGAATGAATGAATAAATAATCATAATAACAATGAGCAAAAATGACATCAGACTTTCGAGAAAAAAATTGCCCAATTATTTTTTTCGCTGTTTTTTCGCCACTTTTTTCATCGAGACGGAAAATGAGAAAAAATGAAAAAAGAACAACTGTTTTTTGTGTGTTACAAAATGATGGGAGCAAAAAATCGAGGATTTTTGAGCGGACAAAAATATATTAATAGAAATATTGTGGTCCAGAAAAAAAATTTCAGATTTGTTGGCTGAAAATTTTCGAGGAAAAAAGCGTGGAGGCGGAGTGTGGGTGGTTTATTTTTTAGAAGAAAAAATAAACAAACAACTAAATTTATGGAAAAACAGGAAGAGCCGAGTTTTTAGGCCAGACTTTTTGGGTTTCTAGGCCACCAGGATTATCCAAGCAACGCAATTCATGTTTCGGGTTTCTAGATCATCTCGAGATTTCCAGTCACATTCAAATATCATTTTTCGGTTTTCTAAATAATCTAGAAGACTTCTAGGCCATCATAATCATCTTTGGGTTTCTAGGACATCTAGACCACTTTTAGGAATCAAAATTATTTTCTTTGGCCGAATTTCAGGCTCATAGACATAAATTTAAGCTCTAAAACGGCGAATCATCTGAAATCCGCAAAAAGCCGTGAAAAACAAGCCGAAAAGTTATTTTTGGAATGGCATTTTTCTATTTACGCACAAAAAACATCACACGTGATGAAAAAGCAAATAATTTTCACATTTCGAAGGGACATTCGATATTTTTTCATGTGAAAAATGTTATTTTGGCTAGTCGGAGACGGGGCGAAAAAATAAAAAAAGTTTCAGGAAAATAAATTTTCGAGGTCATGAAAACTTGGAAGGAAAAACCTGTCACAAAGTATCAACCATCAAAAAACAGAGCGAAAAAACACTGCGCTAAATTGCATTTTTTGTCGTGTTTTTTTTCAGTGAGAAAAGTGCAAAAATACGCGAAAACATCCCATTTTCAAGTAGCAAAAAGGAGAAAATCGTTCATTTTTTTGGAAAAAATAAATTTTTGGGAAGATAGGCTAACATATGATAAGGAAAAAGAAGAATGGCGAAAAAATAAGGAATTTTTATTTTTCGGATTTTTGCAAATCTGGTTTATTTATGTTTATTTTCGCCATTTTTTATTGCGGAAATTCCTTGGGATTTTCCTATATGATTCTGGATCTCGATGCGAACTTTTTGATTTTTTTCATCGAAAATCATTTCAAGATCCATAATTTTACATTTCAAAGATACACATGATGAAAATCAAGTCTTATTTTCAACATTTCTATTGAAAAAAAATTGTAAACCCAAGTAGATCAAGCCCTCACTTTCGTACACAAGTCAAACAATCCTACCAGTATAAATTAGTCCCACATACACCACTAAGATCAGAACGTATATAATTTTACCCCTAACAATATGATGAAACCATACCTTGTTAATCGATTCATTCAGCTTTCTTCAGTTTTCACTGATTTTAGGATAGAATAGACATAAGATAGAGAAAATTGATCAGAAAACCACCGTTTCCTATCTCGATTAGAAAAATAAATGAGCGACTTGAACAAGACATCTCGACAAGCGCGCCATTTAGAACACGTTATTCAGGACACGTTATTTTTTTCAGAATTCTCATTCGTTTTATTTAGTATGTACACGTTCAGCACATTTCTGATGTTTTTCGTCTTTTAAAAAAGGCTTTCATTCATTTTTCCCCAAAACCCATTTCCCATCCCTTCCCTATCAAAAAAAACTCACAACTTTGTCTGAAAATAATTCCAGTCGTCTCTTTTCCGCCCTTCGAATCTGGCGAAACTGTGGATGTTGTAGTTGATGAGACATCGATTGAAGAAGATGTCATATTCGAATTTATCGAGGTCTGCAACCCGTTGCTCATCTTATAAAAATTATCGATTGATTTTCTTGATTGAGCGATTTTGTGTGATTCTATCTGTCTGAAAACACGAGTTTTCTTTATTTTCCTTTTTTTTTTTGAAAAAAAAAACGACAAAAAACAATAATAAAATGAAGAAGACTTGATAACAGCTGACTGACTGATGAAACATTTTTTTTGAAATTTTTCATTTATTTTTCATGTTGGAAATTGAGATGAAAAACAGGGAGAGAATCGATAAAACTAATAAATACAACACCAGAAATTGTAACTACATATAAATGAATGTTTTTAAGGGAGGGGGAATCACATTTTTTTAGAATCAGAAATAATTTCAGGAAAAGAGAGAAAAATTGTTTATTTATTAGTCATTTTGGGCCAAGAAAAAAGTACAGGAATCAATATTTAACAAGAGGGAAAAAGACAGGACAAATAAAATAAAATATTTTTTGGTGATAAGAATTTCTGTTGTCTTGTCTTGAATTCAAAATTGATTAGGGGTAAATAACTGGTTTTCTCTAAATATTCTCTTCTTTTTAAGCATAATTGAAGTTGGCAGATTCTCATTTTGGGAAGGAAAAATGGGAGAGAAAACAAAAAACACGAAAAAAGGAAAGTAAAAAAATTGTGTGAATTTTTACGTGAGCGTGTTGGCACACCAAAAATGTGTGGCAATTTGAAAATGGTTTTTATTTTTCATTTGTTTTCGGCGATTTTTTCGAAAACAAAGAAAAATGGACAATACTGAAACTACAGAGTAAAGTTTAAATCGAAAAATACAACAAACATACATACAACACACAAAAAAATCATTGTCAAAAAGCGAAATAGTATGAGAGATGCGGGAAAGTGTGAGAGAAAAAGACAGTTCGACAAGCAACCAACCAACCAAAATTTTGCGATTTTTTTTTCATTTTTTCTGTGTGTGTTGAAAAAAAGCCGGCGAGAAAGAGAAAGTTTCGAGCGAGAGAACTTGTTCAAGTGGCGGTCGGCTGTTAGGTCGACCGATTTTTTTTTTGAAAGTTTTTTGAAAAAAATGGTGATTTTTGAAATAGGAATATATTAACTATCCATTTCTATTCATGAATGTTCTGGTTTTGACAAGTTTCATGAAAAAAAAAGAAAAAAAAAATTTTTTTCGAAAAAAAAACTACTGTACTTTTCGAAGACGCACACAAAAAACAGATTGGTCTCGAAGCGATGTTCGCGCGCTCAAGGAACTGGTTTTGAAAAAATACATGTATTTTTTCGTTTTTCACCAGATTCTTTCAAAAATTAGAAAGAGAAGATATATTTTTAGGATGTTCTTCTCTTTTTTTTTTTTTGAAAAAAGTTCTTTTCATTTGATTTTTATTTTACGCAGTGTAATATTTCGAATGAAGGAACGGAAAAATCACAAGAGAAAGAGATGCTAAAAAAGTTCTATTTTTCCAACACAAAATGATGAAAAATCCACCAAAAAAAGAACCACTTTGTTTGTTTTTTCTTGTGTGCGCGACAAGAAAAAAAAACAACAAAAACATTTCATGTTTTAGTTAGTCGTGTTTTGTGTTTTTTTGGAAATGAATATATAAAAAATTGGCGCGAGAATGAAAAAAAAAACAGAGAGGCGCTGGCGCAAGAAAAAATATTTGTGTGGGAAATCGCGAAAATGTGGACCAAAAAATCTGAATTTTGAAAAAAAAAAAAAGAAAAACACTTTCAAGTAAGAAAACTTTAACTCAAAATGTAACAATTGAAAAATATCATCAAGAATGAAGCTTTAAAAATGTGAAAATGAAGAATCATCGCTTCAAGACCTATCAAGTTCCATAGATCAATGGTTGAGAAGAGTGAAGAGGATCAGAATCATCGATAACCGGCCAATGTTGAAGTTGCGGATTATTCGAAGCCTCGTCGTTCATCTCAGGTTTAATGTATTTGCAAGAAGTGTTGAGTCGCTGAAAATTGGAATATTATAGAATTAATACATTTTCATAACACTAAATACCTCCCATTTATACACATATCGATGATTACTCGAACCATTTATTCTTGATAAAACATTCAATATACTATAGGACATTGGTGGAATAACATCAGTTGTAAGAAGTGAATTCCTAGATGATTCAAGATTTTTCGAACCATTGCAATCAATTTTCACATGATTCCAACGATCTTCGGAGAAATTATCTGCCATAATCATTGCACCGCAGAAATTTTCTATCAGAACTCGGATAGCAAGTCCCGAACACTGAAAATACTAAAGGCATAAAAAATGATGTATCGATAAATAATTCTTACCGTATTGTTGCAAATCTTTCCATCTTTGAGCATAATTTCTCTTAGAGCATGATTATACATTTGAGAAGATTGCCTAATTTTTTCGAACAACAATTTCTCTGACGAATAAAACACGATGTTCATTGTGATTGGCTTGAGATTTCCGTTCTTCAAATTGAAACACATTACAACATACTGTCCAGGATGCAGGAAAAAGTCATAGAATGTTATACGTTTTTGTTCGCCTCTTGTTGATCGTGTCATCATTTCACCAATCACACCTTCTGCGGAAATTCGATGCACACTCATCATCATTTCGTTCTTTAAAAAAATTCGAGAGGTTTCGCTATTTACATTCAGTCTAAACTCACGTAGGGGTCATTGTTCATTTCAGATGATTCTTTGTGATACGCAGTTATACATACTTCAGTAGTTTGAGTTACAAAAAGTTGATAAATTGATGTATCGAGTCCTACATTTTGGCTATAGCGAAACTCGCTCCAATTTGATCGAAGTTTGCAAATTGTGACGGATTTGAACATGTTTCTGAAATCCTCGAGTTCCATCCAAAATGCGCCAGTTTCATGTTGTCTATTCATCACTAAATCATCCTTCATTTCAGCCGGCCAATCTTCCCAATTATCTGACCAATTTCCATTCCAAACACCACGTCCCCAAGGATTTCTAACACGCAAAAGTCGAAAACCATATTCATCATTGACATCAAGAATTGAATAGGCATGACCTGATCTGAGCCCACTTTTATGATACTCTTCTCTCAATGTTCTGTAACTACTACAACACATTATGAACCCCGAAGCCTTTGCACTTATTAGTTCTGCCCAAAATGTTTCAACTTCAATCGAGTCGTCTTTTGGAGTATAATATAATATGCAAGGAGCACCAGTTAACAACGATAAACCGCGAATGACAGAAGCTCCACAAAGCATCGAATAACTTCCCAACGCTTTCGCCAAAGCTTTTTCAATCAATGGAACCCATAACTGATTTCGTCTTCCTACAGCCATTGTCATTTTACCGTTGCAACACGGGAAAAAATCATCGACTATTATAACTTTCCATTCACCTTCTACACATACTTTAACACGATAAACTCCTTGAGGCGAATAGTCTTTTGATGGAAATATGCTGTCTAGAAGATCTGGTCGTTCAGCAATTAATGTCATTGCACACATCAACCAACAATCACCCAAACCTCCTTGTTCAATATCTGATGGTTTTGGATTATTGAAAACAGTCCAAGGATATTGTTCACCATCTTTTGACCTGATTTGATTCGGTCGAAGCCATTCTAGAAGGTGTGACTAATTATTTATAAAACTTAATGTTAGAAAGGACGGTTTTCTATAATTCAGAATAATCCATTATCTCTCTTTGTTAGATACTTACCGTACTCCCCATTTCTTCTGATACTTCGATCACTATGCGGAAATTGATCATCGATGAAAGATGTTTGATTTTCACTTAATTTTGAATTTTAAAAAAGTGCCACATTAAGTAACTCACTTGCAATAATTCAAAATATCCTGATAGATCTTCTCATTTTTCTCTTCAACCTCTTTCTTCAATTTGAGTGTTTCTTCAGAGTGAAATCTTAGACATGAATTTGAGCATAAATTTCGGAGCATTTTGATAAGAAATACGTAAAAAAAATCAATAAAATTTACTCACAGACAAATATATGCTTTTAACTGTTTTTTGATAATGTTAGGGTTTTGAAATATTGTTTAACCTTTAGTTCATCAACATAAAATGATCTATTGTTTACCTATTGATGTTTGTTTTTGTATATCCTTTTTTTTTCGAAATATTTCGAAAAGGGTTTATTATTCTGAAAAATATATGGGAAATTTGAAAATTATTTTAATATTTAAAAATTCAATGACTGGTGGGAAAACAATTTTCTAACGCTCGTGGTTTTTGAAACATTTTTAATAAAATTCCGATTTTCAAAAAAATATTGAGTAATTTTTTTCGATCTTGAAAACGAAAAATTTTTTTGATCTACCTTCTTCCTCGTTCTTTTATATTTCTTCACAGTTCAAAAAATCCTAATTTTTTATCATTTCATTATTTTTTCACATTTTGTTGTGATCCTAGTTTTTTCAACGCTATTACTTTGATTTCAGAAAGCCACCACAAAAAAATGTCTGGAATTATAGCAAAATCGAAAACAAGCTGGAACGGGATTATATTGGCTGGAAGGTGGCTGGAAGTTTTTTCAATAGAAAGGTATTTTTTTCTGAAAATTTCATATTTACTAGGGGACCTTGCGCAGAAAGTTTCATTAGGCGAAATTTACTTTTATAGAGAGAAATTTAAGGGTTCCCGAGCTAAACCCCCAGATAAACAGAACCACTTCAAATGCCTGCGCTTCCTTAACAAAACAATTTTTGTTTAGATTGGAAAAAAAAGTCAATCCGAGTCTCCTAAATCCCGATTTCCGGGTTCCCCAGAAAAAAAAGAAAATGAAAAAATGTTGACAAGTCGCCAGAAAACTTATGTGCACTGTTGCGGTGTTTGCACACATTTTAAAGTCATTTGTTTTTTGCGTTTTTTATAGGTAAGATTCAATTGAAACAAGTGTATTTCTTAATCAAAAATATCTTGAACTACCTCTTTTTGGAAAGAAAACTTAATAACGCCAAGCCATGCAAATTTTTTACTGTTGTTTTTTTTCAAATTTTTTACTGTTTTTCTTGTTGTTAGGGAGTTTTTATATTTTGAAATTTTTACAGTCATTTTTATTACTTTCTTTCCAAATATAAAAATTCTTTGCTCAAACACAGAGCAAAAATGTTTTTACTTTACTACGTTCTTCCTTTTATTTTTCTCCAAAAGTCAATTTTTGGCACACTCATCATAACATTCGGAACACCTTACGATGTTAATTGGTGTTATCAATATGATAATGAAGATTGGAATTCATGTCTAGATCTTTGCGAAGAAAATGATGATTGTATTATGACTTATATGTCATCTGAAATCTGTTACAGTTGTGAAATTGGCCAAGTTTATTCAGTGATTACAAATGATACTAATAAATTTGCTTTCAAATCTGAAAATCTCGATTTTTGCTACGCCAAAATTTTAGACAAGTATAATGCTTCAAATTATACCATCGAATTTGATGGAACATATTGGGTGTTCAATTATTTCGATGGTGTCACTAAACAATGCGATGATGGTTGGGTTTTGTCGAATCGCAATGATGGTATTCAATGGTGCATTTCGATGGTGGAGGGAGATTTTCAAGGTGACACAAAAGGAGAAGACATTTGTGAAGATTATGATGCGATTTTGAGTGGAATCAACAATGCCTTTGAGCAACAATATCTATTGAGTGGGTCAATTTATTTTTTGAAATAAGTAAATTATATTTGGAAGTTTCAGGACATGGCTGGGAAATAGCTTCGAAGCTTGGTAAATGTATCACAACACTTATTGACGGGTACATGAATGACAGATGTTTCTGTTCGGTTAAAACCGACGTGTGCAAACTACCCGAGGTAAAATTAAAATTCTTTTTCTATATACATACGTGTGCTCATAATACAGAGTTATGTGGAATACGATAATTATTCAATCAATCCTATAATCTATGATTGGTACAAGAACAACCCTGATATTAATGAAGACAGTGAACGCTGTCTTGGAGTTTATAGTCAGAAAGGAAATTCGACCGTCGACGGAAAAGTTAACACATTACCTTGTGATACAGAACCTTTTCACGTTGCTTACTGTGGAAAACTTGCAACTTGACTGGGATAAAAAATAAATATTGTTGAACAAAAACATTTTATACACTTCATACAAATAATTAATAAACCAAATTAACCGATGCAATAATATCTCGAATTTCTGAAGCTTTGTAGATTTTATCAATATCGGTTAAATTACTGATAAATGTCTTTGTTGGTGGTCTTCTTCTGATTTTCTCTTTCTTTTGAACAATTGGAAATTTATCGAAATTTGCGATCTCAAAAAGTTTTTCCAGTTGCTCGAAAGTTGCGTTGAGCTGGAAGCCGAGAAGCAAATCGATATCCCGATCTTTCCTTATGAATCTTTTCTTCCTTGGTTGAATCTTTCTTCTCACTTTCTTTTCAGCAGTGATTACCGATTCATTCACGATTTCCTGTGTTTTTCTGCGCGAGCTTGAGCGTTTCTCTCCGGAACTCTGAATGTTGCGCAAGATCCTTGCGGCTGCTGCTCCACCGGATGATGCGATTGAAGATGGTGGAGAAGCTTGGACAGGGCTTTCAGTGCGTGGTAAGATTTTCTTTCGAATTGCGATGGGCGTACTTGGTTTGGATGTTGGCTTGACAGATTCTTGAATTGGAGGTTTAGTTGCAGCCGCTGGACCACTAGAAAACGAAGGGATGATGGCGTCTGAAAATTAGAAATTTATGCATTGAGCTGACAAGATTCCTCCTGAAAATTCAACTTACTCGGATCTGGTGGTGGTGGTTTCCATCTTCGAATAGTTTTCTTTGGTTCCGGTTTCTTTTCCTGATTCAAATCTTTGACATCAATCAAAATCTTCTTCTTCCGTAAATGTTTCTCTGCTTCCATTCGATCAACACTCGCATCTCGCGCCGCTCGAAATCTCGCTTTTTCCTCCTCCACTTTCCCCAATGTTCCACTCGTTTTCTCATTTGTCACCCGACGTTGCTCCGCAATTTCACGAATTTTTGCATCTTCCGAATCGATTTGAATACCCTTCGACAAATCTTTGATCTTCGTTTGCAGTTTTGTTTGCCCCGTTTTCATTTGTTCTCGAATCTCTTTCATTTGTTTATCAAAATCATCATTCAACACAGGTTTCACAATTTCATAAGTTCTTTTTGGTTTATCGACGGGTTCTAGACGCGATGATTTTTTATAAGCCATATCCTCTTCGTTTTTCAGTTTTGCTGAAATTGCTGAAACTGTTCCAAAACGTCGTGCTTTTTGTTGAGCAGCGAGTTCATCGACCATCGCTTTTTTCTTTGCATCCTCTTCTTTCATATTCAGCGCCGATTTTCGAATCGCTGTTTTGTCTTCCGGTTCAGGGACTTGTGATGGTGGTGGTGTTGGAGCAGAAATTGGTTTTGGCTTGGGAGCTCTGAAATATTTATTATGTTGATAGAAGCTATTACTGATGTACAATTAAAAAAATCCAACACAGGCAGATGCAGAACGGCCGGATACTTGCCAAAAATTGAAAAACCGGTCCGAAACTTGTACGTTTCCGACCAGTGTTGAAAACGGCCAAAAACCGGTAGTTCCTGAAAGGGTCCCCTGAATGGGGTCTTCCTCCTCCAAAAAAGGGTCCCCTGAATGGGTCCTAGTGTTTGTCATTTCTCCTGAATGGGACCGCGCGTAGCACATGTCAAAAAATGACGAAAAAAGGGTTTTTGTCACTTTCCTGAATGGGTCCTCTAAAAAATGGGGCCCAAAGTGCATTTGGCGTAATCCTGAATGGGACCAACCTCTTGTTTTGTCACTTTCCTGAATGGGACCTCAAAAAAGGGGCCAGTTGTGGTTTTGTCATTTTGCTGAATGGGTCTTGTAAATTTTTATCTTGTTGATTTCGTTTCGGATCGCCCATAGCCATTTTTCAACTCGAAAAATGAGTTATAATTTTTTATCTACTCTGATCTTTCCAGTCAGAATATCGGGAATAAACTTTCAAATACTTCCCTCCAACTTTTTTTTGAAACGATTAATTTCGAAGTTATTTTAAGACGACGAAAAAGAACAACTTTTGTGTAATTATTGAAAGAAGCCTCGGAATCGGTTAGGAAACATGTAATGCATTTTTCTTATTGTTTTCGAGATTTCTTTGGAAATTTTCACTAGAATACTCACGACAAGCCTCACTGCAATTCAAAATTTCATATATCTTTCTAACCTACATTTTATCAACAAAGACATGAATTTCATCAACTCAATCGTAATTTCTTACAAAATTAGAGTTTTTAATTGCAAAAAATCAAACAAATATCAAAATTATACAGAAATATCATCTCTATTTTCACACCTGTCAGAAATTTTCGCACCTTGGCCCTAAAAAAGAATGCGTCCAAGAAGAAAATAGTGCGTATTTTAGGAGAGCAAGATGACCTTTTTTGGGAAGTTTTCCTTCCGTAGTTCACTGAGACTGCGCATTAAAATCTAATTAGCTAAGTAATAAGGGATAGTTTAAAAATTAGTTTTTTTTTCAACAATATGACTCTTTAGCAGGTCCATTTTCGAGTCAACTTTTTTATTTTTGAAAATGAAGTGAAATTGAGTACTGACTAATGATTTTCAAAAAAACTTGCAAATAGTAGGAGTGTTTCACAATCGACTGTTCGAAATAGAATCTCATATCAGATTTTTTGAGAATTGTGTCAATTAAATTTCGAAATAATTTCAGAAAAAATCCAAATTGTTCTTTTCCGTCGTCTCAAAATAACTTCGAAATCAATCGTTTCAAAAAAAAAATTTAGAGGAAATTATTTGAAATTTTATTCCCGATATTCTGACTGGAAAGATCAGAGTAGATAAAAAATTATAACTCATTTTTCGAGTTGAAAAATGGCTATGGGCGATCCGAAACGAAATCAACAAGATAAAAATTTACAAGACCCATTCAGCAAAATGACAAAACCACAACTGGCCCCTTTTTTTGAGGTCCCATTCAGGAAAGTGACAAAACAAGAGGTTGGTCCCATTCAGGATTACGCCAAATGCACTTTGGGCCCCATTTTTTAGAGGACCCATTCAGGAAAGTGACAAAAACCCTTTTTTCGTCATTTTTTGACATGTGCTACGCGCGGTCCCATTCAGGAGAAATGACAAACACTAGGACCCATTCAGGGGACCCTTTTTTGGAGGAGGAAGACCCCATTCAGGGGACCCTTTCAGAGACTGCCCAAAAACCACTCGAAAATCGGCCGGTTTCTGCTCAAATTCAACAAAAACGGCCGAAAACCAGTGAAAAAACACGGCCGGTTACTGGTCAATTTTGATAAACCGGTCAGAAACTGGTCGGTTTTTGAGTTGTTACTGGCCGTTTTTCAACACTGGTCGGAAACGTACAAGTTTCGGACCGGTTTTCAATTTTTGGCAAGTATCCGGCCGTTCTGCATCTGCCTGTGAACTTACTCTCCAATCTTTGTCTCCACCTGCTCTCCAACTTTCACCTTTTCCAATTTTGCCGGCTGAATCACAGCTTTTCTCGCAAAATCTGTCGCCGGTTTCCTTTCACTCGCAAATCGACTCGTCTGCTCCTCTTTCACATTTTCAGTCATTGCACGGACAAAAGTTGGGACCAATTCAGGGACCAAAGTATTCTCAAAATATTGCTCAACTTCCGTTTGGTCTAAAAAGTTCTGCCGAATCTCTGGGAAACACGAGGCCTCTTCAATCATCTCTTCAACTTGTGAAACTGTCATCAGCTCAAATGGAAGTGGTTCAACCAGAGAGATAAGTTCCGAAGGTTCTTCCTCTTCATCATCAAAATATTCCAATTCCTCTTCGATTTCTTCTTCTTCTTCTTCCTCATATTCTTCCTCTTCTTCATATTCTTCATCCCAATATTCTTCATCTTCAAATTCTTCATCCTCATAATATTCACTTTCTTCTGATTCTGATCCTCTAGCTGCCACTCGATCTAATAACTTCAGCGTACATCCAACTGTTCCACCATCATAATAACTCTCTTCACTTCCATCTGGTGTCAAATATCCCTCCCTTGATCCTATCCCAAGTCTTTCAACGATCGGAACATCACGAAAATCCTCTTCGTATTCTTCGCAACTCTGCACATCATCCAGCCAATCCTCACCATCTTCATCATCTTCTTCTTCTTCTGCTTCTCCACCATCGTAACTTACACTGCATGTGAAAAGAGTGGGTGCAGGTTTGGCGAACAAACTATCCACTCTGCCACGGGATTCCTCTTTCCGTGTTTTGCTCAAATAGGATTCTGTGAGATCGAACTCACTGACTCGAGGAGAACCATTTGAACCGGTTGATGTTGTAGCAGATGGAAACATTTGTGTGATGGGTAAATGACCGGATAGACTGAAGGTTTGCGAAACCGAGAATTCACATTCACTTGATTCATCTAAAAATGATCAATTTTGGAGGGCAATTCTCTTTCAGCGATTCTTAGTATTTCCAGCTAGAAAACTCACATTCTTCCTCATCCTCTTCTTCATCTTCTTCTGCACTTGTCCAATCATCATGTGAATACACTTCATCCTCCTCTTCTTCCTGCAAATTAAATTTGAAAATATTCTTTTGAGGCGGTTTTCGAGAAACATAATTGTGGAGTCTCGTTGTTTTGCTTCTTACAGTAAACCAGAAGTTTTGAAAATGTAGAAACCTGACTTACCTCATATTCTTCCTCATCTTCCTCTACACTCTCCTCTTCGTTTTCCTCAGTCGAAGATGGTTTTTGATTCCAGAGGCAAATGCTGGCAGCAGTGTTGACTGGAGTTGTTGCCATTGGTGTATTTGGACATGAAGGAGCTGTTATAAGCACCAAAGGAATTGGAATATGACGGGTTTTCGGAGGATTTTCAGCTATTTTTCCCGGCGTTTCAACAGGTTGTGGTGGAATTTCAGCGACGATTTCAATTTTAGCGGGATTTTCAGCTTCACTCATCTTTTTCTCATCCAAAATATTCTTCAAATTCTCCAAAGTTCGATTCGGATCTCGTCTTTTTCTACGAATTGAACCTGAAAATTCATAAAAGTTATGAAATTTGCAAAAAAACCAAAAAGAGTCACCTGTTCCTTCAACTGACGAATTTGAAGAAGAAGACAAAGATGATGGTGATTCTTTAGAAAAAAAAATTATTAGGTTTTTCGCACTCTGCGTATCTCAAATTTCGGTGCTCTCTGATTGTAAAACGTTTTTGAGCAGGGCGGGAGAGCTTTGAACTTTGAGCCGGAACTTGAGATATTTCAAAATCTTCCACAGAACTTTTTTGACATGGAATTTCAGTTTCAAAGCTAAAGCCCCGAGAATATTCCCTACCTCTTTTCTCCTTCTCTGGCTCCTTTTTCTCTGCGTCTCTAACTTCATCAGAAATATCCGGAGTTTTACTTCGAATCTTGATCCGAACAGGTTCGATTTGAGTTGGGATCGAGTCTTTTCGACCCAATCCCGAGCCCTGAACCGAATCGAAATTCTGATTTTCCTGCAATTGTTTTCCATTGATACGGATAGAAGTGGCAATTTTGACGGGAGTCGGATCGGCAACAGGTCCAGGTGGGATCTCAGGCTCGGCCTCGGACACAGATTCCTCTTCAGCTTCATCTTCAGCTTCATCTTCTTCAGATTCTGAAGATGAAGACGAGGCTACTGGGATTATCTGAAAAATAGTTGTAACTGGAAAATCTAGCTAGACGAAGAAAAAATAGATCAAAAACTACAATAAACATTAAAAAACATTTTTCCACGTGGTAAAACAATTATTTTAAGATTCCGAAAAAATATATCAACAAGCTACAGTAATCCAAAATGCAAATATAACTCTCCTGACACTTTAATTCAAAAATCTTTCCACGTGGCGCAATTTCACTAACCTTCTTTCTCTGCACCAATGGTGAACATTTTGGTGTACAATTTGGTGAATTCGTCGCCGATGCTCTTGGTGTAATATCCAAATCAATACTTTTCTTTATAATTTCAGATTCAGCCTCGTTTTCAGAAGAACTTCCAGATCCATTTTCAGCTTCTGAATTCTCGGTTTCAGAATCCGAATTCTTTACATATTTTTCGTATAATTTCTGAAAAGTCTTCTCAACTTCGTCTTCATTTTCAGATTTTTCTTCCGATTTTTCGCGACTCATTGATTTTGAAAATGATCGAGTTATTGTAGAACTTCGACTCGAATATCGACTGTTTTCAGGACTACGATAGGTGGAACTCGTGTATTTCGGGCTGAAAATTTGGGATTTTTTGAAATTTCTATACCCAAAAATCATTAAGAAATTGATAAAATTAGTCTGAATATTCAAGACGTTTTCAGAAAAACTTACGTTTCAGTTGGTCGATATTTCGATAATGAAGAATCAATATGAGAAGACGAAGAATCGTAGGCTGCAAAAAAATGAGCAAAAAATGATGAAAACCAGATGTTCCGAATTTTTATGGGCTCAAATTTTTTTCGGTGCCAAAAAAAGTGAGTTTAATTTTCCGGGATAGTTCTGAGCTATTGAAAATAAGTTTTAGATTCTCGAGAAAAAATTCAAATCGTTTTCTGAATTTTGTTTGACGTCACAAAAACTTCAATTTTTGAGCTACAGTAAGTCTTGTACTTTTTGTTTTCAAAAAATACAATTTTTTTTGATGAACAAAATTTTCTTGTATTCAAAAAGTCCGGATTTACTCTTTGAAAATATAAAAAAGAAAATATTTTTGTTGGAATTTTCATTTTGCATTTTTTTAAAGAAAAATTTGAATTCACTTCTAGCTGTAAGTTTTCAAAGAACTTTTTCTCTCTAAAATTTCAAAATCTCACCCGAAGAAATTCCACTACTAACACTTCCAGCTCGAATATTTCTAGGCGTATAAGAAGAACTTGAAGAGCTTCCCATATACCGTGAAGAAATTGGCGGTTTATAAGAATTTAATTGTTCCGTACTTCCATATCTGCTACTGTAGCTCGGTCTACTTAAACCTGAGCTTGAGCCTGAACTCAGGCCTGAACTCAGACCTAAACCAGGTCTAGTTGAAGATGTTGTAGATGAAGTTGTGGTTCGAAATGGATCGTATGACGTGGCACGTGACATTCGAGATAAATTTGTAGTTGAGCCAGTTGATCTTGACTGAAAAGTTGTAAATTTTGAGTATCAAAAATTTTTCTACATTAATTTTTTAAAACTTTCGAAATCTCTATTTCTAACTAGCTGGTCGTTTTCAGAATGAAAATCGATCTAGAAATTGCTAGATTTTAAAAAAACGCCCCACCTTTCAGGCTGAAAAGTCAAAACTTCAGCCTGAAAATATCTAAAAACTAATAAAACCAAAAAATCGATAAATGTTGGGATATATTTGTTGTTTGATGATAAAGAAACAGCTGTTGCTTCTTTATTTTTTGCCGCTGGGCTTTGAAAAATTGGAACGGATACTTTTTTTTGGTTTCAGTTGAAAAATTGAAAATAAAAATTTCTTTTGAAATTTCTGAAGAAAAAATTAGGAAAAATCTTCTGGAAATTTTCGGATATTGAAAAAGTATTGCGAAACTTTCTGGCACCAAAAGTACCACGTGGTTTTTTTTTGAAGATAAATTCTGAAACTGCACAAAAATTGTGTCCGGAAACCCTTTTAAAGGAAATCTAGAAAAGATGGAATTTTTCTGAAACAGTGTTTTGCTATCTGAAAAATTAGCACAAAACACTCCAAAATCTTACCATTCTTTCCAAATTCGAACTCGTACTCGATTCTCTTCCATAACTCGTTCGATACGGAGCAGGAGCCGGATCTCTAGAACTCGAATATCCTCCCGTTCCTCGCTCGACACTTCCAGCTCGACTTCTAATTGAGCTAGAATTCAAACTCGAGTTTGAAGAGCTCGAATTTCGGTACATTTTCCTATTTTTCTCACTGTCAATTCAAGAAAATATATAAAAGTGTGTGCAAAATTAACAGAAATAAATAGAAAAAGTGCTCTTTATGTTACACTTTTTTTGATTTCTTAGTGAAACGAACAACTGTTCCCTTTTGACCTAATATTCCAGATTTTTTGAAAACATTTTGTTTTTCATATTGTTGGCTATTTAGATACCTAATTATTAGGTTTAGCTCCAAAAATAAAAGATAAAAGGAGAATCGAGAAACCCACCTGTATCTTCTAATCGCTTAATTAGTGCGTTTAGAAGGAGAGTGCACGGTGTTTCAAAAGAGTAAAAGAGAAAAGATATAAGCGCTTCTTAATTGACACGAAAACAAAAACAAAATCTTCATTTATTTCCGAATCTAATGTTAGATTCGAAAATTCAAAAAATATTTGCCGCCAGCAGGGGTCGAACCTGCGACCTTGGGCTTATTAGACCCACGCTCTAACCGACTGAGCTATGGCGGCCGATGAGGAATGCTGTTAAAATTTTTTAGATCAATTTTGTGTGATACGATTTTATATGGAATTTTTGGAAAAATTTATAAGTGTAAAATTGCGGCGGATCTTTTTTGAAAAGGTGTCAAACTTCTTGTTAACACAATGTTTGAGAAACTGTCACCTACACTAAAGTGCCAACCGGAAAACGACCACCCACTGTTTTGAGAAACCGCCCGCCTCACCAAAAAAATAACCAAGTTGCATTATATTTTCCAGCTGCCTAGACTTTCCGAAAGTAAACAATTTTCACCTGCTTTATTTTGTCGAAAAAAATACAAATAAAGTTCAGAATTCAGATTTTTCCAGATATTTGTTTTGAAAATGCTGAAAATCATTGCTGAAAGTATATTTTTATTCATTGTTTTTGTATTGCTCAGTTTCGATTTCTTGCTGTTATTAGTTATTCGAGCAAATAAGCGGGATGGTGAGCAAAACTATTCCTATTTATTTAGTGTAGAACATTGTGTTGAAAGGTCACGTAGTCACAGTATTTTCAGCTTCCCTACCTCTTTCCTATATTTTCTTGCTTGCTACAACCAGTGCAATTTGTAAAATCACATTAATGATTTGCATACTCGCTGGGCTTCTTCCATTTCCAAATGGTTTTTACCAAAATTTCCGAGAATATGTTGGTGCAGAAATTACACTTATCAACACTCTAAATTATCTCGGACCTCAATTTATATGCGTTTTAATGACTGTTCATCGTGTTTTTATCATATTCGCTCCAATGAACAGAACTACATTTTCTCACGAAAGGATTTTGATTTATGGAACTGGAATTTTGGCAATTACTTTTATTTCGTTGATTATCCCGTATTTTAGCGAATGTCGCATTAATTATTCCGAACCGGAGTTGTCTTTTGCATCAAATTGCGCGCCAAATCGACATGTGGTGGGTATTAGAGCACATTTGTTGACATAAGATTTGTAGAAAAGTTTAAGTGACACTCTTGACTCATTGTGTTACACAGTTCAGAAAATACACGTATCAGAGTGATATTTTAATTGTTACGTTTCCAAAAACCTCATGATTGGATTAGATCGTCTAAGTTTTATTTTCTCTAGAAAAGTACATATTAAAGTCAGGTGCGTATTGAAGAAAATATCACGAGGAGTGAAACAATTTTTTTGACTCATTATAATTATTGGGTTATAGTTGGGAAAATATTAGCTTGTGAATTCATCAGAGCAAATTTTCCTTCTTTGGTTTTTTGGAGAATTTGGAGAGAACTCCGAGATAGTAGACAATTTCACTGGCTTCAAAACCCAACTCCACACTTGTAGACTTGACATATTCAAAAAGTTGGTAATATCTTCCCATTCCGAACACATGAAGTTCAACAGAGAGCAGTTCAGTTTTTTTATTCACTAACAAACAATTGACCCAAATGGTGTAATTTTGAAGCTTTTGTAATACTTTATTTTCAGGCAAATGTTATTTTCCAGATAACTCTCATACAAAATAAATACTTGATAATTCTCCCAGTCACGTGTATGACAATCAATCTAATAATAGTTGGACATCTTCGAGCATTACGAGAAGGTCTCTACGAATATCTTCCATTTTTTCAAAAAACCCGACCAGAAATTATATTTCATATGTCAACTTTTATGTCGAATCAAACTCAAAACGAAAATAAAAAACGAGAGATAAATATGATTCGACAAACAGTTGCAACTACAGTTTATTTATCACTTTATGAATTTATCGGCTTGTTAATTCGAATGTTTCCGGGAGTCTATTCAAATATTCCAGTCGATCTTAGATCTCTTATAGTTTTCGCTCGATTTATCATGGCTTTTCTCATCAATTTTTTCGTGTATTTCGTGGAAACTAAAAATGTTCGGAAATCTATTTTAAAATATCTCGGATATCATGATAAACCTCAACCTGTGACTTCTGTCAAAAATTTGGAGCAATGAAGTTTTTTTTCGAATATATTTACAGTACAAGTACTCCCTACAGAAAAAAAGGGAGAAAACTATTTGCAACCTCATCAATCACCTTTTTACGTAACACAACTTGCCCTTTCCTTTTTCCAAAGCCATTTAACAGCCATTCAAGGACACACACCTGGGAAAAACAAAAATAATCACGGGCCATTTCATTTACACCTGTTTCTGGATTTGAAATGAAACCAAATAAAATTTGACTCTTTTGAAACACCAAAATATTTGCCGCCAGCAGGGGTCGAACCTGCGACCTTGGGCTTATTAGACCCACGCTCTAACCGACTGAGCTATGGCGGCCGATATGAAATGCTGTTCAAATTTTTTGGATTAATTTTGTGTGTTTCGATTTTACACGGAATTTTTGGAAACATTTAGAAGTGTAAAATTGCGGCGGATCTTTTTTGAAAAGGTGTCAAACTTCTTGTTAACACAATGTTTGAGAAACTGTCACCTACACTAAAGTGCCAACCGGAAAACGGCCACCCACTGTTTTGAGAAACCGCTCGCATCACCAAAAAAAATAACCTTTTTTTTAAGAAATTTTTTTCATTTTTCACTAATGCACAGTAATCCAATTAATTAATTACCTGAAATACTGTGTTATTCTACCCCTCCTAATTGTCTGCCCATATGTTTTTTATTGGGTAATCATTTAGTGTTTTTTTTGTGCCGACAAAAAGGTAATTAAGAGCTCAGATAGATAATTTATTGGGTGAGAATGAGAGTAAAAGTTCCCGTAACTTGGTTATTTTTTTGGTGAGGCGGGCGGTTTCTCAAAACAGTGGGTGGCCGTTTTCCGGTTGGCACTTTAGTGTAGGTGACAGTTTCTCAAACATTGTGTTAACAAGAAGTTTGACACCTTTTCAAAAAAGATCCGCCGCAATTTTACACTTCTAAATTTTTCCAAAAATTCTATGTAAAATCGTAACACACAAAATTGATCCAAAAATTTTTAACATCATTTCGTATCGGCCGCCATAGCTCAGTCGGTTAGAGCGTGGGTCTAATAAGCCCAAGGTCGCAGGTTCGACCCCTGCTGGCGGCAAATATTTTATTTTTCTAATTTATAATTTGAAAATTTCAAATAAGTCATAATCGGTTTGTTTTCCCAAATTCGTATAGCAATCGCTTTCTTCCCCCCAACCATATAATCATAATTAAATGCTTTATCTCAAGACAGAATTCCTATGATAAGAACCTATGATTAGTGACAATTATCTGCGCCCACGGTTACCGTTCTCGTTTTCGTCTTCGTTCTCAACACCAAGTTTTTTCAACGAAAACAACAAAAAAACCAAAAACCCCGCCCATTTTTCACACACACTGGATGTCTAACTACGGTAAATGGGCCGAAAAATGGGCGGGGCTTGGCAAAGAAAAGGAGAAGAGCAGCATATCCATTTTCTTTTCCTAACAACTAACTAATAGCTGGTTCTTTCTAATATACTACTATTTGAAAAGCCTGAGCTAAGCCTTTAATTTTTCAACAAAAAAATCGAGATGATCAATCCAGCCGATCCATTCCAGGTTAGTTTTTTTTTTTTTGAAAGTTTTTTTCTTTTCAAAATTTTTATGCTTTTATTTGTATGCGCCTTTAAAACTTGTAGTATTATAAAAAAAATTCAACCTTAGAGGTTTTAAAGAAAAGTTTTAAAAACCTTGCAGTGCAAGGCTTGCACGGTATATGTTTCTTGAGAAAAGACTACTTCAACCTCTATGAAAAACTCACGATTTCTCAAATCCTGATACTTTTGGCAGCTCCGAAAATCCGCAAACCCCGAAAAATAAAAAATAAAAATAATGTTCAGGCGCACAACAAATAACAACTAGGTCTTGACGTGACGCGCTCACCTTTTTTATTCAAAAATTTATTTTTTATTAATTTCAAATTTTATGTTCAGACCGAATCACCGCTGTCAAAACTCGTCGAACATTGCAATAAACTCGGTGTTACTGATAAAACCACTAGCAGTCTCGCAACCAATAATTCCGTCTCCACAAATGTCACCAAAGATGCAGCCACAGCTCTTCTTTTGACTTCACCAGTCACTGGCGATTTCAATAGTCATCATACTCATCCTTATGCACAATATCATCAATTTATCCCAGCGACTGCAAATTGGTGGATGGAACAAAATTGGCCAAATTTGGCGTATAATGCAGTTGCAGCGGATGCTTATCAACAATATTTGACACCATTTTTAAATGGTGCAACTGGCGCTAATTTAGCGGGTCTTACCACGACAACACATGCTACAATCTCACCACCATCCACATCAACAATATCGCAAACAACTTCAACTTGTTCTAACTCTGCGCCAACTTTAGCTTCTTCTGGTGGCGGGAAAATTCGAAATCATCATAATCATCACACTCCAAAATATACACAAAAATCGAATTGCGATTGCCCGAATTGTCGAGAATTGGAGAGAAGTGGTGGTGAGATTTTTATGGGATTTTATTTTTTTTTCTGGGGGGAGCCAACGAAAGGTGCCAATTATTTTCCCTTTGGCACGGGTTCGTGATCCTTCTTTTTCTGGTTTGAAAGAAGGAATGGGGAAAGGGAATATTGATTTTTTTTTTTGTTAAAATTTTGAGTGAAAAATATTTTTTCTAAGAAAACAGTCTAGAGATCTGAAAATTCAGATTTTGAAAAAAAGTGGAAAACTCAGGATTTTCAGTTCAGAGATGTTCCATTCAGGTTACTGTAGTTTCTAGATTTTTGAACATGTCCCTTTAAAATTAGAATCGGGATTACTGTAGTTACAGACTTCAGATTTTATTTTCAATTTCTCACATAAATTTAGAAAAATTCAAATTTAATTTCGAAAATCCAAAAAAAAACTCTAACATAAGAATTTCCGATTGTCACATATCAATTCCTCTCTCTTTTCTAATCCCTTCTCCAAATTTTTGTTTTTGGGAAGTTACACTAATTCGCGCAGCTTGAAATCTCCTAACCCAATTATCTGCTGATTGACACCTTATTGTTTTTTCTCTCTCGCTGAAAATAATACCCCCAGATTTTTGGGAAACTTTTAGGGTAACGAGATACTAATCCCATCTGCTCAATATTTTTTTTGGCTGCTCATCCGGGAGCATTTTCCTAGTTTTTCACACCTATCAAGATATAATACAATCTATCTCTGATATATTTAATTATGCCGGGAAATCGTATTTTAGATAACAATCTGATTTTTGACAAAAAAAAAGCAGCTCCCTTTTTTGCGGTGATTTCCGATCCGATAAAAATATGTGTGCTCACTTTTGAAGATACTGTAGTTTTGCGGGAGAATATTTTGAACCAGTGTTTTTTAAGGAACATGGTTACGGTAGATCTGGAAATTATCAATTTTTTGAGAAGAACTGTGGGTTACTGTAGTTATTCAACCGATTGATAATGCTCCTTCGAAAAATTAGTTACTCGGAATAAATTTTTAGCTACAGTAATCTTTATATATTTTAAAGGAGCAGTTGTGAAAAATTGAAAATCTAGTAAATAGCAAGCTACAGTATCCCCCATATTTAACGGAACATCCTTGTTCTCAAAATTACAGTACTCTCAATGTTTGCAGGTCCGCCACCCGAGAAGCTCGTTCACAATTGTCACATCGCCGGTTGCGGAAAAGTCTACAGTAAGAGCAGTCATTTAAAGGCACATCTACGTTGGCACAATGGAGACCGGCCTACAGTAAGTATTCTTAAAGGAACACAACTGGATTTTTTGTGAGAAAAACGTTTTCTGAAAGGTTAAGGTTATAATTAAAATTGGAATTCGAAAAGGAATTTCGAAAAAAAACAGTGCAATTATTTTTGTTTTGTATACTGTAGAATTTGGGGAAATGGTGGGAAGGTATTTTATTTTAATCCTTTTCGTATATGTTATGAGAGATAATTATTCTTCTTCTCCTTTTTTTTAGCTAGGCCAGGTTAAATCCTTCTCCCAACTGTTACGTAAGGTGTTTAACCCCATAATTAGACCAAAAAACGAACGTTTTGTTATTCTTTTTGCCATTCTGGTGTCAAAAATTGGTTTTTGCTTGGCTGGTTTTTCGGTGAAGAAATTTTTACGCCACGTAGAAATTTGAAATTTCAACACAAAATCAACAATACAGCGTCGTTCATTTTAAAATTTCAAAATTCGCAGCTACCGTAATCCCATAAAAATTTAAAGGAACATACAAAAATTATTTTTACATTATCTAAGAAATCTACAGGGAAAAATTCAAAAATTCAAGATTTTCAAAACATAACTTCAATTTTTCAGCGAAAACGATCGGGATAAATCGAAATCAATGCACAATCTTCAAAAGATATCCTAAATATCTCCACATATCATCCACAATCTGGTCCGAAATTCAATCCTATCCCCCTTCCCACATTTTTTTTCCAGTTTCGATTTTATTGCACTTTTTATTGATTTTTTTTTTTGTGAATTGTATATTTAATCAAATAAAGTAATCTTGAATTTGTTTAACTTAGTTGTGATAACAGTATTTTAGAGATGGAATTTCTAAAATCTAGATTACTGAAACTCATTAATTTTACAGTTCTCTGGAAAACGTCGGTTTTGCAGTCGTATATTTTGAGTTCAGAAAAAACACATGTCAAAAACTAGGGGGAGTGCGGGAGTTGAAACAAAATCTGAAATATTGAACAATGTTTTTAGTTGCGAATTCTTTCAATTTTGAATCTTTTAAATTTCAGTCTTAATACGGCGTCCAAAGGGAAGAAAGCGCGGGTAGAATCGCGTAGATTCATGCGTTTTTTCGCGAAAAGTAACTCGATTTCGCGTACGTTTTTTTTCACTTGGACGCCGTACAAGGGCTTCGATTAAAACGTAGGTGTTACACGCAACATTTCATAATTAAAAAAATCATTTGTTTCATCTAACTTTCATCTAGCTACCGAAACTTAACATCCAATCGAGATATACAGGGTCATCTTTGTGAGGAGCCTGAAAATCAGATAATGTTTAAACATTAACAAACAAAAAACAAAAATAACGAACCCGTGGCACAGACGGAGAAAAAAGTTGAACAGACGATCCATCAACAATCTCAAATAAAATCTCTGCTTATTTTTCATCACTCAAATAATAGAACTTACCTCATAAAAATCAGCAGTGTTATTATCTTCCAGAACTTTTCCATTGAAAACCAACTTTTGTGTGTTTGCCGCAATATCTTCTTTATATTCGATATCTCGCTTGATATTTTTCACACTTTCTTGCGGCTCGATTTGAATTTTCATTGATCTTCCAGACAATGTTTTGACTTCAATAATGATATCCGTTGCTTGACCAATTTTTTCTTTCAAATTTCTGCGAACTTTTTGCACTGCCCCCTTCCAATCATTGAAACGTTCTGCATACTTCAGAATTCTTGGACAAGAACTGAAACTATATACTGCATTCACTTTGTCTGCGAAAGATGGTTTGAATTCTTGAGCAAACAGTGGCGCTTCAACTGTAGTCAATTCAAGTTTTTTCCGATTCAACATATGAATTCCAGCTGCAACATGCAGTGAAGAAGTAGAAATATCACCCTTAAATGTATGCGAATGCTGCTCTCGTTCATAATGATTATATGGAACTACCACTGTACATTTACCGCAACCACATGACAATGGCCTGAAAAAAAATGTTTTTAATCAAATTGTGCAAAATATCCAAACTCACACTTCATCGTCTTGGTCCGCCATCGCTTTTTGAAAAGTTTCAATTTTCGGAATACCTAAAATTAACATGAGCAATACAGTAACTGGGTCTCCCAGCGACTCAATAAAAAACTATGCGCCTTTGAAAGAGAATCATAATTTATTCAAAAATAATCAATAAAAAATTTGGAGATATGAAAAATTAAATGAGAATTGTTTGTTGTTGTTTAGTTGCCACCGCGAAGCGCCAAAACCAAGTGAAGAACCGAGCCACCAACAACCTGAATCGATTTTTTTTTTGGAAAATTTTCAAATTATTCGAAAAGTGCAGACAATTTTTCAATTAAATACATAATTTTTTTGGAAAAAATAATTGAAAGAACTAACCTTATAGTCTGTGGCAGTTTTGTCGTCATTCATCTGCTTTCCGGAGAAAATTAACCTTTGTTGTGGTGGCGGAATGCCCTCTTTCTCCTCGACTTTTTCCTTGATTCGTTCCACACGATCGTTTGGCTCAATGTCCAGCTCGATTTCTTTACCAGTCAATGTTTTCACTTTGATCAGCATATTTCTAACTGCAAAATGACGATTATTGGAGTGAAAAACAGGTGGGACGCTTGCAATCTTGCGAAATGGCGCGCGAAAAATCGAAAAAATAAATCATCGCGTGGCCGTGTGGTCGAGAGCCCGCTTGGTTTCCTAGGCCAACTACATTTTTACTTTTTTTTTCGCCCCAAAAATCCATATTTTTCTGCAGGTTTTGCAAATTTTTAGCGGAATATTGGTGGTTTAGAATGAATTTATTAATATGAAGAGGTTTTTATAGGTTTCGGATATCTGAAAACTCTGTTTTCCTTTTCAATTTGACCAATAAAATTGTTAGACGTTTGATAGAGATTTTCAGATTGGGCAAAGCTGTTTTAATCTATTTTGTGTTCACAGTTTGTGAAAGTTGAGAAATGATTGAAATTTAAGGTTTTTATCGAAAATGAAAATGCGTAATTTAAATTAAGCCGTGAACTCTGACGTGGAAATTTTGATTAGAAATGTGCGATAGCTGCAAAAAACATTTGTCGATTTTTTAAGCTTTCGAAACGTTATGCAAAGTTCTCTTTCGATGAGTGTAACAAATCTTTTCCCTCTGGCTTGAAAACTTAAAATCTATAAAATGGTGTGTTTGTGCCTCAAAAATTAGGTCAGAAATCCGATTTTTCTAAATTTCACCTGAAATATTTGATCTCCAAGCGCGAAATTTCACTCGTTCTGCGTCTCCTTCCAACTTTCTCCCTCGCTTTCTAGCTCTTTATAAATAAGTTTTCTAATCAACTGTAATCAAATAATAATTTATTAATAATATGCACCCAATCCTTCGAAAACTTCTTGCTATCTTTTGGTTCGTCTCAAAAACGCGATTGTTTTGATTAAAAAATCATCATATTCTTTTTCCAGCATTAAATCAAAAATGCCGAGCATGGTAATGTCCCAATTGCCGAAATGCAATCATTCGGAAGTGTTCGCACGTCGTCGTCCCAAATCGAATCGACAATCTGAAAATATCCTCGCAATCAATTATATGTACGTGGCGATTCCGAAAAGCAAGTTCATATTTTATGTGAGAGAAAGATTGGTTTATCGTTCGAGTGTTGAAGTAACTTATGACGAGGTTTTCAATTATTTGACTGATGTTTGCAATGATTCATCAATCTCATTGCACTACACTTTCAATAATCAATACGTTTCGATTACTACAACTGGACAACTTCACACTTTCTTCCAACATCTTCATAATGATCCTGGAATGTTTCTTTATATCGAAAACAAGGATTATGTCTGGAATGTGAAGCCGAAAAACAAGAAAAAGAAGAAGTGTTGTGCTGAAGAACCAAAACAAGAAGAAGAGGAAGAAGTTTCTGAAGAAGAGGAACTTAAACCTATCAAAAAACCGAAATGTACGTGCCAACATCATTTGGATGAATCTACTGATTCTGAGGAAGATGATTCGGAAGAGGATGATTCTTCGGAATGCACTTCTGAAGAGGAAGATGAAGAGGAAGTGGAGGAAGATGATCCGGATCAAACAGTTGTATCGATTCCGAAATGCTCGAGTTCTCCGGAAGGTTTGCTTGGAGAAGAGATTGATAGCGATGAACAGGTTTCAACTATAAGCAGTTCGGAAGAATGGCAATCTCCATCCCCAGCATCCAAGAAAAATACTCCGGAAAACGAGGCGAAGGTTAAAGAGGATCTCAAGAAGTTTGTTAAGGATATCATAACAAAATATGATTTCGAATCTCCCACTGAGAAAACACTTCAACCGTATTGCGAAGCGATTTCGCGGAAATTGATCAATGCATTGTGGCCACCGAAGATCACTGCGGATACCGCGGTTTTTGAAAAAAGTATTACGATTTTGACGTTTGCGGTTGGAACGAATTTGTGCATGTATTTCAGGGACATTTATGTGAGTTTTGGAGTTTAAAGTGGGAGGAGGAAAAACCAAAATTCTTGATTTAAAATGAGAATTGATCTTATTTTTGATGCTACAAACCTGAAATTTATAAAACTAAAATGAAACTTTAGCTGCAAAATCCGCAGTTTTGGAAATTTTGGATCTGGAAAAATGTTTGCTATTTCGCTCAGAAATTCGGCTGAAGTTTTCGGCAAAAAATCACAATTTTTTCAGCTTACATTCCATCTAATAAGAATAATATTCCAAAATTTTCCAGCGTAAACATTTCAATTTTTCAATTTAATTTCTTTCAGAAACACGGCGAAGATCCAAAAGAACTTTTCGAAAGATTCATCGATTCAATAATTGCCGAAACTCACGCAACTGTTGAAACTCAACGACAATTGAATCATATGCTCGGACAAATTCATTCTCTCAAATCATTGAAACCGTTTTGTGAATCCATTAAATACAGTAAGTTTTTGACTTTTTTCAATGAAAAACAATGATTTTTAACTAAATTTACATTTTTTTCAGATGTCGAAAAGATGCCGAAAGTTGAGCAAATCATTTCAACACTTCAAGAGACTATTGTCACATTGGATATCACTTTCAGCAAAGTTTTCACAATTGAACAAATGGATGGATGTCCGTGTGTGGAGTCGATTAAGAATTTTATGGATGTGAGTTTTGTTGAGTCGAAGTTTTCATGGGAAATGAGGAGTACAAAATTCAAAACTGGTCGCTTAATCATCTCGGGAAAAAATAAAATTTTCTGTTACATTTTATACCAAAATATTAAAAATGAATTCAAATGCTCATCTCTTGTTTTTTTCAGCATTTGAATGGTGTACTCATTGCCATTACGGAAATCGTGGATGTCAAAGATCGAAACATAAACATCGAAAGAAACTTCATTACAACAATCGATAAAATGACTCAAATCTTCATCGATAATTCATGTGACAAACATTCAGTTTGGGATGATGTAATTGAGGAAATTGATCAATTTTCGCCACCAAATACACCACAAAATGCACATATTTGCTCGAATCATTCACCAGTTAAAAAATGTGAAAAACATAAAAATATTGAATGTTTGGAGAAATTGAAAGAGCGACAAAAGAGTATTATGCGAGAAATTGAGGAAATGTCGGAAATGTTGCCAAAAACACCGGAGAAAATGGCGGCGACGCCAAGAAAAACGGCACAATCTACGAATAGTACGCCAAAGAAGGAATATAGTGCCACAACGCAGGCGAAAATTGATGAAATGGTGAGCATTTTTGAGGGATAGAATGACTGGAAAATCAATCTGAAGCCCTTTTAGCACTAAACATTCGAATTTTCAGTCTGGAAAAATATTCCTAAATTTTTTTTAGACTGAATATCCCTATTTTCAATTATTCGCCCTATCATTTTTTTCGTGCAAAAATCCAAATTGTTTTTATCAAAAATATTATGATTCACAGTTTTCGTGACTCCTAAAAATGTTTTTTTTTTCTAAAAAATGAATCAGAAAAAATCCCATAAAATTTATTGTTTTTTCCAAACAACCTCGAAATTCATCAGATTTTTTAACTACGATTAGTTTTGCAAAATCTACAGTAGTATAACCATTTTTGTATTATCCAATACTTCGAATTCTACAATAGCCCCTTAATGTTTCCTACTTCGGAATTTCTAACACGGCAGGAAACTGTAAAATGTCCAATTAAAAACTTCTTGGGTGGTCCACAAAAAAGTCCTCCTTCTCTCTTTTTTTGTTTCTTTACACTACAATTTTTGTATCACAGGAAAATAGATACAAAAAAATCACATAGCATTTTTTACAAGAAAAAAACAGATTATTCATCTGGACTTTTTTCTCCGCCCATTTTTTTTGCTTTTTTTCGCCTAGCCTTTTTATCATTTTATATTATTTTAGCTGTATAGGTTTTGAGGATTCTATTGAAGCTAACGCATATTTTCCGCATTCTCTGGAATTCTTTCTGACCTGAAAAGATAAAAAATGTCTTTCGAGGTTCCGGTGAGCATTTTTGGGTTGAAAATTCTATTTTTTAAAGTCTAATGGTTAGATGAAAGTGCGCATTTCCAGTTTCAAAATTAGATCTCACATCATTTGAAAATTTTAAGTTGTTCCTATTTGAGCTGCGAATTTTGGCTATAATCAATAATCTCATCTCAAATTTAGCCTCGTACTCAATATTTAGTAAAAGTAATAGTTGAAAATTTCTTAATAAATTCCCAAAAGACACTGTTTGTCATGAAAAATGTGACTGAAAAATCCGATTCAAAACCCATAATTATAATTATATACTCCCAGAAAAAGTATATTTTTTCTTTCCAAAAATAACCAGGTGACCAATTTTTATTTTGCAAAAATGTTCTAATTGCCACGTCATTAGAAAAAAGGGAAAACTGATTGCGAAAATGGGAATGGCTTGAATCCGTTTTGAGCTGGAAATTTGCCCGAGAAAAAACCCGCGAAAATTACGTTTCTGCTTTTTTTGAGAATAGAAATCTGTTTTTCGGAATCAATAAGTACATTCGAATATTCTTCATTTAATAACTAAAACAGAATTTTTCAAACCCAATTATTGAAAATTAGGAGAAAAAATACCTGGAGAAATATGGAACATTTTATAAAATATTCTGAAATCCTGAATAGTTGAAAATTAATAAAAGTCCGAAACACCGCTCAAATTTGAAAAAAAAGTATTTTTGCAAAACTCTTTCAATATTCTCAAATATCTCCAAATTTTGCAGATGAAATCAACCAGCAACCACAACTATGTCTATCCACCACCACCAAAACCCGGAGCAATTATGATACCAGCAGGTGGTTTGGCACATTGTCAATGCAAAAAAGATTGTCCATTTTTGCTCAACGAACCTGCCTACATTTACATGGACCGTTTCAATGAGCCAAAACAAACGCTTCTCGAAAAAACCAAACAAAAACGTTTCAAAAAGAATTAGAGATTTCCCCCCAGATTTTTCGGGCGCCATTTTTCCTTTCACCATTTTCATTCCCAAAACGAGTTGTTGTTTTTCACACCCAAATTTTGCCACATTTTTCCACTTTTCCTAGGTTCTTTCGTTTTTTAAGCTCACCCCATTTTCCCCTCTAAAAAGCTCAATTCTTATTTTTCCCTCCCTCCAAATTATTATTTTTTAGCTTTACCTTAACCCAATTCTCTCTAAGTTTTTTTCTTCACAAAAAGTTTTCTCAGAGTTCGATTCACTTTTTTTTTGTGTTTTCTTGTATTATAACTTTTGATTGTCTTTTTCAAATAGTGAGAGTAAGTTCTAGCAGCATAATCTTAATTCCCTTTTTTGTCGATTTTTGAATAGTTTTTTTTGAATGAAGAGTTTTGTTTTGGAATTGTTTGTCCAAAAATTGAGGTTTAGAGGTTTTTAAAGCCTGCTATATTTTTAAGCGGGAAATTTGGAGCATTTTGAGCCTGTTTTCAGGTCACATTTGCTTTTTAAGGAATTACTGTACCAGAAAACCATGCCGCAAGTTGCAAAACTGGGCGTGGCTTCATGGAAACCGTATCTAGAAAATTTCGGCGAAAAAACGAAATTGTTGTATAATTCTGAAAATTTCTGGGTTTTTTTATTCCAATTTTCAAGTGAAAGTTCGAGCTTAAAAAATCAATCAATTCGCTCTCAAAATTCCCAAAATTCCAGCCTCTCTCAAAACTTGTCAAACTGGCTGGAATTCTGAAAAAAGGTGTTCTGAGTTTTGTGGTCTTCGAAATTTCCGCCGCCGCCATCGGATTCGCCGCCTTTCGAACACTGCGAAGATCTGAAGAAAAACGAAAATATTTGTATTTGAATTGGCCGAATTGTGCTGCTTCGTATTATTGGTTGGAGGATTCGATATCGTTTGGACAACTTACTGTAAGTGAAAAATTTGGGAAATTTCGAGACCAAATTTCATAGGAATCCGTGGATTTTGAGATAATTTTCAACTGAAACTCAGGATTTTGATCTTCAAATCTTAATTCAGCACTAAAAAAACCCGAGTTTCAATTTAAGCTTGATATCCTAATTTCCAGGGAACCCGACTTCGACTAAACGATCAACGTCGTTGGGCACAAATCGACACCGAAAACAACATCGAATCAGATTAAATGGTGTCTCGATCCGAAATTCAAATGCTAATCTTGGGCACAAGTTTGCTAACCGCTATCACTTGCAGTTATATCAATGATTATTATCAGAAAAACAAACCGCCACCCGAAATTCCAGTACAATCTTGGGATAAATATGTGAAATTGCAGAAAGAGGCCGGAAAAGATTATTAGTTCACGTTTTAGGCTTATTTATATGAAGTTTTAGAGATTGATTGTTTTTTTTATAATTCAAGCTTCGGGTTTTTGAACCCTTGAATTGAATATCTTTATATATTGTCATGCCCATTTTTAGCCAATATCAGAGATTTTCAGAATATGTCACAAACTGGTCCGTTTATTCGAGTTCAATCTGTTAGTGCACCACTTAAAGGATCATTTCCATTGGATCACGAAGGGACGTGTAAATTGGAAATGTTAAAGTAGGTTTTTCTTTGAAACCACGCCCGCCTTTGGGTTTTGGTGAATCGAAATTCTAAAAAAAACCACATTCAACCTGTTTTTAGTCTCAAAATGCTCCAATTTTTGTAGCTATATGGTGTGCCTTCACAAAAACAAGCAACAAAATTCGGAGTGTCGTTTGAATGCCAAAGAATATTTCACGTGTAGAATGGATAATGGTCTGATGGATCGAGATGAGTGGAAAAAATTGGGATATTCCGAGGAAAAATAGATGAACCCATTTTTTGTAAATAAAAATTAATAGTGTTTTTTTTTTGAGAATGAATTAATTTTTGACGTGAACTTTTACATTTATTTTTGAAATTAATTGGTTTTTTTCATTTCTAATTCTGAAAAATTTGATGGGTGCTTTACAGGTGAAACCTAGAAAAACTGAAAAACTTGAAGGAATAGCCTCACCAAAACCATCACCCCGAAAAGTTGATGAGAGTTTTATCAACAAGCCGGTGAGAACCATGCCGCAGATTTAAAAAATGAATAATAGAATTTCCAGCAGAAGGTTACGGAAAATACGACTCCACGGATTAGTTCAAGAAACCCGCCAGATCTAATTTCTGAAGAAAATGAAAAAGGGAAAAAGAGCCCAACTATTGAAAATAGCGATGAAAAGAAGAAAAAACCAAAGAAACCCAAAATTTCGTCGCGAGAATCGAAAGCTGAACGACAATCAAAATCTCTTCCAATAGCTAGATGTCCGGTGCGCGGAGAATCGAATAAAGAATATCAATCTGATAGAGAATTGATGGAGAATGGTGTGAAATCACCACCAACTCCAAATGATTTGGTGAGTTTTACGAGGGGTTTTCTAAGCCATCTCTATTCTTGCAATCAGCAAACCATGCCACAGACTGAAAAAAAAGCATGAAATAATTCATAAATCTCTAGGCTAAAAGGAAACCTCTACACGGTGATTCAATGAAAGCTCAACGCCCTCGTCGTCAAAAACATAATCGAAAGCCAAACAACCACCATCTTCCATCAAGATTCAATGAATATCAAAGAGTAAGTTAGGGATTAGAAAATCAAGCGGAGATTTAGTCATCTATGAAAATCAGCTATTTCCAGCCAGCTGTGGTTACTTGTGATCCACATGCTGATGAAATAATCATTTCGGAGAATTTGGATGCGACATTCAAGTATGGTGATATGATATCAGAAATTACACAATCTGATAGATCACAAGAATAGATTATGAAGTTTTTGTTGAAAACGCCAATATTCACAGGGGTTTATTGATTAGGCTAAAATGATATGAGGGGATTATGTACTTATGTATCTGTTTTCAAAAATCACGGCGAACCGGACAATTTCGTTCGGTATGTGCGTTTCCTTCGGTCGCTCCGCAAATCGAGCATTTATGAAACCAAAGAAGCGGACATGTGATGAAACCAAAACGAGCCAATGAATGTGACGACCAAACGCCGAACGAATCTTTTGCCGGAATCGGCAAATTCAATTCGGCTTTTTGTTTTCTGGCAAGATTCCAGCAGAATGAACAACATTTTGGGCGTTTTTCCTGGAAAAATGGGCGGAAATAAGGAAGTTGAGTATACAATTTCCAGATTTTTTGACTGAAAATATGGCTAATTTTCAGTCACATTTCACATTAACAATGACGTGGCAGTTTAAAAACTTGGAAAAAAACAAATATTTTTACGTGAACTTATTTCGTCACTTGGCATATTTTTTATTTTCAGCCATTCATCTCTCAGAAAAATATCATTTCTTGCTATTTACGTTTTTCTATTGACGCAATCCAAAAGTCGGAAAAACTCACATTTCTCTCCGAATCCGAATGATATCCAAGTGACGATTCACTACTTTTTCTCGAATTTGGAGGAGTTTCCACTGGATCCTGAATAAAATTATCTTTTTTTGCACAATTTTTGCATCCCACTCACCTCGTTAATGCTCTCAATATCGCTCATTTTAGGATTTTTCGAAAATAAAAAAAAAAAGAGCAAATAAGAATTCAAATAAAGGAACATGTGTGCACGTTACGAGACCCAGAAGAAATCGGTGTGTGCCATTGTCACGGATACGGTATTATGTTTTTTCTTTTTTTTTCCAAAAAAAATCTGGGCCTACAGTACTACATTTTTTAAAAGATTTTTTTATTTTAAATAATTTCCAGTTTATTGAACAAAATAAATTTTTCGCGCAGGGCTATAATTGGTTAAAAATTTTCAAATTGTTCCCTATCTTCTCTCTAGTTTCTTCTCCCCACAGCCGCGATCAAATTGTTCCATTTATATTGTTCACCTCCAGAACCCAATTTTTTCCATCATCGTCGCTGATAACACACGCGAGCTCCAAAAAACAAGTTTCGGTGCCAGGCACCCCCAGGCATTGTTTTTCATCTCGCTCTCCCGAAATTGCTCTTATCACCAACCATTCTTGGAACTTTTTTTTGTTTTATTTTTTCTGGAGCAGCACAAAAGTTTTATGATCAATCAAACATTATTTTCGAAAAAAATATGTAGAAAAAAATTATAAAATACCAGTAATATTCGCAATTTCAGACTAGAAATGTATAGTTTTTTGTTTGTTTGGTGGATGGAATTTGGAAAAAATTATGAGAGATAAATAGACTAGAGGAGGTAAATTATCAGAAGGGTATTTAAATTATTGAAGGAATGGTGTAGAAGTTGGTGGAGATGATTGTTGATAGAGGAATTGGTGTTGATTTGGTGCAATTTGTTGGGTTTGGTGGATATTTTGATGGGTGTAGAAGGTGGTAGAAGTGGTTTGAAATGGTTCATAATATTGAAGGCGAATTTGAGCATCGTGTAGTGCTTCGCGTAGCATTTTTATCTGAAATTTATAGGCTTGAAAATCTGAACTTATATAGTTCAGTCTAAAAGTCCAGGCATGAAAAGGATGGCCTACCTGATTTCTCAAAACCAAATTATCCGCTTCGAGTTGCATTTGTGTTTGAACTCGTCGTGCACGGCAATTCAAAGCGTATCCCCGATTTTTCAGTGTTCGCCGCTTTTGTTTCAGTTGCATTACCACATTTCGATCTTGACCCTAGAAATATTTGAAATTTGTTGGAGAAAGTTATGATTTTCACGTGATAAGGGGACGGAAGGAGTTTTTCATGGTAACATTTGTAAGTGTCACGGAAAAATTCACATTAGGATAAATATATCTGGTTTTCACTATTCAAATTCTGGGTATATTCAAAATCCACGGAGACCTCGTTTTCTAAATGTTGGCTGAAACTTCAATTTATTTTTATCAGAAAATTTCGAATTTTCAAATCTTGAGTAGATTTTAAAAATTAGGTCAGGCTTTAAGATAGCCATGTGAAGTAAACCTCTTTTTCTCAATTTATGAAAAATTTTAGGTTTTCACAGTTCTAAAGATGTTTGGTCCTAAAAATCTCTAGGCGAATCGAACCAAAAAATTCCAATTTCGGCTAATTTTCTATCAGAATCCTTCAATTTCCCCCGACTCACCACAAGTTTCTGATTCAATTGTCGCACCGATATTTGTGCCAATTCCTCATCCGACATTCGACTGTTATTGCTATTATTGTTGTCCACATTGATGTCAACACTTCCACAGCTACTATTTCGACCCGTTATTGAACTACACGGTGATTGGCTCATTATTATTTGTATTTGTGAAAAATTATAGTGGTGTGGCTTGCGAAAATCCGATGGGTTGAACTCCGCGACTTCGAAGTAGCTAGAAAAATTGAGGGTTTTGGGAGGAATTTGGATTTTTGGGTTAGAGTGGCGAGATTACAAATTAATATGTGGGACAAGCTAGGAATTGAGGTTTTTCACTGAAATTGGTTCGAAATCGGCTTTTTCTGAAGAACATTGTTGAATTTTGAAAATTCTGCGCTTTGAAATCACAGAGTGTGAAAAAAATTTGAACAGGTTCAACAAAGATGTCGCAATACATCACAATTGTTCAGATCTGGCAAGTTAGGCAATGTTGACTCAAGTTAGTCAGAAGTTCAAATCTCATCCTGATCTCACAATATTGCCTAACCTGCCAGATTTCCCGAACAAAAAATTAGAAACTCATATCTAACTCGTCCCGCATGAATAAGTAACCGATGTTTCTGGAGAAAAAAGACTCCGCCTCTCAATTTTCAACCAAAACTCAGTGATAAGCTTTGCTCTGTGGGTGCAGGTTAGTTAGAGCAGAAACAAAAAAAACCAGAACCAAAATTAGGGAGGGAAAAAAGAAAAAGCGTTCGTTTTTTCATGATAAGAGCAAAACTCAAAAAAAAGCGGGGTTAATAAAGGAGAAAAAAAACGCATGCAAAACCGTAAGATAATAATTGTGACAGAGATAGGATAGGATCTGAAAATATCGATTAAGATTCTGAAAAAAAATAGTCCAGGCTTGAGCCCTAGGCTCAGCAGACATCGAACCCCGTTCCAAAATTAAAATGAAACTAACCTCTTCAAAATTATCATCCGGTGGAATAATCTTCGGTTTTTTACTGTCTTTAGCTTCACTCGGTTTCGCTACAGTAGTCGATGGTGTATTCGAGATTACGGTAGCTGGTACAGTCTTGCCAGCTACCGTACTCAACACAGTTCTCATGCTATTCTCAATTGAATCGGCTAACATTGCTCCTACCTCATCTTCAGCTTCTTCTAATAAAAGATTGGCGCCAGATGAGTTGATTTTTTCGTCCTGAATTTGGGTATATATCTAAGCCAAAGGCTGAGAGCCTTTCCCGATCCCTTACCTGATATCTTCTACAAGCCTCAACCAATTGTTGAACATCATCATCTAAACCCTGTTTTTTCCTTCCAACAATCGAAAAACTCCTCGCAAATTTGCTCGATTGTTCAGTTTGTGTCGATGCATCGCTACTCGAATGTGTTATTCCACTAGTTGTTCCTCTTTGTACCGGAACATGAACTGAAGCAGTTCGTGTAACTCCTCCCCCGCCTCCTCCCATACTACTCGATTTACTCGCTGATCCACTTTGCATTGATGTTCTGGCTGTGGTTTTTGAACCGCCTAGATGTTTGTCCTGTTTTGATGTGCTGTCGTATGCGGCTTGTGAATTTCCAAAGTGACATCTGAAAAAAATTTGGGATTCTAGACTATTCTGTGGGAGCAAACAAGCCTAGGTTTAGAAGCTGGAAATCCACGTGGTAAAATTTTTTGAAGCCAAAAGTTTCACGTTTTTCCGTTTCAGTGCTATGGATTTTCCACCTCAATTATTCGAATATTTTCGTTTAAAAATCCCAAATTTCTTTTCTTGCACTTTCCAAAAGTTCAGAGAAAAATTAATAAAAAAACATTTTTTTTTGTATTTCGTATAGTGAAGACTACAAAAATTCAAAAATTAATAAAGAACAGAAAGAAGCTTATTGATTTTAGACTCAAATTTCCAATCCCTCAAATATTGCCACGTGGAACTATATTTGGTATCAACAATATCCCAAAAAAAAACCAACCTAATCAATTTTGTGGTCGTATAACTGGCTCTTATATTCTTCTCCGGATGCACAATAATTATATATAATTTTGGGAAAAACAATAGAGCCAAAGCGACAGAAGCCGATAAACTATAAGAAAAACTCATAACCAGTGCCTTGTGTGTTGTTCCCATGTGCAAAACCAGAAAAGCGATCCAAACAACCACTGTGCAATACATTGTGAATCCAATAAATTTGGCTTCGTTGAAGTTTTCGGGTAGATTTCGAGTTTTGAAAGCGTATAAAGTGCACAGGGAAATGAGAAAGAAATCCCAGAAAAATGGAATTAGAAAGGATTTTGTCTCGGTGTCACATTCTAGAATAAGTCTGGCTGGCAGAGCGTATTTAGCGAATATTGCATATGGCCAATCACGCATTACACCAACGGCTACGATGACACATTGAATTGCGACGAGAATCCAAGTGATTACGACCTGCAAAAAAATGATGATGGAGGAAAATTTGATTCCTCTTTTACATCCCAACTTCCCGTAACCTATTTTACCTGCGAAAAAGTCGACAGAAAACGTGGTTTCTTCGTCAGAATCCTCTTCTTACTTCCCGCCAAAATTCTCGCAATTCGATTCGTTTTTGTCAAAAGTGCTGAATAGACGACGGCAAATGCGATTGGTGGAATCACTCTGAAATTCGAGATTTGGGGACAAGACTTGGATATTTTTCGGGCTTCCAGATCATTTTAAATTATAGTTAACGAGTCCAGGCCTATCCAGAGCAAAGTTCAAGCTATCATTGAACACTCCCTCCCCAAGCCTTCCAATTCTAATGCTACGTAAATTTTTCATTTTCGAGAATCCACGTGGCCAAATTAGTTACTGAAAGGCCCAGAATTACTCATCGTGCACTTTCCAAAAGTCCAAAAAGCGCCCCCTTTTTCGACATTTTTTGTATTTCGTATAGCAGTAGAACTACAAAAAAACTCGTGATTTTCTTTTTTCTTAGCTCCTCCTCCCCAGATTTCCCCTGAAGATTTCATTCTAAAAATCTGAAACTCTCTGAGCTCAAACTCAATTCCGATTCTAATCATGGACAAGCCGGAAATTCTCGAAAAAACTGTCGAATCTCTTGGCAATCAACTCAAAATGGACCGTCAAAATGTGTCAGTTTCGGTGGCCGAACTTTTGGAATATTCGGCCAACAATGAAGATCCACTTTTGCAACCAATTGATGGAAAAGTCAATCCATTTGAGGACAAAAACAAATGCAAATTGTTGTAATTTTGACACGTTTTGCGAAAAATCGATATTTTTAATGAATTTTCATGTATTTTATGTGATTTTTTTTGAGAAAATAAAGATTTATGTTGAATGAAAAGAATGTTTGTTGCCACGTGGCGATTAAGGTTTTGTCGATCAAAATTTGGTGTCAAAAAAAGCGGGAACTAAAAGCGCAACGAATTTTCAAAAAATTAGAATTTAAAATTCTCAATTGTTGTCATGTGGATTTCCACTGCGAAATTCTAGAGTCCTCAGTTTTTGGTCCCAATTTTTCGAAATGAAAAATTCTGTCACGTGAATTCAAAGAAGATCAAAACTAGAAATTACCTCAAAATCCACAACTTTCAATTATTTTTCATCCGATTTCCCATATTCCCACTCCCACTCCCGCTCCCTTCATTCACCTGGTAATAAAACAAGAAGTCGACGATGGCGTAGCCAGCAAAGCAAACGAAACCGCATAACAAGCAACCAATCCGCTCAAAATAATATAGCTCAATTCTCTCGTCGTACTTTTCACAACCGGTGTCGAATTATGTCTCAAAAATACGCCAATCGTCGCCAAACTCGTAATAATTCCAACAATCGCCAAGAATAGTGCCATAATATGTCCGGCAGATGTCCACGAAACGACTTCTGGTATGATTATTTCACAACCTGTTCGATTCCAATTTGGCCAGAAGCCAAGAGTACAATTGTGACATTTGTTTGTAGTTTGATTGACGAATTGATGATCGAGACAGTTTTCACAAATCCAGCAACAAGCCATTGTTTCACGTTTCTGCAAAAGGTTCGGTTTTCTAGGCCACCATAATCGTGTACTTGGTTTTCTAGGCTATCTTGATGATTTCCATACTGTTTTTTGTAATTTTCAAAATTTCCCCGGAAAAAATACGTTTCCTAATTTTTATGAATTCAAATTCTTTTTCATACCGAGATCTTCGGTAGCAATAATTTTCTAACTAACTAATATTTGAAAATTTGAAAGAACTCCAAAAATGTAAAATTGTGAATTTTTCGGGTTTCTAGGTCATCTTGGTTCGATCCAATTTTTCTCAAAAACCCCGCGTAAATCTCTCACCCATTGTCCAATTCCACAAGGCTGACTACAAACACTTTGTGGAACAAAAGTCGAATTGTCAAAAAACAGAGTTCCAGTATGCATTTTGAGTTCCTCTTCTCCATAATCATTTATCGATCGAAAACTGCCAACTTCAGCATATGAAGAATCATCGAATGTTTTTCCGACATAATTTAGAATATCGTACCTGCAAAAAAGATTTTCACTCTTCCAATATTTCGCTTCTTTTTGCCAACTCACCAAGCTGGTGGATCACCATGTTCATCAAAATACACCTTCTGATCATAGTAATCAGTAAAAGTGACATTTAATAAATACTGATATAAAAGTGTTCCATTTTTGGATAACATTTCAGTGCAAAGTGTCGAATTATCTGGACATCTTTCTCTATACATTGCTGCCAAAGCGCTTGCTACAGTACGAATTGAATTCTCGACTTGCGATAATTTCGGATCCTCTTTATAATTTTCGTCCAAATTCTCATCTCCCGTGCAAATTCGCAAATTTTCATTATTTTTATCCTCTTTTGATACAGCAAATGTGCAATTGAATTTCATTTGCCAAAATTCACGAAACCATGGATTCATTGTGTTGTTTTCTGGATGTAGTTTGGTGTAATAATCACGGAATTTAGCAACCTACAAATATTTATTGATTTTTTGAAAATTTTCAGTGGCAAAATCTGGCTTTTAGATTTTTGTAAATCAGATTGTTTTCATTTCTTGGGCTCGAATTCTATGTACTTTTAAGATCAATGGCTCCAGATTTTTGTAAATCAATTCATTAATTCCAGGCAAATTTTCAGAATACTGTGCTCAATCTTTTCAGCTTGCTGTAGCTCTAAAAATGTATCATTTTGAAAAATTCAAAGATCTAGAAATTCTCCAGGCACAGTAACTTGACTTCGGAACTTTCTTAAAATTCAGATAAGATACAGTATTCCAAAATTGCATAATGAAAAAACTATGAACTCTAAATGTTTTACCCGAAACCCCATCTTTGAACTCACCTTTGGTGCATGTATTCTAATCGAATAACTTCCCATTGCTTCATCTTCCAATGCTTCAACAACATCTTGTCGATCAGCCCAACCATCTGATCCAATCCATTGAAATCGTTCGAATTTCTTATTTTTCGCTGCCAAATATCGTTGAGCTTCGAAGAATTTGCGCATCGAATGTCCTTCACAAAAACAAACAATAACTTGTGGTCGATCTTTTCGATCGGAAACTGTTAAAAGTGCTTTTCGATATTCTTCATCGCTTGCCAGAGTTTTGATTTTATCATAATGAGCAATGCAAACTGTCGAATCATTTCGGCCAACTATTTTTTCGAGCGATTCGAAGCCTTTTTCTCCATAGTTTCCTGGAAAATTTATATGACCTAAAATTCCGAATTCAAATTCTCGTCCCTGATCTTCTATATATTCTCGTCAGAATAAAAACCTAATTACTAACACCCTCTCCTTTTTTCCTTTTTTTTCATCCTCAACTCAACAAAAAACGGCAACACAAAAAATAAAGAATCAAGATAAATTCGATTTAACCTCCTGCCGCCGCCGGCTATTTTCTCCCTCTTCTTTTTTTATTCAAAAAAGGATATATTTACTTTGTTAGTTAGTTAGGCTAACTCTTACCGGCTGAATATAAAACGGCAACATATGTCCAATTAAAATGATTCAGAAGGCGGTGAATTGCTTGAGCTTGATGACGATCTGATGGAACGACGCGAAGAAAATAACCGAACTGCAAGACATTTTAATTTTATTGTTACACGACCATTTACTCCAATAGAAAATTGCCCCTCGGGTCAGACGAGAGACGACGGGGGTCTGATGACGTCATCTGAGACAGAGAAAGACATCGCTTCGAGATATTTGTTGAGAAAATATGTGTCCCTTTGAAAAAATACCGTATTTTGTTTCAAGGAACACATGTTTTATTGAAAATATCTCGAAGCGAAATTCATTTTCGAGATATTTTTGCAAAATACTCTCGTCGTCTCGCGTCTGACTCAAAGGGCGTCTTGTATGGTCGTGGTTAAGCACAAAATAAGACGTGGCCTAGAAAACCTAGCACAAAATCAAAAACCTAGTCCCTCTATAGCTCTTCCCGATCATGGCCTAGAAACCCAAATCTCGTCCCTCCTCACCTGTTCTTTATCCGACAAATCAGGCGTCGTCGCCGAATATCCAACCTGTGGAATTCGAAAAACTTGCAACAAATTCTGAACAGCAATTGTGCTCGAACTTTTTCCGGGTCCAATTACAGCTACAACGGGAACTGATTTCTTGTTACAACCTGGTGTTTGACAACAAGAACATTGAGCGACTCCTTCGCGTAGAAATGCTATTGTTTGTTCCATTGCTATCCGTTCGGTCCAACATGAATCACTGAAACAAAAGTTGGGGTTTTGAGGATGGACTAGGATTTCAAGAGAGACAATTCTAGTCCCCGAATTTGAACTTGAATATAGAGTTTTGAATTAAATTTAGATATATAAAAATTCTTGTCCCTCCTCTTCATGATTTGAAATTTTAGGATTCTAAAATCCGAGGACCTATTTTTATACTAGAGGGACTGGTATTATATTCCTTGTTCATAGGAAAAAAGTAGAAGGTTTCAAATTCGGGGACTAGTTCTTTCCATCTTGGCTTTCTAGGCCACCCAACCTACCGTATACTTAAGCCTAACTTAAACGGCAACTTCTCATTAATTTCCCTGATTGTTTTGATAGCAATTTCGGATCGTTGAATTCCATACTGTTCCCAAATCTCACCACAACTCTCCGAACCCGCAATTTGTCGGTGAATTGGAAAAAGTGCACCGATCTGCAAATTTTCGTTGATTTTTGCTCAAACTTTGTGGATTTTCATTCTCACCTGAATTTCTCCATGAATTTCAGCCACCAACATTCTCGCTGATTGTTGTACGGTGGTTTTTGAGACCACCTCAACAATTCGTACCATAAGAAGAGCCACATGACTGTATAACATTTTCCTAGATTTTCAGCCACCGGATCAAACTACAGTAACCTCATAATAATCTGGAAATAGAAATTCGATAAATTGGCTGCGTACTTGAATGAGTATCTAATGTGATTTGAGAGAGAAGATCAAGAGTTACAGAATGACTATGAATATGAGAAAGCACCATTTTTTGCAAGATAGTTTATTTTTGGCACCAAATTTTATAAACATTTTCACGCCAAAAAATACGCAGCGAAATTTTTCAAAAAAAAAATGTTTACTTTACCCAAAAAAAAAACATAAAATGTTTTGACACTATTTTTTCTTATCAACCAACCAAAAAAAATGTCTCGTAGAGCCAAGCAAAAAATCTATACATTTTAAATTTCCAGTTTTTTCTTCGAGGCTGAAAATCTTATTTTATTTTTCTACTAGTTTTTTTGGAGCAAAATAGAGAGCTGTGGAGATTTTAATTAGGATTAGAAGGAAAAAAATTTCGAAGAGCTGGAAAGAAAAATCGGATGTGAAATTTGTCAACGTGAAATTAGTCTTTTTTCGATGCATCTCATGAAAATTAGTGAGAAAATGTAATTAATTTCCACTTTTTTTTTCATTTTAATTTTAATTAGGGCGGTACCTGGAAGTGGAAGGAGCAAAAAAAATTTTGAAAAAAATTTGAATTTTTTGAGGATCGAAAATCAGGATGTGCTCCAGCGACACGAAAAATCTGAATTTTCCACGTGGATGAACTTGGAGAGTTTCAGATTGTTTGCAGAATTTTCGAAATAAAAACTTTGAGTTTTGAGTTGAATTTCCACGTGGCACAAATTCGTTGTTTTTTTGGTGTCAAAACTTTTTGGAAGCACAGAAAAGTAACGAAATTTACGAAACATTTTTTTGAAAATTGAATTTTGCTCAGCTGAACAAGAAATTATTTTGAAATTCAGTTCGAAAAAATTCTAATTTTTGAATTTTGGAACGTGGATTTTTTGAAATATGTTTTTAGAGCAAAAACTGCGAAGTTTCAAGTGTTTTCAATTTTGAAAATGTGCAAATTGTTTATTTTCCTGTGGATTTTTTCACAACCCAAATTCTCAAGTCATTATTTTCGAAATGAAAATTTCGCTAAAGTTTTGACGTGAACTTTTCGCACAAAAGTATCAGGTTTTCAACGTGGCATTTCTAGGATTTGAGCTCAAAATTTTGGAACAGCAGAAAATCAACTGTTTCACTTTAGGATCTGAAATATTCAGCCAGCCTCTCAAAGTACAGCCTCCAAACGAAAAATGTCAGAATAATCGAATTGCGTGCAGAATTAAATAAATGAGTTCTTTCTCTCGTTCTGCTCATCCTAACTAATTCAAAATCCGCTAATTCCCCGCCGCGCGCCCACCTCATTTCAAGCCCTACAGTAACCCCATGAGAAAAGCGAGCAAAAAAACTTATGATGAGGCTAATAAGGGGAGAATAGCTATAGCTAAAGAGAGAGGGAGAGAGAGAAGGCCCGAGGGCACAAAAAAGTAAGTAGAAGGGGAGCCGCCACACAACACGACACAACAATTCAAAAACTCGCCAAAAAAAGAAGGGGTAGAAAAAAGGCGACAAAAAAAGAATAAGTTGTCTTCTACTTGTCGTCAAATCAGTCCGCCTTCTCCTTCTTTTTTTGACGAACTTATGTGCCGCTAAAGGGGGCAAGAATTTGTACTATTTTTTGTTGAAAAATTGTAATTTCTCTATACGAAAACATGTGTCATTTAATTTTTGATGAAAAGAAAACAATTGTTGATAAAAAGGGCAACTTTTTCAAATTTTTGTTGTTTGGACATGGCTCGGTTGAGAAAAAGCAATTTACCGAAAAACTTATTATTTTCCTTTCCCCCCAAAAAAGTTGAAGGGGAAAACAATCTATTAATCATAAATTGCTTGTCGTATGAAAAAAACGTACCAATTTTTCGGAGCTGAAAAAAATCTGGCATGTCAATTCAACTTTTTTCTTTCCGCCCATCGATGATGATGTAGCTCCTCCCACATTTTGTGCCGTTCTTGTTCTTCTGCTTTTTCTTCTTCTTCGACACAACTACAACTGCGCAAAGTGAGAGAGTTGATTTGATTCTCGTTGAAGTCGCTTACTCACACTCATATGTGTATATACCTCCTACTCTTCTTTTTTGCTCCGTTTTTCGCGGCTCTTCTTCATCAGACACTTCTTTCTTCTGTGTGTGGATGTGTCGCAGGCTTTGGCCAGCTATAAACAGCTCTTAATCAGTGAAAGCCTATTTTCCCTGGGGACCCTCCGAAAAGAGTCCGGTTTTTGAAAAAAAAAACATGCGGGTGTTTTTTGAGTGCATCAAAAGCACACTCGATTAACAAAAATGAACTAGGTGTTTTAAAACAATAACAATTTTATCTCAAAACATCGTCAAGTTTTTAGATGGCTTTGTTCTCGTCTCTTGGAACGAGTCCGTCTCTTTGGGCCAATCTCAAGATAGCGTCGTCGGATTCTCCCATACGGCGGAGGGCTCCGCAGATAGCGTAGCGGGTGGCTTTTCCTGGGATCTGCAAAAATATGAAATTGACTACAATTGCTTTGTCGGAAATTTTTTATTGGCTGTTCTTTTCAGAAAGAAAAAGTTTTTCTTCGAAAAACAATAACATCGTTATGAGAATTGTAATGTTTTCAATTTCAAACTTTCTAATAAATTCGCATGGTCAACAGATGTTTCACATCGTAAGTTTGTTCTAATGAGAAAAATCAAACTCACCAAACGTCCAGTCTCTGGATCGACATCAACGAATTCGATTTGGACGGAAGCGTGGTCCTTTGGGCCGATGATTCGGTTGCTTGATGAGCTGAAAACAGAAATCCATTTTTATTCAAAGCGTCTAAAAAACTCACCATTTACGTGGAACGTAGAGTTCGACAGTCTCTCCGGCGTCGTTTTGCATGGCTACCTAAACATATTTGGAAGTTGAATAAATAAAATAATAAAAAATATCAAGAGTAAATATTCAATTGGTGGCAAACCAATGTAAAAATTTGCAAAAATGATACGGAAAATAAAATACATTTTTTATTTACAGAAAGAAACGCAATTATTATGAAACCTCGTTTTTAGAATTTTAATCACTTTACAATGGCCAGCCATTGGAATAAATTACTGTACAGGCAAGACGATACATGAAATAGATATAATCGATAATTGATAGCTAGTCGAAATATGTAAAAACCAATATACAATTTACTGGCCTCCAAGTTGAACTCCTTGTCCCCAAGCATGACCACGTCGAGCATTTGCTCCACGGGCAAATTCAGGTCCATTCATTGAATGCACTCCACCTTCATTATTTGGCAAAAGTTGATACAAAAATGCAGGTGTTTGGATGAGTTGAATTCCTCCGTGTTCAAGTGGATATTGGAGGGCGAAGAAATAATAGGCATGTCCGGAGACAATTCCAATAAGTTCATTCAAACCTCCATTGCGGAGAACCATGTTGAAAATACATAGAACCCATGGAAGATATCTGGCCTACAAAAACCTTCTTGATACCATGATCAATTTGAAAAACAACTAACCGGGAATCTCATTCCAAACCAGAAAGAAACAATTGTGTCCTTGTTGATCATACACCAAACGTATAAAACACTGATAACCATTGGTTCGAGCATAAAATACACGCCAAAAGCCAAACAGAGCCCCTGAAAAACGAAATTGATTTTTTGAAAATCAAACCCTGAATGAAACTTACAACGCAGACGAACCAATTGATCAATAGACAATACAAATAATCAGCAGGACGTCCAGAAAAAGTATCACTTTCCAAATTTTTCGAATAATTGTAAAGGAAGTAGAGCATCATAAGCCAATGAAATCCTGTTTGCGGAGTGACCGGGTAGAAAATCAAGGCGGTGATAGGTCTCCAAAACTGAAATTTAGAGGATGAATAGATTGAAAAGGTTGTTGAAATTTTCCAACTCACGTGAAATTTATTCACAATCAAATCCCAATCAAGATACATCCATTGTGCACTAACTAATCCGAGACGACCAAGGAGTGGAACGATGAGAGTTCCAAGGAACCAATGTCGAGTGACCACTGGAATGGTATTTATCCAATCTTTCAAATCCATGGCTGAAAAAATAAATGAATGGCAAAAAATGAACACGCAGAATAAAGTGAAGAGTTCACGAAAAAAATCAAGAAATCACATTTTCCATTTTCAAAATTGAAAAACCCTTAATAAAACTGCAAACACACGTCAGCATAGTATATAAAAAATTACGAAATCGATCATAAATAGTCCAGGCATATATACTTGCTAAGGCCACGTTTTCTAAGCAACCAAAAACAAAAACATTGAAACATTTGATTTTCTCAAGTTTTTCAGCGATTTTCCAACGTTTTGCATATCAACCGGGTCTTAAAAAATAGCCTAATTCAATAGAAAACGGCCAAAAATATTAATTTGTAACATAAACCAACACAACTTCCCCAAAACCCTTAAAAAACAACGAAAAAATCGAAAAAATTTAGGCCTCACCCACTTTTTGTGTGAATGAAAAAAGACGTCGCGGCGAGACCAATTTCCCACCGTACCCCCATTCGCTAAGCAAACGTCTCGTAAACCCACATCAGCCAATCGATATCTTCATTTCTTTTTGTTTTCGCCTCGTCTTTTCACTTTTTTGCGATAGAACACGTGCCAAAAAATGTCCGGAGAAGAAGAAGTTGAGCTAATTATTAGAAGTGCTTATCAATCCGCCGATGATTTGACATTTTCCTGCCCGAAAACTTGGACGATTCGTCAAATAAAAGAGCATGTTAGAAATGTTCTTGAATCTCACCCGGTAAATTAATTAATTTCAAATTATTTCTAGATTAAACTTTAGTGTCAAATTTTTACAGGCAATTTCCACACAACGTCTTATTTTTTCTGGTGCTTCTCTCCGAGACGAACAAATCATCTACGATATTTTAAGCCGAAGTGTAGTTGATGGTGCACAAATCTTTCATCTTGTAATTGCCCAACCTTATGTCACTCAAGAAGTTCGTCAGAGAACAACACAAGCATCTTCAAATGCTACACAAGCTGCACCTCCAACTGTCACACCAAATGCACCATCAAGTCTTACTTGGGAGCAATGGTGGGCTCAATACGGCCAAAATACAAATCAGGCTCAAGCTCAATATTATCAGTATTACAACGAGTATATGCGACACTACTATGCGCAACAATATTATATGAGTTATGCAGCTGCGGCAGCCTCGCAAACTCCAGCACCTGCTGCGCAAGTCGCTGCTCCGCAAAATCAAGCTGCGGCAGCACCGCCTGGTGAACGTGTTGATGCTTTGGAGATGTTCTATCGTCTTTTCAAGCTCGTTCTATTGTTTTCGGTGAGTCCTTAACTAATTCTTTATTCAAAACTTGAATTTCGCAGGCTGTGCTTCTCTACTCATCATTCGAACGATTTTTACTTGTCTTAGTTGCCGCACTCTTCATCTACTTCATTCAAATTCGCCGAAATCAAGCTCGAAATCGCGCTGCGATTGCCGCAAGGGATTTGGCTCAACAAAATGCGGTGAATAACAATAACAATGGAGAGAATCAGACAAATCCACCAACAACAACATCAGCTTCTGAAAATGATGCTGGAAATGCGAGTGGCGAGGGAAATAATGCAGCTGAAAATGAAGAGGAGGTAAGATTTTCAGGGATTTCTTGGGAATCTATGTACCTTTGAAATTTTGAGATCGAAAAATTTCATTAATTTAAAAAATTTTAGAATTGATGTTTTTGAAAAAGAGATGTCAATTTTTTCACTGAAAATTTGAAGTTTCAACAGATTTTTGACACGCCAAAGTTTATTTGAAAAATCAAAAGTTTAGTTGAAAATCCGAAAATTTGATTTTTGTTGCTCAACTTGGCAACCAAATTTAAGAAAAAAAAAACACAAGGTCCAAAATTTGTCCAGCGAAGGTTTTAATAAAAAACTTCGGCAATTCATAAATCGAATTTTCTTCTAGGATTCTTTGGATAGTCCACCACGAGAAATGGCACCTCCTCCACCAACTTCTTCATCAATTTCTCCACCAACTTCTCCAGATTCTCCAACCGGAATGCAAATCTTCTTTTCCGCCTGTTATTCCTTTATCACATCATTTTTCACATCTCTCGTCCCAGATCATCCATTACCAGTAGATTTGAACTAGACAATTTCAGACTCAATTCTGAAAAGCTTCCCCGTGTATTTATAATAGTTGAAACAATGTGTATGTCCCTTTAAAATACTACTGTAGTTTGTACATTTTTCCCGGGTTATTTTTGATTTTTCGAGAAGAGAAAGTGATATGATTTTTTTTATTTTTAATACATATTTGAATTTTTTTGCATATTTTGTTTTGGTCAGTTTTTCCCTGCACCGACTGACCAATTCTCGGTTGTGTTGTATTATATTTTCGTTTTTCGCAATGACCTAGTTGCCAGTCGGCGGACCTCAAGGTCAAAAAAATTTTGCGCGCGCGCCGGCCGCTCACCCTCCCGATTTCCCCATTCAATGATTTTTACCACATTTTTTGTTTTGAAAACGACATGCAGTCTTTTTATTATTTGTTTTGTTTTGGATTTGGATTTTCGACGGAAAATTCTGGGGTTTTTGCACGAAAATATGCACTGTAATTTTATGCTTAATTTTGTGATTATTTTAGAATATTTTTTTGGCTTATTGTAGATTAAATTTGATTTTAAAAAATTCCGAAATTCGTAGATCACTTTCAATTCTTACGATTTTTAAATGTTAAACTTCAGAGCCAAAATTTCAGAGTTGCAATAGTTTTAATTTTGATGCCAAATTTTTTTCTTAAATCTATTCTAATGGGGTGATTCAGGTCGAAAAAAAAACTTTAAAAAATTCGATTCAGCAAATGTCAAAAAACTATATTTTTTTCCTATTTCTCGACATTTTTTTCATTGAAACATTTTCGCTGCGAGATATCTCTCATTTTTGTGTGGAAAAAAATAGAGTTTTTTGACATTTGCTGAATCGAATTTTTTTGTAAAAAAATGTTTTTTTTTTTTAGTTTTTTTTCGACCTGAATCACCCCATAAGTAATTTGAAATCATTAATTTTTCCACTTATCTAAAGAGTACTGTAGCTCTAATTCTGACCGATTCTTTTTGAATCTTGAAATTTTTTTTTACCAAATAATCATCAAGGTTACTGTAGATTAAAAATTATTGTCAGAAAAATTCCAAAAAATATGTAGATCATTTATATTTTTTATGTTCATTTTACAGAAATAATCAAAAAATAATGTTAGAAATAATCAAACCAAAAACTAAGCTTACAGTAGCCCAAAAATATGGCGCCAAAACCTAAATTTCCAAAAAAAAAAAACAAAAATCGTGCCATTCATCATTTGTTGCATGTTCCTTTAAACAAACACACATACATATCCCTACAGTACTCTCATCTCTTCATAAATAAATAAATATAATTATCCTCTTTTTCTTTTTCTCTCATTCTGATCGTCTTAAAAATAAAATAAAATAAAATACAAATTTTGGGGGTCAAGTCGTTTTTCTCGCTCTTCTTTTTTCTTTTTCTTTTTCCTTCTTTATTTCTACAGTACTCTTCTACTATGTTTCTACAACAAGAAAAATAATAATAGTAGTATATATGAGGTAGACAAGAAAAGAAAAAGAAAAAGAAGAAGAAGAAGAAGAACACTGGCTGGTACGAAGGTGAAAATTGCGATGCGCGACAAGGTCGAATCTTCTAATACTAGTATTATTGTTGTATTTTCGCATGGTCACTTCTTTTTTTTTCGAGGAGGAAAAGATGAGATGAGATGAGAAAGGAAATATGAATGAATGAATGATGATCGAGATTTTTGAACGGGAAAGAAATTTGGGAAAAACTGTAGAAGTTTATTGAGAAAGTTGTGAAATGCTAGCTAAAATTTGCTGAGAAAAATTGTTTTCTGAAAGTTCTTATTTCGAAACTGATTGTGAGAAAAAAGTTTGGGTGGAATTTATTTTCCGAAATTTCTTCAGATCAATTTTTATTGAAAAATTCGAGAAAAACTGCGAGATCTAGATTTTCTTTAAAATTTTTTTTTTCTGAATCTTTGTGGATCAATTTTTAGAGAAAATGTTGAAGCTTCTGGAAGAATTTTAAGTTAAATTTATGTTTTTAGTAAATCCACGCTGCAAGAATTATTTATCTCTACAGAATTCAATTTCTTCTTTCTGAAATTGTTTCAGACCTCTGGGTTAGTATTTCTTTTTTTTTTATTTTTCAAGTGGCTACATTTTTTCAATTAGAACTTAATCTGAAACTTCAATAGATCAAGATGTTCTGCATTACTGTAAACTTGTTATTTCTCCTGTGGCATAACTTTTCGAATCCAGTTTTTTTTCTTTTAGATCATTATTTTATGGGTTACTGTAGTTTTATGCAGAATTTTTGCAACGTAGCCTGATTTTGTGATCCTTCAAATTTCACAAAATTTTTTAATCGATAGTTTTGAATTAACGTTGGCATTTTCCTAGAATTTTTTGGGTTACTGTAGATTTCGAATAACGAACTTTATACCGTATCATTTTCTTGCACATAATATTAATCTGTACAAGATTTTGTCACGTGGTCCTTATAAACTGAAAAACTCTAATGATCTCCAAATTTTCTATGTGGATTTTTCTATAAATTATCGATCCTAGAACAAAATTTGAAACTTATTGATTTTCCAAATATTACCAAATTATCGAATCCGAAACCCCTTTCAATTTTTATTGCCAAAAATGAATTGATCCCAAAAAAATCCCTCGTCATTTTCGATTTTCCATTTCGCTTTTTCTATTTTTTCTTTGGCTGCCTACGAACAGCCAAGCAATCGACCATTCGATTTTGGCGGATCTTCTCTTCTTCTTCTTCAACAATTTTATTTTACGAAAAACCAGAACCTGTTTTAGCCTGACTAGCTAGAATAAGAAGACGTGAAGCTGAAGATTGTCCATTATGTAAAAATGCATCCCTTATTCAACACACATACATACAAAAAAGTGGAGGGAATAAAACGAAAATGCAAAAACCGGTCTGTGCTGACTGACTACTATAGTGGCCAGGCCAAAACATTCGCCGAAAAAATCTCGTCCTCCATACGAGATAGTGGTCAAAATGAAGAGACGCCAGAGGGGATACTGTAGGCGTTTCTCTTCGTCTACATCCATTATCTTCTAGTGAATTTACGTACTGTTTCTCAACGATTTTCTATTTTTACCATAACCCTCATTTTTTTCAACAAATCGATTTTCTAACCTTCCCCCTCCCTTTTTCAATAATTTTTTTGTGCTCATTTTCTCTTATCACTTTCACCTCGCTCACTGTTTCCATGAAATCTTTCATCGATTTTTATTCATCATATTTATTTCAAGCATGGGCCAAAGTAGTGGCGACGACGATGTGATACAACAACCCGCGCCGTTTTCCAACACAACAGCATCCACCAATTCACCTTCAAGTTCACCATCTTCCTTGGGAAGTTCGACACCACCTCCAGCACCGCCGCCGCCAGTTGCAAGTGAGTTTTTGGAAAACCTGGGGAAGGGGGACGGGGAAAAATGAGAAAACAAATAATTTGGAAATTTATTAGATCCATTTGGATTAAGTTGCTCTTTTAGTTTTAAAATAAAAAACAAACAAATTTCAGCGCATTTTTCATTTCTGAAAGTTTAGACATTTCTGAGTTATTATGTTACGAGCTCAATTAGCATAGATTCTAGCTTCAAAAAGTTCCTCGGGGTCTCTTCTTTATTCCAAAATCATATTTTTGATCTTCAAAGCAAGCTCATCAAAAACTTTAGGTTCAAAAAACCTTATCACAAACAATTTTTGATTTATTCCAGCTCTTTCAAAATTCAAAAAGTTGATAATTTGACCTCCTCCCTCCCAAATTTCCTCGAAAAATTTCATGATAGACACCTCACACAAAGCGAAAATGAAAACTACAAGTTTCATCGAAACCTCACTTTTTTCTCCCTCTTTTTTTTTCTTATCTTATCATCAACAACACCAAAAAAATATGTATAACCCACGAAAAATTTCAGGACAAACCGAGAGCGACTGGAAACAATCGAGTGACGAAAGCCTTACCGAATTATGTATATTTCATGTTCCGGACAAACCCGTTGCACAGGGTACACCTGAAAAATCAAAATGTTCGCTGCCAATCAATTTAGCTCTACGACCATCTTCGAAAAATCGCAAAATTCAATCGATTTGGTCGAATGATTTTATCCCGAGAGGTGCTAGATTTGGCCCGCTGATTGGAGAAGCTCGCCTAGTAGATGTGGATTCAGCAATCATGTGTCCAGCGGAAGCATCAATGGCTGGCGGTCAAGCAACATCACAAGAAGAACCTGTGCCTTTTGATGATTTTCCAGAAGAGTGGAAAGTATTTTCACCATCTGGTGGCAGATTAACAAAAACAATAAGTGTGCGAGATGATGCGAAGGCGAATTGGATGAAATTTGTGTGCGCCGCAGAATTGGATGATTCGCAAAATCTTGTTGCTGCACAAGTTGGAAGTGATATTTATTTCTATTCGATTAAGTCGATCTCACCAAACACTGAATTGTCTTTCTGGTTTAGTCGTGATTATTCAAGAAAACTCAAATATCCAGCATCTTGTACTAGTGCTCAAAGAGTTCCTACAACTGTTGGAATCCCAATCGATTATTCAATCAAAAAACCAAAGATTGAAGTTCCAATCCCTGCAGCTGCAGCAGTTGAAGAAGTTATCAGTCGACCAAATGTTATTCAAAATCCAATTGTTCGCCCGGTTCCTCAACGTGTTGGTGCATTTGTTGCACCATCACCAGTCCGTCCAGCTCCACTCAACCCGCTGACACTTTTCCAAGACTATTTCCGTCGAACTCAACAACTCACCTCCAAACTAGCTGAAAACATCTGGGTTCCTCCCGTCGCTCAACCAGTGACAGCAACTGGCGGCAGATCTGGTCAACCTGTTGATGTTCAGCCTGTGTTAGCTGCCACAGCTGGCGCACATTTCGGCAACTATGCTGCAATCTACGGTAGTCAAGACTTCCAACAACACGAACTCAAACCATTGTTCACCACAGCGACTCCAGCTTTTGGCGGAGGAGGTGGCGGAGGAATGGGTGGAGGTTTTGGTGGAAGTGGACATGCTTCAAGTTTTCATCAAATTCCCTCATTTGTACCGCATAATAATAATGGAAATGATGCGGGTTTTAGTGGAGTGCCGAATTATGTTCAACAGTCAGAGAATGGAAAAACCAGATATGCTTGTAAGGAGTGTAATAAAACATTTGGACAGTTGTCGAATTTGAAAGTTCATGTCAGGTGAGAATTTCAATGGGAAAGGGATTCAGGGAGAGGGATTTTTTTCAATTGGGGAGGGGAGATACTAAAAGCTAGGGCATTTTTCGGAATCTGTCTAGGTTTCTCGGAAAAAATTTCCCATCACAGATATGCCTGACTACACATCATAACCAACCTTTATTTTTCAGAACTCACACCGGTGAACGTCCATTCAAATGCGAAGTTTGTGGCAAAGAATTCACCCAACTCGCTCATCTTCAAAAACATCATCTAGTCCATACTGGCGAACGACCACATCGCTGCGAAATTTGCGACAAACGCTTCTCCTCAACATCCAATCTGAAAACACATCTTCGACTACACAATGGTCAGAAACCGTATACTTGTGATGTTTGCGATGCGAAATTCACACAATATGTGCATCTACGACTGCATAAGAGATTGCATGCAAATGAGAGACCGTATAGTTGTGGAACCTGTGGGAAAAAGTATATTTCGCCTTCGGGACTTCGAACTCATTGGAAAACAACAACTTGTAAAGAAGAAGATGATTCGAAGGATGGTATTTTGATGGATTCTGTGCATCATGATTTGAATAATGCAAGTGGATCACAAACATATATGGATATATTTGATAACCAATTGAAATATACAAATCCATTGGGACCTTCATCTAGTTCTTCGTCTTCGGGAAGTTCAATGGCTCCTCAAGTTCCAACACCTCCTCCTCAACAACAACAACAGCAGCAAAATATGATGATGTATCAGCAAAATCAGATGCAACCTCAACATTTGCCACCTCAACATTTTCATATGGATCAACATCAATTACATCAACAGCAGCAACCTCAACATCATCAGATGTTATCTCTTCAGCAACAACAACAACAAGCCCAACAGGATCCAACAAATCCACTTCATCAACCACTTCGATTGCCCGATCTCAAAAGTTCGATACTTCCAACACTTGGTTTACAACATTATCAATAAGAAAAAGAAGAAGATTTAAGCTTTATTGATTTTTTAATTCCACAAAACTTTCCTTTTGTATTTACTAATTCCCAATTCTGTGATTTTTCCGAAATGCCTTAATTTATTATTTTTTTCATTTTTCTATTGATTCATATGATTAGAATAAAATTATTCAACAAAACTTTTTATTTCATCTTCAAATTTATTCTGTGATTTTTCCAAAGTGTTTGAAATGAATCGCAGAATGAATGAAATTTGATTGAGCTTCAACTTCGCTTCTCAAAATTTCGTAATTTTTCTTGATCTGGCTTTCAGATTTTGGATCATTTTGGGCAAGAGTTGAATCGATTTTCTCGGGCTCAAAGATCGGCTTGAAAGTTCCAAATCCGGGATTGATGAAAAATGTAGAAGGCTTTGAAATATCGTCAAAAGTTGTGGTGCAGATTGCGACTTTCTCACAATGTGCTCCGAAAATTTCGGGATTCTCTGGAAGGTTTTGAAGCCAGTTAGAGAAAGTCGAAATAATTTGATCGGTTTGATATGTGCTTGCTTGATCTTTGCGTGCTTTTGCAAGCTGATTTCGAATAATTTGGAGCACTTTTTCATCTTGACTCATTTCCGGGTGATTTTCATTTAGTTTCGAAAGTTGGAAATCCCATTTGTGTTGCAAAAATCGACGAGCATTGAATGGCAAATGTTCGTCGAGCATTTTCTCGCGCACTTTTTTGTCCTTCTCATTTTCATAGAGATCCAATATTTCTTGACGTGTCCACATATTTAGAGGCTCATATTTTGGCGCGATTTTTGCTGGAAGTTTTCGCATTAAGAATCGAAGCATTTTTGAATAGGTTGGTGGACATGTTACGATTCCTTGGACGAATGAGAAAATTCCATAGATTGCCGAGAAAATTAAAGCGATCCTGAAAATTATTTTTTTTTTCAAAGAACTATATTTTTTTACGTTTCCAAAGCGTTTAATCAATGTTAGTGAAAATCATGAAGATATCATCGAAGAATCAAAATTCAAACGTTCAGAAAAACAAATGGGAAATTTTTGAAACGTATAAAATTCGAATTTCGCAATACCATTTCAAAATACATTTGATACTTAGAAAACAAAAAAAATTAAACATTAATTTTTTTGCCTTAAACTAAACTCACATTCCAATCAATTTATTATCCTGTTTATCAGCAGATAACAATGTGCAAAACCAAGTAGTCGCCAAAAAATACACACCAAAAATACAGTATGTCACATTTCTCCGACATTTTTCAATATTTTGCCCGCTCGAAATTCCCTCTTCCCGCTCGATTTTTGAGTTGATCAATTGATTGAACAATGGGCGACGACTGAAAAATGTTAATCTGAGCAATGCAACTTTTTTGACATCAAAACTCACTGTAAAACGAGAACACTATTCTCAAAGATCGCTGTGGCAAACAATAAAATAATAACAATACAAAAACCAATTGGCAACCACATTGATGACGTGGATTTGCAAATAACACCAATACAAGTCCATGTGGATACTAATTGATACCAACCAGATTGATAGATTATAATTAGAACAGCGGCTGCGAATATCATTGATGTTACTAATCTTGGAACTGCCATTATTCCCCAACTCGGTTTTCCATCGAATCCTGTTTCCCATTTATTAATGTGACGACAGCGAAGAATTTGATTCGCATTGAATCCTTCAAACATCCATTGGGCCAAAGCTGTAAAACAATATTTTGAATTTAAATAAAAGATATTTTATTAGCAATAGAGCGCATTTTTCTGAGATTAAGCCTAAGGATAAGCCTAAGGATTGGGCCGAAGCCTATCCTAGTAATTCTCAAATTTCTCACAAATATCAATAGAGCACTTTTGCAAAATTGCAAAACTCACAATAAACAAACAAAAAATGAATGAGCAAAAAATAGACACGACACGTGGCAGTCGGAATCCCGAACATGTATGGATTTTGAAACCAAAGAACACAAGTGGTTGCCATTGTTAGGAAAATTCCTCGAAGAGATTGATGGGTTTCTTGAGGATCCTGCAAATTTTTATAGATTTCTGGGCAAATTGAGCTAAACTCTCACGTCTTCATCATTTGACAACGTAATTTTTCCAACAATCTTCACAGACATCGATAAAACACTCCAAACTGTGACTTGGAATGCTGCCAGTGAACTAAAAGCTACCGTATTCGTAAATCTGTTCACCAAACTTTGCGATTCATTTGCATATTTTACACTCGGATCTTTGTTGATCGAACAATCGTCTCCCTCAAATCCCCAATCACAAATACAAGTTATTGAATCTTGCAAATCTATACATGTTCCATTTCCACAAGAAGAAGAAGTGCATTTGCTGGGAGAATACCAACAGGTTTTCATCTGAAAATTTTCAGATTTCATACTGTCCAAATCTGGGGGATTTTTTGGGCTTGAAAAATAAATTCCACATTGCAAATTGTCCGAATCTCTTACCGAATATCCATCTTTACAAACACAAGTATATCCAACAGTTCCATTATCATAAGTTATTTCATCACATTTAGAAGTTCCATCCGAATAACAAGAATCACACGAATCAACAGTTTCTCCAGTTGTATTTGTTCCAATCTCAGAATCTTCTGTAGTTTGACATGTGATCATTGTTGGCGACGGAATTATATTGCCACGTGTACCGCATGTGATTTTTGTAGTTGAACCATCGTAAGAGCATGTGATTCTAAAGAAATAACCGAGTTCTTGAAAATGGAATATAAAAGTGACTGCGTACTTGACTGAGTATCTAATGTTATTTTTCAACCTACTAAAAACTTACGTGGCAGTTTCCTTGGCTGTCAAATTGTCTGCAGTCGTGCTCAACTGATAATCTACACCCAAAATTTCCAAATCCGTCAGAACTTCGCATGTTGGTTGATTACAGTATTCTGGAAAAACGGACGGTCTTAGAAACTTCCCCGTTCCCCGCCAAAACTCACGTGGCAACACACAAATTGCTGAAACATTCTTCGACGTCGCTGATATTCCCATAGTTGTGGCAACCGGTGAACTAACCATCGTCAAATCGAAAATACTAAAAACATCGGCAATTTTATCGAATCGCTCTTGTTTTCCGCCGCCGCCATTCGCAAAAAACCACGCCATTTCGCCGGCGACTGCCGCCTGCGTCAATTGCGTCAAATCGTTGCGAACTCGCAGTTTTTCGAAACCCGCCAAATCTTGTCGATCTGTTGCACGACATTTTGAGAGAGCTGATTGATATGATGAGATATCAGAGGGTCCCAAGAGGAGATAACATACTGTAGAGCCCTCGAGATATCCATCTGGACATTTTTGAGCACATGAGGAATTTGTGGTGGTTTGAAGTACTGTAGTTGATACTGTAGAGCTTGAGGTAACTGTAGAATCATTCTGGTTTATTGTAGAGTCCTGAAATACTGTAGAGGACTCATGGGTTACTGTAGAGCTCGAACTTCCGGTTGATGAAGATACCTTTGTAGAATCCAGTTCGGCTACAGTACTCTTCTGGGTTACGGTAGAAGTTGAATCCTGGGCAACTGTAGAATTGTCTGAAGTGGTCGATGAAGAAGCTGCCTTGGTTACTGTAGATTCGGAATCAACCGATGTTTGAGGTACTGTAGTTGAATCATTCAAAGATACTGTGGATGATACTGAACTTGATTTCGAAGTCGAAGTTTCCTGAACTACTGTAGTTGAGTCTTGCTGGCTTACTGTTGATTCGGTCTTGGGTACAGTACTCGCAGAACTTTTCGATTGGATTACTGTAGTTGTGGAAGATGAAGATGAAGTTGAAGTTGATTTTTGGGTTACTGTAGATGTTTCATTGGGAACAGAACTAGTTTGTTGAATAGCTACAGTACTCTTTGAGGGTACTGTGGTTACAGTAGTATTCTGAGCTTCTGATGAAGTTGTTCCAGCTACAGTAGTATCGTCAACAGTAGAATTCAGATCCAGCGCAACAGTAGTTTCAGCTACAGTAGTGTTTTCAGCTTCGGACACAGTACTTTCAGCTACAGTAGTATTTTCAGCTGCGAAGGATACTGTAGTTTCAGCTACAGTACTATTAGTTACAGTACTATCAGCTACCGTAGTATTTTCCGCTTCTGTTTGGGTTACTGTAGATTCAATTGTAGTCTCATTGGCTACAGTACTCTCTAGAGTTACTGTAGTTGTCTCCTCAGTTACCGATGTTTCATTAGCTACAGTACTCTCTTGATCACCGGTAATAATTGACGTCTCCGAGGTTACTGTAGTCTCTTGGGTTACTGTAGAAGATGGATCGACATTATTATTATTGCTTACTGTAGTCTTCGGTGTTTCGCTAGTTTTTGGGACTACGGTAGATGTGCTTTCTTGGGTGACTGTAGTCGATTTCGAAGTTGTGGGTACTGTAGTTTTTGTAGACGAGGAAGTTGTGGTGGGTACTGTAGATGTTCCTGTGGTATCACAAACACCATCTGAGCAAACGGTTACTGTAGTTGTTGTGGGTTGGGTTACGGTAGTTGTGAAGAGTTTTGTTGATGTTGAGGTCGAAGTTGATTTTGTGGAACTGGAGGTCGAAGGTACTGTAGTTGTTGTGGTTACTGTAGTCGAGGAGGAACTTGTTGAGGGTTCTGAAGATGTGGATACTGTAGTTCCAGAGGTTGTAGATTTGGTTACTGTAGATGTAGAAGAAGAGCTGGATATTGTAGAAGGATCTGTTGATACACTAGTTGAGGAGGTTACTGTAGTCGACGAGGATGTGGAGGGTACTGTAGAGGTTGAGGATGAAGATGAGCTTGAAGATTGTGTGGTTACTGTAGTAGTTTGGGGTACTGTAGTTGAGGTAACTTGTGTGGTGGTGGATAGAGTTGTCCAGCAAATATCTTCAAAACAGGTTGGTACTGTAGTTGTGGTGGTGGGAGATGTGGATGTGCTGGTTACTGTAGATGTTGTAGGTACTGTAGATGTGGTAGATGTTGTAGATGTTGTAGTCAGTGTAGATGTTGTGGGTACTGTGGATGTGGTAGGAACTGTAGATACAGTAGTCGAGGTTCCTGTGGATGTTGAGGGTACTGTAGTTACAGTAGTTGAAGTTACTGTAGTTGTGGTTGTCTCACAATTTTGCATTACATCGGTAAATTCTGCACAATCATTAAATTTTCCCAAATTATTTTCCACATTTTCCAAAGTACATCTAGTATCTGCAATATTGTAGTACGATACCCTACAGTACTCTCAAAAACTCACTGAAAGTAGTATTACCATTGGCTACAGTAGTATCGGCTACAGTAGTCTTGACCAAAAATATGAGAAGAAGAAAAAGTAGTCGCATTTTCTTTGGAATGAAAATTTTCGGAATAAAATTTTGGATTTCGGATTTTTCGCCTAGCAACTTCCATTTTTATTTTCATTTTCCCAAATCTCTATGGCAATTTTTGTTGATCTACAACTACAGTACCACCTTAGTTACCTACAGTAACCCTTGGTTGCCACGTGGAAAATGCATTTTTTGCTTTTTTCTTTTTATTGATAAGGGAGCAAATAGTTAACCATATAAATGATAAGCGAGAAATATTGACTACTAAATAAAATGTTGCCGGCCAAGTTTTTGGTTTTTCTGCTGTTGGCAATTGTTTGCCACGTGGCATTCGGATTTGTGAGTTTGATTTTTGACCTGGTGATTAATTATTGGAATTAATTAATTAGCGAAAAAGTTGTTCGCATCTTTCTTGGACTGAAAGTTAATTAAAATAATTAATCAGATCCCCTGATTACTGAATTTTGCCACGAAGATTTTACTTTAAAATACAAAACATAATTTTCGCAATGTAAAAAAATAAAAAAAATAAAATAAAATAAAAACATTCCACGTGTTCTAATTTTTGGCGACCAAAAAAATCTCATCACATTTTTATTTCTTTTTTTTGCAGCACGAAGAATGTCGCGAAACATTGCGAGCCGGCAAATTGACCGTCGAAAATGTGGCACAAAATTTGGCGGAACGCGAAATTTTGCGAATTTCTGGGTTGATTGAAAGTGCAGCGAGAACATTCAAGGAATTTAATGTGAGTTTAAATGAATCGGGTGATTCTTGATATTTCTTGGTTAAAATAATGTTTTTTTGTATTTTTTTAAAATCAAATTTCATATTTTTATATATATATTTAAATATTACGTTAGAAATTTCTTAAAAGTCATGTCTTTGGGTTATTTTTCACCAAAAAATACAATTCCCCACCAAAAACATACCATTTTCATTTCAGCCCGAACAAATCAGTCATTCTCCATTATTTCAATCGCTAATCCAAATCAAAGATGATCAACAACCTTGTCCGCAGCCAAATAACACCATGTTCACCACACCAAAACCTCCAACAACTTTGCCACCAGCTTCAACTTCAGCAGCCCCAAGTTCCGCAGCTCCAGCTCAAACATCTTCAGCTTCACCTTCGTCTTCAGCAGCTCCAGCTCTAGAATCTGAACCATTTTTAGCGCCAAAAATTCATGCGGCAACACACGAAGAGGATCCATTTCATCAATACATTTCTACACTTCATGTGAGTTTTTTTCTGAAATTTAGGGAAATTTTTAAAAACAATTTTCATGATTTCTTGAAAATCAGATTTTTCTAGATGAAAAGTGAATTGTTTTGGGTGAAAGCTGTTTTTCAAATTAAATTACTTACCACGTGTATTTTCCAGTATTATATGAGTCGAGAAGAGCACGTTTGCAACAATAAATTCACAGATTTGAACAGTGTGACCGAAGATCAACTTTTCGGTTTCTTCTCCACATTGGCTGCAAATCAACCCGGACCATTCTGCTCATTATGTCATCGATTTACCGAAGAAGTTCAGAATCGCGTTTTTCGACCAAATCAATTATTGATCACTGATGATAATTTCCATTTTTCGAATTTAGTATTTTCACATTTACCATCGCCAAAAGCATTGTGTTCAACAATTGCACCAGGTTGTCATGATGATTATGCGATTAAAGGTGAGCGAAGAAGAGGACTAGAAAACACAGATTGTATTTTCGTTATTGAAAAATTTCCCGCATTTTTTGAGACCTGGCACAATTTTAGGGGTGTGACTAAACGCTATGAAATTCAACGCAAAAGTGAGAGATTTGGAGAAAAATATTTTTGATCTACCAGAAATACTTTTGAAAAATTTGAGGTCTAGCGGTTTGAGGTAGTAAAATACACGCTATGAAAAACCAAAAGGTTTTTTGCCATTGAAAATTCGAGGGGACTCAGAGAAAGCCGGCGACTAATCGGCGACGAATCGAGATCAGGCGACTAATCGTCTGCCAATCGTAAGTTCGTCGGCGGAAATAGTGTGTGTTTCTCGGAAACGCAGACGAAAAAGTTTCAGGCGACGAATCGGCGACTAATCAGAAGTTAGTCGCCGATTAGTCGCCAGAATCTTTTTCGTCTGCGTCTCCGGAAATACACGCTATTTCGAAAATTCCACCGACGAACTTGCGACGAACTTACGATTGGCAAGCGATTAGTCGCCTGATTTCTCTGAGGAATTTGTGATTTTTGAAGTGTAACAAATTTTCAGAAATTTAGGCTTCAAAAATTCGTTTCAGAATTTTCCTCAAAATTGTTTAAATTCCAGTCGCAAATCTCACTGAATCCGTAATTTGCCTTGAATGTAGTGCTTGTATGTCAATAACCAATGTCATCGTTCACAAATTCCTTCTACAACAACAAGTCGTCGATTCACTTTTCACATTCCTTCGCGGAAATCTTTTCCACAATTTATGCGCTGAACTTTGTATAACTTTCCAAGGCCACGATATGCCACTTTTCCCGAATGGTTTTAGTTACGATGGTTGTCAGGCGGTGCTCAAGAAGCAATATTATAGTTTTATTAGTGTTGCGTCGGTTTTGTTGAAACCGGAAAGATTCTGCAGTTTGGAATTGGGATGGTGTGAATTGAATGAGCAGCCGAATGCATTGCACTGTTTGAGGGAAATGTGCCTCGAACGTAGGTTTTATCCAGAATTACGCTAAATTCCACAAATTGTGCATTTCAGACTTCAAGGATACTCCGCAGACCCGATGGTTGTGTAGTCAAATTCCTGATCGACCGGATAGTGCTGATGAATATTTGAATATCAAGAGATCTAAAATCTACAAGGAGAAGAAGGATTATCACAATGATTTTGAGGTTCATGAAGAACTGTAAATTTTTCTAGAAATGTGTTCATATTTAATTAATTATTTACATATTACATTGTGAAAGATTTACTCGTTTCATAAATATTTCAACAATTTATGTAAGTCAACAAAAACAATTTAGAAGATGGACTCTGGGAATTCAAAAGTGACGTCCTTTCCGGTAAGCTTACGGTAAACGGCGGCGAAAACTCCGGTCTTGTGTCCAACGTTGGTTTCACTGTTCTTGTCGAGGTGGACCTTGTAGACTTTCTTTCCGTCAAGCTTGACTCTGATACGTCTTCCGACAACTTCAGCTGGGTAGACGAGCTCATCGAGCCACGCGTCGTGGACAGCGGTGAGGGTTCGGGAACGTGGTCTCTTTTGCTTTTGTGGTCGGGCCTTGTTTCCTCTTTGTGGTTTTGGAAGGATACGTCTCTGAAAAAAATTTAGTAGTGAAAAGTTTATGTTGAAAATTGGTCCTAATTCTGCCCAGCAAGTTTTAAAATCAAAAATAGCAAAATCCTAAAAATGCAAGATACTCAGAAAATTAGGAAAAATTCAGACCAACAATCAATTCACGAAAAAGTAAGTGGAGAATAATAGTAGTATCACATTAGCACACAAAACTTCATTAAAATTGAAAAGGAAAAGTCCACACATGAACTAGAAGCTCCAAGGACAATCGAGTTAACCCCTAAACGCCATGAAATATTTTTCTCTCTCTCCGATTCCGCAGAACAAGGTAATGCGCGGGAAAGTCAAAATTAGGGTTTCTCCAAAGAACATACAATAACAATATTCCAAACTAGATTAAAAAATTGTAAAATTCAACGTGACCCAAGTCTAAATTGGTGAGGATTCATTTCCAACATAATAATTAACATTTCCAAAATAATAAAACACTACTCACCTTGGCAAGGAAGATGATGTCTCTTCCTCCGAATTTCTTTTCCAATTCACGGACAAGGCTGAGTTGGAGCTTGTGGAAAGCCTTGAGTTGTGGGACTGGGACGTAGATGATGATGGCGGATTTGTTTCCGACTTCAACTTCCTATAAATTCATGAAAATCAGTTTTGCAATGAATTATAAAAATCGATTGTTTTAGAAATTTAAAAATTGGCGATGAATCTTGTAGCCCGTAAGTTTTATAGAAATTTTCAATAATCAATTCTCTATAACAAAAATATTTCAAACAATTACTTACCTTAACTCCGACGATGTACAATTCCTTCAATTGGTTTTTGGTGTCATCGTTGGTTTCCAAATCGACAAGAGCTTGCGAGACTTGCTTCTCGATTTCGGAAATTGGCTTTCCGTCCGATTTCAAAAGTTTGCCGACGATCTCAGGCATTTTATATTTAACCCACTGCAAAAAATAAAATTTTTTCCGAGTTTTGTCAAAAATTAAATTTTTACGAGGAGAAAAAATCGGCGAATAAGAATATACATTTTCCAATATCTAAATCATGTTCTGAACTTATAAAAACTTCAAAAATTCAAGAAATCCGCCAAAAAAACGTGAAAAAAGGCGAAAAAAAGAGATAGGCCTCTTTGCTGGAGAGAAATGGGGGTACGGTAACACAAGGTCGAATGTGCGGCGAGGCGGTGTGAGACACAAGCAAATAAATAGATGCGCCTTTACTCAATTTTATTTTTATTTTTTTCAAGTTTTTTTGGTTTTTCGAGGATTTCAAGCGGAAACAGACGGAAATCTTGGAAAATTGAAACGGAAAAGAGAATTTAAAAATTTGGACTAAACTCATTTCTAAATTTTTTTGAAAAAAAAAACTGGTTTCACCCGAAAAAATATGTTCTTTTGTGAAATGTTGTATTTTTCCAGCTACAAAAAATATGAAAAACAACTATAAAAAATCCAGAGGAATGTAATAAAGTCTAATTATGTGGAAACGTCACCGAGCCTCTCTTCAGAATTCATTCACACACATAAAATAGCACATGAAGAGCGGAGAGCAAACAGACAAGCAGAGTTTTTCTGCTCGCGCAAGCTTTTTCCCAATAAAATTCGCCTTTTTTGCCATTTCTAAAATATTATGGAAACTGCTTTAAATGGCTTGTCATCGACCGTGAAACACAGTGCAACAAAAGAAGCCATTCAAGCAGCCAAAGAATCGCTGAAAAGTTTCAAAGAGAACAAAGATGTAGCGCCATTTCATGTACGAGATAAATTGCTATCCGCTTTTGAATTAGCTTTGGATAATGGAAACGAAAAACATTCTTATTTTGCTGTTGATGGAATACAGATTCTTTTGAGAGATCAAAGTTTCCATGATATAAATACTGAAGAAGTCAAGAATAGCCTAACTTCACAAATTTTGAATACACTGACCGGAATTGATGAATACAAAGGACAAGTGCAATGCAAATGCATAACCGTAAGTATTTTTTAAACATCAAGAATGCCGCGTTTTTGGGCAGAAGATGCGTGAGTTCGATGTCGACTGACTTCAATAATGTTTTTTTCAGCTCTTGGTCGAAATGGTTTGCAGCAATGAGTTGAAAGTTTCTCTAACTGATGTTGAAGAATGTGTTCAGATTTATAAACGATTATATGGAAAATCTGAAGAAGAAAGGGTTCGTGTTGCTTGTAGAGCTGCAACTACACAAAGTCTCACAGCTTATTTTTCAAACAGATATGCAGCATGTGTAAGTTATTCCTTGTCGTTGGCTCTTCTGAAAAATTAATTTCAGGATGCGACACAGGATTCGATTGCCGTATATTTGGATGTATGTAAATTTATTGAAGAACTTTGCGCGGAAGTTGAACAAATGAGCAGTTCACATGAGCAATGTTTGATTTCGCTCGATTCGATTTGTGCACTTCTCACAACTTCGAATCTAAAAATATTGCAACATCAGCCATTTGTCAATTTGTTGTGGGAAAAATTGTGTCCATTGATTATTTTATTATTGGGAATTCCAACTGGTTCGGCAGCTGGATTATTGAAATCAGGGGTAAGAAATTGGAAAGAAATGGTCTAAAAAATGAAAAGAAATTCAAATAATCTCGATTCTTCAGACCGAAAGATCAACAAAAAGCTCAGATGAGGAAATAATTGGAGAAGGTTCAGTTGATTTTGCACTAGCTCCAGCAATTCTTGCAAATCCTCATACATGGCGAGCACTTTATCAAATTGTAGAACAACTTATTCGCCTAATGATTCATGATAACTCTCTTACCTCATCTCTAGAAGCACTATTTCACAAAGCCTTTCTCTATCCACGTGTTGATCAACGTGGCGAAGCTCTAAAACTCATCAAAAAACTTCTGGGCGATCCGGCGAAGCTTAGCAAAATTGCGAAACATCCCAAATCGCTGACATCGCTTTGGCGAATGTTGATTCAATGTGTTGGCGAATGCGCGACGCCGCAATTGGAACTTGCGATTGACGCTGTGCGATGTGTTGTGAGCATTTTGGACGGATTGAAACAGTTTGCGACACATCGATTTTTTACGGATGAAGAAAGAGATGCGATTGAGAAAATATTGGGAGAGCAGAAAAAAGAGTTGGAAGAGAAGAGTGGGTTAAATTCATTTGAGAGAAATATGTTCTAGAAAACCAAACACATTATTTTGAGGACCAAGACATCTACAGACCAAATTCTCAAATTTCAGACCCCGAAAATCAATCATCAACAATAATTGAAGAAGAAGGAGAAGCTGAAGTTTTTGAGCAAGATGAAATGTGCCAAAAATTGAAGCGCCTCGAGCAAAAATTCAATTTCTCCCAGGGAAATTCTGCTGAAATTTCAGCCAAAATATCGACGAGCTCAAGAAGATCTAGTGAATTGGATGAAAGTGTGAGTTGAGATTGTTCGGAACAAAAAACATATGAGAAGATTTTTAGAGCGAAAGAAACACTGCCAAAAAATTTGTGGAGAGCTTGTGGGAGAATTTGGACGATTTTTCGAGTCTGAAATCGACTTTGGCTGTGGATGAGACGATTTTGCAGTTTGCTTCGAATTTTTATAATAGTAAGCAAGGAAATCTGGGCAAAAAATCGGTTGAAGTTCAAGTTTTTACTCAGCAAACCAGGGCGTAGCTACATTGTTGGAATTCTGTAAAGACAGCCTGACAAAAAAAAATTCAAAAATTTCTACTTCTCTGCGATCTCTCAAATCCACACACAAAATACCTCCCAATACATAAATATGTTCTTCTAGATTTCTGCCTTGTTCACGCCGACGCCTACAAAAATCGCTGCAAAATCCAACAAGAATTCCTCAACACCGACGCAATTTACCTCACAACATATGCCGCCCTCACATTTTTGAATAGCTCAAAATCCTCTCCTCTGAAAATTGAGGATTTCAAGAAAATCGCGTTGGGTTCAGGTTGTGTAATCCACGTGGCAAACGGGTGGATTGAAAAGGTTTATGATAATTTGAACGTGAATCATGAGTCTCATGATTTTTCAACGACACTCCGCGATGTTATTAATGATTTTTGTGAGAACGAAAAGAAGGGATTACTATCAGATGTTGAGAAGCTTAAGAAAATCACCCAAGGTGCCTTAGGAACCTTAGGATCTGTGGAAGAAGAAACCCTAGCATTTCATCTGACAGATCTTGCTTGGCCAAATTTCATAGAAGTTTTGTCGATTTTCCTATCTGCAAAATCGCGATCATTGAAAAAGGAGCGCGAAAAGATCCAGGAAGCAATATCATTATCGATTTGTGGAATGCGTGGCCTAGTTTCGTTGGCTCAAGTTCTCGGCCGTGGCCTAGAAACACGTTGTGGATGGGTGTTTGAGCAGTTGGTTGAAACAAGTTGTTGTTTGGAGGATTTGAGAGAAGATGCTGTGGCTGAAGAAGGAGAAAGTGCGAGAAAAGAGAAAATAAGGATATCGAGGTAGGAAGTTATTCAGAATTCCGCCTGGAAATTTAAAAAAATAAAAACGTGAACCCTTTGATTTCCAAAACTATTTCAATTTCATTTTTTTAAAAACATGTTTTTTTTCTGGCTAAGTGTCAACTGAAAAATAATAATTGTTTGCAGAGAACATCTCTTGGCAATGCAATTAGTTTTGGACGAATCCCGCATTGCAATTCATTCACCAACCTGCTGGAAACATATTGTCAGATGCACTGAATATGTTTGGGAACTCGAAAAATATATCTATGGAGCACTTTGCTATGAAAAACCATCGAGACTTAAATTTTTGCGTCGAAAAACTGAAGAAGAATCACCTTCCGAAAATACCCAAGACCCTCAAAAATCCGAAGATTTTTCGATTGAAAATGCAATTGGCGAAGAGAAATTCAACACAAATCTGTCAGTTCATTCGATAAATCGAGCAATTGCTGTACTAATTGCAAAAGTCGATCGATTTTATTCGCAAGTTTGTCGTGAATTATGTTTGCCTGCTTTGAGGGAATTGTGTCGGGCGATTGTTTCGGCATCGGAGACAAGGATTTTTTATTCGCAATTGAGTCATGTGCATTTAACGGCGCCAGTTATGTTGTTGACAAGGTTGGAATTTTTGGGAAAGATAAAATTGAGCTAAATTTTTTTGATAATATTGAGCTAAATTTGAAAATCGGGAATTCGGAGTGACTACGAAACCGCGATTTATCATTTTCATCCATAAAATTTAGCTAATCAATCTATTATTTTGGAGCGAAAATTCATGATTTCAGCCTGAAATTAAAATAAAAAAAGCTTGCATATTAGCAAGAAACGACAAGTACTGTAGGTTCGGAAATAGAGCACGGAGCTGAAGGCTGCGTAGCAACAAGAATTAAATTCATTCTTGTCATTTTTATTTCTGAATATATCGGAAAAATCTCAATTTCAGAATAATTTTGGGTGAAAAAAATCAGCTCCAAATTCTGGATATGAACGAAATATTTTAAATATCAAGAAGTTTTTTTCAGAGTTGAATTCCAGCTGATAAATGACTCAGGATTTGCTAAATTCTCAATTTTTCCAGAATATCCGACATAATCAGTTCACTTTCTCATCGTCCTCTCATCCATCAAATGTTCATTTATCCAATAGTTTCATCACATTTCGTTCAAGTTTGCCAAAGTGGCGAAGCTGAAACTGCACGAATTTCAGCTTCTGCATTGGCTGAAGTTGCAGCAAGATTATTAGTCTCTGAAACGCCCGGATTATGTTTCAATCAAACGTTGGTTTTGCCATTTCAGGTGAGAACATTTAGCTGAAAATCTCCGAACCTATTTTGTTTCAGACAGCAACATGCAGTGATGGTTGCTCAGATGAAACAAAAGAGCAATTATTGTGCTCACTGAGTCAACTTGTTCTATCACAAGCTGATAAAATTGGATCTGGCTGGAAACCACTTTTCGGCTCATTAAAAGCTGTTATAAATGCATCCGGTGATGAAAAAGTGCATTGGTGTTCGATTGATGTCATTTCATCGTACTTGAAAATTGATACACCGTGAGTTGATTTTTAGAGCATTTCGAGTCAAAATTTGGTATAACAAAGCCAGAAACTAATTTTCAGAAATGTGCTGTCATCTTCAATTCTTGAATGTATTCCATGTGTCATAAATCTACTTCAAAATCCCGCTGATCAAAAACCCGAAATTACTCAATCATCTCTGCGTCTCTTACCCTCTCTTTACTCTCTCATCCTATTTTTATATACAACACCGCATGTTCCAAATTATCATTTATTGCATCGAAGTGATTTGAGATCGAAATGTTTGGAAGAAGTTGAATGCGCTGAAAATTTGCTGGAAATTGTGGTAAAACATGGAAAATTGCCATGGGAAGGAGGAAAACAGACATATGAAATTGCATCTGTTGAACTGTTTTTGTCATTTTGTGAGTTTTGTTTTGGCGAAAATTTGAAAAAATGAGGGAATTTGGAGCATATGGAACCCGAAAACTTGAAAATTATCGTTTTTTGAAGCATTTTTGAGCCTGGAAATGTGGAAATTGGAAGATTTTGAGTTACTGAAGAGCTTCGAACTGCAAAAATTGCGAGAGCTACAGTAATCCGACTTGCAAAATAACTTCTCAAGCTGCAAGAAATACTGTGAAATTTTCTAACTTTAAAAAAGTTGAAGCTACAGTAACCCGAGTAGCAAATACTTGAATTCTGGAAATTTTGAAAATTTGGGGATCACAATCACCCGGACTGCAAGAATTATTGTAGATTTCTACAAAACTAAAAACAAAACTGAAAATTATTGTTTTTCGAACTGCAATGTGTACTGTAAATAGATTTATGAACTGTAGAATATTCAAGCTACAGTAAACCGAACTGCAAAACATCCACTATTTTTAGGATAAGAGTACTGTAGCTCGGCTTTTCCCTAATTTTCAATAAAAATATCAATATTCTTCAAAATTTCCAGTAGAAAAACTATGTGGAACTCTTCTAACTTCAAATTTGGAAACACAAAAAAATCTTCTTGATATGATTGGTCGATTATTGATTGATATCTCAACAAAACCATTGGGTTTTGAAAGTGGAGCAGTTGGAATTTCGGCTGTAATTTTACCATATGTTCAAAAATGGATACGACGAAATGACGTGGAAAATGATGTGAAAATATTGAAACAAGTGATAGGAACTGTCACACAAATTGTTATTGATTTTTTGAGCAGCAGCCAATCACAAGATGCCACGTGGAAAAATCGATTGATTCGTGATATTTCGGCACTTTTTGTTGAATGCGTGAGATTTGAAAAGACTTGTGCTGTGAGTCCAGCTTATTTTCGACTTTTGGCACAGAATTTGGCTCAGGATTTTGAGGAGGAACAGTGGAGAATTTATTCTGGATTTTTGGCCGAAGCTAGGTGAGCATTTTGAGCGCGCGCAGAGCTAAGCTCGAACCACTTTGAAACTATCCTAATTCTCAATATTTTCAGTCATCTCTCACTTCGTCATATTCGCCTTCTAAATTCATATTTTGTTCGCGGAAGTCATGATGAAAATGGAGATATTGGAAGTGTCACCGCATTTCATCCAGCAAATTTGCAATTTCAACAATTCCTTATGGCTGTTCAAGTATTTTCGTCAAAAAGAGGACTCGAAGCCCAGAAAGATAACGAGCTCGAAATAGGCTCAGGAATACCATTGCTCATGTTATCACATGGTCCAGAAACACATCGAATCGAGATTTCGTTGATTGTTAGCAGTTTATTGACACATTGTTTATTTATTCAATTGATTGCTGCAATTTTGTTAGAAGATTTGGAAGAATTAGGCCTGTTTTTAGGTCAAGTTTCAGGACTTGGCCTTAATTTAAACCTGACTTCAAGCTCTCTCGAAACATTTTATAAAATCCTCGATAAATCAGCTGAAAACTGTCTGGAATTCCAGAATCGTCCAGCAATATCAGAATTACTATCAAAAATGATTGGAGTAAAATCAGCAAACCTACTGAAACCCCTAGTTTCAGCTAATTTGATAAAATCAATGAGTTTGCTGAAACTTGGAAAACACGCTGAAATTTCCGAAGAAATTGTAAAAAATGCGAGATTTTTGCGAGAAGTTGAGTTGGAAATTAGTTCGAGAAGAAGTTTAGCGAGTCGCGAATTCGGAGCCACCGAATATCATTTGATACCTGTTTTGGAGCATGATTTGGAAGAGGGGGAAATCGGATATGCGAATGGATATCGATTAGTTTCGAAGGATTTTGTCGAGGAGACTGTGACGGGTGGGTTGGGGTTTTAGGGAAAAATTTGGATTCTTGTTAAATATTTAACACACCCATTTTTTGAAATTATCTATCCTGAAATATACAATAAATCCAAATTTTCCATTTTCAGAATACGAAAAACATCGCGAACGTCTAAAACCCGATCCACGAAAAAATCCATTCTTCAACAACCCAGCTGAAACATCTGAAGATCCGCCAGTTTCCGCGGAAAAAGATCAGGATTTCGACGAAGTACGACTTGCTGCATATCGTGATATTTGCCTAATTCCATTGAGAAGAATATTGGATTCTGAGAAACTAGATAATTTGGAAATTATGAAACCCGCATTTCAAGCTGTTTTGGAATCTTCGCCCGATTTATCAGTTAGACAATTAACCGGAAGATATATTGATTTGATTTTTAGAAGGAGGACAAATTGAAAATTTATAATAAATATAATAAACATGAATAAATAAAAACCTAAAACAACAGCCTAATTTAGGCTTGTGCACACCGTATACATAATGAATCCATCGGATCTCGTTGATGTTTTCTACACCGTTCACAATATTTCAAATCCGATTCTTGAATTTGAATATCCACTGAATGCTCCAAATCCTCATCTGAAGTTAGTCTAACTTGACTAACATTCAGCAATTCGCATAACTCGTTTTTCCTCAAAATTTCGTTTAAAACTTCAAAATCGTTCGATTTTTCAACAGAAATCAGCACCGCTTTTTTGGAAGTATCGATTTTTGGTCCGGCTTGAATTTCTAGACGATTTCGAACTTCGTAAATTAGTGGCAAATCATTTGAAACTTCTTGAAAATTATACAATACATCATTGATTTTTTGACGTAGAATGAGATTTTCTGAATCGGGAAGTTCACGCAAAACTTCTGACGACAAATGCGGTAAAATTGGCGAGATCAGATGAGATAAATCGTGTGCCATAGTGTGAAGAGTAAATTGAGCAGAGAGATGAGCAGGGCTACCGATTTTGTCGCAGTAAAGACGATCGCGCACATATTTCTGGAAGAACAAAGGGATTTTAGAGGGACTAGAAACTCGAAATTAGATTCATAGGCCATCTGGAAAAAATCGTTTTTGAAAAAGAAAATTGGTTTATTTTCAAAAAGAAAACAAAAATTGAGAATTCATTTCGCTGACCTAGAAATCTATAATTTGGCATCATTCCAATTTTCACCCAAAAAACCCACCACATAATTCGCGCTGAAATTCCTTGCCATAAATTGTATCAAATCATTCGCAACCGTTCGAAATTTGAAATTCTCATAATTTTTAAGCGCCTTTTCGCCAAAAATCGATAAATTATACAAAATATCCTGGTCCAAAATTCGAAGATCTGATGGTTTTTCGGGTTTCCAAAGGTTTTTGGTGTAGCCAAATGAGCCGCCAATCATAAAACGAAAGCCGTTTCGAAGTGCAATTATCTGGAAGATTTTCAATTTGTTTTTGTATATTTTTTCGAAGCATTCAAAAATTCTATAAGGATTCGCTTCAGAAAATCCAAAAAAGAAGCAATTTTTCAATTTTGTTTACAAACTAAAACTCCCCAGATTCACTCTCTAAACCCACCTTTTTATCAACATCCTCCACAACTTTCTGTCCAATTTTCGATTCTCCCGCATTTTCCGATCCACCCAATGCCACCCAAAATCTTAATCCATCAGCTCCAATCGCTTTTTGTTTTAAAGATCCATCAGTCAAAACCATTGGATCAACAACATTTCCAATCGATTTCGACATTTTCTGATTCTTTTCATCGATACAAAATCCGTGAACAATCACATTTTCATAAGGAATCTGATTTTTTATAGCAATTGATGTGAGAAGAAGTGATTGAAACCATCCACGAAATTGATCAACACCTTCCAAAACTAAATCAACACGTGATTTCTGAACATCTGGGTCTTTTCGAGCGGCTGCCCATGCTAAACCACTATCCAGCCAAACATCCATTATGTCTTGATTTTTTGAATAGAGACCTGGAAACAACAAACTTGTTAGATTACACGTGTCCCGAACCCCAAATCACAACTTTCAAATACTAATTTGTGTTCCCAAGCTCGAGTACCATTTTTTCTATTTTTGAATCAACATGAACTTTTTCACCAGAAAAACAAACCAGAATAGGAAATTGAAAACCGCTTGTTCGTCTAAACAGCCTAAAATTGTTCAAACATCGAAAATCAATTTTTCTTTTCGTTTAAATGAGTTGGAAGCACCGTATCAGCCAATTTCAAGAAATTTCAGCTGGAATTTCAATTCTAGCCAATCTACTTCTAATTTTCCTAATAATTTTCAAATCACCAAACCAAATCGGATCATATAAATATTTGATGATTTATATTTCATTTTTTGAAATTTGTTATTCAATTATTGATGTTATACTGGAACCTATAATATATTCTCATGGCTCATTTTATCTCGTTTTTTCGAATTTCAAAAATTTTCCGTTTTCAAGAGATAATAGTTATATCTTATTTATGACGTGGACTGGATTCTATGGAAGTTTTATGGCAATATTTTCATTACAATTTTTCTATCGATTTTTGGTTGCGACAAAATCTTCACTTTCAACATTCAATGATTATCGAATAATATTCTGGATGATAAGTCCTCAAATATTTGGTGTTTTTTGGGCAACATTTATTCATTTTCTTTTACATCCAAATCAAAATACTGAAAATTATATCAGAAATATGTTGGAAATTGAATTTGACTGGAAAATCGAGGAAACTGTTTATTTCGGTGTACATCTTTATCAGAAAAATGAAACCACAAACTTGGACGAACTTGACAAAAACTCTGTGATTGGTGTGATTTTGGAATGCGCAGTTGTTATAACTTCATTGTTTTTAGTAATTTTTTTCGCAATCAGATGTTATTTTAGTATCAATGCATATTTTATAAATGATCGAAATGAAAATCAGAGAAATATGATATCAAGAAGCCTTATGGCCCTGCAATATCAATTATTCTACTCTCTAGTTACACAAACCTTAATTCCAGTTATTCTTATGCATATTCCATTTGCAATTATTTTGATATTCACAATTTTCAATTATGATTTGAGTCATGCCAGTGGCATTTTAAGTATCACAATTGCAATATTTCCAGCATTAGACCCTTTTCCATGCATGTTTATCATTCAAAATTATCGACATGCTATTTCAAAAGTCGTCACATCGCCCGTATTTATACTTGTACAAAGGAAAACATGAAACTTTGATGAATAGATATTTGTTTCTTTTTTTCTCGAAATTGTTTCCCTAAAAATAACCTCCCCCTTTCCTATATTCCACTCACCTTTCTCCATTTTCATCGCCTCACAAATAGTCTCCACATCAACTTTCCACCACCAATCAACACCTTCTTTCTCCACCATTTTCGCCACATATTCTACCAATTCTTTTGTTATCCAAGCCTCTTCAGTTTCTCGATTAATTAATGCTGGAATCGGTGTTCCCCACACTCGCTGTCTCGAAATACACCAATTCTTTCTTGACGAAACAAGGCTTTTCAGTCCGGCTCGTAAGTCTGTTTCTCCCGCAAAAATTCGAACATTTTCAGTATTCTCGAGTGCTTCTTCTGCTTGTTTTCCAACATTTTCTAAATCAATAAACCATTGTTGACTTGCTCGAATTATAACTGGTTTTTTGGTTCGCCAATCATATGGATAAGAGTGCGTATATTTTGACACGTGGACCACGTCGTGGCCTAAGATTTCGAGGACTAGTTTTTGACCTTGACCTAAAACTGGTTGACCGGATAATTGATGGCCCATTTGACGGGTGTAGCAGCCTTGAGAATCGACGAAACTTTCAACTTTTTCGTTTTGGGATAGAGCAATCTGGAAATAAATATGTTTGAGTTTGAGTTGACAGAAGGAAGAAGAATTTTTGAATTAATGGCTCAAACTTTCTAATTTTTATCATTTTCACTTCAAAATGTTCCATTTTTCACTCACTTCATAATCCTGAAATCCATGTGCATAACTTGTGTGTACTAAACCCGTTCCAATATTATCCAAAACGTGTTCACCTTCATAAATTGGCATTGCCAATTCATTATACCAACAATTCACATATTTTCTTCCGATCAAATTTTCCGCCGAAATTTCGCCCAAAATTCGAAATTTTCGATTTTTGTCGAAATTTTGGGGGATCAGATTTTTGGCACAAATGTAGAAATTTGATGTTGGATTGCTGCAAAAATAAGGAATTTTTAGGAACATTATATTTTTAGAGTACAATAATTCAGGTGCCTAAACTTTCCAATTTCAGTGGAAATTTGTGGGTAGAAATTTGGAAAAAAAAACGTTGGAAACTGCTGAAATTTGATAATATTTTGGGTTTTTTGAATATTTTACAAAGCTTCTATTACACCCAAATATTCTTAATTTTCCACCATTTTTAGATAAAAATCCCATCCCGAACCCATTTTTCCACTTACTTTTGCTCATCCTCAAATTCAATCACACAATATTCAATCTTCTTCGACACACAAATCGCATTATTCAATGGCAATGTCCAAGGTGTTGTTGTCCAAGTCAATGCATAAAACTGGGCCGGTTTAGGCTTTGGTCGAAGCCCGGAAGCCCAATTAACATCATTTTCAGATAAATTAATCATTTTGAATCTGAAATAGGCAGCAGTTGATTGATGTTTTTCATTGTATTCGAGTTCAGATTCGGCTAGAGCTGTATTTGAACTTGGAGACCTGCAAAAATGAGGTGTGCAAATTGAATCTATTCTTATATATCCATCAAAATGACTCACCAATAAACCGGTTTAAACCGTCTCTGAACCATTCCTTTTTCCACCATCACACCAAAACATCGCAATTGTTTTCCAATATATTCTTCGCTTTTCGTAATATACGGATCTTTCCAATCAGCCGAAATTCCCCATCTTTTGAATGCGTTCATTTGTTTTCCAATCGATTCGTCGGCGATTTGTCGAGCTGATTCACGGATTTCTAGGGGCCATTTTGGAGGACCTGAGGAAGTTGTGGATTTGGCAATTTTGAGCTCAATCGGTAGACCGTGACAATCCCATCCAGGACGAAATATGACACTGGAAAATTAGAAAGATGAAATCGAAAGAATAAAGATTTCTTCTTATTTTCTAGACCCAAAATCACTCACCGATATCCCAATCCAACTCTACTTTTCACCACAAAATCCTTCAATACTTTATTAATTGCATGACCTGTATGAGCCTCACCATTAGCATATGGTGGCCCGTCCAATATCTCAAAAACAGGTCGATCAACTTCGCCGGCTTGCCACGTGTACAATGAATCAAGGCCGCCAGAAATCGACAAATTTTGATCATTGAGAGCTCGTTCGGTGGATTTGATGTGATTGGAAAAATTGGGAGCGGTGGGGAGAAAAATGTTGGGCCTGGACTTGGCGGGCCCATCGAGCCTATTAGGCTCGGAAGACATTTTATGCGCACAAAACTGGCGCTTCTTCGCCGAATGCAACAAGCGCTGCCGCAATAAGTTCATTCGGAATTCCAGCATCGTGATCGACTCCAAGAGTGAATAAAAGATCTTTGCACTTATTTCGGCGAGTATAGGCGATTACGAGACGACGGATGAAAAGATCGATGCCGGGCTGGAAATATTTCGAATTGGTTCGGGAAAAAGATTTTTTGGATATCTTGAAAGTTTAAAATCTAAACAACACGATTTTGAGTTCCTTGAAATCTTTCAGATTTTATCTTCAAAACCTCTCAAAAATCTACCGTATGCGAAGTTCCAAGCAAAGGTTTGGTCGAATATTCGACTCGTTCGGCTGACAATCCACTGGTCAAAACCTCTGGAGGAACTGTGACCTCGATGACTTGCCCGATTTTTCCGATTGTGTTCAAGATCTGCAAAAAATGGAAAATTTGTTGGAAAGGTGAAAAATGCAGGCTTTCCAGCCCGGAATCGATATTTTTATTATTGAATTAAAAATACGTGAGAAATAAAAAACTAGGTCAAGTGATGTGGATTTAAAAACAGTATAGGTAGCCATGTCGTCAGTTGCGATGCGTGTGGGCGACACGTTTTTAGAAATGAAAATTTGACAAATCCAATGGAAAATATCGAGGTCAACACGCAACGCAGAACCGCATCGCAACTGACGACATGGCTACCTATACTGTTTTTAAATCCACATCACTTGACCTAGTTTTTTATTTCTCACGTGTTTTTAATTCAATAATACCGTTTTTTGAGAAAATTCAAATTCTGAACAACTTCTGAATTTTTCCAAATTTAAAAATGAAATAAATTCTGGGGGAAAAATTAAAGAAACAATTTTCACGTTCACGTTTTTTGTAACTTTTCTATTTTTAATGATTTTCAAATTTTCGTCAAAAAACCTAATTTGACCGAAAGAATACGCCTAAATCAGTACTCATAATCCAGTTCGAATTCAAAAAATCAACATTTTTGATTTTCTGACAGAGAGGATAGATAATCGTTTGATGTAAACTCGATTTTTTCCGCCTGAACGTTATATCTACGAATTCATCAATCATGTTTGCTGATATATCAGAATTTCAATGTACATATAAATATATAAGATAGATATGAACAACACAAACAGGCAGAAGAATTAGAAGCCCATATTTCAAATTCTACATGTCTTTTGTCAACAAACTTTTGAATTTACAAGGAATTCGAGGAATCGCAATTTTGGCAGTTTTAGCGTTTCATTTTTTTCCAAATTATATACCTAATGGATATTTGGGAGTTGATCAGTAAGTTTGACTACCTAAATACTAAATAATTTTCGGCTGTTCGGTTAAAAGATTACACGTGAGAAATGAGAATTTTTACAGATTTTTTGTACTATCTGGTTTTTTAATGTGCATGTTATTGAGAAAAACTGAAAAACTTGCAAAACTTGAAATGATAACAAATTTTTACATTCGTCGATTCAAAAGGATATTACCATTATATCAATTAATAATACTATTATCATTAATTGCATTATACTTGATATTTCCTGAAACAACAATTGAACTTAATATAAATTCAGCAAAACGAGCAATGGTTTTTATATCAAATCAATTGAAAACATTAGAAGATGATTATTTTGAAAAGTTAAATATGGCAATTGATATATTTACACATACTTGGTCACTTTCTGTTGAAATTCAATTTTATCTAATTGTTCCATTTTTATTTTTATTACCATTTCAAATATTATCATTAACAATTTTTGCAACTACACTGCTCCACATAATTATAACCTCACTTGATTTTTTTGAAAAATTCGAAATTTTGAGTTTTTTGGAAAAAGTTAGAAAATGGAAAATGTGTCAATTTCCGATACTAATTTGAAGTCTAATCGAAATTTTCTATCGTGGAACTCCCGAAAGAGAAATCTTGAATTTTATAAATAAATCAGTTTCGCAATTGCACATAATTATAACCTCACTTTCTGAAAATTGCTGAAATTCTAACTTTTTTGAAGCAAAACTTTGAAAAACAATAAAAAATTCCGATTAAACTTCAAATTAGTATCGGATATTGATATATTTTCGATTTTTGATGTTTTTGCGAGAAACTCGAAAACTCGAATTGTTCAAAAAAATGAAGTGAGGTTATAATTATGTGGAGCAGTGTATAAGTTTGATATATTTTTATATTTTACCAACAGATGTTGCTTTTCTCAATGTTTTTGCAAGGATTTGGCAATTTTTAATTGGTATGATTGCTTGTATTATTCATCAAAATATATCAAATACATTTGAATATTCAAAAAATACGGAAAAGTGTGAAGGAGAATTAATATCGGATGAGGGAACTGAACGATTCAAAAATAATGTGACTAATAATGAGATTTTAATTAGGAATATGATTATCACAATGATTATAATTATTTTCGTTCCAAAAAGTATATCTGCAATTTTTGCAAGGTAAATCAAATGAGAAAAAGGCTGGTAAGATTCGGCAATTCAGAATTATATACAGGGCTTTAAGAAAACAAAAATACCATCATACAAAACTTAACGCCTTTAGTTGTGATTCTCAGACAAGTAGGGGCTTATTTTCTCGGTTCCGTCCATAATTTAGAAGCCGATTATCACAGAATTGTGATCGGCTCATCGAGTTTTATAAGACGGCATTTATAATCACTTTGTCTTGTAAAATATTAATTCCAGGCCATTAATTACAACAATTACTGGAATAATTTTAATATTTTCAAAAAGAGATGATATCATATTATCAAATAAAATACTAACATATTTGGGTGATATTTCATATTCATTATACTTAATACATTGGCCAATTTATGCATATTATAAAATAACTGACATGTCACATCATATTTTACTATTTTTATTTGTTTCTGTTAGTTTTTCTATTTTAATTTATCATAGTTTTGAAAAATGGTATACAAAACAATCTAATATTATTGTATTTATGATAACTTTTTCTTTATTCTCTGTGAATATCCCTATTTTATATCGTGAATTATTAATTGTAAAAAATGACGAAGGAGCTGTAATAGATAATATTACCTATTTGACTGGTAATTTAACATTCGAAGATTCGGAACGATTGAATTATAAATGGGAGTTGGATGAGAAGAAAAATTTGTATTTTCAACACGATGACATTTTTGGATGGTTTTCATATACTGGTTTGAATCCGAACAAAAACAATACATTAAGAATTATGTCATTTGGAAATAGTTGGACAACTAATCATGCAAAAATTATGTATGAAGAATGTGGACCGAAATTGAAAGAATTTCTGAGAGGTTCAATAAGTGGTTAGTTTTTTCTATGTCATCATAGTACTGGAGATTTTTTTTTGAAAAAATCTATAGAGCTCAAAATGTATTTCAATCATATAAAAACTGCTGAGATATGAAAACCCCAATATTATTTGAAAAAATAAGTCCCTAAATAACTTATTTAATGAATAATACCAGAACATTTCAGGTTGTGAACCTATTTACAAATTTCCAAGTGAATTCAAAAATTGTTCCGAATTTTTGGTAGAAGTTGAACAACATTTGGAAGTCTTCAAACCAGATTATGCATTTCATATGACAAGATCAGTTAATATAGGTAACAATTATACAGATGATTTCGAAAATGATCCAATTTATCAATCAATTTTGAATGAGACACGATATATGGTCAAACATATCAAACATAAATTATTTATACTGAATTCAATTCCATCAGTTGATCGACAAGTTATAAAACATTTAACAGAATATTTGAAAAATAATGTATCGAAAGATGAAATTGATGTAAGTTGACATTTACCGGGCCGGCCTAGAAAAGCCTTGCAAAACGGACAAAAATACACCATAAACATAAATAAGTATTTTAGACCAAAATGTACATGTCTTATGATAAACATGTGGCAGCAACAAAACGATATGCTCAATTAATAAAAGATTGTGGTTCGAAATGTGAACTTATTGATTATTATGATTTTTTTCATCCAAATGGAATAAAAACCTATCGATATTATGATGAGAATGGTCTTTTATATATGACTCCTGGATCACATTTGAGTAGTTGGGCTTTCGAATATTTACGCCCATTTTGGAAACATTTTTGTGCTAACAAAATTGTCTAGCTTTCATTTTATTTGTTTTATGGAATAAAATTTTCTACTATTTTTCTCGCCACGTGAATTTTTGGGATTAAAATAGTCCGATTTCCATTCGTTTTTCACAAAAATTTGACATTTGAATAAAAAAGACATCTAATAAATAGTAACATTTTTCCCAAAATTTGAAGGACAAACTTTCAGCGAAAATCAAAAAAAAAACTCACAACCAAATCCTTATTCGAATGTTCAGTAATTGAAAAATGAACGCGTTTCTTTGAAAAGTCGAAAGAATAATCGGTGAATCGTGGACTCATAAAAAAACCTGCAAATTTTAATTTCAGATTTTTTTGGATTTCAAAAAAGCTGAAGAAGATATATAGAAATTTGCGGAATTTCAAGCCAATTTTCAGAAAAAATATCTTGATTTTTTCCAAGATTTTTATTCAACAAACAGAAGAAAACATAAAAAATAACAAAAAAAGTAACAATCAGGGGGGAAAAGACGATTTTTCAGATTTTCAAAGAAAAGCCTGGAAAAAATCAATCATCAAGATCAAATTTGGGGGTCGAAGAAGAAGAAGAGGGGGAATTTAAAACAGTAAAATTTTTGTGGTGTCGTTCGAGATCTTTTTGTCGTTCCATCGCTTCTCTGAAATACACAAGGGGATAGTTTTGGTGAAATTTAAATTTGGGGAACATCGAAAATTAGAGGATTGTCAATTGCGATAACTTTTACCAGTAAAAAATAAGATTTTTATGTCAAAATGAGTGATTTTCAGCGTGAGGATTAGAGCTTTTCACTCCTCTATTTTCACACGGAAAATCAATTTCAGATTTAAAATTCCCCGAATTTTCTTTCAAAAAATCCCATACCTTCGCTGTTTTCCTTCTTCTGGTGTCAAGAATCGACCCTGAAGAGTTGATTCATCAACAGTCCATAAGAACATATCGTTGAGTGTGTAGCCAAAAGCTTTCCAACCGACGAAGAAAAGAACAAAAGAGACGATGATACGACGACGAGACCACTGAAAAATAACACAATTTGAGGGATCATTTGGAAAATGTGGTTTTTATTGTAATTTTTTAAACGTAAGTCTCAGATTTTCACATTTCAATATGACAATCAGAACTTTTTATCAAAAATCACCATTTCAGATTTTTTTCTCATTCAGAATACACTTTTTAAATTAAAAATCTTACCTGTTGATAATTAAGAGGTTTGTTGGGTGTAAAAGAGCGTAGTTTTTGTCGAAACAGTCTTCGCCATTCCCACACCAACATTTTCTTCTTTTATTTAACAAGCCGCCTTGGCTTTTTGTGTTGGCAAAAGTCCAAAACGTTTCTTAATAATCACACGGTATTTGCTGTTTTTGTCTTCTGGCGAAAAACGAGCTGGATGAGCTGTCAAAGTTTGTTGACCTTCTGGATTGGTTCTCTGTAAACCAAAGAAGTTCGGAAAGGAAAATGAGGGGTTTTGGGTGGATCTTGAAAAGAATTGCGGTACTTTAAACTTTCAAGATAGATCTCTAGTTAGAAATACTTGCTGAAAATATGATTTTTTTGATAGAAAACTTGAACTGGTTCAAAAATAAAGCCGAAACGTCGAAAAAACTATCAAAACTGAATTTCTTACTCAAAATCCAATGTTTGACACAAAAAATTTGCGAAACAGTGTTCCTTTTTCCCAATCACTCTATTCCTCTAATTTTTCCCGGCTGCTCAGTCAGAGACGCAGACAATCTTTTTTCATTTTCAAAAAAAAAACTAACCTTCAAAGTGTAGACTCTTTGATTGTTCTCGTCCAAATAATATCTCAAAAACATTGGTAAAGCCTGTAAAAAAAAACCCTGAATTTAATTTTAGCTCAAATTTTCCAAAATGAAAGTATTGTTAACGTTCGAGGACGTATTTAAGGTCGAAAAATGCGCAAAGAAAATTATGATTAAATAAATAAAATCTATTTAACAAAAAAAATCACAAAAACGAGCATATTGAAAAACCAGTAAGTATTTTGGGGATATAATAATTAGGCACTGCGAATTAAATTCTATACATAAAAATTCGGAATTTCGGGGAAAAAGTGAAAAATCCAACAACAAAATTCTAGAAACAAGAAAAACAAAGTGAAACATGCGTTGAAAAACTTGGGGGAATAAAGTTAGAACATATAAATAATTATTGGGTCCATGTCAAGTTTTTAGAGCGGTCCCATTCCGACTGTATGGAAAATATAGTCCCAAAGTGATGTTGATATTCCGAATCCTGGAAAAATAAATGATTTGGTGACGTTTCATCTGGAGATTTTCTGGGAAAGCTAATTCCAACTTTCGATATTCAAAACCATCTTCAAGACCCAATTTATCACCCCTAATCTTTCCAGAAATCAACTCACCAACATCGAAATTCTTAAAATGATGATTATGATGATAAACTTTTCTATAATGCATATTGCTCAACGGTCGCGGTGCTCCATGATGTAAATAATAATGAATCATATCATAACCAACGTATCCAAACAATTTTCCAGCTCCAAAAGCACAAAAAACTGGCCAAGTGAAAGTATTTGAATAAATAATGTAGAAAAATAAGACAATTGGGATTGCAGGAACTGGTGGAAACACCAAACGATCACCATCCATTGGTGTTTTGTGGTGAAGTCCTGGAAGAAATATAGACTAGTAAGAGTGACAATTGAGAGCTTTTTAGATGAAAATTGAACAATTTTTTCTTTTAGAGTGCACATTTATTTTCAAACGATTTTCTCAAGTTAAAATCCCCATTTCAGACAAGAATCCACCCCAACAACTAAAAAAAACATACCATGCAACAAGAAATGCAATAAAATCTGATTTTCCGATTCGGGCGATGGTTTCCAGTGGAAAACCCATCTGTGCAAACTATATTCAGTGAGAGTCCATGTCAAAATTCCGACTACAAACCAAAATGACCAGAGGAGCACCGAATTATAGAGATCTGGAAGAGAAAATTTAGATTTCGGAGTGGAATTTGGAAGTTTAGGTCATGGAAAATCGTATGTTTTTGTGATTCTAGATCAAACACCTTATTCTTCATGAAATCCTGATTTTCCGATTCAAAAACTTTAATTTCCCACCAAATGTTCCGTTTAAAAAACTCACCAGTAGTCTGCGAAAACGTGGAAATCGAAAAAAGCGAAAATAACAGAACAACTGGCACCCAAACCGATGGCACCACCCACCAACTTGTTCTCGTCAAACTCTCCAAAAAATCCGAATCGAATAATCGAAGAGTTCCGTCGTATGGTTGATGTATCCAATGCCAATATTCGGAACGTAATGAGCCGACTTTGAATAACATTCCTTGTTTTCCATCGATTAGTGGGTCGAGCTGAAGAAAATTTGGGTTTTTTGAGAGAAATTTTGACATTTTTCATTAAAAATTCTCACCTTCTGAAATTTATCTACACTATATCGTTCCAACATTCCATAAGCTGCTTCCGAATGTTCATGTTTCACTCCCATAATTCGTCGTTCTCCTCGCATAAATTCGCCAATCTCCTCTCCCGCCAATTTATGCAAAACTTTCGCGCCACCCGGATGTTTCTGCGCAAAATCCGCGATATCGTACAATTTTCCGTCCAAATGCACCAGCAGCGGTTTTTTCTCATTCATTCCTACTCCCATTTTTGTTTTGTGCCAATTGTACTTCTTTTTCTTTCTGCAATAAAAAACTCGTCTCATATATTTTTCATCCTTTTTCTGCACTTTTTTTCAGAAAACTCTCTGGGGACCAAAAGGGGAACACTTTTTTCTCTTTCTAGAGACCAAGTTAAGTTTCTTATTTTGGTTTTTTGTTGAGGAAAAACCAAAAAACTAGGAGGATTATTTCGGATGAAAAAGTGAAAAAAGTGGCGGATATTCGAGGAGAAAAATAAAGAAAAATGATATTGAAGAGAAGTGTGTGAAAATGAAAATGAGAAGAGCAATTTAATTGCATTTCCGTTTTGTCACATTCTATGTGTGTTTAACCTTTCGGCTAAGGAGAAAAATTTGATTTGTGAGGAATTTCGACACCAAAATATCGTTGAAATTGAAATACTAAGAAAAATTTCAGTTTTCAAGGCCACCAAAATTACATATTTTGGTCTCCAGATCAGTTTGAAAAGGGTGAAAAATTTGTCGAATTTTAAAAGCAGACTTTTCTAAATCTCTATGAAAATTCGGATCACAATTTTTTCGAAGAAAACAATATAATTTTCAAAATGATTCCTTCGCTGATCAAAAAAATCTTGGAAAGAATCCTAACTTCAGAAAAAACTGATAATCGAGATATTTAAATTTTCAACGAAAATATGCAGAACATGGAGAACTGGGTCCTAGGTCCTTACATTTTTTCAATAATCATATAAAAAGTAACCACGCCATAAATAAGGCATCACGTTCGAATGATAAAACTTTTTCGTCCGAAATTTCAGAAAAATCTAGCTTCAAGGGTTTCTCAAGGAAAAACTCCACTCAATCATTAAAAGCAGAAGACTACTAATAAAAATTCGAGCAACACACGAATTAAATTTTTTAATCCTTGCCCGATCGGAAAGTGTAATCCAATATCAAAAAACATACATTCTCTTTTTCTAAAAGTTCAATGCTCTTGACTTGAATAAAATTAATTATAAAAGATGTAGAGGGACTACTGAAAAAGAAACCAAAAGAGGAGCCAAAAAAGAAAACGAAGAATTCTATACGAGAGCATGAAACCTAAAAGAAAAAAGAGAAGAAATGTCAAAAAAAGAACACGACGGACGGAAAAGGGCAAACAATGCAAGCGATGCCAAGCAACCCAAAAACGTCTTCTTGATGATGATTTTTCGTAGGAAAAGACGAAATTTAGTATATTAGTATCATTGTTGACGGATTTATGTGGAAAAAATAATGGCGAATATCTTTGGACTCTAAAATGTGGTTTTTCGAGGAGAATACCCTAGAAATTCCGGAATACCAGCAGAAAACTTGAAAAATTGGGGTTTTGGGAAAGATTTCAAGAAAAACATATTTTCAATATAGAAAATTTTGAGGTGGTCTGGAAATCACAAAACACCAAGAAGCCTATAACAAACGAAAAAGCCAATTATACCTCGATCAAATCAGCCTACACACACAATCTAATCTGACTAAACTACGAATCAATTATTCAAAAACGCGCCATTCGACCCGCGGGTCAAACATATTTATATAATAAATATATGAGATATCTTTTGAAATGCAACGAGGTGGAAGGAATCGTAAATATGTCCGGATTTTTCTCTTCTTATTTTTATTCTCTTGTTCAAGCGAAAGGATAAAACACGAAACGAATCGAATCGAAATGCTGTGTTGTGTGTGTGAAAAAACGGAGAACAGAACGAAGAAAAGAGGCAATGAATTTTTAAGTGGTGTGTGTTGCATAATCCAATTCTTATTCTATTTAGCGGCCCGAGTTGATACGAGGAAAAAAATGAGAAAATTAAGTTAGAGCAGGTGTAAAAATATGAAAAGCGTTGAGTAAACAAATATTTATTTGATGTTGATCAGATGAAAATAGATTTTTGTCTGAAAATCTGAGATTTTTTAAAGGAATAGGTTTTATGGACCACAAAAAGCGATGCTCGGATTCCTCGGTCGTTTTGATGAATTCAATCATCAAGATCAAGTTTAGAAGTCACTGAAGTGGTAAAAATTCCGCCAAAGACCAGAATTCCACCAAGTTTCTCAAAAAATCACCTGGACAATTTTGTTTTTCAGAAAATGTTCAGCTGTCAGAAAATCTAACTAGAAAACACCGAAAACTCAAGATTTTGGAGCTTGATAAATTTGCCTAGGAGGGCATAACGCAAAATGCTCACGTTTACTTCAGAATAAAAAGCTAGAAATGCTCAAAGGTAACCTGGCAACTTCTAGGTCACGTTTCAAGCAAAAATCATATTATTTTTCCGCATGACTAATTAGGTTAAACCAAAATAGACTCTATGCAAAAAGAACAAGTTCTTTGTGGGAAAAAAAGTGACGAAAACACATGTTTGGAGAGAAAAAACTAAACATGAACAGGAAAAAAAGGGAATTTTTGCATGACTCAATGTCAATTTTTTTCCATAACAATATTATTATATGGTTATAATGCGTGCGATAACGAAAAAAAAGTCAGAAAAAAAGAACTTTCGCCCTCGTCCGTCCGTCGATGTTTATTCAACATTTCGATGGGAAAGGCAGGAAAATACACTTTCTGTAGTATATAGTCTCATAAACATATTTGTATAATATTGACATTGTGAAGAAGAGTGAGAGAGGTTTAGAGAAACACGGAGCAATTATTAGTAAGTTATTGTAATCGATAAGATATTATTTACCGGATAGGGAGAAGAAGGGGGAGAGGTAAACAGATTATTGATGACTTTTTGTTCTTTGTGGCTTGTGTTATTCGGCCTATTAATTTTATTGCGTAATGTGCCAATTTTTCATTGATCAGACTAGACAGACGGAATTTTGTTGATTTTTCTTTTTCTGCAAACATTCGAGATCAAACAATTAAAGTGATAGCTGATTTTTTGAAACTAACGAAATAAAAGTTAGACTTTTCGGTTTCATTTTGAATATTTTCAAAATTTCGAATTCATGTAGGAAAATACAAAGATTTTGGTGTTTCTTTGATGTTTATTTGTAGTTTTTGTAGCCTAGTGAATGCTCGATGGCCTGAAAGCTATATGCCTTTCATCTCATATAAACCTAATTCATTATTTATAAAGCCTAAAAACCCAAAATAAACAGGTTCTGGGCCAGAAAGAACTTCTGGCAGTCTAGGATACGAAATCCAGCAGAAACACAAGAAACAGATATCAAAAACATCTCTGAAAATACTTTGAGGTTAATATCACAATATATTTCAAAATTAACGAAGCATGACGTAGAGATTACATAATCAAAATCAGCTGATTAATTACCTACTTCACACATCATAAGATAAAAAGCATAGAAAATCTTCTAAACCGTGAAAAACTGATTTTAACGTATCTTCCACTTCCGGGAAAAAACCCGTTACAAACAAAAATCGCATAACAATCCCAATATTTTCAAAGATCAGAAACAATAAAATCATCCTCTGAACAATCAAAAAATCCAGTTCTATTTACACTCCGATAATTAAACTGTTATTTAAAAATAAACGTCGAAATTCGTCAATTTCCAATTGTTCAATAAAAACATGAACTCGGCGAATTAAAATTGAAAACCATTTGATTTTGTTATCAGTCACCTCACTTAAAAACGTCAACGCAAAAAAACCCAAAAAAAGAAGAAAAAAATATCGCAACATTTTTCGCCTTGGGCCTAAAAACCCGCTTTTGCCCAGGTAATTTCGGTCAAAAAATCGTTTAGAAGCACGTACCTAGTTGAGGAATATGTGATAGAATCGAAAATGCAATCGTCGTAGACCAGAAAAGCATGCGAAATGCCTAAAACACCGGCTTATCATCATTTTTGCGTTGGTTTTGCGCAAAAAACTTTCGTTTTTCGAAAAGGACACTGTCGTCGCATTCGGTGTTTTGTGTGCAAACACCGCGACGCGCAAGTGCACAACGGCGTTTTTCGATTTTTTTCGCGCAAAAAGGTTTTTTGAAAGTTTCGCGTTTTTAGGGGGTTTGTTGGTGGTTTCGGAAGATTTTCAGTAGAAAGTTTGAATTTCAAAACGAAAAACTGGTTATAAAGATGTGCTAAACACCTAGATTTCGCTAAAAAATCGAGTTTTTCAGTGGGAAATTTTTAGGATTTTCTGTTTTTGTATGATTGCAATTGATCATAAAGTTGGCGTGAGAATCTTGTGTTGTTTTGAACAATATCGTCGGAGAACATTTTACATTACGAATCGTAGTTTATCGAAAATTTCCGTTTGTCTCAGAAAACAATTTTCCTATAGGATAGTTTTGAAGTCGTATTCAGCTTATTGGGGGTTTCATTATAATTTTCCACATGATTTTTTCATCCAAAACCTTTATTTTTTGGTTTTAATTACGAATTTTCGAAGTTTTATTCAAATTTTCAAGTTTTCAGTATTAAATCACTATTTAGCTTCTAGTATAGATCGAATTGTGCTTAGAGTTGCACATCGACGTTGAAGCTCTAGAAATCGTCGATTACCTAATTAAGGTAAAGATAGCACAAAGTCGTTCTAGATTTTAGGAAAAATTGATTTTTCAGAGCTTCACATGTAAGTTTTCGATTGTTTTTCGTTATTTTTTCTTCATAATATCCTTTCCAGAAATATTAATCCATCTTAATTTTCAAAATAATCTTTAGGAAATTCGCCATGAACAACAGTAATAACAATAGAAATCGTCGTGATTCTAACAGAAATCGCGATTCGCGAAGAAGTCGTTCAAGAAGTCCACGCCGCAGCGGCGGTGGAAATCGAGGTGGAGATTCTCATTCGACCAACAATAAAATGGTGTTTATCACCAACATTTCATATGATGTTCGTTGGGTCGATTTGAAAACTCTTGTTCGTGAAAAAGGAGGCGAGATTGTGTTCTGCGAATTGTTGCAAGATCGCAACGGAAAACCAAAAGGAAATGCTGTTGTCGAATTTGAGACACGTGAAGGAGCTGAAAATTGTGTGAATAATTTGGGAAAATTCGAATTCAAAGGACGGAATATTATCGCCAAAGAAATCAGGGTCCGTCCGAAGTTACATTTTCCTTGATTTTTGAAGTTTTTGGAACCGGAGCTATCAGTTTAATTGAAAAGTATTGGACTTGTGCGGGGAAATGGTTTTTCGAGATATTTGTCTTCAGAAGCTTGTTTCTCTTGTTTTCAAGTGTTTCCGGTAGTAGTCGTTTTGGAATAAATGTACTATCGAGCCATGAAAACCTATAACGCGGAAAAATGGTCTGCATTGTCAAAATATTTCGATTTCTCAAGTAGTGATGTGTTTACTTCGAGAGAATCTTTCAGAAAACCCGCATTCTGAGGATTTGCCACGTCATAACTATGGTATATCAACATTTTTATCGAAATACCAATTATTTTCCGCACAAGTCCTACGAAATTCAGTCGAAAGCTATTTTATTTGAAAAAACTGGTAAATTGTTCGTAAATGAGTTCTCCAGTGTTTTGTCATTTTACAGCTTATTGAACTCTGAAGTTTAGTTTTCGAGTTGTCGGAAATTCAAATGTTTGAAAAATGTTTTCCTGTCAGAAAATTATTAATTCATTCCGAATTGGCGCTCCAAATACTGTCTGCCAAAATTTTAGTCGACCAAACTACAAAAATTTCTATCAGCCCGGTTCCAAAAACATTTATTTTTGCATCTTTCTCACATCTCATTCCATTTTCGTATAGGATCCTCCAGCATTCTTCCGTACTATCAAAAACGAGACGGGAATCGATTATTTGGCAAGAACTGGTGGCGAAATCACAGGAACTGGAAATGGACACGGTGGACAAGGTGGCGGTGGAAATCGACGAGATGATCGACAACCAAGAAGTGGAACTTATGAGCTTTTCGGTTTGAACATGGATTTCCTCCGACAACATAATATCGAACCACCACTTTGTGAACGTATTTTCATCGCCAATGTAGGTTTTTTCTTGTTGAAAAATGATTGTTTCGGATCTCATGGGATTTTCCGATTTTCTCACTTTTTTTCAAAATGAAATCCAAATTCCTACCTGATACTGATTTTGAAACGTGACATATATTTTTGGTATTCGGAAATTTAATTCTTCTGTTTTCATTTTCAATAAAACTCCCGAAACAAAGTGGGTTTAATCATTTCTAAATTTCCTAGTTCTGTAATTTTTGCTATTTTTTTCCATAAAAGTTTGGTGTTTTTTACACGTGGATTCGTGCTGATTCAGGGTAATGCGGTTAATTTTATTCCAAAGTAATAAGAGTTTTAGACCAACATTTCAAGTTTTGTCTCAATAAATTATATCTTTGGGTTTTGCCATGTGGACTTGTCTTTGTGAAATTAGTTTTTTCAATTTAATTCTCTACAGTCTCGAATTTTTCCCATACATGAGAGAACTTTTTCAAGCTTAAATTAGAATAACCTAGTTTTCCAAAAAAAAGACCCCCTTGATCCGAAATTTGTTATTTCTAGACCTTTGTCTATAAATTTGCCTGAAAACTGCCATCAAATTGTTGTTCTGAAATCTGAAAAAGGAAACATCTTTCTGAAATGTTCTGGAGAGTTTCCGATTTTTCTGGTGCCCAATTCATATTTTTTCTTTCTGAAAGATTCAAAATATATTTTCCGAAATCCACGATTTCCAGCTTGCCTTCAATGTTGGAACCGAAAAAATTTACGAGGTGTTCGGAATGGCCGGAAAAATTACATGGATGGATTTCCGAATCGATAAAGAAGGAAAATCAAAAGGAGTTTGCGTTTTGCAATATTCTCATCCAATCGAAGCGGTTCAAGCTATTGCTATGTTAAATGGTCAGAAGTTATACGATCGAAATCTCGTCGTAAAAATGGATCGATTCGAGAAAAATGAGCAAGAATTTAAAGATGGACATCTTCCGAAAGGATTGACATCAATTGGAATGGGTTTGGGAGCCGATGGTGCACCATTGGCTAATGTTAGTCTGGTATTTGGCGGAGGAAATGAATCGGCACCAATTCAACAACAACAACAACCTCAACAAGCTGCTCCATTTTCTGCACCGATTCCTCAGAATTTCGGAGGCGATTCTTCATTCTCGAGACAAAGTTTGGGTGGAGTTGGAGGTGGAGGAAATCCATTCGCCGCCAATACAAATTCGTCGAACTTCAAACAAGAGACAGTTTATGAAGCCAGCTTTGGAATTGGAAATGGTTCAGGAGGAATGGGAGGTGGACAACAAAGTGGTGGAAGAATTATTGTTATTAGAAACGTTAGTTTTTTTTGGGGAAGGTAATGGTCGGTTTTTTAACAGAAAAAATACACAAAACAAAAAATACCAGTTTTGCTTTTGCCACTTGTACTCGAATCTAAATTGTTTACCTGCATTTAGGAAATATCAGAAATTCTTAAAATATCCCATTTTCAGCTTCCCAACGACTACACTTGGCAAATTGTACGCGATCGAGTTCGTCAATTTGGCGATGTTGAATCGGTTGATATGATTAGCCCCGGAACAGCCAGAGTCAGATTTGGTGGATTCACCGTAAGTTCTTTTGTTTTTTTTTTTAAATTTTTTACCCGGCATTCTCATAAAATCATCAAGCGTGTGTCTGAAAGCTTTCAAAATTTGACTACATTTCCCGAAAATCTTCAAATAGTAATATAATAATCACCAAAACTCTATTTTCAGGACGCCGAACGTGCAAGAACTTCGTTGTTTGGAACAACTGTCGAAGGACGTGTTATCAATGTGGAATTTGTTTGAAAATCCCAATTGTTTTGACTAAAATTTCCTCTGATCCTCAAAAATTATATCCAATCAACCCGTTGTTTTAAAAACTTTTTACTTTTTTTCTGTTCACATTTTTTTCTGATTTATGAAATATTTTGTTTGTAATTTTTGTCGTGTGGAATTTTCATTTAAAAAAGGCGTGTGGAATTCAATTTTTTTTTTTAATTTAAAAATCTCATTCTTGGCAAATGAAAAAAAATTTAAATTTTTTCTCAATTTTCATATACGAATTAACTACGTGGCATTTTTAAAGTAATGAAAAACTTTTTTATGAATCTGAAACTCACAAAAAGTTAAACATTTCCAGATTTTCATAAAAACTCGGTTTTCAAAAATTATTTTATTATTATCAAGTTACTAAAAGTTCCAAATTCGTGAGTTTCAGAGACAATTTTAGAAATTTTCTGAAAAGTTATAATTTCTAGACTCGAAAATTTTTTGATCTTCAAGTCGTTGCCGATAGAAAAACCTTGTGATCATTGAAAATCTGAAGGGACTTCTCACACACTTCCTTCGTGCAGATGGAAGAACTTTAAAGGTTGGCCTAGAAACCGACAACTGTTTTGCTAATTTGTTTCTCTTCCATTTTTTATTTCGCTTTTTCATTTTTCGTTGGAAAATTTGGGATTTTCGCCTATAATTTAAGATTTTTGAGAATGTATACGTTGTTTTTCGAAACTCACTTGATTTTCAGTCAATCGTTCGGCAAAAATCGCAATTTTTCAGTTTAAAATCACAATGACATCGGGATTTGTTTCAACAAAAGAATTGGACGACGAAAAAGCAAAGCGGCAAGAAGAATGGGAAAAAGTTCGAAAACCTGATGAACCGATGCTGGCCCCAGAACCACAAATTTGTAATCAGACATTATTTGAGCAGTTAAGGAATAATAAAGAGGTGAAAGATGCTGAAATGGAGGAAGCTAAGAAGTTTAGTAAGTTTTTCGAAAGATTAGGGTCATATCGGAAAAATTGAAGATCAAATCATGTTTTCTGGCTGAAAACCATAAAAATAATGTATTATAAGCATATAATTATAAAAAACTATCCTTTTTGGCTTCAAAATCTAAAATTTTATGTGTTTTTTACCTAGAATCATGAATATTGTACACTTTCGTATACCTTTCTTTGTCCTTAAATTTATAGTTTATTCCAGAAAACATGATTCGCGGAATTGACGAAGATGAAAGCGATTTTCTGGCACAAATCGATTCCGCAAAACAAGAGGCAAATTTGTTGAAAAAACGAGAAGAGTTGGAAATGTTGAAGGAAATGGCAAAAACGCAGAGTTCGGCAGCGAGTTCGTCGAATTTGGTGCCAAAAATGACGCTGAAACCAAGTGGAGATGGTGGAAATTTGGGTGGAATCAAATCAAAACAAGCATCGATTTTGAGTCAGGCAATTAAGAGGAAAACCACGTGGGTTTTAGATAAAGCTTAAGAAAATTAATCGATATTGTGTTGAAAATCAAGTTTTTAGTAGTGAAATCGTGAAATGTGTTTAGTTTTGAGCCAAAATTCCGTATTGGGATCAAATTCCACGCCGAAAAATGTGGGGCTCCTGAAATTTTGATATTTTTAGTGTGAATTTGACTAGAGAATTTTCCACCAAAAAAAGATCAAACAACTTCCAGATCAAAGGACGAATCGCCGTCAGCTGAAAAAGTGCAAAAAACCAACAATTCCGAGCCAGTTTTACAGCAAGTTTCAGCGATTCAAGGACTCATTGATTATGCTCCATCCAGGTTTGTGAGAGTCTGAAAATTTTACTGAAAATATTAGTTTTTTTTGCTGAAACTCGCTTAAAATGATAGATTCTCAACATTTGAAATTATTTTTATTTTTGCAGCGACAGCGAATCTTCTTGTTCTGATTCTGATGATGATGACGTGGCAATTGGTGCACTTCGAACACATCCGAGACAGAAAAAACAGCAGCCGAATTGTGGAGAATAAAGTTTTATCAATATCAGAGTTATGACGTGGTATTTTTTAAAGGAAATTTTAAGTGATTTCCAAATCTAGAATGCTCTTTGGATTATTTTTGGCTGAACATTTTTTCCTCTAAAAAAATAATTGAGAAATTAAATATTTCAGCGCGAAAAAATTAATTTAAAATCTTTTCACGAATTTTTAAAAGTTTTTCCTATGATGAAAAACCATGAGAAATATTGCTGAAATTCATCCTGATTTTTTTTAACCCAACAAGGCTTTTCAGATCTTTCAAAAATACTCCAAATCCTTAAAAAATCACCTCATTTTCCCTTATTTTCTTCCTTTTCTTCCTTTCTCTTCATATACAAATAATATAGACATAATAACTAAATCAAATCAAACTAAACAACAATAAATGTGTCCTTCTTTCTTTCTTCTTCCCTTTTTTGTTGCCTAACTTAACTTAAGTATGCGCCAAAATTGCGTCAATTGTGAAGGATTTAATTCGATTTTGAACTCCTGAAGATATCGAAGATGAACTTTGACTCAACACAAAAAATTGAGGAATTGAAATTGGCGATGAATTTTGAGAGGCAATCAGAAAATCATCGTCTAATAGAAGTTCGTCGGCTGAAGAATCGCATTCATCCACAGATAATCCCATGTGACGACGAACTTTTCGTTGAGCGCGACGGCGACGAAAATCGCCGCGTTCAAAATCGCGTTGACAAGCTGGATGCACTGCCCAGTAATGACCCTAGAAATATGGAATTATTCTTGAAAATCAATTTTTACGATCTTTTAGACCAAGATTTTTTATAGGATATTTTTTTCATGAAATTTCCCAAAATAATGGAAACTGCTAAATTTTGATTTTTTCGATAAAATTTATTAAATTTGAGTTTTGCTGCAGCATTCAGTGCTGAAAATCATAATAATTTCCAATTTTCAAACATGATCCCTTTTATTATTCAAAAACTCACTTTTCCATTAGCGGCTCTTCCAGCTTTCACAAAACAATCATTCAATGACAAATTGTGACGAATAGAATTTCGCCAACCAGCTCCCCGACTTTGAAAATACGGATATTCTGTCATTATCCATTCATACACCTGAAATATTTGGAAAATAACAAAATCCCCATTTGTAGGATAAATAATATAAGATTTCATTAAAAAAACATTTTGATTTTTCAGCCGTTTATTTTTCTGAAAAACCCCCTAAATATTTCACCTCAGATAGCACCATTTTCCTTTGCGGAGATGATAAAATTGCCATTGCAATCAGTCCAATATAACTATGCTGTGGTTTTGGTTGCGAAGAGTTTTGAGAAGAATTCGGAGAACTCGATGAGTTACCCGAAGTCGAATATTTTGAAAAATTGGTTCAAATTCTGATGTTCGACAAGAAGTTGACGCATTAAATCCTCCATTTTTGTCTGAAATTTTGAAAGAATTTCCAAGGTTTGCTATAATTTTTGGAAAAAAAAATTTAAAACAAAAAAAGAAACATGAAATGTTTTGTTGTTATTATTTGTAAAATAATAATAATAATAGGTCCAATTCTTTTTTTTTTTTTGAAAAATGAGCTTTCCTGTTTATCAAGGAAAACAACAATCATTTTTCGGGTTGCTCTGGGAGAAGAGAAAAGGAGGCACCTCAAAAAAAAAATAGAAATAATTTTCAAAGAAAAATGTAAACAATGGAAAAATTCTACAGTAACCAAGAATGTTTAGGGGTACTGTAGATATTTGGATTTAATTTTCAAAAAACGATAGATTTTCATATTAAAAATTCACGTGGCAACAAAATGTACAGAAAAATTCTACTGAATACTGGACTTCCAAAAAACCTACAGTACTATCTAAAAGTTTTTGACCTACAGTAATATATTGATAGTTAATACCGTACTTCTAAATTGTCTCATCACAAAAACACAGATTCCTTGAAAACTTTTAAAAGTACAATTTAATTTTTTTCAGTCTACAGTAACCCTTTTGATTTTTTGAAGAAAAAAATTACAGTACTCATTAAATCTTCTACAGTAATTCAATAATTCAAAGCTACAGTACCCACAAACCTACCTCTTTTTTTTGCTGAACAAAAAATAGAAAATATTAAAATGTGTATATTTTTTCTTTGTTCACAAAACTCAACTCTTCACACGAAATCCTTTTCTTTTTCTTCTTTTTTTTTTCGAAAACGCAATTAAGTTTTGCGCCTTTTTGTTATTTGTTAGGTATACGGTAGATGGATGCTGAGAATAAGAGAAAAATAGGCGGGAAATCAGATTGCGTGTTTGAGAAGAAGAAAAAGAAGAACAAATTGGAGCACTTATTTATATGAACATTTTGAGGAACAGAAAAAGGAGGAGCAACTAAAAATATGTAATAAGGAAATTGGGATGACAATTTAACAACAACACATGTTTTGATTTTTGAACGGAAACCAAAATACAATCTAATTATAAATGAACTTCAATGTTACTTGTTACGTGGAAATTCCAACAAAGATTGGGCTCAAAAAACGGCCTTGTAGCCGCAGTGTTTTTTCTTCGAGTTCTTAATGCCAGGTCTAGGTAAAACTTCTAAGCCACCACTGAAAATTCACGGAAAAAGTTGAAAATTCATTATATTTGACACGAAAAAAAAAATAAAAAGACAAACTGGGGGAAAAAAAATAAAAATGAGAAAAAAATATATTAAAAATTAAAATAAAAAACAATTAAACACAATTGAGAATAATGTTTAATCGTCGCTCGAAATCAAATGTTGATCGTCAAAGTAAACGAGCTGCAAAAAAGTAAGATTTTTGGTTGAAAGTCAGGAATTTTAGCGGAAAACTTCAATTTTTACCAAACAAAAAAACTGATAAAAAATACGAAGTTTCGAAATTAGCAATGAATGCTTTTTTTGCGCCCAAAAACTAAAATGAAATCTTACCATTCTTTGAACATCGTCCGTTTTGACGATATACGTATTGTTCAAATCGATGCAATCGACCAACACAAGCAATAAATCCTTGATTTTTTCCTGCAAAAAAGAGGAATGATGAAAAAATAGGCAAAATTGAGGATTTTCGAGAAAAATTCCATCAATTTCGGACCATTCTGAGTCAAAATATCTCATTTTCACCCTTATAATGTGTCCCTTTAAAAATCAACCCAAAAACCTTACACCAAGTTCGAATTGCATCTTTTTCACCATTCCATCGACCATCAACAAATCCAACAAATATTGTGTGCCGTTTTTAATTGCAAAACGGCGCTCCAAAACTGTGTGTGAATGAAAATCATCGGTCATCTCTTCGAATTTGTCCAACAACTTCTGGATCTGAAAATGAATTTGTTGTCATTTTGAGCGGGTTACTGTTTAATTTCAAAAAACCAACCTGTTCCTTGGTGACTGTCTCGAAAATTCCCGCCTCGTGACACATATCCAGATCCAATTTCAGTCTTTCGAGTGCGGCCATCATTCGAGCTTTCCGAATATCGACGTGGACTTTTCGGGCCTTCATTTGGGGTGGCAATTCTGGACCATCGAAAATTCGAACCTGCAAGAAATTTTTAGTTGAATTTGGCACCATAGTTGCTAGAAATTTGCCTTCTCAAGTTCAGTCTTTTAGAGAAATTCTTATGTTCAAAATACGGATTTCGGTTTTAGCTCTGTTTGAATTTAAGTCTGTTTGAATTTCCGACCCTTTCTTGAAATTAGGCTTTCAGCCTTAAACTAAATTAAACAGAGCCTTCAGGCAAATTTTAAATGACATTTTCAACATTTTATGAATCCAATCCTATATTCAACTGTTTTCATATTTTTTAGCCAAATATTGCCCTAGCCATTTCCCTTTCCCCCAGAATACAGTACCCTCGGATCTCCATTCGCTCTCAATCGATCAACTCGTTCCTGTGTCAATTTCTGAACAGTTCTCAGGTGTTCCATCAACACTTCTCCATATGTATATTCAAATTTCATGGGTTTTCCGGGAGATCGAGGAGGAGGAATCGGATTCGCTTTAATAAAAGTCGGTTTCGAATTTGAGCCTCGGAATGTGGTGACAAGTCGCCAAAAAATGATATAATCATTACTTTCTAAATAGCAATCGTCGGCGATGTTCAAAAGTGATTTGATAGAGTAAGGAGCCTGAAAAAAATTGGAGATACGTTTAGGGTGAAAAATACGGATTATAGTTGATTTTTCATCCGAAAACCCAACTCACACCAGGCAATGGTTCAATAATTCCTTCCATTTCATAATTCTGCATTGTCTCCGGTTCCAAATCATCCAAAACCAAATCATTCGTTTCAACAATCACAAGTCCTTGAACACTTTGAGATGTCCAAAGTTCGAAAAGTTGGCTGGGAACAATTTGAATGGCAGGGCGGGTGAGTTTGGCTTTTATCTGGAAAAATGAGAAATAAATGAATGGTTGGAGCTGAAAATAAGACAGTTCATTTTTCTATCATAATTTTCAGACTTACAGACAAAAAACCAGATTTTCAATTTCCTTTTTTAGAGCAAAAAACCCAACGATTTTTGTACAAATTCTCACCCTAATCCACTTCAATCCTTTTCCATTTCCAACTTCTTCATATTCGAATCTCGACATTTCGGGACCTGTCATTGCCAAACCCACTTGGCCCATTTCTTCTCCATACCCACCAATTCGAATTAATGGCTGAAAATTGAATTTTTATTTATTTATTAGCTATGAATATAGGATCACAAATGAAAGTCTTAAATTTCCAGCCAAAATAAAACTCACATCATTGAAAGATGAAAAATGAAGTCCAATCATCATTTTTCCCATTTCGAAACCGTCTGGAAGTTCGGCAAATTGACCGCTGAAATATAATTCTTTGGTGAGGCAAACATTGGGGAAATTTTGATATCAAAGAAGTTACGGTTACTGTAGAAAATTCAGCGCGAGGACTTTCAATTAATTGTTTTTGGATAGTTTTCGATCAAACATACTCCAATAAATTCCAAAGATTCTAGATATTTTTCATGAGCAATCACGGGTTTGCTCATTTCTCATCAAAACCCTCTAATTTTTCCCAGAAACAAAAGACTCACCCAACTGGAATGAAGACATTCTTCAATTTCACATCGACGTCACTATTTATCGCAAAAAATCGTACCAACAATTTGAACGGTGTTCGATTTTCGCGCCAATCTTTTTGATGATTTCGCATTTCGATTGGAATTAGATAAGGCGTCTTTCTTTTGATCAAATCCAATCTTCCGGCGATTCGTTTGCTCCAAAGTCGAAGAATATGAGAATAATCATTGGGAGAGTACATTTCACGATGATTTCTGAAAAATGGGGAATTTTCGAGACATTTCATTTTGTTGAATAATAAAGTGAAATATTATTTTGCATCGAACATATATGTTGTTTTCAGGGATTTTTGGACTAATTTTAAATAGAAACCAGAATTTTCCAATGAAGTTCGGGTCAAAATGTTTACTTTTTGCTAATTTTTCCCAAATTTTTGGACCACCACACCCCAGCAAAATTCGCTCACAAATTTCTATAAATCACATCATAAATGAATTCCTCATCTGTTAAATTTTTCGAAATCGGCTCTCGGATTCCAATTTTGAGTTTTCTCTTCGGAAAATGTCGATAAGTTTGTTGAAACGCTGTGTTTCCAAACAAACTTCTTTGTGGGCCATACGAATTCGGATTTGAATTCCATGTATTTCGCGGCGCCCAATTTGAATTCGAATTTGAAAATTGTGAGGGGAAACTAGCAGAACTTGTCGATGGTTGAGTTTCATCCAATTCTAACTCTTCAAGTTCCGATATTCGTTTTTCAAATTCGCGTTCGTCCAAAATTGTTTCGGGAACGTAGATGGATTGCGTGTGATAGGATTTGATCTGAAAAATTGGAAATTTTTTTGGATTTTTAATAAATATTCGTGATTATTTCTGAAAGAGGAGGTTAAACTTTAAAGTTGACCTAAAATCTTCCATTTCAAAATACCTCCGAATAATAAGTGCGATTCGTCCTCGAGCATAAACTCATTCTATCAAAATCCATGTTGTTTCTATCAATTTCTGCAGCCACTCGATATTCTCCATCTGCAACTATTGTATTATCATCACTCTCCACATTTTGACTCCTATTCAGATCCAAATTTTCACGATTCTCGAAAATTGTTCGCAAATTCGGAAACGTTTCTTGATGTACCAAATCGAAAGCTTCTTTTGGATCAATAAGATTTTGCATATTTTGGGGGATGAGTTTTTCGAGTTGTTGGAGATTTTGAGCACAGTGGCGAATCAAGAAACATGGACGATTCCATGGATTTAGAACACTGGAAAAATTGGGTAAAAATTTGGGAGAAAAATCGGGAGATTTACATGTTTCTTCTTGCAAAAAGTGGGCATTTTTTTCAATTTCAACATTTTTTTAATAAAAAATTTCTAATTTCCCCCAAAAAATGTTCACCATTCAGCATTCACAGCCACCGTGTCTCTTTGCAAAAATCTTTCCGTAATCATCAAAGAATCAACCAAAAATTGTGGCAAATTTCGACATTTCAGAGTGATTGGAGAACAGCCATTTGATGGAATATCATGGAATTTAGCAGTGCTTCTGATCTGAAAAAAACACGATTTTTTCGGAGGAAAGCGTTTTGAAAATGGCAAAATTTTTATCTTTGTACGAATACCGGAATCAAAAAAACTTAAACTCACCCATATTTTTCCCATCACTTTTCTCAAATCATTACACATCACTTTTGAGTTTTTCGTAATTTGCGAAATATTGACGGCTTCGCAAATTTGTTGTTGTTGGTGCATGTTAGGAGGTCTGCAAACATAGATTAACAAATTTTTTGCAGGCGGGAGAAATTGAATTTCACAATATCGTTTTTTTCAACAACTGTTTTTTATTATAAACATTTTTGATTTCGCCACAGAAAAAATCCCAAATCGCCTTACCGAATTTTCAAATCCACCAAATCCTGCAATATTCCAGGCTTTACCCCTGAACAATACAAAACACGTGGCGAAATTGCGATAAAATCGACAATTCCGTGAAGATGGGGCAAATTGTTACGAACATCTGGATCGATTATCGCATAACAAATTCCTAGCGATTCATCCAATAAGACAATACGACATTTGAGAGAAATTAAGTTTGGCTGAAAAATGAGATTGTTTTGAGGATTTTTTAAAAATCTTTGTTCTCAAAATCCACGTTTTCATAGCCCAAAAATCAACTCGTAGGTTTTAAAAATCCAGAAATTCCAAGTATTAAACTTTTTCCCCGTTTTCAATAAACATAATTCTTACCACCAAAATATCTTTCACAACCGGTCGCCAACCATTTTCCACCATCTCAAAAGCGATTCTCAACGAATACACTTTTCCGGACTCCAAATAATCACACCAAATCGACGAGATTCCATCAAAAACGCGTCCCAAAATCGGCAATTCGAAGAAAAATTGATTGGTGACGGGTAGAACACAGCATTTCGCTGTGGTTTCAATGTAGATTTCGTCATGTGTCACATTTTTGTAGATGTTGAAATTTGACGGGATATTGCGGTTGAGGATGGCGCCAAAAATATCGTAGGTGCATGGAAAATTGAAGGAGGTGTCGGGAATACATCGTCTGGAAAATCGAAGGTTTTTGGAAAAGTTCGGGCGAAAATGTATTTCACAATGATTCAAAAATTCCGATTTTCAAACCATTTTAGTTTGAATATCATGAATTTCGTTGGATTTCGCACCAAAAATCTGGTATTAATACTTTTTTCAGGCTGAACATCAAGAGTTTCAAACAATGTTTGACACATCCAAAGATAACTTACTTATAAAGCACGTCACAAACATCGCCAAGCTTGAAAAACTCCTTCGAAAAGTCCCTTTGCAAAATGGCGCAACCTGGAAAACCCTTTTTTTTTAAATACATCAAAAATCTTGTACCAATATTTCTGCTCCAAAACAAATTCATCTCTGCACTACTTCGAATCACAATTCCATCCAAAACTCCATAAATCATCATCGGATTTACAAATGGGACCACTGAATCTCTCGAAAAACACTCGAAAATTGGCAAAAGCTCGGTTTCTTCTTCATGCTTCCAGAAGCATGACTCGTTTTCGCCGTATGTTTGAGGTCTGAAAATTATGGCGGATTTTTTTCAGAAAAGTTCTGATTTCAAAAACAAATTCAATTATAACGTGGCGTACTTTGACAACTTCGAAATTCACAGAGTTGTTATGATCATTAAGTCAAAAACTCACTGATAAACCACGCCAACTCGATAAATAATTTTTTCTCTCGCTTTTTGCATCACATTGCGATTGGACAGTGTTCGATCAACGACACTTTTTGCAATTGCAACTCGATGAAAATCACTATCGCCATCACTTCCAAAAATATAGTATTCTTTTCTACTATTCGGTTCATCGGATCTGACAACTCTTTCCATCTTTTCGCTGCATAAATTCACGAAAATATAGATTATCGCAAGTTCCCCACGAATCTCAACATCACGAACCCATTCATCATTGCATTTCACAACTTTTTTCACTTCTCCCTCATCCAAATCTACACCAATTTTAACAATATCACCAAGGCATTCAGGAAATCCGAACAAATCATTTCGAATTCGAACAATTTTGTTGTTATCCGTTTTCTCGCCGATTATTGCCACCATCCATTTCTTTTCACGACGTTTCACAAGTACACCGTACTTGTAAATAAGATAAGAGCTCATTTTATATGCGTAATTACGCGTGATAAATAACTATCTGAAAAATCGATTTTTTGGGTACGAAAAAATATTTTTTGAAAACGCGCGCAAATCGCTTCGAGACCAGATCGCACAATAAATACGCGCGCCTTTAATCAACAATTTTATTTTCTTTGTTTTCAAAGACGAACAAACACACAAAACGTTGGTTGTACGTGTTAATTAGTTGATTGGTTGAAATAGGTAGACCGATATTTTTTCGAAATGAATAAATAACACGTTTTATTTTCGTGGAAAATGCCCGCAATCACTCATTTTGTTTATTTTCCGTCTGTAGCATTTTTAGTGTTCTCCGCTCGAAAAGTGAGGCTTGTGAAATTTTCAGGGTTCCCGGGGTTAGAGAGTATCGAGGTTCCGCTAAAAACGCCCGGGGGTTCCTGTTAAATTTTTCCTGTGAGGTATACCGTTTGCGGGTAGTGTTAACGTTTGTTGTTTGGTGCATATTTCACCGTGTTTGCAGATTTTTTCAATGCGTATTTTTATATCTTTTTTTTTTCTTTGAAGGAAGGGATTTTTCACCATTAAAACAATTAATTTCAGCTAATTAACCATGTGTAAATCAAAACTGGACACAAATCTGGCTGATTTGAATGTTGCTATGACAGATGTGTATGATTCTCTTCGCGAAAATTCAACATCAATGCGTGAAAAAATTAGAATTTTCAATCAACTTCGAGTAGATATTTTCAACATTTTGAAAAAGCCTGTGAGTTTCTTTTTTTTTAGTCAGTCGCAATGCGGTTGGGTGTTAGAAAATGATGCGGATGGAACGCATAAAACTGTTTTATTTCTCTTTTTTCACGTGAAATCGCGGACTCATTGTTTTGACCCAGTGAAGCCTTGTGACTCCACCCTCTTTCATTTGCAATTTACGGCGCATTTTCAAAATTTTAATGGAAAAAAAGATGAAATTTGTTTGACACGTGGAAATACGTGAACAAAAGACGGGCGAATCTGCCACCGAACATCAACAAAAATTTTATTTTCACAAAAAATATATATTTTTTTTCTATGTGCTGGCGACATGAGTATAATTTTTCTTTCAAAAATGGGATTCTAACCAAATGATCATAGTATAGTTGGACAACGACTCGACTTGAGTCGACTCGAGTCGACTTGGAGTCGAGTCGTTTGGAAAATACCTTTCGACTCGACTAACGACTCGAGTCGTTTAGTCGAAAAGGTGAGTCGATTAGAAAATGACTCGAGTCGAGTCGAATGGTTTTTTTCGACTCGACTCGACTCCGATGGTCAATTTTCTCATGGTGGGTGGGGCTTTTGTAATATGGCTAAGGTGTTGGCTTAGATGGTGAATATTGGATGGTGATTGGTGGACATGGTGATAGTGCACCAATCACACCAATTGCACCAATAATGGGAAATCGGTGTGATTTGTGCAGTTGGCGCAATTTTAACCATTGGTGGAATTTGTTGAATTGGTGGATGGTGGAATTGGCGAATGGTGCAATTCACCAATTGGTGTGATTGGTGCAATTTCACCAATTGGTGTAGTTGGTGCAATTTCACCAATTGGTGTAGTTGGTACAATTTCACCAATTGGTGTAGTTGGTGCAATTTCACCAATTTGTGTAGTTGGTGCAATTTCACCAATTGGTGTAGTTGGTGCAATTTCACCAATTGGTGTAGTTGGTGCAATTTCACCAATTGGTGTAGTTGGTACAATTTCACCAATTGGTGCAATTGGTGCACCAATGACCAAATATACCAATCACACCAATTGGCGAATTGCACCATTCGCCAATTCCACCATCCACCAATTCCACCATCCACCAATTCAACAAATTCCACCAATGGTTAAAATTGCGCCAACTGCACCAATCACACCAATTTCCAATTATTGGTGCAATAGGTGTGATTGGTGCACTATCACCATGTCCACCAATCACCATCCAATATTCACCATCTAAGCCAACACCTTAGCCATATTACAAAAGCCCCACCCACCATGAGAAAATTGACCATCGGAGTCGAGTCGAGTCGAAAAAAACCATTCGACTCGACTCGAGTCATTTTCTAATCGACTCACCTTTTCGACTAAACGACTCGAGTCGTTAGTCGAGTCGAAAACAGCTGTCTTATCGACTCCGAGTCGACTTGAGTCGACTTGAGTCGTTGTCCAACTATAGATCATAGTTATTTTTTTTAGTGCGAAGATTCTGGATTGAAATTAATGAGAATCGTGCCATTTGGAAGTGTTGCATCGAAAATGTCAACAAATAGAAGTGATTTGGATATAGTTCTTTGCATTGAAAAAATTGATGATAAACAACGTTATGTTGAGAATAATGTGATTTTGGGATATTTGAAAAAAGAGCTTGGAATACTCGAAGGCTATAAAGATTTGCAGCATATTGAAAATGCGCGTGTTCCAATTATCAAAGGATCAAAGGATAAAATTGACTTGGACATTTCAATTCATTATGGAAAGTTAGTGCCAACAGGTTATATTTCGGCAAGATTCATTACTTGTGTCACACAATTCTATCCAAATTTTGCAATGCTTATGATTTTTATAAAAGGGATTTTCAAGAAAAATCGATTTGGAAATGATAAATCATATTTTCCAAATTCATATTCACTTGCATTGATGATAACGCACTTTCTCGTCGAAAATCGATTTCTTCCAAACTTGCATCAACGATATCCAGAACGTTTTGATCCGGAAAACGCTACTTGGGATTTCAAAATGATTCCGGACAATGATATTAGGGAGTATGAACGAGATGAGACTCCCGCCAAAGTTCTTTTCAATTTTTTGAAGTATTACATCGACAAGCCGATTTGCTCGTTCTATATTGATATGAAAAACAATGAAATAAGGGAAAGAGCGAAGTCTTGGGGACTTTTAATTCAAGATCCGTTGGATAATAATAATCCGGGAAGAAGTGTTGATGATAATAGACCATTTATTGAATGTTTGAAGTGAGCTAAAATTTCAATTAGTCTTCTAAATATTTTATTTGTTTCAGGAAAACTTACGATTTGATCAAAACTTCGGAGCCTGGCGAGATGTTTAATTTGGTTGACACAAACATATGAATTCATATGAATAATGTTTATTTTACGAAAAACACGACTTATGCTGAATAATATTTGAAGAGAAAAATTGGATTGAAAAGATTTTCCGGGCTAAAATCATGTGCCATCAGAAACACACGTTCGGTTTTGTTTTGTTAATTTGGTCCTCCAAAATCATTTTTATAGTTTCCAATTTATATTCTTTCCTTGGTCCATTTTCACGCCCAAATTTTTGCCCACAAATTTTTATCCCCCTTCCTTTTTAAAACCTATTTTTTATCCCTTCATGTGCCTTTAATTTGTTAATAATAGTCAATGTATGCTATTTAACATACAGTACTTTTTTTTCCGAATATTTTATTTTTTCGTGTTTGTACATATTTAATTGGGCATGCTGCCATTTCCATCTAGCCATGTTTAATTTAAATAAAGACATATATAATAAATAACCTTCAAAAAGAAAACTTTTGGATTGGCAAACAAAACTTTCCGTCGCGTCCCGCCCGGGTAAAAAGAAGGCAATAATTAAAAATACACCCCTTCTTTTTTTCTTACTTTGCTACCTGCTACCCCAATTATTTTTTTCGCGTATTTTTTCTTTTCACCCAATCGATCCTCAATTATTCCTTATTTGTTCATAATTCTCTTCCCATACAATTTTGTTACGCAATGCTGATTTTCGGCTTGCTTCTATTAATTTTTGCTGATTTTTGTGGAGCTATACAGATTATTGATACATCGATTGCATGTGATAAGGTAAGTGAGAATTTCAAAATTATCAGAAGTTCTTCAAAACAATTATATTTTCCAGACCGATTTCCTGCTGAAAATCAAATTCGACGACATTTTCCACGGCACGATCCAAAGTCGTTCAGGCGATCCAAAATGCATTTACGTCAACGGAACAATCCAACCAGACGCCAAATATCAGCTAAAAATTCCGCTCGACGGATGTTCAACGCATGAAAACGGCGAAGGGAATCTGGAGAATGAAATCGAAGTCGTCGCTCATGGTGAAGACAAACGATTTCTGCTAACTTGTATTCCTGCGGCACCTCATCCAAAAGAGTCGCAAGTAACAGTTTCATTTGGTGGAATTACGATAAATGCCGATGCGACAACTGCTTCGTCATTAGTGGCGGGTGAAAATAAGGTTATTTTTGGGGAGAGAAAAAACAGGGGTGAGGGAAAGTGAAAATTGTTTACGTTTACCGGAAAATTCTGGAAATATTGAAGGGAAACGGGTTTTACAATTGAAAATGGAATTTGCGAAAGTTTCTCCGATTTTACGAATGGAAATTTTTGGTGACCTAAATAGAAAACTTTTATTGTTAAAAAAGAATTCTGAAAAACTTTCAATAAAATTTGACTACTTACTTGTTTTTTCTCATTAATGAGTATCTAATGTCATATTTAATTCATTCTTCCTCAATTTTCAATTATAATACAAATCTCTCTTTTTTTAGACATTGGATTACGCAGTGAAAGTTCTTGATGGCGATAGTTTGGATGCAAAACAATTGAGAAGACCATTGGCGGTTGGCGATAAAGTTGTGAGTTATTTTTTATGGGAAAATGTAGAAAAAATGAATTACTGAGATAAAATAACTTTGAAACCATAAAAAATTCAATAACTTTCTAGACGTATACTGTAGAAATGTCTGGAAATCAGCAAAACGGGCGAATTGGTCGATGTTGGGCAAATGATGGGATTTCGGAATTGCCTTTGAGTGATTCACAAGGTTGCTCATTGCAAAATACTGGACAGGTTAGTGCATTTTCCTCGATTAAAATTGGCGAGTTCTGGTGTAAAAATTGAGATTTTTTATTCATATTTTTCCAGGTTTGGGGCGATTTTCAAGTCGAAAAACGAGACGATAAGACGATTTTCTACAATCATATCAAAGCTTGGGCTTTTCCGACAAGGTGAGTAGTTTTTTGAAACTTTGAAACAGATTTTTTAATAGCTGGAATCCAAAGATTTTCTGATAAAAAAGATTTCAAAAGAAATCGAAAAATCTTGAATTTTTAGTACAAAAAATCATATTATTTTCTCAATTTTTCTATCAGGCTTCTAAAATTTACAATATTTGAAATTTTTTAATTAAAAAAATGATGACGTGGCAATTTTTTCCAAACAAAAATTCAAATTGAATTTTTTATCCAAAATTTTCACAATGTTTTCTTGAAAAAAAAACCCATTTTAGTCCAGTTGATTTTTCAACAATTCGAGAATATTCCATAAATTCTTGAAATAGTCCAATAATGACATTTGAAATAATAAGTTATTAAATTTTAGGCCTGAAATTCTAGTTTTTATCATTTTGGCTCAGAAAATCCCTAATTTTCCCTCCGAAAATTCTTAATTTTTTACAGCAACGAGGTGAATATTTTCTGCAATTTGCATGTCTGCGTGACATGTTCTCAATCAAAATGCCGTGCATCTCGAGATCGCCGACATAATTCGGACCCTCGAATTCCGGACCCATTTTCATTGGACGAACCGAATTCAATTGACATTTCCGACATTTCGCCGCCAATTTCATTGCGAACTTCGTTCAGATTGAAACGAGAAGGAAGTGTGGCAAAAATGGAGACACAGATTAGTGAAGGAAGTGGAACAACTGGCGCGAATTTGAATTTTTTGAATGCGATTTTTTTGGGAACTGTTTTTGTGTATTTTTTGGCTTAATTTTGACTGGAGCATTTCATGAATTTTTTAATATTCCTTTGTGTATTTGAAAACTTTTCAGAAACTGAAAATAGAGAAAAAATTTGGAATCCACGTGGAAAAAATTTAATTTAATACAATTTCGAACGTTTTTTTGAATTTATCAAAAAAAGTTTCCACGTGGGTTTTGCTGATTGTTTCCAAATATCCATTTTTTTTCATTTTTTGTTTGTTTTTTCAATAAATCAACTTGTCTCATTCAATCCACAGAATAAACAATTTTCGAAATCACATAGAGTACTGTAGATTTCGGCACCAAAACAAATTCAGAATTTTTTAGAAAAATCAAAAAATCAGTGTTCCTCGTCATTTTGTGTGTCTATTCTTGCTTGTTCTGTTATTTGTGGTCCGTCTTCTTCAGTCTTCCTCTTCTATCTGCCGTTTTTTGATTTATTTTTGCACAGGACAACGGGAAAAAAGAGCCGGAGAGCCAAGCAGCCAAACACAATATGATTAATGTGACAATTGGGACACCCCCTTCCCTCTCTGGTTTTTTGTGACTATCACCACAAATATTATTATATTTTATTCATTTTTTATACTTTTTAAATTTTGGTAGAAAACTTATGGAACCTGGTATGTATGTGTTTTTTTCGATTTCAAAAATTTTTAAGACCGAGATTTTCAGCTCCTGCTGATTTTATTCAAGTTCTCACATCTCTCATCGCTTTTTGATTTATTTAAAAAAAAATTCCTTGAAATTTCCAAAAGTTCAAATTCATAATTCCACGTGGATTGTTCTGAGTTGACTTTTTCTATGCAGATATTTTATTTTAATTTTTTAAATCAGCTTTCTCCATTTTTTTCTAACCTATTTTGATGGAAACTTCAGGATTTTTTATCTGAACAAAAAAAATTTTTTTTCTGATAGTTCTTGAAATCAATATTTTTGTGCCAGAATATTCGTGACGCGTGGTTTTTCGGGAACTCTGTCCACTCCAAAAGCAATATTTTGAATATTGTAGGAATTTGAAAAAAAAAAGATCAAAAAAATTTCCTAATAGCTCCAGATAAAATAATATCTCCAGAAAAAAAAAGTGGTTTTTAAGGATCTGAATATTACGCGTCGAATTTAGCACTATTTTTTCCACCAATAACAACACAATTCTGGCTCATCTCTAATCACACAAATGTTTTCCCATCGAATCATAAAAATCACAAAAATAATCGATAAAATAAATAATTTGATTAGAGAAGAGGCCTTCTGGCCTCTTTCCTAATCAAAAAGAAAAAATAATATTTTATATGATTTTTTGTGATTTTTATGGTAATTTTTATCGATTTTTGTTGTGTTGGTGGGGTCTGGTGCACTTTTTTGTTTATCGTTTTATTATTGACACACCATTTTTCTTTTGAGTGAAAGAAGAAGAAAAAGATGGTGAAAAATTAAATATGTATGCTAATTTTGGCGTGTCAATTGAAATATGACCAATTGTTGGGTGGGTTTTTGAAGAAAAAAATTGAGAATGAATTTTTTAATTTTGAAATATTGTGGAAAAAATTTGGGCCAATTCCACGTGTATTTAATTTTCGAGCTAAATTTTTTTTTGAATTGTTTTGTAGATCAGAAATTCTTCGAACATTCCAAATTTTCAACCCAAAACCCTAATTCTCTTGTGAAATCCTTTCTATTTTCCTTCAATTGTTATCGGCAAAAAGTGCAAAAGTACACTTTTCTCCTTTTTTTCGCAAGAAGCCTCCAAAAAATTGGCGCCAAAAACACTTTTTTCCTTGTCTTTTTCCTAGGCAAAACTAAACAAATTAGGCGCTTTTTGTTCAAAGAAAGTCTTCCGACAGATGTGAAGCAGTGCTTTTTTTGTCAGTTTCGGTTTTGGGGTTGGTTTCGACTTAGCCTATCTATATTGCGCCAGATGTGGACGAAAAATTGTTGCAACATTTTCCGGTTTTTTGGGAGAGGTTGGATTACGGTAGGAAGTTATTTATAAACCGACGAAAAGTGATTTATTTTTGACAGCTTTTTTGAAATTTCTGACTAATGGTACAGCACCAAAAATTATGGAAATCCACGTGACAAAAATTAACAGCTTCTTTTACACGAGAATTTCATTTCATATTTAAAGGAATGTGAATTGAATTTTTGTTCAGAAAATCCACGTGGCATATTATTTACTCTATCTATTTTTCACGCTAATTTTAGCCTGCAACGAGTCAATTTTACCGCAAAAATTATAATTTCCAACCCCATTATTTCCCAATTTCCTCAATTTTTACGACTATTATTCTAACTCAATAATATTTTCAATATTCATTATTAATTATTCTCTTTGTTTTGTTTTTCTCTCTATTTTTACCGCCTGCCACACACAAAAATCTGATAAATAATATAGAAAAAAAGGGGCGTGGTTTGAAGGGTCCAAAACCCCGCCTCTCTTTTGCATTTGTTTAGTTAGTGAGTAGTGAATAGAAGAAAGAAGACTTTTTCTATTGTGTTCACTATCTTTTTGGCGCCAAAAATGGGCGAGAACGCCACGTGGAAAGGAATTATTGGCGCAAAAATACTCGCACTTAATTTGGAATTTTTTTATGTTTAAAATCCACGTGGTAAAGACAGAACATTTTTGCCACGTAACTTGCAAAGCTCTGAAGATCCACGTGGCTATTCTAATTTGGAGTCAATATTTTATGCCATGTGAATTTTTAGCGCCGAAAATTTCATTCGCTGGCCTTTGAAAGGCGGTTGAAAACCACGTGGCGGTGCAATTTTGACACTGAAAATCCAGATTTTCTTTATTCAACCCTATTTTTGGCGCCAAAAACCAAAGCACAAAATATTTTCCCTTTCTTATCTTTACTCAAATTTTTATGTTTATTATTATTTTTTTCCTTGCTTCTTCTTTCATTTTCCTCCCTTCAACCTGTCAATTTTTCATAAAATTTTACGATTTTTCAGCCATCCCAAAAAATCATGCGATTTTTGGTGGCGGCCTCGTCGATTTTTTGTGTCATTCTTTGTTTGGCGCAAGCGGCGTCGGCAAAATCTCAACATCAAACGAAACACGAGAAATGTCTGAGAATTACTCATGAGATGTGCAATGATTTGCCCTATAATATGACGAGGTAACAATCATTTTTTTGGCGCCAAAATTTGAAATTGTTTAGATGGAAACCCCATATTCTTCTCATTTTTTCAAAACCATAAAAAATGTTTCTTATAAAAACGCAACACCAAATGTTATTGTTAGGGGTGCGTTGACTATGCCCCAAAAAGTGTAATAAATCAAAAACATGTCGAAAAATGCGCAGCATACGGTTGTCACCAAACAGATGTGCGAAAAAGTCACAAAAAAGACGGGGAACGAATATTTCAAAAGCCTGTTAGAGGCCTAGAAGCCTAGTCTAAAAGCATAAGCCTGATAATTTAAGCCTAGAATCCAAACCTCATAATTCTCAATCCACCCAAACCCTACACACCAATCATTTTTCCACCCGCTTCCCAAAAATCCAGTAGTTGATCCTCAGAAAATGATAAATGTGTTTAGTTCAAGTAAGGAGGAGCTCTTTCTAGTGTTTTTTGTTCTGCTCTCCGAGCACACAAAAAAGTTGCAAGGAAGAACAAAAAATAGGATAGAAAGCAGAAAAGAAGAAGAGACGAGTGATATATGGCACTTTTTCTAACAAAATGTCATTTTTCACTTTGGCAAAAAGGATTTGGGAAGAAGGAGAAGCTGAAGGAAAGAGGATAAGACGAAACTATAGATAGATAACGGGGTTCGCAAGTTTACTGAAAAATACAATTGCGCTCTATTGTCAATTCTGTTCAAATACATACAGTCCTAACTATCAACAGAGCACACTTTATAGATTTGAATTTGAGAACATATCCAACGTGAGAAAAGGGAACTTGAAAAGAAAAATTGAAGTTCGCTCTATTGATAAACATCCAAATTGCTAGAGCGCATTTAAAGAGACAAAAACCATCCAAAATTCAAAATTTCCAGTTTCCCCAACTTGGTGAACGAAGAAACAATGAAAGATGCATCGGAATCAATCGCCACCTACAAACCTCTTTTGTCTGTAGTTTGCTCCGAACAGCTCAAATTCTTCCTATGCTCCGTGTATTTTCCAATGTGCAATGAAAAATTGGCGCAACCCATAGGACCATGTCGACCACTTTGTTTATCGGTCAAAGAAAAATGTTTGCCGATACTACAAGGCTTCGGATTTACATGGCCTGATGTGATTCGATGCGATAAATTTCCGTTGGAAAACAATCGGGAGAAAATGTGTATGAAGGGACCAAATGAGCAGGGAACAATTGAAAAAGAGGAGAGAGCTGGAAGATATTTGGAGGATGGAAGTAGTAGAGAAGTTGTCGTAAGTTTTTCGGGCCTCCCGGTTTTTTATGACCAAAACTCATTAGTCAAAAAAACGCATGTCAAGGTAAAAATTTACGGAACCCTAAAAGAAACGGATGATTGATTACCAAAGATTTTCAGATAACAATCATCATTATATCTAATTACACGATAAATAGAAAAGAAAATGTGTGAAAACAAAACAAATCTTTTTTTAGGATTACAACAGTTTTTTGCTGAAATCCCATGGAATTTGTCCAAATGGCGAAGTTTTTATCAATAAAACTGCGAAATGTGTTCCGTTGTGTGGAAATAATGCGATTGCACAAAACGAACGAGAATCTGCTACCAAATTATTATTGTTTTTGGCGTCGAGTTCGATTATTTTGACATTTTTGTCTATTTTCATCGTTTTTATCTCGAAATTTGGGGCTTTGGGAAGTCAGACAGAGATTTCGATGTTTTTCGCGTCGATTGCTTTTGCTGTCAGCTCATTGATTTATGTTTTCAGCGTCAGTTTCAGAGAACAGGTTGGTTTTAAACATTTGTTGGGATTCATTGGTCGTTTACGAGCTACAGTACCCAGTGAACATTACAAAAAATATATGACCAGATTCTCAACCCAAATCTAATTTCAGATCTCATGCACTGATTACACTAATCACTTGCTTTTCATTGTTGGTGGAATGTATCATGCACCATGTTCATCAATCGCAAGTCTAATCTATTATTTCTCAACAGCCGCTCGTATTTGGTGGTTTATGGTGTGCTTTTCGTGGAATCGCCAAGTACGATTCAATGACGTGGCATCACGTATTCAAATGTTGGTATGGGGTTTGCCGTTGGCACCTTTGATGTTGGCCTTGTTGGCAAAATCGATTTCCGCAAATCCGTTAACTGGAATTTGCCTTGTTGGAACTGCAAACTCGGTGAGTTTTGAAGGAATTTTTGAAATTTAAATTTAAAAAAAAAGAAAATCGTGCATTTTCTAGTATGTCGATTGGGTTTTCAACTTTTCACGTGATTTGATTTTCTTTGTGTTATCAACAATTTCGATTTTCTCCTCTTGTTGTCGACTTTTTGGACAAAGTTCTGCCTTTGAAAGTTCGTTGGAAATTAATGGATTTGCTGGACTGATTGGAGCGATTTTCCCGATTTCATCGCTGTTTTATATGTAAGTGGTTTGAATTTTAGATAAAGTGATTCTGAAATTCTCAACTTTGCCATGTGGCTTTTTAAAAACAATGCTTCATATTTTTTAGTCTCTCCTTCATCAATGAATCATCCTCGCAATCAAATCAACAAAATTGGTCACGGACTTTTAACACAATTTCTGCGATCAAATATAATTTCGACCTAATTTTATCGCTAATCATGTGTGCACTATGTTTTGTATATTTGCTTTCAAGAGTAGCAAGATCACCGTGAGTCACAATCAAAAATGACAAATTTTGCTCAAAAAATCACAAAACTGAAAATCAATATTTTCAGCTCAAAAGTGTCAAAAGAAGGATATCAGCCAGCAATTCCAAAAATCCCAACTCCTGCTATTCCAGGAAGTGTCAGATCCAATACATATGCATCGACTTTTAGAAATCAGACTAACTTGATTTGATTTAAATAGTTTTGATTTTAAAATTGCAAGTTCGCCTAACTCGGGTCATATACACTTCCCTTTCCGTTTTTGCTTTGGTCTCATTTTTTTAAATGAATTTTTTCAATTGAAGATTTCTAAAAAAAAATATGGCTTAGAAAATCAAGGACATGTTTTTGGTGGTCCAAAAATCCGAAAACCCTAAAAAATTCTGGCAAGTGGAAACATGGTTTGGTCTCACTGAAAACCGAAAAGTATAAAAAAAACAATTCGGTTTTTCTTGTGTTTTTTGACCACATTGTGTCACGCAAGTTCCACTTTGTTCCCGTCCGTTATCAATTTTTATCATCATCATTATCTTAATTTGTTTTCAGCGAACATTTTCAGCACTATAAAAACCCGGGAAATTTCCTGAGAGAAATAGAAATCAAGTAAAATGATTTATCAAGTTCTTTTGGTTTTGGCATGTTTTTCGGTGATGTCAGGTGAGTTTTTGATCAATTTTGGGTCGTCAAAAATCACACCAATTCTTTTTTCTTCCAGTTTTTGCGCAACATTGGCACTGGCATTCTGGTTCACATGAACACCATCATCATCACTCATATTATCCAAATTATGGTTACGGACAACAATTGTATTATTATCCACAACAATATTATGTTTGGGGAAGGAAATAAATTTGAACTTATTGAAAATTTTGAATTTCTTGAAATAGACGAAAATAAAGAGTTTATTTGAAAATTGGGGTGTTTACTGTAGATCAGTAGTTATGTTTTCAAATTTTACATGGTATACACGTCATCTACAGTACTCCTACGTAGTCTGAAACTCACTTCACTCGAAACCAAAGCATTTTTCCTAATTAATAAAATACTCCCAAAAAGGCCTACCTCTGCTTTTGAATTCCGCCATTTTTAAAGAATATTTCCATATGAAACGCCTCCGATTCCAGAATTCCTCGCAAAATATTTCCAAATTCGAAAATTCCTCCACTCCGAAAACAAGAGAACACACAAATCGAAGAGACGTCGAGAAATGCGCGTCAAATAAAATGCCGCGGGTGTGAAATTCGAAACACACAAAACGACATGAAAATGCACCAGTCATCATTTTCAAAAATTTCTTTTTGTTTTCTCCGCTTGTTTTGGAAGTTTTTTCAGGTTAAATTTAAACTAGAGGTTTTTTTGCAGTTCGAAATGGCTGGAATGCACTTTTTGGTCGGTATTTCAACAGACGATTATGTGATTTTGGCGGCCGACAAGGCGACGTTTGCGTATGGCGCAATTTTGGCAGATTCTGGTGAGACTTTTTCAAATTGGTATTTTTAGTGAAACATCAATTTTCAAAGATGTTTGGAGAACAGAGAAATTCCCGATGTAATCTAGAAGCTGAGAGTAAAAAATTCTTCATAGAAATATTTTTCTTGTCTAACAATAAAACCATCATTTCTTTCAGAAAACGACAAGGAATATCGATTGGGCAAAAAATTGACAATGATGTGTATTGGAGAAGAAGGAGATGTTGCTCAATTCGGCGATTGGACCAAGAGAAATCTTCAACTTTATTCGGTTCGAAATGGCTATGAAGTGTCGCCAGCCAGTGCGCATCATTTTGTGCGAAGAAGCATTGCACACGGATTGAGATCTTCTGATCGTTATACAGTCGATGTTTTGATTGGTGGTTATGATGAGAAGGAGGAGAAGGCTTTCTTGGGATCTGTTGATTATTTGGGAAATGGATTGGCTAAACAGGTAAGTGTTCTTGAAGAGAAAAATAAAAACCATGAAAATTTAGAGACGAAATACGGTAAATTTCAGTTAAAAATCAAAACTTTCATTTTTTTTAAATAAATTTGTTTTTTCTCTCCCTATCCCTTCAGAAACTCATTTTTTCGAGCAAACACGTGGCAATTTGCTCCCAAAGTCAATTCACATTTTAAAGATCATATTTTCAGCCATATTTGTTCCGCGGTTTCTGTGGTCGTTTCTGCTATGCAATCATGGATCGAGAATATAAGAAAAGTGAGTGTTTTGTTGAAAGTCTCAGCGAAAAATACAAAGAATACGCTTAAATTTTCATCAAAAATTACCAAACTTCCACTCTAAATTCCCCAAATTTTCTGGCAAAAAATTATTCATTTTTGCAGATATGTCGGAAGCCGAAGGGTTAATCATGATGAAAAAATGCATCGGAGAGGCAAAACGTCGTTTCGTCGCCAACATTCCCGGCTACAAAGTTGTTATCATTGACAAAAATGGATATCGAAAATTGGATGATGTTCTTTTCTAAAAACCTAAGCTACGCCTAATTTTTGGCTGAAAATCCCCCAATTTTTATTGTATTCCAACCGGTTTTAATTTATTCTCTAAACTATTTTATTTCTTTCTTCAAGTTTGTTTTTTCAATTGAAAAATTGTGAGATAAATCGATAATTTTTAGGCGGTTATAATCCACCTATCCACTCTGATTATTTCAAATTTATTATAGTTTTTGAGCAAATTTCGCCTAATTAACATTTTCTAACCAAACAAAACAAATCAATAATCACACAACTTGTTTCAACAATTCCTGTCTTTTCGCCTCAATCAATTGTCCCGCTTTATTTTCAGCCGATTTTTTCAAATCCAACAACATTTGTCTCGTTTTTCTTGCATCATCCGGTTTTCCCGCAAATTCGGCGCTCGATTTTTTGTCGCCTTTTGTATAAATTTCATTCAACGCTTTTTTGTACTCGTTCAAAATTCGCGTTTTTGCATCTTGCGCCATTTTCTCGCGTCGCTCTCTGGACATTGGTGGAATTGTGATGTAGAGGACGGCACCTTCTTGTTGGGGAGTCACATTTAGGGTGGATTTCTGAAAGAAAATAGGAAATAAACCTGAGCTTGAAACATTGGGCATATTTTTTTTTCTCAATTTCTTTTTTCATTTTCTCACCTGAATAGCCAATTTGGCCGCTTTCATCGCTGCCGGATTATCTTGAAAATTGATCATAACCATTAGCGGACTTTTCATCGTAACTCGCGCTAAATGCGATAATTGTTTATCTTTTCCCGTATCCAATTTAACCATTATCTCTTCATATTGTCGAACATCAACTTTCAGTGAAAAATGTCGCGCGAGTTCTTCGTGCAGAATTTTCTCGACTTCTTGCAATTCTTTGTGCGTATCTTTCACAATTTGATTTTCTTCAAGATTGGCAAAATGTACTTGTTGATTTCCCTGAAAATTTGCTGCGTTTTGGTGTCAATCATGTTTCTAATTGAAAGAATTATTACTGAAAAACTCACTTTCTTTTGTTTCTCATTGATTTTCTTCTTGAAAATTTGGGGAGTTGTTGAAAACTGCAGCCTGGAGAATTGTCGACATGTGGAAATCGTGGAAACCAAAAATCCCACTCGATTCATCCCAAAAATGTCAAAAAACTAAAGAGAAAACACGAAAAATAAAAATATTTCTGAGATGGTCGTGGCCTAATAACCGACTCGGCCAGCCTATTTTTAATAATAAAAAAATTTCGTCGACGCGTCGTCTTTTTTGTTTTTGAAGAACCGCGTAGAAGAAAAAATGTGAATTTTAGGCTAAGCCTGGGCTACTTAGTTAGGTCTAAGATTTAGGCTAAGTCTATGCTCAATTGAAAAGTTAGGCTAATTAGCTTCAAAAACCCTCAGAAAGCCATTTTTCCGAAAATAAAAAATACAATTTTCAAAAAAAAAACGTGAAAAATGTATTTTATTGCCACGTGTTCCACATCGATAAGAATCTTTGCCAACACCAAAAAATTGCCTATAAAACCTCGGAACCCGCCCAAGAATGCTCATTTTTTGTGTTTTGGTAGTGAAAAAACCAATATATATTAGGAAAAAGTGAATTCAAGACCGTTGTAACAAATATGTTTGGAGGCAAAAAAGGAGGCAGATCGTAAGTGTACTGTAGAATCTTGTTTTGTAGCTCTTTGAGGATACTCTTTACAAGAAGAGTTACAGTAATCAATGGCACTAAATCACACGTTTTTTGCAGAAATTCGAAGAAAACGGTAAAAAAACAGTATGCATTGAAAAAGAAGGATACACTCGAAGACGACGACGATCTATTCGGCGGAAATTCGCCAACACACGGCGGCGCATCGTCACATGAAAGCGGAGCCGGTAGTGGCCCAGTCCGGAAACGCAACTCGCACAAACTACTCAGCCACGATTCGAAAGGGGGTTCGAAGAAAAAAAAGGAAGCCTCGCAGATGGGAAATGTGGCGAAGAATTCGAGAAACTCAGGAAGCCGAAAATCAAAGAAAGTGTTGCGTGTGGATCCAAATATGTGTGCAGGAGTGAAGAGATTTGAGGAGACAATAAGGGGAATGCGTGAGTTTAGGGAATACTGTATGAACCTTTAAATAGGGACTAAACCTGACCGAAGCTTGCAGAGTAGATTCGAACCATCTAGCACCAAAAACAACCTGAAACCTCATTTTTTTCAGTTTCCTATGGTGGACTTCCTGCGTATTACGAGCAACGTCTCAAAACCTACACCGCCCCCTCACCAACCACTGCCGCCGACTCGAATCCCACCAAAAACCGCGCCGCAGTCACATGCTACGATCATTCACGTGTCAAACTCGTCCCAACCGAAACTCGAAAATCCGACTATATCAATGCAAGTCACATCAGTTTTGCCAACGTCAACCGCAAGTATATTTTAGCGCAATATCCGTTGCCGGACGCTTTGGAAGATTTTTGGACGATGATTTTTGACAATGAAGTGGAGACTGTTCTCTCGGTGTTCAATCCATTTGGTGATCCAGAAATCAAGGAGTTTCAGGATAAACCAACGGGTTCATACAAGAGAAGTAGCAAAAGTGAGAAGCGTTCGGTGATGCAACAAAGCTCAGTCAATCAGATTAGCGAATGTCGGCCGTTGTCAATCCGCGAAACAAAATTCAATATGACCCAAAGTCATCGGGAAATTGCAATGACTTCGAAACGCTGTGCACTTGCTGATTCTACTGCCTATTTTCCACTCAAAGAAGGTCAATTTGTGACTATTGGTCGTTTCTTTGTGCACACGAGAAAAGTAGAAATGCCTGAAAAACCCTTCCGCCCATTCATTTATACGATTGAAGTTTTGCCGGAGGGTTGTTCGGAGTGTAAATTTGTGCGAATCATTAATTATCCACATTGGAAGTCGAATGGAAAACCAAATGTGAAGGTTTTATTGTACATGCTTCGAGCTATTGGTGCCGATCCACTTCAGAAAGGACCGATTTTGATGCATTGTGATAATGGATTGAATCGAAGTGCGTTGCTGCTTTTGACGGATGTTATAAGTTCGCTTTGTTTGGAGGGAAAGCCGTTTGATATTGATGAGACTTTTCGACAAATTCGACAACAACGAGGTGGCGCTTTCCAGGCAACATTTTATTTTACGTTTGCCATTTATACGATTGCTAGCTATGTTTATGTGAGTTTAGGCGGGGGAAAAACAATATTTGACCGAAGTTTTGTCCTAAAATCTGAAAATTGTGATTTTTCATATTCTTACTCGAAAATCTGAAATTTTTCAGCTTCGCTGCAAATCTCGCGGAGCTGTCAACAATGAAACATTGCAAATAATGAAGACTTTGGTAAGGGATTTAATGAAACAATGTCCGAGCAGAGAAACTTCTTAATTTCCCGATTGATTTTTGGGAAAATGAATATTTCTTTTGAATGAGCCTGGCCGTCTATCTGAAAATTATCCTCGTGCTAAAAACAATTTCGGAGATGATTTTTGATGCCAAAACACTCAAAAAATTTATTCATCAAAAAACCCAATAATTTGATCATTTTCATAGTTCAAACTCGAAATTCCAAGCGGTAAAATAGCTTGGCGATTTTCGAGTGCCAATTTAAAGGAATTTTGGGTTTCCGGGTGATCGTGGAAAATTGTCAAATTCATGCGGCGAATTTCAGTCTGAAAATAGATGAAACATATCAGGTACAGTAGTTTGAACTGCAAAAAAAACTGTAGTTTTGCCAAATTAAGGGGAGAAAACAATTGATTTGATTCGGACTACAGTAATCCGAGCTGTATTTTTCCTATTCACAGTAACTCGAACCCCAAAACTACAGTACCCAAGAAAAACTCACATTTTTCGCCAAAAAAATTGGTTGCGAATTCAATGTGACCAAAAAATAGATCAAACTTGGCAAAATCAAAAAAATAGCGATATAAATTTTGGTTTTCGTTTCCATTTCTTTCTCTTCTACGTTTTCTTCTAAAATTGGATTTGGATTTGAAATTTGAATCGGATTTCGTGGAGAAATAGAAATATTATTCGAAAAACTTGTCATTTCCAGCATTTTCTTTTGATTGAAAATTATTTGAAAAATGAAGGGAAAAATTTTTACAAATAAAAATTTTAAGTTGATGAATAATTGGTATTGTCTGCGAAAAAATCCGGTTTTCTTCATATTTTTCCGGAAAATCCACATTTTTGAAAAAATGTACTGTACATAGTGGGTCACACCGTGAAAATCTTGAAATAGGTTTATTTATATTTAAATACAGTACTATAATATAAATATTATGTGGTGACGTGGCAATTAGGATTTTTTTCAAAAACAAAAAATAGTGTCAAAGTGGTTGTGATTGTAGCCAAGTTGTAGAAGCTGATAAACTTGGCCTAACTGAAATGGGTTTGGCGCAATATACATTTTGATTATTAGTCGCATTGCTCATATTATGTTTTTTCAAGACTGGCGACCGGATTTTGCACGGTTTAGCATGAGCAATCTCAGGAACATGTCGACGAACTGGCGGAGAACGAGATGGTGAAAAGAAATTGGTGGAATTGTTTGTGATTGGATTGGAAGAGAGATAGACAACATTGGCACGGAACGTTTTCTGTAAGAACAAATCGTGGGTTTTCATTGAGATTTTTTGGTTTTTCATATAAAAATTCGATTTTTTAGACACCCATATTCATATGGTTTTCTTGATTTTTTAATTTTTCGCTGTAAGACCCACTACGGTATTTTTTTCAAAACATTGAGGAAACTATACGAATATGGGTGTCTAAATATCGGAAATTTTGTTGAGAATTTGAAAATCAACATGAGAAGTTTTAAAACTTCAGTTTACCCAGAAAATCACCTCATTTTTTCTCAAATTTTGATGCTCGCCAGAAGTTCTCAAATCCTCTAAGCTCATATTTGAAAAATCGCGTTGAACCAGTGAAAATGCCGAATTTCTGTTTGTTTTTCGCAAATCTATGGGTGGTTTTTCGAACCTAAAATGAACAAATTTAAACCAAAAATTTCAGAAAAAAAACTCACAAAAATTCTTTTCGATCCTCTTCACTTTTTTGTTCGAACATACTTTTTGGTCGAATTTTTTTAGGCGAATTTTTCCAAGCTCCTCGATGACAACTTCTTGATGTAATAATTGGAGGTGGTCCCATTATTTGGGAAAAATGAGGATTGCTCATATTATTCGATTTTTCCAGTGACAATTTTCGAAATGTAGAATAGTTTATGGTAGAATTTCTGAGAAAAAACACAATTTTTTATAATCTTACTGGTTTTTAGGGGTCACTTACTCGAAACTTGTTTTTTGAGAAGATGAATCCGTTTCTGGTGATGAACATCTGGTTGAATTCATCGTGTTCTGAAATAAATTGAGATTTTCTAGAAATTGTAGTGATGGTTTTTGAATTCTTCACAAAATTTTGAGCTCTATTTATTCTTGAAAAAAAACCTGCAAATTCAGGTCTCACACATCTTTAAAGTCTCGACACGAAATATCTAAATTTTTGGGAAAACCATATGAATTTTCCGAAGGAGTTCAAAAATCCCAGATGAAAACTTTGAAAAACAAACTTGAGATGAAATTCCAGAATCCACAGATTGCAAAGAGAATCGATCCAAAATCACATCGTGTTTTTTCTTTTTTTCACGTGCCAAAACATCATCCAAACATCCAGGAATTACAGGAAGTCGTGATTTCAAATTCTGAATTGGGAAGTTTGAATTTTAAAAACTGCCCCGCTTCAGCTTCAAACCTGTATCATTAGAGCATGTTTGCTGCGCAATGCTTCCAATTCTTGCATTCCACTTCGACACGCTTCAAAACGGGTCCTGAGACGATCATCATTTACACAAGGACTACTGTAGTCACGTGGCGGTGGTTCTGGCGGTGGACCATACCCAGATAAAGGCCAATCTGTTGAGATTGGCATTTATTTTTGGGTAAGGTCACTCAGTACGAAATCTGGAAATTAATAAAATTGGAGGATTTTTGAGTGGGACAAAAATGGTTTCAAAGGTTTTTAGTAGAAAAAAACATGCCACGTGGCTCATGATTGATTAGGTTATGAAAAAGAAAAAAAAAATTCGAAATTAGATTTTCAGAAAAAAATATCTTTAAAAATTCTAAATTTCATTTAATTTTCAGAAAAATTTTCTGAAAAATTCAGTGAAGCAGCGGAGTATCTAATCAATTTTTGCACCCAAAAATATAATAATATGAATAATACAAAAATAAATATATAATATGTATAAGATGAGCAAACATTGTATAAATGCTTCATTGCTAATTGATAATAATGAAGATGAAGAGCAAAAAATAAGGGAAGAAGAAGAAGAAATATGTTTGTTTAAAGGAACATTTGTCGGGGAAGAGTGTGTGGTCTCGAGAGGAAGGAATACGGTAGATTTGTGCGAAATATGTGTGATTTGAAATTTTATTTTTAATTTCAGAAGGATTATTGAATTTTTTATGAAAATTTTGAGTTTTCACTTTCTCAGATGTCTGGAAGTTGATTTTCATATATTTTTTGGAAAATTCCAATCTCCAGCTTAATTTTTTTTTTGAAAAAAATATTGTGAACAAGATTTTCTACAAAAAATAAATAGTAGATAAGTCGGAAAAACTATAATTACCATTTAAAGGTTTTCTTTTCTAGACCAAGGTCAGAAAACTTTGTTTTTTTTCGGTGGAAAAATCAAAAATCTTGAAGAAAATAGTGGAAATCTGCAAAAACTACGCTTCTTCGAAAAAAATTACCAAATCTTCAAAAACTTTTTTTTGACACATTTTCAATAAATTTTCGGATATAAAATAATAATAATAATAAATAAATAAAAGGAATGTAGATTTTCTTCTTTTTTTTGCCTGCGCCAAATTGAAACAATGGGAAAATTTGACCGAAATTCTCTCTTCTTTTTAATTTATTATTATTTCTATTATTAAAAATGAAATTGAAATTGAAAAGAAAAACGGATTTTCGAAATGTTTCTTTAGATGGAAATTTGGGGGGATAAAGTGGTGTGGAAAAAGGAAAAATGAAGAAGATAAATCAAAAAATCAAGTGATTTTTTGTCGATGGAATTTTTTTTGAGAAATTAAATTACATTTGTTCCACGTGGAATAAAAAAATAAATATAAAAGTTTGAAATTAATAATTTTTGTTCGGGACCTCTCATTTTATTTCTGCTGATCATTTGTTAGAACTCGTCGTTTTTTTTTTTCAATTTTTGCCCCAGAAGAACTTCCGAATAATCGGAACAAAAAATATCAGAAAATTATTCGGAATAAAAAGTCGGAATTCCGAAGTTCCGAAAATAAAATCGGAAGTAAAAATGCTCTGATTTACATCCTAACTTCAAGTAAAAAATCAATAATTTTATAAAAATTAAACATAATCATTAGTAGATCTTCTTTGTTGTTGAATAACAATTGGATTCGGTCCACCGGTCGCTTTTTCATTATGTCGCCATGAAAGAAATTTGAGATAACAATCCAAACCATATGCTATCATTGCTCCAAACGCGAAAAACTGCAAAAATTAGTGAAAAATAGGATCTTGGCACCAAATTCAACTGAGAATGAACTCACGCAAGCTGCGGCGAATGCAAATGTGCTGTGTTTTTGATTTTGATAGGCTAAACTGGCACAAATACAGGCGGCGATGAAGAAAAATACAGTCCATGTGAAACAATAAACCATTTCCTGCAACAAATCAATATTTTTGTTCGAATATAGGTTTTTTTGGTGTCATTCTGCACCATTTTTGGGAAGAGAATTCAAAAACTCACAATAACAATCCAGTTGATTTTTGGAAATGTGTCGACGACTCGAAATAAGTATAAAACCAATAGAACCGATGTGAAAAATAGGCCAATTGAGGCTACAAAAGTGACCCAGGAAATGCCTGAAAATATATACAATTTTGATTTTCGAATTTTTTAATCCGCACAAAAAAATTTGGAAAGCAAAAAATAAACCATACTTTCATGAAATGCCGGTCCCATCATCACAAAAATCATCGTGAAAAAGCACAAAATAATACAACAACATTTCAAAATTCCGCCGATTGTTCGAATATAATCACAATCCAATCGAGGAAATTCGATCTGCAAAATTTTGGAATTTTCGGGGGAAAAGTTTTAAAAAATAAGAAAATGTGTTGATTTTCAGAATCCACGTGGTAAAAAAATCAATAACTTTTAGATCTCAAAATTTCTCGATCAAAATTGAAATCAAAAAGTTTCGAGCCAAAAATGTGCCACGTGGCAAACACTATCGATTTCTTGCACCAAATTCAAACTTACCCTAACTGCGGGACCATCATTTGTAATATATTCGGTAGTTTCAACTACAGTAGTTGTAGTATGATATCTCGACATTATCCTTCAAATCTAGTTTTTTATTTCGAAAAATTGATAAATTTTCAACAAAAAAATAAAAGAGCACAAATGATCCCACGCAAACTTTTTTGTTTTGTTTTTCGAAAAAAATATTGTGTAATAATGTTTTTCCGAGAGAAAAATTGAAAAAGAAAAGACAATTTTTGAGTCATGCAATGAAAAAAACAGAAATTTCGAAGTGTGAAAAAAATTTTGAATATTTCGAACTTTTGCCACGTGGATTTTTCGCTACAAATATAGTATCAAATTCCATTTTTTGAATAATGTTCAATTTCGCGTCAAAAATTTTTCCCACCTTTTCTTTTTCCATTTTCTCGTTTCCAATATTTTCATCTTCAATTTCATCAAATTCTTCTTCTTCTTTCTCTTTTTTTCGAATTTTCGCTCCATTTTTCAAAATTGGTGGAGGCAATGGCGGAGGAGATGGTGTAGATGAATTAGAAGAAGAAGTTGGACTTGGTGTCATTGCTACCGTAGTCATTTGGGTCTCGTTTGGATCAGAATTCGAATTCGGATCGAGAGTTGAAATCGAGACGCCATCAATCGATCCTGAATAAAAAAGAGGAATTATGCCACGTGGATTTTTGACACCAAAACTTTTGAATCACATTATTTGACGCGAAGTTCAAAATGTTATGTTGAAAATCTCAAAATCTCTTACCTTTTTCGTTTTCCATCGATTTTCTCCACACAAAAATCAAATCAGAGCAAAAATAAAACCAAAATGCAAAACTGGCTCAGCTTCTCTTCTTCTTCCTCCAAAAAAGCGGAAAATGTATTGTTTTGTGAATTGTGTTTGTGTTTTGTCTATTCTTGCGCGCAAAACGCGAATTGAAAAAAAAAGAACACAAACAGATTATTATTTTTGGGTGGTGCTCAAAAACTGGGCCCTAAAGTTCTTTTGTGAACTTTTTGATTCTTGGATTTTGGCTGAGAATTTCGGAAAATTTGGCTGATTTTGAATGGACACATTTTTTGAAGAAAAAATTCGTCAATGTTTTTGGTTAGGTAAACATGTTTTTTTAAACCGTAACTTGAGACTTTAAGTGGACAACCGCAAAATAACAGAAAATCACAGTTCCGGCGCAAAAATTTTGGGTGAATTTCAAAATAGCCACGTGGAATATAGAGAAAGAAATTCCGATTTTTGGGTACAACATTTTGATTTGAGCTCGAATTTTCAGAAATTTGCTTTCTAAATTATTTTGCTCCAATAACTAAACGATTTTCATCAAAAAACTAGCAATTTCAAAACATGGGGTAGAACAATGAAAAAAAAACAATATGCAATAACAAATTTCAAAAAATTGAAAAAATATCACAAAAAAGGAACAAAAAACGTGGATATTTGGTGATGGGAAAAAATTGGGTGCAATTTAAAATGGCTTGGCGAGATGCTCAATAATTTCGTGTTTGCGTTGTTCGGTGATCACATTTTTGCCAATCAGTCCGTCGAGGATTTTTTCCATGGTTAAGAAACTGCAAAAGATTTTTCTCTATTCTATTTTGACACATTTTTTAGATATAATAATTTTTAAACCTATTTTCTCAAGGTGAATTTCTATGAAGAATTTCAGATTTCTCATACAAATCAAGAATTTTCCGAGCGAATTTTGTTTCCATAAAAACTCCATACAAATCTCACCTCAAAAAGTTAATCTGATCAATTTTCAAATTATCAGTTGCTCCTTGTTGTCTATCCAAAACGGCAATCGAATCAGTCACCAACAAATTCTCTTTTCGAATTGCTTCAGCAGTTTCTCTAATAGATTCTCCAGTTGTGACAACATCTTCGACTAGAAGAACTGTTCCGCCTTCAGACCAAACACCCTGAAATTAAATTTGGGATTTTTTGAGTTGAAATTTTCAAATAATTTGTTGGGTCAAAATTATGAAATTTATTTGAGATTTTGGATTGAAAATAGTAATTTTCTAGAATTGTTTTGTAATTTTTTTTATAAATCAGAAATTAAATATTTTCATGAATTTAATGTTGAAACGTCTCCTTTTTCAAAAAAATGTGTTTCTCAATTTTCCGCGCACCTCAATAAGTTGTTTAGTTCCATAAGATTTGGCTTCTTTTCTCTTCATCAACATTGGAATTTGAAGAATATCTGAAACCAAAGTTGCCAAAGGCAAAGCTGCATAAGGAACACCAACAACATAATCGAATTTGAGCTGAAGAGCCAACACTTTTTCACACATTGCTTGAGCTGCCATACGCTGCAATAATTAGGGATTTTAAAGGGGAAGTTATTTCGGCTGAAAATCCATAACTTTTCAATTTATATGAATTTTTTTCATCGAAACTCACCAAAACCTTTGGCGAGCTCATAATTCTACGCAAATCAATATAAATCGGTGTCATTTGTCCGGACTTCAAATAAAACTCTCCAATTCGAAAACATTGCATATCGTATAATTCGTCGAAAAGTTGCGATTCTGTCACATTTCCGTTGTTGTTGGCGTTTTGAGATGAAGAATCACCATTGCAAGCTGCCATTGTGTTTTTTGTCTGAAAATTAACACTGACTGTGGTTTTCAGGACGATTTTAAAAGAGTGATTATGTTCAAATGATACACAAGTAGGACCAATAAAATTTTGACGCCTAACGAAATTCCACGTGCCACATAAATTTTAATATCAAAAAAACAGTCGATGTTTCAAATATTTCAAGGTTCAAAACCTCTTTCAAATACAAAAAAAATCTGACAACATAAAAAGAAAAAAATTCATAGACGAAAAATACGTTAACCCTAAAAACCTATATATCAAACAAAGAACAAAAAATGAACGAAAAAATGTACAGACTGTGTGTGAAAAAAGTGCAGAAATGATAAGATTCTCTGCCCTTTTTTCCTTTTTTTAGGCGAAAATCTTGCGATTTTGTTTTGGGTAAAAAATCGACCTAAGGACGAGGCGGAGCGATTGGATAGCTTTTCGGTATACTTTTCCACTCTTTTTCGGTTCTTTTGTAGATCATTTGCCGAGTGAAATGACCCATTTTTTGATTTTCTCGCAATTCTTTGACTGCTTGACGTTCGGCCGGAGATTTGAGAATTTCTTCGAGATTACATTGAATTGGTGCAGTGTTTGGTGTTGGGTCGACTTGAATTAGATCTACTTGAACCTGGAAAAAAACGAGGGTTATGACTGAAAATCAGATGTTTCTTGAGATTTTTTTATATAACATTTTTAAAGCAAAAATTCAGGAAATTACAAATTTCCGGTGACGAATTCCCATAAACTTCATTTTTTCAAAAATCACGAAAAATCTTACCGTGTCCAAATCATGTGTTAAAATTGACTTGGTCTTCTGACGGGCTTCTCGAGACATGTGCGCTTTGAAAAGGAAAAAGCTGAAAAATGCTCAATTTTCTCAAAAATCCAGTAAAAGCCCTACTTTGACGCGTAAACCGGTTCATTTGTCTGTTTTGCCAATCGTTTATATGGCAAATCTCGATGTCCTAATGATTCGACTTTCTCAATGACTGCACCATTGTCCAATAATGTGGTCCCGGCACGAATTAGTGATTTGACAAGATCAGCTTTGGAGAGGGACCTTGTGATTACTGTAACTTCATAGAATGGCATGGCAAGTTTGAAGATGGGCTGAAAAATAGAAATGTAGAAAAACAAATGGAAAAGTCACGTGTTTTGGGTCAAATTTCATTTTTCGACTGAAAAAATGAAAACAAAAACAAGTAAATAATCACAAGGTTTTAGAAATCAAATTCGAATTTTCTAGCTGATTAAAAAAATGAAAACCTAATCGACATCAGAAAATCAAGCGAAACGTTTTTCTAATGAATTTATGTTTCCATTTGGGAAATTTGAGATTCATTCCGAAAAATTGGCTCCAATACAGAAAAACTATTGTCGTGTTAGACATTAAGATTCAAAATTCGACTATTCGAACGTGGAGCAAAAAACTACGTGATAATAATCAGGAGGATGTTGCGTCATAAAAAATTCCCTCGAAAAACAATGGACAATCATGAAAAAATGATTATTTATTGTTAGGAAAATTTGCTCATTAATCGTATTTCTTTATTTTAGCTGTAATTCAATTATTTTTATCTTTAGAAAATATAAAATTTATGTTAAAACAAAAAATATAGAACCATCCCTATTCTCTCCTCGAATTTTCTGTTTTTCCTGTCAAATACCTATTTTCTACACTAAAATTTCATGAGAAATTCAAATATCACACTAAAAAACCGAAATTCCCGCTACAAACCCACGAAAATCCCGAAAAACCTCGCAAAAAATTAAAATAAAAAATTCGCAAATCTTCAATGGGTCTCGCCACGCGGTGTCGATTTACGCACGAAAAATGAGTGCGCCTTGAAAATGATGATTTTAAAAATTTCAAATCTTTTTGTTTTTCGTCAGGTTTTTTGAGCTTTTCGTGAAGTTTTTGGTGAGGTTTTTGATACAGAAGAAGTAATAATACTTTTAGAGGAAAAATGGCACCGAAAGAGCCAGTTGCCGTTGTCGCCAAAGTCCAAGAAGAAGTGCATAAGCAAAAAGCCGGAGCGCATCATTGTTTGGGCAATGTTCATGCAAATTTGCCTGTTTCTAAGGTAATTTTTCATTATTTAGGCCGAGGGTCTAAGTCTGAACCCAGTAAAATCAAAACAAAACCTATTTTCCAGGTCACCGTTCACCCATTGGTTCTTTTGAGCGTAGTCGATCATTTCAATCGAGTTAGCAAAACACAAAGTGTGAAACGTGTTGTTGGTGTTTTGTTGGGATCAATGAAAAAAGACAAAACTTTGGATATTGGCAATAGTTTCGCCGTTCCTTTTGATGAAGATGAAAAAGACAAAACTACATGGTTTTTGGATATGGATTATTTGGAAAGCATGTATGGAATGTTCTATAAAGTTGCTGCTAAGGAGAAAATCGTTGGTTGGTATCACACAGGACCAAAATTGCATAAAGTAAGTTTTTTGAGAAAAAATCATAAGTTTCTCTGTGCTCTCTGACTCTCTCGCCTCAGTCTTCTCAACAAGAACAAAAGGGATATTTTTGCATTACTCTCTGACATGCGCGCTTAGCGCAGTACGAGAGTGTTGAGTTGGCGAGAAATAGTTCGAGGGTTCAATTCCTCATGAGAGCTCTTGTAGTTATGAAGACTATACACGGAACACTGGGCTCTGAAGACTTCGTGAACCGATAATATCCGTTCTGAACTACTTTTTTCTAGAATTCTTTTGATTTTGCTTGAATTTCAGATAAAAATAAAGTTTTTTTATAGAACGATATTGCGATCAATGAGCAACTCAAGAGATTTACCCCAAATCCAGTTTTGGTGATCATCGACGCCGAACCAAAGAATATTGGATTGCCTACTGAAGCTTATGTTGAGGTTCAAGAAGTTCATGATGTGAGTTCAGGAATGACACAATTTCAATTTTTCTCCAAATTCTCTATTTAATTTGTATCAAAATTTGTCAAAAATCACACCTATCATTTTTGCAGGACGGAACTCCACCAATCAAAACTTTTGAACACGTTCCATCGGACATCGGAGCTGAAGAAGCCGAAGAAGTTGGAGTTGAGCACTTATTGAGAGATATCAAAGATCAAACGGCTGGAACATTGTCGCAAAGAATCACTGATCAATTGATGGGATTACGTGGACTACAATCACAATTGGAATCGATTGAGAAATATTTGGCGGAAATTGTTAAAGGGACACTTCCTGTTAATCATCATGTTCTTTATTATGTTCAGGTGAGAATGGGTTAAAAATTCAGATAATTGTAATTTTAAAGATTCTCGCAATCTTTGGGGAAAAAAAACTTACAAAAAATTTCAAGTGAAAACATTTGTCCTGTGAGAATTTTATGTGAAAATTCAAATTCCTTTTATTTCAGGAAGTTCTCAATTTGTTGCCCGACGTAACTCGCCCAGATTATGTCGTCTCTCAAAATGTTCAAACCAACGATCAAATGATGTGTGTTTATATGGGTTCATTGGTCCGTTCTGTTGTTGCATTGCACAATTTGATTGATAATAAAATATCACTTCAAAAAGCGGAAAGAGATCAAGAAAATGGTGAGGAAAAATCGAAAAAAGACGCTGCGGCAACTGTAAAAAAGGAGGAGAAAAAGGAGAAATCGACGAATTTGAAGAGTAAAAAGAAGTAACATTTTTGTATGTTTTATCCCCATTTTTCTTATTATTTATTTATTCGAATTTCAACGCTTGCATATGAAATTTATCATGATTTTTGGCGTTTTTTTTGTATACAAATCATGAATTTTTGAAAAATTCTAAAGTTCACGGGATTATATTTACCCCAGAAAAATAAATACTTTCATTAAATAAAAATCTGAAAAAAAAGAAAACAAGAAAAAACAAGTATCACATAAATTTTTGGAGGGTCTCAGAGCGAAAAAAATAATAAATAATTACAAAAAAAAACCCAAAGGCAACCATGGTGAAAAAAAATCTTGACAAATAAAAATTAGGTCATTCGAAGTTGATAGTCACCATTTTGAGTGACATATCGAACCCAGGGAAGTGCTTGATATCCTGATTTTTCTATGATTTTCAAGTAGCGAACCTGGAAAAAATAGAGTTTTTAAAATGTTGAATGTGGCTCGAAATTTGGAATATTTTTCACACTAAATAAGTATAGGCATTCCAACAATATTTAGTCTACAAAAATGCCCTCTCACCTGTAATCCAGAAGTGGTATAATAAGGAATTTCGAATTTGACATTAATTGGCGGTTTTCCCTCAATATCTTCACTTCCAATCGATGGCAACATAAATGAGGATCTCATAATATATTCTCTTCCACCGGGGAAACTTCGAATTGTCCACACAATTGCGTTGAGTTCGGGAACATATTTCGCGGATCCGGCACCAGTTTTGAATTTTGGTGCACTCACATCCGATGGAACTGGGATAATTACCTGTAAAAATTCGGGAGATTGAAATTTTTGAGAGCAAATATAAATTTTTGGGAAATGTTTTACTGTGAAAAATAGCACACTTTCTAAACCCTTTCATATCAAAATTCTTCCCTCATTTTTTGTTCCGACACAAACCTCAACATGATTGGCCACAGATTGTCTCTTGAATTGCGATTTTGCTTTAACCATATATTCAACTCTCGAATGAGCATGTCTTTCAACACTTGCTTCAACCCAAATCAGTGGTTTCACTTGTGTTGTCAATCGATAACTCATCAGTTCAAATTCTCCATCTGGCGGGATAAATGAGATTGTTCTTTCGGAATCGAATCGAGATAATCGAACACATTGATGGAATTTGATATCTTCGAGTTCCACACCTTTTCCGCCATTTCCACGGCCTACAAAAAAAGTTGTAAATTGGCAGAGAATTAGATTTTTTGAAGCTCAATTTTCAGAATACTTTCTCAGACATATCTTATGATTTAGGAAAAACTTGATAAAATCTCCAGAAATCTCGTCATTTTCCCCTCAAAAAACTCACGCGAACTGGCTCCACTTTGTTGGAAGAATACCTTATCATTCAATCCCAATCTCAATTCAGGCATTCCACTCAAAACAACTCGAAATCGAATACTTCCCACAATTTCGCTTCTCAAAACAGTTCCTTGGGCGTTTGCCAACATATTCACACTTTCGATTACATCCAAAAATACCTCGTTTTTACGGTATTTGATACCTGAAAAATAGAGATTTTTGAGAGAGAGAAAAATATTTTGAATTTGCCGGAATTTCTCTTTCGAAAAAATGAAATATCTTGGCACGAAAATTTTCCAAGTTCCGAAATTTTGAGAATTATTTCATAAATTTTCAATTGAAACACTAAATTTTAATCATAGAAAAAATACCTTCACTTCTCCAAGAAACAGCATTTGTGACAGCCATTGGTGGTCTCGGTGCACTTTCAATTCGATTTCCTTGTTGAGTGATAAATTCTTGCAATATTTTACTTTCAGTTGTTTGTGGATATCCAAAATCAAGCATTTCATCGAATAATTCATAGATTATTACAAAATTATCTCTAACTGCTTCTTCTTCCAAACTTTTGAAATATTCGTTGAAAACTTCGACGATTTTATAGAGAGCAGAGAGTACCAGAATTACATTCGTGTTCTTTTTTGAGACTGTGACCACTGGAAAAAATTAGATTTAAAAATTATGATTTTTGAAGTGTAAATCGAGAATTGTTGAAAATTTTTATGGAAAAATAATGAAAATCGGAATGTTTCAAGCCCAAAAGTAGATTTTTGGAAAAGCTTAAGCTCATTTTTTTTAGATTTGATCATCGATGATTTTCATCAGTTTTTCAGCAACAAAAATCAAAATCCCCACAAATTTTCACTAATTCCACCCTTGAAAAACTTACAAAAAACATTCATATATTTAATATATGTATAACTAATTCCAGCATGCACCAAAACCGGATTAACAGTTCCCTCATCCTCTTTTTCTACCAAAAGTGGCATGAATTTTTCAATGCAATTCATATCCACGTCACCCCGATAATTTCGCGATATAACTACCTGAAAATGCGGATTTTTAGTGTACAATTCATTTTACAGTATATATACAACGATTTTTGATCATTTAAATAGGTCACGCGAAAAAAAATTTTTTACATTTTTTTATTTTTATTTTTCAATTTTTTTTTTGGAAAAAAAAGAGAATACGTGAAATTATGTGGGAATACGTGGAAATACGTGGCGGCCTCCATTGTTGGTGTTCTAGTGTTGGTTCAGTCATTCTGGCTTATTTTCGGTCTCGTAAATGGTGAGTTTCAAATTATTTTTATTTAAAAACACCGTATATTTCAGGTTTTCGTCTACAGTAGCCAACATCCTCACAAAATGGGACGGCTTCATCTAGGAATTCAAATTTCTACTGCAGTATCATGGTTTCGGTGAATATTTAGCAAGAAATTCGATTTTCGTGAAGAAACCAATACGGCTGGCTGTTTTCTATTGTCATCTTCTGGACTCGATGGAATCAATTATTTGTGAATCTCTCGATTGATGTTACAAATCGGAGCCATAACTGTCACTATTGGATGTTTTGGGACTGCTTGAGGGAACTAATAAAGATTTTTTTCATTTTTTATAAATAAAAGTATTTTATTCGTTTTCTACATTCACTCTAGAAAATGGTCGTTACCCCGCACGATTTCTTTGTGGAATTTGGGCGATAATTTTTCATTTCGAAACCAAGCGCAAACCCGTACGTTTCATTGCGGACTAGTCAAATCGCTTACGTGTTTGTGTGGCGCCGATCGACTATCTGACCGCACAAAATGTCTGTCCTGGTTAGAAAATATCTTTCCTTGCCAAGAAAATTTTTCATCAGTGAACTAAAATTCAATGGGGGCCTAAAGTTCAATGGGGGCCTAAAGTTAAATGGTGAACTGAAATTCAATGGGGAGCTAAACTTCAATGGGGAGCTAAACTTCAATGGGGAGCTAAAGTTCAATGGTGAACTAAACTTCAATGGGGAGCTAAACTTCAATGGGGAGCTAAACTTCAATGGGGAGCTAAACTTCAATGGGGATCTAAAGTTCAATGGTGAACTAAACTTCAATGGGGAGCTAAACTTCAATGGGGAGCTAAACTTCAATGGGGAGCTAAAGTTCAATGGGGAGCTAAAGTTCAATGGTGAACTAAACTTCAATGGTGAGCTAAACATCAATTCGATTGTGTAGAAATCTTACATGATGTCTAAGACGAAAAAATGATTTTCACAAAAATTGGGAAAATAAATAAATGAAAAAAATCACACATTAAAATAACTAAAATGCGTGAAAAAATTAAGTGATCAAATTTCGTTGTATATGTACGGGCGTGTGTACAATTCTCAAATTTTCAGTTAAAAAACTCACATTTCCCTTCAAATCCAATATAAAAAGTCCGGAAATCGACATATTTTTTGTGTGTTTCCAGTTTCAAATTACCTGAAAAACTTTTCTTTTATTCTTTCAATTGAAAAAAAATGAAAAATCGATAATATAGGTGAATATATATTATACTAATAATAAAAACTATTCTTCTTTTTCTTTTTCCTTTTCTTCTTTTTTTTCCAAAATAAACAGAAATTTCTGTAGAAAAGGTGAGAGAAATGAGAGAAAACGACAGCAGTTTTATCGATTGATTATGTATGCTTTTTATGGAAAATATTGTGAAATATATGGATAATTTTTGCAATTAAAAACGATGAAAAACTATACATTTTTTGAAAATTTCCACCCAAAAATAGTTTTTGCGGCTGGTTGCTAGGATAATATAATGGATTATCTCAACTAGAAAATGCAATGCAAAACTCACCTTTTTGGTTGATTAAAATATTGAGAAATGTGTGTCGTTGGCATTTTTGCGTGGGTCACGTGACAAAAAAACGACTGAAAAAAAAAATAAAAATTCAATTTTAAAAAGTTGACAGTTATAATATAAAGGAACATGGTAAAAAAAAGTTTTTTTGCGCCGCAAGACCTAACAAATACAGTAATACAAGCGCTAAATAATGTTTGTTCGCGTAGCTCAAAACACAGTTTGCGTGCAATTCCAAATAATTTTTCACAATTTTCCATGTGTAAATTGCCAGTATTTTTTTTGATAGAAAAGATCCAAGGTTTTCATGAAAACTACAGAAAGTCGTCGGAATATACTGACAATGAAATTCCTCAATTCACATGTTTTAAGTTCTCTAAAAGTTTCAGACTAAAACTCAGAGAAAATAATGAACGTTCTTCAAAAAAATTCAACTTAAAACATCTTAGCTTGCAAAAACCATGAATTATTATGCAAAAAATTAAATCCTCAGTATTTCACTTTTATTAATACTCAGTTCTCAATTCTTCGCATATTTTATGGATTCACGCCAAACACCCTAATTTTTCAAATTCCCACCAATTCTCAGCGATCTAATAGAGCGCACTTGACCGCGTGGCCTAGAAAACCAAACACCTCGGTCATATTTTCGAATTTTTTATTTTTTCTTTTTTTCCCGTTTTTCCCGCCGAAAGTTCAGATTTTTCCAGCAAAATGGTAAAGAATTACCCGTTCTCAATGAACGATTCATTGCTCAATTCGAGTTTCCTTGCAAACAGCAGTTTTGGAAACACAAGTTTCAATGGAGACAAAGAAAATCAGTTGACACCGCAAACCGTGTCAAGAATCATCAAAAAAGAGCACGAAAATGTGTGCAATGCGTTGAAATTCAATCCACCGAAACCTTTGCAATATCAGAATTCATTGAATGAATTGATTAATTTGTATGAGAGATGTCAAGAAGAAGCAGAAGATCGCAACTTGGAAAATCTTGTGATTTCAGTGTTTCTGAAGCTTTGCGCGAATGTTTTGAGTTGTTTGGAAAAACCGGAACATCAATTTATTCTATATAAACTTGCTGAAACAATTGGCTCAAATATCAATTTCGAAAAATCGCCGGAAAACTTGCATCTTCAAAAATGGGCGGATCGCATTGTTTTCGAAGCGAAAATCCAACAAACTCCCAAAAACGTGTCAATCATCGATTTTTCAACGTCTGCAATTATTGATGATCTAGAACTTTCAACTGGAAAATTGCAATTTGTTAGAACATCAATTTTTGAGGCTGCTAGAAGTTTGGCTGAAAACATGGGACAGAAAAAGGAAAATGATGCTGAAAACATTCGTTTGAATCCAGATTTATTTGAAGATGAATCATTTTTACAATTGGTTTTGTGGTATTTCAAGTTCGATGCGAAACATGCGTTGAGTGGTAAGATTTTGATTTGAAATTGAGAGTTAGAGTGACTCCAAACAGTATATTTTTATGATTTTATTCCTCAAATTTGTTTCAGATAGCTTCCTCACTCGTATCTTCTCAACTCTTTCTTCATCCACTCTCACCAATTCCTTGACTCTCCTTGATATCAAACTCTTTCTCGTCTCCCTTTTTGTCACTTCTTCAACCACCACAGAAACCGGAATAACCGCCAAATTCGCCCCAAAAATATCGGCAAATCTCACAATTACAAACATTGAAAAAGAATGCTGGCGTGCTATGATTCAGTCATTCTCAGCGAATCGCCCCAAAATCACGGCTTCTGCTCGACTTCGTCTAACTCAAATTCAAAATGCGGTGCGATTGATTGAGGGCGGAAGTGAAGATGTTCGAGTTCTTTTCGAAGCCTGGAAATATTGTTTGCAACAATCAGCAATTTTGGATGATGAGGAATTTGAGAGAATTAAACAAATGGCAGAAGTTTATCGCGCAAAAATGAATCAATTGTTGGCTTTTGGGTCAGTTTCAGAAGATTTTGAGCTGAAAATCGAAATTTTGATGAAAAATTAGGCTAACAAATTTCTATATTTTCAGCCCTCTCTACTCAACAAATTCAAGCGCTTTTGTTACAATGTCATCAGATCGTCGACAAGATGTCAAAGCACTTTTTCCTCTTCAATTAGACTATCAATTTGTGGATACTGTAGAAGCTGGACATATTGGTGTTGTGATCAATAGCACGTAAGAATTTTATTTTTGGTAGGAAAATCTACTGTTATTTTTTGTTAGTCTGATCAGAAAAAAAGCTTGTATTACTGTGTTTTTAACCCCAATTTGATCTCAAAATCATAGTTTTTTTTCCAGAGAAGGATATCTGAAATTCTCCACAAATCCTGCTGCTGAAAATGCAGAAAATGAGTCGGATACAAGTTTTCGGACTGCATCCGAAAAGAGTTTTGGTACCGGATCAGCTGACAAATTCTATTCGCCAATGAAAAATAATCGAACATCGATAATTCCGGATCATTTGCGAAAATTGATTAGCAAAGGAAATGAGGCGAATCGTAGTTTTGTGTCGACGAAAAGTGTGATTTTGGCACCGAATGAAGAAGAAAAAGAAGAAGAAGAAGACGACGAGAAACAAAATGGTAGGTATTTTTGGATGAATCATTGCTGTGAATAGAGAGATTTTGAGCCAAAATTCGTGTACAACTCGAAGACAGACCTGAGTTTGGGCATCATTTGATTTGTCAAGCGGTCTAATCTTTTTGAAACCTAAATTTAGGTATAATCGTAATTATTTTCTATTTTCAGCTAGTTTCTCATCCCAGTCTATTTTTGCCAATTTGCCAAGATCACCCCAAAAACCACAAAATTTCGGAGGCGGAGATTCAAAGGTAAGTTTTTTTGGTCGAAAAATTAGTTTTCCTGAATTAAAAAAATCCTCATTTTCAGCACTCATATTTTGCTGAAAATGTTCAAAAAACTGAAAATCTGAAAGCGGAAGAAGAAGAAGAAGAGGATGAGGAAGATCCATTGGAAAATGCACTTTTTGAATCGAGCAGATTATTTTTGGAGCAGCAAAAACTGCAAAAAACGCCGACAAAAGATGCGCAAACTGAAACCGAGCCTGAAAATGAGCAAAAATTGAAATGTTCAGACGCCAAAAAATTGGAATTCACACCGGTAAAATCGAGTTTTTCACCGGGAAAAAATACATCGCTCGAGAATTTGGATGTTTCCTCACATTTTTTCACCTGAAAAATCGCAAATTTTCGAAGATGATTCACGATTTTTGGATGATTTGCTTGAAGCGAGCACAGAAATGTTGAGAACTTTGGCTCTGAAAAAAGTTGGATTGGAGATTGAGGTTCGTGTTTTTTGGGCCTAACTGGGGTGCGTTTTCATGATTTCAGTCTTAAATTGATTGGAATTCATTTAGTAAGCATTTATTGAGTACTGTCTAAAGAAAATATGTACTATTTTTTTGATAAACGTTTTTTTCGTTCAAAAATTTGTAAATCTGGAAGACCTTCCAGTTTTACAACTCCATTTTCAAGTCATAAAAATTAATTTTAATAATTTTCTAACTGTTTCCGCCTAGGGGCACGACCCCTAGTTTTATATATTGAAAAATTAGATCAAAACTGCGACCAAAAAAAGTGCACTAAAATACGATTCTATTTTTTCACGCCAAAAAAATCAATAACAATTTTCAGGCATCCACACCTAAAGAACCTGCACAAATCTTCCAACACGCTGAAAATCAGCTGAACAGGTAAGTTTTCAGCTAATAATTTGCCCGAAAACAATTTCCAATGTGTTTTTTTTTCAGAATTCACACAGATCTCAAAAAAATCATCACAAATTTCGAGGAAAATTTTGCAAAAAAGCCTGAAGAACACAATTGCTCGAAATGTTTGGGTTGTCAGGTTGGCTCAGATTTTTTTATTCTGCCAATTTTCAGTCAAAAATTAAAAATTTCAGAGCGACGAGAAACAAGAAGCCGCTTTACGAGTTTTGGAGAATTTGGCAATTTCGTGGGATTTGGAGGGACGAAATTAGCCCGACTTATTATTTTTTTTTTTAATTGACTTAAATTAAAGCATGTGATTTCTTAAAATTTCAACAATTTTCATAACATAACATAACAAATAACCAAAAAATCAACAAAAAACTAAAATATAAAAGAAAATCAATGTTTTTTCGAGGAGAATTTCTTCTTTTTCGCGCTATTCGGCGCCTTTTTCTTGTCTTCTGATGGAATTTCCATTTGATTTGCGGATCTGAAAAATTAGGGGAGTCTGAGGTAAAAGTTTCATTCTTCTATCTAGCTTACCGTTTACTCTTAACGCTGACCAACTTCCCGGAATACTTCATGTCTCCAATTTGTTTATAAGCTTCTTCCAAATCTTTTTGATCCGATAAAATCTCGTATTTTTTCATATCTTTTCCGAGTTCGGCTAACAGCGCTTTTTTGTCGCGAATTTGACGATCACGAATTTCTTGAGCCGCTGTTTCGAGCTCATCCTGGAAAAAAATAATGAAAGTTGAGAAATTTTTTTTTAATAAGGGAAATACGATAATTTTGAGATGCAATTCAAGAAAATCCAATTTATTTAGATTTTTTATTTGAAAATGAGATCTAGAAATTTTTGTGCACCACTTTATTTTTGGAATTTTCCAAATCCTCACCTCCAAATCTGCCAACGGCACTGCCTTCAAAACCTGTTCACTCGCAATATTCTTCTCTGCGTCTCCACCATCCAATCTTTCTCTCACTTCCAATTCACATAATCCATCAAAATAATCACCAATTCTTCTGATACTTTTGGTTAAAAGAGCGAATATCTGATTTGCAGGTAAATCGAGTTCTTTCGAAATCTCCTCGAATCCTTTTTTCTGTGCTCCGCGAGCCAATAAAATTGCAGACTGTGTTACAGCCAATTTCAACTCTCCAGGCAATCTTTTCTCAAAATATAATTTGGCAACAATTCCGAGCAAATCAGTGATAATATGTGAATCGACCATATTTCTTCCATATAAATGCATTCTTCTCAAATCCGAATCCGATAAAAACATTGAAATTTCCGATTTTTTCGATAATACTTGATTGAATTGCGATTTTTCGACTTGTTTATTTTTAAGTTGTAAAACTGAAAGAGCCAATTGTGCAGAAAATGTCGAAAAATCATATGATAAAAGTTGAATGAATCTTTTTTGGAATTCTTTCCAATAGGTCGGAAGCCAGGAAATTGAAGGGGTTTCTGAAAAAATCAGAAATTAGGGGCAAACTTTTTTGGACTGAACGAAATTCTTTGGATTTCACAAAATTCCCTTTCAAAATCCTACCATCTTCTTCTTCTTCCTCTTCATTTTCTAATGTTTTCAACATAATACACGTGTGTTCTCCAGTAATATCATTTGCAGTTTGTCTCACATAAACCGGCACGAATTCGCAACGTTTCCAGAATTTGAGCAATGGTACGGTAAGTCCAAACGAAACTCCCAAATAGTCCAATTTTTCTGGTTTTCTTTCGTCTAATCTTTGTAAAAGAGGGGGTAAATCGGCACGAGGTTCGATTCGTTCTTCGAGCAATTCTACAGTATTGCCGTCCTGAAAAATGGGATTTTTAGACAAACTTCTACGTCATTCGAAAATTCTTGAAAATTTAAGAAAACTCTTAAATCTTCAATTCATTTTAATTTGAAATAATTTTGAGACTTGAAGAGATTTCCGTTTGAAAAATCAAATCCTGGATAAAAAATCTCCAGTTCTCAATACTTTTGGGGTAAAAATTCAAATTTTGCCAGATTTTTTTTTTCGTAAATCGTTAATTTTCTAAATTTTGAGCCTCAAAACCTCTAAAAATCTTACTTTAACCTGTTTAATCTCCACTTTTTTCTTGTTCAATCCTCCATTTCCAACTTCCTCAACCAAACTTGTCACCAATCCTCTATAATATTGTTCAACTAATTCAATCGATCTTCCACCATAACCCATATTTTGATAATCTGGATGAACAGCAACTCTTACAATTCTTCCACCACAAAGTCCACCAAAATCGCGATCCATAAATTGTTGCGAAATAGTCCATGGTAAAAGATCACCACTGGCTCGTTTTCCACTTTCCAAACTATTTTGCAAGTTAGCCGAACTCAATTTTCCCTCAAGGCAAACTTGGATAACAGCCAGAACTTCAGGCAGATTTTTTTGAGTTTTTTGAATTGGCGCCATTAGGGCAAAGATGTTGTGAGCTGGAGCATCGCTGAGCATTTGAAGATCATTTGGAGAGTTTTTGTAATGAGCTGAGACGAAAATTGACATGATTTGTTGAAGAAAGGCTTCAGAAGCGTCGTGAAATGAGAAAAGCGTGTCGCGATTTACGATGTATCTGGAAACATTAGGATTTTTGACTTCGAGATCTCAAAAAATCACGATTTTCTGGGACAAGGTTTCGCCAGTTTATTCAATATTTTTAAAAATCAATTTTAGCTGGAAAAAATGTGTTCAAACCTCAACCAAGAACCCGAAGAAGTGGGTAAAAAGTTGTCCACCTGAAATTCCAGGTATTTGGTTAAGTTTGAATGTGTTTTTTCTAATTCCTCGGCATTTTCTATATATATTTCTAAACAAAAACATCGTTTTTCCCATTTTCAATTTTCAAAATTTCAAAATTTTTCATCCCTCAGAGATCGCTTACAATTCGCAATCTTTTGGTGGCGGTGTTCCACATTCCAATTTCATCGAAACCGTCGAATCCAAACACAACAACTTATTCATCCATTTCTCAATTTTATCACCCGGTTTATATCGAATACTTTCTTCCATTTCAATTTCGTGCAATTTTCGTCCTTTTGATGTTGCTGATTTTTTCGAAGAATCTGTCGATGTTCCGCCAATACTTTGATTTCGAAGTTGTTGTAAAAGTTTGAGTGATAATGATCTACCAGTTCCTTCATATCCATTTATTGTGGAAGCCAGAAAAACAATGTATGGTCCTGGAAAGAAAAATTGGGAATCAAAAATAAGATCCAGGTGGAATTTGATAAAAATTATAGGTGTAGTTGAAGATTTTAAAATTCTTATAAAATCAAGCTCTGTCTATTTTTTCCTAATCTTACCAGCAATCAGTTCTCTAACCAAAGGCAAAGGAATAGCAGCAGCTTCATCAATAACAATCAATTCACATTGTCCTAATTTCACAACATCCGTCGGATTAATATATTGAATAGTTTGTCGATGCTCTCTGAATATATTAATTCGAACCAACGAATTTTTAAATTCCGGATTCGAACTTTGCACCAATTCATAATCTGTGTGTTCTTGATAATCCAACGCATCAAATCCTTTGACAATAAATTCGAATAATGTTTTGAGATTTTCGGGAGATGGACTTGTCACAAATATATTTGTATATCCAAAAGCAATAGCTCCAGCAAGAGATAATCCAATCGATGCCGATTTTCCTCGTCCTCTTCCAGCTGTTAAAGAACATGTTACATTTGATTCTTTTTCGGTTATAACATCTAGGAATCGGAGGAGCGCTTTTGCTTGACACGCGGTTTTGGTTTTTGCGAGAAGTGGACCGATTGGCTTGGTTTCTTTCATTGCTTCTTTCAAGCTTGAGAGTTCGAGTTCGGATTCGGTTTGGAGTTTCTGGAGAAAAGGAAAATGGGAAAGGGAGGTTAAAAAACCCAAATCTGAAAATTTCGGCTACAAACTGAAATTGACACGTGGAAATCCAAATTCTTTGTCAAAAATTCAAATTCTCACCTTCTGACTAGCCGGAACAGCTTCAATTTTCTCGATGCTCGACGATATCGGCAAAACTCTCAATTGATCATCGAGCACTAAAATTGAGGAGCAACTTGCCAAACTTAGGATGAATCTTTCATTGAAACGAGCAACAATTTCATTGTGCGCTTCGGTTCGATATCGATTATGGACGTCCTGGAAAAATGTGATTTTCAAGAAAAATTTGAGACATGGACTGTGGTTTGTGCTGTGGTTTATGCCTAATTTTCAGGTTTTCATAATTCAGAGTTTTCTACGATATTGGGCTAATTCCTCATATCAGGAGCCTTAATTCCCAGCCTTATACTCAGTTTCTTCAATTTTTCACTCACCATACTAATAGTGTACAACTGCCTCAATGATTTGACACTTTGCATCAATAAAATAACCATTCCACCTCCTTCAATTGTCTCAATTGTTCTAGCCAACAAATTTGGTGTCATCGCCTCAAAATCTTGCAAAACCAAAACACCGAAAGTGTTTCCTAGGATTTTCTCGGTTTCATTATAATAACAATAGCGAATTTGAGTGGATGAGATAAAAACATCGAATGGATCCGCGTCCTAAAAAATTATCCATATGAATTTGTTCAAAATATTTTGGGTAAAATACCTGAATGGCTCCAGATAATGTTGTATTCTTCTTAGCTTTCTTGATCTTCTTATTTCGATGCGTTGAAAAACTTAATTCCTTCTTATAGCACCATAAAACTGTTGGTCTTGCAGCGACAGTTGATTTGGATAAAATATGATATAGAATTGGAACTTGATCGCGCGCTTTATCTCCAACAATTGCAAACATACTTCGATGCGATGTATTCACACCATTTTCGATTTGCGTTCGAATTCTACCGTCAAGTTTGGTGCGCATCATTTTTCTCTATAAATTCGGATTTTGAATTATGGGATTTGGAGGTGTTTCAAGGGGGAAAATGAGAAAAAATGGGATTCGAAAATGCAAAAAATAAAAAATAAAAAAGCTGCTAAACAACAGGCAAGCGGAGTGTCGTTGTTTATGTATTTTGTGTGGTGGAAGAGAAGTGATACCTTTTTCAGAGTGGAATGTTGCTGTTTTGCAAGAAAATTATAACTGGAAATAAATTTAAATAGAAATGCCTGTTTTTTAAATCAAAAGTTCACGTGTTGCGTTTAAAAAAATAAAGAAAAAGTGAAAGAAAATTAATTTGAATTTGAAAAATTAAAATTTCTACGTTTACGTGAAAAATTCAGTAATAATATTTCATTTCAAATTTTAAAGATTCGGAAAAATGGTTGGATTTTGAGTGAAGTGAGTTTCATAGAAAAAATGCAAATTGAATATCTAGGTACTACTGTAACCTCATCTACGGTATCTGTTGATCTACAGTAGCTTGATTCTACAGTTCCTATACAGCACCTATTTTATTTTTTTTACACTTCTTTTTATTTACAATGATAATAGTAAATCTACAGTACTCTGGGTTGCTAATCTACAAAACGCAGATTTTTTTTTGGTAATTTTCATCCAAAAATTGATACATTCCAAGATATATGTGGATTAATAAACAAAGTATCCTATGTTACTCGAAAACCTTTGACCTAATGAAAAGTACATGCAAATCTCGACCCAAAAAAATCAACCTTGAAAATCAAGTTGATTTACCCCCTGCCAAGCTTCCTTCTTTTTTGTCCCACAAACAACAATAGCTTGAAACTTTCGCATAATCCGATTTCCATAATTTTTGTTGATTTATTATTTGTTATTTTCAAAAGTTCGAGAATGGTTAGTTTGATTTTGTCTTCTTTTGATTACTTTCTGTCTGATCACACTATTCTATAGCGTGGTTTGTGTTTCTTTAGGTAAACAAAACTCTCAATGCAGCAGCTCACAACTTTGATGATAACGAAGTTATACTTTTTGCCATCAACAATTTTTGCTTACAAGGAGGTATTTTTTCAACGTTTCATTTTTGATTGATAATAAGTTTTTGGTGTTCGTTTCAGATATGTTTTGGATTATTGGTTTCATCCTAAGACTAACAATTTTTGAAGCAATTATATATTTGGGAATAACTTTCGCATTATTTTTATATATTCGAAGTTATTTGGAGAAACAGCAGATCGAAAATATCAAGGAGAAAGCTGTATTTATTACAGGATGTGATACAGGTTTTGGAAGAGATTTGGCTATAAAATGTCTTGAAAATGGAATGACAGTTTTTGCTGGATGTCTAACTCAAAATGGGATAAATAATTTGAAAAGAGATTCAAAAGGTGGCAATAAATTAGACGCATTTTTACTTAATGTATCGGAGAATAAGTCTTGTGAAGAAGCTGGAATATATATCGAGAAAAAACTTGCTGGAAAACCACTTCATGCAGTTGTCAACAATGCTGGAATCACCGGAAAGTTCTTGAAAGATGATTTCCTAGACATCGAAGAATACAAAAAAGTTTGCGATATCAATATGTTTGGAGTTATTCGAACTACACATTGTGTTAAAAGACTTATCAAAAAATCGCGTGGAAGAGTAGTTACTGTAGCAAGTATTTGCGCAAGAGTTGGTTTACCTGGAATTGGACCATATACTACTGCAAAATATGGAGTCTCTGGATATTGCGATGTGTTGCGTCAAGAGTTACGTCCTTTCGGTGTCAGTGTGCATATTTTAGAGCCTGGATTTTTCGAAACACCTCTAATTGGAAGAGAAAAAATTAACGTTAGTATTTGAAAACTGGAACTTATGCTGAATCAATCCCACTAAATAAATTTTCAGAGAGAAGTTCAACAAGCTTGGGCTGAAGCTCCTCCACAAGTTCGTGAAGAATATGGTGAAACATATTTCAATAAAAGTTGGTTTACTTCTAATTTTAAATTCTGATATATTTACTTTTTCAGGTTGTGAAACGATCAACTTTTTCCTAAATAGAGTTTCCAACAAAGACGTTTATCTTGTCGTTGACGCATATTATCATGCAATTACCTCAAAATGGCCAAGATCTAGATATCAAGTTGGATGGGACAGTATTCTATGGTAAGCGAAATACACGTCTAAAAACTGAGATAAACAATGAATTTTCAGCTTTATCCCATTTTCCTACCTACCAACTGGTATGCAAGATTTGGTTTTCGCCAGTGCCGCATATTTCCTTCCCAAACCAGCCCAATGTTAAAATTTTGTTGATTTATTCGTTAGAAATGAATGTTTTATACATCTTGACTAGAATATGGCTATAATCCAGTTTTTAAAAGTTATTTCCTTGTTTTTGGACCATCGCACGTAACTAGACTAGAACGTTCCTGTTTTATCAATCAGGTAAAAAACAAAACAAAGAAAAGTAATATAAAGATAACACTGTTCCATTATGCAATAGTCATTTTACCAAAATGTTCTGGATCATTTCTTTTATTCTACATCTAACTGTTTTTGAAGCAATTTTATATTCTATATTATCTTTTGTATTATTCTTATTCATCCGAAGCTATTTAGAGAAACAACAGATTGAAAATATCAAGGATAAATCAGTGTTCATCACAGGATGTGATACAGGCTTTGGAAGGGGTTTAGCCTTAAAGTGTCTTGAGGCCGGGATGACAGTTTTTGCTGGATGTCTAACTCAAACCGGAATAGATAATTTGAAAGAAGATTCAAATGCTGGCACAAAATTAGATGCATTCTTATTGGATGTTGGAGATGATAAATCCTGTCAGGAGGCTGGAATATATATCGAGAAACAACTCGCTGGAAAACCACTTCATGCAGTTGTGAACAATGCTGGAATCACCGGAAAATTCTTGAAAGATGATTTCCTAGACATCGAGGAATACAAAAAAGTCAGTGATATCAATATGTTTGGAGTTATTCGATCAACACATGCGGTCAAGAAACTTATCAAAAAATCGAAGGGTAGAATAGTTAATGTTGTAAGTGCAGCTGCCAGAATTGCTCTACCAGGTCTTGGACCATACACTGCTTCGAAATACGGTGTTTCCGGATTTTGCGATGTTCTACGACAAGAGTTAGCACCTTTCGGTGTCAGTGTTCATATCCTAGAACCTGGACTCTTTGATACTCCATTGGTAGCAAGAGAAAAGATTCAAAGGGAGATTCAGAAAGCTTGGGACGAGGCGCCGAACGATATCCGTGAAGAATACGGCGAAGCTTTCTACAATGAAAGTGAGTAAGGTTCTCTGATTCGATATACTGATAATGATTTTGTAGGTCAAAGAGGTATCCATTCTATTCTCGAAAAGTTTAGCAGTAAAGAGATAAGTTTGGTTGTCGATGCAAATTTTCATGCAATGACTTCAAAATGGCCAAGAGCGAGATATCAAGTTGGATGGGATAGTATTCTACTGTGAGTAAGGGAGTTATAGTGAGCTGGTGTAAATCGGCCGAGAACCAGACTGACCACGACTGGTTACACTCTTCGACCATTGTCACTTTTCAGAGTATTACTAAAAGCGTTTCACAAGAAGAAATATAAGCGTTTTTCAAGTGACGCGTGACATTTTAATGAAAAAAAGAAAGTTTTTCATCCTCCATTTTTTCCCAACTTCAAAAAACCCTAGAAAAACAAAGAAAACGAAAAAAGGATAAACTTGTCACTCACTCAATAATAAATACCCAAGGGCTTCTTTTTCCAGCTACATTCCCTTCTCATATCTACCAACCGGTGCGCAAGATTTGATTTTCCAAGCTCTCAACTATTTCATCATGCCAAAACCGGCGAAATGCTAAATTGTGTTCCATTTTTTGTGTAGTTGCGAATAAATTCCTATTCCTTATCATCATCAAGTTGTTCTATCTGTGGCAAAAATACCCAAGAAAGGGATGGCACCTCCTCTTTTTGGCGCGGGCTCTTTTGCTTTTTTCTTTCTGCCACACACGACTTCCTATCGATTCTTCTTTCTCTAACATCTTCTTTTTTTCTTCTTCTCACAACAATTTCTTTCCATTCTTCTTCGCCTTTTTTTGTGTGTTTCCACAACTTTCGTTTTTTTCGGGCTCAACGAGTTTTCTTTTTTTTTTCTTTCGTTTTTTCGCCCCGCGATTTTTTTTTGTTTTTGTGGGAAAAAAAACATTTCGTGCTTGGTTGACTATAGGAGACCTATAATTAAAGGTTTTAGCGCTATTAGGCTAACTAGACATTTTGAGAAGTTCCGAGTTCAGAACGGCATTTATTAGAAAAAATCGCAATTTTCCGTGAGAACCTCGAGAAACATAGCATTTCATTCTAGTCACTGAAAACTGTCTAGGAATTTTTTCAATGATATCTTTATTTTAGTAAGAAAATTCATATTCTCCTGATAATTTTTTTATTTATCAAATCTTCAATTGACAGGGCAAAACTCATACTGTGATTTTCAAAAAAAAAAATTGGGGTTTAATTCAACATTTTTAGTTGCTACCTAGTTGCCTATTTTTTAACTCCTAGCCGCTTTTCCAAGACGAAAAAATTGGTTAAAACTTTTAGGCATGAAACTTGAAAAAAAATAAAATTTCAAAATCAAGGCACACACATTTTCCAATTTTGGTCCTGTCGCGATGCCTACATTCTGTGTATTTCTCCCGGACGAATTTTTCATTTCGCAATCATTTTTTCTGCCATCGTTTTTTTCCAGTCAGAAATCAACGTAAATCGATACCCAAAGAGAGAAAAGAGTTCAATCAAAACAGAATAAACACAAATAAATATACAGAATTCTTTTCTTTCCGTTTTTTCTCACCCTCTCGTTCACTACCCACCCTCTTCATTTTCACACACTATTTCATCTACCTCTCTCTCCTTTCTGTGCCGATTTCTCATCTTCATTCCACTCTTTTTTTCTGCTATTGCTATTTTTTAATACCACCACCTCACCTCACAAACGATTCGATTTTATTTTTCCTGGTTTTTCTTTCAGACTAAAGAAATATCATTGGGAAAATGTCGGCAGCGACTGCCAGCGCAGCTGACTCGCAAGAAGAATATCAGCAGCGAGTTCGCGAAGCCGCAACAACCTTTGTGATTCGACCCGATGCTGACAATTCGAAAGAGATGCCGATGAATACGGCGCCGAATACGGTGACGTCACGTGAGCCACAATCACAGCAAAAAGAGAAATTGGGACATCGGAGGATAGATGAGTTGGGAGAAGTGAGTTTTTGAAAGGAATTTGTGAGGAGGAAAAGAAATCTGTAAATAAGCATTTGTGCTGAAAATTGTGAAAAATTTAATTAAGTCTCGAGTGGATTACTTGCTAATTGGATTTTCGGTAAATTCTTTTGAAAAATCAGAAGTTTATGAAGAAAATTACGATTTAAGGCAAAAAACTGGGATTTTTTAAGTTAGGAAATATTTTCGATGGGTTTTCAAGTTTTCAAGTGAAATTTCCTAAGAAATCATTCTTCCAACAAAAAAAGATTTCAAGGGTTTGCGAGTTCAATGTTGAAATTTTCAAAGAAATCAAGTTTAAAGCCGGAAATCTCTTTAACAATCTGCAAGTTTAAGTTCCAATTTTCTCAACAAAAAAATTCCAGTAAAAAATCTAGAAACGAGTTCTCATGACCAAAGAACACTCAAAAAACCTGATTTTTTATTAAAAAAAAACAACTCAAAATATTTCTAGAAAAATTCAAATTCCACCAATAAATAAATCACATAATTTTCCAGGTGAGTTACAAAAAAGTGCCAACAAATGCTTTGATGCAAGCAATTCAACTAGGAATAGCAAATTCGATAGGAAGTTTAGCGAGTTTACCAAATCGTGACGTTTTGTTGCAAGATTTCGAGAAAATCGAAATGGTCTCATTTCCAGCGTAAGTGATTTTTAGGGCTGAAAATCATGATTCTTGATCAATTTTTTACTCAAAAATCTGAAATTTAACCCATAATTCATCTAAAAATAATTGCAGAGCTGGTTCCTCAACAACTCCATCGCATTCATTTGGCGATTTTAGGTTTCGTACCTACGCTCCAATTGCATTTCGATATTTTCGCAATCTTTTTCATATAAAACCAGCTGATTTTCTAAGATCTATATGTACTGAACCATTAAAAGAATTGTCAAATGCTGGAGCATCTGGTTCAATATTTTATGTCTCACAAGACGATCAATTTATCATTAAAACTGTTCAACACAAAGAAGCTGATTTTTTGCAAAAATTGTTGCCTGGTTATTATATGAATTTGAATCAGAATCCTCGAACTCTTTTGCCCAAGTTTTTTGGATTGTTTTGTTATCAGGTAATTTTTGGAATTTGAAGAATTTTAGCTTTTTCTTGGGAAAATTCTTGAAATTTTCTGGGATACGGAAAATATGTCCAAATTTATATTGAAAAATGTATTTTTTTTAAATTGATTTTTCATCTGACCTTTTCATTTTTAAATGTTGCAATTTGTAAAAAAAATCTGTTTGTGAATATTCGAGAAAAAAATCTGAAATTAAAGATCTTGTTTAAACGATCACTCAAAAATTTAAATATAAAAAATATCAGAAAAACAAATTTCTAGCCGAGAATTTAATAAAATTCCAACAATTTTCCAGAGTCTTGGTAAAAACATTCGTCTCCTTGTAATGAACAATCTTTTGCCAACAGCCGTCACAATGCACGAAAAATACGATATGAAAGGATCAACCTATAAACGAATGGCGAACAAAGCAGAAAGATCAAAAGCTCATCCAACACTAAAAGATCTGGATTTTCTTGAATGTCATCGAGATGGTCTTTTTATTGATCCGGTTGCTTTAGATGCATTAATTAAGACAATTAGCAGAGATTGTTTGGTGCTGGAAAGTTTCAAAATTATGGATTATTCATTGTTGGTTGGAATACATAATGTTGAATTGGGTATTAGGGCGAGAGCTGTTGAAGCGGGAGAAGAAGCGGGAACAAGTCGAGGAGCTGGAAATGGAGGAGAAGGAAGAGTCGATAAAAATGGACATAAGGTAAGAGAATTGTGGAAGTTTTTGAGAAGCGGAAATTCGGAATTTTGGGGTTAGTTGATCGAAAATTCTGGAAAACTCGATATTTTGAAGAATTTTTGACATAAAAACCAGAATTTTCCCTGCGTTTATTTTGGATTTCCGAAAACTCTTCGAAATTGCCATTTTCATTCATTTCCCCAGTCAAAAACTAGTTACAAAAACCTACAAAACCCGGAATTTATAGGTTTCAAAAAATCTAGATTGACAATGAAATGTATTTCTAATTTTTTTATTCTTCTGTTTTTCATTCAGCCCGTTTTATACAAAAATTTCAAATTATAACTAATTAAAACCCAATTTCTGCCTAAAAAATCCAATTTTTCAGGTTCTACAAGAAAAATTCTCGGTGTGGGATACTGGTGATGGTGATGTTCCACATGGAGGAGTTCCAGCCAGAAATTCGAATGGCGATCGATTAGTTTTATATTTAGGAATTATCGACATTTTACAAAATTATCGACTACTTAAAAAAATGGAACACACGTGGAAAGCGATTTTACACGATGGGGTGAGATAAATTCACAATTTCTGATCAATCTCAAACTGAAATTAATTTCAGGATACAATATCGGTGCACAATCCAAATTTCTATGCTTCTCGATTTTTGTCCTTCATGACTGAACACGTTTTCAGAAAAGGAACAGGTATTTTTCGAGCTTGTCATATTTTTCTATTTTCTCTATTCTTCACGTAGTATGCTCTATTTATCTCTGAAAAATATGTGCGGAACCCTCCTCTATCGAATCCCCAGCAACTAATTTATCTGTATTTTCTATTGTATATGATGAGATGAGATATGAGCATGAGCGAATTTTTGAACAAAAAATGTGAACAATTTCAAACTTTTTGAGATGGTTAAGCTGGATTCCATGGGGGCATTCCTAATTTGTTTTTATATTTTCATATAAGAATGGGATTGAACTTATAGAATTTTGGGAACCACGATTTTGGCCGAAGTGTGAATTCCGGAAAAATATACGTTTCGAAATTTAGATTTTAAAACATAATCTACGGTTTTTTGTTCTTCATCCGAAATCGATTGAAACATTCTGTAAATTCAACTTTCTAGGCTTGTTTTACGTTGAAGATTCATCATAAAATTATCTAGTATCAAAAACCCCATAGAACTCTAGACTAATTCTTGGTCCTCACACTAATCCATGATTAAAAAAAACCCAGCATTTTTGCCAACACCCAAAAAAGTCTTCTAGAATTATGTATTTTTTAAAAATTGCGAATTCAAGTTTCTAGGACCATTTTACACCAAACAAAACCCCCTACACTAACACAGGTTTTTTAAATGTCACAAAACAAGTTCCCGATTTTTTTTGCTAACCCTCTTCTAAAATGTTTTATTGATTTTTCCTACCACGTTCCCCGATCAATCAATAACTAACAAATCAACCCTGCTTCCCGATTTCAGCCGACGAAAAACGAAGTGCCAAATTTCGTACTTTGGTGCACAGTTATTTGGGTGATCTTTATATTTTTCCATATTTTTTTGAGTTTTCTCTCTCACTTCTCTCAATTTTTCACTTTATTCGAAATTGTTTCGGAATCCCTTTTTCTCCCTCCTCCCTTTAACTATTTTTAATATATTTTATGGTGATTGGTGAACGTTTTGGTGATAATGGAATGATATGGATAGTATATATTTAACCCCTATGCAAAATGATAATTATTATAAGCATGCGTAGCTTTTGTGATCGATCGAAAATATGTTTCGAGAAGAATTGATTTTATATTATTTTCATTTTTGGGTTTTATTCTAGATATCTAATTTTTCCCCGATTTTCAGCGCTCAAATCTTCGCCATCGAGAAAACGAAACACGTTGAAACATGGAAATTCAAATGAAATTGAAGATGTGACAATTGTTAGTGGAAATAATGCGATAACTGCGAAAGAAGAAGCGGCGGCAGAGAAAACGGGCAATTTTGGATCGCAAACTGCCAGGGAATCGACGAGGTTGTATAATAATTCGATGAGTGAGAAGGAGGATCGGGGTTGGTTTTTTTGTTAATTTAAATAGGGGATTTTTTGGGAGGTTCCACTTTTTCAACGTTCTCTCTGTGAAATTAGAGATCTTGGACCAGATTTAAATTTTGAGCCCCGGAGACCATTCAAGCCCTCATAGGTCTATTCAATCTCATATTTTGCAGTAATCTCAGCACGTGATGTTCATCCAATAATGCCATCTGGAAGTGTGATGAGTCGAGTTCCACTTCGAAGATCATATCGAGATTCTGGAGCTACAATGAGTATGGATAGCAAAAAAGAGAAAAAGGTAAGCAATTTTGCAAATTTGATTTCATATGAAAATTTGAATTTCCTACGATTCCCCGGAAAAAATACTTTTTAAAATATCTGTACATAAAATTAGAAGCATTGATTATTTTCCATACCATTTTGTTGAAAACGATCGAATTCTTACCAACAAATTTAGGCTGCTCAGCAGTCTTTCCATGCTTTACTTTTCATTTTTTTTTCTAGGTCGAACGTCTATTTGCCAGCTCAAAACCTGACGAACCTCTGCTACCGACAGAAGAGGAAATTGTGAGTAGTGTTGAAGTTGTTGGTGACAATTAGGCATATTTCTATCATGCCTAAGTCTAGTCTACGCCAGTTTTGGCCCATGTTTTTCTCTATTCTTCTTCTTCTCTTTGGCTTTACCTATTTCTTCTTCTTCTTCACTACATACTACACAAATATATAGGTATACTTTTTACCAATTTTTTGAATGTTGTGATTGTTTTTTGTACTAACTAACTTTTTCCGAGTTTTCATCTAACCTGATATATTTATGAATGTTGTATGTATGTAGTGTAGATTTGGGTCGGGGTTTTGGAGTGGAAATTGGGAAATTTTTTGGATAAAAAAGCCCTTACGGCAAAAATTAATTAAATTTGCCTGATACATGTTTAAAGTACAATTTCACTGCTGATAACCTTAATTTTTCGAGCTCGGTCAGCCTGGAGAAAATTCCTGATGACCTTGCCAAAATTCTAGGCTTGGTCAAATCTTAAATTTTTGAGCCTAAATCCTAATTTATCAGGCTAGATTGAACTATGAGCTTGAAATCTAGATGTTAAATTTTTAAAAACCTGAATTTTAGGTCTTATAAATTTTACAAGTCTGAAATCTATACTTAAAAATGTTTTGAGCCAAATTTTTAAAGACAATTCTAATACCCATGCCTGATTTTCGCTCCTTCCCAGCCCGAAAAATCCTTGTTTTTCCTCTAACTCTGTTGTTGTCCTTTCCTAACCTTTTTCATTTTTCTGCTCATTTTCAGATTTCATAAAACAATTAATAATTTCAGACACGATTATGAAAAAACCTTCCGGGAACCCGAAAATCCTTCAATAACATTATATGTGTATAGAAAATGTGAGTTTTTGTGCTGAAAAACTGGAGAAAATGTGAGATTTTCAGAACAAATTGCCTAATAAAAAATGAAGAAAAATCCCAGTGATTCCGTAAAATTTTTGAATTTTTTTCCCAATTTTTTTGCCCATTTTCCCGCTTTCCCCCCAATTTTTTACTTAGGATTTTTTTGCCCAACAAATTTTTTTATTTATTTATTTATACCGTATTATGATGTTTTTGCCTAACACTTTTTTGAAACACAAAAAATGTATAAAAAATTTGATTTTTTCTGGATTTTTTTATTTTTAGCTTGAAAAACATGCTTTTTGTTGCACAAAATATTTTTTCAAATAGAAAAGTTCAGCTTTTTCAATTTTTTATTGGTTGTTTGAAGAAAAATGGCACAAGGAGATGGGAAATTTTTGGATTTGTGGCAGAAATCGGAAAAGAAGTTCGAGAATCAAAGGATTTTGTGAGTTTTTTTATGGGGATCTCTACAGTACTCTATAATTACTGTAGTTTTTAAAAACTTTATCTTTAACTTTTGATTGTTGGGTTTCTTCAAAAATTGGTCTACAGTACACCTGGGTTACTATAGTTATCTTTTTTTTTAATTTTTAAAATATGTAAAAAGTTTTCAAAATTCTGAAATCTCTTGAAATGAATTTTGATATACAGTACGCAATCATTACTGTAGATCATAAAAATCGATTTTCCACAACAAATCTCGAGTTTGTTGAACTCTGAAATTCAAGTTTATTTTTTCCAGCGATTCTCCGGCTACGACATCTTCATCTTCATCTTCTACTCTTTGGTCCAATTTCTCTCAAATGTCATCATCAGATCAAGCCCAATTAATGTCTAAATTATCCGCAAATTGGCCATTTTCGTTCGAAAGACGTGCTCTAAATTGGCCTGTTCATGCAGGTCTTCTAGCCAATTGTCTAACTTCATCACTTATTGCAACTCGTATCAATTCGGATATGTTTCTTTTTGATGCGAAAACGAAATTCTTGGAATCTGTTCGAAAATGTCCAAAATCTCCATTTGTTTTTGGTGTTTATTCGAGTGGTGTCACTTATTATATGCTATATCAAATGTTGATTACACCCAAAATATTCTCGGAATTAGATCCTTGTCCAAGTTGTTTGGTGATTAATAGTATTGCGATTGGATTGACAACGGGAGTCGCGATTCCGATGTTGGCAACACCTTATTTGGCACATTATGTGGTGAGTATTTCGATGAGAAATCTTGGGATTTTTTTTTTGATATTGAATACATCTGACATTAATATGAATTTTTAGTGCGAAAATTTTTTCTCACAGTAATTCAATTCGATGTTTGCAGCTTATCAATCGTGACGTGGCAAATCCCAACGATCCTCACGTCAAAAATCTTCTCGAGTTCATCACTCTTGGTTGGGAAGGCAGTAAACCGGCCAGACAAATTTTGCCGAAAATTGTGGCATTGCAAATGGTGGTGGCATATGGTGCAATGTATGCATTACTTTGGGGAAGAGAAAGGTGATTTTTTAAATTCAGCGCGAAAACTCGCGACACCAAATATATCCATGATTACTGTATATTTTGTAAGTTTTGTCTGCCACATGGAAAATTTTTGGCTCAAGACTACAACTCATACTGTATTTTGTGGTCTTCTTATCTAATATAATATTTATATAATTTTGTTTTGAACCCTTTGTTTTTCATGTTATTTTGAACGGGAACATTGATGTTGGGTTTTGGTGCCAAAAACTACAGTATTCTTGACTGTGTCTCAAAAATTGTACAGTAACCGAATTAAATTAACGCGAAAAAATCCACGTGGCACCCGAAAAAATCCCAATTTTTCACAGAATGTACAACACTCTGGATTTGGACCCTGAACTCTCGAAAAAACTCATCGCCGATGCTCAAAATTCCACGTCACTAAAATCGAAAATTTTTGAAGTTTTGCGAAAAATCCCGGTTTTAAATGGATTTCTGGAAGAATCGCCCGAAAATCAGCGGGTACTGTAGTCAACTTTTTTTTTGTTATTTAGAATTTTTATTTTTGTTAACCAGGATTTGTTAGAATAAAATTTTAGAGTTTTTCTGGAAGAGAGAAAAAGACGCAAAGAAAAAAGTTTTTTTTTGAGCTTGAGCTCAAAAAACATTTGTTTTCTTTTTCTTTTTGTGTTGTTTTTTGGCTGCTTTTCTGAAAATCGTTTTTTTCCGTTTTTTTTTGCCGAGCCACTTTTTTGCTCCATTTTTTGAGAGGATTTTTTTCTGAGAAATCGTTTTTTTTTGGATGTGGAGAGAGATTATGTGTTTTTGATTGCCAAAATAAAAACAGGATGTTTGTTTTTTTTTTCGAATTTGTGCCACGTCATTTTTGGTGTGAAATTTTGAGGGAAAATGACGTGGATTTCTATTCTACAATCAATGTAATGCAAGAAGAACTTTTTACAGTAATACCTGGAAATTTAGGCGCGAAATTATCAATTTTTCTCGCTTCCCTGCAGTAACTCTGTTTTTTTCGCGCCTAAATCCCTCATCTTTTGATATTCCTTTTTTCCAGCACAAAAATAGGGAAAATGCAATTTTCTTCCATTTTTCTCCTTTTCCAAAAGCGAACATTTCCGGCCAAAAAAAATAAGAAAATCTCTTGGGATTTTCCAGATTTGTTTCTTGCTGAAAAATAAACTGAAAAAAATCCCCAGCTTTTTAGGCGTCCCCAAAAAAGTGCAATGCTCTTTTTCACCTGATTTTTTGATAGCACTATGCTCCTCTTATCAACTTTGCGTTCCAAAAAAATTAATTTTTATTACTTATAAAATTTTTTCATTGAAATGAGCTGGCCACTGGCTCCGCCCCATTTTTTGCTGCTCAAATAGTTTTTATTGATAAAAAATATTCATTTCTATATTTTTGGAAGAAGAAGACTTGTGGGTGCTGTGTGACAAAAAATAGCACACGGTTAACTCAGGTAAGTCAACACAACAATTTGAGGCCAAAAAAACAGCATATATCTTCAGAGTCCTCCTTGTTGCACGCCAAAATCCGCGCAGTTCGTCAAAACCGTTCACCCGACGAGTCACCGCCGCCACGTCCACCTTCTGATCAAATTTCGGAGAGGTAAGTCGAAAATTCGTGGCAAATATATTGCTAAATCACATTTACACTTGAATTTTATACTGAAAACTGAACATTCCTCCAGAAATATATACATCATTTCTAAGCCCTTGAAATTCTCTATCGAATCATACTTAATACTCCCAAATATGGTTCGAAGTTCTATTCAAAAGTCTCCCAAAACGTAAAATTTTCACACAAAAAAAAGCATCGAGAATATATACGAGATTTGTTGCGAGTTTGTCACCGGGCGTCGTGGCGGGCGCCTGTGAGCCAGCTTTTCAATCGAAATGGCGGTAGATGTTTGGAATGGGGTCAGCTAGTTTATCCTTTCAAGCCAGTTCCCAGATACCCAGATACCTAGATACCCAGATACCAAGATACCAAGATTTCCAGTTGTCCAGTTAAAGACCCCAGACCACTCATCGTTTTGTTATTATTATTTTTAAATAAAAATATCACAAACTCAAAAGAAGTTCACATTTTTTGCAATTTGCAATTGAAAAAAATCAAAATTTTTCAGAGACAACCCAAAAATCGTCTAACTCCTCCTCCTTCACAACTCGAATTTGTATGCCTCGCGCCGAAAAGGCCCGTCGCATTCTCGTCCTCTACCGTCGTCCTCCTTAGCGGGTCCACTAACAAGACCTTAACAACCCCTTAAGTCAATCACTCCTTAAGAACCCTAAGTAACTAAACCCAAGACAATGTCAATTGTTGCGCAATCCGTTCAGACAGCCGAAAATTTGGCAATCCAACCTCCGATCGAAGAATATTTCTTCGAAGGAGCCGAAAAATTGCTGGAAATCTGGTTTTCTTCCTCAAAATCCAATGAAATTTCGGGAAGTTTGAGAAATATTCCGAGAAATGAGATTGATTTGATGTTGGATGTGGCGAGATGCAAAATTTTGCACTCGAAACACAATGAAGCTATCGATTCGTATGTTTTGAGGTGAGAAATCGAATATCCTGAACTGATATTTTGAAAATTATAGGTACACCAGACCGGAAAATACCCCCAAAAATCGCCTGATTTTCATGTGCCATATTTTATCAAATTTTGTGATAAGACAAAATTTTGAACGATTTTTTTGTTCATAAAAATTGAGAATAATAATAATAACACCACTATATAGTTGACCTTTTATTAGTGGAAGAAAAATACGGAAATGTTATCCAAAACTAATTGAGTCCCATTTTTTGAAAAAAAAAACTCTTGAACTAAATTATGAATCAAGAATCAAATATTCTGATCCAAAAGTTGCCAAAAGATAATCCCCCAATAATTTTTGCAGCGAATCAAGTCTTTTCATCTCCGACAATCGAGTAATTCTCAAAACTTGTGGTTCAACTCGCCTTCTTGCTGCTCTTCCTCATATCATCCAACTTGCTCTCAAATTCGCTCAACTCGATCAAATTGAATCTGTCTACTATTCTCGCAAGAATTTCCTTCGTCCCGATTTACAACCAAATCTTCATCGAAACTTCGACGCCGAAGTCGAATATCTCGATCAATTTTTCGATGGTCAAGGACATGCTTATTGTTTGGGAAGTCTCAAACAGGATCGCTGGTATTTGTACACTTTTCATCGCCAAAATTCAACTTCTGGTGGTGATAAAATTGGTGTCAAAAAACCGGCTGATCATACTTTGGAAATTCTGATGAGCGATTTGGATGAGGAAGTTTTGCACAAATTTACCAAGGATTTTGCTGTCGATGGAAGAGATTGCTTTTTGGTGAGATAATCTAGAATTTGGGTGCCAATTTTGCCACGTGGTAAATGTTTTCTCAAATTTCACTAAAAGTTTTGATCATATGAAATCCACGTGGAGAAATTAGAGAATGGGAGTTGGGAATCTACAGTAACCCGGGTTTTCGGAGAGAATTTTTAGTTTGAATTTTTTCTATAATATTCCACGTGGCATAAGCTCTGGATAAAAAGTTTCGAATTTCAAAATAATAATTTTTGTCCAAAAAATTCAAAAATCCTCAATTCCACTTGGAGAAGTTTGTACTTCTGAAAAAGTTTTCCAAAAATCCACGTGTTAAAAATTTTTTATTAGGATTTTCGAACCAAAATTAGTTGAAATGGCCTAGAAACCCTGAAATCATGATTTTGGTTTTCGAAAACACGAGTTTTGATCAAAATTTCACCCACTAACTCAAAAAAATCCTATTTTTACAGCGCGCCGGAATCGATAAATGCATTCCAGCCGGTGCAGATGTTCACGATGAATTATTCGATCCATGCGGTTATTCAATGAATGCCTACATGAACGAAACAGATCAATACGCCACAATCCACGTGACACCCGAAAAAGAATTCTCATTTGCCAGTTTCGAAACAAATCAAGATTTGGTTTGCTTGTATGCACAAACTCGAAAAGTTCTGCAATGTTTTCGACCAGGAAAAATATTGTTGACTGTTTTTGCGAATGATGTGAGTGCGAAAGGAAAAGATGCACAACAGCAATTGTGGGATCGAGAATTGCCTGGTTATCGGAGAACTAATGTGCAATTTGTTAGATTGGAGGTGAGATTTGGAAAAATCGTAAAATGTACAGCTGGAAATGTTGAAGAATGTTGGGAAATTGCCTAGAAAACAAGTTTCCCACTATTTAAAATCCAATTTTTCAGACCGAAACATTGGTCTACGCGCATTTCATCAAAAAATCGACAAACGACGTGTCGAGTGACGAGGACGACGGTGAACGTTCCGACTAAATATTTTTTTTCGAAATTTTTTTTGATTTTACAAAAAATTTCACACTCAAAAAATCCAAAAAAATTTGAATTTCTTTTATTTTTTTTTTAATATTTTATCACGTGAGAATTTCTATTGTGTTCTTTTCATTATTAGTTTTTTTCTGATAAAAAATTATCTATATTGATTTTTTTTTCAAAAATAAATAAATTAGTTTCCTCTGTTTTTTTTCAGCCAAATGCGAGAAATCTTCTATCTTTTATTCATTTTCCTCAATTTTTCCCTGTTTTTATATATTTTTTGGGCGGCTGGTCCAACAATTCCTGGCTTAAAATGGCCTGCGAATTTTGAGGAACTTCGAAATTTGGCAAGTGAACTACAGAAAGTTCGGGAAAATCATCATTTTTATATTTTGTCGTTGTTTTCGTTGATTTATATTTATAAACAATGCTTTGCGATTCCTGGATCATTTTTCATGGTGGGTTTTTGAATTTCTAGGCTATTCAGAAGACTTATTTTCTCTTCCAGAATCTTCTAGCCGGCGCGATTTTTGGATTTTTTGAGGCAATCTTCTTGGTACCTATTTTGAACACCATTGGAGCATCTTTGTGCTTCATTTTATCTCGATTTTTTGCAAAACCGATAATTGAGCGATTTTTGCAAGAGAGGATTGGGATTTTGAAGAAAAAAGTGAGAAAATTTGGATTTTCACACCAATAACTCAAAATCAAAATTACCTATTCCAGATTTCTTCAAATCGCCATCGTCTTTGGATATTTCTCCTGTCAGCTCGTTTATTTCCATTCACTCCACATTGGTTTCTCAACATCTCCAGTCCATTTCTCGAAATTCCCTTGATTTTCCACATTACCACCATTTTTCTCGGTTGTTTTCCGTATAATTTTGTTTGTGTTTCGAGCGGAACTGCGATTTCACAAATCGATTCAACTAGTGATGTATTTTCATTTGATATTTTATTGAAACTTATAGGATTTTCGCTGATTTTTATGGGTTTTGCTTGGTTTTCGAGAAAGAAAGCCGGGGAAATTGTTGAAAAATAAATTATTCATTTTCGGGAACGGCAATCTCGCTTAAAATCTAGAAATTCATCGTTTACCCGCAAATTTACCCGCAAAAACTCTGAAAATTTAGTCGAAAAAATGAGAAGGCAGCAAACGCGCTCTATTGCAACGCACAGCCTGTTATTCCCTGCGTATCTCAGCACACACATTTTATTGTGCTACTCAGCCAACATTTTTTATTTTCTTTTTTTTCGACTTTTTTCACCTTTCACCCAGGGTTTTCGAGCTTGTCGTTGTTTTTTGAAATAAACCGTGTTTTCCAAGCGATTCTACGTATCGTGCTCTACTTGTAGTATATAATTTTTCGCCGAAAAATTCAGATTTATTTGAGAAAATCAAATTTCCAGGTAAGATGGCTACTATCATCAAACGTGGATTTGCCACCAGCGCCAATTTGGCCAAGTCAGCGCAATTGGTCAAGACACCAATTCAAGTGAGTTTTTTTATTGATCTTATTAACAAACGAAAATAAATCTGCTTCAGGTCCATGGAATCGAGGGAAGATACGCTGCCGCTCTCTACTCAGCCGGTCACAAGCAAAACAAACTCGACCAAATCTCCAGCGATCTCAACAACATTCGCGCCGTCTACAAAGACAACAAGAAATTCCAAGACTTCGTTTTGGACCCAACTTTGAAAGCGTTGAAAAAGAAGACCGCCATCGAAACCATCTCAACAAAACTCGGACTCACCAAAGAAACCGGAAACTTCCTCGGACTTTTGGCTGAAAATGGGCGATTGAACAAACTTGAATCGGTTGTTACATCATTCGAATCAATCATGAGAGCTCACCGTGGTGAACTTTTCGTTCAAGTCACATCTGCTGAAGAACTTTCGTCTGGAAACCAAAAAGCTCTTTCTGATGCTTTGAGCAAGGTTTGTTGAATGATTTTGGAAAAATTATCGGAAAACGTGACCCAAAAATATTACAATCATTTTCAACATTGTTGCCGACTAGAAATCACTAGAAAAATTAAATTTGAATTATTTTTCTACTAGAATCAACTGAAAAATTTGGTGCTTTTCAGGAGAATTTCAGCGCTTGTGGTCAATAAATTTCTTGAACAAATGTTTAAAACTTGACTAGAAAATATTGAACTATTTTTAAAAAATTTTCTAGATTGAAATTAAGCCCAAGAAACTTGAAAATTCTTCTGAAACCTTCCAAATATCGAGTCACTTCATTTAAAAAATTCCAAAAATCTACTATATAAAATTCACCAATTGCTCATTTTTCAGATCGGAAAATCAGGCCAAAAATTGACCATCACATACGCTGTCAAACCATCAATTGTTGGAGGACTTGTCGTAACTATCGGAGACAAATATGTCGATTTGTCAATTGCTTCCCGCCTCAAAAAATACAAGGATGCTCTCGCGACCGCAATCTAAAATTCCTATTATTGATCCCGTTTTTCGTTTTTCGACTTATTTTCTTTTTGGTTAAAAGTAAATAGCATGTATTTTACTTTGAATAAATCATAGTTTTTATTGTTATTCAAAAAAATCTTGACGTTCACATCTTTTCCGGTAAATTATAACCCTCTCTAATATATCTTTTTCTGGAAATTTTTTTAGAAAAAAAAGGAAAATTTAGACTGGTTGAAAAATGAGCGACGATTCGGATTTCGATGAAATTGCACATGAAAAACTTCTCGAATCGATAAAAACACCGAATTCTACTAGAAAAGTGGGTTATTCCTAAATTTTAGCTGAAAATCGAGATTTTTCAGACGAAGTTGAAAAAAGTTGTGAAAAAATCGCATATTGATGCTGGCGCACTTTTATCGCATATTACGGTTTCGAGAGCTTCGACGAATAAAGCGAAACAAAGTTTGGGAATTGAAGGATTGGAAAATCCGGGTAAGAAATTATTTGAGTCGAAAATCGGATTTTTTATTTAAAAATTTTTACTCTGGCTAAAAATCTTAAATTTTTATGAAGAAATGACCTGAATCACCTAAATTTTCACGTTTTCAATCGTAAAAATCAAATGTTCGTAATTTTGTTCATTTCTTGATTTTGGTTATTTATAAAACAAGTGTTCAATTTTAATGAGAGTAGAATTGTTCATATTCAGGTAGAACATTGCAATTTTACTAGGAAATTTGACCTGAAATTTATGTTTCGAAAATTTGTTGAAATTCTGTAAAACGGTGTATTTCAATACAGTTTTGTAATCATTCTTAATTATATTCGGCTAAAATTGTATATATTTTTCCAGAATCTTCGACCCCAGCTTCTTCATCTGGAAAACGAAAAGCTTCTATTGAAAATGACGAGCAAAATTCGAAAAAGAAGAAAAAGAAGGTTTTGAAGAGCAAAACTTTGATTCCAGTTCGAGATATTGAAGCGAGAAAAAGAATCGAGGGAGAAATTGCATTCAAAGATTTGAAGTTTGTCTAAAATTGTTGTTAAATTGACTTGAAATTAATATTTTGCAGAAAAGAAGTGACTGGAAATTGGACTGAATTGGTGCAAAGTAATCGAGTAGCTGATCAATTGATTTTCCCTTTGGTGAAACCTGAAGGACTTCTTTGGGGGGTAGGTTTTGAATTTTAGATGAATTATTTGTGAAAAATCAAAATTTTCTGAAAATCTTGCTCAAAAACTTGAAATTTTGGATTCCAATACGAAAATAAGTCATTTTTTCCAGAACGAAAAATCGGAACCAAAACTAACGGAAAAAGAGCAAGCAATAATGAAAGCAACAGATATCAAAATGGCGAAAGAAAGACTTGGACAAATGCAAAGAATGCGAGCAATTGTTGGAATTCAGGAGGCAAAAAATCGATATTTGAAAAAAATCAAATCGAAAGGTTATCACAGGATTTTGAAGAGAGAAAAAAGGAAACAATTGTTGAAAGAGTTTGATGAAATGGTGGCAAGGAATCCAGAAAAAGCACATGAGAAATTAGAAGAATTAGATTTGCAAAGAGTTATGGAAAGAGGAAGTTTGAAGCATCGAGGACAAAATCAAAAGTTCAAACAAATGCTGGAAAAACATGCGAGTAGAAATCCAGAGGTTAAGAAATTATTGGAAGAACATTTGAGATTAGGAAGAGAACTCAAAAGCAAGGTTGCCGAAACTCAAGAGAATTCTGATTCTGAAAATGAAGAAGCTGAAGTTGAGGGAAAGAAAAAACTGGGAATCCATGAAATTCTCAAAGATGCTGCTAAAGCCGCTGCAAAAGATTCTTCGGACGACCAGATTTCGAGCCTTTTTAATGTTGATGATTTTCTTGAAGACACGAAGCTCCAGAAATTGACCCTGGCACAAATGAGAGCGAAAAAACGGCTTGAAAATGAGCAATTTAAGAAGAAGACGACGGAAACTGAAGAATCACCGATGTTTGAAGAGGAAAAAGCGTGGGATAAGGAAAAAGGGTCGAAGAAGAAATTGAAGAAAAGAAAAGGAACAATGACGAAGAAAAGCTATGTGAAAGAGGATTATGGTATGTGTTTAAGCAGGAACATTTGGGACAAAATGAACTAGAAATGATCTAAAATTTTAGAATTTGTTTGAGAAATCAAGAAAATTGAAAATTAAATTTGAAAAACTGGATTTTCAATTGTGAATTGATAATTTCGAGCTTAAAATTTATTGTTTCACTGATTTTTTGAGACAAAAAAACGGATTTTCAGTTAGTTCAATGAAAACGGTATATGCTCCTAATTTTTTTTTCAATCTTTATATCAAAAATCTCTATTTTCAGATACGAATCACCCATTGACCTATGAAGAGAAAGTAAAAATAGCCGTCGAAGCAGCTGGTGTAAATGCAGATGAACAGAGAATGGCTGAAATTGAAATCGATCCGAGAAAATTCTTAGAATTGAATGCGGCTGATTTGACACAAGTTTCGTCGGATTTTGTAGAGAAAATGGATCAATTTGAAGAAGGTAAGGGTCTAAATTAGTGATTTTGAGCTAAAGATTGCTATTTTAACCGTAAGATCATCCTGAAAACGCTAATTCCGATCTTATTTCAGAAACTGCCAATGTTATCAACGAAGCTTTCAAAGATGACGATGTTGTTGGAGAATTCGAAAAAACGAAAGAGGATCAAAAAGAGCGGGAAAAAGTGAAGGATATTGATTTGAATTTGGCTGGATGGGGAAGTTGGACAGGTCCTGGAACGACTGAAAATAAAAGGAGAAAGAATTTTATGGTAAAAGCCAAAGAGAAAAAAAGAAAAGATGGAGAGAAAAATGGAATTATTATTAAGGATAATATTGGAGCAATGGATGTGAGTTTCGATTTGCGGGAGAGGGAATCGGGGGGATTTTTTTTAACTGAAAATGAGAAAAATTTATTGAAATCATGCATAAAATAGGTCCCCCGAGTCAGTTTTCAAAGTTATAACCCTATAGGGTCCCTCCTTGAAAATTTTCCAAAGTGAAACACCTTCCTCATATTTTTCAGCGAATTTTGGACAAATCTGGAAATTTTGGTAAATCATCAGCAGAAAATTGGCCAAGTTAGGCACCCTTCCCTTCAGATTTTTGAAAAAAGTTAAGCCCCTCACCCCGATTCTGGGGACCCATTTTATGTATTATAGAAATTTTAAAATTTTATTGAACCTTTGGGCGAAATTTTGAAAAGTAGAATTTTTGGAGTTCGAAATAAGGCGAAATTTAAACTAAAAACTCAGGAATTTAATAGAATAGAATAATCCATTTTTTCTCTTTCTTTATACGTCTTCGAAATTTCTCAAATTTCATCTTCAAAAAATCCGAAATTTTTAAAAATCTTTTCAAGCCGAAAATATCCCTCGACTCAACCTACAACTACCACAAAATCACCCATTTTTTTCCAGGGAATCGGCAAAATCCAACCACGTTCTCTTCCATTCCCATATTCTCGAGTTGAAGACTACGAAGCTGTTCTGAAACAACCATTGGGTCTCGAATGGAATATGGAAAAAATGCGAGATGAATTGTGTAAACCGGCAATTGTTGTTGAATCTGGAAGAGCAATTCGACCGATCAATAAAAAAGAGCTTATTGGTGAGAAGAAATAAGACTTGGCTGACTATTTATTGATTTTTTTATTTGATTTGGTTTGTTCGTTTTTTGTTGATATTATTACTATTATTGTTATTTTTGTTGTTGTTGAAGATTGTTAGAGGTGAGAATTTGAAAAGGGATTTTGAGCGGGAGAATATGATTTTTGGGAGAATTCACTTGAAAAATAGATAAATCACAAATTTTCAGCCTAAATTGAATTTTTCAAGAATTTTTAGACCGGAAACTTGAGTTTTAATCTATTTGTGGGCCGAAAATCGAAAGGAAAGTCCGCATTTTTTAACTGAAAATTCTGAACTTAAACTGAAATGTTTTCTAGATAAAAAACTGCATTTTCCAAAAGTCACATTTCCCTCGCTAGTTTCAGCTTCAAACCACAAATCCCTTCATTCTCACCCATTGTTCATTTTACGGGAATTTTTGTATCCTGAAGTTTTCAAACTTTTTTTTGAATCTCGAAAAACGACATACCCATTATGTCTCAATTTTTCGAATTTACTTGGAGAAAATCTGAAAATTTCAGCTTTTTTGTTTTTCCTTGTCAAATAGTTTTTATTTTTATCTCTTTTTTGTTTTTGAAAAATGAAAAATGAGCAGATTTCTTGAGGAAATCGGGAAAAAAAGCAAAAATTTTATTTTCTGCCACATGTCTTTTTGTTCGCTTTTTTCTCTGCGTCTCCTCTCTCTCGTCGTGCTCTTATTGACCGATGAAAAGGACACGCGTATTTATTCAAAAATTATTTTTTTTTGTTCGAAAAATTTAATTTTTTGGATATTTACATGAGTAAACCTGATTAAATATCATGAAATTTGCTCATTTTTCTCTGTTATTTCATAATTGTTTTTTATTTTTCTAATGAATTTTTCATCATTTTCACCTTTCACTCACTTTTTTAAAACATGGTTTTGACCATTTTTACCTGAAAATTTGTATTTTTTCAAACTATTTTTCACTCATTTTCTCCATAATTCTTCTAAAATTCAATTTTACAGATGCTGTTACCGGCTATTTTGTTTTTGGCTGGAATTTCAGCCGATGTTACAGTGCTCGATTCGGGAAATTTTGATAATGTGCTCAAGGAGAATGAGCTAGTTTTTGTTAATTTTTATGCTGATTGGTGTCGATTCTCGCAAATGTTGAAGCCTATTTTTGCGGATGCTTCGAAGAAGTTTGAGGTGAGGATTCTGGGGAGAAAATGAAAATGAGATGGAAATCATGAAAAATCAGAATTTTTAAATAAAAAAAGGCAAAATATGGAGTTTTCTATACAAAAATTTGGCTAGGTAACATTTTCATGCAAATTCAAGCTGAAAAAATGAAAAACAATTATATCCCATCCAGAAGCTGCAAAACTATTCCCATTTTTTTTGCAGACACAAGAAAAAGGCAAAATTGTATGGGGATCATTGGATGCTGATAGAAATACAGATATTGCAACCAGATATCATGTCAACAAATATCCAACACTCAAATTGTTCAGAAATGGAGAACCAACCAAAAAAGAATATAGGTAAGAAAGATTTTCTGGAAAGAAAATAACCTAAAATTGTGAAATTCTTTTTTCCTTCTGAAACACTATCCTGAATTTTGTCAGATCTTCTCGATCAATCGAAGCTCTTTCCGAATACATCACCAAACAAATGCAATTATCAGCCAAAATTTTCACCGACAAAGCAAGCCTCGAATCGTCAAGAAATGCTGAGAAAAACACGATAATTGCATATTTCCGCGAACAATCTGGAGTAGAATTTGAGAATTTGAAAAAGGTTGCACAATTGATGCCAGATGATTGTGATTTTTTGGTTGGAATTGGTGAACAAGGATTTGAGCAAGAAGTACAACCAGTTGGACAGACACCTAAATTAGTATTCCAACCGAGTAGTGTGAGTTTTTTGAAGAAAAAAGGGGTTTGAGCGAAAAATTGGGATAAAAATAGTTTTATATTATTGTTGACCTGGAAAATGGAAAAATTCGAAAATTTGCAGCCTTCTGAAAATGTTATATTTAGGGTTCAGAGAAATTATTAAAAAAAAGATTTTTGATCGAAAAATTCCCGTATTTTTGCAGAAAGCGCAAAACACTGCCCAAATTCCATTCAGTGGCGACTTCCAAACATACGAATATCTCCGTCAATGGATTTCTGATCGATGTGTTCCATTAGTTCGAGAAATCACATTCCAAAATGCAGAAGAATTGACTGAAGAAGGATTGCCATTCTTGATTCTATTCAAACATCCTGATGATTTGCAAAGTGAAAAAGTATTCACCGATGCAGTTATGAGAGAATTACCAGAACAAAAGAAATGTGAGTGGTTTTTTGGGAAGGGAATAAGGGATTTTGGTGGAAAAGAGACGTAGAGAAACATACGCTGTGCTGTGTGTGTGTTGGTTTTTCTTGTCTTCTTTCAAGTCTTCTCCCATCTTTCCCCATTCGATTTCATATCTATACCAATTTATGCGATTATCATCACCGGGTGTCGTGGCGGGCACCTGTGAGCCAGCTAATTTGTACATATGGCGGTAGACGCGTGGGATGGGTGATGATGTTCATAAATGCAGTGAGGAGACCTCTTTCAAACGCCACATTCGAATTATTCCATTCATCACCTCACCATTTGATTCCTCGCCACTTTCATCTATATCCCATCACATGAGGTACAGCTTCATGTGGTGGACCCCGTCGGCTTCATACGGTGAAGTCTTACGGGACCACGCCTAAAGCCCTACGTGGGCTCTGGTCGGGGTGGCTTGCCTTGGGCGAGTCAGTTCCTTCCTACTTCTCATGGGCTGCTCGGAATCTTCTCGAGGATTTCTTTGGGAGACTTGCTCAGTAGCGGCGGCAAGTCTCCCATAGAAATCCCCGGGTTTATTCCCACCAGCCCATTGTGGGAAGGTTAGGTGAAAGGAGAGTTGAGGAATCCTATGGTAGGAAGATGAGTGATGAATGATTCGGTGGAGGTGTTTGAATTGATGGTGAGCTGTGAGGTGCCGTGTGCCCAGTGCTCAAGAACTGGGACGATGCACTGAATGTCAGATAGCTCCAGACCACTCGTCGTTTTGGAATTTTGAGTTTTGCTTTCGAAATCATTCAGAAAAACTGAGATTTCTAAACTTTAATTCTTTAATTCAATATGTTCTAATTTTTCCTCTAAGAATATCTCCCGGATAAAATACGTTTCTAAATTTAAATTTAATAAAAAATAAAATCCTTGAATTGATAACTGTTTGAAGGAAATATTGAATATCTGAAAATTTCCAGTCAAGAGAGAACTTGGTTTTGAAATTTAGATAAAAATCGAATAACCTAGAAAAAAGTTCAAAGATTTATCTCAACTTTTAAATTTTTCTGGAAATAAAAGAACTTTTGCTCAAAAATTATATAATTTCAAATTTTCAGTCGAAAAAAATTCCAAAATACGAAAATTTTAATATTTTCAACATTTCTGACCCAATTTTTATTGAATTTGAGAAGAAATACATTGGTTTTTTCCCAAAAATCCCCATTTCTTATCCATATTTCTTTCCGAAAAAATTATCGATTTTTCAGCCATAAATTGTCTTGTTGCTGATGGAAAAAAATTCGCGCACCCACTTCATCATCTTGGAAAATCCGAATCTGATTTGCCAGTTATTGCAATCGACTCATTTAGACATATGTATTTATTCAACAATTATAATGATATTAAGTGAGTTTTGTGATGATTTTTGGGCTGAAAATCTGGAGTTTTGATACAAATTAAGCCATAAAACTCAAAATACACCCAATTCCAAGCCAGAATTCAAAACAGTTTTTGTTTTCAGTGCTCCTGGAAAATTGAAACAATTTGTGTTAGATTTGCACAGTGGAAAATTGCATAGAGAATTCCATCATGGACCAGATCCAGTTAATCAAAATCAAGTGAGTTTGAAAAATTAAGCAACAATTTTCAGAGAAATTTGAAGAAATCTGAACTATCACATAAAGTATCGATAAAAAATCTATCCAAAAATATTTGCAGATCGAAGGCGGAGCTCCAGAAACTCAACCACCACCATCAGCTTTCGAAAAACTGAAACCAGCTTCATCCAGATATACATTATTGGATAAATCCGAATTATAGATCTAAATTTCGGCTGAAAACTCTCAGATTTTCCAGCTTTATCAATTTTTACTTCAAATAATTCTAAGTCATGGTTTCTTTCTTTTTCTTATTTTTGGGTTATTTTCTTCGAATTTTTCCACAAAAAAGCTTTATGGTCCCTTTCCATTTTCCACGACTTTTTCTGAGTTTTACGAGTTTTTCTTGGTTTTTTTCTGTTTTTGTAAAATTTTACTTGGTTTTCTGTGATTTTACTTGTATTTTTTGAAAGGTCTTCTCTACCTATTTTTCCCCTTCTTTATACTTTTTATATAAAAATTTTGGATTTTTTGGTGGATTTTTGAAGTTTTGAGTTGGGTTGCGCTTGAACCTTGAATGGATACTTTTTGAGTGAAAATTACAGGAAAAATCGATAATTTTGAAGTCCAGAATTGGAATTTTCAGACTTTTTGTCTAGTCAATTGAATATTTTATTGATATGAAACCAAACAACTTATTTGATAAGAGTATTTCAATGAAAATTTCAGCCCCCACACAAAAATTTCAGACCTTTGCTCATATTATGATTTTTTAGGGCGGGGAATATTTTTTTGAAAATGATAAGAAACTTTATAAAAGACGATGAGAAGAATAAGAAAAACCAGTCTCAGATTGGATTTCCAGCCAAAAACTTATTGATTATCTAGCTGAAAATTTTTTTGTTAGCATTGTCAATATTATATCCTAGTTTTGGCGTTGCTTATATTAAAGTCTCAAAAATTCCATTTTCTAAAAAAAATTTATTTAAATTTTTTTGAAGGAACTTCCACACGTTTTCTAGATTCCGATAGCATTGCTCATATCAATGAAAATCTCGAAAAAATCCGATTTTCTCGTTGTTCTTTGTAATTATTTTTTTCTCCTATCAATACACAATTTTGCATCACCCAAAAATTGTCTCTTTATTTTTTTGCTGTTTCGGAAAATTGATAATATGCTGTGATTGAACACTTCATCTTTCTTCTATTTTCTTTCTCTTCTTTTTCTTCGAACAAATACATTTTTCGGGGGCTAATTCGCATTATTGATTTTTTTCGCGGGGAAAACTTGGGATTTTAAATGAATTTTTAAATTGATTTTATATTTAAGTTAAACATTTGAATCTAAAAAACCCCACAGAAAATTACGTTTCAATGTTGATTTCATAAATATTTGAGCATTTCAGTTTGCTTTGTATGTCTGAAATGTCTAATTTAAGAAATTGACCAAAATTTAATTTTTTTTTGTTTCCAATTTTCAATTTTTCCAGATTCATACGGTGAAAATCTACAATCAATAAATATAGGAACACCGATATTTTTCCAAAATAAAAATGGGAGTTTTACGAAAAACCTCCAAAATTTCTGGAGCAATTTTGCGGCGTTGCTCAACTGCTCCATTAACAGCTCCATCATCTTCTTCAACTTCATCAACAGACATTGCCAACTCATTTTTACAAGATCATATTAGACAAATGCAGGTTTGTGGGGGATTTTCGAGCATTTTAACCATCGTGAAATTTTATGAACTTTGACCCAAAAGTTCATGAAAAATCGATAACTTCTTTATTTTCAGACAGATATTCTGGAAAAGCTAATACCACATGATTCTTCGGGAAATGTTGAGAATTTGGGAGATTTGAATGTGACGTCGAATTTGGGAAAAATGACCGAATATTATTTTATGCAGGTAAGGTTAAAACTCTACAAGGATAATCCTGAATTCGACAGGCCTATTTCTCAATTTTGCAGGGTGGAAAAATGTTGCGACCTACGGTTTCTTTATTAATGGCAAGTGCTTGTAATTCATCAACAAATCGAAGGATTTTGTAAGTTTTTCCCGTTCTCAATAAAAATCATTCCAAAAATCCTCAATTTTTTGCAGAAAAGAATCGCAAGCCTCATGTCAAAAATCACCGCAATCATCGAATTTGTCGGTTTGTAAAAATCAATATAAAATCGGAATGATTTGTGAGTGTTTTTGAGATGGAAATCTGAAATTTGAACTGAAAAACGTTTTGATTTTCAGCCGAAATGATTCACACAGCTTCTTTGGTTCATGATGACGTCATCGATGAGGCAAATACGCGAAGAGGTTCGGCTAGTGTGAATGCGGTTTGGGGAAATAAAATGGTAAGATTTTAATAGGAAAATTTGATAGGAAATCTACGATGCTCCGCGTTTACGAGAGAAAAATTGATGAAAATTGATGGCTTTTGGGAAGTGGTGTTAACGTGGAGCATTGTATTCTCTGAAATTTTCACAGAAGACTACAACACTCCGCATTTACAGTCAGTTCTTGTTGGTGATTTCATCCTCGCCCGAACCACACAAATCTTATGCTCAACTAAAAACCCTCAAGTTATTTCGGTGATGGCTGGAATTATCGAAGATTTGGTATTGGGAGAATTTATGCAAATGGCGACGCCACCCAAAAATACGACACCAAATCAAAAAATGACGGCGTATATTGAAAAAACACACAGGAAGACGGCTAGTCTATTTGCGAATAGTTGTAGATCAGTAGCAATTTTGGCAGGTAAGAAATCTGTGGGTTGAGGGAAAAATTTGGAATTATAAAAGTAGAACTTGAATTTCTGAATTCTAAAATTAATTGAGTTCGAAAATTTGGAATTTTTAAGAAAAAATTTATCAAAATTGAAAAAAAACGTTCAAAAACATTTTCTCAGCAATTCACCGTATACATTTCGAAAATTCAAAAGTCGACCAATAAAATAACAAACAGTCAAAATATTTGCTATTTGAAGAATTATAAAAATTGTGATATGAATAGGAGTTCTTTGTGCGTTTGGGCTGAAAAATAATATTTTGTTTTCGAAGTCATCATAAAAAACTCACCCATCTTTCAATGCATTATATTTTTGCTTTTTTGACACACATAAAAATAAAATAATTGCACATAAACTGAGCAATGGATAAATAGAAAATGGTGGAAACGAATAAAGAGAACATGTTTTTCGTAAAACTTCGAGAATTAAAAGCATGATAATTAGATGAATTATAGTTACACAAACTTTTTTCAAAAAATGAGTTTGTAATTGAAAAAGATAATATAAGCAGAAAAGGTTCGATGCAAATATTAGGAAAACTATTAAAAATATATAGAAATTAGAAATACGTTTCCATGTGAATTTAACAATTCCTTGATGATTTATTGATTCTCCTGATTCATCAGGAGTTTCAATGGTTTCTGTTTTTATATCATGAATTTCCCAAATTTTGTTTCCAATTCGACAAAAATCAACTCGTCGTTCGATTGAAATACTCAATGAATATTGATTTTTTGGAAAGCTCACAGGGCTTGTTTTTATTTCGCATTTTTGAATATCAAATGGAAAATCAGCAATATTTGAAGTACATATTCCGGTTATATTCATGTATAATTTGAATAACACCCATCCTGTGAAATCTACACCAACATTTCCATGAATTGTATAGTTTCTAAAAAAAACCCAAGTTATACATACTTGCCTTTGCCCATATTTTTCAGCCTGAATCAAATATAAAACCCACTCTGAAAAAGCTGAAAAATTAGGTCTCCACAAAATTCCACGGGGTGTCCAATGATACCATTCAGTCAAATTTTTATCAGCTTTTTTGTTAACCAATCGATAATCCTTATAATCTTGATTAATTTCTCCAAATATTTGGAATTTTCCATTTTCCTCATCGATTTCATGTAGTTCGAGTTTGCAAAATCGTTGTCTCATTTTGAAAGTTGAATCTGGTTTCATTGGTGATTCACTTTTACTATTTTCAAGATCGAATTCGTGCAACATTTGATTACAAGTTAAATTGCAATATTCATTACAGAGAACTTGAGAAAAATAAGATAGAAGTAGAAATATTATTGGGAATTTCATTTTTTATTTTTGATAAATGATATATTTTCAGGGTATAATATCTTTTTATATTTATTGAGAAATAACCTCGTTTTTATCGTTTATTGTGAAAACAAATTTCGAAATTATCTGAATTTCATAATTTTGAAGATATCAATCTTTTTGAAAATTCTTTCCCATTGTCAGAAATGATTTTGTACTTATACCTTTCTGAAAAACACTCCTTATCAGATTCTCATGAAAATATATTTTTAAAGTGGTTATTTGCTCCTAAAGTTACGATTTTACAAAATTTCATGTCATAACTTTTTGGAGAACAGGATCGAGATCATCAGGTCAAAAAATAATAGAAAACTTAGGCTTCATTAAAAGTTTCAATTTAAATTTGAAACATATACCTTGTCCAATTTTCAGCTCAAAAAATCCCGTTAATTTTTTCAGACGAAACCAACGCATCTCTTCAAAATTTGGCGTATGACTACGGTAGAAATCTGGGAATTGCTTTTCAATTAGTCGACGATTTATTGGATATAATTGCAACTGAAAATGAGATGGGAAAACCAACATCGATTGATTTGAAATTGGGTTTGGCGACGGCTCCCGTTTTATTCGCAACTCAACAATTTCCCGAATTGGCCGAACTTGTTGCCCGAAAATTCAAAAATTCGGGAGATATTGAAAAAGCGACGGAAATTGTGGCGAATTCGAATGGTATTAAAATGACTAGAAAATTGATTGCACAATATTCGGAAGCGGCTGAGAAAGCGGTGAGCATTTTGTTTTTGAGGACTAAATTTCCATGTGGATTTAATTTTGGGTCCAACAATTTTGGTCTCAACATTACAGTTTTTCTGAAAATCTGATTCTAATCCAAAAAATTCACGCGGAAAACATAATTTGTTACCAAAGTTCAAAATTTTGAAAACTGAAAGATTCTTGGTACAAAATCTTATCCATGTGATTTTTTTCAAAATTCGGTGTCCGGATTTTTTATTTCAAAAAAAAAACTGTGAGAAACTTCGAAAACATCTGAAAATTCTAGAACTAAAAATTTAAATGTTTAACAAAAATATCCCATGTTTTGCAGGCTTCATCTCTACCAAATCGAAACGAGGCAACTGAAAGACTGATAGAATTGGCAATTTCTCAAAGTGACCGAAAATTCTAGAATTATTGATTTTTTTCTTGTTGTTTCAAAAATTTAGTTACTTAGTTTTTCCCCTTCTTTAGCTCTGTAAAACTTTGATATACCACTACTGTATTTTTTTTGTTTTTTCTTGTTCTTTGTTTTTTTTTAAATTTTGGATAGAAATGAAATTTTTGTTATTTGAAAAATTGTGAGACGTGAACTTTTTTGGCCACGTGAAAAATGTTGGATTTTCGTCATTTCGTGGATGAGAAACAATGAAAAAGGTGAGTCGAAAAGGTACAGTATCAAAAAATATATATTTTTGTTGAAAAAAGAACGATCGTTGCGAGACGTGAAGAGAAATTGTGTGCGCCTTTGATGAGGGTACGGTAGATGTGTTCTTGAATTTTTATTTTCTTTTTTTTGGGTTTTCGTGCCACTTCTTAAAATATCCCAAAATGACGTCATCAGCCATCTGGTCATTCTTTATTTATTTACATTTCCTCCTTTTCTTCTTTATATTCTCACGATTTTTACTATATTTATAACTAGTTGTAACCTTGCTGATAAGAAGAAAGCAACAACAAAAAAGAAGGTAAAAGTTAGCGCTTCGCCTCAAAAAACGCCGTGTAGTGAATGGTCAAAGAGAGAAATAGTGTGGAATTTGAGGAGAGATGCGCAGAGAGGACAGATGGTAGTTGTGTTTTTTTGGCGCGCTGGTTGTTGTCCAGCCAGCCGGCCGTCTTTCCAAAATAACTACTAAAAACGGCGTCCCTCCCATCCATCCCTCTCGCCTCTCTTTTTTTCTCTACTTTTTTTCGTCCGTCTTCTGGTTCATGTTGTTTTTTGAAGAAAATATGAAGACGTGGCTTTTTTATAGACTTATATTAGTCGGGATTAGCTTTTGTTAAATAAAAAATATAGCAGATTAAGGTTTGTACATTGTTTTTGCATTGGATTCTTAGAAATTCTGGAATTTTCCACGAATCCCATGTTTTTCCTATTTCAGACCAAAAAACATTCGAAATTCAAATTTCCGGCAAAATTTCAAAAGATGAAATGCTTTTTGGTGAAAATAATGACAGAATTGTCAAATTTCCAAGTGAAATTCAAAACTTTGCTGGTTTTTTCAGCTAGAAATGAAGAATTTGCAAAAGTTCACGTTTCAAAAATGCACATCCTATTTTTTCCTGTAAATTGCCACGTCACACCTATTTTCGAAAATAAAACAATTCAAAAAAGTAGCGTTTGAACAATTTCTCCACTGAAAATCGTATATTTTTAATTATGAGAATATGATTTGCTGAAAACCTTGCGCCCTGAAAATCCAGAGATCAACAATTTCAGCCAAAAATTTTCTCATAGTTGAAAATATACGATTTTCAGCGGAGAAATTTTTCAATCTGAAACCCTACTTTATTTGAATTTTGCTACAAAAATAGCGATGACGTGAAAAAATCTTTGATTTTCGGTTTGAGCTTCTAACTAAAGCTCAAATCGTATATTTTTAATTATGAGAAAATTCCAGAACTCACGAATTTTCTCATAATTAAAATTATACGATTTTCATCCGGAAAACTCTCTCACAATCTGAAAACTCCACCTTTTTGTGGTTGAAAATTCCCTATTTTACCAAGAAAAATGTGGAACTAATTCGTTCAAATTAGCAAGAAAAAAGTCATTTTTTTCGCCTCGACGAAAATTTTTCAATTTACTGGAATGGGTTGCACTTTTCCGGCAAAACTTCATCGATTTTTTCTGCTCGCTGCCTTTGGCTGAAAATATATTTATCTAGAACATCTGCTTTTGAGTTTTATTTTTTTCGAAAAAAGTAGCTTTTAGCCTATTTATTTACTTATTTATCTATTTTCGAGAGGTTTTCGGTGTTTTTGCTCTTTGTTGAAAATTTCATTTTTTCTCCTTCTTTCTTTTTCGCTTTTTTGAGCAAAGAAAAGAAATATATATTTAGGTCAGAAGGACGGCGAAAATTGGATTTTTTGCAACCCACTCGATTTTTTCTATCTATTATATATGTGAATAGAAAGAAAGAGCCTGCGATTTTTTGAGCGAACTCTTAGACTTTTTCTAGAAAATATAGATTTTTCCGAGCAACTTTTAAGTTTATAATTATTTTTTTCTTGACTTTGGGTCCCGAAAAAGTTTTTCAAAAAATGAAATCTGCTTTTCTGCATCGTCACGCAAAAATGCACAAAATGAGCTGGAGCGCACTTTCATTTCTACTTTTGTTGTTCGCGTTTTCGAATCTTTTTCGTTTTTTCCTCTTCGTAGACCAAATAAACAAATAAAACTGACAGTTTTATTCTTGTCTGTAGTAATCCGATTACATTTCAGTTGTTTTCTAGATATTTTTTTGGGGAGTAGGGAGGAAATATTGATTTCAGCTGGAAAATGAGCAGCAAAAGAAATGGGGAAAAATATTCAGTTGTTTACGCATTCAAATTATTTTCCTTCTTTTTTTTGCCGCTGAAAATATTACTTTTTACTTTTTCTCCTCCTCTACCAAATAATAGATTGAAATTTCATGTTTTCTGTCATTTCGCATCTATCATTTTATCACTAAATAGTACACAAAGTATAAAATTTCGTTTTGTTTTTGTTTTTTCCATTCTTCTCTCTCCTCTTTATTTTTACATCATCTGAGACGAAAACAAGAGAAAAATTAGCTATATTTTGCGAACGACAATGCGAAATTAATTTATTTTGTGATTTTTTGTGAAGAAAGGTGGGTCAAAATAGACTTTTTTCTCGTTATCAGTAAACAAAACGAGAAATAGAGGGAAATTCAGATTCAGCGATTTTCACGAAAAAAAAGTTCGATAAGAATTTCACTATTTTTCCGGGTTCAATTGGGAAATTTTAACTATTCGGTTTTCAGGGGAAAATTCGGATTCTGAATGACAAATCTGAGTTTTTGGTTTTTTTTCAATTGAATTTCTTCGTTTTGTCGTTGAGTTTGAAACTAATCTGAATTTTTCCATCAAATTTTGAGTACTGATCTCAAATTTTACCCGAAAATGAAGATTTCGGCTGAAAATAGCGAAAATGTTTCTCTACTACATTAAATCTGCAGTTATACATCAAGAATGTCGTGTCAGATCCAAATTCGACGAAACATGCATAAAGATTGCACTTTTGTCTGATTTCTATGTTTTGAGTTCAAAATTGACGGAAAATGCAGATTTTGCACTAAATTTAACGGAAAAATTGCACAAAAATCCAGATTTTCCTTGAGTTATCCATCAAAACTATACTTTTTCCATACCTCGGCCAACATCGTGGTTTCAAAAAATTAAAATTGTACTCTAGATTTTTGGAGTGAAAATTGTAAAAATTGTACTCTACCCTGAATTCACAATTTTTTTCTTCTAATAGATTTAATGTTTAAATGGATATGTTCGGGGTTATATCTGACTTGTCTGCTAAACACAAGCTTGAAATTTCGTGCTTTAGTTAGATTTCGTAAAAAATGCAGGTTCAACCAACAATTGTCAAGTTGAAAACAAAAATGAAACTGAACATCGTGAAATGCCAAAATGCAAAAATCGACCCTTTTTCTAATTATGTGAAATTAGTTTTCAGAAACAATGCTATTTGAAAAATTGATCAGACTGATAAGTTTTGATATTTGTTTTCTTTTCAGATGAAGTTTGACCATTCAAATGTCAAAAAGAAATCGACGGAAGACAGTGTAATGAAAAAGAAGATTGAGCAAAGAACAGGGAAATATGATTTAATTCTCCATGGTGTAATAATTATATCTAAAAAATTTGACTTTTAGTTTTTTTTTCAAATAAAGAACTGTTCACAAAAAAACGCAATTCAAATTTTCGAAAAAAAAAAGTTTGGGTGGCAGGGGGATTCGAACCCACACCACACCACAGGCCAGCTCAACGCCTTACCACCACACCATGGAGGCGATTTCTTTCCCCTTTCTCAATTTTCATATTCAAGATCGCTGTTTTCTATCCCTTTCAATAAAATCAATGAGAATTTCGCAAAATAATTTAAAGCTAGAAAAAAACTGGCTGAAACTTGAAATTTCAATCTGAAACTCTATATGTAGAAACTTAAGGGCCTAAGAACGCTAGAACAAGCATGAAATGTTGGGAAAATTTTTTCGATTAGACCGATAACTGGAATCGTGGTTCCTATACATTTTTGCATTGGCTGAACCACGAATCTGAAAAGTAGCGTTTTTTCGAGTTCGGGTTCAATTTTCGAAAAAAGTCAAAATAGAGACTTATATTAATTTTTCGCGCTCTACATTATGGTTATATGTTTGATTACATTTCATTCAGCCTGAATTGAGTTATGATCAAAAATGTGTTTTTTGGCCCACGAGTTGAGTCCTGAGTTGTCCCGAAAATTTTTTGATGGATTTTTCGACTTAGGTAGCGTTTTTTTGCGGTCTAGACTCTAGAATCAACAAAAAATTTGAACCAGAGTATGTAGTTTTTCAAAAATTTGAGTTTTGAAAAAATCAATTTTTTTGAAAAATGAAAATTCAGTATTTTTCGATTTAAAAATAGTTCAAGAAATGAATTTTGAAGTGAAACGTTGTATTTAGAAAGTTAGTGATCCAGATATGACAGAGTTCCTATAAAACTGAAAAATTTCGATCTGATTAAAGTTCCATATAAATTTTTTCTGTACTCTAAAAATTTTCAAAATTTAAAAAAAAATTGTACCCTGCTCCACCACGGGTCGGCCGAGGTATGACTTTTTCTGTAGTTCTATCTTCTTCTCTTTTTTTTCCTCCAAAAAAAACTAATTTTTTTGTCTGAAAACAACAAAAAACATACGAAAAATTGGAACAACTGTTCCCATTTTTCGCTGTTTTTTGATTTTATCCAGAAAAAATCTTGATTTTTTCTTGAAAAAGTGCACGTTTCCATACATTGTTTGCTCAAGAAAATTGAGAAAAACCATATTTAGACAATTTTTATCGATTTTTTTCTGTTGGAAGTTTTTCTCATGCAAAAATGATGATTTCTTAGAGGGCCCCGAAGAATCAATAGAAAAACATTATTTTTAATCAAATTTTGGTTTTTATTGATGTTTATTTATTAGTTTTTTTCCCGTTTCTTCGCTTTTGTTTTCTATATTTTTTGTTGATGAAATCATATTTGAAAAATGACTAATTTTGATTGAAACTCGAGTTCCATTTTCAGGTTTCTGATTCATTATTAATTTTCGATTTCATGATTTTTCTCCAGAAAATCTATTTTCCCACCCAAATTTCCTATTTCCAGGTGGGTCAATAAAATCGTATATATGCCGAAAAACACATCATCATCATCAACATCTTCATTATTCGGTCGAATTTCGACCAGATCGAGTTTTATGTCGCCAAAAGATGTTCGTTGCAATGTTCATTTGCTCCACGATTCCGATATTATTGGAAATGAATTTGGTCGATCACAATCGGCTCAAACAGTTTTGGATTATATTTGTAATATGAAAAATGTTCAGGAGAAGGATTTTTTGGGCTTGAGATATCAGGATCACAATAAACATCGTGTAAGTTTGAATCAGCATAAAATTCGGAACATTTTGACACCCAACATAATAGGGTTCAGTGGATATTTTCGAAAATAACACATGTTTCTCGCCCAATCAGAATTTCATGAAAATCTCAAAATTTCACCAGGAACTCTGTGAAAACTCCGAAAAGCTCAAATTTCCCCCAAAAATTCCCATTTTTTCAGTATTGGCTCGATTTGTCTCGATCACTCAACCATGTTGTGAAACAATTTAGAAGTGAGTTTTTTCTCGAACATTTTTGAATAGTTTTGTTAAAATAAAATCTCAAAAATCATGCAGATGAGATCAAAAAAGTCGGCAAAAGTGAGTTGTTGTGTGTTCTTTAGTTTTCTAGTTAAATTGTTGCAAAAGTAACCCGAAAATAACCAGTTTTTGTCAAAAAAAGTCACTGAACATCTCTGAAATTCTCCACATTTTTCAGCCGAAAGTCTGTCACTTCATTTGCGTTTTCGTTATTATCCAACGGATCCAGCTAGAATTCGCGATTTGAATCTCAGATATCAACTATTTGTACAACTGCAACGAGATTTATTGCACGGCAGATTGTATTGTCCTCAAACACATGCTGCTGAATTGGCTGCCCTTATTTTACAAGGTAATATCTAAGATTGTGCTGAAATTTGGAACATTTTAACACCAAACATGATTGGTGGAAATTTTGACTCCTTCACCAAAATTCCCTCAAAAACCCAAAATCATTGCTTATTTTAGCCCAACTCGGTGATTTCAATGAATCTGAACACGTTGGAAATTATGTGAGTGGCTATAAATTGCTTCTTCGTCAAACACCGAAACTCGAAGAACGTATCGCAATTTTGCATAAAAGTTATGCGGGAAAAACGACCGAAGATGCGGAACTCGAATTTTTGGAAAAAGCCAGTCAATTGGACACTTATGCTTTTGATCCGTATACGATTAAAGGTACTGTAAAAAAAACTTCAACATTTTTTTCCAGATTTTTTGACTCCTAAATTAATGAGAATTAAAATTCACCCAATAAATTGCAGATCCTCAAGATCCCACAAATGATGTGTATCTCGGCGCTTCTGCTAAAGGCATTCTAATTTATACCGGAACATCCCGTGCACATCACATCGATTGGTCGGAACTCGAAAAAGTCGACTATTCGGGAAGAGAACTCAAAATCACGGTCAACGAAAAATATGCGGGAAAAATTGAGGAAAAAGCTGGCGAAAAATCACCCACCAAAAAACACGTGGGAGGTGGAGGACAATTGAAGTATTTATGCCCGTCTGCGAAATTTGCCAAACATTTATGGATTCATATTTTATCACAACAGGCATTTTTCAATGAGGAAAAGGCTGAAGATGTTGAATTGAAGTTCTCAAAGTGGGTTTTTTTGAATTCACCGAGAAATTTGAAACCAAACATGATAGGGTTTGGTTGATTTTTCATTTTTTGAAAAAAGTGAAAATCGCAGCGAAATTTCGTAAAACCACAAAATCACCCAAAAATTCAATTTTGCAGACCCCGTATCCCGCTAATTTCACGCGGTTCCACATTCCGTTTTCCATCTCGCCGTGTTTATCGAGAAATTGCCGACGGAAGCGGATTCTCGTCCGGAAATGAAGGAACACATTCATTAATTGGAAATGATACACTAAATGGACCCGATCACACACATGATCAAACTACAGACACCGAGTCGAATTTATGGAATACGTGCGTTTTTTATATAGATTTTTGGGAAAAAATGAGTATTTGAACCGAAAAATATAATACAAAATTCAACAAAAATTTAATTTCAGGTCAATTCAAAGTATTCCCGTCTTACGCTACGAATTGCCACGTCAAGAAGTGCGCAAAGAAGAACCGTGGCTTTTGCATCAAAATTCGCAGAAATCATCCACATCTTCAAATCATGTTGTGAAAACTTTGGAAATTCAAAAATCGGATGATTCGGCAGAAGAAGAAAAAAATAATAACAATAATTATTCGAAGGCAAAATTGACAAATTTGAATATTTCATTTGCAAGTGAACGTAGGTTTTTTTCGGGGAGAATTTGAGCTAAAAATGATAAATTGTCACCATCTTGAAATTCTGTAATTTTTCAGCTGAAAATAATGAAAAATGTTGAGTTTTGAGCTGATTAAAAAAATCGATAATATTTAAAATCCTAATTGCCACGTCATAGTTAAATCTTCCAGTCATCTCGAAATTCTCAATTTTCCAGCATCACCATCAACTTCTGAAGAGGCGTCAATTCCAGTGCCAACCTATATTTCAACAGTAAAATTATCGCCGGATCAAAACTCGGTGAGTTTATTTTTTTCCCACAAAATTTCCAAATTCAAAATTTCCCGCCTGTTTTTTTCTTGTGCACGCCACGTGTCATTCATATTTTTGTGTTGTAATAATGTCATTATCTTTTTCTCTAACACACTCTCTCACTCTCGTCTCTCACTCATTTTTGGCGCCAATTTTTTGTAGGCGAGCTTCAGTGTTCATTTGGTGAAACGAGAATCGACGTCGAGAAGTCAATCACCCGACAGTTTTTATGAGGTAAAATGGCGAAATTTGAATTTTGCGCAACATTTTGAGACTTGATATATTTTGGTGGATTCATTAAATTTCATGAAAAATTCTGATTTTTCGGTTGTAAATTACCAAATTTTCTAGAACTGTGAAATTTGGAGAAAAAATCTCCCGCCAAATGTTTTATACCAAAAAATTCGAATTTTTGCGCGCACCAAACCCTTTCCCCTTCCCATGTTTTCCTCTTTCTGTTTTCGTGCTTATTTTTGTTGTCTAATAGCTTTAGCTTCAGCTTATGGTATACTTTTATCCCGCTTCTTTTAAACCACGCCCCCATCCCTTTAAAAATTGCATGATTTTCTTGTGATGATTTTTAGAACAGCAATACAAATGGAGAAGGGATAAGCAACAGCAAAAATCAAGGAGGAATTTTGGAGCAACAAAATTTGGAGGAGAATTTTGAATCTCCTGGTGCACCATTGGCAACAAGTACACCAAGGACAATTAAGGTATATACTGTAGATTGACTACTGTAGCTTAAAAGTACTGTAGATTTTTGTAGTGAAGGTGGTGGTGAAAGTTTGCTTGAATGATTATTGTCGTGATTTTCCCTTGATTTTTCCTAAATGCTTTGATTTTAGCGCGAAAATTTGCGATTTTTTGAGATCAAATATGTCTGGGTTACTGTATAATTTTTTCACAGTAATCCTATTCTAACAACATTCTTTATATCTATTTTAGTCAAAAATACAGTAAACTTTCAAAAGGTTTTGCTCCAAAGTTTTTCCACACGAATTTTTCACGCGAAATTCAAATCCCGCTCCCCTAAAACCACATTTATCAATAGAGCGCATTTGCAAAACTTCCTCATGAAATTTGATTTTTTTTTTCTTACAGAATCCAATTCTGAGCAATGGAAATGGAAAAATTATGAATGGATATAAAATAACTTCTACAACAACAACAACATCTCCTTCCGTTTCCGCCACTGAAAAAATCGAAAAAGAAAATTCGTCAAAAAGCCACGTGGCAAAATCGAGTTCTGCCAACTCGTCTTCTTTATTGGGAAAAGTCACCAATTCTCTATTTATTTTCTTTTTATTGTTCTTGTTGACAATTGCCGTGATTATTTGTGTTTTTGAGGTCAGTTTCTTTTTCAAAATGATTAAAACTCTCAGAAAAACTTATATAAAAAATATAATATTTTTGGGTGACAAAATCCTCGAAATGTCCCGAAAATTCCAATTTTTCAGCGCTCTGAAACATCTGGCTCAGATTGGATCGAGAAAAATCGTCAACTTTCGCAATTCCGTCATATCTACTACGATCCAACACGTCATTTTGTCATCGATCAATATCGCAAATATTTTGGCACCAAAATCTGAAAAAGGTTTTTCTCGGATTATTTTCTGACCTACCGGTTCCTCTTTTTGCACCCCCTTCTCTAAAATTTAATTGGTTTTATTTTCTGGAAAATTTAAATTTTTTGCGCTTTACACCACATTCCAATGTATTTTAGCCCCCTTTTCGGAATTTTTTGAAGACTAAGAATTTTATTTTTTAATTGTTCAATAAATAATTTTTGAAGTTTTCTCAAAAATTAGACTGACAATTTTCCAAGTCATAAATTCCGGTTTGTTTCGACCTCATAAAATCCCCCACATTTTTTTTATTTTTCGAAAAAAAAACAAAAAAAATTTTGTTTACATTTTTTGTTTGGTTTCGATTTTCAACAACACATTTTTTTCGCATCGCCAATTAATTCGATTTTTTTGATCGAAGTTTTTTGGAAATCGGATTTTGGCACGTGGCCATTCCTATGATTTTCGAAAAATTTCCGCCGAACTTAAAAATTTCAAAAAAAAACTATCACTATCAATTTTTCATTTTCCTTCTTTCAAAAATTAACGACCAAAACCCAATGAAAATTGGCAATCGTTGAAAATTGTGGGTCTGAAAATCCATTATTTTTGAAATTGCGGTTGGAATCATTTTTTGTTTGAGATTTTTGGATGAGTTTTATTCGCTTCTGTGAAAATTCAAGAATGTGTTTTCAAAAATCAAGCTGAAGCCTATTTCTAGATTTAACAAATCCTAGACCCGCAAATTCAACTCGCTGTAGATCACGCGGGATTTCAATATCTTTTCGTCTCTTTCACTCTCACCGATTTCTTTTTGACATGTTGTGATCTAATGCATTTTTTTTCATTTTTTCTATGTACTTCCTTTATTTATCAATTTTTCTTGCGCGGGAAAAATTCCAGATTCATTTTTTCTGCAATCATAAAACTACACTACACGAAATAATTTATTGCTTATCAATCAAATTATTTTTTTTATTCCCGAAAAAATCAAACCAGTTTATTTTCGTGGAAAATCTAGAAAGCTAAGTGTTTTTGACACAAAAATTTTTAATTCCTTGAGCAGCTGGGGACTAAATCTAAATATAGTCTAGTCATGTTCAATCGATTTTCATTTTGCCACGTGGCAAATCGTTTTAATCCGACAAAAAAATTGAAAAGTTTTTGATCGCGTAGGTGTTTTTGAATCGCATTTTTTGTGTGTTCACAAAATTTTTATTGAATTTTGTTTGAAACATTTTCATTTTCATTTTCCATGTTCATATATTCATATTAATTTTTTTCTGTATTTTCATTCTATTCACAGAAAAAATTTGCATTTGCATATTTTTTGGGCCCCCACAGTATCCCACGTTTTTAGTTTTGGGAACATCAGATTTTTTTGTTGAAATTTTCGAAAAACAGTTCCGGGTTTGAGCCTTCCAGATTTTCAGAAAAAAATATGAAAATCATCAATCATTTTTATGTGACACATGAAAAAAAGTTTAGAGAAAAGCTACTTAAAACTCTGAAACTTTTGGCTGGATATCGATTTTCCCAGGTGTTTTCAGACTAATCATTAGGATTAGGGTAAAAGTTGTGTTTAGAAACCTAAGAGTATGGTTATGCCTGACTTCTTAAATAAGCCCAATTCTAGGAATATATTTTAAGCCTAAATTTTCTGTTTAGCTTATTAGGCCGTGGCCCATATTTTTGCTCTATACTTAAGCTTATAAGCCTAAATTTTGAGTCATCTACTGATTTTAGCCTACGCCTCACTCTAATTTCTGCAATGTTTCCTCCATAAAGTCTCGATTTCTGAGCAACTTTTCCCCTCAAAATCAATCATTTTTCCAGATTTCTGTTCTATTTTTCTTGAAATTTGACCTCTTTTTTATTGTTTCTCTCTCGATTTTCAGAAGAAGAAGAAAATGTTTCAATTTTTTGATTTTTCCAACTTTTTCTCTGAAAAAAATTGAAAAAAAGAGATAGATAAAAGAAAAAGATAATGGAAAACAGTTGCCATTTTTTGAATGGGGCGAGACAGAAAAAAATAATGGGCCACATTTTATTTTCCGATTTTTATTTATTTTGTTTTATATCTCATCTCTCAGTCGAAAGAGCAGAAAACAGAAAACAACACAAATGAGTCATTTTTCTGCTGGTTTTCATCACCAAAAACTGTTCCACGTGGCAATTGACGCCAAAGTTTGTTTTTGAAACTGATCATGTGTTTTTCCAAAAAAAAAACACAATGACTAATTTTTTCGCGAATTCGCCAAACTCATTTGTTGTTTTTTTCTGATATTTTATCACATTTTTATTCTTGACGCCATTTTTAGCACCAGAAAATCTTCAAAAAAATGATGTTTTTTTTAGTTCCGCCCACTTTTCTCCCATATTCTTGCAAACAATAAAAATTGGCTATCAAAAAATAAAAATGGGCAAGAAAAAATCATTTTTTTTGTCCATTTTTTTGGTCGCGTGTGAAACACGAATTCGATTCGATTAGAATGATCTTTTAGAACGCGATTTCTTCTTATTTTTCCAGGAGAAAAATAACAATTTTTTCATTTCCCCAAAAATTTCCTGGAGGCCATTGTTTTTTTCAAATCATTTTATTATCTTTTTCCCCTGGAAAAGTGTGACCATTTTCCTTTTCTCATTGATTTTTCTTAGGGGTTTCAGGTGAATTTGGCACCAAAAATATTTTTTTTTCATATTTCGTCAGCTCCCTTTTGATCTTTGTTAGATTTTCTTAATTTTGAGATCCATATTGATAGGGTTTCAAATTTTTTGAAAGTTTCATGATTTCCTGATTTTTCTGAGGTTTTCATGGTGTTTTCCAATTTCTGCTCAAAGTTTGAGGATTTTTGACACCCATATTGGTATAGTTTTTGCATTTTTGAAAAATCCACCATTTTGGACGAAATCTCACCCAGGCCTGATCGGAATCGGAATTTCGGAATTCCGAAATTCCGAAACCGACAGGTTTTTCGGAATGAGACAAACGTGTCTCGGAATCGGAATCTATTTTCTCGGAATCGGAATCATTCCGATGTTACTTCCGAAACTTTTTGGAATTTCGGAATGTGTTTCTCTTCCGAATTTCGGAATTTTTCTACCGAATTTCGGAATTTTTCGGAATGTTTGAGCTGAAATTAGTGAAAAATTCAACAAAAAAAATGGAAAAATTGATGAATTTTACCTGTCATTTTCAAAAAATCTCTTTTTCTCTTGTGATTCTCGAAAAATTTAACTTTTGAAGACAAATTTTTGAAGTTTTATATCATTCCGAAACATTCCGAAAAATTCCGAAATTCCGAGGTAAAAATGTCGGAATGGAGGTTCGGAATTCGGAATTACGATCTGACCACTCGGAATGAGTGTGCTCATTCCGAACCTTCCGACAAGGTCCATTCCGATCAGGCCTGATCTCACCCCGAGGCTCTCTTTGAAACCTTTTCAATATGGGTGTCAAAAATCTGCAAATTTTGAGAAAGATTAGAATTGATTTTTATATATTTTTGCAAATTTCAATACGAAATCGCGATTTTGTAGAAAGTTTTGCAAATTTCTTTGCTGGAAAACAAAATAATTCGGCCTAATTTCGTCTTCTCCTTCTTCTTTTTTTCTGATTCCCCTTTTTCGGGACAAAAAAATCAATTTTTTTTCTCATTTTATAATACAAAAATGTGAAATGGCAAGAAGCAGAGAGAAGAAGGAGAAACGATAAAAATTTTCCTGTGTTTGTCAATTTTTGCCCAATTTTTTGAAAGGGAAGAGCTATTCGAATTTCCCATGTTTTTTTTTCCAAAATTCCTGCCATTTTTCTTTTTTTCCTGATTTTTTTGTATATTTTATGATGCTTCAAGAGGTCACCTGATATTTTTCCACATTTTCCAATTTTTTTTCCAAAAAAAAATTTCCCAGCTGTTTGTTGATGTTCTTTGGATCACCCCATCTCATTTTTTGAACCGGAAGTTTTTCTGAAATTTTTTGCAGATCTTGAAAAATTTCTCAAACTTGACAACCTACTTTTTCACCACCAAATCCACTTCAAATTATGGGCAAAAAACGGGTTGTTTGGCGACGAGTCGAGGGAATTGTTGAGGTTAGTTTCAAGCGATTTTTGTTTGATTTTTGGTGTCAAAATAATTGAGAAGGGATTTTTTAAAATGATACCAAGGTCAGGTTTTTTGATAGCTTTATTTTCCACGTGTGAAAGACTAGGGTTTTCTAAAAAATTGATTCACAAGCTTGAATTTTGCGCAAAAACATCGATTTCCAAAGTTTGAGAGGAGGTTATAGATTTTTTCGGGATTTTGAAAAATAGGGAAGTATGTTCAGGTTCGTTTCGAATTTTGAAAAATAATTGTGTGATTTCGGACACCAAATTTTCAAAAAATGCCAGATTGCCACATCATAATGCATCTATTCATTTGCGAAAAAAACCGAAAAAAATGTATTTTTTTACAAATTTTTTCTATTCATGAAAATGCACGAAATTAATGTCAATCGTGACGAGACCCACACACATTTCAAGGAGAAAAACATGCGAGAAAAAAACAAGAAATGAATTTTTCGAAAGCACACATTCTGCCTTGAAATGAGTGTGGGTCTCGTCACGATTGCATGTATTTCGCGACAATTTGTGATTTTGGTGAATAGAAAAATATTGTAAAAAAATACATTTTTTTCGTGCTTTTTCGCAAATGAATAGATGCATAACCTAAGCTTTTATATCAACTAAAAAGTGGAAACGATATCCAAAGCGTTTAGACGAAAAATCCAGAAAAAAAAAATCAAAAAATTAGTTTGCGTGAATTTTTTAAAGTTTTGATCAGACAAATAAAAATTCAAAATATTCTTCGAAAATCCAAGTTGCCACGTCATAACTACAACTAGATTTAGGGCTAACAATCCACGTGGCTTCAGTTTTTTTGGTTCCCCTTTTGAAAAAATTTTCGACCTTCAGCTAACCATATTTTTCTCAAAAAAAACCATTTTTCACTTTCTGCCATTTCTGCGCAAATATTTTGATGTTGTCAAAGAAAAAAGAAGATACCATCCCTTGTTTTACTAAACTTCCGGGTTCACCAAAAATTTTTCAAAAATGTTTTTTTCTCGCGTCCAAAAATTGAAAGTTTTCCGCAAATCCGGTTACAGTATGCAGTGCTTTTTGTTCTTTTTTTTTTCATCGAAAAAAAATCATTTTTTTTCGTCTCTCAAAAATTTGATAACACACACACACCGTGTTCGTTTTTGTCACAAACAAAACCAATTTTTTTCGATTTTTGTGTTATCAAAAATTTTATGATTTGCATGTGAGAAAATTTTCGAATGTGGGTGGTGATTTTTGGACTTTTGGTACCCGGGGGACTAGCAATACGGAAATATGGCCTAGAAATCCAAATATGAGGTTTTGGTGGTCTAGAAAACCTTCACGTGACTTAGAAATCCAAATGCATTATTAAGGTGGCCTGGAAAACCTTGTTTGTTCTAATAACTATGAAAATCATATTTTTTTGTACTCCTATAAATCCTGAAAACTCATATTTGAGCTCCGAATTTCTAAATTTTCCCTAAAATTCCGCTTCGATTCTTGATTCTTTCATCCAATTTGTACAACTCTTTTCTTATTTGTTTGTGCTTTTTCTCTTTTTTTCCGCCTTTTTTGTTCTTTTTTGGTGCCAACAATTCGTCATTTCTTTAGCGCCAAAGAAGTTCAAAAAACTTTGGAAATTTTGTCAATGAAATGTGATAAATAAATACGAAAAAAGTTTGAAACAATGAAAAAAATCGCATTTTTTGGTTGAGGTACAAAAATCGGATTATCAGAAGAAAAAACTGGTTGACACAAAAAATTTTGGTTGCGATTTTTCTAGAAAGGCAATCGGTTCAATTAAAAAATTTTTTAGAGCTCTTTCTTACGTCATTTTTTGTAATCATAATTATCATATTTTAATTTATTCTGCTGATAAAAATTGGGTTGTTTACCATCAAAATTTTCTTTACAGACAAAAATTTTTTGAAAATGATCTAGATTTTTGGCGTCTGAGCTATGACGTGGCGAATTTTTGAATTCTTAGAATTCAGGATTCCAAAAAAATGAAATTAAATTTTTAGAAGCTTTGAAATTTTCAAGTGGGGATTTTGAAAAAAATGTGGAAGAACTTTTCGACGTAGATTTCGGGTAGAAATATTCCTTGAAATCGTGTTCCTGCAGAGCTCAAAATTTTTTCACGTGGATTTTTAGCGCAAAAAATCAACACTTTTCTCATTCAGTTCATGAAAACCCTCAAAATTCAGGTTCAAAACACATTTTTTTCCCGAATTTTCATGTGATCAACCAAGTTTTCAATTTTTCGTCGGCTCAAAAATGTCAAGTTTGCACAGATTTTTCCGCTGTCAAGCCATATTTTTTCATGATATTTGAACAGATTTTGTTTATTTCAAACAATTTTTTGAATTTCCCACACATTTTTCAAACAGGAAATGCTAAAATTTTGTTTGTTTTTTTTTTTGAAAAAAAAGTTGCTGTATAATTTTTTAGGCTAGAAAAAAAGTTTAGTAAAGTTTTTTTCTTGTCTGAAAATTGAGACAAGTGGCTGGAAAAAATAGAAAAATGGAACTAATTTGAAGAGAGAGGAAAACAGAAAAAAGTATAGTTCTGGCTATTTTTATGTTAGTCAGGAAAATTGAGAGATGAATGCCACGTCATAGCTCAAAAGACTGCTGTTAGGCTTAGGCTTAAGCGTAGCTAGAAGTTCTAGGCTTATATAAAATATTTATCTGAGATTATGAATTTAGACTAGAAAATGAATATTTTTGGAAATCTAGGATTTAACACGTCATAAATCAAAATTTAAAGCAAAATGTGAGATTTTATACCTTGGTTAAAGCTTTTAGTTTTCGGCTTCCCAATGAGATTCATGCAGCCTCTGAAGAATGTTGGTTCCTAGAACCCCTCATCATTTTTACCCGTTTTTTTTTGAATGAAAAGTTGGGTTTCTCCATCATCTAAAAATATCTTGCGATTTTTGACCAAAAGCCATCCTTTTTCGCTTCTTTTTTTTCCTCATTTATTTATATTATTTACGTATTTTTCCTTTTTTTTTTCTCGTGACAAAAAAAGTGATGTCATAAGTAGATTTTTAATCCAATAAGGAATTCAAAGCTTCGAAAATACAGACCTTGTAAAATCCACGTGTCATTTCTTGAACTGCAAATTTTGAGACTCTCAATTTCTTTGAGATGTTTACAGATAAACCCCCAATTTTTTTTCCAAAATATTTGGATTTTGGAGCCTAAAAAGGTTCCCGAAAAAATTCGTATAGTGCATTTTTCTGGCTGCAAAAAAAGCGAATTAATGAAAATGGAACATTTTTTGGCTGTTGTTTTTTTGGATAATTTGGGAAGCGAATCCTGCAGAAATTTCATGTGGCAACTTTTTCAAAATTAAACTTTTCACTGAATTTTTGCTCAAAGAATCCTCAAACTGAGCATCTTAAGTTTCCGAGTATAGAAGTTGCAGAATCCACGTGGCATATTCTCATTCAAAATTGCATCGCCAAGCCACGTGGAAATTTTTCCCACCGATTTTCGCTCCAAAAGTACACATTTTTCCCTCATCCTCATTATTTTTTTCAGTTCGGAAAAAATTTATGCAAATATTTTTTGTTGCCCTTTATGAAAATATATATTAACTATACGAAATAGAAAACTGAAAAAAATCTAGTTTTTTTTCAAAAAAAATGTTATTAAAAAAATAAAAACTCTTTTGGAACTTTCTCGAATATTCCACAATTTTCTCTAGTTTCTAGAAGAAAAAAGAGGAGAAAGAGTGTGTGGAAATGGGAGAGTGCAGAGAAAAGAAGGAGGAGAGGCAAATAATAAACACAGAAATGCAAAGAAAAGAAATTATATTTTTATTTTTAATTTTTTTTGCGATAAGAGAAAAAGTTTCGAATTTTCTCGAATTATTTGAAATATTTGATTTTTGTGTACTTTTTTTTTAGAAAATTTTCTATTTCTTCTGGTTTTCAAATTTAAATTTTTCTCAAAATATATTTTTGAAGTATTTTTTGTGTACTTCTTTGATGAATGTTCGCCACGTGGATTTTTCAAACTAATTTTTTTAACGCCAAAAATAGGTCCTGAAAGATTTCGTAACGTTTCCCAGAAAAATTTCCAGTTTTTTCTGTGCAATAAAAAAGTGACGAATTTTTTTTTGCATAATATTGTGAAACTTTTCAGCTAAAATTTGGCCCTAAATTAAAATGTTTGTTGTTGTTTTACGTCACAAACGGTCACACGATTTTTTATGTTTTTTTGAATTCTGAGAAAAAAACAACAAAAATTGTGAATCACAAAATTTTCGAGCAACAATTTTTTGTAGAGAAAAAACATCAATAATCTTTAGGGCTAAGTATAAGAATTTCAGATTTTCCACGTGGATTCTCACACAAATCTGTGATTTTAGCAAATTTAACTTAAAAATCTGAAAATCCACGTGGCTTCTCAGATTCTTTCTGCGTCTCAAAAATCATCTCAAAACATCTGGCAAGTTTTGGCGCCCATAACTTTTCTGTGCCACGTGGAAAAACCATCCCACCAGATGTTTCGAGTGCGATCCATAAAAGCATCACACGACACCTGCGTCATATTTTTTGTTGCTCCTACAAAAAACATTTCTAGCATTTTCTTGTGCTGCAAAAAAATACCCACATCATCCATCCTCCTACTCTTCTTCTTCTTCTAATTTATACATTCAACAACATTTTGTTGTTTTAGCCAATTTTCATGCTCCCAAAAAAACCACGTCATAGCATTCATTTTTTGCTCGAAAAAAATTGAGAGCCCGAATTAACTATATAGGGAAGGAGAGAAGAAGAAGAAGAAGGAGTTAGATGAAATTACGTCACATGAAACGAATTTTTCAGTAGAGCTCTCTAAAAAATGACATCATTTTTAGTAGAGCTCCGCGCGAGAGAAAACCCCTTTTTCTCTGCCTTCAAAAAGGACCACAACAAAAATGACGTGCGTTTGTTGTCTGCTTCTCTCGCCACCCTCTATACTCTCTCACCCCCCCCCCCAAAATGGGCGGAGCTCAAAGCCTTTCTTCTCCCTTTTCGTTTTCTCTCTATCATCATCATAGAAGAGATATTTTTATACATACATACACGCTCTTTTATATTTGAAAAAAAGAATATATTTATTCGAGAATATTCTAGATTTTGTCTGAAAATCGAAATCGAGAAAATATGCACGGTAGACGACGCGCCGTTTTGATGGGCGAAGAGGGACAACTTCCCAGAGCGGTACGTTTTTTGAATGTCTTGTCTAAGATAACTTGTTGCTTATGGGAACTTGGGGACTAGAAATCGAACATGGAAAACCTAGTCCCCAATTTCAAAAAAATTTGTTGATTTTTCAGATTTCAAAATTCATTTTGAAAGTTTCCATGTAATATAAATTTGTATGAAAAAATACTGAAAGTTGTCTGGCGAATAAGAATTCTCGAAGGGGGACTAGAAATCCAAGCGGATAAAAACTAGTCCCCATCTTCAGAAAGCCAGGATGATTCATTGAAATTGCTACGTCACAAGTAAAACCTAGATATCCAACTGCAAAAACTGGTCCCCGAATTTAAGAAAAATTCGTCATTCAAATTTTCTTGTTATTTTCGAAATTTTTTGTAGTTGTAAGTAAGTACAAAAATGATTTCATTTGATGAAATAACCAAGAATTTCTAAAGTCGGGACTATATTTTCAGTCCCTTCTTCAATCGAATTCTCTGACGCTGAAAACCCTCAAAAAATCGAAAATAACCTCTGAAAATCATCAGCTTCCTCATAGATTTTCATTGTAAAAATTGTACCCAAAAACCAGAAAAGACGATATTTTAGTTGATCAAAGTCCATAGGTTTTTTGTCGCCGCGCGCGCTAATTTCTGACAACTTTACGGCAAATATTGACAAATCCAAACACATTTTGCAGTAAATTTGTGTGTGATAATGGCAGAAAGTTCATATCGAGACCAAGACAAAAATTGCCTTCTCAATAAAAGAACATAAAACAAAAATTCTTGACAAAGATCAAAAGATCTGACCTTGGTTAGCTAGCCATCGGACAAAAAAAGAATCAAGACAAAAACAAAAAAAAGTGATTTTTCAAAAAAAAGTTTCTTCCTCCGCGCGACTCCAAAAATAGCCAACCAACATGTTTTTTTATTTCAGTTGGCACCACACGGTCATTCATCACATCATCATCATCACAAAATGCGAAGTCAGGCGGGAGGAAATCAGGATGCTGAAAACGACGAGTTCGTTGCCAGAACCACTATTTTGAGCAAAGGACAGGTAGGGAGGTTTTGGGATTTGTAAACCTAGAAAATGAGCTGGGATGTTTTTAAGGGATGGGACTAGTTTTGAGGCGAAGTTGAACCTAAGTATGATAATTGGCGGAGCCTAAACCCAGACAGTTGGTGAAGCTTAAAGTTTTGATTGAGCCCGAATCTAGATTTTTGGTCAAGCTCAAGTCCAACAAAATGGCTAAGCCTAACATTTAAGCTTAGAATTTCTCATGTTTTTCCAAATTCAATTAACTTTTCATGGTCAAAACCATATATTTTCTCCAATTTTCTCTTGTCTTCTTCTTCGAAAAAAACAAGCTTGACCATTTTTTTTCGCCCAAATAACACATTCTTCTTCGCTTCTCTCTTTCTTCTTATTTTATATATTATAATATTATTGATATTACGTCACAAGCAAAAACTGGTTGCCTTTCTACAAAAAAAAACGCTTGTGTTTTGGCTGCGGCGAAAAATTCGTAGAAAATTAAATGTTTTTTGTGTCTCTGTCCATCATTCTTAAACAGTTATATAACCAGTTAGGAAGGGCAGTGAATTTTCAGCCAAGAGAAACAAAAAGAGAGGAAACCTAGAGAGGGACTAGAAATCTAGTTGGAATAAATCTAGTCCCCGAATTCAAAAATTCGAATTCCTGGTAAATTTGCAAATATTCTGACAGTTTCATCTCAACTATTTCAAAATCGGGGACTAATTTTTTCTAGTCCTCACTTCAATTTCTTAAAAAGTTGCTGAAAAAAATTTCAGCAAGTAGAGAAAAAAGGGGAGAAAAGTTTTTCGGCTTGACGTCATATAAGGACCCCTTTTCGCCTACGCACACACTGAGCACATGCATATACACAAACAACTTTTGCTGAGCTTGAGCCAAGGGGGAAATGAGCAGCACAAAAAATAATTCATGTTTACTTATTTACGGATATTTTTTGGCGGGGCAAAAATACAGAAATTGTCCGGGAGAACTACACGCTTTACTTTGACATTTTTCAGCTCAAAAAATTGCGAAGTGTTTTGGAGGAAAAAGTCGAGATTCATGGACGTGGCAATTTTCCAACAATTTCGGCCAGACTTGTTGATTTGATTGTGTGTTTGAGACAAAACTTGAGGTAAGACATTTTTTATAATTTTTTACTCTAGAAATTCACCTCGAAAAGAAACTTTTCTTAAATCTTTAAATATTTTCAGAGACATCCAAAACCCTCCAAAAAATGTGAAATTGAATGGAGGAGCTGCCTCTTATGTCGCATCATCCGAAGATTTTTCCTATGCGGATCTCGATTTGATTTTCCCAATGGAAGTTGGCCAAGAAAACAGTTCAACTTGTTTTGATAAAGTTCGCGACGCAGTTTTCACAACAATCCGTGAATTAATGCCAGAAAATATTGGAAAAGAGAAGTTCCCAGTCGACACTTTGAAAGATGTTTATATTCGAAAAATGATCAAAGTTTCGAATGACGATGATACTTGGTCACTTTTCTCGTTGAATAATGATTATGGTCGATGTATTGAATTGAAATTCGTGAATCGAATGAGAAGACAATTCGAATTTTCTGTTGATTCATTCCAAATTTGTCTTGATCCACTTCTTGATGATTTTGATAGTCCAGAACATCGAAAAGTCACCATCGAATCAATGTTTGGTGATGTTCATCAAGCTATGAATCATCTTCATGAACGACTTATTGATACAACAAAACCAGAAGAAATTCGTGGTGGTGGACTTCTCAAATATTGTCATTTGATAATTCGAGGATATAAAGCAGCGAGACCAGGAATTTGTCGGAAACTCGAAAGATATATGTGCTCCAGATTCTTCATTGATTTCCCAGATATTATGGCACAGGAAGCTAAGCTCCGAAATTATTTGGAGAGTCATTTTGGAACAAGTTCTTCATCGAATTTTGCAAGTGATTGGAGTGGAGATGATACAGATTCAGAGACTTCCACTTCTCAAGCAACAACATCTTCATTGTTGGCAAATGGTCAAGCCAAATATGATTTCTTGATGTTATTGCATCGTGTTATTAATGAGAGTACTGTTTGTTTGATGCAACATGAATTGCAAATGACATTGAATATGATTGATAGATTGGCCTTCCAGGTGAGCAATTTTTGAAATTTGAAATATTCGAAATATTTTTGACGCAAAAAATCTTTCGCTTTTTTCTTAAAAATGCATCAAACTTAGTTATGTTTGGTCTCAAAATGCTCCAGATTTTATAAAACATCTGAAACAATCATCCATATCCAAAGGAATCCCATAATTTTACAGGTCTCTGTCCAATGCTATGCTCCTCAATCATTCAACGGTGCCCAAACTCCACCACGCACCACACTTTTCTATCTTCCAGCCGATGCCACTTCCTGGATTCCTGTTATCTGAATGTTTTGTTCTTTTTCTTTTTCTTCTGTTTTTTTTATTTTCTCCTAATGTAAAAGTCAGGTTTTCGCTAACTAAGATGTTGTATATAATTTAAGGTCGTTTAGAAAACTCCTTCCTAGATAATATAGTGGTCCTCCTCCCCTTTTTTTTGCAAAAAACACAAAAATTTGTCTATTTTTTACGGAAACCCCCTTGATTTTGCTACTGGTTTGCATTTTTTCTATCTTTTTTTCTCTCTGTTAATTCTAAAATCTGAAAAATTACGAGCGTCCGCGGGTACGGGCGCCTCATTTTCCCCCCAAAAAATTATCGATTTTTTGTATATATTTATTATTATTTTCCTGTCGACATATATATATTGATTGATTTTTTACTTGTCTGAAAAAATGTTGAAAAAAAAAATGAATACTTGTATTGTTTTTGTAATTTTTTTTACGTGGAAAATATTATTCCATATTGTTCCAACAATTTTGTAGATCAATTTTTCACTAACTACAGTAACCCTTCGAGTTTTGGTGTCAAAAAGTTTCAAATCGTTCAATTTTGCACTCAGGAAATCAATTTTCTTTGAAAAAAATCACAAGACATAAAAACATATTTTTTTACCTTACCAACAATCTAAAATATTTGTCATTGACAATTTGACAAACAAAAGAGACAAAATTGCGATAATATCTTCTTCTTCTTTTTTTTTTCCCTTTTTGGTCATGTTTAATGATTTTTTTCATGTTTTTCGGTTGGGTTTTGATTTGAACTTAAAGTTGAAGTTAGGCAAAGAAAAAAATCGAGGGAAAAGGGATTTTTTGAGAAGGTGAGGAATGTTCCAAACATCTGTCTTTACACAAAAAAAGTATTGGTTTTTGGGTGTTTTTCAGTTTTTATTTTGATTTTTACAGTGGAAGAAGATATTAAGATCATGTGATTTTTGAGACGAATATTTTTGGTTATCCTATTTTTGAGAAAAATGATTTTGAATAAGAAGCTAGCTGAAAACTCATGGAAATGCTGAAAGTCAAAGAGAAAAAGATACTGCCGAAATTGGAAAACTGAAAATCAAAATCGCAGAAAAATGGTTCCTTTGCGACGTCATAGCAGCGAAATAGTTAAAAAACTATCAAAAAAAATTTATTTTCGGAATCAGGTCAAAACAAAACTTTGCGAAACCCTAAAATTGCGTTTTCCTCCAAACTTTCCCAACAAAATCAATCGATAAGGAATAATAAAATATAAACTGAGCAATGGTTCAAAAATGACTGGCAAAACGATGGCTGGATTTAGAAAATATTCTTGAACATCACTTTGATAGCCATTCAAAAGGCAAAAATAATAGAAAATAAACCAAGGTATGAAGAAAAATAAGGGTAAAATGGCCTGAAAAATAAGGCCATTTAAGAGACTTTTAGTGTAAATTTGGGTTTTTTGAGAGGTTAAGGTTTTGAGATTAAGTTCTAGTTTCCAGCGATAAAAAAGTGAGATAAATGGAAATATAATTTCAGAGATAAATGTGCAAATAAGGTTCAAAAAATTGGGAATTGTTTGAAGTTTAAGATGAGCAATGGTTAAATAATCCATGTTTTCCTGACGTGGAAAATCATCTTTTGTATCTCGAAAAATTATAATAATTGAAAGAATTGTTGAGATTACTGTAGGTGTGAAGAATATGAGAAAACTCCAAAAATATCGAGGTTTTTTGGATAAAGATACTTTTGAATTGATAAACTTGTAGTAGAACGTGTAAGAATTTGAAATTGCAGCAGCGCCTCCAAATGTCTAAAAGTTTCAATTTTTGTAACTTCCATAATATATACAGTAATCCAACAGTTTTTTAGTGCAAAAATCATTTCGCAACATAAAAATTTTGGTGGGAAAAAAACAAAATTAATCTGGCTCAAAGACCACGTGGCAATCTAACGAAGAAATTTGATGTAAAAATCTACAGTAATCGAAAACCTCAAAATTTTTTATTTAGTTTTTGATACATATTTTAAACTTTAAAAATAAAATATTTTACCTGATGCAACATAAAGGTCAAAAAACACAGACGTCTATCAAAGTTTCTACAAATTCCATAACTTCGAATCTCAACCGGAATTTTCGAGGCAATTGTAGCTGGCTGAATAAAAGATATAAAAATTGCGACGAAAATTTCGAGGCACGAAGTTTGCGCCAAAATCAATTTGAAAACACGACCAAATTGTTTGGGTGATTTAAAAATGATTAATATGAGCAATGTTGAATGGATCAAAAATGTGAGGAAGAGAAATATTGGATAAGCGAAGTCGAGAAAATCACGGCATTTTATCATGGTTTAGAATGAATTCAAAAATTATGTGGCGAAAGGGAAAAGGAATTTTAAATACTTAGGTAGAGCGAGATAATTGTGAGAGAATTTTTCGAATCAGAAAATTAATGTTTTTTGAGAAAAGGAAGTTCTTTGAGTTTTAGAAATCAATAAAAAATTTCGGAAACTAGAAATAGTCTGGATTACCACGTGCAAAATTGTAGCTGAAAAAATTCCAAGTCACTAAAAAATCCAGAAAAACGAGCTAAATTCTACCCGAAATCATATGGATAGGGTTATTTGCCAAACCAAGAAAAAATAGAATCCAAACACAAGAAACAATGATCGGGTACATAAAATCAAATTCGTGAAACAATTTTTCCTGTTGCAAAAATATCTCAAAGAATTCGGCGAAAAAAGTACTCTCAGCAATAAATTAATAAAATATCTAATTGGAAACTCGACTAATTACTCTCTCACTTTCTCTTTATTTCTCGAAAAAATCTCTAGTATCAATTTTTGCGCCTCTTATCAATCAACGAACCACGAGTCAAAACTGGAACCTGAAAATAAAGAAAAAATAAGTTTGGTCAAGTCAAGGAAATATAGTATAAAAGTTCGTGAAACTTTCTTATAGTACGAAAATTTCTTTTCAGTTCAATATGTTCAAAATTCTACTGTTTTCGGCAGTTATTTTGTTGGCTAGTGTGAGTTCACAACACCACGGAGGCGGAGGCGGGGGTCACCACGGCGGAGGCGGAGGCGGACATCACGGAGGCGGAGGCGGAGGACATCACGGGGGAGGCGGAGGTTTTGGAGGAGGACATCATCACGGAGGAGGAGGGGGATTTGGAGGGGGTGGATTTGGCGGAGGCGGATTCGGAGGTAGTAGCTTCGGAGGCGGTTCCTATGGTGGATCTTATGGCGGGGGCGGTGGAGGTCTTGGGCTTCTAGGGCTCTTAGGCCTTGGTGGATCGCTATTCGGTGGATATGGCAACAATTATGGTGGATACGGTAATTATGGAGGCTACGGAGGCTACGGAGGCTACGGCGGATATGGAAATAATTATTATTGTCAAATTTATGGCGGTTATTATTGTAATAGTATGTATGGTGGAAGTTATTATGGATAATAAAAGATATTTTTTTTATGAGAGGATTTTATTATTTGTCTTTAAAAAAATTGCAACAGGCACACCCTATTAGTCTGATAATAAAACAATATCAATGGGGCGCACTTCCATTTTTACTTTTATTTTCTTGTTTTTGTTTTTCTGAAACTAGAAAAGTACAAACCTTTTAATTTGATTATCAAAAATTACCCCAAACTTACCTGATATAATTTAACAAATCACTGTGTTCTTTCACCCAAAACCAAACCCCAAAACCCATTAAACTGACCTGACATGAGTTGTTGCAGTTGTATAAGAACCAATTCCTCAAATTAAATTTGTTTTCATCGTTGAAATTGGAGGCAGAAACCAACAAATATCAAGCAATCTGGAATTTCTATGGATCATAGAAAGAAAAAATAAACTCACTCTTACGTTTAATTGAGAGCTCTCATTGAAGACAGACCAAATCCAAATAATATATTTCAAGAAATGAGTGTCCAACCTGAAAAAATAAATAAAACTCATCAATTAGCTATAAATCAAACACAACGTTTTAAATAATTCAGAAAAAAATGACGTCACGTATTATTTCTTCGAAGAACCCAAAAACCAAAAAAAAACATAGTGAAAAAAAAAGAAAAGAAAAATAATTTTTAGCTAAACAACAGGCATGCGGACAAACGGAGTGTCGTACTAAAATGGAAAATCGGAGTTTCGTATTTTTTAAATGTTTTTTCCGTTCTTTCATTAGGTTTGGGATTTTTCATTCGCGTAATTTTTGTTGTTTTTCCTTGAATTTGAATGAAACTTGTTGTAAAATTCATAGTTATCTCTTTTTCTAGTACAAGAAACACACGTTTAGTTAATTTTCGATAGTTTTATACAATAACTGGTGCTCAATAAGTAATTTTATGAAAACATGTACTTTCTTGAATTTTTCTTCCGTTTAAAGTACTTATTCAAATTTGATTCATTTCTACTTTACAGGAAAAATGTCAGCAAAATGATGGAAATATCGAAACAATTTATGAAGCGAATTTTAGTTGAAATATTTTCAAAAACGAGGAAAACTGGAATAAATGTAAGTTTTTCAACATTGTTTTTAAAAATTTCAAAGAGCAAACTTGCTACATTTTCCCCGAGACATTATTAGGCGCTGGCAATCGAGTTTGAGTTTCACTATTTTATTAAACAACGCATGTTCCCTATTGAACATTTTTTATTCACATGAAACATTTGAAAACATATCAGACATATTATATTTCCTCATATTAGGGGCTGTGCTCCTAGTTGAGCGTGTCTCCCAGGCAGAACATAGTTCTATTTTTAATGACATTTCTGCTTATCTCGGCAAATTGAAATTTTGATGAAAAATAACTGATTTCCAATGAGACAGCCCTTCTCCTTTTGTGGGCTTGATTCCCGCTCCAAAAATGTTTCCCTATCGTCTCGATAGGGTAAGAAAGTAAGAAAGATTTTTGGAAAAAAATCCTGGATGAAGTCATCGATAAATTTTTCGAAAAAAAAATTATTTAATATTTTTTTTGTATTAAATGTACTCGTAAGAGGTTAAACACACGATTTACAATTGAATTCATGAAAAATTTCGAGTTTTTTGATCAAAAAATGACCCATGGCTAAATCAGGAAGGCTTCCTAATTTTGCCATGGAGAAAGTCATCGATAAATTTTTCGAAAAAAAAATTATTTAATATTTTTTTTGTATTAAATGTACTCGTAAGATGTTAAGAATAAGAATTATAATTGAATTCATGAAAAATTTCGAGTTTTTTGATCAAAAAATGACTCATGGCTAAATCAGGAAGGCTTCCTAATTTTGCCATGGAGAAAGTCATCGATAAATTTTTCGAAAAAAAAAAATTATTTAATATTTTTTTTGTATTAAATGTACTCGTAAGATGTTAAACACACGATTTACAATTGAATTCATGAAAAATTTCGAGTTTTTTGATCAAAAATGACTCATGGCTAAATCAGGAAGGCTTCCTAATTTTGCCATGGAGAAAGTCATCGATAAATTTTTCGAAAAAAAAATTATTTAATATTTTTTTTGTATTAAATGTACTCGTAAGAGGTTAAACACACGATTTACAATTGAATTCATGAAAAATTTCGAGTTTTTTGATCAAAAAATGACTCATGGCTAAATCAGGAAGGCTTCCTAATTTTGCCATGGATGAAGTCATCGATAAATTTTTCGAAAAAAAAAATTATTTAATATTTTTTTTGTATTAAATGTACTCGTAAGATGTTAAACACACGATTTACAATTGAATTCATGAAAAATTTCGAGTTTTTTGATCAAAAAATGACCCATGGCTAAATCAGGAAGGCTTCCTAATTTTGCCATGGATGAAGTCATCGATAAATTTTTCGAAAAAAAAATTATTTAATATTTTTTTTGTATTAAATGTACTCGTAAGATGTTAAGAATAAGAATTACAATTGAATTCATGAAAAATTTCGAGTTTTTTTTAATCAAAAAATGACCCATGGCTAAATCAGGAAGGCTTCCTAAAAGTTTCCGAAATTGAAATTAAATCATATGTTGAGCACATTTTTAGAATTGTCTAAAGAAAACACCTTTGATCAACTTTTTCCGGTCAAAATTTGTAAATCTGGAAAAGTTTCCAGTTTTACAAACCAATCTTTTTCGAGCCAAAATACATAATTTCAAACTAAAATTGAATATATTTAAAAACTTTATATCTCAAAAAAATTATAGGTTTTCAGAAATTATCCAAATCCACCAAACCATCCGCTAGGTTGTTGTCGTCCCCAATTGCTGCAAATATTTGTTAAGGAATAATTTTCAAAGGTTAAGGATTAATTTTCATGCCTTAAGTGTCTCTAGGTTGTTAGGCCAAACTTTAGATGGTATTTAATTTTTAAATCTTGAAATGTCTAAGCCATTCTCAAAACTAACTTATATCCGTTATATCCTCCTTGTCCACCATTATTCCAATATACTCCGCCACGTGGATAATATTCGTGACTATGATGATGATGATGATGATGACTGTGACTATAACTATCGTGGGCCATTGTAAAAATTATACAAAATACCAAAAATATTAGAGATTTCTTGAACATTTTTGGGAAAAAATAGAAGAATTTGACGCTTTTATACCCAATTCTTATCAAAAAATCACGTCATAATTTGTTACAAATCGTGCGCGGGTTTTTGGCGAAATGTGACATTGTCTTTCGTGTTTTTTTGTGTTGATTTGATGAAATGATCAACAGTGACGAAGATGAACATTGATCTATTTTTGAGATGTCTGGAGAAAGTTGTTTTTTTTTTGCTGGTAACAACTATCATTCAAATAAAATTCGACATTTTTTGAAGGAATGCTTTTGCATATTTCGGAAATATCTCAATTTTCTGAAAATTCATTTTGTAATACCTCTCAATCCGAAAATCAAGTTGATAAAAAATGCATTTATTAAATCAAAAGTTTAACCATGTTTTTACCATCCGTGATTTTTTGTAGGCAATTCGTCCAATTTTGGATCTGAGAATCAAAAAATATATAAATTCATAAGTTCATAAACTCCCACTCTTTTCCCAAAACCTTACATTTCGTGTCTAATTCCGCCAGAAACGCTTTCACATTTTCCACATCATTTCCAATATAATTTTTCAAGTTCGACATTGTTGCCAAAAGTGGAATATTTGTCTGATGTTCTCGTAACTCCATCAATTTTCCATATAATTTTTCGATTCTCATTAGATTTATTAATCTGACATTCCAATAGAATTTTTGGACATCATTCAGCGTAACTAGATCATCAGAAGAGCTGGAAATTAGTAGGTTTAAATAAGAAAGGCCGGTCCAAAAAAATAGAAATTAAAGTTTTTAGATGATCCGAGATTAGGAAATTAGTGATTTCTGAACTAATTCTAAATTTCTATGTGTCTTCAAAGCTTCTGCAAGATTTCTGGGGTCTATTTTTCTGAATTCACAGTTTTTGCTGATAAAAGAATTTTTCCAATTAAAACACCTGCCGTGCAAATTCTTCAACATTTGAGATTAAATGGCCCGGCAACGGAGATTATGAGTACATTTAAAAATGTTCAAATGTTGATGAATGAATCTCAAAATGCACGTTCGGCCAAATATATCTTTTATTTTTTTCGGTTTTTTTTATTTTTCTGAAATTTACGTTCAACTTCAATTTTTTGTGAAGTAAATGCATTTTGAGTTTCATTCATCAACATTTGAACATTTTTAAATGTACTCATAATCTCCGTTGCCGGGCCATTTAACTTTGAAATGTTAAACTTTTTTGTAAAATAATATGATTACGACGTTTTGTTAAAATTTCAGCCAAAAAATTAAGAAATATATTTAGACTAGAAAACAAACAACTTTATCATATTTTAATCCAAATTTTAAAAAATTAGAAATTCTTGAAACGTATTATTTGCATTTTGTATTATAGAAATCCCTCAATTTGTTATCATTCCATATAAGAAAACAACCATCCCGGGAGATCTTATCTGACAAACCTATAAATATGCGATCCGAGATCAAATTTCCTCAATAAAGTATTGATGGAATTAAATTGACAAGCCTCAATCATAGTCATTTTATGCGATCTCATCGTATATTTTTGAATTATTTCATGCGGAACATTTGACGGAAATTTAGAGAGCAGCTTGATTTGAACCATTTGCACAGCCACATATCTTTCACCATTTCGTTTGACTGCTGGAAGACGGGAACCATCAAAATTTACCCATTCCCATGCGGATAATGAAGAGATCAGAGGATCAGGATCAGAGGGTGGAAGAGAACGGGTAGTCTTGGGGGCAGCTGAGACAACCTGCAAAAATATGAGAGGTAATTGGGAAACTGTTTCAATCTTTTGAGAAATGCTTTGAATTTTTATAGTCCACGCGAATATATTTTACATCTAATCTCACCTCTTTATCTGATTTCGGCTGTGGTGATGCTTCTGGATTGTCCGCAAGCTCACCGATTTTCAGTGGAATATGCTGAAAAAATTAATTACAAAAAATGTGCGTGGCGTAACCAATAGCGCTACGGTAGAAAATTAGTTTACGGGGTTAGGAATATTGAACGTTGGTGTAAAAAAAACTGTAGGGAAAATCTTAGCGCATCAAATAATAAATCCGAGAATTAGCCCAAAATCTTGGATCTTTCACAACTCACATAAATATCATCATCAATAGTTTTCAAAAGATTCGTCAAAACACTGACAATTGAAATATTCTGTTCATTTGTCTGAATAATTGTCTCATATTGTTTTCTGATTCTTTTCATAACTACCAATTTAACATTCCAATAAAACATCATAACATCAGCCAGTTTCACCAATTCATCATTTTCATCAAATAATTGCTGACAACCCAAATCAAATTTCCGCAATAAAGTATTGATTGCGTTGAATTTCCAAGCTTCGGCTAATGTCATTTTCGTCGATTTCATTGTGTATTTTTGCATAATATCGTTGGGTATTTCGGAAGGAAATTTGGAGAGCAAACGAAGTTGCACCATGTGCACTGCCACGTATTTTTCTTGTTGATTTCTTGTGATTGCGGGAAGATTCACACCATCTATATTTATCCATTGCCACGTGGAAAGCGAGATGATAAATGGGTCTTGAGGTGTGGAATTTGAAGAGGGTTGCTAGAAAACTATAGAGTAAGGTATCATTGAATTTTAGGTCCTAAGCTTAGACACTAAGCTTAAATCTAAAAATTTCAAAATATCCTACCTGTTCGGCACTCTCCTCCAAATGTCCCTCCATTTCCAACGTCTCCGGTGAGCCGGGCATCGAATTCTCATTCACATCAATAATTGGACTCATATTCGACTCATCTCGCAAATTTTCGGGTTCCATATTTTTTTATTTCTGAAATTTTCGGAAATTCAAAATTATAAAGCGGTCAAAAATCGATATGTTCTCCGCATTTTTCAATGCATTCTAAATTCGAGGCGTGCATAAAAAATTAATAAGGAAAAAATACATTTTTTTCGAATAATAATAATTTTGGATAACCACCAAAGTAAAATTGTGTTATTATTTTTTCAACTCTTTAAAAATATATTTTTCTTATCAATATTTCTCCACCTATATTATCATCCACCACCAAAAAAAAAAAGAAATTTGAGATAAAAAATGTATGAGTGTGTGTATACAATAAAAACTGATAATTTTATATCTACAAAAAATGTATGATAGTTGGAATGTTGCCAAACATGACCTAAAAATCCAAATATATGGTTTTGGTGGCCTAGAAATGCAAATTCTAGTCCGCGCAAATGCGAAAAATGTTTTTAAAATTCCAATTTTCCATCACGTGACCTAGAAAATGTCAAAAAAATTAAGTCGAATTCCAAAACTTGTGGCATTTCTAACAACACTATTTTCATAAAAAGAACAAATTGCAAAGAAGAAAAATGGAATATGAGAAAACTTTTCACGATGAAACAGTGAGCACAATCAAGAATATACGTAATTTGCGTATGATTTCAGCCAGAAAATGCGGCTGAAATTCGGGAAATTGTCAGAAATTTGGTGGAAATGCAAGAGGCCAGAGAGATTTTCAAGCGTAGGAACCATCGGGCTGAAAATTGGGATTTTCAACTGCTCGATGAAAATTATCAAATTGAATCTAATTATGCAGATTTTAATTATAATTATGAGTATTTTTGGGAGGAAAAGGACGATTTTTGGGTAGAAAATTCACCAATTAGGCATCCGGAATACTGGAATTTCGAACCCGATTATGAACCAGATTTTGAACCTGTTTATGAGACTGTTCATAACTATCAACTTGACTATGCGCCTGCTTATGAGCAAAATTATAATCCTAGTTTCGAGCCTGATTTCAGTTATCAACTGAATTATGAGCCCACTTGTGAGCCAATTTACGAACTGGATTATGAGCCCGAATACGGAGCTGGTTATAATTATCCATTGGAGTTTGAATATGAGACCGATATTGAGCCCAAATCTAGGTCAAATTACAAACATGATTTCGAGCCTGATTATACTTATGAGCAAGTTTTTGGGCCATGTTTCAGGCCAAATTATGACCCGAATGATGAACTTGTTTATAATTATTCACCAGATTATGAACCAACGTTTCGAACTGATTTTGAGCCCGAATGTGAGCTCGATTATAGGCGTATTTATGCTCCAATTTACAAACCGAATGAACTCAATATTGAGCCAATTTATAGACCGGATTATGAAACTGAATTCGAACCTATTTATGAGCTGGATGAGCCCGATTGTGACCCTAATTACGATCCAAATAACTGCCAACCCGACGAAGAAAATCGAGAATATTCCGAACAATCCGAGGGATTTTTCGAAGCCGAATCGGGCGTTGAAACAATTTCCGAAGTTTTGAATGAGCCCGAAGAGCACGAGGATTTAAAATCGGATTATAAGTTGGTTTGGGATCCGACTACAGATACTTATTCGAAAGTTTGGAAATAAACAGTTTTTTTTTCAGCAAATTTTCATTATCAAAACCCAATTGTCAATAAATAATTCATTCTGAAAAATCTCTAAATCATCTAAAAAAAACCTTTCTAATCCACTAATCTTCCTGATCTTTCAAATTATAAATCGAAACAGCTTCCTCCAATAATTTGATACATTCCGAATGTTCAAATATTTTTGCATCATCTAATGGTGTTCTTCCATATCGATCTGTTGGTTCCGGACTATTTTTCCATTTTGATAATAAATATTCCAAAGTTTGATAATCACCTTCGGCAGCAGCTAAATGTAAAACCGATCGATTATCGTAGTCTTTCGCGTGGATATCGTGTCCCATTAGAAGAAATCTGTAAAGAAAATTGGGAGTTTTTTAGGGAGCAAACTTTGGGTTCCCAACTTTATTTTTAGTTGGAAAGGCAGTATAAAATAAACCAATTTTAGTAAATGAAGCGAAATTTTATAAAACATGAATTATTATTTGAAACTTTTGAAACTTATTTTCCCGGGTTTTTACATAAACAACCAAATTTCCGAATATTATCCCACTTTTATCCCTAGGTTGGTTTTTCAAGAATAAAAATCCACGTGGCACTATAAAAAACACCTCATCACATACCTTTTAATCGCCGCAATATCGCCCATCTTCGTAGCATACATAAATTTATTCTGTCCATCATATTCCTCTTTTAATTGTTTTCTAGGATCCATCTTTTTGTTGTCCGAATAAATCTGAAATTAATCAATTAGCTTATTTACTTATTTATTAACTAGACAAGATATCTTAATCAAATTAAACTATAATTATTTAATAATTGATTTCTCTAACTACTGAAAAAACCCACCAAGCTATCATAATTATGAAAATTATATCGTTGCACCAATTGTTCAGCGAATTTCACACCACGTACTGTATTTCCCATTTTATCTAGTCTCGGACTATACAATGCAATACCCATAACATTTGGAATAACAATTATCATATCACCAGAAACTCCAGATTTTGCTGGAAGTCCCACGTGGAAAGCGAATTGTCCAGACCAATCATACATTCCACAAGAATACATTAGGGATAATGTATCACGACATGCGCTGAAACTCAAGGGAAAATTAGTTAGAAGTTCAAAATTTTCAATGATTCTGGGATCAATCGAATATTCACTCAAATCTGTCAACCACCCTTACCGATTTCCAATAACTCTTTCACCATGCATCGGATTTACTCCACCATTTGCCAACGTGGCAGCCATTACAGCCAATGAATCACAATTTGTTTCAATCGAGCAAATTTGAAAATATAAATCGAGTGTGTCTTGTAAATGTGTATTGTCTGGGAAAACTTTGTGCTCTCGCATATAATAACTCAACGCATAATTTCGATCTGCGGTTTCTCGTTCGGACAAAAAGACCGAGTTGTTGAAGCCGATGTAGCCGTTTCCGACAAATTTTCGACATTGGTGGATCATCTGCAAAAAACATTCGAGTTATTTCGGCACCAAAGATGACATAGAAACCCGGAGACTTAACGTTTTTTAATAAAATTTACTATCAAAATGACTCAAATTTCGAAAATCCACCAAAACTCACAAAATCAAATCGATCTGATAGCGAGGCTTTATTTTTGAGCAACGACGCAACAACAATGGCGCCTGCATTAATTAGTGGATTATGTGGTTTTTCTGCAAAATGAAGAGCCTTTTTCGAGCTAACAGGTAACACTGGTCCTGGGAGGTTGACCAAAAATTGACCAAATTTTGACCAAAAACGAAAATTGGTCGAATTTTGACCAAAAATTGATCAAAAATATTTATTGGCCAAAATATGGTCAGAAATTGGCCAAAAAATTGGTCGAAATTTGGCCAAAAATCAGTGAAAATTTTAATTGTGAAAAATTTCGAAAATCTTAATGTTGTTGGGCAGACATGTTTTTTTGCGGCTTTTGGTGAAGTTAGGTTGATGAATTTCGTTGTTTTTCTACTGGTGAATCAATAAATAGGAGTAAAATACTTCGTTTGGTGAATTTTGGCGCCACTCACACCAATTTCACCATTGGCGCAAATTTCAGCCCCAAATCTTCAACTAAAATCAGTTTTGACTTATCTTGGAGCTATTTTTACCAAGCAGAGACCTATCTCGAATCTATCAGTTGTATTGATTGATCCTTGATTTATCAACAACAAGGGCTCATAGAAATCAGAAGTATTGGGTTCAAGGGCAATAATTTCCATTATTTTTGAAAGAATATTGTTGTGACAGCCATCAGCTTCGAAAAAAAATGACACCAGTGTCTCAAAAATCGTGCATTTGTTCCCAAAAACGTGAACTCAAAAACTTTCACAGATATATATGATTTTTATATCATTTTACTCAGCGTGAAATTTTGAATCGAATGGTGTAAACTATTTAACATCAAACACCACTAATTTGTGCGCGAAAACAATAGATTAAAGGCGCACATATTTGTTTCAGTTGGTCTCGCAGCGCGCTGTTGCGTTTGTGTGCATTTCGAAAATTTCTTTTTTTTCTGTTTTTTCGTTTTTTTCTGTTTTTGAAGGGGTTTGAGTAACTTATGAGAAGTTAAGTGAATAGAAAAAGCTTTCCCATAGTATTGACGAGCGAGATATTTTAGTGGGGCATTGGAAACTCTCTTCACGCGTCTAAATTGGGGCAAAATGGTCAGATTTTGGTGTTTAGTTGATTTTTTCGCCATTTTTTCGTGTTTCTGTCTCAATCCGTTATATGTTCTCCAATTATTATCGTCCATTTTCTTCTTCTATTGTTTTCATATTTGCAGATGGGACGAAAGCGGCTCCCGAAGTTCCAACAACTCGAAAATTGTAAGTAACGAAAAATACCGATATTCATGAATATATAAATAGCGGAAATACTAACGCTGATGTCGTAGCCTACTTTTCAATGAACATTTCTTTACGTGGCATTATGTTTCCCTCAGTTGTTCCTTTTTTCGGGCAACATGATCATTAATAATAATTTATTGACATTTCTGACTTCATATTGACATTTCTGACTTCATAAGAAATTTACGAAAAGCTAAGACATGGCTGCAAGTATTTCCGGTATTTCTACGTTAGCACAATTTTCAATATATCTACAGTTGTGCCCAAAGTTTGCCGAGTCCCCGTTGTTGCCGATCGTCGACAGCAAAACCGTAGAATTCCAGATACAGGTGGGTTTCTTTTCGTTAATTTTTATTCATAATATTCAAAATATATATTTTCAGGATTTAATGAAATATTCCCACAAGTTCCTGCAGATGATCATAATGATGGGAGAAATGGAGATGGTTCGCTTTCAGATATCGAAGGAGAGTCTGATTTAATGTTGGAACGTGAAGAATTGAATGTGGCCGAGGATTATGAGGACGATGATGATATTTACATGGCTCCTTTTGCTGATGATTCCGAAGGCGAAGATGTCGAAGATTATTATCGAAACAATGATGCGGATCCAGGTTGGGTGGAAGGTATGGCTTTATTACAATGAGGGGTGGGAGAATTTTGTGAATTTTTTCGAAAAATATTTTCGTTGCTAAATTTGTGAAGTTTGAACCAGATCCAAATTATGAAATTTTTCGAAACATGATTTTGTTCTAAATTTATCATATTTTCAAAAACATAACATGGAATGATGGTGAAACTTTTCAATATTCAAACTTTTTAGAATTGCAGAAAGTGGAAAAAAATTTTACAAAAATAGGGGTTTCGAAGAATATATGGGTTTAGAAAATATTATGCTCTGAGATGTCGAATGTTTTTACTTCAAGTATTTTCTCATTACGCTGAGAAAACAGGAGGAATGCGGAGAAAATGTATTTTCTTCAGTGAGAAAACAGGAGGAATGCGGAGAAAATGTATTTTCTTCACTTTTTTCGTATTTTCTCAGCCGACCTGAATAGGCTTTCTTCGTTTTTTTCAGCGTTGAGTAAATAACATTCTTGTTGAGGATCCAAAGTTTGTTGAAAAAGTATAAGGATGGGAAAAAGTTGGGACTGTAACTGGGATAAAAGAAAGAGGGCGGGCAAGAGGGGGGTTGGCACACCTGACGATACGTGTCCAAAAGGGACACTGTACAACAATTTTCAAAAGCCACACTGTACATTTTTTCAGTAAAAAGTGTAGTTTTCATTCATTTTCATCGGTTTTTTATGACAATTTTACAAAAAATTCAAAATTTCACGCTGCACAATTTTTTTTTTCAAAAATTTCCACGCTGCACAAAAATTTTGGAAAACTATCGCCAGGTGTGGGGGCGGAGGTGCTCACCTCCACTGAACGTGTGACGATTATTCTGGAAAGTTCAACGTGCGATTGACAGTTCCGACTTGCAGATTCGTTGGCGGATAAAATTCTGCACCTTTCCGATCCCGGACTTGTTACCTTGGCATCTTCAATAATTGGCAGAGATTCACAAACTGATCTTCGGCTTCGTTTACTAACAGTTGCGGCAACTGTTAAAAAAGAAGTTGAAGATATTTTTGAATATGCTATTCGACTTTTCAAAGACGTTCGGATTTGCTCACAATGCGGGAAAAATTAGTCGATAAATCAATATGGTAGTTTTTCTGTCTCTCAATATTTGAATTACTGTTTTCCTTAGCTGTGCTCGGTCGGAACATTTGTACAATCACCGCTAGTGGATCAGATTTCGTTAATAAAAATATCGACGAAATCTTGGAAGTTCTTCGCGATGGGAAATTGCCGAATCTCGCTTTAAAAAGAGCATGATGATCGCGTGCTCAAATCTGGGCATTCAAAGGACTTGTCTGAAAATTGCTATGTCAGTAGACTTAAATTGGGACTATATTTGTACGGTGTTTATTCCATGCAATCGAAATACGAAAGTTTTCAACACAATTATAAATGAAGTTATGCCAGTTCTTGAGCGATTATTGAATATCAGAGGTGTGTGATATTTCGTGTTGTCACCGCTGTTGCCGATCAACCGGTAACTTCATTTGTCATGCCAATCTCTGATTTTTAGGCAAAGCTACAAATCGGTCAATTCAGCATTTTCTTGCTTCTACTGCATTTGCGGTGACACTCTTCACAAATGTTCAGCACCAAGTTTGTAACATTTCTCACCTATTTTCTACAAATGTTTGTTGTTTAGGCAGAGAAAAACTTCTTCGCGATGGGAAACTCCTCAAGATGCCCGGTATGGACTTTTCGGGTTCATTGATGGTGTTTTTCAGTGATTCTTAGATGGATCCTTTGGCAAGTTCTTCTCGATATTTTTCACGACCTCACGAGTTTGTGTTACGGTAATCAAAGGCATGTTTCACGCATTAAATTCATGATGACCCTTCGCTTCTTGTTTTTTAGAATCGATGGAGTCCAAGATTCAAACCGAAATCGGATATTTTTCAGTACTTGTACAAAACAACTCTTCGATCAATTTGCTCAAAAAATCCATCTTCCAAACCGAATATCAAAATGTACAAGGCGTGCGAAATGGGACAAGTAAACTCGATGTGAGTTTGGAAGGAAACACGAATTATGAAATAAGTTTTTCAGTATTTTCGACTTTGCTTTTTTTTGAATGCGATTTATGATAAATCCTTCAAATGTACTGCCCGACTCGTTATTGTTTGTTTTGGAATGATTTCGAATTACTTGTTGACGGATTGTGAACACGATGTATGATCGCTGAACTTTGTCAGATGATCAAGAATTGTTCCAAAAAATAATTACGAACAGTATATTGTTTTTTACATGCAAGTTTTCTTCGCATCGCTTCGAATACTACCATTTGTTTCAGGAACTACTTTTCCATCTTCCACACTGTATTTTGTTATTTGGGAATCCAGCATTGGTTTCAACATCTGGTCAAACATTGTATCGATATTTGCTCTCCGATTTGCGGTGACACTCTTCACGAAAAATTTCGTTCAATCGCGTCTTCGAGTTTGTAACATTCTCATTTTTCGATACAAATGTCATTGTAGATTTAGGTCAGAGAAGTATATTCGAGAGAATAAGTACAGAACTCCTCAAGATGCCCGGTATGTTTATCAGGGTTCATTGATGGTGTTATTGAAGTGATTCTTAGATGGATCCTCCCATTGGCAAGTTCTTCGATATTGATTTCACGACCTCAATGAGGGTTTTTGTGTTACGGTAATCAAAGGCATGTTTCACGCATTAAATTCATGATGACCCTTCGCTTCTTGTTTTAGAATCATTTCCTAAACCAATGGAAGCTTCAAACCGAAATCGGATATTTTTACTTGTACAAAACAACTCTTCGATCAATTTGCTCAAAAAATCCATCTTCCAACCGAATATCAAAATGTACAAGGCGTGCGAAATGGGACAGAAGTCAGCATTTTGAGAAGTTTGGAAGGAAAAGGTCGAATTATGAAATAAGTTTTGGTATTTCGAATTTGCTTTTTGAATGCGATTTATGATAAATCCTTCAAATGTACTGCCCGACTCGTTATTGTTTGTTGAAGTTTTTGGAATGATTTCGAATTACTTGTTGACGGATTGTGAACACGATGGAGATATGATCGCTGAACTTTGTCAGATGATGCAAGAATTGTTCCAAAATAATTACGAACAGTATATTGTTAGCAAATTACATGCAAGTTTTCTTCATCGCTTCGAATACTACTTTTTCACTTTTGTTTCAGGAACTACTTTTCCATCTTCCACACTGTCACTTTGTTATTTGGGAATCCAGCATTGGTTTCAACATCTGGGTTCGAAACATTGTATCGATATTTGCTCCACAATTCCGATTTCCACGCATCGATCACGAAAAATTTCGTGCGAATCGCGTCTTCGAGGTTTGTCAGCTTTGGTTTCATTTTTCGACTCAAAAAAACCGTTGTTCATTGTAAGATTTGTGGTCAACATATTCATGAGAGAAGAAGTCAGAATTAGAAGTGAAGCCGATTGTTTAAATCAAAATACATTGAAAGGCTTATTGAAGGAAAAACCGGCTTGGATAAAATCGAACCATCAACTCCTTCGATGTGATTGATAGAAACATTGTGGATGGAATTGATGTTGTGATCGGAAGTCCGATTTTTAAATATTTTTCGTCGATAACTTTCACATATTCGACCCTAAAATCGCACAAATACAATTCAAAAAATGGAAGCTTCAGAAATGGAATTGTGTTTTACCAGAAGGATGTAATGAAAGTTGGAAGATTTGTGCTAGCCGCCACCCAATCCGACGATCATTATATAGTAGTCGAACTCCCTTGTCCGAAAAGCTACGAAGTCAGCATTTTTTGAGAATTTGAAAAAGAAATCGATGAAATGAAGCTGATATTGGATTGAGACAAAATGCGAGGAAAATGTTGAAACAATTGAAAAGGATATCGAGGAATTTTGATTGAAGAAGTGGCTAAACAAGGTGGTAGAGATCTTGTTGAAGTTGAAGAAATCTTAGGAATAGGCTGCTATTTTAAGAGCGATGAAGATATAATATGCCTGCTAACTCAATGGCGTCCCAGTTCATAAATAATTCAGTTAACTCCGCTCAAGTTTTTGTGAATGTTTTTGTTTGTTGGATATTTTTTATAATAAATATGTGATTATCAGATTTTTTTATACGTATAGATTGAGTTTTTACCCCTCACTATTATATTTCAATCATAAATGTAATCATTACAGCACTTTTTCTAGCATGCCTGCTATTAAATCTTGGGCCGAAACAAAAAAGGTAAACTATTTCAAAATCACTCCACAATTCCGATTACCATATGCATTTGTTTTCAGAAAAACAGTCGAAAATGATGTTCAAAATCGAATGGAAATCGAGGGTGCCGCCGCCAAAGCCGAAACTTCCAACTCCCAATTTAGCGCCTATGAGAGTTAGTTTGTTTTCACTCAAAAAATTGAAAAATTCGCAAAAAATTGTAATATTTATAAGATCTAAAAATTATTCAAAAATTTTCATAGAAAAAAAAGAATCAGAAAATTAATTTTTTGATTAATTTTTCAAATTTCCGATTTTTGAAATCAAAAAATTGAAAAATTCGCAACAAATTATAATATTTATAAGATCTATAAATTATTCAAAATTTTCATAGAAAAAAAGAATCAGAAAATTAATTTTTTTGATTAATTTTTCAAATTTCCGATTTTTGAAATCAAAAAATTGAAAAATTCGCAAAAAATTATAATATTTATAAGATCTATAAATTATTCAAAAATTTTCATAGAAAAAAAGAATCAGAAAATTAATTTTTTGATTAATTTTTCAAATTTCCGATTTTTGAATCAAAAATGAACATTTTTTTGCAGATTCCCTTGAAAAGAAACGCGAAAGCAAACTTGAAGTATTCAAAAGCTGGAATTGAAATATTGGACGTAGAAAGAAAGAATGAAATGAACATATTGAGGAAGATGAGGAGAAAATTGTTGAAAATGATGATATTTTCAAGAGTTTTGATTGAAGAAGATAAACAAGCGGAAGAAGTACAATTGCAAATAATGAAAATGAAGTATGTTGAAAGATTGTAGCGAGTCAAGTTCTTCGAAAACTTTGGTGTCTAAAAAAGAGTATCTTCCAGTACAATTAACGAATGCAGTGTTTTTGGGATGTTGAAAATGAATTTTGATGCGAGATGAATATGAGGTGATTAACAATTCTGTTTAAATCCTGAAGAGAGATAAAAAACTAATATTTATAGGATCTAGAATAATTTCAAAAAGGTGACGAATCATATGAAACCTATCAGCGTCGAACAATATTTGGAAATGGCTGATGCTGAGACAAAATTTCGAAAAATATTTATAAACAATTTGCTTTTCAAACAGCTCTGGTAGCCATCAATATAAGTTCAATATCATAAACCCTAAAGCATATTTTCAGTTCAACTACACCGTACATCGCAACCGACAAATCGCAACAGGGTCAACTCCTAGAAGTACGAAAATGAAGCAGGTGAGTTTTTTGGGGATTAGAGCATAGGTCTAAGATACCGTCCAAGCGAATTTCGAATTTTTCAATCAAAAAATTGAACAATTCTTTTGAAAATATAATATTTATAGGATCTAAAAATTAATTCAAAAATTTTCATAGAACAATTAAGAATGAGAAAATGAATTTTTTGATTAATTTTTCCAAAATTTCGAATTTTTCAATCAAAAAATTGAACAATTCTTTTGAAAATATAATATTTATAGGATCTAAAAATTAATCAAAAATTATCCATAGAACAAAGAATGAGAAAATGAATTTTTTGATTAATTTTTCAAAATTTCGAATTTTTCAATCAAAAAATTGAACAATTCTTTTGAAAATATAATATTTATAGGATCTAAAAAATTAATCAAAAATTTTCATAGAACAAAGAATGAGAAAATGAATTTTTTGATTAATTTTTTCAAAATTTCGAATTTTTCAATCAAAAAATTGAACAATTCTTTTGAAAAATATAATATTTATAGGATCTAAAAATTAATCAAAAATTATCATAGAACAAAGAATGAGAAAATGAATTTTTTGATTAATTTTTCAAAATTTCGAATTTTTCAATCAAAAAATTGAAAAAATTCTTTTGAAAATATAATATTTATAGGATCTAAAAATTAATCAAAAATTTTCATAGAACAAAGAATGAGAAAATGAATTTTTTGATTAATTTTTCAAAATTTCGAATTTTTCAATCAAAAAATTGAAAAATTCTTTTAAAAATATAATATTTATAGGATCTAAAAATTAATCAAACATTTAATAGAACAAAGAATGAGAAAATTAATTTTTTGATTAATTTTCAAAATTTCGAATTTTTCAATCAAAAAATTGAAAAAATTCTTTTAAAAAATATAATATTTATAGGATCTAAAAATTAATCAAACATTTAAAAAAAAACAAAGAATGAGAAAAATTAATTTTTTGATTAATTTTTCAAAATTTCGAATTTTTCAATCAAAAAATTGAAAAATTCTTTTAAAAATATAATATTTATAGGATCTAAAAATTAATCAAACATTTAAAAGAACAAAGAATGAGAAAATGAATTTTTTGATTAATTTTTCAAAATTTCGAATTTTTCAATCAAAAAATTGAAAAATTCTTTTAAAAATATAATATTTATAGGATCTAAAAATTAATCAAACATTTAAAAAAAAAGAATGAGAAAATTAATTTTTTGATTAATTTTTCAAAATTTCGAATTTTTCAATCAAAAAATTGAAAAATTCTTTTTAAAAATATAATATTTATAGGATCTAAAAATTAATCAAACATTTAAAAAAAAAAGAATGAGAAAATTAATTTTTTGATTAATTTTCAAAATTTCGAATTTTTCAATCAAAAAATTGAAAAATTCTTTTAAAAAAATATAATATTTATAGGATCTAAAAATTAATCAAACATTTAAAAAAAAAAGAATGAGAAAATTAATTTTTTGATTAATTTTTCAAATTTTCAAACTATGAAATCAAAAAATTGAAAAATTCTTTTAAAAATATAATATTTATAGGATCTAAAAATTAATCAAACATTTTTTTTAAAAAAAAGAATCAGAAAATTAATTCCTAATTTATATTTCAAATTTTCAAACTATGAAATCAAAAAATTGAAAAATTCTTTTAAAAATATAATATTTATAGGATCTAAAAATTAATGTAACATTTTTATTTAAAAAAAGAATCAGAAAACTAAGTTTTTGATTACTTTTTCAAATTTTCGAATTTTTCAATCAAAAATTAACTTTTTTTTTTGAATCGCAGGCCAAGTATACATTTATGTATACCGGAAATGATGAAGTGATTGTGGTGACACCGGTTATGAAAATCGCTGTCAATATTTTTCCTGTCCTTGTTCACAAGAAATGGGACAATTATTTTGCATCAAAGTTCACAAAACTTCAAAAAGATGTCATTTATGATATTTTGGATGAGGTAAACTTCAATTTATTTCAAACGAAAACTGGACACATTATTTCAGGTTGACCAACATGATGATTATCATCTTATTTTTACTGGACCGGTTGTTCACGAATCAACAGCAACATATTGTCCATATGCAAATGATTATACGAATACAATGACCGGTAATTATTTTTGAAAATATTTTCTCACAAAATGAAATGTGTTTTCAGAAGTATTTTTGGATGCTTGTCCCTGTAGATTCTCTTCAGAAGAAGAAAAGAAACAACATCGGGATGAAATAAAAATTGCTGTAAACACGTTCACTTCATCGTATTAGTGAGTTTTTTTGGGTCAGTATTAATCAAATTTTTTAAATGATACTTCCAAACTCCAAAAGTGCAAAACATTCGAAAATCATACTTTGAAAAAAAGTTACATTAGTTGAAATGTTTCAAAATTCACCTTCAAATATTTCCAGTCAAAAAAAACGAGATGATGCGATTGAAAAGGATAAAGAAAAGCAGAGAGAAATTGATGAGATGTTGATTAGTGTGAAAGGAGAAGCTGCCGGGAAAAAAAAGATGGATAGATTGAGAAAACGACGAACTGTTATGGGTGAACCGGATGAGTTTTGATTTATTTTTTGTTTTTCATAGATTACCCCTGTGGTATTGTTAAATTGTTAAATTGTTCGTTTTTTTGTTTTTTGTTGAAATGAAGTTTAAAACTTGAAAAGTTAGTCGAAAAAAGTTTTCCCCAATGATAAACAAAGCTGGAAAATGATCAAAAAATTGTGAAAAATTGGTGGGAAAAAGTTGTAAAATTGACCAAAAATTGGTGGGAAAAAGTTGAAAATTTGACCAAAAAATAGTGAAAAATTTTTCGGTGCATTTTTGGTCAATTTTTGTTCAAAATTTTTTTGACCAAAAATTGGTCAATTTTTGGTCAAACTCCCAGGACCAGTGTAATAAACACAATTTTATGGGGGAAGAAGGTGAAAACTCACATTTTCGAGTGAAAAAATGAATTCTTTCTGTCAAAAATCAAAATTCCAAATAAAAAAGCTCACTTTCATGATCCAGACAAATATCATTGAAAAGTCTTCCCGAAGGTTCTTGTCCAACATGAGAATGAAGTTCTTCGGGTCCGATATCATCGTGAACCAGAGCATAAGTGAATGGTTTCGAGACACTCTGAAATATTTGGATAATAAACATATTTTTTGTTAGATCCCCCAAAATGCTGACCTGCAAACAAAATGGTTTCAACGCATCTCCCCAACTTTTTCTTTGTCCATCAATTGTACAAACAGACATAGCCCAACTATCAGGTGCAACTCGTGATAATTGTGGAATATAAGTAGCCAATTCGCCACTTTGAAAACTTCGACATTCTTCAAAAAGTTGGCCTAAATCTGTGACGAATTTCTCCCAATCTGGTATCACCATTTGTTTTTTGACAGCTTTTGTCATTATTCCGATGCTACTTCCGATGTATCTGAAACATATTAGCATATTTGGTGTCAAAAAAACCTCCTCCACGAACCTCTTAAAAGTCTCCCGTTCTAAATACATATGTTGACTTCCCCAAACAAAATCATCCAATAAATCCGCATTCTTGATACTTTGTATCATTTTATCAATTCTCGGATCATCTTTCCTGATTCCACTTTCTAAAAGAGCCTTGAAAAATCGCGGTAAATACACTTTTCCAGTTGTTTCATCTTTATACAAATCAAATAATAAATCTTGTTGATGATTTCCGCACATATCTGTTGAAAGTGAACGATTTACGACAAGTCGAAGATTATTTTGACTTGATGAACTGGCGATTGTATTTACACGGTAGAAACTGCAAAAAAAAACAAATAAGGTGGAAATTTTAATAAAAATTTTGAGATTTTCAGAATTACTGTATGTTCCTTTTAAAATTGTTTTCAAACTTTTCGGGAAAAATTGGATCAAAAATCATCATTATTTTATGTTTTCCAACAAAAATTGTAGCTTTTCCCATTTTTTTGCACAATAATTTTGTAGCATCAAAAAATATGATTAATATGAGCAATGCTTCAAGACATGAATATTGGCGCCAAAAACCTCATTTTCCATATATTTTTAAGTAGGTATCTTTTTTCCCCAAAAACAAACATTCGTCATTTTTTCATTCCAAAAAAAAGTAAAATTTAATCCTTTTTCCGGTTTTTTTCGTAGAAAAAAAGGAGGAAAAGGTCCCTTTTTCATATGTCGAACAATAAGTCTTTTATGCAAAAAAAAACACAATTTTTAAGTGCTTTTGGTGAGCAAAAAAATCTAGGAAAAATGAAAAAAAAATTTAACGTGGTCTGAAAATATTTTCCACGTGGCCCGATTTTCTATGCAAAAATTTCAAAAATTAAACATTTGGAGAGAAGAAAGAGCAAAAAAGTTTCGAGCTCGAAATAAAAAATGATTGAATTAGCATAACTCGAGCGGAGCAAAATCAATTTTTTTCGAAAAAGAATTAGAGAAAAAAATCTGATAGGATTAGTTGACAGCTCAAAAGTTTCAAGAAAAACACGTTTTAAATTTGTTGCGCTAATCTGAGCAATGATCCTTTTCACATATTCACCTTCAAGTTCTTATCACTAAACATAAGAGCAAATTAAATATGAGAAATGCGAATTTCCACGTGGGTTTTTAACGCTAAAAAGTGCCACGTGGAAACAAGAAAAATTCACGTCAAAAATTTGATCTAAATATTTTTTTTTCAGAAAAAAAGTGGCATTGTATTTTCGTTGCAATTTTCAATGTTATGTAACAAACTTTTTGGTTCCAAATTTTCAGAAAAATATATTATGAAAACTGCCACGTGGAACATTTTCAGATTTCTGGGTTCCAATGTTTTTCAGGTGAAACCTTGTCACCAACATGTTCATACGTGGATTTTTTCACACTAAATTTTGAAAAAAAATCTACCTTGGTTTGGAGAAGTTCACCGTTGGTGTTCTCGGTGTCTCATCCTCTTCACTTTCCATTTTTGAGCGACGAAAAAAGTAGAAATCGCTCAAAAATCGCCAAAATTTCGACGTTTTCGGGCCGGGCTTTCTCGGACCGAAAAATTCGGGCCGTGTAGCCAAAAAATATATGTATAAAGAAAAGGAAAATAAAATAGGAATACTAAAAAGAGCTGGCGATGAGTGCGCAGAGAAAAAAGAAAAAATGGGCGGAGCCTAAGAAGTTAGGCTAAAAGCTAGGCTAGTAAAAATTGCAAAAATTAATCAAGCATTTTTTTACGAGGTGAAAAACTTAGGCTTAGTTAGACTTGGATGAATAATTCATGAGACGAGAAAATTGACTATAATTGAGTTTTCGCGCCGGAAAAATGTTGTATATGGCAAAATTTTCGCAATTTTTTGACACTGGATACGTCTGGGAAAAAAAAAAACTTTTGCCACGTGGCAAAACATTTCGCTCCAAAAATTTAGGTCTTTTTGACACCAATAAAATACCTAGATACGCTTTTGGAACCAAAAATCCACGGGAAAAAACTCAATTCTTTATCATTGCTCATATTAAACAATTTCCTAAAAAGACAATCCCTTCGAAAATTGTTTGCAAAGAAACATTGCTCAGATCAAATACCTCAAATTTTCGCCAAAAATCCACGAAAAACTCATATTTTGCGGAAATTTCCACACAAAAAACTTATGATTTTTGCTTGTTTTCAAGTTTTTTTTTCAGAAAAAAGTCACATGTTCAATATTTTCGAATTTCCCGACCAAAAAAACTCACTTTCTACACATTGCTCCTGAAAACACTCGTGACATCATATTTCCTGCAAAAAATTTCAAAATTTTTGAGATTAAAAAAAATGGTTTACCTGTCAGTTGACTTCGATGAATAAGCAAATAAATAATGAATTTTGACTCATATTTTTCGCGTTTTTTGTTTCACGTTTTTATTTTCGCAAAAACAGCTGTTCCATTTCATTTTCCTCATTTCTTGTTCTTTGTTTTTCTTTTTTCGTTCAAAAAAAAAGAAAATAAATGCGCGTCAAGTGTGGTGTGTGCACACATTGCCGTGTTTGCACACATTTAATGATTGAACACTGTGCCCGGAACGCGACATCAGAGAAAATGTTTTGCCTCTACCCTTTTCTCATACTCTCTTGTGTGTCTCTTTTTCTCTCGCGTCTCTTCACAACCCCACACACTCTCGCTGAAAACTGACTTTTGAATAAAAACCGCAATTTAAAAGCTTGAAACTCGGAATTTCGAAGAAGTAAGATGATGATCAGAAAGAGGAAGAGCAGTAGAACGCAGAGATATGAAATTCACCCAAAAAAGTTCTGGAAACGGCTTTCAAACACGAGTTTGAAAAAAGTGAATTTCTATTTTTCAATTTTTTTCATCCAAAAATGAATTTTTCCAAAATTTTCGTAAGAGATCTTGTAGAGAAGGTTAAGCTGGTTAGATTCCAATATCAAAGTCTTAACAATGATAGCTACTTCATGAAATTATCGCTCTCAAAGTTTCATACATGGGCAAGTTTTGGCAGAAAACCATGAGTTCAAATGAACATTGTTTGAAATTGTGTTTTAACAACAATGTAATATAGCTCTTCCTCTTTCAAATGATGTATAAAACTTCAGCTTTTTGGAAATAATTCGATGAGAAAATCCAGATTTGGTTTCAGAAGTTTTTTTTCCCCCAGAAAAAAAAGAATGGCCGAGATTTTTTGTTCTGGCCGAACTAATCGGAAACTCGGCCATTGTTGCGCTCAGGGCACAGTGATTGAATTTTTCTTTTCTTTCCTTCCCGTTTTCCCCCGTTTTCCAGGTCAAAAGCTGAAATTCACCATTTTCAGCATAATGGACGATTCGCATAGTTGCACGACGAACTCAACAAGCACTTCTTCCAAGTTTTTCGAGACTTCTGAAGATGCTGAATCAAAGGTGGGATTTTGCGGAGGGATTTCGGAGAATAACTTGAGTTTTTCTGCGGATAGATTTGCTGAAACTCGTTGATATTTAAGAAAAATTAATGAATGTTCAGTTTTTTATAGATCAAAAATTGTTACAATTAAGATAACCTGTTTCTATCCAAAATCCACGATAACCTTTTGAAATTTCAGGACGATTACCCGATAAACGACCTTCTTCTAACCGACATCGATTCCGAATCCTCTTCTCAACGAAGTATTCTTCTAACTCGTCGATCTCTCGATGATTCTTTTGGTTTTGCCCTCCAATCTTATGTTTTCAAACGATCCGAAACCGATCAATTCGAAAGAATAACTTATATAGATTATGTGTCATCAGGAAGTCCAGCAAGTCGCGGAGGAATTCGAAGAGGCGATATGGTGATTGCTGTGAATGGAAATTGTGTTATAACTAATAGTCATAGTGAAATTGTGGAAAGTATTACCAATAGTTTACATGTTACGCTGATTTTGGTGTTTAAAGGTGATTTTTTGAGGGTGGGAGTGAGAAGAATTCCGAAATTTTGCACGATATTTTTTCAAACTATACAAGGCCAACCAAAAAACTCTTATTTTCTTTCACAAAAATTCAAATTTTCAGACATCGCTCGAATAGTTTCTCTAACAATGCGAAGCATTCAATTAAAATGTTTGTTGGACACCAAAAAGCAAGAATTGGAAGAGATTGAAGACCAAGAAAAACAACTGATTTTAGATGATGGAATTTCAGAATGTAAGGTTTTTTGGGTGAAAAAAAGTGGAAAATCATTCATTTTCAGTAGATATTTCAAGCACATTATACGAATTGGACGAAGAGCTCAAAAACAACTCAAATTCTACCGATTTTCGACATTTGATTCGAATCAACAGCTCAAGTTCAATGGGATCCACACAAATCACAAGATTATAGAGAATTCCTGGTTTTCAGCCAAAAATCCAGATTTTTATGGGTATTTTTAACTGTCTTGTAAATATGAACATTTTTTGATATTTCAATTTCGAATTTATACTTTAAAAGATGGTTTTTAGCCATTTTTGAATATTTTTCATGATTTTTCAGGATTTTCAGAGTATGTAGATCAAAAATTTGCAGATGATTATGATGAAGAATTTAGCAGGATTACGGTCATCGAGAGTTTTGGGGGTTAGGTGAGTTTTTTTTTTTGGTTGGGGAAATTTGGAAAATTGGGATTTTTGAGCTAAATTTAATGAAAATTAGACTTGAATTTGGCCCGGAAATTCAATTGAAAAAAAATCGATTTTTTTTCAGATTTACATCAGCCGGTCCACCACCATCCGATCCACCAAAACCCGGCAGCTTGATGTTCAAATATGAGCAATTTGTTGGAAAATGGCCAAAAATTTTGGCTCTTCACAAAACTGTGATGAATGGTGGGTGATTTTTGACCTAGAAAAGTCTAGTTTTATTCCCGAAAATCGTAATATTTTTCAGGCTCACGCTGGTGTTTTTCCGACGTAAAAACCTATTATAAAACTCGAAAATCGCTGATGTCTGGCGAGAAAAAATTAGCAGATTTGAGTGTGGAACAATTGGAAACGTTGGTTCAGGTAACACTGATTTTTGGCTAGATTGTTCACCCAAAAATCAATATAATTTTTACCCCCAAAAACTTAGAGTGGTAGTGAGTTGGCGAAAATGATCGCATTGATGATTGTCATTCAAATTCCGGGTCCAGGCGATCTTTTGATTTTGATGCTGTGAGTTTTTTCGAGTTTTTGCATGATGTTTTCCAGCGAGGCTGAAAAAATTCGACACATCGCCATTTTTGGACCACTAACATCTCTAGTTTTCTGAGTTCCTTTTGAATTCTGACACATTTTACATCCAAAAGCATGGGTTTTGATGAATTTTTGATTTTTTAACGAAATTTCCGAAAACCTACCTTCAAAATACACAATATTCGATCTCAAAATGCCCCAAATTTTAAATAAAATTCAAATTTTGCACCAATGTTAGCCTAACTCATCGAATTTCCCGAAATTTTTCAGATTCCAATCGAAGGTCCGAAAATGGCGATTGTTTGTGTTTTGGCGCCAATGCCACTCACTGTCTATCTTTTTGGCTTCGCTGTGTTAGTGTTTTTCCCCTTTTTTTGTCAAATTTTAAATTCAGGCTGAAAATTTATCTGAAAATCTCAAACATTTTTCAGAATTTTCTTCCCGCGACTCGTTTTGACACGTCATTTCTGGTCCGATGAACAGCGACGAGAATTTTTCCAGCTGGAAGTCACAAAAGCTTTGATTAATGGAGAGCAATTGTTAAAGGAGGTAAGTTTGGCGAAAAATTCAACCTACAGTAATTTGGCCGCAAACTGAAGAATTACATTTTTAAGGTATCCGTGGAAACCGTCAAACCGGCTGATCAGTTGGAAACTGCACAATTGGTTAGTTTTTTTTTAATGTTAATTTACTAGGGCTCAAAACTCCGAAATTCGAGATTTTCTGCCAAGAAATTAGTTTTAAAAAATGCTCTAATTTTCTCCCTTAATTTTTTGCAGTTCCTTCTCCACGGTCTTCATTCAATGTACCTTCTTCCGGGTTCAACAAATCGAATTCAAAAACGAATAGAAGCTTTGAGATCATTGGATTCGCTGATTCCGTTGGAAATTGAACAAATGAATGAGAGACAATTAATTTTTGTAAGTTATTTTCGACTTCAAATACTTGAGTTTTTTCTGAAAACGTAGAAATTTGTGAATTTTGATATACAAATGTCAGCCTATAAATTCATTTGAAAATTCCTTTCCTTCCAGAATTGCTACATTCGAAAAATCGATATTGGCTCAAAAAATAAGGAACAACTTAAAACTTCGCTATTGGATTATGTGAAATTTAGTAAGAATTTTAGATTTTCAGCATTTAAAAAATGGGTTTTTTTTCCAGCTTCTCGGATGCCAAATTCAACCTACCTCTACGCTTCTGCACTTTTTAAGAAAAATTTGAATTAGGCTCTTTTTGGACCTGTTTAGCAATTAGGCTTTTATAGGACTTTAATTTATTTACGGGATTTTTAATAAAGTTTTGTTTTTTTTGTTGAATTTCTTGGTTGGAATTCTGTTACGAAAGTACAGTTTTATATTTCGCTTATTGATTTTTTGCTTGAAATTTCCAGATTTTCAAAATTTAAGAAAACAAAGTACATTTTCACTCTGAAAATTGGAAAAATCCAGAAAAGCTGAAAATTTTGATTTCAATTTTTCCTGAAAAAAAATTCTCCAAATTCCAAAAATATCTTCCCACGTCTAAGTTTTTTCTCGTGTTTTATTTTTCAAATAAAAAGCAAATCCCATTTTTATTTGTTCATGTTCTATTTGTCTATGAACACTGAAAAATACTAATAAAATATTGATTTATTTGAAGAAAAAAAAACAGAACTACAGTACCTCTATTAATTTCGCGCCAAATTTATTCCATACAAAAATTGTTTATTTATAAATTCTTCCAAAATTTGTATACATATAATTTTCTGTTTCCAAACAAAAAAAAATATTTTTTGTTGCACTTTTTCTATTCTCTGTTTCTTTTTAGCTCTTCTCATGCCTGAATAATTTTCGGCCTCATTTTTCCTCCAATTTTTCGAGCGCCTTTTTTTTCTTCATCCCAAGTGTGTCGTTTTTTTCTTGTTTTTGGCGGCAACAAAACAGACGAAAAATGAATTTTTGAATGATAAATGATTCGAAATTTGGATTAAGAAAGCGAGATTTTCTGAAATCTTTTTTGCTGAAAAATTCAATTCGATTTGTCAGGTTTTCCAATTTAAATCTGAAAAATTGAGAAAATCTACAGATCTGCAAATGTCTTAGAATCCCTAAAATATCGATTTTCTTGCCCTCGAATCTTCTCATTTCCAGATAAAAATCTCCGATTTTCTTCAATTTCCTTCTTTTTTTCTCATTTTCAATTTCCAAAACCAACCAAAAAAGCCTTTTTTTCTAATTGAATCTCTCTTGTTTTCTTTTTTGTTGTTGTATTTTTAGCCAAAAAAAGAAAACAAAATAGTTTTTTTTTGGTTGACGACCAAAAAAGAGATTATTTGCTGCTTTTTTCTTGGTTTTTTTGTGTTGAGCATGAGTTTTTTCTAAAAATGAGATTTCTCCGGATCAAATGACGTGATTTGTGACGTGGAAATTCGGGCAAATTTTTCATTTTCGAAAAAATATTTTTAAATTAGACCGGTTCTGAAATGGATCTAAACTAAAACCCAGACGTTTGAGAAGTGTCTGAAATATGAGCAACGTCCCAAAATTAATTATCCCTAAAATCAAATCTAACCAATTTTTGAGAAGCCTTATGAATTATGTCCTCTAAATGTTGTCGTTTTCAAGTGCACTTTTAATTAAAAATATCCAATTTTCCTGGAAATGTTTTTTTTACTTTCTCGCATTATGTTCTTTTTCATTTTCTATTTTTTTCCTCTAAAAATGCACATTTTTCTCAATTTCTTTTTATTTTCCAGAAGCCTCTTCTTCTCCTCGAATGAGCCAAAAAAAGAAGAAGCAATAAAACATTTGGCAAGAAGAATTTCCACATTTTTAGATGCATTTTTCGGTTTTTGGACGCATTTCTGAACTTCTATTATGGTGGGTTTTTTTGGAGAATTCTGAGGGGAAATGGGCTGGGCTTAAAAATCAGATATTGGGAGTTTTGAGAAAAAATGACCTAGAAACCCTACATTCTGGATAACAAAAACAATTTCTGGCCTAGAAAACCAAAATTCTTCTCATTTTTTGAGGGGGAAAATATGATATATTATATTTTTCCCCCCGTTTTTTCTCTCTTCTTTTTTTTTCATGAAATATGAGATGTCATAAAGAAAAGAGACAAATAATTTTTCTAGCCATTTTTATTATTTTTTTTAGTCAAAAGTGTTTTTGTGAAAAATTATAATTTTGGACATAAAATTTCTATTTAAAATGTATCTAATTTTCTTCAAATGTTCCCCTAAAATTCTGTGATTTTTCAGACAAATCGTATGTATCTCTCAAATCAAATATCTTCAAATTCACCTTCGAAATTCGATCTCCTTTCATCATCAGCTTCAGCTTCTTCAAATTTAGAATCAGAAAAATCGTGCTCAACAATTCTAACATTTCCCTCAACTTCTTCTGCTTCAAATTCTTCATCTTCTTTTGTTCTTCGACAACTTCGATTTTGTGATCGACCGGCTGTCGAACAAATATGTAATGAGAGTTTTCCGATACAGTATCCTGAATGCTGGTGAGTTTTTGCGATGTTTGGGAATTTTGCCTCGAAAATCTAGGATTTCAAAAATAAATTGGGTTATTGTGGATGAAAAATCGATGAAAAATGTTTATATCACAATTTTTCGCCCCGAAACTTTCAATATTAATATTTCCTCGTTTTAAAACCTTCAAAATCCACAATTTTTTCTCTTTAGGTACGACGAAGTTGTCTCTGGCTCCCTAACCTCAACTGGTCTTTTCGATGGTCCAATTCTAGCCGCTATAATTGTCTCAGAAACAAAAACGATATTCGAATGCAATTCCGAAGATCAAGATATTTTATCCGAACCAATCAATAATTCAGTTGTATATATTCTATCATTGGCTGTTGCGAAACCGTATAGAAGACAGGGTCTTGCGACGAGATTATTGGATAATCTGTTTAATACGGTATGTGCCTTTAAAAAATCATGAGTGAAATCTGGTGATTTTTGAATAAAACATGACCTCAAAACTACATAAATCTTTTAAAATTCTCAACAAGGATTATTATACATATTTACCTCCCTTTAAATCCCGCGTTCCAAAAAATCCTCAAAACTATTTTTGTTTCAGATTGTCATGGCTCCACCGTATCCACGAGCTGTTTTTCTGCACGTCCTTTCAACCAACTCGCCTGCTTTGTCTTTTTATAAAATGCACGGATTTCAATGGCATGCGAGTTTAGTGTGAGTTCTTTTGGCGCTCAAGATTTTGACTTCAAAAATTGATTTTCAAATTGCCACGTGAAGTGGCTCCGAAGTTGAAAGATTTTTTTCTAATTTTTTGAGACTTTTTTAATTGGAATTTATGATTTTGAATGATCAAAATTATGTTCGAAATTTCAAAATATGAATATTCCGAAATTCATTGACTCTGAAATTAGTGAAAAAATATATATAAACAGGCACATCCTCCTGGCCTTTCACAAACATCCCCCGAAACTTTGAATTTTTCCAGAAACTATTATCGAATTGGCGACGAATATGGCGATGGTTGCACATATGTTAAATACACCAACGGTTCTCGGCCACCAATCACATTCTATGAGATTCTCAAAATGTTCGGCACCACAATTTGTATGCCAATCAAAGCCGTCTGTAAATTCTTGTCTTTCTGAACACAACCAACACAACTTGTACCTTTTTTCCTTTTTGCACTCTAATCCCAATTTTTATCGATTTGTTTTCAGGTTTTTTCTTGTATTTTTTGAGGAGATGAGAAAGAGATTTTATAGCATTTGAATGAAATTTAATTTCAAACTTTTTATTTGATTACTAATTTGAATGATATTTTATAAGTTTTTATAGAATCATCCCCAGCCACTTCCAAAATTATCTCCGGGTATTCTAAATATTTTTGTCATAGTTACCGTATTTATAATATCAATCATATTATTTTTAAGTTCTGAACTGATTTTTTTTACAGTAATCCTTGGTTACTATAATTTATTTTCGAAAAACAAATTAACAATTTTTATTATCAGAACCAGAATTTTTTATTGATCCAAGTTGAACTTGAAGAGATAACTGACTTCTCTGAAAAAAACACAATTTTTAAAAAATATAAGGACAGTAAAACTTAAAGCATGGAGTTATTTTCAAAACTCAATTTCTACTCTCAACTAACTCTGTACGAATATGCAAGTCATCCACAAAATGTTCAAAACTTTCAGGATTCCGATGATTAGTGCAATTATGAGTAATCACAGCTCGAATTTCAAAATACCAACCGCCCAACCATCCATCATCGCCCGTAATCCAAAACACTCGTTTTTCTTGATTCTCGTGAGATTTGTACACATAAACAATTCCAGTGTTGAAAACTTCATCGTCAACGCTGCAAATTATAAATTGTATGGCTGAAAATCAAGTGACTGAAATATTTCAACCTACAGAGGGTCATCTTCAAGGATTCTGATTGAATACCACCAATTGTCATACTTGGAACATTTCATATTTTCTTCCGTTGTGATTTTTACTGTTTCAATAAGAGGAATCAGCAGAAAAATCAACAACAACATGGTTTTGCAAAACTTTGGAGGTTTGAAATTCTAGCCCACCAAAATTAAAATATATTTGAAAAAAAATGGAAAATTCCAAGAAAACCAGCATTTTAACCATTTTTTGTCCAATCTAAATTCCAATAAAATTAATTTTGTGACGTTTTATAATTTTCCCTCAATTATTTTGATTTGATTTTCGGAAGCTTTTTTTGCAAATTTTTTCGATATGAAAATTTAGGGGACTGGAGAATCCGTCAAAAATTATCAAAAACATCATTGTTTTCAGAAAATAATTTGACACGTCGAAAATACAATTGGAAAAATAACTGAAAACTATATACACCAAAAGTATTTTTCCCTCCAAAAAACCACAAAAAAATACGTTTCAAAAATTTCAAAAAAGAAATTGAAATAATTCGATCCCATTTAAATGTTTCGGAATCGATTAAAAATTAGAAAAATTCTATTACACCTGAGTTCATTCGCGATTTTCTGGAAGACCCGTTAAAATTCAAAGAATTTTTCTGAACCCGGGAAAAATTCCCCAAGCTATTCTCTATTTTTACAAGCCCAAACAATTTTTTAGAGACTAAAGCCGAAAATTCGGAATATATGTTTCATATTTTGAAAGGTTAGCAAGAATATTCATTGCTCAAAATGATTTTCTTCTAGAAAACCAAAAATTACTTTTTCTCTGGAAAAAAAAAGTTCCGCTGCAAAATTATTTTTTTTTTCAAAAAAAAATTAGTTGTTATCTCGTTGACCCTTTCCTTCATTTTCACTCTGTTTCAGTGTCCAGCTGGCTCATATCGATTTCTCTGCGACTCTTCTCTCTCTTACCCTCTTTTCCCCAGTTTCTATATATGCAAAACTCCCTTTTTCCTGAAATGTTTTCGCGCATTATTTTTCCAGCTTGATTTTTATTTTGCTGAAAATGGTGAGTTTATTTTTCATGATTTCTAAGAAATTTAACTAGGCTTCAATTTCGTTATATTTATTCGAAATTTAAATTATTTACTCGAATATCTTGAAAAGGATCTTGCAAAAGAGCCAAAATCTAAAAAAAATATGCACACCTGGCCGAGGTTTTGCAGAAACGCCACGTTGTCGGCGCCTAGGCCACCACATCATTTTTATTTATTTTTTCAATTTTAACCCGTTTTTCTAGCCCAAAACACGTTTATAATGTTTCAGAATGTCAGAAAATGCTGAAAATCATCAGCCGGACAACACGCAAAAGATGAACGAAATATTCCAATCTCCGGTGACACCGGAAATTCTGCAAATGATGATGGGATATTTGCGGCGGAATGGTTTCACCGAAACCGAGGAGCAATTGTCACGCGAGGCGACGAATTTGTTGGGAGGGAAATCAGAGTTTAGCAGTGCTGCTGGTCTGCCGCCTGAGTGAGTGATTGATTTTTGGGTGGGGAATATAAAATTTTTGGTGGAAAATGGGAAGTACTGGCTAGAAAGCTTTGAAAATGCTTTCTGAGATCCGGAAAAACCCTCGAAGGGCTTGAAAATTTGAATGTTCATCAAAATACGAATTTATATTCAAAAAACTTTTGAAATCAATATTTAAAAGTCTGAATTTAATGCCGAAAATATCCAATTATCTTCGTGAAAAGCTTCAAATTTATAATTTTCTCATAAAAACTCCTCTAAATTTTTCAGAGAAGCGATCACAGTCGAATTCGAAACCTTTATGAAACATGGTCTTAATAATCCGTCGGAAATAGTTCAAGTCGAATACAGTCAAATATTATTTCCAGTATTTGCTCATAGTTATATATCTTTAGTCGAAAGACAATCTCGAACATCTCGCGCATTTTTCGATCGATTTAGTCGTGTAATTCCAGAATGTTATAAGGATTATGTATATCAATTGAGTTTAGTCGAAGATTTGATAACTTTGAGAGCTTGTGAACATGTTCATACTTTGCGGGCAAATAAATTTTTGGTGAGATTTTCGAGGCCGACGAGTTTGCATTTGGATTTGGTGATGGCGAGATTGGTGGGAATTAAGAATATCATTGCAAAACATGTTATGATTGATCGTGAGTTTTTAATGGCTGGAATAATGGAAGAAAATTTCAGAGTTGATCTCTGTAAATTCCGGTACTCTTCCTGGGGACATTTTAGCGTCAAAAAGACGATTTTCCATCAAAATGTATTTTTTTTCTCACCAAAAATACCCCCAATTTAATTTTTGTAGCCACTGAAACCACTGCAAAAAATACGTCAACAATTGAAACCCAAATGGGTGGAATTTTGGGACAAATTGGAAAACACGACAGAAGACATAAAATGTATTTTGGAGTGGTAAAAGACGATTTGATGATAAATATTGAGAAAAAGAAAAATGAAAGGAAAAGAATGGAGAGATGCAGGAAAGAAAACGGCTACGGTTTGTATTTAGGGTTTTTTCTGACTGAAACTATGCTAGAAAATCATGTTTCATTATCGAAATTTGTGAAAAATCTTGATTTTTTGAAAAAAAAAGTGTCTTCAATTCCATTTTTTTTGTCATTTTCTCACAAAAACCCCATAATTTTGCAGATGGCTCCAACACTTGATCGAATTCCACTTCCACCAATCAGTGAACATTTACGAGAAGATCGAAGGAATCATCAAAGAGTGAGCTTTTTTCTTTTGAATTATTGGCACCAATTCAAAAGTCCACCTAAAAGCTCTATCTTTCATTATTTTTTGTTTCGTTCTAGGAAGTCGCAAAAATGGCACTTGTCTCAGCCGATTCTCCCGTCTCAATTTGTATGCATACAGTAATCAATGCACCGATTGGAGTTTCGGCTTGCGATTTTTCGGATGATTCGAATTTTATTGTCATGGGGTATGGTGATTTTTTTGACTGAAAATCGTGATTTCAAGATATTTTTGGTTCTAAAAACAAGAAAAGGGTCTGATTCTGAATTGCTCATTTTAAGAAGGAAAATATGGTTATTTCCTCAATATGAGTAATTAGAATTGGAAAATTAATCATTGCTCATATTAAACAAGAAAGTACTTATTGATTTATTTTTGCTCATATAAAAGTTATTTTTTTTGTTTTTATAGTATGAGTGATTTCAACATTTTAGTTCCTAATATGAGCAATGGTGTAAATATACAAAAAAAAACATTTTAGAAAACCTGAAAAAATTCACTTTTCCACTCTAAAAAATCCCTTTTTTGCAGCCTCCAAGATTCTTCAATCCTCGTAAATGCAATGAACCCGATGAATAAAATTCGAAAATTACGAGATATGGAATATTTGGATAAAATTGACATCGAAACAGCTGATAATATAAATGAACAAATGTTTGATCTACAAGCATCCACTTCAAATGTTCGATTTACGGGACACGGTGCTACCGTATTCTCTGTGAATTTCTCACCAGATCGAAGATTGTTGTTGAGTTCGGCTGGTGATAAAACAATTCGATTGTGGAGTATGGATACACAGAAAAATGTGGTGATTTATCGAACACCGGCTGTGGTTTGGGATGTGAGTTTTTGAAAGAGGGGATTGAAATCAGAATGAGATTTGGAGTATTTTGAGACCGCAAAACACTTGGCTTTGGCTTCGATTTTCTAGAATTTTGTAAATTTTTGACCCACGGAAAATATAGGTTTCAAAAATATTTGAAATTTTCGTTATTGAAAAAAAATATTATTAACTTTTTTTCCCAAATTTTGAAAAAAATAAAGTCATAAAAAATGTTCCAATTTTGCAGGCAAAATTCTGTAATCGTGGTTATTATTTTGCGACGGGAAATTCGGATAAAACAGCAAGTGTTTGGTGTACAGATCGAATGCATCCGGTTCGATTATTTGCCGATTCTTATGGTGATGTGGAATGTATTGATTTTCATCCAAATTGTAATTATATTGCTGGAGGTATTTTTGAATTTTTAGGGGAACATTTTAAGATCAAGTGGAATTTCAGAGCAAAAATCTAGATTTTCAGCCATTTTTATTTAGATGAAATCTCGAAATTTTAACTTTATATTTGAATTTCTCACGATTTTTCAAATTTTTTGAGTATAAACGAAAAATTACTAAATTTCTGTTGATTTTTTGTCTCATTTCCTACCTTTCCAATATATCTGTCATATTTTCCAGGCTCATTTGATCGATATATTCGAGTTTGGGATATGTTAACCGGAACATGTGTTCGCATTTTCTCTGGTCACAAATCCAACGTGATAGCTGTGAAATTCTCGCCGGATGGTCGATATTTGATAAGTCTCGATTCGGTTGGAAATGTTATGGTTTGGGATTTGGCTTATCAACGATTGTTTGCCGCCGAATTGACTGGAAATATTGGAACTAAGGTATGCCTGAATATTTTGATGTTTCACAAATTTTTTGAGATCAGATAAGTCTAAAAAATTAAGCTTTAAAACTGAAAATGAATTACAATTAGAATTTTCAGATTGTTTTTGGAATTTAATCAGAAGTGCCTAGAAACAATTTTTTACAGGGTTGTATCACATTTACACGGGATGGTGGAGTTTTTGCTGTTTCGCATGGAAATTCAAACATTAGCCTCTATTCACTGGACGCATTGGTTGCAAATATTTCAGCAACAGCTGCACAGACTGATTTGGGTGTCGAACCGAAGTGAGTTGCTATTTTGGATCTAAAAAATAAGGCAGAGATCTGAATTGTTTTTCAAATTTCGATTTTTTAAAGCATTTTTTACATGAATTCAAAAATCGAATTTTAATTTTGTTGCAGAGTAAACATGGACGGTTTCAATATTGGCACATATCCAACAAAACATTCATCAGTGATTGGACTACACTTTAGTCGACGAAATTTATTATCAGCTTTTGGCTGTTTTGGACAATAATATATATAAAACATTTGAATTTTTCTGAATTCCCGCTTTTTAAAATTACGTGTACCTTTAAAGGCGCTACAACATATCTTTTATTTTCAAATTTTTTTGTTGGAAAAATTTGAACTTTTGAATCTTCCCCTAATTTTTTTCTAGAATGTTCATGATTTTTTTTTTGCAGAAATGACGGCATTTGTTGAGGGACTAGCAAGTCCAGAGATGGAAATTGCTGAAGGCGGTGTTATTTTGGATAATAGAGCGTTAGTAGTTTTTACTGAAATTATGGTTAAAAAAGTGGACTAGCTTGAAATTTAAGCTCAAAATTGAAAATGTCTGTTTGTTTTTAAATCTTGAAATTTCAATTTTCTAGGGAAAACACCAGAAGCCTGAATTCCTTTAAAAAAATTCTCCGGATTTTCAGACGATTCTCGGATCTGAAAGCAATGTTAGACAGCAATAAGGATAATCTGAAAGTTGATGCTATGAAACGGATTATAAATGTAAGTAGTTCTAGCCTAAAAGGTTGGATTCAGTTCCTAAGCCCAATTTTTCCAGCTGATTGCAAAAGGCAAAGATGTCAGTGATTTATTCCCAGCAGTTGTGAAAAATGTGGCGGCAAAAAATGTGGAACTCAAAAAATTGGTATTTGTCTATCTGGTCAGATATGCTGAAGAACAACAAGATTTGGCACTTTTATCCATTTCCACTTTTCAAAGAGCACTAAAGGTTAGGATTTTGAGGGGGGGGGGGGATTTGGAAATGTTAAGTTGAAAATGAGGTCTCGAATAAAAATTTGAGTCTAGACAGTTGGGAAATTAAAATGTTTGGTTGGAATTGGCCAGAATGTGGGAATTTTCAGCTGACTTTCGACTCCGGAAAATATACGTTTCGAAATTTTTGGATAATCTTTTAAGATTCTTGGGAAATTGATTTATAAACATAGCTTCGAATTCGAAAAAGTTGGGAACCACACACACAGAAAAAGCTTGGTAAAACATGTAATTTTCAACCGAATTTTTTGAGCTTATCCACAGAAATTCCAAAATTTAATTTCAGGATATTTAAAATTCCTCATTTTCAGGATCCAAATCAACTAATCCGTGGCTCAGCTCTTCGAGTTTTAACATCAATTCGTGTTCCAATGGTAGCTCCAATAATGTTATTAGCAATAAAAGACGCAGTTCGAGATATGTCACCGTATGTTAGAAAAGTTGCAGCACATGCAATTCCAAAACTATATTCACTGGAGCCAGATTTGGAAGCGCAATTAGTTGATTGTATTGATTTTTTGTTAGCTGATCGCAGGAGTTTGGTATTGGGAAGTGCGGTTTATGCTTTTGATGAGGTGGGGATTTGGAGAATTTGGATGGAGGAAATGTTTCCATTTTTCTAGATCTGCCCGGACCGATTGGATCTTCTTCACAAACATTTCCGCGCTCTTTGTCGTGGTTTAGCTGATGTTGATGAATGGGGACAAATTGTGATGATAAATATGCTCACCAGATATGCGAGAACTGAATTAGCTAATCCGGATAAAGGAGCACCTGATACAGATATTGTATTGCTTCTCAATTCTGCTCGTCCACTTCTTCAATCTCGAAATTGTGGTGTAGTTATGGCAGTCACTCAACTATTCTATCATGTTGCACCAAAAGCTCAACTATCTCAAATAGCTCGTGCACTTGTTCGATTACTTCGTGGTCCGCGAGAAGTTCAATATGTTGTTCTAATGAATATTGCAACAATTTGTGAGAGAAATCCAGTGGAAGAGGGAACTTTTGCTATTTCGAAAACGATGTTTGACCCGTTTTTGAAGAGCTTTTTTGTGCGAAGTTGTGATAGTTCGCTGGTGAAACAATTGAAATTGCATGTGTTGACGAGTTTGGTGTCGGAGAGCAATGTGCATATTATATTGAGAGAGTTGCAGGTGAGGAAATTGGGAATTTCGGTCAATCCGGTCAATTTAGGCCTAAGAACTCTAGGAAAATAGTTAAAACCTAAAAAATAGCTTGGAATTGCTCATTTTTGACTAAACATTTCGAATTTTTTGTCTCTAGAATGCTTGTAGTTTTTCACCTAAAATTTGGAAAAAAACTGATTTTTGATTCATTGATTTTTTTCCTTTTTAGCCTGAAGGTTTTTGAAATTTTAAGGAAAATTAATCTGAAAATTTAGTGAATTCTGCATATTTTTATTTCGCTCTTAGAAAAATATTGAATTTTGGCCCCTTACCCGGCTTTTAAGGGTTTTCCGTTCTTTCACCAGAACCCTTCCCAATTTTTTTCCAGACCTACGTGCAAATGTCAGATCTTGCGTCAGCGGCAGTCGAAGCAATTGGTCGTTGTGCAATTCGAGTCGGCGCAGTCAGCGAACAATGTATGACCGGACTCGTAACTCTCATCTCCTCATCAGATGAAAAAGTTGTATGCTCTGCAGTTGTTGTCATAAAACGCCTTCTTCATGCCGATGCTCCAGTTTCGCTACTCGCAAGACTCATGCGACTAATGCCCAGAATGGTAGCTGCGCAGGCACGTGCTTGTGTTGTTTGGCTTGTTGCTACACATGTTGAGCAAGTTGTACATTTGGCACCTGATTTGTTGAGACAAATTGCCAAAAAGTTTCCGACCGAGGATGAGATGGTTAAGGTGAGGAAGAAATTAGAATTTTGAAGCACAAGCCTTTTTATATTTAAATAAAGTTTTTCTGATCCCAAAATCTAGATTTTCTATCGGGTGAAAAAAAAAGAAAAATTTCTCGAAAGTTTTCAAAATTAAACGATTTTTCTAAAATGTTGACTCGAAATTTCTGGCCAAAAAATCTATTGTCTTCATTTTCAGCTCGAATCCCTCAAACTAGCTGTGAAATTATGGATGATTCGCCGTTCGGAATGCGAAAAAATGGTGCAATACGTGTTCCAATTGGCCCGTTTCGATTTGAGCTACGATGTTCGAGATCGCTGTCGATTTTTGCGAAATTTGATGTTTAACACGAAAATTTTGGCCGAACACGCCGATGAGATTTTTATGGCCAAAAAACCGGCGCCTGCATTGGTTTCCTCGTTTAAAGGTGAGCATTTTGACACAAAACAATTTGAATTAAAATAAGCTACAGTTTCTCCTCTAAGCCTAAGTCTAATAAATAATTCGAGCCCAACTTTGTTGTTTTCCAGAACGCGATCAATTCCAACTCGGCTCTCTTTCGCATGTTCTAAATCAACGTTGCACAAAATACTTGGATCTTCCCGAGTTCCCCGAACTCTCATCAGATCCAAGTTTGAGAAAAGAGCCGACTGCTCCAAATGAGCTGAATTTGGAAGAGGAAGAAGAAGAAGAGGATGAGGAAGAAGATGAAGAATCTGGAGAAGAAGAGGAAGAATCGGAAGACGATGATGAAGAGGAAAATCAAGAGGAATCTGAAGAGGAAGAGAATTCTGACGAAGATGAAGAGGAATCAGAAGAAGAGGAAAATTCCGATGAAGAAGAAGAATCTGAGGACGAATCTGAAGATTCGGAAGCTCCGCCTCCTCCACCGAAAATCGCCAAAAACTCCAAAAAATTGGTGGAAAATGGAAAATCCAAACCAGACTCTTCTGAAGCCAATATCGATTTATTGATTGATGTTGATTTTTCAGCGGCGGGAAGTCGACAAATTGTCGAACCGGAGTTCGTTGAGGTTTGTGACTTTTTTGAAATATCCCAACAATGTAAATTTTATTGAAAAAAATTAAATTCCGTTTTCTTCCTTTTCTATCTTGCAGACTTCTGAAACTGAAATCTTGAATGTGATCGAAGGTCAAGGAATTTCTTTATCAATTCAATATCCACGAACAAATGATGGACAATATACACCAATTCGGTTTATTTTAATCAATAAAACTGATAAAGATATTGAAAATGTTGAGATTTTGAACAATGATTCACAATTGGATGTGAAGGGAAATACGAAGGTAACTGGAAAATTATATTTTCAATTCATTGCTCATCTCAACCATATTTTGATTCACACATGGCTCATATTAACATAGTAAACCGAAAATCCCCAATCAATTGTCTACCCATTGCTTATGTTAATCCCCATTTTATTTCTAGATTTCCCTTCTTCCCGCTGGTGCCCGTATCTCTCAAAACATTCTCATCGATTTACAAGACAGTGCCACTTCCCGTGAATGGATCCTTCAATCTCCTTCGCCTACAGTAATCCAAAAATCATTCCGCCTTCAAATACCGTACACCGAACAAATTCAACCGGTTCGCCTAAATTTATCGGAGCTCGAAAAAGAGCATTCGAGATTAGGAGGACTCAATAGAAATCTTGTGGATGCTCCAAACCCGGTAAATGTCGGAGATATTGTGAAATGCGCAAATTTATGTAAAATTGATGAAAATGTGTGTATTCTTCTAGTTTCTCAGCGACTTTTAAATGAACTCTGGAATTTTCAGATTTTCGTCGCTCAAACTCGATCCCGAAAAGATATTTGTATTATAAAATTATTGGAAAACGGAAAAATCGAAGCAAGTTGTGATAATGCAGTAATCGGACGAATTGTGGCATTTCAAATTTCCAAAAATGCTTAATTTTCTCTAAATTATTTTCTTTGGCAAAATTTACTTACTTTTTTCGAACTTATTTACTAACAAAAATGGGCCATTCAATACAATAAAATAAAATAAGTCAAATGAAATAAAATATAAATATTTACAGAACACATTTTGTTTAGGCTTGGAGGGAAAATTGGAGGGAAAATCGAAAGAGGACTTTACTCTTGACCATCTTGACCGAAATCATTTTTAAACTGTTCCAAACGATCCAAATCAGCCGAATTGACTGTGGGTTTGACAGATGACAGTGAACGACTCAAATCTTGCTGAAAATTAGGAAAAATGTTATTCTGGAAATATAGAATTTGCCTTGAAGCGGACTTACCATAGACAAAACTGGATCAGCTAATTTATCACTTGGCACATCCAACCAACTCATTTCAATAGCGTGTGCATCTCCTGGACTACAAGGGGCTAACAAATCATGAACAGTTGTGTTTGGATCTTTTGGTGATGGTCCAGAAACATGTCTGCAAAATGATTGTATTTCTTCGGCTAGGAATCAGAGAGAAAAATTGGTTTTTTAGTGGAACAACGGGTTTGAATTCAAAATTCAGACTTATATTAGCTAAAAAATCCAAATTTTCATCTCAAAAAACATACTTGAAATGTGTAGCAGATTGAACTCGTCGAATCGGTTGCATCAATGCATCTTTCACCAAAATACTAATATCGTATCCCGAATATCCTTCAGTTCTTTCGGCCAAAAACTGCAACAAAATAATTGGTTTGGGTTCATATTAACGGCTGATTTGACGATGTTTTAGCAAATAAACATGTCTAACCCAAAAAGTCTTACCTTATAATCCTGATCGCTCAAATTATTTCGATTTTTGCCAACATCAATTCGGAACATTTCTTTTCTCGCATGAATATCGGGCAATGGAATGTATATCCGTTTTTCGAAACGTCTGCAAAAAATGTTGATATTTCAAATTTTTCAAATTTTCAGTTAACCGGGCATACAATTTCAGAAATTCCCTAAATTTCACTCAAAACCCTCCCAAAGTCCTCGTTATCTAATTCCTCACCTTCGAATTGCAGCATCCAAAATCCACGGAATATTTGTGGCTCCCAACACCAAAATTCCATCATTATTCAATCCAACTCCTTGCATTTGAACCATGAATTCCGTCTTAATTCTTCTCGCCGATTCAGATTCATTATCCGATCTTTGCGAACACAATGAATCAATTTCATCAATGAAAATGATACTTGGTCGATTTTCACGGGCCAATGCGAATAAATTTTTCACCAATTTTTCCGATTCTCCCAACCATTTTGACATCAAATCAGATGAGGAAATCGAGAAAAATGTGGAATTATCGGCTTCAGTGGCAACAGCTTTTGCAATATATGATTTACCAGTTCCTGGGGGACCAAAGAGTAGAATTCCTTGCCATGGTTTACGATTTCCTGAAAAATGAGCATTCGTATGATATTTAAATGAAACACCTTAGAATTTGAATTTTTGTGAATTTTTAACTATTTTAATAAGGGTTAATTTTCCTTATTTTTCAAACAATATCCCGCTTATACACATGCTAAAATTTTAATTTTTCCCCTGAAATGTAGGATTTCCAACGATGCTCCGCTATTACACCTAGTTTTTTTCGAAACAAATAACCTCAAAATTTGACACTATTTTTCGAGAAAACTTGTGAATAATTAAAGTTTTCTCGAAAAAAGAAGAGAAATCTGAAACCATGGAAATGGTGTTGAATTTTTGAAATTTTGAACAAAAAACGTGCTCAAAACTTTTTTGTCAAGAAAGAAAAAACTAAGAAAGCTTTGTAATTAGTTTTATTTTATTAGCTTTCATGTGTTTTTCAAGCACCAAAAATAACACAACAATTTTATGTTTTTTATTCCCCCATGTTCTTTATGCTCAAAAATAATTATATTCCAAAGTAAAAATAAAATCAGACGAATTCTTTATTTTTGAAAAATGTTGATCTGCCACGTGACATGCTACAGTTCTTCTAATTTTTCGAAAAAATTCTTGTTTTGACGCCGAAAATACCACGTGGGATTTTCAGAATTCCAGGAGAATATAATTCAATTTTCCATCGAAAACTTCAATTTTGAGCATGTTTTTTCGCGGCTCAAAACTTTTAATTAAATTTTCTTTTGCGATGAAAAACTTTCCAATCGAAGACTCCTCAATAATCCAATCTTGATGGAAAATATACGTGGAAAACCTCGAATTATCCAAAAAGATTCCTAATTTTCTCTGGAACCCTTCAAATTTCTGACGCCAAGAAAAGAAGGAGCATCCTTCTCCACCCCCTCTTCACTCATTCATTCATTCAGCTCCTTCAAGCAATTTCCCTCTCTCATGTGTCCCAAAAAAGCCAACCACACAGAATTTCTTCTTCTTCTTCTTCATCTGATCAATAGACTTCTTCTCCTCTTCTTCACAAAAAAATTCGTTCCTCTCTTTCTCTAACCACCCTCTCATTCTCTCGTTTCTCTATATCTTTTTCTAGCTTCTAGTGAGCAAAACTTGGCTCTTTTCACTCTCTTTCTGCTCAAAAAATATACTAGAGAAAGAAAGAGTGACTGAAAAACGAGAAAAATATATATATATGTATGTCTTCGTGTTTTCTTTTTCCGTGTGGCTTTTTGGTTTTTTCTTCTTCTAGCCGTTTTTTCTTTGTCTAACCATAAAATGCCGTGTTATTTCAGTAAGAATGTGTCAAAAAACCTTAGAAAGCCTAACTAGAATCAAAAAAAAAACCCTAAAAAATTCTGGATTTTAGATTTTTCAGAATAGTTTCCAAAAAAAGATCCAATTGTTTTTTCGAAGCCTTATGTTAATCTTTTTATTCTTCATACAATAATTTCCAAATTATCTCACAATTAGACTTTTTTAATCCTTTCAGTCTCGAACGAACAAATTCCAACCCCGAAAAATTTAATTTTTGGTCCAAAGCTGGAATTCTAATTTTCATTTGAAAATCTAGAGTTTTGATTATAATGTGGTAGTTGCTCTTTGAAATTTGAGATATCAAGGCTTATATGTAATATTTAGATTGAGACCAAAGCTTCCTCTATATTTTCTTGATCTTTTGATCATCCCGACTTTTCGATTCCGATTTCCATTCAAAAAACCATTAATTTTCAGATCAAAAATGGGTGGTTTCTTCAGCGCCTTCACCAACACAGATTATGAAAATGAATATCTAAATCAAACGCATAAAATGGATCCGCATCCCCCATTAGCCATCAGTTTCGCTTTCTTTTCTCTACTCGGAATCATCGGAAACATCGTGCTAATAATCTACATAACCACTCAAAAACTCTATCAAAACTTCTACTCATCACATTTCATTGCTCATCTTTGTATTACGAATTTGGTCGGATTGCTAGTTTTGGTGCCAATTTTGATGTATAATGTGTATACAGGGGAAAATCTATTTATGTCTAGTCATTTGTTGTGTAAGATACAGGTTTGCTCATTTTTTAATTGAAAAGAAGACTAGAAATTTTATGGGACACACAAAAAACATACATTAATATTATTACAACAAAATAATTCTTTTGCGGATGCGAAAAACACCACATGCCGTGTATTTTTTTTCAAAAAAATTCGATGACATGGCATTTTCGTAGAATAGAATCATTTCAAATCTGGGTTTTGGGGACAAAAATTACAGAAACCTAAAAATCTCAAGACAATCTTCAGATCACCTGAAAACACTCAAAAGAGCATCTTAAGTCTTTAAACCTCGAAAGTTTCCTCAAATTCTTTCTCAATTTTCAGACTGCTCTAACAGTAACCGTGTGGACAGTAATGGCAATGATGAATCTATGCATAGCTGGTGTTCATCTTTTAACATTCGCCCGAATTCACTACGAACAATTATTCGGTCTAAGTCCCACCAAATTGTGCATTCTTTCGTGGATCATCTCATTTTTTTTGGCTCTTCCATCAATCACAAATGGTTCAGTTGTAGTTTATGGTCCGACAGTTCGAACTTGTGTTTTTTCTCACAAAGATTCGGGCCTCAAATTCTTGGTGTATGCTCTGATTTTTGGCGTGTCAATTCCAGCCATTTTCTCATCCTATGCTTATTTTCGCATTTTGCAAATCCTATTTCACAGTCCAATTGTTTTCCAGTCTTTGGGACTTTATAAGAGTCGATTCTTGGTTTATGCATTCTTATTGTGGTGAGTTTGAGGGGTCAAATCTGCTCAGAAGAATATTCAGAATTTCAAATCAAAATTCTGAAATTTCCACACGTAACATAAAAATAAATGTTACTCAAAAAATGTTCAAATTAAAGTTTAAAATTCGAAAACAAGTGCTCAAAAATGCCAATTTCAGGCTCATAATTCTCCAAAATTTTTGAGAATTTCAGCTTTAAAATATCATAGGTTGAAATCCTCCAAAAATTCCGCGCATTTTTGCAGCCCTCTCTACACAGTTCCCTTCTACATTCTAACAATCTTTCCACCGGATTCGGAAGTTCGAAAAGATGACAAATCAATGTGGCAAATCTTCTGCACATATTGTGCATTCTTTCCGTGTATAATTGCTCCCGCAATTTATGGCGCAAGTCTATTTATAATCAAAGAAGAGGATATGTCTCTGACGACGCGAACACACAAGGCTCCACCTGGAGCATATCATCATGTAGCAGGCCAACCACAACATAGTATGCAGGCACAATTAATTTAGACATATTCTTAATTGTGATGTTTTTTCCCACATTTCTTGTACATGTTTCTCTATCCTTTCATTTCCATTCCTTCCTTTATTCTCCTTTCCTAGATCCCTTTCTACAGGTTTTTCCAAATATTTTTGCCAAACAAATCAATGAAACTTTTGTGAATTTTGAGTTAATTTCAGATCAAAAATAAAAGATTTCGGCTCATTTTCTACCCCAAAAATATCACTAACCAGTAAATAATTGCGGGAACTTGATAGGTAAAATAACAGCTTCTTTCAATGCTTCTTTTGCTCCAACCAATCCAGCAATATCCGACCATTTTACATTTGGTTTTTCCATTACAATTGCACCCGATAATTTATCCTGCAAATTGAAATTTTATATTTTTAAGTCGAAAAATCGAAATTAATTTCAGATTATCCGAATTTCTTCTATCCAAATTCCTGGAAAAATTAATTGTTCTAAAAATTAATTTAACAAATCGAAACCAGTAATTTTCAAAGTTCTAATTGTAAGAAAAACTTGACCACTCAAAAGTTCCACGTGGATTCAGTTAAATTTTTTAAAGACTATGAAAAGTCTGAACCTCATCATTTTCCGGTTACAAAAAGTATGCCTCATATGTGGAAAATTGCAGATTTTTTGACATAAAAATTCCAGCCACAATATTTGGTTTGATGAAACTGATTTTCCAAAAATTTAAAGAAAATTCCTAAAAAAAAACTAAAATGCGAACAATACAAACTTAGCCGGACTTTTATGGATTCCACGTGAGAACTATGAGCTTAAACAATGTCTGGTTTGCTTCAAAATCAACTAGGCGTAAATTTGATCTAACAATTCCAAAATATTGGCCAAACATGTTTCTGGGTTAAAATGTTAAAAAAACAGGATTGTTTCTTCAAAATACTCAAAATAAAGCTTGTGAAACCCAATTTTCAATAACAAAAACTTCTAGACTCAAAATCACGTAATTTTCTCAAATTTTGGCTCAAAACCCCTAATCCAAACTAAATCTTTCCAATTTTCAGCCAAAGCTTCCCACCTGCAATTTCTTCTTATCAGTATCTTCATCCGAATCCGAATCTTTTCCATCCTTCACCGGTTTCCGTTCTTTTCCTTCTTTCAGAAATTTTTTGATTTGTTCGGCTCGATCCAAATAAGTTTGAACTTTTGAGCGAATTGCATGTTTTTGTTTTTCGCCTTGTGATTCGTCTGAAAATAGGATTTTTAGACATATTCGACGGTGAAAATCGAAGTTTTTGGGTAAATTTTAGGTCAAAAAGTGCGGCGTCTTAGCCATTTACATTCATATAAACTCATAAAAATCACAATTTTTAGTCCAAAAATAAATTTTTGTTTTTGCCTTGAACCTCTCCAAATTTTTTGAAAAATCAACAAAAATAACTCACATTTGATGGCGTGCAAAAAATACTCGATAGCCTGATCATAAAACCTCAAAGCGGCATCATATTTTCCGGCCGTATCTTCTTCTGTCGCTTTTGTAACCAATTCGATTGCTTTCTGGAAAAAATCAAAGTGAAAATTAAGTAAGTAACTTTTTTCAATGTTGAAAAGAAAAAGTCCACGTGGCAATTTCTAATGAAATCTCATAAATTTCGAAATCCAATTTTATTTTTCAATCAAAAGCTTTGAGAAAAATGTGATCTTGCTCGAGATGTTCAATTTTTCTATTAAAATTTGAGGAAATCTCGATTTTTCACTGGAAAAATTTGATTTTCCACCTGAGAAGCAGGTATTTTTTAATTTAAAAAAACTTGTTACTTGATATATTTTTTAATTTTCCTATAAAAATTTGAAACAGATGAATTTTGCCAATTGTCGTCTCAATTTATACAAAAATCCAAGTGTTTTAATAAAAATCTTGATTTTTTAAAATTAATTTTCTATCAAAAAACTTTATAAAAACCGCAAATTTCGAAATTGAAACAAAAACCTAATATTTCAATATTAGGTCATGACAATTTGAGTTCGTTTTTGAAAAGGAGGTCACATTTTTGAAACTTCTGAACAAAAATTTGGCGAAATAGATTTTGGTTCGAAATTTTCAAAAAGTTTTGAATTTTGAAAAATGAATTTTTTTTTGAAATTTTCAGAGTGCTCTTGGAAATTTCGATGAGAAGGGTGTGATAAGAATTACGGTACTATGAGTGAAGATGCGATGTATGGAAATAACTTTTCAATTTGAAATGAATGTGCACAAAAATTTCAACAGTTTGCAAAATGTCATTAAAAGTTTTTTTCCGAGAACGCTAAACTTCTTTGTCAAATATAATCCACCGATTTTCAATCAAAACACCGTGAACTGTTTCTAATTTTCACAGTAACCTTATTCAAAACCTAGTTTTCTATCAATTTTATCGATTGTTTATAATATTTCCCAATCAATCAATCAATTCTTCACCATTTTCATTTTTTGATACAATTTTCAAATAAATCCTACCTGTAGTGCTGTTGTCGACATATCTCTCCAACGATGCTCCAAATTCCGGTGTTCTCTGCAAAAATCACTATTTAAAAAGAGGAATCAGGCGAATATAGTGAGTAGAAAAATTGCGAAAGAAACTGAACGCAAAAAACAGGTCCAAACGATACTCCACATGACTCAGATAGTTAGATACGCATGCATTCACTGCCTCAAAGTTTCGCACAAAATTTCAAACTACCTCCTTTACACGCTACGCACACGCAACGCGTGCGCCAAAAGGGAATAGCACACAACATGTGTGTATGTGTGTCTAATCTCTCTCACTCTCTCGTCCCTCGCTCTTTTTCTCTGACTTGTCTCTCTCCTCTCTCTCTCTCTCTCTCCAATATACACACACCCCGCTCCTCCACCACTTTTTCCCTCAATTTTCTTCTTGTATTTTTTTCCGCCGCCGCGTTTTCGCTCGTTTTTACCAATAATACCAAACCGATATTTTTCCGAACAGGGGCCCAACATTTTTCACCATCATTATTATCCCGCCAACTTCTCCACCATCACAATTTCGCCCCATTTTTCATCTCAGTTGGCCACATACCACAAAAAACCAATAAATTCTATAACCTCTGCTAGCCGCCACCCCGCCACCTTCAAATCCTTCTCCACCCGCACCACATGCGCCTTATGGGGTGCGTCGGCGCTGGCGCCGATGCGGAAGGCCGCGAGGCGCGTAAGGTCAACAAACAGATCGAAGAACAGTTGGCCAAAGATAAACAGGTTCGTTTTTTGGGTGGGAGATGCATTTTGCGGAGAATAGTTTATGATCATTTTTCGCAAAATCATCTGGGACAGGGAAACCCTGAAGTCTGGGAGGTTTTCTAAAAAAAAATGTAGGTTAATTCCGAATTCTCCTTTGGATTTTTTTCAGCTCACAGCTATTTTTGGGTATTTTTGCCGCTTTTTTCTAGAAATCTACAGAAATTTTAACTAGACCCTAGGGTTTCAGCAATTATTTTTAGCCAGCTGTCTAGAAAACCGAAAAACCCGAAAAGTATAAAAATTTATGCCAAAATCTTGTTCGCAAGTTCAGGCCTTTTTCCAGGAATTTTCAATTTTTACGAAAAAAATTCCGGCGAAAGAGTTTCGCAATTTTATCGATTTTTTGTTTGCAAAAGTTGTGAACGCCTAAAAATATTCTGACAATAAGATAAAAAATTCAATTCTAGAAAAGACCAGAGAAAAATCTAGATAACTCTTGAAACCAGGAAAGCCAAAAAATGTAGAGTGAGCCTGAATGAGCTATCTAGATCTCCAAGCCCGAGAAACTTCACGCGAAACATTTCGAATCAATGAAAAGACGTCTAACGGTCTTGAGGCTGTCATATGGTTGATATCTGAGGCCTACAAAATCAAAGCCTATGAATTTCGTCCAACCCCAAAAAAATATTGGAAATGAGTCCAAAATCCTTTAGATTCCGAAGAGTGGGCTATGTCTCTTATCAAATCAAGGTTCTTCTACTGATTTTCAATAAGTACCAAAAAATCACCTGGGTCTAGATAATTTTCCAAGATATCTATTCAGTATCATGTTAAAACTAAGCTTAACAACATTCCAATCCTCATTTATCATATCTCCCCATAATTAATAAATAATTCAATAAGACCCCCTTTCCTATTTTTCTTCCTTCTTCAAAAATCGATCGATCGATCCGGGAGAGAATTGTTGTAAAGCTTAGCTCATCTCTTGCCTCCTCCGGGGTCCAAAACAACAAGAAGAATATCTTCTTTTCCTTCCCTCCCCTTCCCATCATCTTTTCTCAATTCATTTTCAGGTTATGCGTGCAACACATCGTTTGTTGTTGCTCGGCGCCGGTGAAAGTGGCAAAAGTACAATTGTGAAACAGATGCGCATTTTGCATATCAACGGCTTTAATGACGCCGAAAAAATGGAGAAGATCAAGGATATTCGACGAAATGTGCGCGATGCTATGCAGGTACTGCCACAAAAAATCTTGAAAATCTACAAGAAATACAAAACACGCAGTGTAAAATTGCACAATTAACAGATTATGTCTATACAGAAGTGACTCCCAACCAAAAATAGAAACAATTATTTCACACAAAATTGCGCGCGCGCCTCGAATTTCGTTCCTTTTCTCTCTCTCTCTCTCCCCAAGAGAGGTCTGAGAGACAGAGACAAACCACAAAAAATAGAAGTTGCCCTAACTATTAATAGAATTAGATGAGGAGGAGGAAATTTGTTTGATGGATCAAAAATAATTTGCACATACAATTCTGTTTTTTGGATCAAAAAATGGACGGGGTGGGCTAAAAAAAACTGGGGAAATATTGAATTTCTAAAAAAGATTTCACGGAATATATTTCTAGATCAAAATTTGACGTGCTTCCAAATGGTAAAGCTCAAAACTTGAATATTAAACAATCTAGATTTTTATCACAAATAATTTCACGGGCAAAAAAATGTCGAGCTGGTACTTCCGCAAAATTTCAGTCTTACGAAATCAGAGAATAATTTACGAATGTAGGATTTTCTTTAGGTTCAGAAAACTGTCGAAAAACAGATTTTTTGAAATCTTTAATTTTTATTCATAATTTTTACTGTTTCAGTTTAGGCTTAAAATTGCAATTTCTCAAAAATTCAAATTTCCTGACCAAACAGAAATTTCGGGCTTCTCTACAGAATCTCTTTTTCTTGGATCTAATTTTTTGGGTTGAAAAATCAAACATTTCGCGAAAACCTTTGAATATAGGAACAGGAATCTTTCAAACTCAAATTATAGAAAATTTCACAGAAATCCGGAGACCCGAGCCTAGATTTAACACAATTCCAAAAATCAAAGTCGAGGTCTCAAATCTCACAGGTTTTCAAAATTCCAATTTCCCAATCGTTAATTTTCAATTTTTCCTGAGAACCCAATTGAAGTAAATATTTTTCGTAAGATCATAAAGTTCTATACCAAAATCTACCAAATTTCTCAGTTTTTGTATAATTCAAATTCCAAAAATTCTCTCGGACCATCGAAATTCTCTTTCTCTCTCTCTCTCGTTTCTCAAACATACATACACAACAAATTTATTGTCTCTTGACGCCTTTGTAAAAGTCGATTTCGATTCCTTCTTCTTCTCCTTTTCGCCTCGTTTTTCTTCTTCTTCGCTTCCCTTTTGCTAGCTCCTTCTGGCGCCTGGAGTAGCAAAAAAAAGAAGAAGAAGAAAAACGAGGCGAATCGCGAAGGAAAAAAAAGAAGAAGCAAGCAAGCAAGCGAAAAAGCAAGCATGTTTCTATTTTTGGAACGCGCTCGCTTATCGATTTTCAGGCATATAATGCATACAAATGTGTATGTGTGTGTGTGTATGTATGTTAGCTGATATTTTCTCCTTTGCGGAGGGCCCTTTTTGTGTTGTATGTGTGGTTGGGAAAAAATGAGAAAAATTCAGAGAGAAAGAGAGCTTAGACAGAGAGAGAGAAACAAAATAGTTGGGTGCACAATTTGGTGTGATTTTGAAATTGGAAAAAAAAGAAGAGAAAAAGAGAGGATGCGGGCGGGTAATTGATGGAATTAAAATTGGATTTTCAATGAAATTTATTCGCAAAAAATATTGAAATTTGGTAAAGAAAATGAAATGGAATTTTGTAGCTAAATTTATGAAGGGAGTTATGGGATTTTGAAATTGAGTTCTATGTTTTTTCAAGGGAACATCTGCTTTTCAATAAATGTTCCGGTCCAAGATTTCTAAAAAAAAGTTTTTGTGAAATTATGAATCAATTTGTTATCTCATTTTCTAAATTGGTTTTCAAATTTTGGAATTTTCGCAGAAAACGTATAAAAAACCGATTAAAAGCTGAAATCCTAACTCTTCAGAAGTTTATCAATGTTGGACTTCCTAGCAAATTCTTAATCGAACTTTTTCATGAAAAATTTTCCAATCGAAAATCTAGAACATTTGAAAATTAAGATGTGCCAAAAATTTCCCAATTAATAATCCTTGCTTCCCACACACACACACTCACTCAAAAAATTTCCTCACGAGAGAAAATTGCAGGTAATTCTAACATCGATGGACGAAATCGATCCAAAAGTGTCGTTGGACGACCCGAGCACTGCAATTAGCCGCGATTACGTTCTTCGCGTCACCAACGACCCAGAGGACAACTATCCACCCGTCAGTTATTTTTTTCTTTTTTTTTTTGAAAGGGAGGGGTGTAATTTTTCGAGAATTAGAGAACGAGAGAATCAGAGACGAAGCGAAACCTATAGTCTTACTTATTTTGATCTCAATTTTCAGAGAGATAGAATATAAAAAAGGTTATAGACGTAGAGAGACCTACAAAACCTCAAAAAAAGAAACAAAACATTTTGCAGGAATTCTACGATCACATTCTGAAATGCTGGAGTGATAAAGGAGTTATTGCGTGTTTCGAAAGGAGTAGTGAATATCAATTGATTGACTGTGCAAAATAGTGAGTTTTTAGTCTTTGGGGAGGGAGAGGAGTTTGGAGTTATGGAAATGTTTACTAAAATTCTATTTTCTGATTATTTTAAATTTCAAATTATGTTTAAAGGGGGGGTAAGACGACAAATTTTTTTTGTCGCAAAGTTAAAGGCTCCCCAAAAGTAGTAAAACCTCCAAGGGATTTTTTCTGGAAACGCTCAGAAAAAATGTTCCATAAACTAGGTACCACGTATAGGTATACGTTGAAATTATTCCATAAACTTTTGGACAACGTATACGTTGAAAAAAGTTCATGGAATATTTTTTTCGGACCTTTTTAGGCCCTTCGAGAAAAAAATCCCCTGGGGCTTTTACTATTCAAAGAAGGCCCGATTCTTTGAGCAAATAAAATTTTGTCTTCTTACCCCCCCTTTAAAAAAGTCAGGATTTTCTGCTTTTTCGAAATCTTTAGATATATTTTCTAAAGCTTTCAAAAAAGCTTTGAACTTTGAAAAAAGAAAACATTGTTCATGTTAGTTTTTTTTCGAAATTTTTATCAAAATAAAAAATTCTTCTTTTTCTACAAAATCCTCCAATTTCTCCATTTCTTCACAAAATTTTCTTTACAAAACAAAAACCAATAAACCAATTTATTTCCGAACAAATTTCAAAAATCAATCAATAAATTATAGTTTCCTGGACAAAGTCGATGTTGTGCGGCAGAACAACTACGATCCTAGCGAGCAGGACATTTTACGATGTCGTGTCATGACAACCGGTATTTTCGAGACAAAATTCGAAGTCGACAAAGTTCGGTTTCAGTGAGTTTTCATTTGGCTTTAATAATCAGATTCCAAAAATTCACAAAAAAATCTCACATTTGTTTTGCAGTATGTTCGACGTGGGTGGTCAGCGAGATGAACGACGAAAATGGATTCAGTGTTTCAACGATGTGACGGCTATCATTTTCGTTTGTGCATCTTCTTCGTATAATTTAGTGCTGTGGGAAGATGCCACACAGAATAGGTGAGTGATTTTTGGAAAAAGGAGCTGAAAATATTAGGGAAATTCCACGTGGGACAAACAAAAATAATAATGTTTAATTTTTTGAAAAATGAATCGTCAGGTTCAAAACAGTTTTGAACCGCCAAAAAATGTCACGCGGCAGTAAATTTCCTAGAAAACTCAACATTTCGTATAATTTTTTTAAATAAGACCACGTGGCAAAAACCTACAGAATTTACAAAATTTCGTGTCAAATTCTTTTCCACGTGGTGCTAAATTGTCTGAAAATGTTAATATAAAAATAATGATACGTGACAAAAACTTACGGGATTCTCAAATATTTGATTGCACGTGGAAAAAAAAACCAAATTTTTCAACGAGAAAAAATTGTACCACGTCGAACAAAAATTAAATCAAAATAAAAACTATGAAAACAAGCAAAAAATTATCAATTTCGCGTATTTTGCAGATTACGAGAATCATTATCACTGTTCAAAAATATTTGGAACAATCGATGGCTCAAAACAATTTCGGTTATTTTATTCCTGAATAAACAGGTTAGTCATACAAAGGGAAGGTTAAGAAGAAGCCTATTAACGGATCCGGGGGGCTAGATAGGACTTGAATTGGGCTTAAGGAGGGTTTCAAAATGGGTCCAAACAAGATAACTTATTTATCTATGCTTATTAAAACTAATTTTGAAATCAATTCCTAGATTCGTCCTAGGCATTACACTTATTCCAAGTTCCGCTTTCAGGATGATCCAAGGCTTGTTTAAGCTCATTTCAAAGCCCAAAAAAGCCCCCATTCAGACACATTCTAACCACCTTATTTTCAGGATTTACTATCGGAAAAAATCAAGGCGAAACGATATCTACTAGAATCCTATTTTCCCGAATTCGCCAATTATCAACTGCCCAACGATGCGGTTTTTGAGAACGGAGATGATAAGGATGTGGTTAGAGCCAAATATTTCATCAGGGGCGAATTTTTGGTGAGTTTTTTTTTTGGATTTGGGCTGAAAATCCCCGGAAAACTCACAATTTTCGATTTTTCGTTGGTTGAAGATTCATTTTTTGAAAAGAAAATATTGAAAAATGAACATTTTTCGGCGATTTTCACGTTTGGAAAAGTGGGTCACGTTGAAAAATGGGGAAAAATAGAAAAATGTTTTTTTTTTCGAAAAAAAAAATTATTGAATGAGAAAAAAGTTTACCGCAAACTTTTGATAGTAGATCAAAAATCTATGATGAAAAATCGTGGGGCTTTTTTTTTAAAAAAAGTGAGCAAAATAAACTATAAAGTCTTGTGACGAAATATTACAAATTTTTACCAAAAATATTGATTATTCACTGAAAATTCTGTGAGAACTCGATATTTCAAGCTATTCTAAATAGCACACATTTCATGAAAAATTTGAATATTGTGTTTCTGGGTCACTTTTCATGGAAATTATCGATTTCTGGGTCATTTTAACTGAATAAAAAAATGGATTTTTCTGTAATAATTTTCTATCGCAACTATCGATTTTTGACAAGAAATTTATCAAAATCTATGAAAACCAGTTTTCCTGCCAAGCCTGATTATTCATTCAAAATTTAGGGTCGAATTGAAGCCTGTTTTTAGGCCAGCACAGAATTTACCCTAAACGTTGAAAGACAACGGACCCCGGTTAATTTTATCACTAACAATCGTTTTCTCCTCGATTTTCATTATATTTCCCCTCGAGCTAATTCAAATTTCACAATAAAATGTGATTTTGCAGAGAATATCAACAGCAAACAGCGATGGCCGCCATCACTGTTATCCGCATTTTACGTGCGCCGTCGACACTGAAAATATTCGTCGAGTGTTCAACGATTGTCGCGATATCATTCAACGTATTCATCTACGACAATATGAACTACTTTGACGACGCATTTTTTCGAATTTCAGATATTTTAGCTGAAAATCTTGGTTTTCAGCTGAAGAAATCGCGGATTTTCGGCCCAAAAATCTACCATCCCCTTTATAATATTTTTCCCTTTTCCGATATTTATATGCGCTGAATAGAGTTTCAACATTTTTTCAACATATATATTTTCATATTTTCTCATGTTTTTCTCTCAATTTCTCTCCGTCTCTCAACAAAAAACAAACAAATAAGCTTTTCTTGCCCGAGATTTGTCCAATTTTTCTCGCGCGTGCGAGAGGATCTTTAAAAAGTGAAATTAGGAAAAGGATATTAGTGGTTTCTAAGTTCCGAAGCTAAAATTCTTGGAAATACGGATTTTTATGAATCTAGGCTTAGATTTCTTGATTTTTTATCCTAGTTCAGGTTCATTTTTTTCATGAATTTTGGCTCAAAAACCACGATTATCCCATTCTTACTTCCGCAAAATCGCTTCTCCCGTTCCACCCCCAAAAATCGGACAAAAAGCTTGCCTAACTCAAAACACCCCTCCCCCTTAATAATTTTGCTTTATTTTTTCAACCCACAAACCTAGTCATCTACAAAATCTACTCTTACTACTGTATGTCCCTTTAAAAACTGTGTGTGTGTACCTTACTTTATCGTAGGCACTGTGCAAAAATTATTTGAAAAGTTTTAAAAATCCGTTTTGTCGTCACCGCAACGTGTAATATACCTATATTTTTTGGTCGAAAATCGACCTGATTTTTGTAATTGATTTATTATTGATTGATTTTTGTGTGTCCTGAGTCTTTTTTTTGGAATAAATAAATAAATTAATTGAAAAAAATCGGAAGAGGGTTTCAAAAAAAAAACCTAAACAAACTTCAAAAATATGAAAATAAATTAATTGAAAATTCAACACAAAAAATTAGCAAAATTCGAGGAAAAAAAGTGAAAATTCATTTAAAACAACAATAATAAACAATTAAAATTTAAAATTTTTTTGACGAAATTTTCAAAGACATTTGATGCGCTTTTTCGAAGGCTTCGATTTTTTTGAAATAATTCGTCAAATTTTCGTCGGCCGATTTGCGGAGCTGTAAGAAAATTGGGATAAAAATTTTTTAAATTAAGATTTGAAAACGTTTGTTCATAAACACTACAAAAAACATTTTCATGCTGGAAAAATCATATTAATTTAATTTTAGCCTGAAGAAAAAACAAAAATTATTTTTATCAGCATACATCCGAATTATATAAAAACTTTATAAGCCTGAATTTGTAAATGAAAAATTGCCATGGTTTTCTAGTGAAAACTAAGCCTTGAAAATTCCAGAACTCAAAACTTCATGAAAATTCCCAAAAAATCGCTACCTTCAATACTTCTCCCTCATTATCATTTTTCGCCAAAACTCCACTTTTTCGCATAACTTCATCAATCGCTTGATATGGCAACCATGTTCTTTGTCCATTATTCGACACTTTTTGACTTTCTTTTTCCACCAAATCCAATACAACTCTCAAAGCGATCTTAATGTTTTCAAAATCCAATAAACATCTCAAATATTCGTTTGAATCATGGTTTTCGAATAAATCGTGAAGCCAGTATGGAATTCCGAGTTGGTAGCTACAAAAGAAAAATTAGGCAATTTTTTAAATTGAAAATTTAGATTTCTTTCAGGCCAAAAACCCCATCAAATTTAGAATTCTAAAAAATCACCTCAAAAATGCTTCAGTGGCTCCTCTCATCGGTCTCGAATCTTCAGGCCAAGATCTACGTGCGGCATCAATTAAACCTCTTACAACAGCCCAATGATCATCACAAGTTGTCATTATCAAACAATGTCGTCGATTTAGTCGAACCCATCCACCAGCTTGTGTCGCAGCCATTTCAACATCCAATTCATTTCCAAACGAATCAATCATAATTGCTTCTCTTACCAGCGAATAATACAAATATTGCGAATCCAACGCGAATTGTCGCGCGACATCAAAAGCCGCGTCAAAATGCCACGTGTCTATTAGCGATTTGAATAGTTCTTGAGGATTTGTTGGAGGGATTCCGTCGTAGAGTTCACTTGATAATAATGAGACACGGGAAGCACAAATCACCCATTCATCTCGAATTCTGCAAAAAATGGGATTTTTTGAGCAGAAATATTCGGTTTGCCTTCTTTATTTGAACATATTGAAATTGAAAAATCTAGGTTTTTGGTCCAAATCTTCAAGATTATTCTGAACTTTTTGAAACCGAATTTTCACCATTTTTGTTAGGAAAATAAAGATATTCAGCTAAAAATTCAAAGATTTTTGTGAAATTTTGAGCTTAATATTACTAATTTCAGACTTTTCGCTGGAAATCGTACAAAATTCGTGCTATTAGCTCAAATCCTCTTCTAAAAAACCCACTGTTTCTCAGTCAAAACCAGCACTTGTTGCCTTCTCCTCAAATCCCATTTTTCCTCCACTTCTTTCTGAACATCTTCCTGCATATTTTCCTTATCTTCCTCTTCAATTTCTTCCAAATTCATTTGTCTTTTGTGCACATTTCCATCTTCTTCTTCTTCACCCATCGATTCATCGATTCGCTCCAAAACTCGTCCTCGGGTTTCTGGATTTTTCTGTGAAGTTGTTGCAAATTCAGGCAATTCTTCGGGAAAAGCGGGAAAAACGAGATTTGTGTCTTCGAAATCGTCATAGACAACATCGTCTTCTGCAAAAAAATATGGAAAATTTAGGTATGCGAATTGAGACTTTTCTCGATAAGCTAGGAGTGAAAACTGTTTTTTTTAAACTGAAATCTCCTACCTTCCGGTTGAATACTCAAAACAGCTTGCATATTCAAAACAGCAGCCAATGCATCTCTTCTTCTTTTCAATAATTCAGCTGTCATTTGATTTGAGGATTCGATATGTTTAGCATATTCATACATTGCGCAGGCGGCTGAAAATTTACTTTCAAGGTTAAAATCATCAAATTTGGGTAGGAATCCACAAATGCTTACCCATTCGATAATCCTTTCTCGTCACATAAAATGCATAAAGCAGCTCATACAAATGTTGTTTTTCATTTGGTGATTGTCTCGAAGCGGCATCTCTCAAAAAATCCTCAACAACTCGTTCATGAACTCCATAAATCATTGTTGCAATCGCTTCCCATTCGCCTTGTGACAACATTAATATGAGCAATTCACGGATTGAGGCTCTGCAAGAAATATTTTTGAAATAGATGAAAGTTTAGTTAATGAGCATTTTTCCACGTGGTGCAAATTTTAAAAAAATAGAATTAAGGAATAATTTGACGAAACATAACAAATCAGTAAATCACTTGAAAAATAACAGAAAAATATTTTCTATGGTTCAGGAAATCGTAAAATATTCTAAACGTTTAAAAATAACATACCTCCTGGTCTCCTGTTCCTGACTCGTCCTCAAAACCAACTTAAATGCCTGGAACCACTGTCTTTGCCGTGTCAAATGATTAAACAATGTATTGGATATAACTTGCACACTATCTTCATTCGTCGATTCGCTCGATTCAATTGCCATCAATGCAACACTGACAACTTCTTCCGAATGTCCATGATCTTGCAAGAATCGGACAACAGTAAGATAGAATTCAGATAATGCCAACATTTCAATCGGATCCTCATTCGGTGCCACAATAAAAGTTCTAGGTAACAAATAATAAACAGCTCTTCTCAATGCAGTATTTCCATCAATAAATGCCTGTTGAACACTTTGAAATGAATTGAGAGCTTTTCCCGGATGATCAGTTCCCGAATACGCAATTCCCAAATAAAAATTAATCGCCGGTTTCAATTCTCTGGTCTCATTGATATATCCATGTAGAATATCACGCAAAATTCGATATTGTTTTTCATTGACAAGTCTTCGGAATAAAATGAGGATTTCAGATGTTGATAAAAGTGCGCGAACTGCATTTTCAGTCATAATTCCAATGAATGCATTATAAGATAGACCAATTTGTTTTTGTTCCGGTGTGATATCATATCCAACACCACCTTCTCGTGCAATCATATCCATTCCTTTGTCATCTGATGTGAGCCAAGTGCATAGAGACATTTTGGCGCCATTTCTGGAAATTTAGGAAGATTTTGCATTTCTAATACAGAAAATATCTCATAAAAATCCAATTTTACATCCCTAAAATCTAACTCACTTCACAATTTTCAAATCCAATTGTTCAATCAATTCTCGATAAATCCGAATAATTTCTCGCAATTCAATTCTCAATTGATCAATTTCACCAAATCCAACATACACTTTTTTTGATCGATGATTATCCAAAGCAGATAAAATTGATCGAAGAATCAATGCAAATTGGATACGTTTTTCAACAGTAATCCTAATATTAGCAGCGATGAGAGATTGGGTGAATGTGCCACCAAAACGAGTGCGAATTGGATCACCTGCAGAAAAAACATTGAAAAATCCACTTCTTCCATCAAAAATCCTTCAAAATCTCACCTCCCAAACTTGAACAATCATAATTGGCCGATTCAATCAATTCTCTAGCCAATCGAATAAAATACACTTCAAATATGGGATTTACCACCAGATTTCGGCCATCTTTTTCGAAATCATATCCATTTTCAAATATCTCTTCTTCATCCGAAAAAGTTCCGTTTCTTGCGTTTGCACAACGAGTTCGCTCGTGATTCTGTAGAGAAAAATTTCGAATTTTTTGAATTTGAGGATCCTTCAAATTTTTAAAGAATTTTCAATCATCTAATTTAGCTTAAAACTCCATTGCTCACCATCGCCTCAATTCTTTGATCCGCAATTTTCGCCGCCTCTTCAATCAATCCAACAACATTTTCATTTGGTAAATTCTCATCTCCCAGTCCCAAACTTGCGCCGGGCGAAAACGATTCCGAATCATTTTGGCACAGAATTTCGAATAGCTCCAGACTATTATCACCGATTACTGTAATTCGATCTTTATGCATCACAAACATCAACATAACATCTTCGAACATTTGGACGGGAGCTAATGAGATAACACCGCGTGCTGCGAAATCGAGTTCTTCGCAAGCTCGGAGAAGAGACCACCAAAAGCTGAAATTGAAAAATTGAGTGTGGGGAATTGGAAAAAAACTTGTTTTTGTTTTCGAAAAGAAAATCTTTTAATTTGCACGATTTTTCAGCCCAAATTTTCAAATCCAAACATAAAATCCCCACCTTTTCTTGGCCAAAACCAATGCTTCTTGTGGTGCATCCAATTTCATCCTCACACTTCTCTCACTCTTCGTTTGAAATTTCATCTTGAAATCGACCGAAAGAATATAAGTTTCAACAAGTTTCGCCAAATCCATCCAATTTCCATATCTAACATGAGCAATGGCAGAACCTCGATAATTGTCGGTGACAATTTGAACAGCTCGATGAACAACATCAAATGAATGAAGATCTGTGTCGAAAACAACATCGGAAAGACTTTCGATTGATGAATCAGTTGATAGATTATAGGGATTTGAAGAAGATGATTTTGAGATTGGTTCCGAATCAGATTCAGCTGAAAAATGTAGGGATTAATTAGAAGTTTCACAAAAATATTGATGACTTTTCATGAATTCCAGTGAAAAAGTTTAAGACTTTCAATTATGTTTTGGTCATAAAATATCGAAACTCACGTTTCTCCGCAAAATCTCCTCGATTCGCCGAACTCGACACAAATCTCTGAACTTCATGCCATCCGAATTGTTTGTGGACAATTTGGGTTTCCCAGTTTCTGGAAAATGGCAAATGGTTTCCCAGTTTCAAAAAAATTTTTTGGACTGATACAGAGATGTTTCCAGGTCATATTCCACTCCCCAAAATCACTTACATTGTCAAAGAAACCCTTCTCAACACATAATCCTTGCTCATCGCCAAATTCCTCGTCAAAACAGTCACTTCAAAAGCCCGTTCATTTTTTCCGGCTTCTCCTTGATTTCGTCTAACTTCTAACATTCCAAAATCCACAAATCTTTCGTCTCTTTCATTTTCCTCTGCTCTTTTCTCAAAAACTTCCAAATGGATCATTTCTTTATTAGTTACTTTGACCAAATGCACAAAAATCGCAGATAAATTCGAATTCTTGCAAATTTCCGCCGAAATCGCTAATAAAACTTCATTTTGCACATTTTTTGCCGAAATTCGATAATCAATTTCCACTTTTTCCTCATCATTTTTTGGTGTATAATATGAGCAATGCGGTTTTAAATCAAGGCTAAAAGTTGTGTGTCTTTTTGTTTCCACATTCCATCCTTGAACAATTCCATCTTTTGTCACACTATAAACAATATCTGATAGAAATCCCGAAGATTTTCGATAATTTATGGAATTTTTTGAGTTTTTGACGATGCAAGCATCAGAAAAAAGACGTGAATTTGAGCCGGGACCTGAAAAATTGAGGATATTTTTTATAAGAAAAGTTGGGTTTTGATATACACTATCAAAATAACAAATTTTCCATCCCAAAAAAACACGTACTTCCAATAAATCTCTGCAAAAATCCATTTTCGCCCAATACAACTTCTTCGTGTTTCTCATGTTCTTCATTGAAACCATTTAAAGTGACAACAATTAATTGTCCTTCGGCTGTACAATAACTAATTGTATTTCGATTTGAATGGTGAGTAGAAGTGGCTCGAATTGGGCGACCTGAGCTTGTCAAAACATGGGCTGTGTGATATTTACGAATGAGATCGTCTTCTTTGATTCGCGCAAGAAAGGAGAAAGTCTGAAAATAGGGTTTATGTTATATGATTTTGGTAGGAAAACTAGACAAAATTATTGTTGGGTGAGAAATTCTGCCACTTCCCCATTTTCAGTTCAAAAATCTATTATCTTTCCACCTACATCACGCTCTTTCGGCGCACTCAATCTAGCATGAAATCGATGAATTGTCGAAGCTGTCGGTACAACAATCGACAAAACCATCAGATCGTCTAAAATCGTAATCGAAGTTCCTGGCAAAATCGGTGTGCGTGAAAAATCGATACAAAGAGCTCCATCGGAAATAGTGTAGAGAAGACTGCGCTCTTCGAGATAGAGTTTTTGACCACTGGTACGCCAGAAAATCAGGCGATCAGCGTAGAATTGATTATCCGGAAATACGGCGACACCGCCTGATGGTGGAACTTCGTAGCCATTTGTATGAAGTGGAGCATCTGAAAAGCAACATTTTTACTGGAAATTTGAGGGGGTTGGAAAAAAATCGTTTTTTTTTTTCTCAGCAAAATCGAAAATTTTTCTGCTTTGTTGTGAACACTTCGTTTCAGGGCGAACAAATAGAGACAGAGAGAGCGTGCAGAGTGCGAAAGAAAAACCCGCGAAACTGAAAATACCGCGAAATTTAATAAGGCTGGCAATCAGCCAACTGTTGGGTCCTGAAGCGATGGTCTATGAATTCTCATTTTTAAAAATTTTTCGGGGTTTTTTCTGTCTGCGTCGCGTTTTCTCTATTTGTTCGTCCCAACACAGGGTTGAAACGAAGTGTGAAAAATTATACAACTCACTCGTGTTCACCACAAACGTTTTTTGCGGTTTGATCGCATAACCATCGAGAAATCCAAACTCGGACCCGTATATGAAATCCATCTGTAAATGTAGAAGATAACAGAAGAGAAATGAATAAGGATAGTAAAACATTCTAAAAAAAAATCCATGCATTTTGACCATCAATAAATGATTTTTGAGCAAAAACACATTTTTTCGTAGTAAATCTCAAATATTTCCGGATTTTCTAGAATTTTTCAGCATAATTCTTTCAAAACCTTGTTCTCATCAAATGTCACTTTCTATATCTTTCAAATTTCATTGAAAAGCCTTGAAATCTCTTTTCGAAACACAGCAAAAAACCAAAAAAAAAATAAAATTCAAAAAAGGGGCGTGGCAAGGCGCCGCCGTCACTCGCACACATTTTCTGCAACCCCATCGCACACTTTCCCATTTCTCCCCATTCTTTTTCCTCTACAGTAAGTAATTTCATTTTTGTGCCTCCCACAATGCGAAAAACGATAAGGAATGCATTTGACGATGCGACAAGCACCAAATAGCGATAATTTTCTACAGAAACTCCTCAAAACTACAGCATTTTGGCCGCTTTTCGGCGATTTGTCGGTGGAGGAGCGAAAGTCGCGATTTTTCGAGGAGGTCTCACAGCGAAAATTGACTTTGGTAAGTTGGAAATATTCTTTGGCACAATGCCAACGATCTTATCTTTACTTCCTATTGTTTCTTATCAATTTGTCAATAAAAATCCCCATTTTTAATTGGAAAACTCATGAAAATGTGTGTAGTTTGATCAATTTTCAGACATTTCCTAAGAGTGGTTTGACTATTCCTTTAAGTTTGGCACAATTTCAAATTATCGAGCATCGTCACGTGGATTTCGAAAGCCAACAATTTTTATTCAACGACTACTGGGTTACGGTAGCGGGTCGTGTTGAGACCCACGGCGATTTTTTGACGGGCGAATGTCAATTTCGAATTATTTTGGGCCCCGAAGCGTTGGCTTTGAGTGACGTGGAAATCGAATTTTTGAGAAATAAAGGTCTTCCAATTTGACTTGTCCTAAAATCAATGAATAAAAATTTGATTTTTTGATTTCCCGCGTGAGAAAATTGGGAGCATTTCCAGAAAAATATGATTTTGTATTTGGTATTTTTTTGCGGTATTTTTAGCGGGATTTTGAATTTTTGTGCGTCGAAAAAGAAAAAGACAAGTGCATCTAGGGATACGGTATCAACTGAGGTGAGTCAGGCGGGTACTGTAGTTTAAAGGGAGGTTCGATTTTTTAATTTTCTCAAACTCCACCAAGATTTCAGACGTCAATCAACAATCCGCCAACATTCTCAAAAAGTCGTCAACATCCAATAACTGGTCCAAAGGCGCGTCAACCTTTTATGAATCTCAATAAAACCCAAAATCCATCGATTTCCATCTCACAAAATTTGGACGTAAAAACTCAAAGTGCAAGTTTGGAATTGGCGAAAGAAGAAGCTTCAACTCAAAAAATGATAACTGAAGAACAATCAACGCAAAAAGATGTGCAAAAAAGTGAGGAAAAATCAGAATAAAAATATTGAATTTCGAAAAGACAATTGATCAAAGTCTTTTTTTTTACCCAAGAAGCAACTTGTTGATAGAGACAATCTTTTTTATCTAAAAGTCACTAAAAATGCATCAAAAAAACATAGAAAATCAATAAATTAAGGTAAATTAAAACCCTAGGAAATTCAGAAGAGATCAAAAATGTTTGTGTGTAGTTTGATCGCGAGGAGCGTAGTAGTTAGCCTAACTCTCTATATCCGTTTGATAAATGATACACAGAATTTACATGTAAATGCACATTGAGCACGCATAAATGATTCTTGTTCGGTGCACACGTTTTTGTTGTTTTTCAGCCAGAAACTGCATGAGTAGCTGCAAAAATTGTACTTGGGTTACTGTAGTTTTTAAAGGGACATGGCTTCATGGCAGATTTCTTTAATCCAGAACAAATACTTACCGCATATCCCTGCATTCTGGGTCCAAAAATGCGGAAGGTTTGGTAGCGGTGAAAAATGCAAATGGTGTTGAATTTGAATCAGAAGATTTAGAACTAGAGCTTAAACTTGTAGATTCTGAAGATTCGGGATCAGAACTTGAAGATTCTGATATTCCTAGTGTAGTAGATCCTTCTTCTCTTGAAGTTGTCGACGTGGAAATCAGAACTGGCGGTGCTTGTGGTGGTGTTGGACGAGATCTTTCGGTTGATGTTGGATCTGGTGTGAATCTGGCAAAATGGCGAGAGGCTATGGTGGATGAAGAGGAACCTTGTTGGGAGGCTAGAAGACGCATGCGATCTGCAAAAAATGTGGAGATGATTTTTCGACAAATTTTTCTGGGTGGGGAAAAATACACATTTCACAGTTTTCAAAATTTCCCAACATTTCGCGCTAAAAATCTACGTGGCAAAATGTAAGTTTCAGCTCAAAATTCGCTCTCCCCACCCCCAACAAAAACTCACATTGTTGTTTTTTCATCTGCAAATCGCTTATAGTTTTTCTGGTTGTCGATGGCAAAGTTGAAGCTGAAGTTGTTGTTGTAGATTTGGAAGAAGTTCGAATGGAAGTCGACGTGGATTTTGTCGTAGCATTGTTTTTCATAGTCAAAACTGCATCAACGACTTCTCGAAAACCTTCGAAAGTTTCAACTGCCGTTGGAATCAACTCTTTTTTGTGTAGAATGAAACCGTTTGATACTGCAAAAATTGAGAATTTGGGGGAAATCTCAATCAAATTTTCAGCAAAAAAACAACAACTAACATTCCATTTGTGGTCTCAACTCGATCAAATACACATATTTCACATTCAGCGCACTTTTTGCCCAATCATCTGATCCTCCAGCAGCTGGTGATAATGTATCTGCTCCGGTTCCCATTCGGTAGGAAGTTCCGTAAACTTGAGACAATCGGTTGATGGCTTTTCGGGCAGTTTTTCGCTAGAAAATTTGGGGAGGTTTTTCTGAGGAATTATTAGAGGTATTTGGAAACATTTTGAACAATGTTTCCACGTAGATTTCATAGCACAACAGTTTGAGAATAATTTCCACGTGGAAAAACTCGAAATTCTTCCCGTTCTCATCCAAATGCTCAACTCACCAACTCTCCAATATCTTCCGGATAATTCTGTTCTTCATGACTATATGGATAGATCCAAAGCTGTGCATAAGAATGCAAAGTGATAAAAGCATCGACACGATCTCGCAATTCAGGTGAGCTCAAAAATTGCGAACCGCCTGAGTTTCAGGCTCACTGAACACTTCTTCTCCATGATAAATATTCGAACATGGCTCATAAGAACTTCCCCGTTCAGACCAATGAAATCTGAAATTCCGATTCAAATCCACTCCCTGACAACACTTCTCGCCACCCCAAAGACTTGCTCTGCAAACTTCAGGACTCCGATTTTTTCGCCATAATCTGACACTTGGAATTGGTGAACTTCTTGTATATTCATAACCATCTGGATTCAAACATGGCAAAATATAAAAGTCCAAAGTGTTCAAATAATTTGTGATTTGTGGATCAATATTATAATTGGATACTAATTGATTAATGAAAAATAGAGCTGTATGACTGGAAGCCCATTCACGGGCATGAATATTACCATCTACCCAAATGGCACGTTTTGGAAAAGGAGAATGGGCACCGATCTGCAAAAAAACATGGGAGATGCAGTGTGGATTTGTGAATTTTTTTTTTGGAAAATTTGTAAGTATGCTCTACCGAACAGTTATCTTCCAAAACAAACATTGGAATTTTTTTTTGTTTTTGTTTCCTATCGTAATTTGAAAACTTGGGATTTTTTCAGAAAAAAATTCATGAAAAACCCATTTCTTCTCTTCTAAAAAATACGTTTCAAAACTCTTAGATTAAGAAAAAATGAAGAGAAAAATTGTTTCAGTTTCCCATTCCAGTTTAGATATTTCAATTACCTAAACTCCCTTTCATAACTGTAACTCCACTGAAAATCAGACTTCTTGGGAGAACAATTCAAAATTTCATTTGTAAATAGCAATTTCGCCCCACCGCAAAAACCATTTCCCCTTTCAAAAATTTAAAAATTTTTCTTTCTCCACTTTCTTCACCATAAATAAACTAGTTAGACCACCCAAGAAGAAAACTACCGCCAAAGTACAAAAGTTCCAGTCATAAAACACACTCACCTTAAGCCCTTCAATCGGTTTTCCTTCATGTGTCTGTCCAATTCGCACAATTTTCGCCAATTTCGGATAATAAAACTCGATAGTTCGCATATATTTGACCATTTCTGCATAACTCGCATAGTCTCCGAATGGATATTTGGCCTTTTTCAATTGGCCCACTTTTGATAAATCCGCATCCGGTTCGCTGTCCAAAATTGGATCGTCTTTTAGGATTTTGGAAAATGAGCTCTTCAAGTTTCTGTGCTCATTTCTCAATATCAATTTTTCGACATCTGGAACACTTAGACTAATCGTGGAATTTGTGAATTCGAGGATTTTTCGAAGCATTCGCTCGGGTTTTCCTCGTTTAACCATGATATCAGCTTCATCAGAAAGACGGGATGGCGATTTCCAGAAATCGAGCTGGAAAATGGTTATTTTGTTGGAAAATGACAAGTGTGCTCTATGGAATCACATCATTTTAGTCTGATAATAGAACAGCAACGACGAAACACACAAATTTTTGAGAAAGTGCGAGACATGCCATTTTTATCAATGGGGCGCACTTCCATTTTTACGTTTATTTTCTTTTTTTTTGTTTTTCGAAAGTTTTTTATTCGCGTAATTTTTGTTGTTTTTCCATGAATTTGAATGAAACTTGTTGTAAAATTCATATTTATCCTTTTTCCTAGTACAAGAAACACACGTTTAGTTAATTTTCGATAGTTTTATACTAAAACTGGTGCTCAATAAGTAATTTTATGAAAAAATGTACTTTCTTGAATTTTTATCCCATCTAAAGTACTTATTCAAATTTGATTCATTTCTACTTTACAGGAAAAACATCAGCGAAATGATAGAAATATTCAAACAATTTATGAAGCGAATTTTGGTTGGATGATTTTCAAAAACGAGGAGGAAGAAATGTGAGTTTTTCAACATTGTTTTTGAAAATTTAAAAGAGCAAAACTTGCTACTTTCTCCTCGAGACGTTATTAGGCGCTGGCAAGCGAGTTTGGGTTTCACTATCTTATTAAACAGCGCATGTTCGCCCTATTGACAAATGTTTTTTCTCTAATCGTCTCTAAAATATTTTGTCGTTGTCGCTGTGGAAGGATGTGGGAAATATATGACATTTTTAATAGAAAATAATAAAAATAGAAAATAAAATGAGAAATGAAAAGTTTCCAAATTTTCAGAAGTTCTCTGGGAGTGTGATTAATCCTTTGAAATCCCTCGAAATTCTCTGCAAAAAATAATCTGAAATAATGCTAACCTCATATTTGAAATCATTGAGCTGTAATTGTCTCAAAATTTGAAGAGCTTGCTGATCGTGAGGTCGAACTTGAAGTAAAGCATATTTTTCCTGAGAATCTGGAGAGTTTTGAGCATATCCCAATAGAAATAGGGAGAATATGGGGAGATACAATTTCATCGGTTTATCGGCATTCAATTTTCTGAAAAACTATAGTTTTTTTTTGAATGGAAAGGGAAATTTTTTGAGAAGGAGGCGGGGCTTTTTTGTCAAAGAAGAGGAGGTGGTTGCGTAATAATTATAAGGGAAAGTGAGATGAGGAACGGCTCTAATCAAGTTTTTTTGAGATTTGAAAATGAGAGGAGGAAATTAGAGAGATTGGTTAATTTGGGTGTAAAAAACAGATTGATTGAGATTTTCGTAGTAATGTGATTCTTGAGATTTAGGTAAGATGAGAAAACTGAAGATTATTGGGGATTCGGGAAAATTTTCCGGGGGAAAAATTACCCGAAAAGTACAAGATTTTTACGAGAACTCCATATTTATAGCATTTTTCTTTGAAGCTAAAAATAAGGCTATATTTTTTGGATTGTAAAGCTGGAAGACTCTGCAGAAACTCAGAGAAATGGGCTGGAGAACCGGCGGATAAAACGACCTATCGGCGAACTTTAGGACAACCGGTGGACAAAAGTTTCGGCGAAATAGTGTGGGTCAGACACTCCGCCGGTTGTCCGAGAGTTCGCCGACATGTCGTTTTCTCCGCCGGTTCTCCAGCCTGTTTCTCTGAGAAATGGAGCAACATTTTTTTAAACGGAAATTTAGCTTTTCGCGCCATAATCTTATCACATGTTTGTTCTGATAACGAAAAAAAAAACAAAATAAAATTTCTCAAAACTTTTGTTATCTAGGCTAACTTGGAACCAGTTTCTCTCATTTTTTTGGCTTTTTCTTTTAATTTCCAAGCAACAAAAAAAATTTGAAAAGATAATTTGAAGGCGTTTTTCTTTTGTCAAAAGAAAATTGCATAACTGATGGGAAAATTGGCTGGGAAAATATGGAAATTTGGGATTTTTCTAGCGCCGAAGTTTACGATTTCAAATTTTTTGAAAATTAAAAAATCAGAAAGTTTTCAGAAAAAAAATTTCAAGGGCCTTTTCAGAAAAAAATTTCAAGGGTGGTGGAAATTTGAATTTTTTATGCCAAAAATCTGGGATTTTGTTCTATACCTTTTATGTAGCTAAACATACATATCTTATCATTTTATCATGTCCGGGCAATAAATTACAAATGTTTGTGTTTTCGATTTTTTTTGGATAGATATAGTTATTTTTGGCCCAAAAATTTGAGATTTTAAGCACTAGAAAACGCCTGAAAACAATACGTTCCAAAATATTTTGAAACTTTATGTCAACGACTGATAAATTCAACGAAAACTATTTAGAAAAAAAGAAAATGAATTAAACAAAGACAATATTTGTCTGTAAAGTTTCCACTTGGCAAAATTCATCGCGAATTACTGTATATCAAAAATTTCGTTTTTTCGGCACCCAAAAAAAATCCTTGATGTTTTATGCGCCAAAAAACCTTGTTAGTGTAATAAATTTTCGAAACGCAAAAAAACAACCTTGAGTTTTTTTTCCCAAAAGCTTCTTAAGCTTTCCTAAAAATGGTAGATAAAATCTGTTGCGCAATTCGATCAACCGTAAGATTGAGGAATTTTTCAAGCTTGAAATTATTTGGATAAAAAATTGGGCTCTAGGGACCTTTAAATCATTCACAAATGCAACATTTTTCTGAAAAATCTGAACTTTTCAAGAAAAAAAGTTATATTTTTAGTTTATATTGTTGAACAAAAAAATCTCGAAATCTAAGCTTAAGGTAAGTGAAAGATAAGAAAAATCTGCAAAAATCGATAATTAGCAATAAATAGGCTTAGAAATGCCTGTTTGATACGCGTTTTGTCATTAAAAATAATGAAGAAAATTGGAGAGAAAAGATAATGTCTATCTGTTTTGTGATAACATACAGAAAATCCTAGAAAAAATGATCGAGATGAAGCTAAACGTAGATTTATTTTACATATTAATATATGATGATTTATTAAGGGTCATTTTATTTGGTTAAGAGATTTTTAATCACCGAGAAAATAGGTTAACATGGGGTTTTTGCATGTGCGCTCTAATGGGAATTTCAATTTGAAGTTGGTTAGTACGTGCGGGTTTTTTAGGATGGAAAAAATGTCCGAAACAGGGCTGCCGTTGATACCTGGGTATACCCGGGCACCACCCGGGTAAATCGAAAAATACCCGGGTATTGAGGCCCATCGACCTGGGTGTCAAATACCCGGGTTGGGTGCGGGCACCCTTAGGGCACCCTTGGGTATGATGCAAATTTTTGATTTTTTTGTTCTGTTTACCTATCATCCATGTTATTGGACGAATTTAGCTAAAACATGAGTGATTTTTGATTGGAAAACTGATATGCAACAAAAACGATCGATAAAGTTCTATTTTATCGATTTTTTTGACTTCTAAAATAACTTTAAATGCATTATATTTTAGAAAAAAGATAGAATATGTTTTTCTTCGACACCAAACTACATAAAAATGAAAGAGTTCGTGGTAAAATCAACCTTTGAGAGAATATGTGCTCAAACTCAACTTATAGAAAGTCTTTTGCGTGTTTACAACACGAAAAATAGTAAAATTTTGAGAAAAAAGCTGATTTTTTGAAATTTCTCTACAGATTAGACCAATTTTTCATGTTACTGACCACTTTTCATGAAAAAAACACAATTTCCAAAAAAATTTCGAAAATAAATTAGTACGAAAAATCAAATACGAAGGGCCATTTTGGGTATCTGGGTGTGCCCGGGTATACCCACCCGTTCTGTCATTTTTCAATGAAAATACCCACCCGGGTGTACCCGCCGAACTGTGGGTATTAGGGTGCCCTGTGGGTGCCCAAACGGCACCCCTGGTCCGAAACTAATTTTGATGTGCTAAACAACGTGGTATCTTGGATTATAAATTGGATTATGGGGGTAAACTTTGCCACGTCATAGGGTTTCAGAATTAGCCTAAATTTGTTTATATTACTAACTCAGGCCTTCTAAACAACATGGAACGTTCAAATTTTTTACACTAGACACTCAAAAAAAAAGTTATTCTGTGGCAAAATTAGCATTTTTTCAGAATTCGGGTTTATATTTAGATCAACTTTGCCACATCTATAGATGCGCATCTTATAATTTTCAGAGTTTGTTCAAAAATTTTCGAGCTCTGAATTTAGACCCTTTGAGAACCTCTATTTCTCACAGTAACCCACCAAAAACTGATTATGATGTGGAAAATTCCGTAAATCCAAAAAAAATATTATGATATGATGAATAATCAAATGAAAATAATATGCAACACCAAAATCTCTTCAATTTTTTGTCTCACAACAGACTGAATAATTGCCAATCCTCAAAACCGGTTTTTCTAGTAAAATGAGAAGAAAAAGAAATATTTTGATAACAAGAGACGAAAAACAAAAAAAAATTGGAGAGATTTTCTGCCAAAAGCCATCCAAAATAACTCGTTTGATTGATTTACGTGATGACGAAGAAAATACGCAAAAGAAGAAGATGTGAGAAAAATTGAAAGTGTTTCGATTATCCAATAATTGGCTAAAGAATTTTTATCATAAAATTAGGAAATTAGGGTTTTCCTGGTTTTTTTCGGAAAAATTGAAAAAATCTACCTTTTTTAGCAAAAAAATCGATTCTTATCTCATTTGTTTCCAGTTTCTATTTTCCACTTCCAAAAAAATGAATGTCTGAAAAATGTTTGAAAATGATTAATCTTTCGGATTGATAAAAGAAGATTGTTTTGACGGCGACAGAAAATCGGTTTTTTGCGATGTTATTAGCTTAAAATTGGAATAGGACAATTTATTACGCGATTTTTGTAATAAGCGTGAAATTTTACATCGGATTTAATTGGAAAGTTTAACATGAGCAACATGCCAATAAAAAAAGTGGTTTTACAATATTTGCTATTTTTGAAAATCTTCCGAGTAATAGCAATTTGGGTATCTAATGAAGAAGAATTTATCACTGTTTTTAAAAGTTTCCAAGATGTTCGAATTCAACCTGAGCAATGTAATAAAACCCAAATTTACAAACTGTTTCTACTATGTAGATGTTTCCTGGAATTCTAAACTTGAACAAACATTTTTTTAATATGTATTTTTATTATTATTATTTGTTGTTATTCACTTTTCGGCTATCCTCTTCTATGACCCTTTTCACTTTTCGCATTTTTCGATTCCTGTTTCCCTTTTCCTTTTTTCTCTTCGATTTTCCACCAACAAAATCATGTGACCTCCAAACAATTTCGGCGTTTTCTCAAGTTTTTCGAGGTTTTTGAGTAAAATTTTTGAATTACTTGAAGTTGTTTTTGTTTCATATGAGTTTTTTGTTGAAAAAAATGAGAGTTTTCGGTAATTGCTCATGTTAAACAAATTTTTTTCTTGGAAAGTTTTACAATTTTCTTTATCAGTGTGGAATTTCCTGTCGATAGTCATACACAATTCCAAGATTTTGGGAATTTTTAAATTTAGAGTTCTTAAAGAGCGTATAGGGTACCAAATAATAATTTCTCAATTTTTTTAAAATATTTAAAATCTACTCGATTCAGAATTTCACGCTGATCTCAAAAACAACATTCATTTTTCTGCAAAATAATTCCTAAGCTCAGAAAAAACTCAACAATTTTAATTTTTAAATAAAAAATCACCATAGCAACCATAAAGTGATTATCCTCCTTTTTTTCCGGCTTTTTATTTTTGCTTCTTTTTTTTGAAACAAAAAAAAGTAAAAAGAAAAGAAAAAAAAAAAGAAAAAGTTATGGTGTTTCCAACATTTTCTGATATTGACTATTTTCAAAAACCCGTATATTTTGGGTAGGTCTGGGGAGATTTTTGAGATGTAAAAATAACAATTTAACGAATCTTTTTTTTTTTACCAAATCTCGTTTTTCAAACAAAATTGTTTCTAAATTCCACGTAAATTTTCAAAATTAAAATCTAGAATTTCAGAATAAGATAAAATTCTCCTTGGTGTCAAAAAACCAAAAAATTTTTGAATTTCATTTTACATTTTTTCAGATCTGTCCTGATGTTGGATCCACGCGAGACCTATAATAAATACGAACGGCGTTCACCGCATCCGCCGCAAGAAAATGCCGCACCGCGACTAGCTTGCGAATATCGCCGCGACGCACCGACTCCAAATCAACCAAGATTGGCTTGTGAATATCGCAGAGAGGATCCGGAAAATCCGAGATTTTCGAGAAATTATTATCAGCCAGGAGGAAATCATGGTGGAACAACTACAGTAACCTCGTATTTACCCGAAACAAGGAAGCGGAAAATTTAGTTTTTAGAATAGTTTTGAGGATTTTTGAAGCTCAAATTTTGAAAATTTTGACATTTCTGCCACGTGGAATTCTTGAATCTTTTTAGAGTTCTAATTTCCACGTATTTTCTAATTTTCAAATATTTTTTCCACGTGGATAAAAAATTTATAAAGAACACGGTACTTTTTGGCCCTAAAATGTTAAAAAAAAAAATCAATTTCTAAATAATTTTTTTCTTTAAAACTCCAATCTTCTTTCTTTGAAAATTTTCTTTTTTTCAGTTCCCGTCGGTCTCATCATTTCCATCGCAATTTGCATTCCAATCCTACTAGCCATCATACTCTTTGCAGCGGTTTGGCTGCAAGAAGTCGGAATTCTCTAAAAAAATGTTTTTTTTTTTGAATTTTTTCCCAATTTCCCGCCTTTCTTGCCAGTATTTTCCCCCTTATTTTTCTCTCGGGTAAATAAAAAATTACCAATAATGTTTCCCTCTTCTTCATTTTTCCCCGGCTAAGCCAGTTTCATGTAAATTTTTTGTTTGGCCGCTGGCGCATTTCTCGTGGGAGAAAAAGAAAAATAGAAGGAGGTGAATTGAATTTGTGTATCTACGTTACTTAATGGATTCCTCAAATTGACTCAATGAAATTGGTATAAACAACTTTTTTCGCAACAAAAAACAGACTCGCAAAAAATGTATTGAACAAGATTACGGTAGAAATGTTAAAGGAACATGTGTGTTGGCAACGTGTTGAATCTCGCAATGCCAGCGGGAAAATAATTTTTGAGAAAATTCTAGAAGCGTTCATTCGCAGTTTTCAGTTTTTAGGCGGTTTAGTGTGCAAAGCGAGGAAAATGGGTTGCATGCAAAGTCAACAAAGTCTCGCTGAAAGACGATCGAAGAAAATAGATAAAAAAGTGAGTTTTTAGGGCAAAGAATAGGGTTTTTAGAATGAAAACATGTTCGAGCCAAAAATTACTTTTTCTTTTGTGAAAGGTTGATTTTAGATCAGGTTTGCAGCTCAAACTGTAAATAAGCTGCCAAATTAGATATTTCTTGAATGAAAATGCTGTAAGTTTCACTAAATTCCTTGTTATTCGCTAAACATCTGAGTTCTTCTAGGCCTATAGTTAAGGACAACATTCCCCGCTTGTTTAACCAATCAAAAATCACGAAAAAATGTTTGCAGATCCGTCAAGATGGACTTCTGGCCAATCGAACCGTCAAACTTCTTCTGTTAGGTGCTGGCGAATCCGGAAAATCAACAATTCTCAAGCAAATGCGAATCATACACGAATCTGGATATACCGATGCAGAACGACTCGTTTTTCGACCAGTCGTATTTGGCAACGTATTCCAGTCGATAATGGCAATCTTGAGAGCCATGCAGGCACTGAAAATACATTTCGCCAATGCCACAAAAGAAGCAGATGCTCGCAAATTCTTGAGTTTTTCGATGACCGGCGAAGAAGACGAAATTCCCGAAGAGATGGCGATTGTGATGAAAAGCATCTGGTCTGATGAAAATATGCGCAGCACACTGGACAGATCTAACGAATACTACATCAACGATTCGGCGCACTATTATTTGAGTCAATTGGAGCGCATTTGTGAGCCGGAATATGTGCCGACACAGGATGATGTTTTGAGAACAAGAATCAAGACGACCGGAATCATTGAGACACAGTTCAATTATAAGGATCGACTCTTTTTGTAAGGATTTTTAGAGGGTTCTAGGCTAATTTTTGGAAAAACTAAAAAATTTCTAATTTTATGTGGTGTCTAGGTCAACAAAAACCCCTTATTTTTTCAGAGTTTTCGATGTCGGTGGTCAACGTTCAGAACGCAAAAAATGGATTCACTGCTTCGAAGATGTTCGAGCTCTCATCTTCTGCGTCGCACTTTCCGAATACGACATGGTTTTGTTGGAAGACGAGCAAACAAATCGAATGCGCGAATCGCTCAAACTATTCGACTCGATTTGCAACAACAAATTCTTCGTCGAAACGTCAATCATATTGTTTTTGAACAAGAAGGATTTGTTTGAGGAGAAGATTCAAAAATCGCCGTTGACAATTGCTTTTCCCGAATATACTGGTCAGTATTTTACCTTTTAAGTTTTGAACGAAAAACAACATGAAAATCTACTTTAGAACCCATAATATTAAAAATTAAGTTTATATGTCATTATCATCATCTTTGAACCTTAATTTTCACTTTATCCTCGATTCTCAAAACACTTCCTTAGCTAAAAAAAATGCAATCAACTTTTTTGTTTGAACAATCTGGATGGTTTTTGTTTCCCCTTTCATTCATTTCAATTACTAAAAGAAAAAAATCAAATTAAAAGTTTTTCGAGATTTGGATGACGAATGAAAAATGAAGAAGATTTGGATTTTTTAGGAATTGAGAAAAGTGAGTTTTTAGATTTTAAGGTCATTTTTAAATAAAATTTAATATTTTTATGCCAATCGGAAAAATTTCTAAACCAAAAAATATGCGCTAAAACTCAAAAAAATTGAAAATATTAGCTTATCAAAAGTCTGAAAATTAACTTCTAAACCTGCCCAAACTCCAAAACTATTCATAATATAGCCTAAAACTCCAAATTGTGTCTTTCCAGGTCGCAACGAATTCGATGAGGCCTCGATCTACATTCAGCACAAGTTCGAAGAAGTCAACAAACGCGAAGGAACCGAAAAAGAGCTCTACACACACTTCACATGCGCCACCGACACAAACAACATCAGATTCGTCTTCGACGCTGTCTCCGATATTATTATTCGGGATAATTTGCGAAATTGTGGCCTATATTAGGTACGTATTCCCGATTCTTTGCTTATTTTTACCCAGAACAGCAATTTTTGGCTCAAATTACCCATTTTTACCCAAAAATCATTATTTTTATCATCATCGGGTCATCAATATTTACTAATCTTTTTTATTTTCATTTTTTTTTGTCTCTAGCATATCTCTGTCAAATATGAATCTTTTTCAATTTTCCAATATCCACTTGACGCCTTTTCATAACCACTTCCAAGCTCCGCCCCTTTTCTCCCAGGCTCCGCCCACTTTCGGAGCTCCAAAAAACTCATTTCGTCCTGTGGAAAATTTTTCCAACATTTTTGGCGTAGAACTGAAAAGAAGAGCAAAGTTGGGCTGTTTGCAGATGACCTTATTGTCGAATTGAGGAAAATGTGTTTTCTGGTACAATTGGTCCCCTCCAAGCAGCTCAATTTTCGTGAACTCTTTGAACTTTATCTTTGGCACAATTTTATATTATGATACATAGAGAAGAGCAAAAAAAGGTGAGCAAGAATTTGGGGTTTAGAAGAGGTATTTTAAGATGAGGTGAAAAAGTGCCCATAGGGTACTGTATATTTTCGTATTTTTATGCCAGAAATCTTGAATTTTCACATAAAAGTTTTAAGAAATCCACTTGGAAAACCGACCTAAAATACTGTAACTAGAAAATTCAGTAAATTTCGGAAACAAAACTACAGTAAATTGAAAATTGCCCTCCAAAAAAAATCATATTTGTGAATAAAAAATACAGTAACCTTATAGAAAGCTAGAAAAATACTGTAGTATTTCAAAAAAAATTTAAAGATAAACCTACAGTACTAGCTACAGCGAATTCACGAATTTCTAACCAATGAATTGTTTTTCATAAAAATAAAATAACTGTGGATTTTCCGACTTCCGACTTCTTAAAAATGTCTAGTGAAAAACGACAGTACCCCTTACACTTTTCACCCCAAACTTACTAGAACAATAAAAAATCATAGATAACTCTCATTTTTGGACAATCGAATAGCCGGCGCTGTTCCATCAGTTGATTCTATCAATCGAACAGCTCGTGGTAAAATCGGCGATGTTTCGGCTTCTTCTTCGGCTACTTTAGATAATGGCCTCGTTGTTTTTGGCTTTCGAGCTGGTGAACTCGGAGGAGGTCCAGACTCTTTTCCTGATGAACCAGAATCGTCATCCTGATTCGAGCCAAAAAGTGATTCCATCTTTTTTTGAGCCGTTTTTACTTCGTCGAGTTTGGCGGATAATTGATGGATTATGGTTTCACGGTCCGTTGATTGGATTCTAAAAAAAATAATTTTTTTTTTAGAAAAGGTTTCCATGGAATTTCATAATGTGCAAATCAATCAAATTTAAGGGGGCTTGAAAGTATTATTTTTCGTTTGAATTTGTTGAGAAAAAATAGGAAACAAACATTGTCACGTGTTTAAAAAATACTATTTTTTGAATGAAACACTTTTTCCCCAACCATCAAAAACCTTCAAAAACCACGCACGTTTCATCATTTCCAATTTCTTCCGACAACATTTTTCCAATACTCGCCAATTCTTCAATATTATCTCGCAATCTTCTTCTTTCCGTTGACATTGTTATTGAATTCAATTTTCCGGTTCCATTTGTTCGAATTCTTTCTCGCAAAGATCTGTCAACTTCTGTCACTCGATCCAGCATCTGTAAATTTGGCCCTTTCATTTTTAATCATCAATCACGTTGTCTAGTGAAAGCAATTGTAACATTTAACTTTTCATTTTTTCATAAATCTGATATTCTTGAAACGTTTTACGAACAAAAATTGTTTTTTTTTAATTATTCGATTTTTTGGTTGTTGGGAACTCAAACAATCAGAAATTTCATGGAAAATTGTTTTTTGGCTGAACTTTAGAAAACGAGTCTGAAAATAGTCGATCTTAAACATCTCTGAATCTCGTTCAGTGTCTAGAAGTACTTTACCATATTTGATTCCAAGTCTTACCTCTCTATGAGTCACTAAAAAACTTTCAACAACTCTCAATCTCTCTTCATTTTTTCCAATCATTTCAACTAATTCTTTCCAAACTCTTTCCAATTCTTTTTTTCTTCCACCATTTTCTTCATTTCCATCTTTTTTATTCAACATAACAGTTCTTTCAGTCGATTTTGCCATATTCAACAATTGTTTTCCATATTCATAAGTGCTTTTTGCTGTTTGATCCAAATTTCTTCGATCATTTCTCAAATTTCTCACTGATTTCTCATCAATTTCAGCCAAATTATATTCGGTATTCAGGGTTTCTTTTAGCTCGCTGAGCCATTTTATTGCCTGATCACAATCACTATAAATTGTGCCCAATTGGATTAATTGTTGTTGTTTAAGACGTTTTACATTCGCTAGATCGTTGCATCTGAAAAATATAAGTTCTGAAAACTTTCGGCGCGAAAAAATCCTCCTCTTTTTCACCCACCTATTCTGTCTCTGTGTAATATAATTCAAACTCGATCTAATCTGAGCAATAAATTGATCAGCTGGTAGAACATCTTCAAATTGATCGGCTGTTTGCATCGTTTGTCGACCGGCTTCCATTGCCGAATTGAATGTTTGATCTGCAAACATTTTCAGATAGTATTATCATTACAGCTTCAACATTTTTTCAAATTCGGAATGTCAGATTTTTGGCCCATTTCATTTGAAAACTAACTCATTTTTCATTGAAATCCTCAAATTTTCGTCCCAAACCTAATTTCATAAAACCTACTCAAAGAATTGAGTTGTTCATCCAATTCCTTCTTTTTTCTTGTCATTTCTTCAATTTTCCAATCTTCCTCATTTTCATCATCTTTTCCACATAATTTCTCCAACATTCCATCAGTTTCCCGTGTAAAATCCGCAAGTTTCGCCTGAAAATCTCGATTCGATTTGGCGAATTCAGTTTGAGCGGCGACGCGATGCTCAAAATGTTCGCCAACAATCGCGACTTGTTCGCGCATTTTATGCAAAGATATTGAATATTGTGGACAAACAGCCATCAATCGGGTCGCCATTTCGGCTAATTGTTGAGTTTGTTCGGCGATTTCCTGGAATTTAGAGGATTTTCTGGTGAATTCTGGGTGACAAATCAATAATTTTGAGCCGAAATTCGACAATTTTTCGTAGTTTTAGAGCTGTACATAAGAACACACCAATCAACATGTTTCCCTTAAAATTTTCAAATCGGAAGTTTTAGAAACGTATATTTCTCGTTTTTTTTTGAAATTTTAAAATTAAAAAAAATTTAGAAAAAATAGGCCAAGCCCCCAAAAAAGCCCTCCTAAATTTAGAAAATTCGAATCGGGGCAATCTCGATCTCCATACAATTCTAAAAATTCTAGCAAATTTTCAACACAGAAACTATTCCAACCTTAGTTTTTTCCGTCAATTGTTCATGTTGTTTCACTAATCCATCAGCTTCATCAAAATTATCCGGAACCTGACACAACGAACTCAACCACTTCTCGCCACTTCCCTCAACCCAATCCAATAATCGATTTACGCCAGCCGCGTGCTCTTCAATCAATTCTTCTTTATTGTCTCTTTCCTCGCGATCCTGAAATTATTTTTTTTTGGATTTTTCCTGATTTTTTGCGGCCGAAAATCGAAATTTTTAGAGAAAATACCCACTTTTACATCCAATATTGATTTTTTCAATTTTTGCGCCGAAAATTCATCATCAATTCGTTTTGTCGAGTGCAATTTCGTCACAAATTCTTCTACTGGAATAAAATTTGATTTTTAAAAATTTCCGGAATAATTGCCACGCGGATTTTTAGCTCTAAAATATTTCCAAACAGATTTCGTTGTGATTTTTTTCAAATCAGGACCTGCGCATCTGACACAATTTTTGAAAACACATCTCTAAAATCGTGCTGTTCTCAAATCCCCCCTTCCCAGATTCTTACATTTCTGATCTTTTTCAGCATCATGTTTTGATCTATCACCGGCCGCTTCTCCAATATAATCCTCCCATCGCATAATTTCCAGTCGAGTTTCAAGCCATTTTTCAGGCTCATAGTCAAAAGTGCCGCCAAATTGTTCGGGTAATTGATGCACATCAATGAATTTTGACAATTTGTGGATTGATATTAGAGTTGTCTATAAGAAAAATTATTATTTTCATGTGACAAAAAGCCGAAACACCGTACTCTCAACGTATATCCGCTAACAATCAAATCGAAATTGATTTTCTGCTGATCCAGAAATTTCTCAGGTTGAATAATCAAAACCTGTCGCACTTTTCGATACAATGCTTGTTGTGTGGCACGCAAATAGAATTTCAACGTTTTCAGTTGAATATGTCGAGTGTCGAGAAGCACAGTGAATTGGGTGGTATTTGGTGGCAAAGTATCAGCGAGCAATGCCAATAATGAAACCAATTGCTCATATGAGCATTCTTGTTGATTTGATGTCGAAATTACTAAAAGCACGTTGCCTTCACGATCGATTCCACCTATAAATTGAAAGTTCTAGGGAAATTTTGTGTTGGGCAAAACTTCGGAATTTTTGAAAGAAAGCCTAGCGGAAATCCCAAAACTCAACAAAAAAAAAACAATTTTTCTTCGAGCCTCGCATGGTATTCTCGCAACTTTACAAATGTTTCCGGAATTTTGGAATTCCGATTCCTTCAGCCCTTCTCAAGAGCTAATTAAAAAAAATTACTTCGCCCCCAGATTAAAAAAAAACATTTTTACGCTATATTAAGTATTATAAAAAAATTACTGTACCTGGAACAAATGCAAGTCTGTCCAAAACATTTTGTCGTTGTTTTTGCCAATTCATCAACTCTCTTCAAAGTTTTTTTTTGAAGAAACCAAAAAAAAACAGTGAAAATTTGTGGGGGAAAATAAGTTGGTATGTAAATAAATACAAAAAGAAGGAAAAGAAGCGCAGAAGGACAGAAATCTTCTTCTTCTTGTTATTGACAGTTTATTCTTCTTCTTCTTCTTCGAAGAAGGCGAAAGTGCGTGTAAAAGGTGGAAAGAGAGAGAGAGAGAGAGTGACGAGAGAAGCAGAGAAGAATGTGTTTTGTTACAAAACTAATTCGACTTATCACTTCGTTTTGCGCGCAGGGCGCGTTATGTGTTATTTATTGTGTAAATCATGATGAAGATTTGCTGTTTCTTTTTTGGTTGATGAAAGAGAAAAGTGAAACAAATTAGGGAGGGGTCGGAAGTTTTGGCGCCAAAATGAAAGCCACGTGAAATTTGAATTTTTCAGAGAAGATTTATTTTTTAAAAAAACAGGCAAAAAATCCTCGTATCAATTTTCATAACGTTAAAAAAAATTAACACCCGTTTTCCTTTCCAACTATCTATAACTGTACCAAAAAAGTTTGTTTATATTTTCACCCAAACATTTTTGAAACCGAAATTTGATAAACATTTTCAGTTAATTTTCCTGAAAAATTTCAAATATGATACTCCTAATTTTTCTATTCCCACTAATTTTTTGCTGTCCTGAATCTAGTGTTTCAGATGACAAAATCACCTTGGAGAAGGATTGCGAAGTTTCGGTAGGCGAGGATTAGAAGAATCCGAGGGGTCATCTACAGTAATGATAAGCTAGATTTTTAGTATGAAACTCACTTTACTCCAAACCCAACCATTTTTGCGAATCAATAAAACTCGAAATGCTTAATTTCTCTTGGATATTTCACGTGAACGTGCCAAAAAATTAAATATTTCATTTTTATTTATTTTGTAGATAACCATCCCGGATACTGTAGAATTATTGTCACAAAAATCCTTTTTTTCAAAGATCCAACCGTCTTCTGAATCTGCCATTCAACTGAAACTTCCCTGCAATAATGAAATAAAAATATGGCTCCTCGCGGAAGATCAATCCATTTTTCACTCGATTTTCAACGAGACTTGCACCAGAACAGAACTACATACCCAAACGTGGACAGCTCCCAAAAAAACAGGCGTCAAGCTTGTTCTCATCTCCGAAAACTCTATACAAATACCTTTGATCCATATCCACGATCAAAATATTTGTAGCTATCCCATAGTTCGGCTAACTACAAATTTTACCCAAATTCAGGAAGATGTATTTTTCAGCGATTATCAAAGTTGTGTATACAGATTGATTCCATCTGAAGAAATACGCAAAACGTTTAACAGAGTGCATATCGCTTTCAATGGTTTAACGACAAATTATGAGATGAGAAGAGGTGTTTTGAATTTTGCATTTAATGGACAACAAGATTTTCTACTCGAAGAATTCGATATCGCTCTCGATGCTCTTACTCAACCTCCAAATACCACAGCAACTCTGAAATTCGATAAATGTCAGAACGGCTTGAAAATCTTGGAGATTCCAAAGGAAAACTTGACTACAAGTGTTATTATGGAACCAGATTGGGTTGATAAATGTCAACATATGAAAAGTATTTATGAGTTGAAGTTTTTGGATTTGGCGAATGATGAGATTGTGGTTTTTAAGACGGATTTGCAATGGCAGAAAAGAACATACAGTAATGAAGTGACGTTTAAATTGAGTGATTTGGATGGAAGATTATTGATGAAGTAAGTCGAATTCTGAAAATAGACCAAAACTGAAAGGAAGAGCTCATAAGTTTATTTTTGCAGCGGATGATCAGATTGATAAAGTTTTTAATAAATTCTAAAACTTGTTCATAATGTTGAAAAATAGGCCTAGAAGTTGTGAGATTCATTTCCAACCATTTGAACCCCATACAAAAACCCTGCCAGCGTTTTCTCTAGAAACACCAAAAAACAATTTTCAGCAATTCTCATCATCTCAACATCGCTGCTTTTAAAACAAAAGGCCTTCGTGTCGAATTCTATACGATCAACAACTACGAAACTGTAACCATTGACTTCATACGGCTTAAAATTGATCACAAATGTCGTCGTGATTTATTCGGCTCGGAAACTATCACACGAGAAGGTCGCTATTGGACTGTCATACCCAAACATTGCCGAAACGTATTTATACATTGGCGCTTCCAAAATACTCATCAACATTTGGGATTAACACATATCAATTTACACGTCAAAGTTGAAAATGCGGGAGATGGTGATTTATTGGAAAGTGATCATTTGAGTTATGAGAATGAAGAAAGCGAAGAATTGGCCAAGGATTTTGAAATTCAAAGAGTTTTCAGCACTGTAAAAGATAGTCTTGAGTTTGCGTTTATAAGATTCAATCAAAGTGAATTCAATAATAATGACACGGAAATTATGATTTCGTGGAATTTCAATACTGGTAAGTATTCTGATATTTTGAAGACTCAAAAAATTAGAAGAGCTGGAAGAACTTTCATGGAATTTCAATTTCCGGGATTGATAATACAGACCTTTGCCTATAGTATTTGTTTTTTTCTGAATTTTTCGAAATGATTTTTTTCAGGCTATGACTGTCCAGTAGAGAATAATTACACAATTCCAATTTCCACCTCAATGAATCTAACAAGTCCAAATTATCCTAATAGCTTTACTACAAATATGAATTGTGATACTTATATTCAAACTAATGACAAGTTTGTTGATTGATTAATGTCTTACCTAATTAATTTATGTTTCAGCGGAGTTCTGGAGATTAAAATCAATAAGCTATACATAGTCAACGGTGAACTTAAAGTTATTGAAGAAAAATTCGAAAATACTACGATTTTGGATGGTCCCCAAACAAAATTGGTATTTGGTCCAAGAATTCAACTAAACTTCCAATCTTCTGATGAACATCCTGGATTAAAAGAAAAATATCATATTACCATAACTTCTAGGCTAAATGATTCAATACCCACTCAGACTCCCACTACCCGAATTCCAACCACCCAGATTCCCACCACATCCCAAATTTCCACCACTACAGAAACACCCGCAGAATCTGCTCATTCACACACTTTTATCATTATCTCGTTCCTATTTTTCGCCATTTTGCTAGTCGTTTTTGGATTTTTGTATCAACAGCGGAATTTGAAACGGGCTCAGAGACGTATGAGATTTACAGCTGAGTGAGTTGGCTTAACTTGGGTTCGAGAAAAATCGTGTTTTTTTCAGCGCTCCGAACAGTCGATTGGACTTTTTCCGATAATTTTTGTGAGCTTTTTGTAGGGCAAAGTATTCGAATAAAGTTATTGATTTGTGAAACAATTTTTTATAAAAAAGTGTCTATTGAAATATATTAAAATTTTTTGCAAGACCACCTACAGTAATATTGTAACTTCAAGAGTCTGCGAATAGAAAACTTTATTACGATGCTACAGTTTCTGGTTCTCTTTCAATTAAAAATATTCTTTCTCCTGAAATTTTTACAAAAATCACCCAAAGTACTGCACAAAATTGTCACTTGTAGTATTTTGATAATATTTTTTGTATTTTTTCTGCAAAACGATTTTGTAGCTCATATGAGAAAAATAATTATAATCACTGTTTACTTCTGAAACTCAATAGAAAATCAAAATGAATTAAACAATTTATTCATCTCCTTATTTTTTCAATAATCAGATTTAATTTTCCATGTTTTTCGAAAAATCCAATACCACCCACAACCAAAATCAAAAGAATGAAGATAGATATCACAACTCCGTAAGATGTTGACCCCGAATATTTTTTCGATTCTGAAGTTGTAACTTCCACAGAATGTGAGGTAGTTGTTAATAAATCTTTAGGCTTCTTCACACTTTTTAAAGTGATATGAAATCCTTTATCATTCCGTGTTTTCCGAGAATTCGATTCAAAAAGAAAAGTGATTTGTTGCCCAGCTTTTATTAATTCTAAACTATGTTTTCCATCCAGATATTCTATCAAATTCAAATTATTGACTCCTCCATTATAAATTGATAAATGATCGCCATTTTTGTCGAGTTGAAAGAAATTCAAATGAATTTCAAAAATAGCTTCCTCATCGGTGTAAAAATGGGCACGACATTGCAAATTTTTACAATAAGGTTCAGGATAATTAAGGCTTGTTATATTTTCACTGGAACCCAGTGCGAGATATCTAACATGACTGATACATTTACAATCTTTAATTTGTTTATGAAATAAAATTTTGAAGTGTATTAAAGTGTACTTACTGATTGCAAATTTCCATGCAAAATTGATTTTTGTAGCTTGCTTGTGAGATGATTGAAGACGAACAAATGCCACTTCCAATTTTCGACTGCTGGTATCATAAGGTAATCCAGATTTAATAAAAATATTTGCGTTTCTCCTGAAAAAACATTTTTCAATTATAATTTCTTTTATTTTAAAAATCTTACGAAAATCGTTCGTTATGTTCATTCACATCAATAGTATCATTCCTATGAGCTCCCTCAATTCCTAAACTTAAATCAATTATTTTTGCGTTCAAATGTTGGTTAATTATTCTCCAATGATAAACAACAGTTTTGCAATTTTCCGCAATTTCTAAACTAGTTTTTCCATCTTCTCTGAATGTATCCGAATCATAAAATGAATAGGGACATCCAACCTTGATCTTCACTCTATAAATGTTTACAGTAACCGTGTACAAAGCATGCTTGTCCATTATTTCCAAATATAATCCAGTTGTGTTAAAAGCAGCCGTTTTGAGCCAATGAGTAGAGCTGAACACTTTTTGGTGAAGTGTCTAAATAAAAATTCAATTTCAAACTTACTTCATAATCTGGTGTTCCCGATCGTTTAGATGATATAAATTGAAATGTCTATCATTCTGAACTTCAATATCGTGGTCAAAAATAATATATTCATCCGGTTTTTTATCGATGATTTCAATGCGGAAAATTGAGGTTCTTGTAAAATCGCAATAATCCAGAAAATCTTCAGAAATCACGATTGTTCTCAATTCTTCATTTGATTGAATTTTGATGGTTTCAATTCCACGCAAGCAACCTTAAATTCAACATAAAAGGTTTTTAGTCAACAACTCACGATCATAAAATAGATTTGCATAGACTTCTGGAGGGTTCACATACTCTCTCAATAAAATATCAAAAGTTTCAAGGACAAAACTTTGATTGTTAACTTCAAAACTCTCCTCGTGGAATATTGGACTCCCGGGATTTCGATAAACTCTTTTATCATATTTTATATGATCAGTAGTGTTGAAAGAAATCATAATTTTATTAAATGAAAAATTTTGAGGAGCAATAAGTCGATAGATACAAGCTTGTGAGTTATCAAAAGTCGTATCTGTTTGAATAATTGTTTCCTGATAATATGTATTGAGTTTTACAAGAGGATATCCGCAAACGTTTGAATTTTTGATAACACTAACTTGTATGGTGCTATTCGCATGATAAAAATCATCTTCATAGTCACCATCATCACCTTGCGAATCTATTTTATTCTCTAAAATCAGCCCGGTATTCTTGGGAGCCCTCCAAATAATCGATGATTTTTTTGTCCTTTCGCAATTTGACGAAAAATACGAGTGATAGATTGTGTGATAATCCCCATCCACATTAACAATCAGATAGATGTCAAAACCTGCTCCACAGAATATTTCTAATTCTATCGATTTTCCTGGGTAAATTGGGAGATGTTTTGTGCAATTTGGAAGGATTGTCAGGTTGAAGTTGAGATGTGAAATATCGGTGATATTCTGATCACACGTTGAAGATGCTTGACTTATTGATTGTGAGAAAAACAGGAGAACTAGGAGAATATACATTTTCAGAATGTGATAGAAAGTTATTATATGCTGAAAATAATGAGAACAAATAAACAATATACATATCATGTTTATAAATGTTTATGTTGCAACAAACTGAAATAGAATCAATGTCTAGAAATGAGACTATTGATATTTGTTGCGTTATGGAAAATTGCTTACACAATAATCCTAACACCTAATACCACTGAAGTGATTCCAATTCACCAAGATAAATCTATTCAGCTGGAGATTCCTTGCGATTCACATATCCATATCTCATTGTTTGTTAGCGTGGATAACACAAATCTAGATATCTATCACTCCACTTATAAATCATCATGTTCTAGAACCAGTGAAGTTTTGAAGATCTGGAGATCTCCAAGAAATACTGGATTGAAATTGACTTCTATGAAAGAGGAAAGAAACACAACACTGAATATTAGTTTAATTGAAAATTCGAATGTTTGCGGATATCCGTATGTGAAGCTAAATCCAAATATAAGGCTGGATACGATTCTGCAAAACGATACGGTTTTCGACTATGCTCAAGGTAAAATTTTTACATTTTTGTTTTGTTATGGTTATTTTCAGATTGTGTTTATCGTATCATCCCCGATTTTTCTGGCAAGTTCAACAATGTTCAAATCTCGATCAATGACACAAAAGAAGTTCGATACAATGTTCGATACTATCGTCAAAAATATTCTCCTGAAAATTATAGCATGATCCATGTTTTTGGAAATAATGAAGATTTTCTACTCGAATCATTTGATATAATACTTCGAGAATATGTGGATATTCCACAAATCACGGCGAGACTCAAAATCAATCAATGTCTGAGCGTTGAGAACATCAAGATCTTTTCAAATCAAAGTTTTGTCACTAAGAATATACCAAGTGATATTTGGGCATATTGCCAGAATTCAAGAAGAACAATTTATCGATTAGAGTTGGTTGATAAACAAGAGAACGAGTTTTTGATTTTTGAACATAATATTGAAGTTCATGAGGATAGCAATTTCAAGCTATATTATTTGGATAATCGGGATATTCCTATAATGAGGTAGGATTATTCAAATTTTTGTGAGTTATTAAAAAATAGTTTCCAGCAAGAAAAAATGGATGTACATGGCTGCATTTAACACAACCGGTTTATATTTTGATTTCGATGATCATCATTCGATTTACACAAGATTTATCAAAATTCATCGAGTGAAAATGGAACAGAATTGTCCGTATGTATTCTATGAAAAGGATATTGATAGTCGTATAGAAGATCAACGAGGTATTAGAATTGCCTCATTTTGTAAAAATGTGTTTATACATTTTAAACTGATCAACAATCATAGCAAATACATACAGTACTATTTCGCAGCAATATATCCTCATTCAAAAGATGTACTAGAAATGGGAAATGGAAAAAAGTCTACAAAATTTTTATTTACAAAAGGAATATCAGGAGTCGCAGAAACTTCTGAACTTGATCTAGCGTATATTCGATTGAATGACACCGAGGAATTGAAACAAAACACATTTCTAAGATTTGATTGGAAGTTGGTGCTGAATTGTGGATGTGAAAAGCAGCATTTGTTTATTGAAAATAATTCATCTTTAAACTTTCTGAGCTTGAATTATCCAGAAGTTTATTGCAAAAATATGAACTGTCAATATCATTTTAGCACTAATGAAAATTCTATTCTCGAAGTTTATATCAATGATATCCGACTTGACAGCATTGGAGATCATTTATCAATTTACGATGGTAACTACATTGATTTCAATTATCTTCTAGCATATATAGTTGGAAATAACTCAAAATCCTCAAGATCTTTCAAAGCATCAAGAAATCTTACTGTTCTCTTCGAATCGAATAACATTCTGACCAAGTTCGAAAAAGGTTTCAATATTACCATCCAATCCAAAATTGAACCAAGAAAGGTTGAACCAATTGCAGAACAAATTATACAATATGAAGAACCCCCAAATTCTCATAAATTTTTAGTGTTATTGATGATAGTTTTGATTGTTGTGATATTTGTTGGTGGAATAATTTTACTTGTGAAAATGGGAATGTTTGATGAGATTCCTTTTTTCAAAAAATAAAGTTTTCGAGATTTTAGTTTATTAACAAACAAGGTTTATTATGTCAACTTATGTGAGATCCACTTTCTTGGAACAGTAACATCCCATCTATTTCCGGGCCCTTTTTTCCAAATTGCTTCACCGTACCACCAATGACCCAATCGGCAAGGACTACGACCGATTTGAATAATCCCGGAGTTAGCAAATGAGACTAGGAAAAATAAGAGTAACAACACTTTCATAATACCATTCAATCCAGTCCTATAAACTTCGCATGACTTTATAGAACTTTTTAGTCTCACACTTTATTACATTATTATTTTTTATTTGTGATAACTTCAATGGTCTTTGAACAAAAACTACGATGAAACTTCGAGAACAAAGTATTTGTTGATTAATAATTTAATATAGCAACACGCAACAAAAAGTTTTGTTTATATCAAAAAAAAATAGAGCCGCCACAAAAATAAACAAATTTTCCATCATTATCAATATACAGTTGTAATGAATCTATTTTTCCTAATTCTAGCAAGTTTTTTGCTAGAAACAGTTGGAGCTTGTCGATCTGATCCAATAATTGACAATGGAATGAATTATGATTTGAATATTGAAGAAAATTGCGAGAATCATTTTCCAATTCATCCGGATAAATCAATAAACCTCAAACTTCCCTGCGATTCTCAATATAGTTTATGGATGACAGTTGAGGAAACCAACGATCGCATTTTTCATTCGAATGCAACTCTAGATTGTTCAAGAACCGATGAGAGATTTCTAACTTTTCAAGCACCACTCAATGTTGGGTTGATAGTTGTTACACAGAAAACCGTCACAATCAAAGTTCTGATAACAGATCAGAAAAATGTCTGCGCTTACCCATATATTAAATTGAGCTCAAATGAAACTAGAGTGATTCAAGAGGATCTGACTTTTGATAACTTGCAAGAATGTGTTTATCGAATTATTCCAGCTAATGATGATTTCAATTCAGTTAATATAACTTTCGGATCTTTGGACAACCTCAACTATGAGCAAAGAATTGGGAAAGATGTTAACATTTATAATACAAGTAAAGTCTTCGATTTGGTCGATAGTTTTGATATTAAAATCAATCCCTATGTAGAAATTCCAGAAATCAAAGTGCAATTTATAAATAACGGTGAGAAACTTTGAACATTTTTGAACATCTGTTTATTTTAGAGTGCACAAAAATGCATTACTTCCAAATGGCCGATAATTTTTTGAATATTCCATCAATTCCAAAACCCAGTGATGATCAACCGTGTAGCGCTATTGTTAAATCAATAATAAAAATCGACTTTGAAAATTTGAAAGATGATGAAGTTATTTTTATGCAGCACAATGTAGAGAAAGATAATTTGAAAATTATGGATAGAGCAAACGACAAAGTTGTGATGGAGTGAGTTAAAAAATTAATAAAATGAGTGATTTCCTTTCAATTCAGCGAAACTCATTGGCTGAAAAATGCAGCACTTCAAAACATTACAAAACTTCGGATAACTGTGACCAACAAATGGGATTATGTACTTAACTTTACACGAGTTCCAATTCAACACGGATGTGAATGTCCAAGTTACGGAAATCTAGTCAGCACAAAAAGCAGTGAATTCGGAATAAGCTTCAATTCATGCAAAAATGTGTTTTGTCATATTAGATTGGAAAACCCGAAAAATGCCATTCTCAATGTTCACTTTTATTATTCACAAATACCTTCAGGCCCCAGTTCTGATATTTTCGGTGTTGTTGAGAAGGGAAAATATCTTCCGTAAGTAAAAGAAAAAATATAGAACTACCAATAAAATAGATTTTATTGTTAATCTTCGAAGTTGGATGAGAACACAAAAAAAACATTTAATTTGGATTTTCAGATTAAACGGAGGTCCTCACGATTTCTCGCTAAATGATGATTATTTTGAAATGTCTTATATAAGATTGAACAACACGAGTCATGATACAATGTATTCACAATTTGATTGGCATTTTACAAGAAGTAAGAATTTTAGGAATATTCTTCAAGAGATTGTGATTAATTTCAGATTTTGAATGTTCTGAAGATGAAACTCGAGATGTTACACCAGGAAGTTCTATTGAAATAACTAGCATTAACTTTCCATATCCATATCCACCTAATCTAGATTGTAAAACATTGGTAAAAACCGATCGAAATTCTACTCTCGAGTTTAATTTCAAACGTTTTTGTTCTGATGAATGGGGTGATGTACTAGAAATTTACAATGGTGATACGACCGATTCAGATAAGATGAAGACAAGCTTGAAAGGATGTAAGAAGCCCAACCAAACAATTCAAACATCTAGTCAGGCTTTGTTACTTTTCCAATCGGATAATATTACTAGTTCCGAAATAACAGGATACAAGATTATTGTGACAGCTAGTAAGTTCCATAGTTCTTCTCAAGAAAGGGTACTTCTGGAATAGTGAGACCTCAAAGGGAGATTTTATAATATAAAACCTCTAGAATTTTACTATTCTACACATCACCTGGATTAATTGTCTTATCCAACCTTTAAATCTTTAGAACCCTTATATTCTACAACATCTACTACATCTGCCACCACAACAACATCTTCTACAAAAAATCCACCATCTACTTCAAAAAAATCATCATCTTCCAATGAAAACCCCGAATCTTCAAGCTCCCATGTATTTCTATACATTTTCGTGATTTTCCTAATTGCAGCCGGAGGCGCTGGTTATTTTTATCAAGAGAAAATCAAGAAACTCTTACCTGGTTTCAATTTTCCACTAAACACCGCTCCAACAACTGTGCAAAACGTTAACTTTTCTTAGAATATTGCTAGAACACTGTGCCCGGAACGCGACATCAGAGAAAATCTTTTGCCTCTACCCTTTTCTCATACTCTCTTGTGTGTCTCTTTTTCTCTCGCGTCTCTTCACAACCCCACACACTCTCGCTGAAAACTGACTTTTGAATAAAAACCGAAATTTAAAAGCTTGAAACTCGGAATTTCCATAAAGTAAGATGATGATCAGAAAGAGGAAGAGTAGTAGAACGCAGAGATATGAAATTCACCCAAAAAAGTTCTGGAAACGGCTTTCAAACACGGGTTTGAAAAAAGTGAATTTCTATTTTTCAATTTTTTTCATCCAAAAATGAATTTTTCCAAAATTTTCGTAACAGATCTTGTAGAGAAGGTTAAGCTGGTTAGATTCCAATATCAAAGTCTTAACAATGATAGCTACTTCATGAAATTATCGCCCTGAAAGTTTCATACATGGGCAAGTTTTGGCAGAAAAACATGAGTTCAAATGAACATTATTTGAAATTGTGTTTCAACAACAATGTAATATAGATCTTCCTCTTTCAAATGATGTATAAAACTTCAGCTTTTTGGAAATAATTCGATGAGAAAATCCAGATTTGGTTTCAGAAGTTTTTTTCCCCAGAAAAAAAAGAATGGCCGAGATTTTTTGTTCTGGCCGAACTAATCGGAAACTCGGCCATTGTTGCGCTCAGGGCACAGTGCTAGAAATAAAAATTGTATCTCTTTCTCTCATCGTTCACATACTCTCTAATCGAAATGCCGGCAAACGCGCTCCAGCGCACTGAACCGCTTTTTTTTTGTTTAAAAAAATATTTGTCATTTTCTTTTTGTTTTTTTTTTCGTCTCACGTGATCACGTTAAATCATTTCATTTTGATAACTAATTTTGATAGAAAATGGACGGATTGATGATTGACGAAACTGTGAGACATGGCTTGCAACAACAACAAAAACAAAGCGGAAAAGAAATGTTGGCGAAAACACCAAGAAAAGGATTGGGTTTGATGATTAATGAGACGAAGACGGTTAGTTTTACACATTTTCAAGGGAATGAATGTTTTCTGGCAGATTTCCTCCTGTTATTATATTTTATTTTTAAAAATTCAATCACAATTTCCAGCCAAATTCCCGTGCAATTCCATCCTCAGCCACCCGAAAAACCAGCAGAGCTCCGACTTTCGAAGTTTTCGAAGATACCGAAGAAGTCGCAATCCAAGAAGAAAAATCAGCCGAAAGATTGTGTAGCTCTCCAATTGAAGGAGTTTCTCGACTTCCTTCAAGGCCACAATCACCACTTTTTGGACTTGAAGAAGGTCTGGCAGAAGAAGGCGATGTGATTTTGGTGGATGAAAATGAGGATGATGTTGGAGCATTGGGAGATTACAACAATATTTCAATTGATATCGAAGTGGTTGAATTGGGAATTGAAAAATGGGAAAAATATCCGCCAATTGATACAGTCAGTTTGATGGATGATGGTTTGGAGGATTTCAGAAAAGATTATGTGGTAAGCAATAACACGTGGTAATTTGAAAATACCGATTTTTCGCACATATCGCCCTCTCATTAAAATCCCGTAAGGTGAAATTTATTTAGAAATGTTCATTTCTCCCGGTCACGTGAAATTCTGATAAATATATATTTATCAAAAATGCTTCATTTCTTACCTACACGTGTGGTGTAGGCGGGGCTAGGCTGGCAAAAAATTACCCGAATACACTCATTTCAGAAATGCTCAAAAATGGCTTACCCATTTACACTACACGTTTTTAGAAATGATGCCCGTTTACACTATTTTTATTTATAAGGCTACACTTTTACTTTTACACCTTTACACTTTTACCCTATTTTTCTGAAAAAGAGTTGTTGAAAGTGCCGAAATAGACTGAAAAATAGTGAAAAAACAGTCATTATTTGAGAATTAGCAGAGCCAAAGCATAACATCACAGAGAAATTGATAATTCAATGTTTTTTGTTCTGTTCCAGTCTGAAAATCAGAGTTATACTAACCCAAATGCCAAGAAATGTGACTTCTTCATTTTCTAAACAGGTTTTTATATTCCTTTTTCATTTTCTGAAACTATTTATTATTCGAAAAAAAAAACCTTTTTCTTACTTTAAAATCCTTTATTTTCGAACAGAACTCTTTTATTCACTTTGGGAAACCATTGGTCTGTTTCGACATTGAGTTTTTGTCATTTATTTTCTTTTTTCCAAGCCGGAGCAAAAATAGTGTATTCGTGTATTATTGTAAAAATGTATGTAGTGTAAAAGTGTAAGTGTATTCGGGCATTTCTGCAAACGTGTAAAAATAAAATTAGTGTATAGAAATACCCGAATGCCTCATTTTTGTCAGCCTAAGGCGGGGAGAACGATGCCTTCCAATCAGGCAACCCTCCTTCTTTTGTGGGTTCGAGCCCCACTCGGAAAAAATTTTTCCCTATATCGAGTAATGCAGATTTTCGGAAATTTTGTTCCTTTCTCCCCAAAATTGCGAAAATTCGACATTCCAACGCGGCAAAAAAGAAAAAAGAAGATGGAGAAGAAAAAGCTTAATAAAAAGAGAAAATCGAGAAAATATCATGCGTGACCCATGAGCGAAAAAGCCTGATTCTTCAGATGCTATTGGCATTGTTCAAGAATTCCAAATTCCTAACGGGCCAAGAATGTTATTCGAGTCTTCAATACGAAAAAAAGGTTAAATAAGTTTTTTTTTTCGAAAAATTGATCGATGACTTCATCATCCAAATTATAGCATGATCCATGTTTTTGGAAATAATGAAGATTTTCTACTCGAATCATTTGATATAATACTTCGAGAATATGTGGATATTCCACAAATCACGGCGAGACTCAAAATCGATCAATGTCTGAGCGTTGAGAACATCAAGATCTTCCCAAATCAAAGTTTTGTCACTAAGAATATACCAAGTGATATTTGGGCACATTGCCAGAATTCAAGAAGAACAATTTATCGATTAGAGTTGGTTGATAAACAAGAGAATGAGTTTTTGATTTTCGAACATAATATTGAAGTTCATGAGGATAGCAATTTCAAGTTATATTATTTGGATAATCGGGATATTCCTATAATGAGGTAGGATTATTCAAATTTTTGTGAGTTATTAAAAAAAGTTTCCAGCAAGAAAAAATGGATGTACATGGCTGCATTTAACACAACCGGTTTATATTTTGATTTCGATGATCATCATTCGATTTACACAAGATTTATCAAAATTCATCGAGTGAAAATGGAACAGAATTGTCCGTATGTATTCTATGAAAAGGATATTGATAGTCGTATAGAAGATCAACGAGGTATTAGAATTGCATCATTTTGTAAAAATGTGTTTATACATTTTAAACTTATCAACAATCATAGCAAATACATACAGTACTATTTCGCAGTAATATATCCTCATTCAAAAGATGTACTAGAAATGGGAAATGGAAAAAAGTCTACAAAGTTTTTATTTACAAAAGGAATATCAGGAGTCGCAGAAACTTCTGAACTTGATCTAGCGTATATTCGATTGAATGACACTGGGGAATTGAAACAAAACACATTTCTAAGATTTGATTGGAAGTTTGTGCTGAATTGTGGATGTGAAAAGCAGCATTTGTTTATTGAAAATAATTCATCTTTGAACTTTTTGAGCTTGAATTATCCAGAAGTTTATTGCAAAAATATGAACTGTCAATATCATTTTAGCACTAATGAAAATTCTATTCTCGAAGTTTATATCAATGATGTCCGACTTGACGACATTGGAGATCATTTATCAATTTACGATGGTAACTACATTGATTTCAATTATCTTCTAGCATATATAGTTGGAAATAACTCAAAATCCTCAAGATCTTTCAAAGCATCAAGAAATCTTACACTTCTCTTCGAATCGAACAACATTCTGACCAAGTTCGAAAAAGGTTTCAATATTACCATACAATCCAAAATTGAACCAAGAAAGGTTGAACAAATTGCAGAACAAATTATACAATATGAAGAACCCCCAACTTCTCATAAATTTTTAGTGTTATTGATGATAGTTTTGATTGTTCTGATATTTGTTGGTGGAATAATTTTACTTGTGAAAATGGGAATGTTTGATGAGATTCCTTTTTTCAAAAAATAAAATTTTCGAGATTTTAGTTTATTAACAAACAAGCCTTATTATGTCAACTTATGTGGAATCCACTTTCTTGGAACAGTAACATCCCATCTATTTCCTGGTCCTTTCTTCCAAATTGCTTCACCGTACCACCAATGACCCAATCGGCAAGGACTACGACCGATTTGAATAATCCCGGAGTTAGCAAATGAGATTAGGAAGAATAAGAGTGACAAAACTTTCATAATACCATTCAATCCGGTCTTATAAACTTCGCATTATTTTATAGAACTTTTTAGTCTCACACTTTATTACATTATTATTTTTTATTTGTGATAACTTCAATGGTCTTTGAACAAAAACTACGATGAAACTTCGAGAACAAAGTATTTGTTGATTAATAATTTAATATAGCAACACGCAACAAAAAGTTTTGTTTATATCAAAAAAAATAGAGCCGCCACAAAAATAAACAAATTTTCCATCATTATCAATATACAGTTGTAATGAATCTATTTTTCCTAATTCTAGCAAGTTTTTTGCTAGAAACAGTTGGAGCTTGTCGATCTGATCCAATAATTGACAATGGAATGAATTATGATTTGAATATTGAAGAAAATTGCGAGAATCATTTTCCAATTCATCCGGATAAATCAATAAACCTCAAACTTCCCTGCGATTCTCAATATAGTTTATGGATGACAGTTGAGGAAACCAACGATCGCATTTTTCATTCGAATGCAACTCTAGATTGTTCAAGAACCGATGAGAGATTTCTAACTTTTCAAGCACCACTCAATGTTGGGTTGATAGTTGTTACACAGAAAACCGTCACAATCAAAGTTCTGATAACAGATCAGAAAAATGTCTGCGCTTACCCATATATTAAATTGAGCTCAAATGAAACTAGAGTGATTCAAGAGGATCTGACTTTTGATAACTTGCAAGAATGTGTTTATCGAATTATTCCAGCTAATGATGATTTCAATTCAGTTAATATAACTTTCGGATCTTTGGACAACCTCAACTATGAGCAAAGAATTGGGAAAGATGTTAACATTTATAATACAAGTAAAGTCTTCGATTTGGTCGATAGTTTTGATATTAAAATCAATCCCTATGTAGAAATTCCAGAAATCAAAGTGCAATTTATAAATAACGGTGAGAAACTTTGAACATTTTTGAACATCTGTTTATTTTAGAGTGCACAAAAATGCATTACTTCCAAATGGCCGATAATTTTTTGAATATTCCATCAATTCCAAAACCCAGTGATGATCAACCGTGTAGCGCTATTGTTAAATCAATAATAAAAATCGACTTTGAAAATTTGAAAGATGATGAAGTTATTTTTATGCAGCACAATGTAGAGAAAGATAATTTGAAAATTATGGATAGAGCAAACGACAAAGTTGTGATGGAGTGAGTTAAAAAATTAATAAAATGAGTGATTTCCTTTCAATTCAGCGAAACTCATTGGCTGAAAAATGCAGCACTTCAAAACATTACAAAACTTCGGATAACTGTGACCAACAAATGGGATTATGTACTTAACTTTACACGAGTTCCAATTCAACACGGATGTGAATGTCCAAGTTACGGAAATCTAGTCAGCACAAAAAGCAGTGAATTCGGAATAAGCTTCAATTCATGCAAAAATGTGTTTTGTCATATTAGATTGGAAAACCCGAAAAATGCCATTCTCAATGTTCACTTTTATTATTCACAAATACCTTCAGGCCCCAGTTCTGATATTTTCGGTGTTGTTGAGAAGGGAAAATATCTTCCGTAAGTAAAAGAAAAAATATAGAACTACCAATAAAATAGATTTTATTGTTAATCTTCGAAGTTGGATGAGAACACAAAAAAAACATTTAATTTGGATTTTCAGATTAAACGGAGGTCCTCACGATTTCTCGCTAAATGATGATTATTTTGAAATGTCTTATATAAGATTGAACAACACGAGTCATGATACAATGTATTCACAATTTGATTGGCATTTTACAAGAAGTAAGAATTTTAGGAATATTCTTCAAGAGATTGTGATTAATTTCAGATTTTGAATGTTCTGAAGATGAAACTCGAGATGTTACACCAGGAAGTTCTATTGAAATAACTAGCATTAACTTTCCATATCCATATCCACCTAATCTAGATTGTAAAACATTGGTAAAAACCGATCGAAATTCTACTCTCGAGTTTAATTTCAAACGTTTTTGTTCTGATGGATGGGGTGATGTACTAGAAATTTACAATGGTGATACGACCGATTCAGATAAGATGAAGACAAGCTTGAAAGGATGTAAGAAGCCCAACCAAACAATTCAAACATCTAGTCAGGCTTTGTTACTTTTCCAATCGGATAATATTACTAGTTCCGAAATAACAGGATACAAGATTATTGTGACAGCTAGTAAGTTCCATAGTTCTTCTCAAGAAAGGGTACTTCTGGAATAGTGAGACCTCAAAGGGAGATTTTATAATATAAAACCTCTAGAATTTTACTATTCTACACATCACCTGGATTAATTGTCTTATCCAACCTTTAAATCTTTAGAACCCTTATATTCTACAACATCTACTACATCTGCCACCACAACAACATCTTCTACAAAAAATCCACCATCTACTTCAAAAAAATCATCATCTTCCAATGAAAACCCCGAATCTTCAAGCTCCCATGTATTTCTATACATTTTCGTGATTTTCCTAATTGCAGCCGGAGGCGCTGGTTATTTTTATCAAGAGAAAATCAAGAAACTCTTACCTGGTTTCAATTTTCCACTAAACACCGCTCCAACAACTGTGCAAAACGTTAACTTTTCTTAGAATATTGCTAGAACACTGTGCCCGGAACGCGACATCAGAGAAAATCTTTTGCCTCTACCCTTTTCTCATACTCTCTTGTGTGTCTCTTTTTCTCTCGCGTCTCTTCACAACCCCACACACTCTCGCTGAAAACTGACTTTTGAATAAAAACCGAAATTTAAAAGCTTGAAACTCGGAATTTCCATAAAGTAAGATGATGATCAGAAAGAGGAAGAGTAGTAGAACGCAGAGATATGAAATTCACCCAAAAAAGTTCTGGAAACGGCTTTCAAACACGGGTTTGAAAAAAGTGAATTTCTATTTTTCAATTTTTTTCATCCAAAAATGAATTTTTCCAAAATTTTCGTAACAGATCTTGTAGAGAAGGTTAAGCTGGTTAGATTCCAATATCAAAGTCTTAACAATGATAGCTACTTCATGAAATTATCGCCCTGAAAGTTTCATACATGGGCAAGTTTTGGCAGAAAAACATGAGTTCAAATGAACATTATTTGAAATTGTGTTTCAACAACAATGTAATATAGATCTTCCTCTTTCAAATGATGTATAAAACTTCAGCTTTTTGGAAATAATTCGATGAGAAAATCCAGATTTGGTTTCAGAAGTTTTTTCCCCAGAAAAAAAGAATGGCCGAGATTTTTTGTTCTGGCCGAACTAATCGGAAACTCGGCCATTGTTGCGCTCAGGGCACAGTGCTAGAAATAAAAATTGTATCTCTTTCTCTCATCGTTCACATACTCTCTAATCGAAATGCCGGCAAACGCGCTCCAGCGCACTGAACCGCTTTTTTTTGTTTAAAAAAATATTTGTCATTTTCTTTTTGTTTTTTTTTTCGTCTCACGTGATCACGTTAAATCATTTCATTTTGATAACTAATTTTGATAGAAAATGGACGGATTGATGATTGACGAAACTGTGAGACATGGCTTGCAACAACAACAAAAACAAAGCGGAAAAGAAATGTTGGCGAAAACACCAAGAAAAGGATTGGGTTTGATGATTAATGAGACGAAGACGGTTAGTTTTACACATTTTCAAGGGAATGAATGTTTTCTGGCAGATTTCCTCCTGTTATTATATTTTATTTTTAAAAATTCAATCACAATTTCCAGCCAAATTCCCGTGCAATTCCATCCTCAGCCACCCGAAAAACCAGCAGAGCTCCGACTTTCGAAGTTTTCGAAGATACCGAAGAAGTCGCAATCCAAGAAGAAAAATCAGCCGAAAGATTGTGTAGCTCTCCAATTGAAGGAGTTTCTCGACTTCCTTCAAGGCCACAATCACCACTTTTTGGACTTGAAGAAGGTCTGGCAGAAGAAGGCGATGTGATTTTGGTGGATGAAAATGAGGATGATGTTGGAGCATTGGGAGATTACAACAATATTTCAATTGATATCGAAGTGGTTGAATTGGGAATTGAAAAATGGGAAAAATATCCGCCAATTGATACAGTCAGTTTGATGGATGATGGTTTGGAGGATTTCAGAAAAGATTATGTGGTAAGCAATAACACGTGGTAATTTGAAAATACCGATTTTTCGCACATATCGCCCTCTCATTAAAATCCCGTAAGGTGAAATTTATTTAGAAATGTTCATTTCTCCCGGTCACGTGAAATTCTGATAAATATATATTTATCAAAAATGCTTCATTTCTTACCTACACGTGTGGTGTAGGCGGGGCTAGGCTGGCAAAAAATTACCCGAATACACTCATTTCAGAAATGCTCAAAAATGGCTTACCCATTTACACTACACGTTTTTAGAAATGATGCCCGTTTACACTATTTTTATTTATAAGGCTACACTTTTACTTTTACACCTTTACACTTTTACCCTATTTTTCTGAAAAAGAGTTGTTGAAAGTGCCGAAATAGACTGAAAAATAGTGAAAAAACAGTCATTATTTGAGAATTAGCAGAGCCAAAGCATAACATCACAGAGAAATTGATAATTCAATGTTTTTTGTTCTGTTCCAGTCTGAAAATCAGAGTTATACTAACCCAAATGCCAAGAAATGTGACTTCTTCATTTTCTAAACAGGTTTTTATATTCCTTTTTCATTTTCTGAAACTATTTATTATTCGAAAAAAAACCTTTTTCTTACTTTAAAATCCTTTATTTTCGAACAGAACTCTTTTATTCACTTTGGGAAACCATTGGTCTGTTTCGACATTGAGTTTTTGTCATTTATTTTCTTTTTTCCAAGCCGGAGCAAAAATAGTGTATTCGTGTATTATTGTAAAAATGTATGTAGTGTAAAAGTGTAAGTGTATTCGGGCATTTCTGCAAACGTGTAAAAATAAAATTAGTGTATAGAAATACCCGAATGCCTCATTTTTGTCAGCCTAAGGCGGGGAGAACGATGCCTTCCAATCAGGCAACCCTCCTTCTTTTGTGGGTTCGAGCCCCACTCGGAAAAAATTTTTCCCTATATCGAGTAATGCAGATTTTCGGAAATTTTGTTCCTTTCTCCCCAAAATTGCGAAAATTCGACATTCCAACGCGGCAAAAAAGAAAAAAGAAGATGGAGAAGAAAAAGCTTAATAAAAAGAGAAAATCGAGAAAATATCATGCGTGACCCATGAGCGAAAAAGCCTGATTCTTCAGATGCTATTGGCATTGTTCAAGAATTCCAAATTCCTAACGGGCCAAGAATGTTATTCGAGTCTTCAATACGAAAAAAAGGTTAAATAAGTTTTTTTTTTCGAAAAATTGATCGATGACTTCATCATCCAAATTATAGCATGATCCATGTTTTTGGAAATAATGAAGATTTTCTACTCGAATCATTTGATATAATACTTCGAGAATATGTGGATATTCCACAAATCACGGCGAGACTCAAAATCGATCAATGTCTGAGCGTTGAGAACATCAAGATCTTCCCAAATCAAAGTTTTGTCACTAAGAATATACCAAGTGATATTTGGGCACATTGCCAGAATTCAAGAAGAACAATTTATCGATTAGAGTTGGTTGATAAACAAGAGAATGAGTTTTTGATTTTCGAACATAATATTGAAGTTCATGAGGATAGCAATTTCAAGTTATATTATTTGGATAATCGGGATATTCCTATAATGAGGTAGGATTATTCAAATTTTTGTGAGTTATTAAAAAAAAGTTTCCAGCAAGAAAAAATGGATGTACATGGCTGCATTTAACACAACCGGTTTATATTTTGATTTCGATGATCATCATTCGATTTACACAAGATTTATCAAAATTCATCGAGTGAAAATGGAACAGAATTGTCCGTATGTATTCTATGAAAAGGATATTGATAGTCGTATAGAAGATCAACGAGGTATTAGAATTGCATCATTTTGTAAAAATGTGTTTATACATTTTAAACTTATCAACAATCATAGCAAATACATACAGTACTATTTCGCAGTAATATATCCTCATTCAAAAGATGTACTAGAAATGGGAAATGGAAAAAAGTCTACAAAGTTTTTATTTACAAAAGGAATATCAGGAGTCGCAGAAACTTCTGAACTTGATCTAGCGTATATTCGATTGAATGACACTGGGGAATTGAAACAAAACACATTTCTAAGATTTGATTGGAAGTTTGTGCTGAATTGTGGATGTGAAAAGCAGCATTTGTTTATTGAAAATAATTCATCTTTGAACTTTTTGAGCTTGAATTATCCAGAAGTTTATTGCAAAAATATGAACTGTCAATATCATTTTAGCACTAATGAAAATTCTATTCTCGAAGTTTATATCAATGATGTCCGACTTGACGACATTGGAGATCATTTATCAATTTACGATGGTAACTACATTGATTTCAATTATCTTCTAGCATATATAGTTGGAAATAACTCAAAATCCTCAAGATCTTTCAAAGCATCAAGAAATCTTACACTTCTCTTCGAATCGAACAACATTCTGACCAAGTTCGAAAAAAGGTTTCAATATTACCATACAATCCAAAATTGAACCAAGAAAGGTTGAACAAATTGCAGAACAAATTATACAATATGAAGAACCCCAACTTCTCATAAATTTTTAGTGTTATTGATGATAGTTTTGATTGTTCTGATATTTGTTGGTGGAATAATTTTACTTGTGAAAATGGGAATGTTTGATGAGATTCCTTTTTTCAAAAAATAAAATTTTCGAGATTTTAGTTTATTAACAAACAAGCCTTATTATGTCAACTTATGTGGAATCCACTTTCTTGGAACAGTAACATCCCATCTATTTCCTGGTCCTTTCTTCCAAATTGCTTCACCGTACCACCAATGACCCAATCGGCAAGGACTACGACCGATTTGAATAATCCCGGAGTTAGCAAATGAGATTAGGAAGAATAAGAGTGACAAAACTTTCATAATACCATTCAATCCGGTCTTATAAACTTCGCATTATTTTATAGAACTTTTTAGTCTCACACTTTATTACATTATTATTTTTTATTTGTGATAACTTCAATGGTCTTTGAACAAAAACTACGATGAAACTTCGAGAACAAAGTATTTGTTGATTAATAATTTAATATAGCAACACGCAACAAAAAGTTTTGTTTATATCAAAAAAAATAGAGCCGCCACAAAAATAAACAAATTTTCCATCATTATCAATATACAGTTGTAATGAATCTATTTTTCCTAATTCTAGCAAGTTTTTTGCTAGAAACAGTTGGAGCTTGTCGATCTGATCCAATAATTGACAATGGAATGAATTATGATTTGAATATTGAAGAAAATTGCGAGAATCATTTTCCAATTCATCCGGATAAATCAATAAACCTCAAACTTCCCTGCGATTCTCAATATAGTTTATGGATGACAGTTGAGGAAACCAACGATCGCATTTTTCATTCGAATGCAACTCTAGATTGTTCAAGAACCGATGAGAGATTTCTAACTTTTCAAGCACCACTCAATGTTGGGTTGATAGTTGTTACACAGAAAACCGTCACAATCAAAGTTCTGATAACAGATCAGAAAAATGTCTGCGCTTACCCATATATTAAATTGAGCTCAAATGAAACTAGAGTGATTCAAGAGGATCTGACTTTTGATAACTTGCAAGAATGTGTTTATCGAATTATTCCAGCTAATGATGATTTCAATTCAGTTAATATAACTTTCGGATCTTTGGACAACCTCAACTATGAGCAAAGAATTGGGAAAGATGTTAACATTTATAATACAAGTAAAGTCTTCGATTTGGTCGATAGTTTTGATATTAAAATCAATCCCTATGTAGAAATTCCAGAAATCAAAGTGCAATTTATAAATAACGGTGAGAAACTTTGAACATTTTTGAACATCTGTTTATTTTAGAGTGCACAAAAATGCATTACTTCCAAATGGCCGATAATTTTTTGAATATTCCATCAATTCCAAAACCCAGTGATGATCAACCGTGTAGCGCTATTGTTAAATCAATAATAAAAATCGACTTTGAAAATTTGAAAGATGATGAAGTTATTTTTATGCAGCACAATGTAGAGAAAGATAATTTGAAAATTATGGATAGAGCAAACGACAAAGTTGTGATGGAGTGAGTTAAAAAATTAATAAAATGAGTGATTTCCTTTCAATTCAGCGAAACTCATTGGCTGAAAAATGCAGCACTTCAAAACATTACAAAACTTCGGATAACTGTGACCAACAAATGGGATTATGTACTTAACTTTACACGAGTTCCAATTCAACACGGATGTGAATGTCCAAGTTACGGAAATCTAGTCAGCACAAAAAGCAGTGAATTCGGAATAAGCTTCAATTCATGCAAAAATGTGTTTTGTCATATTAGATTGGAAAACCCGAAAAATGCCATTCTCAATGTTCACTTTTATTATTCACAAATACCTTCAGGCCCCAGTTCTGATATTTTCGGTGTTGTTGAGAAGGGAAAATATCTTCCGTAAGTAAAAGAAAAAATATAGAACTACCAATAAAATAGATTTTATTGTTAATCTTCGAAGTTGGATGAGAACACAAAAAAAACATTTAATTTGGATTTTCAGATTAAACGGAGGTCCTCACGATTTCTCGCTAAATGATGATTATTTTGAAATGTCTTATATAAGATTGAACAACACGAGTCATGATACAATGTATTCACAATTTGATTGGCATTTTACAAGAAGTAAGAATTTTAGGAATATTCTTCAAGAGATTGTGATTAATTTCAGATTTTGAATGTTCTGAAGATGAAACTCGAGATGTTACACCAGGAAGTTCTATTGAAATAACTAGCATTAACTTTCCATATCCATATCCACCTAATCTAGATTGTAAAACATTGGTAAAAACCGATCGAAATTCTACTCTCGAGTTTAATTTCAAACGTTTTTGTTCTGATGAATGGGGTGATGTACTAGAAATTTACAATGGTGATACGACGGATTCAGATAAGATGAAAACAAGTTTGAAAGGATGTAAGAAGCCCAACCAAACAATTCAAACATCTAGTCAGGCTTTGTTACTTTTCCAATCGGATAATATTACTAGTTCCGAAATAACAGGATACAAGATTATTGTGACAGCTAGTAAGTTCCATAGTTCTTCTCAAGAAAGGGTACTTCTGGAATAGTGAGACCTCAAAGGGAGATTTTATAATATAAAACCTCTAGAATTTTACTATTCTACACATCACCTGGATTAATTGTCTTATCCAACCTTTAAATCTTTAGAACCCTTATATTCTACAACATCTACTACATCTGCCACCACAACAACATCTTCTACAAAAAATCCACCATCTACTTCAAAAAAATCATCATCTTCCAATGAAAACCCCGAATCTTCAAGCTCCCATGTATTTCTATACATTTTCGTGATTTTCCTAATTGCAGCCGGAGGCGCTGGTTATTTTTATCAAGAGAAAATCAAGAAACTCTTACCTGGTTTCAATTTTCCACTAAACACCGCTCCAACAACTGTGCAAAACGTTAACTTTTCTTAGAATATTGCTAGAACACTGTGCCCGGAACGCGACATCAGAGAAAATCTTTTGCCTCTACCCTTTTCTCATACTCTCTTGTGTGTCTCTTTTTCTCTCGCGTCTCTTCACAACCCCACACACTCTCGCTGAAAACTGACTTTTGAATAAAAACCGAAATTTAAAAGCTTGAAACTCGGAATTTCCAAGAAGTAAGATGATGATCAGAAAGAGGAAGAGTAGTAGAACGCAGAGATATGAAATTCACCCAAAAAAGTTCTGGAAACGGCTTTCAAACACGGGTTTGAAAAAAGTGAATTTCTATTTTTCAATTTTTTTCATCCAAAAATGAATTTTTCCAAAATTTTCGTAACAGATCTTGTAGAGAAGGTTAAGCTGGTTAGATTCCAATATCAAAGTCTTAACAATGATAGCTACTTCATGAAATTATCGCCCTGAAAGTTTCATACATGGGCAAGTTTTGGCAGAAAAACATGAGTTCAAATGAACATTATTTGAAATTGTGTTTCAACAACAATGTAATATAGATCTTCCTCTTTCAAATGATGTATAAAACTTCAGCTTTTTGGAAATAATTCGATGAGAAAATCCAGATTTGGTTTCAGAAGTTTTTTTCCCCAGAAAAAAAAGAATGGCCGAGATTTTTTGTTCTGGCCGAACTAATCGGAAACTCGGCCATTGTTGCGCTCAGGGCACAGTGGCTAGAAATAAAAATTGTATCTCTTTCTCTCATCGTTCACATACTCTCTAATCGAAATGCCGGCAAACGCGCTCCAGCGCACTGAACCGCTTTTTTTTTGTTTAAAAAAATATTTGTCATTTTCTTTTTGTTTTTTTTTTCGTCTCACGTGATCACGTTAAATCATTTCATTTTGATAACTAATTTTGATAGAAAATGGACGGATTGATGATTGACGAAACTGTGAGACATGGCTTGCAACAACAACAAAAACAAAGCGGAAAAGAAATGTTGGCGAAAACACCAAGAAAAGGATTGGGTTTGATGATTAATGAGACGAAGACGGTTAGTTTTACACATTTTCAAGGGAATGAATGTTTTCTGGCAGATTTCCTCCTGTTATTATATTTTATTTTTAAAAATTCAATCACAATTTCCAGCCAAATTCCCGTGCAATTCCATCCTCAGCCACCCGAAAAACCAGCAGAGCTCCGACTTTCGAAGTTTTCGAAGATACCGAAGAAGTCGCAATCCAAGAAGAAAAATCAGCCGAAAGATTGTGTAGCTCTCCAATTGAAGGAGTTTCTCGACTTCCTTCAAGGCCACAATCACCACTTTTTGGACTTGAAGAAGGTCTGGCAGAAGAAGGCGATGTGATTTTGGTGGATGAAAATGAGGATGATGTTGGAGCATTGGGAGATTACAACAATATTTCAATTGATATCGAAGTGGTTGAATTGGGAATTGAAAAATGGGAAAAATATCCGCCAATTGATACAGTCAGTTTGATGGATGATGGTTTGGAGGATTTCAGAAAAGATTATGTGGTAAGCAATAACACGTGGTAATTTGAAAATACCGATTTTTCGCACATATCGCCCTCTCATTAAAATCCCGTAAGGTGAAATTTATTTAGAAATGTTCATTTCTCCCGGTCACGTGAAATTCTGATAAATATATATTTATCAAAAATGCTTCATTTCTTACCTACACGTGTGGTGTAGGCGGGGCTAGGCTGGCAAAAAATTACCCGAATACACTCATTTCAGAAATGCTCAAAAATGGCTTACCCATTTACACTACACGTTTTTAGAAATGATGCCCGTTTACACTATTTTTATTTATAAGGCTACACTTTTACTTTTACACCTTTACACTTTTACCCTATTTTTCTGAAAAAGAGTTGTTGAAAGTGCCGAAATAGACTGAAAAATAGTGAAAAAACAGTCATTATTTGAGAATTAGCAGAGCCAAAGCATAACATCACAGAGAAATTGATAATTCAATGTTTTTTGTTCTGTTCCAGTCTGAAAATCAGAGTTATACTAACCCAAATGCCAAGAAATGTGACTTCTTCATTTTCTAAACAGGTTTTTATATTCCTTTTTCATTTTCTGAAACTATTTATTATTCGAAAAAAAACCTTTTTCTTACTTTAAAATCCTTTATTTTCGAACAGAACTCTTTTATTCACTTTGGGAAACCATTGGTCTGTTTCGACATTGAGTTTTTGTCATTTATTTTCTTTTTTCCAAGCCGGAGCAAAAATAGTGTATTCGTGTATTATTGTAAAAATGTATGTAGTGTAAAAGTGTAAGTGTATTCGGGCATTTCTGCAAACGTGTAAAAATAAAATTAGTGTATAGAAATACCCGAATGCCTCATTTTTGTCAGCCTAAGGCGGGGAGAACGATGCCTTCCAATCAGGCAACCCTCCTTCTTTTGTGGGTTCGAGCCCCACTCGGAAAAAATTTTTCCCTATATCGAGTAATGCAGATTTTCGGAAATTTTGTTCCTTTCTCCCCAAAATTGCGAAAATTCGACATTCCAACGCGGCAAAAAAGAAAAAAGAAGATGGAGAAGAAAAAGCTTAATAAAAAGAGAAAATCGAGAAAATATCATGCGTGACCCATGAGCGAAAAAGCCTGATTCTTCAGATGCTATTGGCATTGTTCAAGAATTCCAAATTCCTAACGGGCCAAGAATGTTATTCGAGTCTTCAATACGAAAAAAAGGTTAAATAAGTTTTTTTTTTTCGAAAAATTGATCGATGACTTCATCCATGGCAAAATTAGGAAGCCTTCCTGATTTTGCCACGAATCATTTTTTGATCAAAAAATTTGAAATTTTTAATGAATTCAATTGTATTTCGTGTGATTTACCTCTTATGAGTACACTTAATTCAAAAAAAATAATAAAATAAGTTTTTTTTCGAAAAATTGATCGATGACTTCATCCATGGCAAAATTAGGAAGCCTTCCTGATTTTGCCACGAATCATTTTTTGATCAAAAAATTTGAAATTTTTAATGAATTCAATTGTATTTCGTGTGATTTACCTCTTATGAGTACACTTAATTCAAAAAAAATAATAAAATAAGTTTTTTTTCGAAAAATTGATCGATGACTTCATCCATGGCAAAATTAGGAAGCCTTCCTGATTTTGCCACGAATCATTTTTTGATCAAAAAATTTGAAATTTTTAATGAATTCAATTGTAATTTGTGTGATTTACCTCTTATGAGTACACTTAATTCAAAAAAAAATAATAAAATAAGTTTTTTTTCGAAAAATTTATCGATGACTTGATCCATGGCAAAATTAGGAAGCCTTCCTGATTTAGCCACGAATCATTTTTTGATCAAAAAATTTGAAATTTTTAATGAATTCAATTGTAATTTGTGTGATTTACCTCTTATGAGTACACTTAATTCAAAAAAAATAATAAAATAAGTTGTTTTTCGAAAAATTGATCGATGACTTCATCCATGGCAAAATTAGGAAGCCTTCCTGATTTTGCCACGAACATACGTCGCATACTCCCGTTTCAAATCGGCCAGTGCATACCCCTATTTTTGAAAATTTTCGACGAAAGGGATAACCCCCCCCACGACCATTCACTCCAATAGAAAGTTGCCCACAGGGTCAGACGAGAGACGACGAGAGTCTAATGACGTGTCTAATGAAATATCTTTCCACGAAATTCATTTTCGGGATATTTTTGCAAAATACTCTCGTCGTCTCGCGTCTGACCCCACGGGCGCAATGGATGGTCGTGCCCCCTTTTTTTTTTCATTTTTTTCATATCCAGCTATAGAAATCTGAAAATTACAATTTTATTGAACTAAGAATTTGCATCAATGAGGCAAATAGTAAATTTTGAACTTGAGTTAAGAGTAGCAGGTCTTTATTAGACCCTTATCAACTATGCTCCACATAAAAATCTAAAAAAATTCACCTGGTTTCAAATTGGGACCACTATGTTCTTTTTTCCCCTGTGTTATTAAAGAACACAGGGGTAATAAGAACATAGTGGTCCCATCTTGATACCAAGCTCATTTCTTTGGATTTTATTGTGGAGCATAGTTTATAAGGGTCTATTAAAGGTCTTCTACCCCTAATTTAATTATATATTTATGTGGAAATTTTTTTGAGGCTTGAATTGGTATCCCTATGGCAGGATATGCAGAGAAAATTATCATCAAACACACCTGACGAGAGAGTGTCTCAAAATTTTTGTGCAGCGTGGAAATATTTGCCAAAAAAAAATTGTGCAGTGTGAAATTTTGAATTTTTTGCAAATTTTCATCAAAATCCGCTGAAAATCAATCAAAACTACACTTTTTCGTAAAAAAATGTACAGTGTGGCTTTTGAAAATTTCTGTACAGTGTCCATTTTGGACACGTCTCGGCAGGTGTGTCATCAAAACTGAGAAAATTTCATAAAAATGTTTTATCTCAAGTGACAACCCCCTCCAAAATTTGGTGTGAGGGACAACCCCTCCACGGGTCGATTACCCCTGGCATGCGACGTATGGGTTTGAGAGCGAAATTTCAAAGTTCAAAATATTTGTTGCTTCAAAATTTTCCTATTGGGTTCAAAATTTGAAAAAATTGATTTTTGGAATCAAAGGGAGTTTTGAGCGCCAGAACATCGAACTTTGGATCAACTTTTCACTTTTCAATCTCAATACTTCAGTCTCGCATCAGAATTTTCAATATATTTCACATATTTTTTTTCAAATTCTACCCAACCCTCTGAAAAATCCCAACCTTTGGCTGAAATCCAACAACTGCAAATTCGCGCTTCTCGTCATGCTCGCTATCCGAAGTTTCGCTCGAATCATTCTCCTTCTTTCCATTCTTCTTCGATTTTTTGTTGTTACCATTTTGCGACTTCTTCTTCTCGCCTCTCTGCAAAAAACAACAAAACTATGTGCTGATTTTGTGCTGATTTTTCGAAAAATTTAAAGTTTTCAAATTTTGGTGAATTTTCGAAGCCCAAAATCCACGTGGCAAATTTTTTTTCGTTAAAAATTCAAAAAATAAAATTCTGTGAAAAATTCACTGTTTCAAATTTTTTTTAAACAAAGTTCAACAAATTTTTTTTTCGTTTTAAATCCAAAAAATAAAAATTCACTGTTTCAAATTTTTTAAAAACAAATTCAAATAATTTTTTTCGTTAAAAAAAATTGTGAAAAAATTCGCTGTTTCAATTTTTGACAAACAAAATTCAATTGTTTTCCTTTTTTTCAAATCCACGTGGCAAAATTTTTTCAAACAAAATTCAAATAAATTTTTTTTGGAAAAAAATCCAAAAAAAAAATTTTTGTGAAAAAATTCACTGTTTCAAATATTTTTCCAGCAGCAAAGTTGAAGAAAACCGAAAAATATTGAGGATTTTTCTGAAACGTCAACTATTTTTCTGAAACGTCAACTAGAAACTTCTGGAATAAAATCCATAATTTTCAGAATTTAATTCAAAATTTGCGCATAGCTTCACCTGAAATGCCCAAAAAATCATAGAAACTTTAAATTTTTCTGGAATTCCACAAAATTTCGGAATGACAATAGAAATTCGAAAATCTTTGATTTTTTTTGCTGTTGAAATTTCCAAGTTACAAAATTATTTTCATGGTTTTTTGAAGTCTTCGATATCAGAACATTTCCTGGAACTTCAAACTGAAACTCCAGGAAAATTTGAAGTTTTTATTAGAGGGATCATTGCGCTGTTGGGGCTCCCGTTTCTTCAAGATAAGAAATAACTAACTTCAGGAATTGTCGAATCGCTCGCCAAATCGGCTCCCAAATTTCCATCGGCGAATATCATTTCTGATCGATGCTTTCCTTGGAGAATCTAAAAAAAGTTTTTTGAGTTGGAAAAAATTATGAGATATGTTTTTTTTTTCAAATTTTAGCTTCGAAATTGAAATAGGCTGACCCATCATCAAATACTTCGAAAAAATCATGAAAAAATTCTAGGCTCAAAACTTCATTACTAAAAAAAACACTCAGAAAAATTAGCTTCAAGAAAATTTCAAAGGGTTTGCATTAAAATTCAGTTTTGATGTTCCCATATCAAAAACTTCAAAAATGATTGAAATACATTTTATAACTTGAAATCATAGATTTTCGAATTTTTCACGAATTTTTAGCTGGAATTCTAGGAAAATTTGAAGTTTTTATAATTTTTGGGCATTTCAAGTGTGACGCGGAAGCTATTCTAGCTGAAATTCCATAAAATTTCGATCATTTTAGGTTATTTTTATGTCAATTTTAGGTTTATAAGGTAAAAATAAAGACAATCTTGACGTCACTTTTATAGTAAAATTAAGATCAGTTTTTGTTTCAATTTTAAGTCATTCTGAAAATAAATTACCTGCAAAAGATCCAAAGCCATTTCTTGAACGAATGAATGGCAATCTTTTGGCGAATGTTCGATCAATTCCACAAGAGCCTCGTAGGCTGTGATTTGAAGATTTGATTGATTGCTGTCTGATCTGCAAACAATTAATTTTAGGTCAAGTAACCTAGTTTTTAGCCTAAAATTTAAAGTTTTCAAATGAAAATTCAAAATTTGGGCATAGCTTCCGCATCTCAGCCAAATCCAAAACTGAGAAATTGCCTGAAAATCCCAAGATTCCAAGGAATCTACGGATTTTAAGCTTTTGCAAATTTTCAGTCAAGGATATGACAATCTCGAGATTTTGGAGGGATGAGTAAGTCATTTTTTATCAAATTTTCCATATTTTCAGTCTTTTGAAAACGCACCTCTTTGAAAGTTCCAAAATATCTTGAATCCAATCTTCATAAACATCCGAAAGTGCGAATGTATCCGGTTGTCCAGAAGCGTCAGTTCCATTCGAAACAGCCAATTCGTAACAAGCTTTGACCAATGAGACGATAGTCTGGAAAATAGAGAAGTTAACATGAGCAATGCTCGAAATATATCAAATTTCATGATATTTGGCTCAAAACTCATCTATTTTATGTCAAAATCTTACCCAACAAACATTACTGGCAACTCTTGGCTCCTGATGTAATCCACTCGACAATGCTGGCAACACTTTTTGCAACAATTCCGCGTTGGCGACGACTTCCGGACACGTGTCAATGACGCGGCCGAGCGCCCATGCGGCAGAATCGCGGATTAACACATTTTCATCTCGCATTGCTTCCAAAATTGTTGGAAGCCTTTCTCGAGTTAATGGAAGGAGAAGAATCCTGTCGGGACTATCGAAAATTGGGGCAATTGCTGCTTGCTGGAAAAATATGGGGAAAATTTGAACTGAAGGCTGATATTTTCTGATTTTAATGTCCCAAAGATCAAAATTATGAGAAAGATCCAATTATGAAGGTTCCAATATCGAAATTTGGAATTTTTTGAATTTCAGTCTTATATTTTCAGATATTCATGATTCCAACATTAAAATTTCAAGAAAAATTCATTTTTTATGGTCCCAGGAACGAAAATTTTGATGAGAAATCCGATTTTCAACGTTCCAAAGTCCAAATTCTACTAGAAATTCAATTTTGAAGGTCCTGTGGTCAAAATTCTGATTCTCAAGGTCTCGGGATCTAAATAACACAAAAATCTAATTTTTATGCGCTATTTCAGAATGTAATTCAAAATTTGCGCATAGCTTCACCTGAAATGCCCAAAAAATCATAGAAACTTTAAATTTTTCTGGAATTCCACAAAATTTCGGAATGACAATAGAAATTCGAAAATCTTTGATTTTTTTGCTGTTGAAATTTCCAAGTTACAAAATTATTTTCATGGTTTTTTGAAGTCTTCGATATCAGAACATTTCCTGGAACTTCAAACTGAAACTCCAGGAAAATTTGAAGTTTTTATTAGAGGGATCATTGCGCTGTTGGGGCTCCCGTTTCTTCAAGATAAGAAATAACTAACTTCAGGATATGTCGAATCGCTCGCCAAATCGCCGTCCACATTTTCTTCCTTTTCTGATCGATGTTTTGCTCGGAGAATCTAAAAAAAAGTTTTTTGAGTTGGAAAAAATTATGAGATATGTTTTTTTTTTCAAATTTTAGCTTCGAAATTAAAATAGGATGACCCATCATCAAATACTTCGAAAAAATCATGAAAAAATTCTAGGCTCAAAACTTCATTACTAAAAAAAACACTCAGAAAAATTAGCTTCAAGAAAATTTCAAAGGGTTTGCATTAAAATTCAGTTTTGATGTTCCCATATCAAAAACTTCAAAAATGATTGAAATACATTTTATAACTTGAAATCATAGATTTTCGAATTTTTCACGAATTTTTAGCTGGAATTCTAGGAAAATTTGAAGTTTTTATAATTTTTGGGCATTTCAAGTGTGACGCGGAAGCTATTCTAGCTGAAATTCCATAAAATTTCGATCATTTTAGGTTATTTTTATGTCAATTTTAGGTTTATAAGGTAAAAATAAAGACAATCTTGACGTCACTTTTATAGTAAAATTAAGATCAGTTTTTGTTTCAATTTTAAGTCATTCTGAAAATAAATTACCTGCAAAAGATCCAAAGCCATTTCTTGAACGAATGAATGGCAATCTTTTGGCGAATGTTCGATCAATTCCACAAGAGCCTCGTAGGCTGTGATTTGAAGATTTGATTGATTGCTGTCTGATCTGCAAACAATTAATTTTAGGTCAAGTATCCTAGTTTTTAGCCTAAAATTTAAAGTTTTCAAATGAAAATTCAAAATTTGGGCATAGCTTCCGCATCTCAGCCAAATCCAAAACTGAGAAATTGCCTGAAAATCCCAAGATTCCAAGGAATCTACGGATTTTAAGCTTTTGCAAATTTTCAGTCAAGGATATGACAATCTCGAGATTTTGGAGGGATGAGTAAGTCATTTTTTATCAAATTTTCCATATTTTCAGTCTTTTGAAAACGCACCTCTTTGAAATTTCCAGAACATCTTGAATCAATGCACGAAAAACATCCGAAAGTGCAAATGTATCAGGTTGTCCAGAAGCATCAGTTCCATTCGAAACAGCCAATTCGTAACAAGCTTTGACCAATGAGACGATAGTCTGGAAAATAGAGAAGTTAACATGAGCAATGCTCGAAATATATCAAATTTCATGATATTTGGCTCAAAACTCATCTATTTTATGTCAAAATCTTACCCAACAAACATTACTGGCAACTCTTGGTTCCTGATGTAATCCACTTGACAATGCTGGCATGATTTCTCGCATAAAATCCGGGTTTCGTACAACTTCGGCAGAAGTGTCCAGAACAAGTCCAACTGCAGAAAAGGCAGAGATCCGGATAGACACATTTTCATCTCGCATTGCTTCCAAAATTGTTGGAAGCCTTTCTCGAGTTAATGGAAGGAGAAGAATCCTGTCGGGACTATCGAAAATTGGGGCAATTGCTGCTTGCTGGAAAAATATGGGGAAAATTTGAACTGAAGGCTGATATTTTCTGATTTTAATGTCCCAAAGATCAAACTTATGAGAAAGATCCAATTATGAAGGTCCCAATATCGAAATTTGGAATTTTTCGAATTTCAGTCTTATATTTTCAGATATTCATGATTCCAACATTAAAATTTCAAGAAAAATTCATTTTTTATGGTCCCAGGAACGAAAATTTTGATGAGAAATCCGATTTTCAACGTTCCAAAGTCCAAATTCTACTAGAAATTCAATTTTGAAGGTCCTGTGGTCAAAATTCTGATTCTCAAGGTCTCGGGATCTAAATAACACAAAAATCTAATTTTTATGCGCTATTTCAGAATGTAATTCAAAATTTGGGCATAGCTTCACCTGATATGCCCAAAAATCATAGGAACTTCAAATTTTCCTGGAATTCTAGCTATTGTCAATCCGAAAATATAAGAGCGGTGAAAGAGAAAACCAAAATACAGTAGACTTGGCGGCTGCTTTAACATTTTGTAATGAAAGAGGAAATGTTTGGTTTTCTAGGCCATATTGGTTCTCTTCCAAGGTTCACAAAATTTCGGAATGACAATAGAAATTCGAAAATCTTTGATTTTTTTGCTGTTGAAATTTCCAAGTTACAAAATTATTTTCATGGTTTTTTGAAGTCTTCGATATCAGAACATTTCCTGGAACTTCAAACTGAAACTCCAGGAAAATTTGAAGTTTTTATTAGAGGGATCATTGCGCTGTTGGGGCTCCCGTTTCTTCAAGATAAGAAATAACTAACTTCAGGATATGTCGAATCGCTCGCCAAATCGCCGTCCACATTTTCTTCCTTTTCTGATCGATGTTTTGCTCGGAGAATCTAAAAAAAAGTTTTTTGAGTTGGAAAAAATTATGAGATATGTTTTTTTTTTCAAATTTTAGCTTCGAAATTGAAATAGGCTGACCCATCATCAAATACTTCGAAAAAATCATGAAAAAATTCTAGGCTCAAAACTTCATTACTAAAAAAAACACTCAGAAAAATTAGCTTCAAGAAAATTTCAAAGGGTTTGCATTAAAATTCAGTTTTGATGTTCCCATATCAAAAACTTCAAAAATGATTGAAATACATTTTATAACTTGAAATCATAGATTTTCGAATTTTTCACGAATTTTTAGCTGGAATTCTAGGAAAATTTGAAGTTTTTATAATTTTTGGGCATTTCAAGTGTGACGCGGAAGCTATTCTAGCGGAAATTCCATAAAATTTCGATCATTTTAGGTTATTTTTATGTCAATTTTAGGTTTATAAGGTAAAAATAAAGACAATCTTGACGTCACTTTTATAGTAAAATTAAGATCAGTTTTTGTTTCAATTTTAAGTCATTCTGAAAATAAATTACCTGCAAAAGATCCAAAGCCATTTCTTGAACGAATGAATGGCAATCTTTTGGCGAATGTTCGATCAATTCCACAAGAGCCTCGTAGGCTGTGATTTGAAGATTTGATTGATTGCTGTCTGATCTGCAAACAATTAATTTTAGGTCAAGTATCCTAGTTTTTAGCCTAAAATTTAAAGTTTTCAAATGAAAATTCAAAATTTGGGCATAGCTTCCGCATCTCAGCCAAATCCAAAACTGAGAAATTGCCTGAAAATCCCAAGATTCCAAGGAATCTACGGATTTTAAGCTTTTGCAAATTTTCAGTCAAGGATATGACAATCTCGAGATTTTGGAGGGATGAGTAAGTCATTTTTTATCAAATTTTCCATATTTTCAGTCTTTTGAAAACGCACCTCTTTGAAAGTTCCAAAATATCTTGAATCAATGCACGAAAAACATCCGAAAGTGCAAATGTATCAGGTTGTCCAGAAGCATCAGTTCCATCTGATACAGCCAATTCGTAACAAGCTTTGACCAATGAGACGATAGTCTGGAAAATAGAGAAGTTAACATGAGCAATGCTCGAAATATATCAAATTTCATGATATTTGGCTCAAAACTCATCTATTTTATGTCAAAATCTTACCCAACAAACATTATTGGCAACTCTTGGTTCCTGATGTAATCCACTCGACAATGCTGGCAACACTTTTTGCAACAATTCCGCGTTAGCGACGACATCCGGACACGTGTCAATGACGCGACCGAGCGCCCATGCGGCAGTGTCGCGGACTGACACATTTCTGCCGCACAATATTTCGACTATTGCAGGGAGAGCTTCTTCAACCAATGGCATCAATTTCGCCGGTTCGGGGCCATCCAAAATTGAGCCAAATGCCATGATTGCGGCTTCCTGGAAAAATATGGGGAAAATTTGAACTGAAGGCTGATATTTTCTGATTTTCATGTTCCTAAAATCAAACTTATGAGAAAGATCCAATTATGAAGGTCCCAATATCGAAATTTGGAATTTTTTGAATTTCAGTCTTATATTTTCAGATATTCATGATTCCAACATTAAAATTTCAAGAAAAATCCATTTTTTATGGTCCCAGGAACGAAAATTTTGATGAGAAATCCGATTTTCAACGTTCCGAGGTCCAAATTTTACTAGAAATTCAATTTTGAAGGTCCTGTGGTCAAAACTCTGATTCTCAAGGTCTCGGGATCTAAATAACACAAAAATCTATAAGTTCTCTGATGCCTCATTTTTGTCAGCTTATCTGTATTTCTTCTCGAAGCTTTCTCAAAAATTGATATCAAAATCATTTAAAAAACTCACCTGTTTCGTCCATTTTTGATCTGAGCCCGGTACCGCTGCTCTTCTGAAAAATAGGGAAACTGAGGAGATTTTCAGAAGGTTGGAGAAGGTTCGAAATCTATGCTCCCCCACATGTTTGTGTGGAAAAAAGATGGGCGGAGCCTAATTGCTCGATTACAATTTTACATTGACTCGGTAGAAATAAAACTCCTGTGCGCGAAAAAATGGTTTGAAAATCATAAAAATTCCCTCTCAAATACATTATCATTAGAGCGCACATACTCTAATCTTCTCTATTTTCTGCGGGAGGAGAAAGAAGAGCAAAAAGTTTTATTTTTCTCGACTTTCAGTTTAGGTTCAAAAAATTGCAAATTTTCCTAGTTTCAATATTTTTTTCTCAATTTTCCCGCTTCCCCTCAAATTCCCCTCTCAAAACTCACCTATTAAATTCCAAAAACCTATCCATGTTTTGCCTACGTTTTTGTTGCTGCATCAAAATGATTCTGTTTCGCAACCGAGCAATCCTGAAAATTCAATGATTAGTTTATCTTCGTTCATTTCTTAAATTAAAAACCAACTTAGCCAAATCTCGATTTTTCTCGATTTCCAGTTTCCTCAGTTTGATTTTGTCACATTTAACAAGTGTTCGAGCATCATCCCGCGAAGAATGCACATTTTGGGATACATTGATGGTCTCCGAGTCAAGCAATTCAAATCTTCGCCTATATTCGGAAGTCTAGAATTTTTGCGGTTTTTTCGATGAAATTCAGATTGTTTAGACTTATTTTGGTGATAAATTCGAAGATTAAATAAAAATCTATTTTGTGTTTTTGTATCAAAAATCCGGTCAATTGTTCTTTCCCTATTGTTTTTCGTCTAATGTTTTTCTTCTATCTTGATGTTTTTCGTTTATCCTAGACAAACAACAGTACACGAAAAACAATACTGTCCGACTACGAAAATGATAGAAAATTTCAAAACACTCTCTTGAAAAACCAAAAAATCCGAATTTCAGCTAAAAATTAGGTGCTCCAGAGTTAAAAATCGAATAGGTTGTTCAAATTTCATGAAATCAGATTGCAGAGCAACTTCCAGCACTGAATTAATAGAAAATTTCAAAAAACTCTCTCGAAAAACCAAAAAATCCGAATTGCAGCTGAAAATTAGGTGCTCGGATTCAAAAACTACAACTAAACACATTTACTTGAAAAAAAATTAGCATTTTCGTGGACGGACAATATAGGAAAAACAATTGACCAAAAATCCACCTTTTCCCGAATAAACACATGAAAAAACTCACTTTCTCAAGAAATTCAGCATACGGTGTGAAAATTTGTCCAACGAAACTGAAAATTAATCAATTGACAAAAATAACAGTTAATAATTTATCCTATGACACTTTTCACAAAAATTCATCACATGACTGAATTTGAAGTTACAGATTCTTGAAAAGGGAGAAATCTGACATTTTTGAATTCAAAATCATAGAAATGTATTCTTAATCTGATTTTTAGGCATGTGATTAAAATAGGAAATGTGCCATGGTAGAAACTGGCTTTTACGAAAATACTCACTAATCTTCTGCATCGTCCATTGGATAGCTTTTGACACGCACCTAACGCGTGGAAAACGAAAATAAATGAAAATAAAAAATCAAGGCACACACATTTTCCGGGTGCGGGTCTTGCCGCGACGTGTACTTCTCTCGGAATATTTTTCATTTATTTTTTGAAAAGAGTCAATTTTCAACATTTTTCGCATTCTGATGTGAGTTACAGGAACTTATGATGTTTTCGCGTCGGGGACCGAATTTCGGTCTGCTGTATTTTAAAAACCTGTTGATTGCTATTGCTTATTTACACCTGAATAATTATGTACATCGTGATATCAAACTGTTCAGTTTTTTGTATTCACCGCAGAGGAATTGGTGGGTTTTTTGGGGGTTTTGGTGGGGACAAAGAAAAAATTCATGTGCATTGGATTCTGGAGCTAGAGAATTCAAGTTTTCTGAGTTCAGGTGCTAAAAATTCATGGTTTTCCGACCCTGGAGCTGAAAATGTGAGATTTTTGAGTTCATCTGTTGAAAAATCGTGTTTTTTGGCCTCGCTGAAAAATTAGATTTTCCTTCGTTATGAGTTGGAAATTCATGCATTTTCCTTCGTTATGAGTTGGAAATTCATGCATTTTCCTTCGTTATGAGTTGGAAATTCATGCATTTCAGGTCCCGAAACGGAATACTGAGATTTTTCACTTCCGAGGCTGAAATTTCGTAATATTTCGCTCCAGGACCACGAAATTTCCTGGGTCCAGGAGCGAAAATTTCATGATTTCCTTGGCCCTGGAGCGAAATTTTATGATTTTTAGTGTCCTCGAACGAAAAATCAAGATTTTCAGCCTCGGAAGTAAAAAATCATGATTTTAAAGGTCCTGGGGCTAAAAATTTAAAACTTCATGGTTTCGAAGCGAAAATTCGGGTTTTTTAGGTTCTTAAGCAAAAAATCACGATTGTCTGGGTCCTGGAATGAAATTTCATAATTTTTGAAGTCCTGGAACGAAAAAACATGAATTTTCAATCTCGGAAGCGAAAAATCATGATTCTCAGTGTCCTGGAGCGAAAAACCACGATTTTCTGGGTCCCGGAACGAAATTTCTTGAATTTTCAGCGTAGAAAGCAGAAAATCGTATATTTTCACCTTATAATGCGAAAAATCATGATTTTCAACCTCGGAACTCACTCGGAAGCGAAAAATTTCCCCATCACAATCTAGTTTTGAACACATTTATTTCGGTTAAACAATTAGGAAAAAGTACAAATTAAACAGAAGCCGCATTGTTCAAGGAACGTTTGTTTTTGAATTGGCGCCGATCCACACTCCATCAAGCAACATCTTCTTCATTGTCTAGTTCTTCTCTACTTGCTTCAACTGTTCCTAGAAGAGCAACCATTTCTCTGCGTCTACAAAACTTCAATTAGTTATACAAACTTAGGGATGTTTTCAGAAACACTCACATTCTTATTTCAAATTTCATTACTTCCCTTTGTTTTTCCATCTGCGCTACTTGACTCTTTAAACTAGCAGCATCAATGTTTTTCTTCTTCAATGATGTCACTATAAATCCATTCATTGCATTTTCAAAGAATTCTCCAAATCGATCATACATCACACCAAAATCTTCTTCATTTTGCAGGTTTCGTTCCTTTCTTATCAATATGTTCAGAAGAACCATCATTTCTAGACGTCTACAAATTCAATTAATGATACAAATCAAAGGGTTTTTTCGAAAACACTCACATTTTCAATTCAAATTCCATTGCTTCTATTTCTTTTTCCATTTTGTTTTGTTCTTTTTCGAACTGTTCCTTCGTTGGATTTGATGCCATAATTTCTGAAAAACTCATATATATATCACGTATGAATGAAAAAAAGCGTCAGTAATTTGGGATATAATGGATTTTGGCTTTAAAAAAATAAAAAACACGCTGGCTCAGCAAGCACATCTGCACTCCGCATACTGTAATTAATTAAATGTAGTAGACATAAGTGGACGCTGCAAAAACGAGAGAGCGTGTAGAATGAAGAGAGAGAAAAGAGAAGGACCAATAACACCAACGCCAAGGTCAGGGTCAACAGATGTCACCTGATTCTGTACATGCCTCTTGCGACAACCCCTTTCCAAACTGAAAACTGAAAACTTGTCATTAAACTTTAGATTATGAAAAATTAAGGCGTATCAAATATTTATTGCTGAGAAAAGTATAATGCTGCGATTCAGTGTCATTTCAGCGCGCGTAGTTCATAAATTATCTGGAAAATATCATTATCTCATCAAAAATATAATTTTCTTCAAGCTACAGTAATCCGAGCTGCAAATTATTGTTGAAAAATACGATTCTTGCAGTTTGGGTTCCTGTAGTTCATAAATTATCTGTAAAATATCATTATCGCATCAAAAATACCATTTTCTTCAAGCTACAGTAATCCGAGCTGCAAATTATTGTTGAAGAATACGATTCTTGCAGTTTGGGTTACTGTAGTTCATAAATTATCTGTAAAATATCATTATCGCATCAAAAATACCATTTTCTTCAAGCTACAGTAATCCGAGCTGCAAATTATTGTTGAAGAATACGATTCTTGCAGTTTGGGTTCCTGTAGTTCATAAATTATCTGTAAAATATCATTATCGTATCAAAAATACCATTTTCTTCAGCTTACTATTGTTCAATGGTCCTTGAAATCCAAAACAACGTGAACTTTCAAAAACATAAACATCAACACAAAACAATCTGAAAATCATTTTCAAAACACAAAAACAAATTCGCCATAATTTCCATCACTGTCACTATGAACTTCTCAGAATCACTTGTTTTTTTTTGCCATTTACAAGTCTATGTCCCTGACTCTTTAATCCAATATCCATGCCAAAATGTGACCATTTTCAAGGAAATTGGTTCAGACTTTGGGTTAGGAATAATGGGCTATAGTTTGTCTATAACTTTGACTCCGGGCTTTTTTTAACCTTGGATTGAGACAGTTGGATAGATCGAGGATTTTCACTTCTGGCGTTTTAATCTAGAAAATCATTGGATATAGTTAGTGGTTTGTGAAAACACATAGTTAGTGGTTTGTGAATGGTTGAGCGACAAAGCGGATGAGCAAACACAATGGATAGCGATTCCACCAAATCCTTCGACTTCGAGTTGAATTGCAAATTTCGGGAAAACATTTTTGATATTTGAGTGGTTTTGACGAGCACATTTGAACGCAACATCAACGACAAAAGTACAATCTCCTTGAGCAAATCGGATGTTTCCATACTTGACTTTTCCTTGATTTGTGTCAGAATAAACCTCAGAAACAAATGCACGGCGGTGGAATGGAGCAGCGAAAGCTGAACCGATTGATGCTGAAAATATTCAGAAATATGAAAAATAGAAGGGAAAATTGTTATTTATTGTGACACACAATTTTTAGAAATGCCAGAAATGAAAAACGTGTAAAACAAATTGTATTGCATATATTTTACACGTTTTTCAAAAATTGGCATTTTTTAAAAATGCTGCTACCAGAACCAAACATTTTTCATTTTTTCCAGCCCGAATAAAAAAGTGAAAACTCACCACCAAATATCCAATTCACGAATTCCTCTTTTTTCTTTTCGAAAAATTTCAGGATTGTTTTTACAGGAATCATTGAGGGACTTATGTAACTGTTCACGCCGTCACTGCCACTCAAAAAACTGTTGACGGACCCTCAGGAAAATTGTGGCGCGATGGCCGTGGAGCCGCGCAAAACATTATTCCTGCCGAAACTGGAGCCGTCAAAGCTGTCGGAAAAGTCATTCCGGAACTCAACGGAAAATTGATCGGAATGGCATTCCGTGTTCCAACACCTGATGTTTCGGTGGTTGATTTGACAGCGAGACTTGAGAAGGAGGAAATAAAGAGAGTTGTGAAAGAGGCTGCTGAAGGACCATTGAAGGGAATTTTGGGATATACTGAAGATCAAGTTGTCTCGTCCGATTTTGTCACAGATTCGCATTCGAGCATTTTCGACGCTGACGCTTCGATTCCTCTCAACGCCAACTTCGTCAAATTGATCTCATGGTAATTTTTCTTTCTAAAATAATTGACAGAACTTTTCAATTATTGTCAGTTCGAAATTTTGTGACCCTTGGAAGAGAACCCTTTTTCAATAGCGAAAAGACGCTGCGGAAATAGAAAAACACGCTGCTCTCTTATTGTACTTTTTGGGGATTTTTTGACACGGGAACCTGGATTTTTAAGGGGCGGGCATTTTTTTTCAAGGCCCGCTCGGGCCTGTTTTTTCGCCCGGCCCGTGACGGCCCGGGCTTTTGCTCCAAGTTTATATTAATCAAAAAATCTCTCAAATTCCAGCAAAACATATTTTCCCTTTCTGAAATTTCCCACTTTTCAGCACAATTTATCGGATCTTCTCAAAATGTTTGCCAATGAATCGATGGCTGAACAATTGCTGTCAGAGGTTGGTTTTTCTCATTTTTTGCCTGAAAATCTGAAATTTTCGCTTAGAAATTGCTCATTTTAAGCCGAACATCTCGCATTTTCCAGGTGATGAATGCGATTCAAACAAATCTCTCAAAACACGAGAATTCGATGCAAAAAGTTGTGAAAATGTTTGTGAAAAGAGCTCAAGGATTTGGTGGAGATTTGGAGAAGATTCGAGAATGTGATTCAGAATTTGCGTGAGTTTTTTCTCGAATTTTTGACTGAAAATTTGAAAAAATTGCGATTTTTTGAGCCGGGAGACTTGTTTTTGCCTGCAAATTCTACATTTTGTTAGCTGAAAATTTAGTTGCAAATGAAAAAAAACCTCGAAAATTCACTGTTTCAAAAAGTTGTTATAAAAGTTTTGATCGGTGAAATTTTCTAATATACAAAATAGTAACAAAATATTAATAATAGGAGAAAATTCCACTGTTTCAAAAATTATTTTCCAAAAATTTTCTGGCTCACAAAATCTGTTTCAATATCGTTCTTCACTTGTTGTGCCAAAAATCCATTGAAATTTCAAAGATTAGGTTTTTTCCGGCATGTCGCAAAAGCCCGGGCCGTCACAGGCCGGCCGAAAAAAGCAGGCTCGTTTGGGCCAAGGCTTGCACGGGCCTTGACAAAAAGCTTTCTGGCTCGCCTTTTCCATTGTTGACAATAAATTAAGACCTCATCCTCTTCCTAAAAAAAAGGACCGGCCCGGATCGGCCCGTTTTTCGAAAACCCGAGGGCCGGCCCCGTTTTTTTGTTCCGAAAAAATGCACTGTTTGAATAAATTTATTTTGAAAAATCTTTTTGTCTCTTCCTGTGAAAATTCGGTAGCTTGCTTAATTTTCACAACTCACCTCAATCTATGTATCTCTTCCTGTGAAAACCTTGAAATTTGAGCCAAAAATCGATTTTTGGTTGAAATTTTCGGGTAAGCAAATTTTCAACAAGCCTGAGTTATGACGTGACAAAACCTGGTGACTTCAAAAGGCTATACAGCTTCAAAAACAGTATTAGTGGTGAAAATTCTCAACTTCAAGTAAAAAATTCAATTCAAAATCACCTATATCCAAAAAATTCCAAAGTTCAAGAGAATCATGCCTGAACCTTGAAATTTCATCCAAAAATCGATTTTTGGTTGTAAATTTTCGGGTTCTCGCGCAGGGAAATCTATCGCCATTTTCTTTTTGAAACAAAATCCCATAGTTATAATCTGAGTTATGACGTGGCAAACCTTCAATTTCTAATTTTCAGATACAATCAAATCACAGCCAATGATCTCTCTTTCATCCGCTATGACAAATTTCAAAGAATGATTGCCGATTTACGAGAGCATGTTCCAAAAGCTCGCGCATTTATCAGCGAACTTGCCGAAGAACCGCGTGACGTCATTGCCCCAGGTGTTGATTGCTTCCTAGTTCCCTTTGCAAGATTGGCTCCTCGCGCATTGAATGCTGCTCTCCTAGGATATCGTGATGTGCTCATCGAACTGCCCACCAGCGATTTCGAGGTGCAAAAATTCAAACTTCCGGCGGCTGACGTGGCGAATAAATGTTGCGCTGAATTGGTTGCACTGCATTTCACATGCGGAGAATTTGGAGAGGCGAAAAAGATGATGGCGAAATTGGTGAAACCTGGCATTGCTCATCCTATAGTCAATATTGATGAGAAGAATGCGAAACTTCAGCGTGCTCCGAAAATTAATAACATCTCCATTGTTGTGGTAATTTCAATCACTTTTTTCGACGCTGTTTCTATTTCTACGCGCGCTGAAATGACTCTGAATCACAGCATTATACTTTTCTCACAAGGAAACGTTTTTAATGTTTCCCCCTGAAAAGAAGTGATACTATGCGGAAAGTGTAGTACGCCAGTGGGTGTGAAAAAGCCCAAAGGGAATTTGGAAACAATAATTGATTTTTATGGGAAAGTTATCACGGAAGATTTTTTAAGATGTCATTTTCAAAAAATCATAAAACCTGTCAAACTCAACGAAAAGTTTCGATCAACACAGGATTCTGTAGCTAAAATTGTTTGTGAAGCGAAAAAAAAATTGTTTTGAAAAAAATTTGTGAAGCGAGCGTATTGCAGACCTTCTGCAGAATGCAGCTCGGTCGTATTTTGTTAGTATCTGTTTCCATTACTCAAGAAGATATGCTCCAATTTGGATTTTCTAGTAAAACTTCTCTAAAAAAGACATTTTGAAAGCTTTGCTCGTAGCAGGGATTGAACCTGAGTATCAAAACTTCATAATTAATGCGTTTAACGACTCGACCACATGCGCAAACATTTCTAACACAGGCAATTCGCAAAATGTCAAAAACTGGTCTGAAACGGGTATTTGAGCAGTTTTGGACCAGTTTCATGCCAGTTCAATTTTGAACTGGTCAGAAACTTATGAAAAACGGTTATCGGAAAATGATGTTTCATAACTAATTCGGATAAGAAAAACAAAGCTGTTAATAAAAAAAGCGGTTTCGCTACATTTGGAATCAAATTTTCTGAAAATTTGAGTAGATGAAAATTTTGAGGTTACCAGTTTGAAACCGGTCAAAAACTGGTATTTTATTTTACAAGGGAAGTGCACGAGGTCAAGTTCTGAAATTTTGATGAACCATATCGAAATATACCAAATCGACCATTCAGATCACGAATCCGAAGTCAAAAATTGCCACAATCTCCTGTGAGCACATTTCTGGAGCTCCAAAGTTGAAATTGAGTTTTGGTTTTCGCCCATTTTCACCTTGTTCGAGGGTGGAAAATCAACTTTCATATTTCAAATAAGGTTGTTCACCACATTTGAAAACCTATCAGCTTTTTAGTTTATCAAAACATATCAAAAAACAGCTGAAAACTGCAATTTTCAAAAATGCACAAAAAACTTTTAAAAACGTGTGTGTTTACGTGTATTTGTGAGTATTTTCAGAACTTTTCTGAAATTTGCAGTTTTCAGCTCGTTTTTCATATATTTTTTGATAAACTAAAAAGCTGATAGGTTTTTGAATGTGGTGAACAACCTCATTTGAAATATGAAAGTTGATTTTTCACCCAGGAACATGGTGAAAATAGACTAAAACCAGAACTGAATTTCAACTTTGGAGCTCCAGAAAAGTGCTCACAGGCATTTGTGGCAATTTTTGACTTCGGATTCGTGATCAGCATGGTCAATTTGGTATGTTTCGATATGTTTCATCAAAATTTCAGAACTTGACCTCATGCACTTCCCTTGTTAGGTTAATCTAACTTCAAATTGACGCGAAAGGCAAATACTGAATGGGATCCACTGAATGGGAGCACTTTCATATTTATGGGAGCAAAAAATGGGAGCAGGTCGAAAAAACATAGGAGCAAAAAAAGTAGTCTGAATGGGATCTGTTTTTGTTATATGAATGGGAGCAGCATTGAAAATAAAATAGACTGTCTGAATGGGAGCATGATTTATTTCTAAAAATGGGAGCAGTTTTTGAAACTTTTTTGAATGGGAGAACTTTCGCCATTTTTGATTATTTTTCAAATCTATCAACAGTAACCCGATTGTACAACTTTCAAATTTTTAGACCCTGAATATTTTATTTGCAAGACACATTTTCTTGTGATTCTAGTATATTAGCGGCTCGCTAGCAGTTGGTGCTGAAAAATCAGAATTCAGACTCATAAATTCTCGCATATGAACAAATTTTCAAACTTGTCTGTTTCTCTACTAACCTCAAAATTAACACTATCAAATTAAAGGTTATCTTACATCAAGATTTTTCAAGAGAACCTTATATGTGCGAATTATTATTGTTCTCAAGTAATATTTTTCTACATAATTGGAGATTACTCAGAGATTCGCTGGCCAGCTCGCCACCAGATCGCTGCGGCCACCTGGAAACTGCATGGCCGCCAGGTCGTCTTGAGTTTTCCGGCGACGTGGTCTGTATGTTTGAAATCCTGGAGAGCTGGCAAGACGGTGGTTTGTACCCAAAATACTGCATTTTCTACTGTTTTTTCACTTCCTAAGGCTTCTAGTGCTGCGAAAAAACAGAAAATGAGCCAATTTCGAAAAAAAACGAAAATGTCTCGATTCACAAGTTCTTCTGACATTTTCATGAAAATTCATTTCGACGAGGCGAAGTGGCCACCACGTGGTAGCCATGTGGGCTTGACCTAGCCATGTGGGCTTGACTATATTCCAGTATATCTACATACAAAATTGATCACTTAATTGGGTCACGCGATCAATTTTTATTTTGGATTTCTAAAAATGCTCATCAAATCAAGAAGTCAGTTATTTTATTTTAAACGTGACCTTTTTATTTTGAATGAAGCGGGCACTCAATTGAGATCATTCTCTATTTTACCAAAATTATGAAATGCCGGTTCGAAAAATTCTGTTCTTAATATTCGATATCTGCTAATATTCAGATTGATTTTTATTTTGATCATGTGGAAAGTTGGAGTGGACCGTTTAACAATCTCTTATATAATAAAATTTTAATTTTTGTGTTGCAGCTTAAAATTCAGATGGTGCCGCTACGCACAAAATTTAGTCGAAATCATAACACTTTTAGGATTCTGTGATAGAAAAATAAAAACTGAGATGAACTAAACGGAATAATCTTTTTTTGCCAAATTGCGCTTGAAAAATTAGCAAAAAAAAATATCGCCCTCGAAATTCAGGTTCTGAATGCGGCATGGTCGGAAAAAATGTTGTTTTTTTTCTGAAGTTTTGATGTTTTGTCAGTTCTTTGATTTTTGGAACCGAAAATCACCGCAGTATCCAATATAACAGCACTCGATTAAAAAATAGGCTTTTCTCCATTTCTTGATAATTTTTAAAACGTCAAAATTCGATGAGTATTTCTGAAAAGCCCAACAAAAATTTCAAAGATCCAAAATTAAACACGTGACCCAGATCGGTGATCAATTTTGTATCTCAGGTAGCAGCTTGCCCATGGACTGCCCCTTACTCTGCCCTTAGAGCAGGTTCTAAGGGCTGCATTGGAGCATTTAAGGGGCAATCTTTGGGCATTTCAATTAAACAAGGACATCACGTTTAAAATTCAAATTAATTCAAGCCACGTAAAAAACATTTTCACTAATTTTTCTGGTTTTCAGCTTGGAAAAATGAAGTCTAGGCCCAAAATGGGGCAGTTTGGAGGGGGTGCCTTCATCAAAAGGGAGCAGCCTTCAATTAAATACAAGAAAACATTATTATAAGTGTTTTAGAAGTAAAAATTTTATTAAACGAAATAACATAGGATATGCACTTCAGCTTGATCATCTTCTGCTTCTCATTGTGAAATCAAATTTTCACATAAGCTGATAATTTATTTTTCGTGCATTCGTGAATTTTCTAGGTGATTTGACCGAAATTTTTCAATTCATAGCTGCAATGTTTGAAGGAGTTGATCCAAAACAACTTTTTTGAGAATCGGATAGATTTTTACATGGTTTGGAACACATCTTATCCATTTAACAATCACAGTGATAATCCCAGAATCCGCTCCACTATATTTGAATTGATAACTTGCTCAGTTACTGCTTTTCTGATAGATATTTGAGTGTCATCGAAATAGTTTGATTCATTCGCTATTTTCTTGGCCAACAGAATATAAAAAATGAGAAGAAATTCCGATTTCGAAACAGGACACGTATCAAAACTAGGTCACGTTATGAAAAATAGCTATAAATTTATTTTTCCCATTGAAAAATTTGCCCTTAGGGCTTGCCCAAGGTGCAATTATGGGGCAACCGCTTTCCTAAGGGCAGTCCATGGGCAAGCTGCTACCTGAGATGTAGATATACTGGAATGTGGCTTGACCTAGCCATGTGGGCTTGACCTAGCCATGTGGGCTTGACCTAGCCATGTGGGCTTGACCTAGCCATGTGGGCTTGACCTAGCCATGTGGGCTTGACCTAGCCATGTGGGCTTGACCTAGCCATGTGGGCTTGACCTAGCCATGTGGGCTTGACCTAGCCATGTGGGCTTGACCTAGCCATGTGGGCTTGACCTAGCCATGTGGGCTTGACCTAGCCATGTGGGCTTGACCTAGCCATGTGGGCTTGACCTAGCCATGTGGGCTTGACCTAGCCATGTGGGCTTGACCTAGCCATGTGGGCTTGACCTAGCCATGTGGGCTTGACCTAGCCATGTGGGCTTGACCTAGCCATGTGGGCTTGACCTAGCCATGTGGGCTTGACCTAGCCATGTGGGCTTGACCTAGCCATGTGGGCTGGACCTAGCCATGTGGGCTTGACCTAGCCATGTGGGCTTGACCTAGCCATGTGGGCTTGACCTAGCCACCTTGCCAGCGAAAAAAAATCGGGCGACATGGTTTCCATGCGGTTTCCAGGTCAGCCAGCCTCCTCACCTGGTGGCGAGCTGGCCAGCGAATCTCTGAGTATACACTAATTAATCATACACAATTTGAACTGTTTTTGAGTTGTTCCGCTGACAACTTCCCAAAAATAACTATATATTCAAACAACCGACACCAAGGTGCGACCTACTCTTTTTCAAAAATTGTGTTATACTTTAGGAGGTTATCTATCTGATCAATGAAGAATAAAACATAATTTTGTGCAAACCTTCTTTTCAAAACTGCGTTTCGCACGGTCATTTTTTAGTATTGTCAATCCGAAAATATAAGAGCAGCGTAATATATAAATAAAAACATACAGTAGACTTTTCGACTGCTCTGATGGGTGAGCTTGATTGAGAAACGCAGAATTTTTAATCCATCAAACTACATAGATAGGAATAATTTGTTGAACTATTCAGGGTCTAAAAATTTGAAAGTTGTACAATCGGGTTACTGTAGATAGATTTGAAAAATAATCAAAAATGGCGAAAGTTCTCCCATCCAGAAAAGTTTCAAAAACTGCTCCCATTTTTAGAAATAAATCATGCTCCCATTCAGACAGTCTATTTTATTTTCAATGCTGCTCCCATTCATATAACAAAAACAGATCCCATTCAGACTACTTTTTTTGCTCCTATGTTTTTTCGACCTGCTCCCATTTTTTGCTCCCATAAATATGAAAGTGCTCCCATTCAGTATTTGCCACGCGAAATACTTTTTAATGCTTTCAGAAACATTTTCGCAAGGTTTTGATTATTCTCACGTGAAAATTTCGAATTTTGAAAATTATCACCAACCAAGTAGAAAACTGTTGTGAAACCAGTCAAAAACTGGTGAACACTGAAGTTGTAGTTTTTCATGACCTGATAGGCTTTGTGATATAAATACGAACTAATGTGTACCGAAAAACAGTTTGACATGTTTTTCAATTATCAGCTTTCATAAAATCACTGATTGTTTATCATTTAACTGAAAACAGCCAAGAACCAGTGAAAAACCGGTCAGAAACCAGTATATGATTGAATTTTGAGAATAGGGCTGATCTATTGATGTCACGCTTCAAGAAATAATAACATTGTGACCTTGTTTTATTTTCTAAGTTCCTTATCGTTGTTGAACTGTTTTTTCCGATTTCTTATAGTGAAAACAAGAAAAAGCATGTTTCCCTATGCAAAACACAATTTGCAAACAACACTCCGCTTTTTGCACTTGCCCCTATTTTAGTGATGGCGCGGTTTTTCTTTTATTTATCATTTTTCTTCTTTTTTTTAACTGTTTTCTCGTTTAACTTTGTGATAAATGATGTTTTGAAGTGGAAAACTAATGTATTTTTTACAGCAGTATGTGCGGATATGACGACAACTCGAGTTTTTGCCGAAACAAGTGGTAATAGATGGAAAATCAACAGAAAGGTGAGGTGAACTAACTTATTGCAAAATACTCTTACATTTTTGTGTTTTAGAACTTCAATATGCTTGCGAACCTCGCAAAATCGAAGTGATAACATTGTGGCGAGGCTGCTTATGAGGAACGAGAGAAAAAGGTTTGTCTTTTCAAGTTTTATCTTAAAAACATAGCGTGCTGTTGCCATTCAATTTCTTCAGTAGTAGAGAAAAAAGAAAATCAATGTTTCTTCACTTGATATAACCCTATCATAAATGTTCTTTCATTTTAGTCAGAAAAATTTGAATGGAAATATCGCTTAAATAAAGTGGTGCTGCAGATTAGTTTCTTCTCTGACTTGTGAGGAAAACTGGGCTAAACTCTGAACACTGTTTCGCCTCATTTGTTCAATACTTATCACCGCATTTTTCTGTGGGAAGAACTACAGGGTGTACCAAAAGTATACGACGGACTTTCTCATGAGTCCTGAAGCTGCCAGCAGGGTCTAAATCCTAATATATTGTGTTCAGTCGATGTCTGAGGTGCCCAAAAACTAAAATGTATACTGACTTGATAAACTTTTAATTTCCACGTGATTATCGTGACGTGAACTGATTTTCTATCTCAAAAACAATGAAAAACGTCGTTGGTTCTGAAGTCCATACCACATCGAGTAGAAGTTCAAATGAGCCGAAAATTTTTTTCTGAATAAGCGAAACCATCAGCAATATGGAAAAAGTTAGCTTGAATCAGTTACTGTCATTGTCTTAGAAAAATTAGCTATCAGAATAAGACAAATTTTGGTGCGCCGAGCATGAGGGGTTTTTAGCAATCTTCACAGTCAACTGAACCGGTTTTGATTTCTGTTGTAACAAAATCTATAGCGATGTTAAAATATGATAATTCTGTACCTCTGAAGTAGCTTTCAACTTGTGAATATGACTTTCTAGCTGAAATTTCACCAAATCTGTTTCATTTCCAAAAACAGCTGTTTTTTTCTGAAATATCTCAAATTTTTGATATTTCTAACGAAGAAATGTTCCCGAAATGATTTGAATGAATGGAACAGGATAATAATTGGATATTTCACAAACTTAAAACAGAATATTCAAAATCTAGCGTGAAATTAGTCAATTTGGGGATATATCGTGATTTTCGACAATTTTATCCAAATTTCAAAATTTGATTCGAGCACCGAAAAATAGAAAAGTAACTCAGATATTCCTATTTGATGGATGCTGATCGTTATTAGAGGTCTTTAGGTTGATCATAAAAAATATTGAAACCAACTTGTAAAACTAGCTCAGATATTAGAGGTCTCTGAAGTTCAAGAGTGAGGCGGCGCACCTACGTTTTTCATGAACCACTAACCTAGCCATAAAATCAAACTCCAAGTCAAAGTGAAAAAAATATCATGATCAAAGTTACTGAATTATGTCTTATTTACCCATTGAACACAATATATTGAAAAAAAATTAACCATCTAACCGAATTATGATATAAAACAGAGTGTCGCATACTTTTGGTACACCCTGTAATCTATATCACAGTCTAACAAAACAGCTTCACCGGAATACTCATAACATCGAAGTTAGTTAGACCAGACTTCAGAAATCAGAAAGTTTCACTTCAATGTCTTAGAAAACTACCACTTTTTCAGAAGTTAGTGTGATCTCTTAGCCATCCAGTAAAATCTCGAAAGTGTTTATTACTCAAAGAATTGCTGAAACTTAAAAAAATTAGATTTCTGTTTGAATTCAAATTACAAGTTTTGAAAATTCGTGATTCATTCAGCACATATGTTTATATATATATTTATTCAGATAGTTTAAGTATGCATACACACAATGAAAGAGATAAAAACATAATATAGTTCCAATGGGGAGTAAAATAGTTATAGGATATTCACATGAAAAAAAGGGGGTAAAGGTTGAAGAATGGGGGCTAGAATTTCAGATGTGGAGATCATTGGAAAAATAAAATTGTGTGGATCGCATAAAATAAACTTCCCGAATTCTAAAAGACCCAGCTCCCGCAAGAGAACCGGTCAGTTTTTTTTGTTTTTGATACTTTAAAGAAAAATAATACGGAACTTGACAGTTAGGCTTTTGGTAGGAGTGAAGCTCGAATACCCTTAACAAACACAGCAAATGATTTAGCGTTAAAGTCAGGAGAAATGAGATGTGATATAGTATTCCATTGTGGAATGACATGAGAATAGAAAGAGTTTGGACATTTCTGGACAGCGACTAATCTAAATGGATGGCGAGGAAGAGAAGTGTACTTAACAAAATCATTAATTTCTGGTTGGTGGGAAAAACCATTAAGAGATTTGAATAAATGTATTAAGTTTGATTTAATTCTGCGTGTTTTGATATCAGACATATGAATTTGTGCTAGACGATCTTCATAGGAATTGAAGGCAATATTACAACGATTAAAGGCTTTTCGAGTGAAGCGTCTTAAAGGGCTTTCTAATTCAATGGCAAGTTTTTTAGATATAAATGGGTCAAAAACTTCACTGCAATATTCCAGTAAGGGGAGCACGTACATTTTGAAAAGTAACATGTAGTGATCAATAGAGCTGAAGTTGAATAGTTTTAGTATTTGATTAGCTCTAAGGTTTGCGTTATTGACTAAATTATTTACATGTCTTTCAAACTTAAGCTTACTATCAATAACTACACCAAGGTCCCGTACAAATTCCTTACTAGGTATTTCAATGTTATTTGCAAAATATTTAGTTTTTGGATTGTTTTTGCCGAAATGAACTACGGTGGATTTTTCAGGAGCCAGATTCATTGAATTTTCACGAGCCCAGAAGCATATTTTATCAATGACTACTTGAATTCGTTCTGGATCTGAACCTATGATTTTCAGATCATCAGCAAAAGCTTGAATTTCAACATTATCTTCCGAAAAATCGAAAACCGAATTAATAAATATTATGAAGAGTATAGGCCCAGAAACACTACCTTGTACTACTCCTGAAGTGACAGGAGCTGACTTGTCTGAAATTGAGTTACCAACCTTAACTTGGAACGAGCGATCCTCAAGAAAATCAGAATACCAATCGCACGTGAAATTATCGAGACCGAATTCACGGAGTTTATTAATGATTAGACTGTGATCGACTCTATCAAACGCTTTTGCGAAATCAAAATAAACTACATCTGTATTTTTCTTATTGAAGCTATTTTTTCTGATTTTGGTGATTAGATTGATAAGTGATGACTTGCAACTTCTTTTATTCAAAAAACCGAATTGATTTTTTGATATTTTATAACTATATTTGCATTTTAAATAGCCTACTATAATTCTTTCCATTACTCTACAAATTGGCGGTGTTAATGAGATAGGACGATAATTTTTTGGGTCAGAGGCTTTTCCCTTTTTGTAGACGGGAAGAACAATAGATTTTTTCCAAACCTTTGGGACTTTACCGGAATTGAAAGATAGAGAAAAAATGATCGAGAGGGGGTGGGCCAGGGAAGATGCACATTTTTTGAGCATAAAATAATTCAAATTATCGTTACTATAACCACATTTACTAGGACATTTGGAAAGATAATCATAAACCCTAGCAGTATCAAATGTTATGGGAGGGGATTTAGATGGACTATTTGACGGGTTACAATTGATGTTGGATGGTGGGGCATAGTTTGAGGCGAAGTGTTTATGTTCTCTAATATTTTTGAATTTTACAGGTACCAACGGAACAGTCGGCTCAACCAGTGCACTCAAAGTTCTCATAGAAGCCAAGACTCAACTTCAATGGATTTTAAGTGTTTTTGAAGCAATAAAAACTTCTTATTGCAAATGTGTACGATTTTAATTTCCACAGAAAGTTTCTTAGGACCCAGAAAAAACTTAATTTACCGGTTGTTGACTGGTTTCAAACCGGTTTCGACACCAGTTTTTGATTGGTTTTCAGAACCGTAACTGGTTGGTTGCGAACGGTGGTGAGTTGGTCGGTTACTGACTTTTTGCAAATTTCCTGTGTAAACTGCCGTTCAGGCGGTTTTTAGCGCAAAAAATTAATTTTTATTTTTTCCGTCTGTAAATGGCCGGGAACTGAAACATTTATATATGCCCATATACGTAACTTTGTGTGAGATGAGACTGGAAAAATCGAATTCTACGCCCCAACTCTTTCTTCTGGTAGAAAAAATCAAATTTTTCAACTTTTCGAATTTCTTTAATTTTTTCAAATATCAACCTGAAACTGAGATAAAAATTTACAATTTTAGCTACAGAATCCTGTGTTGATCGAAACTTTTCGTTGAGTTTGACAGGTTTTATGATTTTTTGAAAATGACATCTTAAAAAATCTTCCGTGATAACTTTCCCATAAAAATCAATTATTGTTTCCAAATTCCCTTTGGGCTTTTTCACACCCACTGGCGTACTACACTTTCCGCATAGTATCACTTCTTTTCAGGGGGAAACATTAAAAACGTTTCCTTGTGAGAAAAGTATAATGCTGTGATTCAGAGTCATTTCAGCGCGCGTAGAAATAGAAACAGCGTCGAAAAAAGTGATTGAAATTACCACAACAATGGAGATGTTATTAATTTTCGGAGCACGCTGAAGTTTCGCATTTTCAGTCATATATAAATAAGAAAATGTGTTTCCAAATTTATCTCATCAAAAATATCATTTTCTTCAAGCTACAGTAATCCGAGCTGCAAATTATTGTTGAAGAATACGATTCTTGCAGTTTGGGTTCCTGTAGTTCATAAATTATCTGTAAAATATCATTATCTCATCAAAAATACCATTTTCTTCAAGCTACAGTAATCCGAGCTGCAAATTATTGTTGAAGAATACGATTCTTGCAGTTTGGGTTCCTGTAGTTCATAAATTATCTGTAAAATATCATTATCTCATCAAAAATACCATTTTCTTCAAGCTACAGTAATCCGAGCTGCAAATTATTGTTGAAGAATACGATTCTTGCAGTTTGGGTTCCTGTAGTTCATAAATTATCTGTAAAATATCATTATCTCATCAAAAATATCATTTTCTTCAAGCTACAGTAATCCGAGCTGCAAATTATTGTTGAAGAATACGATTCTTGCAGTTTGGGTTCCTGTAGTTCATAAATTATCTGTAAAATATCATTATCTCATCAAAAATATCATTTTCTTCAAGCTACAGTAATCCGAGCTGCAAATTATTGTTGAAGAATACGATTCTTGCAGTTTGGGTTCCTGTAGTTCATAAATTATCTGTAAAATATCATTATCTCATCAAAAATACCATTTTCTTCAAGCTACAGTAATCCGAGCTGCAAATTATTGTTGAAGAATACGATTCTTGCAGTTTGGGTTCCTGTAGTTCATAAATTATCTGTAAAATATCATTATCTCATCAAAAATACCATTTTCTTCAAGCTACAGTAATCCGAGCTGCAAATTATTGTTGAAGAATACGATTCTTGCAGTTTGGGTTCCTGTAGTTCATAAATTATCTGTAAAATATCATTATCGCATTTCGGATTACTGTAGCTTGAAGAAAATGGTATTTTTGATGCGATAATGATATTTTCCAGATAATTTGTGAACCACAGTAGAAATTTTCCAAGAAATTATGAAAACTTGTCTTCATTTTTCATTCAATGCTAACAATTGTTCGGGTAATTATCATTTCAAAATGTGTTTTTCGCTTTGAAATATGCGTGAGAAACCAAACAGTTTGAAAAAAATAGAAATTTGCTAACAAATCTGTGGCCGTGGCCGAGAAAACCAAATACCTGTGTAATTCTCGCGAACGAATATTCATTTTTTCTTTTTTTCACACCCGCTCAAACAATGAAAAAATCAGCAAAATGGCTTTTTTATTGGCATACCAATTTTAGCTACCTTAGAGGGCATTATATGAGAAACTAAAAATACCATTAGAATCAGCGTCTTTAGATCTACATTAAACTATATCATTCATATTTTTAGTGGTCCTGCGAAGAAAGTTACGATTTGCGTCGAGACCACGCGGTTAAATAAATACATGTCCCTTTAATTTGCAACGTAAATCAATGCAAAAGTTGGCGTACCAAATTGTGTCATAATAAGGGAAGTTAGAGGAGAAATGTAAAATATCACGAGATTCAGTGTGTCGAGCCTTTATTTGGTGTCAAAAAAAAGATAGAGAAAGAAGAAAAATCGTGTGGTGGGTTAAATAATACATGAAAATCGCACACATAAAGCTTATAAAATCAGAGAAATTTTAAGTTTTATAGTTGAAAAAAGGTGCCAAATGGGGGGAAAACTCAAACATCGGGGTAGACCTAAACTAGGGAAAATAAGATTTTGTGAGAAGTTTTGCCCGCGATAGAACTGGGCGAAGCGCATGCAAGGGCGACCAAAAAACACACCAAACAGGACCAACCACTTCACAAATCATCAACTTCACAACAAAATTCGGTGATTTTTCTAGAGAAGCCTCCTTGGCGCTTGAAAAATATATAGGAAAAAAGCAGAGTTTCGTTCGTTTTTCGCTAAAATACAATAGGTAGATCTACACACAGATGGAATTCTTCCGCACACAAAAAAAGGGCACAACTTTTTGGTTGAAAAATAGGGGGGACCGTTGTTTTAACACCATATCATAAGAAATACGAAAAAATAAAGATAAAATATAGGTTAGGAATGCATTGGTTTGGGGTTTTGGGGGGATTCTCGTTTATTGGGTCGATTCTTGCGGAACTTCAATTTTCACAACAACCATGTCCGGGTTCATTTGAGTGGCTTCCAAAATTGCTTGACTCAATTCCTGCAAAATTAGATATTTTAAATTTGAAGAGGATTTTCCCGGCCTAGAAATTCAAAACGAAATTCTAGGTCATCTGTGAAATCCGGACATACGTCGCATACTCCCGTTTCAAATCGGCCAGTGCATACCCCTATTTTTTGAAAATTTTCGACGAAAGGGATAACCCCCCCCCACGACCATTCACTCCAATAGAAAATTGCCCACAGGGTCAGACGAGAGACGACGAGAGTCTAATGACGTGTCTAATGAAATATCTTTCCACGAAATTCATTTTCGGGATATTTTTGCAAAATACTCTCGTCGTCTCGCGTCTGACCCCACGGGCGCAATGGATGGTCGTGCCCCCTTTTTTTTTCATTTTTTTTCATATCCAGCTATAGAAATCTGAAAATTACAATTTTATTGAACTAAGAATTTGCATCAATGAGGCAAATAGTAAATTTTGAACTTGAGTTAAGAGTAGCAGGTCTTTATTAGACCCTTATCAACTATGCTCCACATAAAAATCTAAAAAAAAATTCACCTGGTTTCAAATTGGGACCACTATGTTCTTTTTTCCCCTGTGTTATTAAAGAACACAGGGGTAATAAGAACATAGTGGTCCCATCTTGATACCAAGCTCATTTCTTTGGATTTTATTGTGGAGCATAGTTTATAAGGGTCTATTAAAGGTCTTCTACCCCTAATTTAATTATATATTTATGTGGAAATTTTTTTGAGGCTTGAATTGGTATCCCTATGGCAGGATATGCAGAGAAAATTATCATCAAACACACCTGACGAGAGAGTGTCTCAAAATTTTTGTGCAGCGTGGAAATATTTGCCAAAAAAAAATTGTGCAGTGTGAAATTTTGAATTTTTTGCAAATTTTCATCAAAATCCGCTGAAAATCAATCAAAACTACACTTTTTCGTAAAAAAATGTACAGTGTGGCTTTTGAAAATTTCTGTACAGTGTCCATTTTGGACACGTCTCGGCAGGTGTGTCATCAAAACTGAGAAAATTTCATAAAAATGTTTTATCTCAAGTGACAACCCCCTCCAAAATTTGGTGTGAGGGACAACCCCTCCACGGGTCGATTACCCCTGGCATGCGACGTATGGCCACGAATCATTTTTTGATCAAAAAATTTGAAATTTTTAATGAATTCAATTGTATTTCGTGTGATTTACCTCTTATGAGTACACTTAATTCAAAAAAAATAATAAAATAAGTTTTTTTTCGAAAAATTGATCGATGACTTCATCCATGGCAAAATTAGGAAGCCTTCCTGATTTTGCCACGAATCATTTTTTGATCAAAAAATTTGAAATTTTTAATGAATTCAATTGTATTTCGTGTGATTTACCTCTTATGAGTACACTTAATTCAAAAAAAATAATAAAATAAGTTTTTTTTTCGAAAAATTGATCGATGACTTCATCCATGGCAAAATTAGGAAGCCTTCCTGATTTTGCCACGAATCATTTTTTGATCAAAAAATTTGAAATTTTTAATGAATTCAATTGTATTTCGTGTGATTTACCTCTTATGAGTACACTTAATTCAAAAAAAATAATAAAATAAGTTTTTTTTCGAAAAATTTATCGATGACTTGATCCATGGCAAAATTAGGAAGCCTTCCTGATTTTGCCACGAATCATTTTTTGATCAAAAAATTTGAAATTTTTAATGAATTCAATTGTATTTCGTGTGATTTACCTCTTATGAGTACACTTAATTCAAAAAAAATAATAAAATAAGTTTTTTTTTCGAAAAATTGATCGATGACTTCATCCATGGCAAAATTAGGAAGCCTTCCTGATTTTGCCACGAATCATTTTTTGATCAAAAAATTTGAAATTTTTAATGAATTCAATTGTATTTCGTGTGATTTACCTCTTATGAGTACACTTAATTCAAAAAAAATAATAAAATAAGTTGTTTTTCGAAAAATTGATCGATGACTTCATCCATGGCAAAATTAGGAAGCCTTCCTGATTTTGCCACGAATCATTTTTTGATCAAAAAATTTGAAATTTTTAATGAATTCAATTGTATTTCGTGTGATTTACCTCTTATGAGTACACTTAATTCAAAAAAAATAATAAAATAAGTTTTTTTTCGAAAAATTTATCGATGACTTGATCCATGGCAAAATTAGGAAGCCTTCCTGATTTTGCCACGAATCATTTTTTGATCAAAAAATTTGAAATTTTTAATGAATTCAATTGTATTTCGTGTGATTTACCTCTTATGAGTACACTTAATTCAAAAAAAATAATAAAATAAGTTTTTTTTTTCGAAAAATTTATCGATGACTTGATCCATGGCAAAATTAGGAAGCCTTCCTGATTTTGCCACGAATCATTTTTTGATCAAAAAATTTGAAATTTTTAATGAATTCAATTGTATTTCGTGTGATTTACCTCTTATGAGTACACTTAATTCAAAAAAAATAATAAAATAAGTTTTTTTTCGAAAAATTTATCGATGACTTGATCCATGGCAAAATTAGGAAGCCTTCCTGATTTTGCCACGAATCATTTTTTGATCAAAAAATTTGAAATTTTTAATGAATTCAATTGTATTTCGTGTGATTTACCTCTTATGAGTACACTTAATTCAAAAAAAAATAATAAAATAAGTTTTTTTTTCGAAAAATTTATCGATGACTTGATCCATGGCAAAATTAGGAAGCCTTCCTGATTTTGCCACGAATCATTTTTTGATCGAAAAATTTGAAATTTTTAATAAATTCAATTGTAATTTGTGTGATTTACCTCTTATGAGTACACTTAATTCAAAAAAATAATTAAATAAGTTTTTTTTCGAAAAATTGATCGATGACTTCATCCATGGCAAAATTAGGAAGCCTTCCTGATTTTGCCACGAATCATTTTTTGATCAAAAAATTTGAAATTTTTAATAAATTCAATTGTATTTCGTGTGATTTACCTCTTATGAGTACACTTAATTCAAAAAAAATAATAAAATAAGTTGTTTTTCGAAAAATTGATCGATGACTTCATCCATGGCAAAATTAGGAAGCCTTCCTGATTTTGCCACGAATCATTTTTTGATCAAAAAATTTGAAATTTTTAATAAATTCAATTGTAATTTGTGTGATTTACCTCTTATGAGTACACTTAATTCAAAAAAATAATTAAATAAGTTTTTTTTCGAAAAATTTATCGATGACTTGATCCATGGCAAAATTAGGAAGCCTTCCTGATTTTGCCACGAATCATTTTTTGATCAAAAAATTTGAAATTTTTAATAAATTCAATTGTAATTTGTGTGATTTACCTCTTATGAGTACACTTAATTCAAAAAAATAATTAAATAAGTTTTTTTCGAAAAATTGATCGATGACTTCATCCATGGCAAAATTAGGAAGCCTTCCTGATTTTGCCACGAATCATTTTTTGATCAAAAAATTTGAAATTTTTAATAAATTCAATTGTAATTTGTGTGATTTACCTCTTATGAGTACACTTAATTCAAAAAAATAATTAAATAAGTTTTTTTTCGAAAAATTGATCGATGACTTCATCCATGGCAAAATTAGGAAGCCTTCCTGATTTTGCCACGAATCATTTTTTGATCAAAAAATTTGAAATTTTTAATAAATTCAATTGTAATTTGTGTGATTTACCTCTTATGAGTACACTTAATTCAAAAAAATAATTAAATAAGTTTTTTTTCGAAAAATTTATCGATGACTTGATCCATGGCAAAATTAGGAAGCCTTCCTGATTTTGCCACGAATCATTTTTTGATCGAAAAATTTGAAATTTTTAATAAATTCAATTGTAATTTGTGTGATTTACCTCTTATGAGTACACTTAATTCAAAAAAAATAATAAAATAAGTTTTTTTTTCGAAAAATTGATCGATGACTTGATCCATGGCAAAATTAGGAAGCCTTCCTGATTTTGCCACGAATCATTTTTTGATCGAAAAATTTGAAATTTTTAATAAATTCAATTGTAATTTGTGTGATTTACCTCTTATGAGTACACTTAATTCAAAAAAAATAATAAAATAAGTTTTTTTTCGAAAAATTGATCGATGACTTGATCCATGGCAAAATTAGGAAGCCTTCCTGATTTTGCCACGAATCATTTTTTGATCAAAAAATTTGAAATTTTTAATGAATTCAATTGTATTTCGTGTGATTTACCTCTTATGAGTACACTTAATTCAAAAAAAAATAATAAAATAAGTTTTTTTTCGAAAAATTTATCGATGACTTGATCCATGGCAAAATTAGCCTTCCTGATTTAGCCATGGGTCATTTTTCGATCAAAAAATTCGAAATTTTCTATAAATTTGATTGTAAGTCAATGTTCTGTGGACAATAATCACAGAAAAAAGTGAAACTGAAATAAATGAGAAGACAGTTACGCCTGGGGGCTAACAGCCCCTAGTATTTATTCTTTTATTCTTGTGCCACGCGGCAAAATTGACATTCCCAAAATTTTCGTTTGAAATTCTAATTTTCAAATTAAAAATTCCAAAATGAAAAAGATTCAATTTCAAAACGTGAATTGTTTCCTGTTCGAAATGAAACAAAAAGTTAGATTTTCAAATGTCAAGCATAAAATCATGTTTTGAAAAAGTACTCCAAAAAATCTCTGAAGCAGTAAATTGCAATTTCCTGCGCTTTCTAACTTTTACTCCAATTTCCAGGGAATCGAAAATGTCGAGCTAGTCGAAGATCGTCTTGAACATCTCAAAATTGGATCATCTTCCTCCGAAATGACAAAAAAGTGGACAAAAGAAGAATTGGATAGATTTGTTGAGGATTATATCGAACAAAATCAAATGAACATCTACTAACTAACAATCCATACAAAAATCGCAAATTTTCACGGATTCTACTGACAAATACTGGTATTTTTCGAACTATTTTTGTAAATATTCTTTTGTTTATTGTACATGAACACATTTTTTCACAAAGTTTTCATGAAGCAAGATTAACAAAAATGCAAGTCTGGCACGATTGTTTACTGGCGGAAAACGAGGGTATTGGATTTTTCAATTTCTCACAACTTGGACATTCAAAAATTGTTCGAACACATTTTCCCAAACTCAAAAATAATTTTCTGGCAATGTTTGCACAATCTGCGTCTCTTCGTGTAATATTACACTCTAATAGTATTTCCCCAAAGGGTCCCACATTTTCTCTTTTTGCGTTGAGAAAAGCAGGAAAAAGTCAGCTGCCAGTCAACCAGCGGCCCAGCTCCAATTTCCTTTTCTTTTCCTTTTTTTCTTTTACTATTTTTGACCCAATTTTTTCTAACTTTTTTGAATTTAAAGTTTTATTAGTGGACTTACGCAAACATTCCAAATTCATTGAAAATATATAAAATTTCTCAACACATCTACTTTAATTATTTGAAAAATAGAATTTTTGTGTGCATTTTTACTTTTTCGTGTTTGCAGAGCCGTTTTTAAATATTTCGTGCATTTCTTCTAGGAATAATAATTCGAAAAAATTGAAAATGGGAAATAATGCGAGTTCGTTGAGCGAATTGAATTTGTTTTCAAAGGGCGGAGTTTTTACACGTGAACAATTGGATGAATATCAGGTGAGCTGAGGAATTTTGAAAAAAAAATGAAAATTGGGTCTTGAATAGAAATACAGTAATCCGAACTTCAAAATTCCGGAAGGATTACGGTAGATGGAGAAATACCACGTGGAAAAATCCACAGTAATCCTAACCATTTTTTAAACTTTTTTTTAAGTTATAGTAAATGTGGTGGATTTTAGATATACAGTAATCCGGCCTGCAAAACCCGCACGTAGATCAATTTTTCCCAAAATCAACAAAATCGGTATTCAAAAACGTGGATTTTTTTCAGGATTGCACATTTTTCACACGAAAAGATATAATTCGACTTTATAAACGATTTTACGCTTTGAATCCACACAAAGTTCCAACAAATATGCAAGGAAACCGACCAGCAATAATTACGCTAACTTATGAGGAAATTGAGAAAATGCCCGAATTGAAGGTAGGCTGTTAGTTGCCACGTGGAAATTATTTAACATAGATGTTTGAAAAATCATAAACATTTTTATAATTTTCAGGAAAATCCATTCAAACGTCGAATTTGTGAAGTGTTTTCTGAAGATGGCCGCGGAAATTTGAGTTTCGATGATTTTTTGGATATGTTTTCAGTTTTCTCAGAAATGGCTCCACTTCAACTAAAACTGAAATACGCGTTCAAAATCTACGATTATGATGGAGATGATCATTTGGGACACGATGATTTGAGTAAAATGATTCGAAGTTTGACACGAGATGAATTGAGTGATGAAGAAGTTGAATTTATAATTGAACGAGTTATTGAAGAGGCAGATTTGGATGGTGATGATAGAATTAATTTTGCCGAATTTGAACATGTTGTTTCGAGATCGCCTGATTTTATAAGAACTTTTCATATTAGGATTTGAACTGTCTGTTTTTTGTTTTCTTTATTGTATCTATAAATGTATGTATACAGTTTTTCTCACGGTGCAATAACTACAGTAACCCAGGACATTTCTTGGTTTAAGAAATGGTGGATTTTGAAAGGCGAAAATTTGTCAACAGTATATTATTTCGAAGATTTTAATTTTGAAAAAAGTGATTTCATATTTTCGACGACTCTAAAACAAAAAAGATGATGTTTGGGGATTTTCAAATTATAACGTGACAACTCAGTCCCCATTTTCAATAGTAAAAATAATGTTTTTCATTCGAAGAATTCGAATTTATTATTCTATTCAACAACGAAAAGAAGCAAAATTGAAAACAATAAATAACCGTAAATCACCGAAAAAATCTTGCCTAAAAATGCTCTATTTTTTAGCCGAAGATAACGAATTATAAACAGCCATAGCTTGTGAAATCATACTTCCAGGATCACTTAAATTCGCCGGCAAAACTACAGTATTCGTCTCTTTTGCCAATTTTCCGAATGCATCCACGTATTGTTCGGCAACACTCAAATTTGCTGCGTTGGCGCCACCTGTTTGTTGGAGCGCATTTGCAACTATTTCGATGGCTTTTGCACGAGATTCTGCTTTTAGCAATACCGCTTCCGCTTCTCCTCGTGCCAAATTCACTTTTTCCGCTTGAGATGCTTCAGAAGCTAGGATAGCAGATCTTTTTTGACCTTCAGCTCTGCAAAAAATTGAAAGATTGGAACTCCAGCTTCGGTCTTGACTCACTTATTAATGGCTGCTTCCCGGACTCCTTCAGATTCTAAAATTGCGGCTCTTTTTTTGCGCTCAGCTTCAACTTGCATTTGCATAGCTTCTTGGATTTTTGTCGGCATTTGCATGTCACCTAAAAAAGAAATTTTAGATAAGGATTTCTAGATCGTGGATTTGGGTTTTTATATGAAACAAATTTTTTGCAAATCCTCCCTATGATAAAAAACTTACGAATTTCATACCGCATACAAGAAATTCCCCAAGGCGCCGATGCTTTATTAATAGCCGCAACAATATTTTCATTCAACTGTTCTCTCTCCTTGAAAACCGTGTCCAAACTGATTTTTCCAACTTCACTTCGCATTGTAGTTTGAGCCAATTGAGTTACAGCAAATTCCGGGTCATCAACACCATAAGAAGCTTTGTATGGATCAAAAACACGGAGATACAACACTCCATCCAAACGAAGTTGCACATTATCGATTGTGATCGCACCTTGTTCGGGAATTTCAATAGCGATTTCCCGAAGATTTTGCACAAACTTGATTTTGTCGATGATTGGAAGCAGAAAATTGAGCCCCGGGTCGAGAATTGTGTGAAATTTTCCCATTCTTTCGACAACCCATGCTTCTTGTTGAGGAACAAAATTGATGATTGTGTTGGTGGCGTGAGCTTGACGATTTGCAGCAATTGCTAATTGTGCATTTCGCAGCAAGTTTCTTTCGAGAAGAATCCTCCTGGCTAGCGCCATTTTCTATCTGAGAAATGAAAAAATTTAAAATGATGCAAAACGTTGGCTTTTATAAAAAAAAACAAGTATTGCGAAATATTTAAAATGATGCAAATAGTAAATAAGACCTCCTTAATCTTTCTGAAACGCTTAATTCTTTCTAGAAAATCGTGGAAGCGTGGAACATCATGAAACTTGGAAAGAAAATAAAAAATCGATGGAAATTTGCATGACGGCCTAGAAACCCGGCGAGTTTCTAGGTCATGCCAACATTTTATTTTTGTTTTTTGCAGTTTTCACACCCCGCTGAAACGAGAAATGACTGTTTTTCTACTGTAGAACGCAATCGAAAAGTGTGCAAACACCGCGTCTCTGCGTCTCTCGAAAATTCACACTGTTTTGTTCGTTCAAAGGAACATACATTTATTAATTTATTGGGTCTCGAAAAGCTGGCCTTCCTGGGCTCCTAGGAATTATGAATCTTATGGTTTAATGTAGATCTCGATACGCTGAATCTCGTGGTATTTTTCATTTTTTCTCTAACGCCTGTTTTCCCAACGAAAATTGGTACGCCAACTATTTCATTGATTTACGTTGCTGATTAAAGGGACACGTATTTATTTAACCGCGTGGTCTCGACGCAAATCGTAACTTTCTTCGCAGGACCCCTAAAAATATGAGTAATATAGTTTAATGTAGATCTTGAGACGCTGATTCTAATGGTATTTTTATTTTTTCATATAACGACCTCTAAGGTAGCTAAAATTGGTACGCCAATGAGAACAGCATTTTGCTAATTTTTTCATTGTTTGAGCGGGTGTGTTTTAAAACTTTTTTTCGGGATTTCAGGGAATTTTTAGGGTTTTTAATAATAGTTTGGTTGATTGTGGCTAGGATTTTAGGCGCTGAATAGGTGCTTTTATGAAAATGAGTTGAATTTAGATTAAACCGGTTTCGATTAAGAAAAACGGGTTTTTGATAAATCAGATGATTTCTATTTTCAATGTGCGATATTTTACGATCATTAAAGTGCAAAATCTGAAATATCCTTGATTTGCTCATGAATTTGTTTTCTCCAACAATTTACAAAACCTCTCACACAAACTGTTTATTTTCCCACAACAATTTTTTTCTATTTTCTTTTCAAAACAAAAATTTCGTTTAGTTTTCCCGCGACAATTAGTCATTTTTCCCGCTCGACAAACTTTTTCTTCATTTTTATTTCACAATCAGAAGAAAAACGTTCTCAAAAAATGTAAAAATTTTTCCAGATGTCCGGCATCTTCGAAAGTTTCAATCTCTACTCGCACGCCGAAAAATTCTATCTCGAGCCAACAGAACTTGGAGGCGGTGCAAGTTCTACCACCTATTTAGAAATCGATAGACACACAAGTTCTATGAGAGTAAATGACTCCAGAGCTCAAAGAATTCCCATAATCGACTCGGACATCAAATTCATTTATGGTGTATTAGGAACAATTAAGCTAGTAGCAGGAAATGCTTTGATTGTAATAACAAAAGCAAAAATTGTTGGACAAATTGGAAATCATAATATTTGGACGATTCTAGACACCGAGATTATACCATTCAAGAAAACAACTTTGCATTTAACTGAAAGACAAGCGAGATATAATCGGAGATTTATTGAGATGCTTGGAAGTGTCCTAAACTTTGGCGGATTTTTTTACTCAACAACTTTTGATATTAGTAGAACTCAACAATTTCTTCAACAAAACCAAGGTTCAGCAGCTTTTCAAACTTCTTCAATGATGGATAGAGCTAGCGATAGATTTATTTGGAATGGTTATTTGCTAACTCAGATTAGATCTGTTTCCGGAGCTGAGAAGTTTACTCTTCCAATTATTCATGGTTTCTTTGGACAGACAAAATTGCAAATTAATGGGAGCTCGATAAAGCTCACAATTATTTCAAGAAGAAGTATTTATCGCGCAGGAGTTCGATTTTATAAAAGAGGAGTTGATAACGATGGTCATGCTGCGAACTTTGTAGAAACTGAGCAGATCCTTGAATTTGATGCGGAAGAAAAACATACGACTTCATTTGTTCAACTTCGTGGAAGTATTCCTTTACTCTGGTCTCAAAAACCAAATCTTCGTTGGCAACCGACGCCGCAAATGCGCCCCACTGATGATCAATTGGCAGCTTTTAATCGAAGTTTTGCGTGGCATCAGAAACATTATGGGGGAAAACATGTGATTGTGAATTTGGTGAATCAGAAGGGAAGAGAAAAGAAGATTGGTGGAGAGTTGGAGAGAATTGCACAGCAGGCGAATATTGATTTTGTGAGGTTTGGATTTATTGATTTTGGACTGGAAAATTGGAAAATTTGGCCTAGGTTAAATTAGAGTTTTTTGGTTTAAAAGATTTTGAAAGTTAAAGGCGTCCAAGAATTTCAAATAAGAAAATTTCTCGCTGAAAATCCATGGCCTAGAAATTCCCCAAAAATATATTTTCTTATCCAGATATCATCAATTCGATTTCCACAAAGAATGTCACGCAATGCAATGGAATCGTCTCTCGATTCTCAAAGATCAACTCGCCGACGAAATCCAAGCTTTCGGATTTTTCTACTCGTGTCCATCGCAAGTTCAACCAACGCGATATCAACAAGGATTTTTCCGCACCAATTGTATGGATTGTCTAGATAGGTATGTACATAGATCATGTTTTAATGGGACACTCTTATTGTTAGAGGAACTTTTGAATATCAGCCCATTTTTCAATGTCCTGGCTGTCCACAACATTTTCCATATTGCAGAACAAATGTAGTTCAATCAATGTTGGCTCGAGAATCTCTAACCGATCAATTGCGAATGTTCGGAATTCTTGGACAACATCAAAGTGTTGAAAATGTTGATCAGTTGGAAATTGTTTTCAAACATTGTGAGTTTTTTCTGAAATTTAATTGAAAAAACGTTTTTAAACGACACTACACCTTTACCCACCTGGATTCTTTATTTTCGAACTAAACTGTTGGTGTGAACGTGGAGTCTTGTTGTTCTTGGGTCAAAATATTAACGACTCTAATTTTTGAAAGGTATTAATAATATGAAATCTTCATAACTCCGGAGAAATTATAATTTCTTTTGTTTTCAAATAAAAATTCCTGGAAAATTTTCAAAAAAGCATCAAACACCAGCAGAATTTTTATCTGTTTTTAGAAAATTCCCAAGTTTTTCTTCCTAATTTTTATCAGAAATTTTAACCAAAAAAAAAAAGAACCCAGAAATCATCCTAAATTTAATTTCAGTATGGGCTGACAATGGTGACGAATGTTCTCGCCAATATGCTGGCACCGGTGCCCTCAAATCCGATTTCACTCGCCTCGGAAAACGGACATATTTGGGAGCGATGAACGACGGTGTAAACGCGGTGTCTCGTTATATGCGAAACAATTTCGGCGACGGATATCGACAAGATTCTATTGATCTTTTCCTGGGAAATTTTGTGATTAACACATCGGATTTGCCGCCAACACTTGAAACTTCGATTTTTTCGACCGATCAAAATGGATTAGCATTGGTTGCTGCGCTTTTTGCAATGTCGATGACGATTTTATGTATGCTTGTAGCTGGTTAGTCAATTTAAGAAGGGGTTTGAAAAAAATTTTGTGGGAGATTCGAATTTTTCATGGAAAATTAAGCAAAAATCGTGTAAATTTTGAAACTTTTTATTAAAGTCGAATCATCTATCTTAAAAATTGGCTCACAATCAGAATTATTTAGAAAAAATGTTAAAGTCTGCAATTTTCCCGTTCTCCAAAAGCCTAAATAATTCCAAATATTTGCAGACAACTTCACCGCCACAATTTTCTGGCTCATCATCTTTTTCGTCTGCGTCTCGTTCATTTTCCTGAATGGCGAAGAGTTTGTGAATACGCCAAAATTGAAAATCGACTGAAATTATTCTGGAACAAACAAAATGCATGTAGATACTTAACTTATTATTTTTAGGGCTTTTCACAAATTTCGTGCCGATAACAAGAAAAATACAGATTTTATTTATTTATTGATTTCTATAACACAGTACTTCAGACAAAAAAATTAATACCCAAAATTTCGAAAAAAAAATGTGGTCTATATATTTTACAGAAAAACGAGATTTTTTGGTGTGAGAAATGAGAAATTGAGAAAATTGGGGGATGTACAGTAGGAATGTGTACAGAGGAAATAGGAATACAGTAATCTTCTAGAACAAATTTGAATTTACATGGCTTCTTTTCGACGATCTTTTGGTTGATAGGAGTTATTTGAGGGCATATCGGATTTCTGCGAAAAATTAGGGATTTGAGGTTACTGTAGCTAAGAATTCTGTAGGATTTTTCGATTTTTATCTAGATTTTCATGAACTTTCGAGTTTCAAAAATATTTCCATTTTTGTAGTAAATTAATAAATTACAGTAATCCAGGAGAATCGATAGCTGAGTTACTGAAGATTTGAAAAATTTCAGTAACTCAAATTTTTAAAATGAATAGCTACAGTAATCCAAAAATTATAAAATTTACAGTTTTTTGCGTCAAAAAATTCAGAAAAAGAACCCACAGTAATCGTTGGTTCCATCGCCTCCAAGATACTATCAATTCCAAGCATACATCCTTCATCAGCTCCAGAATATTGCATATCCTGTGAAAAAATTTAAGGTTTTCAGGGGAAGCTGGATTTTTGATGAAATTTGAATAGAAAATTCGCGATTTTCAGGCTTCAGCCAAAATATGTCAAAAGCTGGATTTGTTGAATTTTTGTCAAAAAAATAACCAACCTCAAAAAATCCGCTAAAAGTCGAATGAGCAAAATCGATAATATTCACTTTGACCGCATCATCATTCATCGAATCGGCCGCTTCCGCGTCGAAAGCGATCAGAATCGATGCGGAAAAAAATCGATAACCCTCGCTTTCGGCCAGAATTTTTCGGAGTTTCGCCAATTTCTGGCGAATTATTGAGGCACGCGAGCGACCACAGCATTTTGTGAAACGTTTGACATAGGCGCGGAAACCGGCTGGATCGATGCGACGACCTTCCATTTTTTCCACGTAGGAGTAGGTCTGAAAAAGGTGTGCGGTAAAATTGCAATGAAAATTTCATTGGAAAATTGGATTGCGAATTTTCACAAGCGACGAAATGCAACACAACAGTGAGAGATTTAGAGAATAATATTTTTGATCTACCAGGAATTTTTTGAAAAATTTGAGGTCCTATGGTTTGAGGTACTCAGAGAAATGGCCTGGGGAACCGGCGGAGAATATTCGGGAAACCGATGGAGAAAAACGTTCTCCGCCAGATCGCCGACAGTTCTCCGAATGATCTACAGTGTTTCTCCCTTGCGAAAGAATGTTCTCGAAGCAGAGAATGGAAAACCAGCGGACAACTGGCGGAGAAAATTTTCTAGTTTGGAGAGCGAAAAATGCAAAAAAGCACCTAGCGGAGAACCAACGGAGAACTGTCGGAGAAACTATGGAAAACTTTCGGATAACCGGCGGAGAACTCTCGGCGAACCGCCAGCCGTAGGCTGGATCTCCGAAAGTTTTCCGCCGGTTCCCCAGGCCATTTCTCTGAGTAGTAAACTACAGATTTCATTAAAAAGGGGTGTGATCCATTCTTTGATTCGAAAAAATAATTATTTGAGGAAGAAAAATTAGAAGTTATCTGGTTTCCTAGAAAATTTAATGCCTACATTTCCATCTCGACCACCAAATTTTCCCTCTCTAAAATCTCACCTTTGTCTCCGCTTCATACAATTGCATTCCAACCATTCTTACACCTAAACTAGCCGATGTGCTCTGTCTACATTTCATCAATTGTCGATGTCTCTTCGATTCACTTGCATCATCTCCATGTTGTCTTGTTCCAACTTTCAAATCCAGCACACAAGGTCGCGTAAAGTGTGCAACAACATTTTCAAGCAAAATGAATGGCATCGATTCGTTTTCCGCCAACATTCTTTCCACCATTTTACACTGACATTCAGCTGCCCAAGAATTCCATTGTTTTTCGGTGTCTACTGAAATTCGACCAGTTTCTGGTGATTGTTTGAAGCGAGTTCGTGAATTTTCGTGTTTGCTGCTGGTTTTTCGACGACTATGACATTCTGCGTTTTCCGTGGTTTCTAGCATAATTTGTCCGGTTGTTTGATCGATTGAGGCGCGCACGTTCACTTCTTCTGAAAGAAAAATCCGCTTAGGAAATCCCTGAATAATTCGCAGTCTCAGATTTCTCCCCGAAAAAAACTCACGACAAAATGCCGGCGCAAAATACTTCAATTGCGTATTCATCATTTTATAAAAAGCCATTTCACGCAAATTGAACGGTTTCGCCACGTGGCCATTGCATAATAGAATTCCAAAATGTCCGCCTACTTGGTGTCGAAAAGCAGTTAATTCCATCTATCTGCAAAAAAATTGGCTGAAACTGTGATTTTTGGTAAGAAAACCAAGAAAAATGACGATTTTCGGGTCAAAAATCAGGGTTGAATGCAGTGAGGCGGATGGAAAAGAAAAAACGAAATCAATTCGGCGAATAAAGTGAACGAACAAAAAATAAGAATGAATATTGCATTTTTTGTAATTTAACATGAGCAATACAATTTTCAACTGTACCGTAGATACACAGGAAGTTTAATATGAGCAATGGAATTTTTCAATTAGCTGAAGAAGCTTATAAAGTTTGAAATAAGTAATTCAATTTTCGAAGACGGATAGGGGATTTTCTGCGATATATAATTTTTGGAACTAAAATTACACCCTATGAAAATTGAGGGTTTTAACGCCAAAAACCATATATTTTCGGGTCCCAAGAAACAACTCATTAAAACGTCTCAAAATTGCTCTTTTGGAAAAAAATAATTGCTTGTTCCTTTTTTTTGAAATGACATCACTTTGAATAATTTGTTCGTGAAGAAATTCAAAATGTTCTCAGAACAAAAAAAAACGCAGTTCAAAGCAAAAACACCTCGATTTGGACAAAAAACCGAAAAACAAGCTTATTTTGCCTATTTATTTGCTTTTTTCTTTTTCTCGAGACAAATCAGGCGCGAAAAAAAGCAGAAAAACGAAAACAAAAACAAAACAAGAAATTTTCGGGCTAAAATATGCGATTTCCTTGGGAAGAAAAAATGTACCTAACTGAATAAATGTCTATGAAAATCGAAAATGAGACAAAACATCCAAGTACAAATGTACTTGTGGAAAACGAAGAGAGAGAGAGAGTTTAGAGAAGCAGACGGAAAGAAGTGTGAGTGTGTGGGAAAAAGTGGGCGGAGATAATTTTTTGATAATTTTTTTTGAAACAGCTGATTTTTTTTCGAAAAAAAATGATTTGCGTCAAAAAACTTCTAATGAAAAAAAAAACATTTTTTGTGAAATTTTGAGCGAAAAACTTGAAAATAGATCATTTCTAATAACATTATGGTGGGAAAAAGTAAAATTTCAGTACTGAAAAGATTGCTCATATTACCCCAAAAACAAAAATGGGGGACTAACATGAGCAATTATTATATTTTTCCTAAAAATTAATAGAATTGTACAGGGTGACAACAAATTATAGCGACAAATTCCACTAACTCTGGTGACTGTCGTACTTAACCGATCTCTATGAAAATTTTTTTGAGACTTTCCTGACTATCCAGGACCACGCAGAAAAAATATCAAGAGTTCTCGGAAGGTTCACAATATTTTTTTTGACCCTTGAAGAGTTATGAAAAATATTTCCGTACTCGCTAGATACTTTGTTCAACAAAAATTTTCCCTGGCTGATAAATTTCATATTTATTGCTCAAAATAGTTTTTCTAGATCATAATACACATTGTTTCACAGTTATAACAATTCCTGATGTTCAAATGGGTAATCCACCGGGGTTCAATTATCATGAATTTTCGGAATTTTGTGAATTTTCAAATCAAGTCAAAATTAAAAAATGTCCCAATAATTTTTTTTCAACGATGTTAATGTTTCAAATTGTTCCAAAGGTGTTTAGTGAAGGTTCTTATATCACGAATACAATTTTCAAACATAAATTTTGAAAGAAATGCAACTTTTCCAAAAATCATAATTTCTCGAAATTCATCATTTGACTATGATTATTCGTTAATTACTCTAATTAATGAAGAGGATTTATGCTCAAAATTTTTTTGACAATTTTTGATAGTATTCAGACTATTTGCAATCGTTCATACTTATAAATATTGGAATTGTTTCCCCAGATTTCAATTTTATCGAAAAATGAAATTGTGATACTCGCAAGTGGTGGTTCAATATAACCACATTTAAACAATTCTGAAAGTCGGGTAGCTGTAATAATATTTGTGCTGAACCTTCCCCAATACTTACTTTACCTAAACTAAAAATTATAGTTATGAAATATTACTTACAGACATGAAACAATTAGCCGATAAAATATCGAAAATTTAAAAAATCGTCAAAAGCGAAATTTTGAAAACCATCGTTTTCCAACTTTGTGAAACTTGTTGTGTTCATAATCAAAAACAAGTCAGTATACTAATTAGGAACTTTAAAATGATGGTTTTTGAGAAAATTTGAGCATTGAAATCATAAAAAATTTCTGCGTGATTACTGTCAGATCAGCATATACTTTTGTCGCTATAATTTGTTGTCACCCTGTATACTTTTCACAAAAATATTTGTTCAACTTTTCAATAAAAAAGGGAATGTTTGGTATTGTTCAGGTTAGTTCAACGTTGACTTTTAAAACTAGCGTTACTGTAGTGCAAAACTTGCTCAAAGAATCCACGTCACTCAAATTTTCCACGTTAAAAATCCCAAGAGGTTTTCTTCTCTATTTTTGACTTGCTCAAAAATTTGGTTTTTTCTCTCTCAACAAACTTTTTTAGAAAGAGAAAACTTCCTTGTTCTCAGAATTCCCCCGAATTTTTTTTTTGTTTTTTTTTCAACAAACGAAAAAAACAAGCGGAAAAACGAATCCTATTAGCATAATTCTTCTAAGAAAAACAAAATGAAAAAGAAAATAGGAGTCTAGTTTTTACACAAAAAATAAAAAGAAAACAGATAAAATGTTTGTTGTTGTTTTTTAGTTGTTTACTTGAGAAAACATTGAGCTGGTCAAGTTTTTTGGAAACTGGGAAAATAAGAGAAAATTGGTATTTTTAAAGAAAATTTCCAGTCTTGTTAAGAAGAATTTTCCAGAAAAAAAATAATAAAAGGAAAAAAAATTCCTTTAAAAATCATTTTCAGCACCCCGTAAAAACTTATCAAAAATGCATTGAAAAAACTTGAAGACACCGAAAATCTTCTCATTAATTTTTGTATGAATCCTTCTTCATTTTTTGTCTCCAAAAAAATGAAAACAACCGGATTATAGAATTTCTGCAGAAAAAATATTATCTGAAAAAAATGGGAAAAGAAAAAAGTTCCGTGTCAGAATTAATCATCATTTTTTGGTCATAAGGTGTTCGGAAAAAAGTTCTGAACATCAAAAATTGGAGAATTTTTTATTACTCACGCCAGCTCTAATTTCAAAGGAATACACAGTAATTTACAACTTGGAAAATTAATATAATACAGTAGTATTTTGAAAATTTGTAGAAAAAAATATTATTGCTCAGATTAAGACATTTTTCAAATGAACATCCCCAGTTCTTTTTGTTTTTTCAGAAGAATCTCAAAAACCCTCATCATTTTTTTGTTGAAAACCCTTGAACGTGAACAGATTTCCTAGCTATTTTTAGCGAAAAAACATGATGAAAAAATCTCAAGACTTTTTTCTGAATCGGAAATATTCAAGGATTTTTCTGAAAAAAATTGGAATTTATTTACAATTAGAAATTTTCTAGAAATATTTAGACATTTCAGGAATTTGTCAGTGCAGATGAAAAAGGGCTTGAAATGCTGGACGTATTCTGCAATATAGGTCTCGAGAATCCAAAAATAAGAAGAACTTAGCCTAAACCCAGAAAAAATCACTTGAAAAACTTTTCAAAAATTTGAAAAATGAATCAAAAGTGTTGATTGTGAGAAAAATTTCCAAAAAAATATTTTGAAAAAATCCTAGAATTCAACAACTTTGCCAAACTTCCCGAAATTTCGCGGAAAAATCAATAAAAAAATAATTCCACTAGACATACACATCATGTCGTATTGACTAGCACAAAAATCATCGTGTTCAAACAAATATGACATCAGGAAGACCAAAACCGGTTCCAAGTTAAGCCTAACATAAGTCTAAGCCTAGAAAAAATGGATAAGCCTAAAAGAGAAGTGATTTTAACACCAGTGAAAAAAAAACGTGTGGAAAAAGGGGGAAAAGAAGAAGAAGAAATAGTAGCAGCTGAGAGAAGAAGTGAGAGAGTGCAGAGAGTTGAGAGAAAAAGAGCGCGAGCTGAGCAAGAAGAGAAATATTCTATTATATTGCCCAAAAGCCTTCTTCTATTTTTTTCTTGCTCCTGCTTCTCCCCTCTTTTTCTCTACTCTACTTATTTTCTCGATTTTTTTGTGTGGCTCAATTTTTTGTGCATTTTTTCTGCTGACGACTACAAATTTTGTACCCGGAGGATTTCTGGCTCCAAAAATTTAGCTTCAAAAAATGGCGGCCATACGATCGGGGCTCGTCGACATTTTTGTGCAGGGACAATGGCATCGAGTGCTGGCCACACTTGATCCCACAGCTATTACACTGCAGGTTGGTGAGATTTTTTGGGTGATCTAGAAGATTTGGGTGATTTTTCATGGATACTTAGGGAATGTTTGAGTTGCGGAGAACTGTTCAAAAAATCCACGTGGCATATTTTTTTTAAATTGTATTCCCAAATGAGCTTTCATACCCTTAGGTTTGAGAGAGACCTAGTAACTTGAGACTCGCGAAATTAGGAGGTTGATCAGATTCCGAAATTCATGAATTATTCTGATGTCCCAGAAGATAACCGATCGAACTTTAAAACCCGCCCCGTTATCTATAATTTTTTTGAAACGTATTTTTTTCCGTGCGCAGAAATGTAATCGAGCGTGTGACTTTCCGGCGCCAAAAAGGGCTTTCCAAGGAGAAAAATTGGCTAATTATTGTGCTATCATACTCAAGGATCTTATTGTTAGTTAACGCTTATTAACTCATGCTAAAAATTTCCTATTGTTAATAACACTTTTGAATTAAAAAATCCAGACATCTTATAACTCTCAGTACTCGTCAAAATTCCAGAAATTTTTCAAAAAATTAATCCAGTCTTTCTCAAAAATTGTACTAATTTTCTCCCCAAAAAACTATTTTGCTAACTACATTTTCCTTCGAATTTCTCTCATTTTCTTTCCAATTTTCGCCATGTGCATAGTATTTCTATCGGGTTTGTTACACAAAATTTGGACTATTCGATTTAGCGGCGGCTCCGAATCAAATTTTGATGGCTCACAATCGTCAGACAAAAACTCTGAACAAACTTCCGAGCAGGTTCGATTTTTTTTGTCTCAAAAAAAAAAACAAAAAAAGGAGCAGAATTATTTTGGAGAAGCTTCTTCTTTTTGTTTTTTTTTTCCAAAAAAGTAGTTTTTTGGCTGAGAAAAATTGATGGAAATTCGAGAGCATTCGCGCTCTAATGAGAAATTTGAGAAGCATTTTTGGCGCCGGAAAATCACACTTAAAATCTGCCCACGGAAAAATGTATGAATAATGGATCGGGTTCTAGAACTTTTAGGCTTCGGAAAACACCTAACAGAATTTAAGAAGCTCCTAACTAAGCCTTAATCGTAGGGGTACCTCTTAAGGATTACAGGGTGTTTGTTTCTAATGAGAACAATGTTTCTAGTGAGAATTTTAAAAATCTCCAGAAATTCATGATTGTTTTCTTGAAGTTAGGAAGAAGATCTTCAATTTCAACTGAAACTTCGGATTTTTCCGATTTTTCGACAAAAACATCGTTAAACTCAAGTTGAGCCCATGTTGATATAATCGGTCAAATTAGCCATTTATAGGAGTGAAAAACAATTGTGGTACAGAAATAATAAATATTGAGTGGAAAAAATCATATTTTTCGACAAAAGCTAAAAAAAACTCAATTTTATTTTTTGAAAATTTCGAAAAGTAGGTTCACTTTAACCTCCCGGCTACGAGTCTACAGTAATGCTGTTACTTTGTCCGTTTTAAACTAACGAAATAAACCCGTCAAAAAGGGTTTTCGAAAGTTACTTTCGGGAAAAGACCAATTCCAAAAATAAAGGATCTCATTGAACGAAAAAAATCGTGCGTGCAACAGTGACCCTCCACTGGCACACTTGAGCTGGTGGCAATGGTGTGAAGGTTGAAATGAGGTATTATTTATGTTCAAATCTTGTCATAACCACGTTCGGCTATGTTTGTGTCAAAAAATATTGAGTTTTGATCTTTTGCCTTTCCCGGGGTGGGCTGTGCAAGTTGTAACACTATTTATGAAACACCCTGTAGATATAACTGCGAAATGCCTCAAGATTATGAAAAAAGATGAAATACAATTAGATGACGACTTATAGGCAGGATATTAAAACCTTAAGACAACTAAAATTAAAAACTAGAGGCACTTAAGCTTCTCCCCCACCCTTAACAATCTCAATATTTTTAGACCATGGAACAAAACGAGATCGAAGCAGAAAAACGAACAGTTCGAGTAGTGAAAATATGATGGAAATGGTCTAGGAATTTCAATAAAAGGAGGTCGAGACAACAATATGCCAATAATAATCAGCAAAATCTTCAAAGGAATGGCAGCCGATCAAACTGGCGAACTATTTTTGGGTGATGTAATTGTATCAGTGAACGGGGAAAGTCTATTAGACGCATCACACGATGAAGCTGTTCGAGCACTGAAAAGAGCTGGAAGAGTTGTTGATCTACAAGTTCAGTATCGACGGGAAGATCTGATGCATCGGGAGAATATTGTTGAAAATGTTGAGTGGGATGATGATGTGCGGGAGCGGGTAAGGACTATTGGATTGAAATTGGCGTATGTGGCGAGAGCGGGAATTGATGCGGATGCGGAAAGCCGGATTTTGGAGATGAGGAGTCCGTCGGGTAAGTTCAGAGGAAGGGAAGGGACTAGGCTAGACTCTAGTTAAGGCTTAGTTAGTACCGTAGTCCAACCAACTGTAAACTACAACACTCAACAATTCTACTTATATTCAAGGTCGTTATTCTCTTGCAATCCGATGCTCAACTGCTGAAGAAGCCGATGGTTGGTTCGAAGCTCTTCATGCTTGCACAACATGCCTTCTAACACAAGCACTAGCTCAGGTTAACATAATGCTAGGAGGAAATCCCCAAATCCGACACATGGGTTGGATTGCTGAACAGATATCCGAAGAAGGAATGACGATGTGGAAACCACGATTTATGACATTGACGAATAGTGAAATATTGTTCTATGAAGCTGTGCCGCAATTGAAAGCAGAGTGGGCGGAGCCACGATTGGCGAGGCCTTTGGTGGCGACGAGGGTGGTACAGACGAGTTCGAGATCAGCACCGGTTATCAAGGGTTAGTTCCGAAGTAGGCTGCTATATGCCGAATTTCAACTATTTCAGGTCTAACCGATGTAATCTCCTTCCGCATGCGTACTGGCACACAACAAGGTGTTCGAACTCATACAATTCGCGTCGAAACACACGCCGAACTCGCTCGTTGGGTTCGAGCCATTGTAATTGGGGGATACGAAGCGTGTCTTGCCACGTCACAAGTCTCCGCCCCTTGCTTATGGCGAGGCGAATCATGTGAGATGATTATTAATTTGGATAATGGAGTGTCGTTGTTGTCGACGACGGGAGAGGTAGGCTTTTTATTGGTTTCGCCACGTGACATTACTCTTAAGGCACCAAGCTCCAAAAGAATAGATTTGTTATCTAAATATTATGGATTAAAATGATGAATCCTCGTTTCGTAGTCATTCCGAATTCCCCGATTTTTCAAATCTAGCTCAATTTTATGGATAAGAATGATGAATCGTACGATACCTTTTTAAATTAACTCACAGGCTTTGCAACATTTCAAAAAATAGTGCAGAAAAAAAATGCGACAATCCAAACATTTTGAAAAATAAGAAATGAGCAAAATATCTCACGTCAAATCATTTAAGCTCAAATCTAGGGCACAAAAGTATGTCAAGCGGACAGACAGACCACCGTTTGATATATAAGAAAGAAGAAAGATTTTTTTATCCAAAACCTGGTTTTGGTGGCCTAGAAACGTTCATAGATCAAAGTGTCTGGAATCTGAGTATTTGGTCTAAATCCCCCCCCCCCCCCAATTAACCTCAAAAATAAACATTTAAAAAAATTTCAAGGTACTGTGGCAACATTCGTTCGAAACGATTCGGGCAACCGGCGACGACGGTGGTCGATTTTTATGGCTCGATTTCGGACCGCCGACCGGTGAACAGGTAAAAATTCAGCAAAAAATTCAATTTTTCATGAAAAACAACAAAATCAACAATTTTTAAATTCAAGGAACTCGATCTTCTCAACTCGGCCAAACCCGTTGTTTTCATTTTGCACTCATTTTTGGCGACAAAAGTGTATCGATTGGGATTGTATGCATAGAATGAAAAATATTTGAAAAATTTTTTTGAATTTGGTGAGTTTGAAGTTGAGAAAATGAGTGATCTCTAGTTAAACGAGCGAAAAAATATCATTTTGAAACAATTTTGACGGCGAAAACGATAAAAAGAAAATTAATTTTTGAACAACAATATAACAAGTAAAAAAGAGCAAACCGAAAAAAGATAAACTTTCGGGTGATTACGTCATCGGTGCACCGTAAGCATCAGGCATACGTTCGATGGAAAATCGATGATTCACAATGTACATAATTGGAACGCCAGGAATTTTTCGAATTCTTCTTTTGAGATCACGATCGCAAGTGGCTACAATGTAGCATTTGTGCTGAAAAATTTAGAATTCCAGATTGTGAATATTTTTATGTTTTTTGTGGCCGAAAATTTATAAAAATTGAAATTTTTCAGATCACACGGAACAAAAAACTTGCCAAGCAATAATATGCCAAAATTGTTATAGTTTGTAATTAATTTAGATTTGAATAAAGATATTTTTAATAAATTTTTGGTAATAATTCACGATATCCAGATCGATCATTGAGGAATCCAAAAAGGATCAAAATTATCGTCTTGAACTATTTTTTTTTCCATATTTTCAGATTTCTTACCTGTGTAACTCTTTGCACCAAACAGTCATCAGCATACGTTCCCTTGTGTTCACAAGCCAATCGTTTGACACGTGGATCTTTCAAAACTTTCAGTGCAATTTTGAATTTTCGCACTTTTTCCAACTCGGCCATCACGCAGTCGGTAGCATACGGAATCGCTGAAAAATTGAACTTATTCTAGAAATGAAAAAAAAATCACGTAAAAACAATTTCCCCGTGACATTAAAAATGAAGTTTAGCGTGGCATAATTTCAGTGTCATTTTTATACGTTTCTATTCTGGAAAAAACCTCTCACTTTTGGCAAAAAGACAATCCATAAATCCCTGGAACATATCGATTCGATTCTTCACCGCAAAATTCACGAAATTCGTATCGATCAACACGTGAAATGGTGGGCCCAACTGGGTGTTGTAACGCATAAACATTGCCGATGAGATTTTCGGCGCATGAACCAATTTGAGCGCTTGCTCGTCTTCTTTAGGCGTGCGGATCACACGATTTTCCTCTTTTCTGCAAAACGTGATGTTTTTTCGCTGAAACCCTAGCCTGACTTACATTCGGTTGTCTGTTTTCTTAACAAGTTTGTTGACTGCACTTTTTCGCGCGTTAGACTTCAATCGTTTCGCCATTTTAACCCTGTAAACTTTAAAAAATGACGGGGGAAAAAGAGAAAATACTCAGAGAAGTTGGACGATTAATCGCCTAGTAACTTGAATTAGCTGCTGGCTGACCGATTAATCGCCTGTGTTAATTTAGTTCAGGCGATTAATCGTAAATTCAATTTACTCGGCGATTAATCGTACAACTTGTCTGAGTAAAAGTAATTTTTGTGGTGTGTAAACACTACCACGCATAAATGCACATAATGCATTTTAATTGACGAGCAGCGTTTTTAATTTTCTGTTTTTTTAGCGAGTTTTTCAGTTTCTTCACTTATTTCCCTTGAAAACCTTTGAAATTTGCAGGTTAAAATGAGTAAACCAAAACAAAAAGAGAAACCGAATCAGCGAAAAATGGCGTTTCGCCAAGAAGCTACCGATGCTCTTCTACAACTTGAAAATGATTCACAAGTGACATTTGAAAAAGCAATGGAAGTAGCAAAACTCGATTGTAGACAGTGTAAATTGCACGATATATCACACAATGCAAAGTAAGTTAATCTTCAGATTGTGGAAAAAATTCAAATGACTTTCAGGCACCAAAACTGTCGTGACAATCCATTTTGCATAAATCGTTTGGGATTGGAGAAATTCGAAAAACTGATAAATTTGGAAGTACAAAATCGCGAAGACGCGCGTATCAATCAAAAACGTCGTGATTTAAATGATCAACCTTCTGGCTTGGTGAACAATGGCAATTTTTGCTATGTCAATAGTTTTTTGCAAGTCTGGTTCAGTGTTATTGAATTTCGACAGATTATTTATGATTTTCGACCATCCCGAGATTATATTGCGTGAGTTTCGGCTTATAAATGTAATAAACATACTGCGATTTTTAGACCCGAATTGCCGAGAATGAATGTGGAACGAGTTATGATGGCGTTGCAGGATTTGTTCTTTACTATGCAAACTACACCATTTGTGAGTTGATTTTTGGGTAAAAATAGTGGAAATGAAAAATTTATCTGCAACCTAAAATTATATTTTTCAGAATTTTTTTCATGTTAAAAGTCCCAATTTCCATCCCAAAACCTTCGTTAATTATTTCAGATGGATACGGACAAAAACGATACTTTAATCCGTGAACTTCGCCTAAATCAAGAACAACAAGATGCTCAAGAATTCGCTCTTATGTTATTCGATGCTTTAGATCGAAATCTTCAACTTCATCCAAATGGAAATCCGATTCGAGAGCGAATTAAGAATTTATATATGGGTTCGACGTGTTCGAGAATTTTTTGCGAATGTGGAATGTCGAGTGAAAGATTGGAAGTTTCGACCTCATTGCAATTAAATATTGATGGACATGCCACACTTTTGGATGCTTTGAGTGCTAATTTTGGAGTCGAAAAGTGAGTATTTTGAAAAAGAATATAGAATTTTTAACAAAAAACTGATAAAAATCCAAAATCCTTGATATTTTTGCAGACTCGACGATTATAAATGTAGCGAATGTGGACAAAAAGGACGTGTTTCTAGAATGAGCGATTATGCTGAATTGCCACCTGTTGTTATAATTCAATTGAATCGATATAAATACACATCGTAAGTCAATTCTGGAGCCATTTTTTTTTTATTTAATTTCTTTTTTTTGCTCAAAATTGACCATTTTCAGTTCGTTCAGCCTAAGATGGAGCCTGAAATCACATTTTTCTTTCTATAATTCCAATGTTTTTTTTAGGAAAGGTCGTCAGAAGTTGAAAACCACTTTGGCCTATCCGCGCGAAATTTCGGCTAGAATTTTCAAGCAAAGTTCCACGGATGTTTATGAGCTTTTTGCTGTGACAATTCACGAGGGAAATAATGCGGAATGTGGACATTATTATGATTTGATTAAATCGCCGTTGAATCAAAAATGGTATCGATATAATGATGCGGTAAGACTTATTTTCACGGAAAACGATGAATTCTGGATATCTAAAATCATTCTAATTTTTCTCTGATTTCAGACAGTCGAAGCTCTTCAAAAACCACCAGGAACCGAAAAACCAACAACAGAAATCAATGCAAAAGCAAAACGAGCGAAAAACGAAAAAGTTTTGACAGATCAAAAAAGCTTGCTATGGATTACTGTATCGAAAAAAGGATCGAAATTTGCCGATTTCACAGCCAAAATTGCCACCAGAAGAAATAATTCAAGAATCGAAAAGAAAGATTGAGGAAATGTTTGAGGGACAAACAAAAAGTAAAATTGAAAAATCGGAAAAAAGATTGTATGATTTGCAAAGAAGAGTCGAGAAATTGAAGAATAATTTTAGTAAATTAGAGGTAAGGAGAAAAATCGGAGAAAATAATCTAGAAATTCTGTAAAATTGGCTAATTTGAGTTTTCCCCAACCAATTTTTTTCAGACACACGAAGGTAAATTCCAACATCCGAACGAGATTGCATTTCTTCCAACAAGCCTTATTTCGAACATTTTGGAAGGCGAATTCGAAATTGCGAAAGGCAATAAAAACACTGGAAAAAAATCAACAAATCCACCCGAAAATTTGGAAAAATCGCAGGAAGAAAATGAGGAAACACAGGCTGAAAATACGGAAATTCCAATTGAAAATCCGGAAAACATTCCTCCACCTGTTGAAAATTTGGATATTTTGGCGATTGCAATGACTTCTTCCGAATTGTTGCCGAATTTACCCGAAAATGAGGAAAGAAGAAAAACGCGAGCTCAAAATGGAATCACAAAATCAGTTTATGGACATTCGGGAAGTTCGAAAAGCCCCAGAAAGGAGAAATTGATCAAATTACCCATTTCGAGCCAGGTAGGACTTTGAGCTGAAATTAAGGCTGGAGACGTGAAAATTTGACCAAAAATTAGTTTTTAAACTAAACTAATAAATATTTGACATTTTTCCCTCAAAAATGCCATATAATTTTCAGGTTAGCAATCTTTTGGATTCACACGAAATGCCAATTTGTGGTCATGGAAAAATGTCGATTGAATCGATTTTATTCGGAGATGTAAAAGCAGTGAGTAGAGCACCGGCAATTTCTTTGCTTCGAGAATATGATTATCGAGCAAAAATGGTTTTTGATGATGGAAGAAGAGAATATCCGCAACCTGAAAAAGAGAAGGAGGTTTTTGTGTTTACTGCGTGAGTTTTTTGGGTTATTTTGGTGGGGAAATAGGGTGTTTAGACTGAAAATGAGAAAATATTCTAATTTCAAACCCATAAATCCAACAATTGTGAGCCAAACTGCATTAAAAAATCAGAAAATTCTGAATTTTGTTCTGAAAAACATTTTCACAAAGATAAAAAACGTTTTGATTCTTAGCTCGAAGTTCTCTCTGAAATCGAATGTTTCCTCCTAAATTCCATATTTTCAGCGAAGATATTTGTATGGATTGTGTTTTGGAAATGAGAATCGAAGGAATATTCAATGATCGATTAGAAGACGACGATAGATTAGCTCGAAAAATCTTGAAAGAGGAAAAGTTGCGATGCTCTGTCAAATGTCCACTTCCAAAACCAGATGATTATTTTTATGTGGCCAAAGTTGCTTTAATGAACTTCAAGAAAATGGCGAATAATGAACGGCAATTCAAATTGAATCGAGTTTTGACAAAAGGCGGAACATTGTTTTTTGATTCGGTGCAAAGTGTGAGGGATTTTTAGGGTTTCTTGATGGGAACATTTCATGAAAAATTGGTGTGGGAGTTTTTTATATTCAATTTTTTGCAGCAAAAACAAGACCCTGGCTTCGCAGATGTTTGTACAAATTTGAAAAGACTTCGCTGGAAAACTTCTTCTTTTTCTTCTTCGAATAGAAAATCCGAAGGAATTCCACCAGAAAAAATGGCAAAATTGGATAGCAGTTTTTTGGAACCTGAAGATTTGGGAAGTTTGGAAATGGAATCGACGAGTTCGAACTCGAATTTAATTTCGAATTTAAATTTGGTGCCAAATGTTGTGCAAATGGCTGTGGCTGAAGATCAGACTCGGCCATCTTCGAGATCAACACCGGCTTCGAATATGGTTAGCCAACCAGTGGAATTTAATGGAGAGTTGAGATGTGCACATGGTGAGCGGTTTTTTCGGAGGGATTTTTAGGATTAAAACGTTGGGGTTTCAAAGGAAAAATCACAATTTTTCGCAATTTCAAAAAACTCGCAGAATTTTTTTAAATTTCCATTTCATGTTTGGAGTTTCATTCTTTCTATTAAAATTAACAAAAACTCACATTTTTTTGGAAATTTTCAACCAAAATATAATCTTATTCAAAAAGTTCAAAATTCTAGGCGGTATTAACTACAATCAATTCCGTCACGCTGTTTCACCTGAAGAATGGCAACGCCTTATTCATTATTTCGATGATAATTTCGAAGTTCATTGCAATGATCAAGTATGTGATTTGTGTCAACAACAAGAAGAAGATGCACAAAATGGCTCGTTAAATATGCGAATTTTGGTGAGAGAAATGAGAAAACGCCTGACAGACACGTTGAAAAATATCGATTTGCGAGAAGAAAATCCGGAAATTTCGGAAGTCTCTTTGGAATTCGGAATATGCAGTGTGTTTTTGGATAAGTTACGCAAACTTACTCAACGAAATGCCACGTCACCACCGCATATTTGCCAAAATTGTTTGCTTTGTCCCGAACATTCTAGACCTTTTAAAGGTTTTCAAAGTCTTATGCCCGAAAAAAAAGACGCGTATATTGTTGGATTAACAGCGGAAGAATGGCATACAATTACGCAGGAGATTCAGAAATTGGAAGAAGTTGAAGGAAAAACGAATAGCGATACACCGCATGTTATTTTGATTACTTCATCTAGAAATTCGGAAGGAAGTTTGGAAGAAGATCGAGAAGAAAGATCAGTGGTTGATCTTTGTCATGTTTGCTATGAGCAAAATATTCGAAGAATTGAAGAGATGAAATATCAGTTTGAGAATGAGTTGGTTTATGTGAAATTGGTTCAACCGGTGAGTTACGATGCTCCGCGTTTACATATCGAAATTTCGATAGTTTCTGAAGAGCAGAAATGATGAAATTTTTAGCCGAAAATTTTGAAACAACGATGCTTCGGATTTACGCATCGAAATTTTATGTTTAAGATTTAAAAAAACATCCGCTAAATTTCGAAAAGAAAAATTGCAGAATGATGATTGTGCCGAAACGACTAAAAATCGTGGAGCCGCGAAATCTACCAGAAGAAGGAAAGATATTATTGGAGTTAAGGTAATCGAACCTTAATTTAACCCTAAAATTACTCTAACCTCTGTTTATTTTACAGCTTTCCTCATCTTCTCGATTGTTGGACTTGAAAATTGCATTGTATGACAAATGTTATCAATCACCAACCGATCAATTATTATACCGTGCAGTTGGTGGCGAATTATTGGATGCCACGTGTCACGAAAAAACTTTGTATGAATTGAAATTGTTGCCAAATAATAATGACAATGTGAGCTTTTTTTAAAGTTGAAATGGGGGAATTTTGTTAATCAGTCCTGTAAATTGAAAATAATCTGAAAACTTTTGAACTATTTTCTGGAATGAAATAATAGAATTTCAAAATATTCTGTGAGATTTAGGCTAAATCCAGTTTTTTTCAGCCACTCATTTTAATGGCAAACACCAACGCGGCTATTCATTCAACACTTCCCGAAGACACAAATTCGGATCGCGCTCCAGAACGTGGATTCGTCGATACAGCATTGGCCCACTAAATCTAAAAGGCCTATTCTTTTGAACATATACACTGGCTTTCAAAGCCGCCCACTATTTATGGTTTTTTACGGGAACTCTTAATTATTGTATTTCTTGGTACGGTTAGATATTATTTAAGGCCTATTTTTCTTTGTGTGTGTTATTTTTTTGTTTGATGATCTCTGGCATGATGAAAAATTGATTTATTTTGATCGAGAATGAGATTTTTTGGAATCTGAAATCGCCTGATAATATCCCGTGTGATATCCACTCATATACCAACTCATTAACATTGAACTCAACGCTTCGGTTTCATCGGGAGCCACCATATTTAATAATCCCGGCGGTGGTGGAGGGGCTAGGATTGGAAGTTTTGAATGGGTTGAAGACGATTGATGATGATGATGTTTTTCTGGAAAATTCGGATGAAGTTCTCAACATTTTTCAGATTTTTTAGTCAGAAATAGACTAACTTTTAGAAGAGGAGTTTTTGACGGGTTTCGGTGATTCCATAACAACATCAGTTTCAGCACCATCCGTTTCTTCGGTTTCCACGATTTCGTTTTCGCTGAAAATATTTTTTTCGAATTTATTTATTTATGAAAAAACTACGTGGATTGTAATTTTTGAGCGCGATTTTTCTGATTTTTTTTATATATTCAAAAAAAACCTGGAAAAAAACTAACTCCCATAAATCCTGTATTTTTACCAATTCCTGATTTCCATATCCATCAAAAGTCACTTTTGCCTCTTTTTGATTTTCGGAAATCCAATCAATTATTGCCGGAAAATATTCGATTTCTTCTTCTGATTGTTCCGCCGATTCTCGATATGGAGCCATACATTTTGAGCCAATTTTCCACTGCAAAAATGAAGAATTTGAGCGTTTTCTATTTTTGTTTTTTTTCATGAAAAATCGAAATTTTTTAAACATTTTTTTGTTCTGTGAAACTTTGAATTTTTCACAAAATCTCAAATTTTTCAATTTTTCAGAAAATATAACCTACAGTGTATTTTTTGCCATCCGATGTTGTGTATTCGGCTGAAGTTTGTGATTTTTGCACTTTTTTCTGCAAAACAAATTTTTTTTTTCATTGGGCGACTAAACTGAAAATTTGAAATGAGGATTAAGGCTCAAAATTGGAAATTTTCCTGAAAAACTAGATTTCAAACTCATGTTTTCAGATTTTCTCGAGTCTAACTCAAACTAAGGCTTATTTTGATCTAGATTTTCTGAGTATTGGTTCTTGTTTTTCCGACTTTTTCAAGGTTTCATACCAAAAATTAAAATTTTTCAACAAAACTTACATAAGTCGAGCTAATCGATTCCTCATACATCTTAATCAGTTCCGTATCATCCCAAACATCCTCGTTTTTCGAGAAAATTTCAGCCATTGTTTTCTGAAAAATCTGAAAATTTTGCTGAAAATCATTTAAAAAAATATGCGGGAATTATCGAAAAATCCAATCTTTCAACAAATGAGGAAAAAACGGTAATATTTTATTTACAAAAAAAAACATTCTAAAAATTAAAATTAGGAAATCGAAGAGAGCGCAGAAATTATGGTGTTTGTGAAATTAAAATGTTTGGCGCCAAAATTAGCATATGACGCGAATTTCGAAAAATTTACAAATTTTTGATTGGGTCATTCTCTTTTTTGATCGAATATGTCAAATAGGCGTAAAATCCGGTCCAGATTGCATAAGGAATCAAGAGAAGACCGGCCTTTTTGTCAATCTGCAAACAAATATTGGAGTTTGATTAGGATTCTCGATAAGCCTTCAAACTCACGTTATAAAAAGTGTAGGCGGCTCCAGCGGCAGTCAAACTGACCAAGGCAGTATTTTTCCAGAGCTGCAAAAATTCTGAATTTTCAAACACAAAACTTGAGATTTTCAAGCTTCCGGACTAAAATTTCATAATTTTTCCAAAACTTCAACTAAAAAAACTCACACATCCCAATTCCTTCTTCTTAATAATTGGAATTGTGGCCAATGCCACCAAAATATTGGCACCATACAATCCCAAAGCCAATCGTGTATCATTGTAGTCAAAACCGCCACCATTTTTATAGACCAAATACGAGGCGTAGCCTAATGGTGACATTGTCAATAAATCAATGGCCGAATAAATTCGAACATCTTTTGGAGCCCATTCGGGTTTTTTGACAGCCTGCAATTGATTTTTTCAGTGAAAAATTGTTGATTTTTACGTAAAAATCATGATTTTTTGGGGTTAAACGAGAATTTCGAAACATAGTTCGCTAGAGCGTATTTTCTCTTTTGGAATCACTTTTTAAAATCCATAGTTTTCATAACTTAAGTAAGTACTTACCGACCACCAATCAGTGGAAACTTGATCTTTGGCGAAAACCAAAAAAGCAGTGGTCGCAGCTCCGGCTGGAATCAAAGTGGAGAAAATGGCGTTGCGAGTGTCCTGAAAATAAAATCAGGCGGGTTTTTGGTGCTAAAATCTTTCCCTGGAAATCTTGAACACTTCATTAATATGCTTCAATTTTTAAATCTTCTGAAAAGTTTTAGGCACAAATTATTCAAAGCCAATCGAGTAGTTTTTCAGTTTTCTAGCAAAAATTTCTCAATTTCTCATGCAAAGTCCGAATTTTTTCATTTGGTTTTCTATAGCAGTGCCATTTTTATGAAAAATTATATATTCCGTCAGATTTTCGCATCATTTTGAATTTCAAGAATTCAATTCGAATTTTCCATTTTTTCAAGTTTCCCAGTCCAAATGTCAAGAAAATTCAAACTCCCTTCAAAAAGCTTACTTGAGTTGTCCAAAATGGCATTGTTTCGTAGGGTCTCAAACGACAGTGATGTTTATCGACGAGTTCTGCAAACTTTCTTTTTTTTTGTTGAATAATCGTAAGACCGCGCAAAAAAATCAAACTAAAAAGTCACACAAACAACGAAAAAACACGAAAAAGTGGGAAATTGAGAACATCTCGGAGGCTAGAGAGCAGGTGGAAATAAGAGAGTGCAGAGAAAAAGTGCGAGACGCCGGCGGTCAATAGAAAATGTGGTAAACAACTAAAAAAATAGAGAAACGAGCAGAAGCGGGGCAAAAAAAAAACAGAAAAATGGAGAAAAAATCGATGAAAATGTTGCGAAAAATTGTGTATGTAGTTTGGTTTAAAAAAAGTAGTTTTCTGGCGGGAAATATGAACTTTATATAATTTTCGCGGGATGGATATTTTTTATTTAAAAAAAATGATGAAACATTTATTTTTTCAAGTAAAAAAAGGGAATTTGAGATTTTTTCTTGGAACATTTTAGAGTTTTTCAGATTGTATCAATATGTTCAGGGAGTTTAAAGGAACCTAAACTTTTACAATTGAAAATTATACATTTTCAGTGCTTGAAGATTTTTAGGAATTTTCTGAGTATATAAAACTTAAAATTTCAGTGATTTTTGTTAGTTCAAATATTAGAGAAAAATCTCATATTTTTAGTAAAAATGTTCAAAAACATCAATCATTATCCAGATGCTAAAAATTTCAAAATATCTAGTTTTTTTCTCAAAAAAATTCACCTTGAATCGCTTCTTTTACTTCTGGAACTGTATGTGGAATATGTTCATGCCGCCATTCGCGATTCAAAAATCCGTTGACCATAACTTTCAGTCGTAGTAAAACTAGTTTTCAAGTAGTTAGCAGCAGAGGCAAAGATAAAAAGTATCAAAACAAAAAACACATAAAAAAGCAGAAGAAAATCAATAAAAAGCGGTAAACAAGTATCAAAAGATGCTACTTTTCAAAAATAAAATTTCTAGGCCTATTTAAAATCTATAGGTTTTATTAATATAACTAGGCACAGAAAAAACAACAACTAAATATAACAAATACAGGGTTTGGCGAAGTTTCTCTATAATAAAAGAAACCTCTAACTTACTCGTCTCTGTTTTTGTATATATAAAACACAGTGCTATTCTACAGAAGAAAAAAGGGCAACTAGATATATCACAATAAAACATGAAAATCACGAGGGGCAAAAAATCAGGGGGGGGGGAAATAGCACAGAGGCTTAAAAATTGTACAAGAAGGAAAAGGGGACACAGGAGGAAAATAATAGAAAAACAGGTATTTTTAAGGGTAGAAAAAGGGTGCAATAGATAGCCTAGTTGATGCTTTAGTCTGTTGGTGGCGATTTACGCGGTGTCAATGCGAGAACGACTTTTGGTTGATCACGGAAACTGCTGCGCTGAAAAAATGAGGGAATATAATAATCATTTGGAAAATTGGAAAATTTCTCTAACTTTTTGAATAGTTTTAAAATGTTTTTTTTACAAAAGTTGATTTTGTACAAATTCCATGATTTTTTAAACGAAATGACGAATTTTCACGACCTTGGACCCGAAATTAGCGAATTTTCGATAAAAATCTATTCCTAACCAGGAAAATTCGGAAATCATTCTTTGAAACAAGCCAGAAGAAAACAACTCACTCTCGAAAAGCGCTTATCCGGACTAACACTCGAGCTAGAACTTGTCAAATCGTTTTGTGAAACCGGAGAACTGAATCCCGAATCAGTGGATTTCAATGGATTCTCAGGTGTCGAAACAATAGGCGATGCAGAAGTCGGCGGCGAATTGATACTCGCGAAAATGGCGTCTCTCGCCTGTTTACAAGTATCCGCGTTTTGCCCAACAACTTCAACAGCAATCATTCCAAAATGTGGCAAACAATCGGTTCGAACAGTGATCAAAACATTGTGCAGAATTTCAATCTGCTTTTTAACGATTGCACGATTTCCGAGAATTCTGCCAACATCTTCGTTGGAAATCCAGACCAAAAGTTTCTCGAGACTTGTTGCAGAAGGAGAAATTGAATTGTTATTGATTTCTGGCGGCGGAGTTGCAACTGAGTTAGCCGTCAGATTAGAATTTGAGCGAAAAATCCCCGAATACGGATTTTCAGACAGAAACATGACCTGATTGTCCAAGTCATCGAATTGTGCGACAGATGGAGGTGTCGGTGACAGTATGGCGTTTGGTTCAGGCTGGAAAAGTATCGGATTACAAAAAGGGAAGGTGAAAAGAAAATGTGTTAGGGAAAATACCTGGAACATATTGTCGTATGAATCTTGCGGTGTCAAAACTTCTAATGCGTTGTATGAATTATTGCCAATTCCTGTAATTGGAAAATTGAAAATGGAGGATTTTCGCTATCGAGTGTTTTGGCTATTTCGGAGAAAAATCAAATTTTAAAGCATCGAATAAGAATATATCAAACAACCGAGAAAAATTAGACTTTCTCTTGATTTTTAAAACGCCCATTTTTTGACTTTAAAAAATATAATCAAATTTGGGACCGTGAATATTTGTGAAGTGAAGAGACATTTTAAAATAAGATGAAAATGTATCTTATTTGAAAAAAGTTTAGAAGTTTTGATCTGTTAAATTTTTACAAAGAGATCATCTTATATCTATGAGAATTCACCATAATTCGATCGTTGAGTCCTCCGGGGAAACGGTATTTCGAGTTCGAGAGGTCCGAAATGATCCGTCAAAATTTCGATCATTACATCACGCGCCATCGCCACAGTCATCTCGGTTCCGAAAATATCTACCTTGCCATCGCTATGATTCGCAAGAATATCCGAACATCTCGAACGCCGCCGTATATCAGCCGAAAACAACATGACAACAGATGTGTAGGCTCGTGGAAGAATTGTTTGGCAAATATGCGAGCAAGAGGCATTGAGAGCAGCCTGGCGTATCATCCTGTAAACAAAAAAAGGTTGCTTTTCAGGTGAACATTCTTTTCTAGATTACATTTGAACTTCTCGCTTTTGCCACATTTCTCGAAGAATCATCTCGACTTTCTGCACATCGACTGGCATTGTACCAAGCGGAACAATCGATAAATTGTCGTTGAGAATGCAGATTCGGCATTGATTTTGGTCTTCGAGAGCTGTCACGATTGCGCAACCTTCTGGTTCTGAAGAAAAGATGGTTTTTGTGAGTTTGCACAAAAAGAATACTTGCCTGATATGAAGGATTTGAATTTTTGGGGCACATACGATGGTTGAACCGACATTTACGGTCTGAAAAATGGGAGATTGATAAAGGATCGAACTAGGGAAGAAAATGAGAATAAATTAGAGAATTTTCCAGACTCCTTAGTAAGTATAATACTGTAATGTCTTCTTAAAAACATGGAAACATACATATGTAGCTGAAACCAATCAATAGTTCTCCATTTTCTTCTGTAAAATTCAAAAACATAAAAACACCAAGAAACACTTTTTTCCCAAAATTCCAAATTAAGTTAATCAATATTTACATATTTCCCTTTCCATACTTTTTAAACTCCGAAAATCTTAAGAAACCCCGGAAATCCCCTCAAAAACAAGAAAGTCATTTTTTTATCAAGTTGCACTTAAAAATTCGAATTTATCACTGTGAAATCAATCAATATTTCTTTATTTTTTCCTCCCCGAATTTTAGAAACCTCGAGAAAACCCAAATTCCTACGATAAGATGGCGGAAACGCGAGAAAACAGAAAAATCCTAAAATTTTGGCGCGAGAGCCGAACAGTCCGAGATTTGGTTTTCTAGGCCAGTCAGCCGTCAACGCGTAGTGTTGTTTGAACATTGCGCGATTTCGAAAAATTTTCCGAAGGTTTCCTTCTCGTTTTTTCTTGTTTTAACAGCCCTCAATCACGACATCGTTATTATTTTTTGTTCTGCCAACTATTACTAAATATTTCAAGTGTATGTGCCAAAAATGTGTATGTCCAATTATGAGCTGTGACCACGCCCAGTTTCCACCCGAAAATCCCGCCTCTTTTCGCAAATGACTACTAAATTAGGAGCGCCTGGTGGCCCTCAACAAATACACATTTTTCTTGAAATCTGTGGTTTTCAGCTTTTTTCAGTTTTGATTTTTTTTTTTAATTTTTCCGAAAAAACAATAAAAGTTTCAGGCGGAAAATGTATGCTTCGAAACGACGTCAGCGAAATTTTAAAAGGTATTTAATTTTGAAGAAAACGTGTTAAATTAGTTGTTGAAATTAGAGATGGAAAAACGGGCGTTAGGGCCGCCCTATCGCCTCATTTCTGAACGCCCTACTTGCCCGGACGCCCGATCGCCGCAAGCATTCCGGGCTCCTCGCCCGATCACCCGACCGCCCGATCGCCCTCAAAAAATCAGGACTGATTTTTGTTCTGAAAAAATATGCGTCGACACATATTCACGTGAAAAAACGAGCCATTTCAATTTTTAGGCGGCTAGCGGGCGATCGGGCGTTCGGTCGATGAGGCGAACGGGCGAATGGGCAAGCAGGTAAAAAAGGCGATGCCAAAAAAATTAGGTCACGTTTTCACGTTAGCGGGGCCCACTTTTCCATCCCTAGTTGAAATTCAGATTGAAATTATTGATTTTTCTTTGAAGATGCCACATGGATTCGTGTGACGATTTGTTTGGGTAGAAAATTTGAAAATCTTGAAATGCGTAAAGTTTTCTAAAATTTACGGGACTTCAACGTGGCATTTTGCTCTCAAAATTAGACAATTTTCGCGGTTGTTTTCTTACTTTACATTTCGTATCTTTTAGATTCAGAAAGAAAAAAACCCGGATTTTTAATTTAAAAAAATGTCAGAAACAAGACCTAGAAAATCAAATACAAGATCTTTATGCCCTAGAAATCTGAAATCACCCCGAATGAAAAAATTTCACCGAGAAACCCAGAAAATGTTTTTCCTGCCCGAAAAACCGAAAAAGTATGACCGAGAAAACTTTTGAAAAAAAAATTCTGGAGTGTTAGAAAAACAGAAAGTCAATTTTGATGATCATATAAACATGAGCTAGAAACCCAATAACTCACCTCTAAGCCCAAATTGTTGTACTGAATATTCGCCAACATCGAATTCTCGAAAAACCACACGAAAACTGATGATGGTTTTTCTCATCTCTTTGGGGCGTGCCTTCACATTTTCCCCCTCAAAAAATGTGCGTGAGACACGGAACTGTGCGTGTGCGTGAGGTGTTTCTCTACCCAGCTCTCCACAATTTCACACACTATTTCCACCGTCTCGCATGTCTGTCTCTCTCATTTTTCCGCACTATTTTCCTCGATCTACACATAGTCAGTCAGTTTCGTGACAGACAACAAAATGGCCGAACGACACGCGAATCTGCGGGCTCAGTCAGTCGAAAAAAATTTGATGATGATGTTTTTTGTGACTAATTTTGAATTTTTGTTAGAATTCGCCACGTGGATTGTTTGGAACAAAAATTTAGAAAAAGGTTTTCTGGCGTGAAATTTATGAAAATTTAGAATTTAATTTTACGCGGCAAACTTGATTAGCAATCCAGGAACTGTAGATAAATAGATCAGAGATCCACAGTATCTGGAATCCGAATACTGTAGTTCAGTACCTGGATGTCAATTTCGGAATCTAGAGTATTTGTCGATAGTCTACAGAAATGAGGAAATAGATTTTCTCTAATAATTTTTCCGAATCAATACATTTTGAAATGATTATTTTTTTTTCGTTCACGTAAACGTGATGACAATTGATTAAATTTTCCATTTTATTTTTTTAGGTCATGTCTACAAAATTTAATTTTTATATTTAAATATATGCCTAAATACTGTAGAAAATCTAGAGTTCCAATTAAAAACAATTTAAAATTCCTCTCCTCAAAAACCATATGGTTCAAGATTTCTCGTTCCTCAAATTTTATTTTATTCACGAGACAAAAATTAATTGCTCACCCCATCTCTTCTCAAGAATTTTTAAACACACCATATTTTAAACGTTGTCCAAAAACAAATGTAACAGGTGCACTTTGTTTTTCTCCTATTTTTCTCATCATCAAGAAAATCATAAAATATCTAATTCCAGGGTTTTTTTTGTGTTCCGAAAATGAGTGTAAAACCCATAAACCTACACTTTTTCTGGAGCTCATTTTCGTGCCATAATTAGGTGTTCGAGCACTTTTTCAATGGAAAATGTGCATTTCTTTTGACACCTGAAGCATATAAGGAAAATTATGAAGGGGAGATTTTTGGAAGGGGTAAAGTTTGAAGAATGTTCCTTTAAAATTAAAAGTTACTAAAATTCTTACAGTAAACTTTCATGAAATAAAATATCACTTTTTTCTCAGACACTGTATTCTTTTAAATTTTCTGGGTTACTGTAGATCACTTGAACATTTTGGATTATTATGAAGTACTGTAGTTTTTCACTCACAAAGAATTACTGAAATTATTTTGAAAACGTTTAAATACAATTAAATCCACGTGAAACAAAAAAAACCACAGAAAATATTCCAAAATAATTTTATTTCTCATTTTTCTAGAGTTCGCGATCCACCAAAATCTCTCACCACAACAAATCCATCAAAAAGACATCGGGAAAGGTAATTTTCGTTCTAAATTTCCAGGTTTTCAACTCAAAATTAATTTCAGGTTAAATGGCGAGCTGGAAACGGTGGCAATGCTTTTGCCTTATGATGGTTCCACCATAAGTCGACTAGATAAATTGTCAGTTTTGCGGTTGGCTGTCAGTTTTTTGCAATGCAAGGCACATTTTCAAGGTAGAGTGTTTTTGGGGAAAATTTTGTGTTTTAGAGTTTGGCTAGCACACATTACGAACGAAACGAATTTTGCTCGACAAAAGGTTTGAGAACTGAAATTTCACATCAAAAGATTTTGATGAACCTAGAATAATTTTTATAGCACAACATTTTATATTGCTCATGTTAGAAAAATCACTGACGCATCTTCTATTTATCAAAGCTACAGTATTTCAGCATTGCTTATATTAACATACACCTCAATTTTCGCGCACCCCAAATATTTTCCCACCCTCTTCACCCATCAAACATAAGGTGGCAATTAATTTTTCACTCATAGACCCTCAATCATCTTTTTCCCTTTTTTTTCATGGATAAATTTTTTTCGGGAGAAGGATACTGTAGTTCAAAAATTTAGCGGGTCATCAAGAGAATCATCTCATATTCTTTATATTCTTGATGATTTGAAATTCTTGTCTTCTCTCTTCGTTTTCGAAATATGTATCAAAATAAGAAAGCTGCTAACAGATGTAAGGAAAATGATGGAGAGAGTGTAGGGATTTGAGAGATTACTAGAGAAAAATAGGGAGAAGGATGAAGAGTACGGTAGGATGAGAAGAAAAAAGATAAATTATATTGGTTTTTCGGGATGAAAAAAAGGAAGACTTGATGAAGAGGGACTTTTTAGAGAGGGATTTTTGGACTAAAATATGAAAAGAAAAAAAAATTGTACAATACTTGGGAAATGTTTCTTTTTTTCAGAAAATACGGTATTTCTATAGATTTCGTATAAGAAATGCTTCATGAATTTTTTTTAATAAAAAAAAACAACCTTTGTGACAAAATTAATACAATTTCAAGTTTTGAATTTCAAATATTGACAGAAAAACCTTATGTGTGGAACTTCAACGTGACAAATTTGAATATCACTTTTCAAATCTTCACAGAAATGCAAAAAAAGAAAAAAATAGCAAAAAAAAAATGAGAAAAACAGTTAAATAGATGATTATAAAAAATAAAATGAACAAAAATAGAGAATAGATGAGAGAGTGTGGAAAAGGGAGAGATAGTTATTAGCCTTTTACCAATCGGTGCACCTCGCTCTATCGCACTCGCCATGGAAGAGAAAAGTTTTTTTTCGCGTCCTAGGATCCGACACACTCGGCCATCTTTTTGTTTTTGTTTTTCTTTTTTTTCAAAACGGTTTTCGTTTGCATTTGAACTCGTGCGCTTTTTTTGGCGCGTCGCGTGCGATGCGGAGCGTGTTTGTTCGATGGAGCGAGGTGCACCGACGTATGAAAGGCTAATAGTGAGAGGAAGGAAACGAATATTCAAACTGTTGTTTTTTTTTGTGGAAGGAGTTTATTGATCGGTTCAAAAGATTAACGATGATTAATTTGTACTTGAGTTTTTTTTCATATCTAAAAAGCTAAAATTTTTAAGAACATTCTGTGACACTTCTTTTTTATCTGTCTAAATCTTTTTTAAAATTTAATTTTCCGATTGGAAATGGCCAAAATGAGCAATGCTATTGTTTCTTTCAAATCTCTTAGAATTCAAACAATTTTTTTTCAGCATGTATGCAAAACTTCCACCATCCGTCACCCGGTTTCCCACTATCCACTCATTTCTACACCTACACACCACAACATCCAACACCGTATTCGAATAAAGTTCCAACGATTTTTGATCCACGGATTGGAGCTCCGATGTTGGATCATGATGAATCAAATTTCGAGGATATTGCATTGAGAGTGAGTTTTTCGATGTTTAAAAGTCAAATTATTCAAAAACGCGAGTCGCGAGTAAGACTTCGCTTTAAAATGACTCAAAAACTTTCCAGGCTCTCGGAGGATTCATCCTAATTCTGAATGACAACGGAGAAATTTATTATGCATCAGAAAATGTCGAAAATTTTCTGGGTTTTCATCAGTCTGATGTTTTGCACCAACCAATTTATGATTTGATTCATTCGGAAGATCGAGATGATATTCGACAACAACTTGATGTCAATTTCCAATTGACTAATGCACCCATTGATCCGTTTCAACCGCGTGAGTTTGAGCGATAACCTTAAATTTTGAAACCAAATTCTTCTTTCAGAAAATGCCAAATATCTTGAGCGCAATGTGAATGCGCGATTCCGCTGCCTCCTAGATAACACATGCGGATTTCTCAGAATTGATATGCGCGGAAAACTCATCTCTCTACATGGCCTTCCAACTTCGTATATTTTGGGACGAACAAATCCGGGACCGGTTTTAGGAATGATTTGTATTTGCACTCCGTTTGTTCCACCTTCAACCAGTGAAATGACATCGGAAGATTTGATTTTGAAGACAAAACATCAATTGGATGGAACTATTATTTCAATGGATCATAAGTAAGAAAACATATATTTTTTGTGGAAACAAAATGCGACGTGGAATTTTTTGCAGAGTTTATGAAATGCTCGAACTCACCGAACACGATATGCCAATGTCAATGTATCAAGTAATCCACGCAGAAGATGCGATTTGTATGGCTGAAGCTCATAAAGAAGTTATCAAAAATGGATCATCTGGTCTTCTGGTTTATCGAATGGTGTCGAAAAAAAGCAGAAAAGTGTATTTTGTTCAAAGTTCGTGTCGATTATTTTATAAAAATAGTAAAGGCGAAACAATTGGTTTGACACATCGATTATTGAAGTGAGGTTTTTGGGAATTTTTTAATTCGGAAAATTGGGAAAATTTATCTTTTCTGTACTGTTTTTTTAATCTGTAATTTTTCAGCGAAGTTGAAGGAACTATGTTGCTCGAAAAACGTAGCTCATTGAAAGCGAAACTTTTATCATTTGATGACTCATTTTTACAATCGCCTCGAAATTTACAATCTACAGCTGCACTGCCTTTACCTCCAATGATGAAAGATGATGAGGAACCGGGGTGAGACATTTATGAGTTCACGTTGTCTATTTGTCAAAAACTGTTGAAAATCATTGTTTTTTGGCAAAACTCATTAAAAATTTATTTTTTTCCTGCATTGCTTATATTAATCTCATTGTTTTACAGAGTTGAATCGCAACATCCAACAACATCTGCATTGCCTGCCACCTCGCAAACAGTGATCCATAGACCTCGTAGAACATCAAAAGAAGATCATGTTGTATTGCATCCACCTCCTCCCCAAGTTCCTCCAGCACCTCATTTCGAAATACCAATATTTGATGGATCATATGGAGCACCGTGGGTTGCACCCGAGATGACTGGTTATTATCCACATCCTTCTACCACTTACATGCCGATTGAAGAATTCCCGACGCATTGGATGAATCAGGGTGCAGAGATATTTACAAATCAGCCACCAATTCAACCACCACAAGTTCCGGTTAGTTTGGGTTTTCAAGATTCATTGAAATGGTTTTACAGAATGATGATTATGTTTTATTAGAACTTTAAAAGTTTCTCAAGTTATTTATTTTATTTTATTTTATTTTATTTTATCTTTTTATTATTTTATTTTACTATATATCAGATCTTCAATTCTTCAAATCAATTTGATTATTCCAACAATTTCCACCATCACATTCATCATCAAAAACCGGAAGGTTTTAATTTGATATCTGAAGTCACTAATTTACTAGGTCAATAAACTTGTCATATTTTTAAAGACCGAGGAAAATCAGGAAAAATTCAGGGAAAATTCAGGAACACATTATGCTAATCAAAAGCTTTATTTTCGATATACAGCAGGTTTTTTTTCTAAGTTCAGGAACACCTCTAGGCTCTCGAGGCGTGGACGACAACTCTGCGGAGTTTGCGACGATAAGAGCCGGTTGCTGGGGCGGATGCAGCAGCTGCTCCTCCTGAATATCCTCCAGCGGCTGGTGCTGGAGGTGGAGCTGGTGGTGGAGCAGAAGCAGCTGCACCTCCTGAATATCCTCCTGCAGCGGGTGCTGGCGGTGGAGCAGAAGCGGCTGCACCTCCTCCCGAATATCCTCCTGCAGCTGGTGCTGGAGCTGGTGCTGGAGCTGGAGCTGGCGGTGGAGCAGAAGCAGCTGCACCTCCTGAATATCCTCCAGCGGCTGGAGCAGAAGCGGCTGCACCTCCTCCCGAATATCCTCCTGCAGCGGGTGCTGGAGCTGGAGCTGGTGGTGGAGCAGAAGCAGCTGCACCTCCTGAATATCCTCCAGCGGCTGGGGCAGCAGCTGCAGAATCTCCTGCACCTCCCGAATATCCTCCAGAATCTCCGCCTCCTCCTCCAATTGGTGCTGCATCGTATCCTCCTCCACCTCCTCCTTGAGTTCTTGGTGGACATGGGCAATAAGCGGCATCAGCTCCTGGTGATCCATCAGTTCCTGGTCCTCCTGGAGTTCCTGGTCCTCCCGGTTGTCCATCGTTTCCTGGCGGGCCTGGAGGCCCTGGTGGTCCAGCTGGCGATGGTTGAGCATATCCAGTTTCTCCAGCAGGTCCTGGCGGTCCTGGTGGCCCAGCTGGTCCTGGAGGTCCTGGTTGATTGGTACTCTTTGTTCCAGCTTGCCCTGGTGCTCCATCTTGCCCTGGTGCTCCTGGGTTTCCATCTGGCCCTGGAGGTCCAGGTGGCCCATCTGGCCCAGGTGCCGCATATCCAGCAGCTTCTCCATCTGGTCCTGGTGGTCCCGCTGGTCCGGCAGGTCCAGCATTTCCGTCAGGCCCTGGAGGACCTGGTGGTCCGGCTGGACAGGTAATGCAATTTCCAGCAGCTCCTGGGTAACTATCAGCAGCTCCACTTCCTCCAGCAGCTCCATCTTCTCCGGCAGTTCCAGCTTCTCCTGGCTCTCCTGGTTGTCCAGGTGGCCCTGGTGGACCAGCCGGACATCCAGAAAGCTTGAGCTGCACAATTACATTGCCCTCCACCTCCTCCTCCACCTGCCGCAGGCGCAGCAGCTCCAGCAGCAGCATAACCACCACCTCCAGCGGAATATTGTCTTTTCACACGTCCAAAGAGTCCTTCAAAGGCAAGTCGCTCGCTGGGCGATTCAACACGTCGTGCAACCATCATTTGAGACCAAGCGTCATTGGCTTTGAGCTAAACAAAAAATAGTTGAGTAGGATGTCAATTTTCGTAGAAAAAACGGGTTTACCTTAAAATCGCTCATCTCACTGCCAAACTCTTTTTCAAAGTTTTGCAAGTCGGCCAAAATCGACGCAAGGCTCACAATAGTTCCAGCAACAAGTAGCGCCGCAACGGCAGTTCCGCTAGACAACGCAAAATACGTTGCACTCGACATTTCAGGTCGATTTAAAATAAAAGTACTATTTCACACTTCTGCTCTTCTTTTATACTTATTTCATAAAATCTTATCTGATTTTTCATTTCATACGGTTATCTATTTTCATGAATTCTAAATCAAAACAAACCAGTTCATATATAATTTTATTGTGAAAAAGATGAGAAGAAAAACAACATTGCCGTTCCTTTGTTTTTACAACTTTCACTGCGAAAAATATCGAGGAAATGCAGTGAAACGTGTGCTAATTAACATGTTTTGATAGTGAATGATAACTGGTATGAGGGAAATTGAAATTAGTTTGGAGAAAGTATAAAAGTGGTGGTTTGGTTGAGGGAAAATCATTCTACAAATCGCGGCTTTCTCTTTGGTTTCACATTGAGAGTGAGTTTTTTCCAGTGAAAAATATCATTTTGAATACTTTAATTTTGAGATGTCGTCGAACACGGCCTTCTACGCTCTTACTGGAGCAACTGGGCTCGCTGCAGTTATTGTAACTGGAGTTGTTTTCTCTTACCTCTCGATCTTGGGAGACCTTCAACAATTCGAAAATGAATTCACCCATGATATGACCAACTTCCGAACCAAAGCCAATGATGCTTGGTCGCAAATGATGACAGCAAGACGAATCGAATCACCATCTGAAAGATCAGCATTTGAAGGATTGTTCAGACGTGCTAAGAGACAATACGCTTCAGGAGGTGGAGGTGGGGGAGGATATGCAGCACCAGCAGGAGGTGGTGGAGGTGGAGGACAATGCAACTGTGGAGCTCAAGCTTCTGGATGTCCTGCTGGACCACCAGGGCCACCTGGACAACCAGGAGAGCCAGGAGAGCCAGGAACTGCTGGAGAAGATGGAGCCGCAGGAGGTGGCGGACAAGCCGAGTCTTATGCTGGAGCTGCTGGAAACTGTATCACTTGCCCAGCTGGGCCACCAGGGCCACCAGGACCAGATGGAAACCCAGGATCTCCAGGGCCAGACGGACCAGCTGGACCAGACGGAGATGCAGGAGGAAGTCCACCCCCAGGACCACCCGGACCACCTGGACCACCAGGACCTGACGGAAATCCAGGACAACCTGGACAAGATGGACAACCTGGAGCACCAGGAACTCGCTCAACCAACAGCCCAGGACAACCAGGACCAGCTGGGCCACCAGGACCGCCAGGACCCCCAGGAACAGATGGACAAGGAGGACCTTCGCCAGCTGGCCCACCAGGCCCTCCAGGTCCACCAGGAAACGATGGACAACCAGGAGGACCAGGATCTCCAGGAGGACCAGGAACTGACGGAGGACCAGGAACTGATGCTGCATATTGCCCATGTCCACCAAGAACTCAAGGAGGAGGTGGAGGTGGATATGATGCTGGAGCTGCCGGAGGAAGCGGCGGTGGATATTCAGGAGGAGCTGCTGCTTCCGCACCAGCCCCATCTTCTGGAGGTTATTCTGGAGGTGGAGCTGCCGCAGCTGCACCATCTGGAGGATATTCTGGTGGAGCACCCCCACCACCCCCACCACCCCCACCGGCTGCACCAGCTGGAGGATATTCTGGTGGAGCTCCCCCACCACCCCCACCAGCTGCACCAGCTGGTGGATATCCATCGGGAGGTGGAGGTGGAGGTTACCCATCAAAACGCCGTCTTGCTGTACAATAAATTTACGGTGATATTTGATGAAATAAATGATTTTCTAGAAAATATTTGTTTTTTGAAACAACAAAAGAGAACAAAAACAATTGAAATAATTGTTGTTTTTTTGTTTACACAGCTATATAGTCTGGTATAAAAGTCTGCTGAAATACATTTGCAACATCCAAACATAAAATGTCAATTAAATTCATTATTCTTTCTAGCTTTTTAGTATACCGTGCATTTGCTTGTGATTCAAGTGAATCAGAAGGACGTAAGTATTATCTGGTTTTCAGTTTTATCAAAACATATGTAAATATATATTTGCAGCATGTGATGGTAGTACATTAACTTGTTCAACACAAGTCTGTGATACTGCTGCTGGTCAATGTTGTCCTGCTACAAGTACAAGTACAACAACAGTATCAACTACAACAGCTTATAATTGTACTGATTTATTGAATCCAAGAACAGGAGTATCAGATTGTCCAGGATTATCATATCTTTGTAGTGATTCAACATATTACGATGTTATGACTGTCCAATGCCCAAAAACATGTGGAAGATGTTCATCATATAATTCATCGTGTTCTGATCGTGTAAATCCATCAACTGGTGTTTCTGATTGTCCAAGTCGTGCATATTTATGTAATGATTCAACATATTATGATGTTATGACTTATCAATGTCCATCAACATGTGGAAGATGTTCTTCCTCCAGTACTACTTCTAGTTCAACCTGTGTTGATTTATTGAATCCATCAACTGGAGTATCTGATTGTCCAAGTCGTGCTTATCTTTGCACAAATGCTGTCTATTATTCACTTATGACTGTTCAATGTCCAGTTACTTGTGGAAGATGTTAACATTTTTAAATACTAACAATTTCTTGAATTTTTTCATTTTTGTTACTTGATATCTTTACTTATAAATTATTGGGTTTTATTCGTTTCTGAACATATTTATAATTTTAGTCAATTGAATTCTTTTTGATGTCGCAAATATATCGGTGTCTCGATGGAAGCATGGAAGCAGCAAATTAAAAAATGTACCAAACCACCCTATTAATAATTTTTTCTGCGCTGAAAAAAACCACTCAAAAACCAGAAAAAAAAACAAAAAACAAAAATGTCGTGCAAAAAAAAATAAAAGAAAAACAACGATACTCCGCGTGCACGTTGTTTAGTTTATTTTGTTGTTTTTTTTGCAGGGTAGACGAGAGAGTGTGGGAAATGGGGAGAGAGTTAGAGAGAGAGAGAGAGAGATATGTGTTTTTTATTTGAAAAGACATTATTGATTGAACGTTTTTTTCTCGAACTGAATCATTTTTCTGGGTTTTTTTTCAGAGCAGAAAATGTTATTAATGGGGTTGTGATTTGGTACATTTTTTAATTTTCCTATTTTTTTCAGAGACAACAGTCACAGAATGCAGCGGTCCTATCAAATCCACAATTGTCTATTTCTTATGTAAGTTTAAGAATAGGCGAAAATTTTGAGAAAAAGAATGTCGAAGTTTCAGGCTTCCGAACAAGATGATGTTTGGTTTGGACAGGACATTCGAAGATATCAACAACTTTTCACGGAACGGGACAGTCAAGTTAGTTTATTTTGAGGTTTGGGGGGGGGTGGGGGAGGAACAAAACTAACAGGTGAGATTTGAGCTTTATGAAAAATATTGGGTAAAGTTTTTTATTCGTAATTACTATTGATGTTAAAGAAAAGTTGTTTATAAATTACTATGTTTAAATGATTAGATGAAGCTTTGAATTACACTTAAAGCTATAGGATCAGCTTCCAGATTTTATTGAAAAACAAACTGTGAAATGTTTTATAGGTAGATTAATTTTTTCATAGTTTTATGCACTCGATTTCCAGTTTGTTTTGAATTTATTTTTTTTCTTTTATTTATTTTTCTTTTATAATCTATGTCTCATTAAACTTATTGTTAACAATTTGTATTCCCAGGCGTCACTTTTTTAAAAGAAATCTTTTTTCTCACGTCAGCTTAGAATTAGCTGCGAAAAATAGGATTTTTTTCAAAATATAGAATTTAGGATTTTCTGTTATATATACATTTATTGAATCAAACGACTACATATAATAATAGTAAGAGGAAGAGAAGAGAGAATGACAAATTTTTCACACGTAGTGGATGACAATAAATAAAAGAAAGACCCGTTGGTCCAGAAAAGAGACAAAGTGGGCCATTTTGGAATGTGTATTAGAATAAATTGTGGGGAAGAAAGGGTGTTAGAAAGAGAAAAAAAAAGGATGAGGTGGGTAGTAAAATTAATATTTGGGGATGATATGTAATATAAATAATAATTAATTTATAGAGAGGGATTTTGATGGGATGTTGTAGAAGATAAAAGAAAAGAGAAAAAAATTAGAATGACTCAGACCTCGAAGTGAAAGAAAATTTGTGGTGGTTATCTAACCCTCCCACCACCATACCTGATGCAAACGCCTCCTTCCGTAAAAGGCCAATTGGTCAAATATGCGGACCAGGGCAAAATTGGTCAAAGGGACCAAGCATTTAGGAAGGCCTATGACGGCTTTACATAAAGGCAGGCAGTGACAGGAAAAGATAGTACCAGAATTATTCGGTTGGAAGTAGATTTGGTCGTCATGGTCATGCGAAGGAGAAAAAAGGTAAATATATACAGAAAATTTTTGAGTAGGGCCGAAATTTGAGGGGTTAGAGTCGGGTAGAAAGAAAGTAGCTGTTTGGTAGACTGCGGATGATGGATTTGAACTTTGGCAGGTCGATGTCACAGTTCAGGATTGTGGCTAGAGAATTCCAATGGGCCAATATGAAACTGAAGAATGATTTACTGAAACCTTTGTCAATAAGTTTGATTTTTAATGGTGAGCGTGGTGAGGAGAAGCTGGAAATATATATTGATTTATCTGGAAAGTGGATGAGATTCTTTATTATGGAGAAAAGTGTTAGAAGGCAAAATTCAAGACTGCGCCTTGAAGAAGTGATGTAATCAGCCTGTTCTAGGCGGTTATCAAAAGATGAATAACGAATGTTACATCTTCTGAAGATGTTCCTAGTAAACCTACGAATTGGCCGTTCCAACAGCATCTCTAATTTCTTCGTTATAAACGGTCTATACACACAGCAGCCATAATCAATAATTGGGGCAACATATGTTTTATAGATGAGCATATAAGGACGTATTTCTTTGAAGCAAAAACTTCTCAAAAATTTCACGGCATTTTGCCAATGCTTTTTGAACTGTAACATTGACATGGTGGTTGAAGTTTAGCTTTTCGTCGATAAAGATTCCCAGATCTTTGACAAATGGAACTGAGGGGATTTCTATTCCATTGATCCAGTATTTTTGCCTTTTATTCTTTTTGCCAAGATATAGAACCGATGTTTTTGATGGGGCAATGGGCATATCCCATTTCGCGGACCATGCCAAAATCCTATTCAAAGTTAATTGAGTTTTTCGGGATTACTGCTAGAGATTTTGACATCGTCCGCGAAAACGGTTGCCTCAACCTCATCATCCACTTCTTTCAGAACATCGTTGATGTAGATCAAAAATAGAAGGGGACCAGTTACAGTCCCTTGAAGAACACCTGAAGAAACCTTAAAATAATTAGGAGAGATATAATTATTGACTTTAACATGTGCGGTGCGGTTGTGAAGAAAGGCGGTGAAAAAATTAAGGAGATCATCGGGGATCCCGAATTTTTCCATTTTTCAAGAAGGTGCTTGTGAGGAACATTGTCAAAGGCTTTTTTGAAATCTATGTATATGACATCGATGGTATTGCCATTATCCAGCATTGATTTCCACTTGGTAATTGAACTGAGGAGAGCCGTGATACATGATCTCTTAGAAATGAAACCGTGTTGATTCGAAATGAATTTTCCATGGAAATTCATCCGGATACAGTAGTGGCCATAATTAAATCACTTTTTATCTTTTTTTGCTGTAAATAGGCTGAAACTTATCGAATGAGGTCCAAATTTTTTTCTGAGCTGTGTGGGGGTGCTATTGACGTTAGCCATAAGTGATATTCGAAAAATTTGGTCTGCAACAATTTTCAGATCATATTTACAGATTTTCATATATGTGAAAATTATCAACTTTTCACAAAATCACCGGATTTTTTTTATTCGGATGAAAAAACACAGAGATGTACTTTGAATAGGATAGTAGAGATCTCAAGCTATCGATTCCTGTCTCAACATTGCAATTTACTCGATTCTGAGATGTATTCCGATGATTTCAGTAAGATCATCCAGAAAATCCAATTTGGCTCAATTGTGCATTTTTCATGATATTTTATCGTTGGATTTTCATTAAAACATTCTAAATATGTGTTTTACATAATAATACATCAAATTTGAACTCAATCTGAAAGTTTTCGAACTGTTTTGACATTGATGGAATTCAGATGTTTGTCTTGATCTTTGATTATAGATCATCAATGACATCAATCAATGATCCAAATTGATGAATTTTGTGCCCAATGTATTCCAGAATACTTGCCACAAACAAGATTTGCTCCAAAAAAAGGTACAGTGGTCGTATTAGATCATTGAAAACAAAACAGCCTTTTTCATAGAAAAAACAATGGAAAAAACCATAGAATCCGAAACTTCTAATATTTTAATGTTTTACTTTTATGTTGAGATCCGAAACCTTCAAGTAACTTGTGAATTAGATATAGAAACATCTAGAGAATAGGATTCATCAATTTGGATCATTGATTGATGTCACTGATGGTCTATAATCAAAGATCAAGACAAACATCTGAATTCCATCAATGTCAAAACTGTTCGAAAACTTTCAGATTGAGTTCAAATTTGATGTATTATTATGTAAAACACATATTTAGAGTGTTTTAATGAAAATCCAACGATAAAATATCATGAAAAATGCACAATTGAGCCAAATTGGATTTTCTGGATGGTCTTACTGAAATCATCGGAATACATCTCAGAATCGAGTAAATTGCAATGTTGAGACAGGAATCGATAGCTTGAGATCTCTACTATCCTATTCAAAGTACATCTCTGTGTTTTTTCATCCGAATAAAAAATCCGGTGATTTTGTGAAAAGTTGATAATTTTCACATATATGAAAATCTGTAAATATGATCTGAAAATTGTTGCAGACCAAATTTTTCGAATATCACTTATGGCTAACGTCAATAGCACCCCCACACAGCTCAGAAAAAAATTTGGACCTCATTCGATAAGTTTCAGCCTATTTACAGCAAAAAGATAAAAAGTGATTTAATTATGGCCACTACTGTATATGAGGCAATAATCTTCTCGAGAGTTCTGCATATTGGGGAGGTTAAGGCTATCGGGCGATAGTTCTCCGGATCGTTAATTCTACCACGTTTGTGTATTGGAATTGTGATAGAAGATTTCCAATCGCTTGGAAATATGCATTCGTTGTAGACTTCGGTAAATATAATTGAAAGAGGAAGGGCTACTGAGACAGCACTTTTTTCAGAACAAAGAAATTGATGAAGTCTCCAGAAAATCCAATTTTTGGTTGTAACTTTTCCAATATAGCGCAAACTGCATAGGGTGGGAAATCAATCGATTTGGAGCGAAAACGGTTTTGGTTAGTAGATTGAACAATTTCCCCCGTACTCTTCATGTATTCGCCGAAAACTTTGACAAAGACATCTGCCATATCCTTATCCGATGTCAAGAGTGAGCCTTTGAAAACAACTGATTGTAGATGGGAGCGGTAGCTGAGTCTTTTTGAAATTTCTCTTTGAATTCGTTTATTGTTTCCGGATTGGGCGATGGCATTGTCCCGCTTTAGGTTATTCTTCCGGGCCAGAGACAGTAGCTTCCTTTTCAGCTTTGAAGTACGCAGTAACTTCGACTTGTTGTTAGAAGTTTTTGCAATTGCGCGGATTCTTTTCCTGATTCTTTTAAGTCTTCTCGAGATATTGCGTTTTTGGATAGTTTTTCGAATTGGGCAGTATTCTTGGATGATCATATTGAACGTTTTGATAAAGTAGTCGTACTTATCCTGGACACTTGACAAGTATGAGAAATGGTAGGTCCAATCGACTGATGACATAAGTTGGTTGATTTTTGTAAAATCGCCTCTTTTGAAATCAAGAACTAGCGAGGTTCTCTCTGTCATTGGGCAGTCGTTTGCTGACAGTTCGAATGTGATTGCTGTATGATCGGAATAAACAAAATCCTGACTAGGTCGAATATTGAGGACTTTCTCCGGGGAGTTCGAGAGTATTAAGTCAAGTAAGTTGGAGGTTCCCGAGTTCGCCACTCTAGTTGCGAAATTGACCAGTTGGTATATATTGTGATCAACACAGAGTGCCTGAAGTTCGATATAAGGGCTTTTCGACATAATCATTCGCCAATCGACGCCAGGCATGTTGAAGTCGCCAAGAATTAAATTGTGCCATTGCTGATGAATGTTGGAATTTAGTATATGGAAAAGATTGTTTGTGGATTGGTGCGGTGACTGTGGAGGTCTGTATGCTAACAGTAAGCGAGTGCGAAGTTTAGGACAGTCAAGAAAAAGAAGTTCGGAGAAATGTGTTGAGTATTGTGCGGTGATATCGAAAGAGGTTTCAGAAGTTGAAATAGAACTTTTGATATACGCTAGAACACCACCTCCCCTCTTTTTGGGATGGCAGGTAAGGCGATCTTGGCGAAATAGTGAGTAGCCGGCGAGGTTTAAAAGAGAATTAGAAATGTTATCTGACAGAAAGGTTTCCGTGAGGAAAACCATGTCATAATCAGAGTCAAGGATGAGATCATGTAAGAGTGTGATTTTGTGAATGGAGGACAGACCACGGACATTGGAGAGAATACATTTATATGGTTTACAATTAAAAAGGGATTGGTCAGTTGAACGAGTGGTTCCACCACTCTCTGGAAGATTCGAAGTTGATATTGGTAAGTGTGTGTGAGTGTCTGGAGTTGAGTGGGGAACCGCTGATTCTCATTGTTTATCAGATTCCGACTTGGACGAAGTGGGCTCCTCGATATCCATCTGATTATCAACATTGTCCTTGTTCAACAAATCCTTGGGTGTTTCCAATTCTTTGATTTCTAAATCACGAACATAGAATTTGAATTTTCCAAGCTCCTTATTTTTATCATATGCAGTTTTCCGGGCATGTCTCAGCACTGTAAGTTCATCAATTGTCATGTCACGGCGTACTCGCAAAGTTCTACCCTCAACTCCAGTGATTCCAAGTTCTTTGGTTGAGCTGCGAAATTTGGACAGGAATAGGTTTCTATCTTCGGTCTTGTTGAAGCATACTTTGAGTGGTCGGGATGTTAGATTTTCAGGTTTCGAAACTTTGACACGGAAGGTTCTTGTAGGAATAGTGATGGCGCTTGCTTTGCAAATTCTCTCGATGGTGCTGCTATCAGTTAAATCTTGGTCTGACCCTTTTGAGTCCGGAAAGTTTTCAACAACAGCAATAGTGGATTTATCGTTCAATTGTTGGATAGACTTCGAGATGGTCAGGGATGCTTGGACTCTAGCTGATGCAGCTTCCGGGGTAAGCTTTTTTGGACTTGTTACCAACCACTTCAGAGTATAACTGTGTTGGCGAATTTTGAGTTTTGTCGGCCTCCATCTTACTTGTGAAATCTAAAACCATAGATTTCAATTTCTTGTTCTCGTCTTGTAAGAGCTTGTTATCCATTTTAATATTCTCCATATTTTCTTCAATTTTTTTGACTTTGTTTTTAAGTTCATTAACCGTCTCGATTAACTCATCTGTGAGAGAGATGTCACCAAGATCATCATTTCCGCCAGTTCTGGTGCGCTTGGCACCACGCCCTCCACGTGAAGCACGTCTTGTAGAAACAGGTGATGACATGTATTGTCGTTTTTGATTTTTTGAGACAAAAAATCAATAAACAACGGACAAAACAACACCTAAACAAACAAACAACAAAAGGGGGAGAAAAAAAGAAACGCACTGCTATGTGCAAGAAAAAAAAAGCGAATGAGAAAAAAAAAGCGAATGAGAAAAAAAAAGCGAATGAGAAAATGTTTAACTTGGAGGATCTTCTGTTCAACTTAAAAAGGTAGATAAGGTTTTTTCTTTGTGAGGTTTTTTGAATTTTTGTGACATACTTTGTGACATAGTATTCATTTGTTGCTGCTATTTGTTCATCCCTGATTCTTTTAAAATTTTTAAACTTCAAATAATAATGACCAAAAAATAATTTATAAGTAAAGATATTGGAGTGAAACACAAACATTTGTTTTAAAATCGAAAAGTTATTAGTTGTTTGAAAATGTTAACATCTTCCACAAGTAACTGGACATTGAACAGTCATAAGTGAATAATAGACAGCATTTGTGCAAAGATAAGCACGACTTGGACAATCAGATACTCCAGTTGATGGATTCAATAAATCAACACAGGTTGAACTAGAAGTAGTACTCGAGGAAGAACATCTTCCACATGTTGATGGACATTGATAAGTCATAACATCATAATATGTTGAATCATTACATAAATATGCACGACTTGGACAATCAGAAACACCAGTTGATGGATTTACACGATCAGAACACGATGAATTATATGATGAACATCTTCCACATGTTTTTGGGCATTGGACAGTCATAACATCGTAATATGTTGAATCACTACAAAGATATGATAATCCTGGACAATCTGATACTCCTGTTCTTGGATTCAATAAATCAGTACAATTATAAGCTGTTGTAGTTGATACTGTTGTTGTACTTGTACTTGTAGCAGGACAACATTGACCAGCAGCAGTATCACAGACTTGTGTTAAACAAGTTAATGTACTACCATCACATGCTGCAAATATATATTTCTGTTTTGATAAAACTGAAAACCAGATAATACTTACGTCCTTCTGATTCACTTGAATCACAAGCAAATGCATGGTATACTAAAAAGCTAGAAAGAATAATGAATTTAATCGACATATTTGTTTCTGAATGTTGCAATTGTAATTTGGCAGTTTATATACCACACTTTTAAGCTGTTCAAACAAAAACAGTTGCTATTTCGATGTGTTTTTTATTCTCTTTTGTTGTTTTGCAAAATTTGCTCTGGATTCATTCAAAATCCACACCATTTCAATGTTTTTTGTTCCAATCACATAAATAGTTCTAAAGAATGAATGGATAAACATTGGTTCTATTTGGCTATAAAGCGATATATCGGATTGATAATTAACTTACACTTGTCTTTCAATTGAATATTTTATTTGGATGAGAAAGTACAGTCAGTAATTTATTTGAAAAGTCATGATCGAATCTCTTTTCAGTAGAATTTTCTCTGAAGTTTTGCAAGTAATATGTTTTTTTTTCAAATATAGTTTCATTTACAACCAAACCGAAATTATTATTGGATTGAACCCCAAACATGAACATATTGAATTCAAGTTACTTTCGGGGCTGACAACTTGATTCCCTTTTTTTTAAATTTTGTAATTTTTCATATACGAGATAGAATTGCCATAAATATATAATCCGAGAAATTTTCAAACTTGTACTTACTTCACTGACGTGATTAACAGAATTCCCGAATTCGCACGGCGCGCTTTCCTTCACGCGAGAAGCCGTCGAGAAAAAACATGGAAAAAGAAGCAGAAAAAAGGTCAGAGAAAGAGGAAACAACTCAGAAAAATGTCCGCACCATGCAACCGGCATGCGGTTTTTGGCACAAAATTTCAGGGTTTGCACGGATGCGGCACACATCCTGCAACCATTCAGCTAGGAAAAACATGGCTGGATGCTAGCGAAGTGTGTGCCGCACCCGTGCAAACTTTCTGAAATTTTTGTGCCAAAAACCGCATGCCGGTTGCATCGTGGCGGACATTTTTCTGAGAAGTGAAAAAATAATGGCGCAATAAGAATATTGTGTGCGATGGAGCGCGCTTTCTCTCCTCTCCTAAAAATTTCTCGACGGTCCGTTTGTTCAGGCGACGTAAAGAAAAACGCACCGTGCTCGTTAAGCAATTCACCGTTAACGGATTTGATGAAAGATTTACTACTCAAAAAATCTGATCATCTATAAAAATTGAATTCCAACAAAAAATACCAACATAAAACCAAACTTGTAAATTTGCTAACACCAAACTACAAACCCAAAAACATTCATCCAAGTCAAACTAAAGTATGTTTTGACTCTTATACTAATTACTCAGCGTTTGCGTACGTAGCTTAAACGTAGACGAACAGATGTCAGCCGCTGACATCAGTATTGGGAGAATATTAAAATATTGTATTACTTGGAGGTTCATTCTCCTACTTGAAAGACGACGCTTCATAACAAATTTTTTTTAATTTTAATTTTTTTCTAATTTTTCTCTCTTCTTTCTCCTTTTTTTCTCTTTGCACATTAGTTTAAGTTAGTAAGAATTGCGTCAATTCTTAGACTAAGCACAGAAGTTAATACTGAAGATATCCGTCTCTGATACCGTCAATCATAAAGATCGAAACGGTTGCGCGCTAGAATTCTCTCTCTTTTTACTCTGAATTCAGAATTATAATTTTCTTTCAATTTTGATCTTTGTTTTTAATAGTTGATATGGGAATATAGTCTAGAGCATTTCCGAAATAAAAAAGAGATAAAGAGGTCTATTTTCAGAGTTCATAATTGATATTTTGTGTTTTTGGAAAGAGTTCTAGTATTTATGAAATAATTCTTGTAATTTATATTTTTCAGTAAAATTATGAATATGTTTAGAAACGAATAAAACCCAATAATTTATAAGTAAAGATATCAAGTAACAAAAATGGAAAAAAATCAGGAAATTGTTAGTTGTTTGAAAATGTTAACATCTTCCACAAGTAACTGGACATTGAACAGTCATAAGTGAATAATAGACAGCATTTGTGCAAAGATAAGCACGACTTGGACAATCAGATACTCCAGTTGATGGATTCAATAAATCAACACAGGTTGAACTAGAAGTAGTACTGGAGGAAGAACATCTTCCACATGTTGATGGACATTGATAAGTCATAACATCATAATATGTTGAATCATTACATAAATATGCACGACTTGGACAATCAGAAACACCAGTTGATGGATTTACACGATCAGAACACGATGAATTATATGATGAACATCTTCCACATGTTTTTGGGCATTGGACAGTCATAACATCGTAATATGTTGAATCACTACAAAGATATGATAATCCTGGACAATCTGATACTCCTGTTCTTGGATTCAATAAATCAGTACAATTATAAGCTGTTGTAGTTGATACTGTTGTTGTACTTGTACTTGTAGCAGGACAACATTGACCAGCAGCAGTATCACAGACTTGTGTTAAACAAGTTAATGTACTACCATCACATGCTGCAAATATATATTTCTGTTTTGATAAAACTGAAAACCAGATAATACTTACGTCCTTCTGATTCACTTGAATCACAAGCAAATGCACGGTATACTAAAAAGCTAGAAAGAATAATGAATTTAATTGACATTTCAAAATGTTTCTATAAATGTAACACAATCTGAACCCTTTTATATTCTAGACTCTCAAGCTGTTTAAATAACTTTTGTTTTTTGTTCTCATTGTTATTTTTATTTTTATACACAAATTGTTTGTTGGCAATTGTTTATAGCATTCTAGTGTCCTGCATATCCATATAACTTGGTTGGCTGAAAATTACTGTTATTATGCAGTTCTCAAGAAAAACTCACTAAATCCCTCTAGGCCTGGATAATTTCTTATATATTTTAAAAATGAAGAATGCTAAAAATCCACTAATAATCAGTAATAGGAAGCCGAAGATGATAATAATATGATTGTTTTTAGCAACTTGATGGCTTGTAGATGTTATAGGTGGTGTAGAAGTTAGAACTTCAGCAGTGCTGACGGAAGTTGTAGATGTCGATGTAGATTTATATTCCAATGTAGATGTTGAAGCTAGAGTTGAAGTTGAAACTGCAATGGAACTCATAGATTTGGTAGAAACAGTCGATGTGGATATAGATGTTGTAGTTCCAGGCCCCTCAGACCGCACAGTAATATTATATCCAACATCATAAACTGTCACATCATCATCTGATTCAAAAATCATTAATGCATTATTTCCCGAACTTGAATACGAGATTCCGTGATGTTTTCTTGATAGAATTTCAATTAAATTTTCTTCAAATTCATCATCATAAATTCTCAATTCGTCATTGTCATCTAGTTCCAAATTATTGATATAGAACATTAGAGTAGCACTGAAAATTATATATTTCATTCAGAAGCTAAGGAAGATACGAGTTACTTTTCAACAGTTTCAAAATGCATTGTGCATGTCATATTTAGACAATAAGGTTCTGGATAATTGACACTGGTTAGGGTGATTTCGTTGTGAAAGGGAAGGAAGGTCTTCGAATGGTTTGGGCAGTCACAGTCTAGAAACATATTTTAAGACACGCTCAGGAAACTTCAGATTAAAGGGGGGGGTAAGACGACAAAATTTTTTTGTCGCAAAGTTAAAGGCACCCCAAAAGTAGTAAAACCTCCAAGGGATTTTTTCTGGAAACGTCCAGAAAAAATGTTCCATAAACTAGGTATACGTTGAAATTATTCCATAAACTTTCGGACAACGTATATACGTTGAAAAAAGTTCATGGAATATTTTTTTCGGACCTTTTTAGGCCTTTCGAGAAAAAATCCCCTGGGGCTTTTACTATTCAAAGAGGGCCCGATTCTTTGAGCAAAAAAATTTTGTCGTCTTACCCCTCCCCTTTAAAGTGTTCCACGTGGCTCATTTGCTCATCATGAAGAAAGACTTACTCAACGTGAAAATAAAATCATTTTCAATAATTATGAGATTCTCCTTCTTCCCTAGATGACTAATAAAAGACACTTCCATGAATTTCTCTTTGGCCGCCAAGTTGAAAACATCAGATCCAGAATGCTGCAAAATATTTCCCGTTCCATCATTCACTTCAAAAATCCCTCCACTGATTCCATTCCTTTTCAATCGCATATTTATCGTCGCCATTTTCGGATTTTCAATGCGCCAATGGCAAAAAATATGAGCACAGTCTTTGAAGGGCAGTGGAACATTTTGATTTTTGTCATATATCATAGAGTTATAACTAGGACAGGTGCAATGAGTGGGGATTGAATATCTGGTAAAAGTTAGGTGATAATTTTGAAGATTGTTGAGAGTTATAATAAGTCCACCGGTTTTTGGTTTTAGTGCCATTTTTCGCATCCAATGTGTCTTGCTGGAAAACGGAGAAAATTATTAGAAAAATTATTTCCGATTCGGTTTTGAAAATACTTTTTACAATAACAATTCTCCTCTGAACTAACTCTAAAATGTCCATCGTCGAATTTGAGAAATCCTTGACTTTTATACTCTCCCGATCATCCAAGTCAAAATTATGTTCTAATAAAATAATTTCATTCACCCATAAATCCGGAAACTCTACACTATATTCAGCCAGGAAAATAGCAGCCGAACCGCAATCCATTGCGAATTCTGGCATTTTAATGGATATTGTGACAATTTCTCGAGACAATGTGAGTTTGCGAAAGTCCGCACAAGCTGAAACGTCAGGGATTTTTTGAACGTGTAATAATGGAACTAACGATTTTTATGTAGGATTGCAGTGATCTTTGGGGGCTCGGAGTATTTTTTCAATTTTATATCGAATTCCTGTAGATCGAAAATATGTTCATAATCATATTTTGTAGGAATATAGTCGTCTTTATCACTATAAATCCGGGCTTCATATAACAAATCATTATAATCATTGAAATTCAGCTCCACCTGATCAACACCTTCGATTTTCCCAGGAACCAATCGAAATACACACTCTTGTGCGGTATTAAAAATAACATCCTCCTGAATGACAGTGTTCTCCGAGTTTAAAATAGCATATGGAAATCCACAAACACTTTCTGTTGATTCCAAAATCTTGACATCAATTAGTTTCTCAGTATCAGTTTTTATTTTAAGTCCAGTGCTTATTGGACCCTGCCATGTAACTTTTTGGGGACTCTGTCGGTCACAGTGAGGTATGACATCCGAATGGTATATTTCGTGGTTCGGGATTTGAAGGTAGATTGTGTAGAAGGCACCACATGGAAGATTAAGTTGAATGGATTTGTTAGTTTTAATGGGAATCTGGAATAATGGTTGGATTAGGAGAAGAAAAATTAGGAATGAAAAGGAGAGGAAAAGAGAATAAGTTGAGTTCAGGTTTTTAAAGCCCAAATAAAAACTTCACAACCCACCAAATTATCACATCCGACTTTTAGTTTTATTGAAAATTCCGTTTTTTCGCTGTCAATAATCGTATCACAAATCGCCAACACACTGCCAATCAAAAATATCAATCTTTCCATTTTTCCTGGCTGCACAATAATAAAAGTTGCCAGTCTTTTTTTTTTGCTTATGGCCAAAAGTATCAGTTTTTGATATAAACAAAGTGTTTTATGGAATGACACAAAAATGGAAAAAATGTATTTATTTATTTTTTTCAAAATAATATATAAATATTAGTTAGAAAATTTGGGTATTCATATTTTCGAAACCAGATGGGCTGAAATAAAAAAAAGATTTTAAGAATAAACGTTTGCATGAGTTAAACTTACGGTGGGGTTTTTGTTCGAAAACTGTTAATCTGAGAAATGATTTTGTCCTTGTAGAAATAGCTAAAGATTCCAGCTCCCAAAATAATCAACAAAATTATGAAGAAGATAAGAGAGTTTGGAATTGAGCTGGATGATTTTTCTGAAGCCACGAAAATTTCAGTAGATGTACTGATTTCAGCATTGGTAGTAGATTTTTGTGAAGTTGTGATAAGTTCAGTAGAAGTTGTGAGATCGGAAGGATTCAGGGGTTCTGCAAATAAAACCAATATAAAAATAGAAACATTTTTACGTTGTTTCAGAATGAAAAAAAACAACAATATTTCGCAACAAATCAAATAAAATTGAAACAACAAGAAATATTTGTTTCGATCAAAGAAACCGTCTCTTATTTTATTGTACAATAGCGGAGAAAAAAACACAAACGGTGTGTAAAAACATAAATTCTCTTGGAACATTTTTTTATCTGGTTGATTTTTTTTGCCACGTAATAGATATTTTTCTGAAAGAAATTGAAGATAATTTGAGAATGTTGTTTAAAATGTCTTCTAATAATTAACTATGAATATTCGAGTAAACCAGGTTTGACATGGAAAATATTATCACTTACCTGATTTCACTAATATCACATATCCAATATCATCCTTGGTTGTGATCGCATTTGCCTGAAACAGTAAAACTGCCTGATTTCCAGTTTGATATTCCTCATTATGTTTTCTTTCTTTTTTTCCGTGAAGTTTTGCAACACATTGATTTGAATCAATATGCCGGCCATTATAAATTTCCAAACTATCACCTTCGGAATCCACGTGGAATTTATAAAACCAAAAGTTGAGCGTTGCGCTGGAATTAGACATTTGTGTTTTTGGGTGTTAATCCCGTGTAAACGCAGTGCTTACTTTGGCGATGTCATTATTGTAGTTTTGCAATCTCTGTTAGCACAATATGGGTTTGGATAATTGGTGCTTGTTATTATAGCTGATCTGTTTGGTGTAAAGTGTTATCGACGTAAGATAACATTGACAATCTGAAAAATAAATGACTAATGTTCATAAATTACTCAGATAGCAAAAATTATTATCTGAACTCAAACGAATACAAAAAGGAAAATGCGCTCCGTGGACAACTTTAATCTGAAAATTTTGTAACATGGAGCGCATTTGTTTTTCTCGTCTTCCCATTACTTTTTGAAAAATGCCAACTCATGTCCAAATCCAGAGAATTATTTTGAGATTTTGAATTATTGAATCTGATGAAGGATAGTTCCATGAAATTGGAGGAATCCGAAAAAGTTTCGTCGGTGAATGTATCTCTGGAATTGTTATATTGGTATAGATTGGTTTTTGGATTTTGAATTAATTTTGATCTTCTTTTTTCATTTTTTCTCAAAAAAACATACCTAAAATAAACTCCATTCTCAACAAGAACAAAGAAATCTGGTTCAATCGAACCCTTATTTTCTCCATTATCCGACGCTTTCAAATCAATATTCATTGTCAATTTTCTTGAATTTTCCAATCTCACATGACAAAACAAATTGGCACAATTTCGAGATTTCAGACTCAATCGAGAGTTCTCCGAACTTATTAGGCTACCAAAAGTTGGACATTGACAATTCTCCGGAATTTCGAGTCGAGTTAGATTGATTTGCCAGTTTTGAGAGTTTTCTATGTGAATTTTCAGAGCGGAAATGTTGAGCGCCGCGTTTTTCAGAAAATAAGTTGTGCTGAAATTTTAAACTTTCCTTCTAGATACATCAAAAATTAGTAACTTACTCCATAATAATTTCATATTTATCAAGATTCCAGATTTTGAGATTTGCTTGATTCAAATTATGTTCCAAATAAATAATCTCATTATTTTTTGGCTGTAGAAATTTGATATTCAAAATTGACAATGAATTTTCGCAATCTAATTGGGCTGAAGTTGGTTGAAAAGTCAGAGTTTTGTTGGCGGTTGAAATACGATCGATATTGTGACACACTAAAAAAAACAATAAAACAAAGATTACTTTAGATAAAATTTCATTCTGGAAATCTGGGGTACTGTAGGAAAAGGCTACTGATTAAAAACTGTTTCAGAAATTCTGAAAGTCACAGTAACCCAAAATGCTCAGGATTCCTTTGAAACTGGATATTGCTGATCAGAAACTTTGTGAATCTTCCAAAACTCACAATTTTTTCCAAAGGTCACATTAATTTGTGGAATACGCACATATTCATTGATTTTTATATCAAAAGGTTCCAATAAAAAATTTCTGCCAGTTGTAAATATTTTAGACTCAATTTTCCCATTTTTCCGATAAATTCGTTGCTGATAAATTAGATTTGCAATATCACTGAATCTTATTTTGATCTCATTTATTGAAGAATTTGAAAGAATATCCAGACCAATATCCAATCGATATACACATTCTTGAGAGCTCGAAAAAGTTGTGTCGTTTTGAATAACCCTAGATTGATTTAAGTTAGACGAAGTTAACAAAATATATGGATATGCGCAAAGATTTTGCTGACCATCTAGAATTTTAACATCAATTTTTGCAGTAAGTTTTGACACAATTTTTAGTCCAACATTTGCGGGGGCTTGAAAAGTCTGAGATTTGTCTTCTGATCTTGAACAATCGATAGATTTATTTGAATGATGAATTGGGGTTTTTGATTCTGGGACTATCATCCATATACTGTAAACAGATTCGGCATGGCAAGGGAGTTTTAGACTTATCGATTTTCCAGGAGTTTTTGGGATTTCAAGCTGCAAAAATTAGACAGCTTTTAACTTTGTTATGTCGAGGGAACTCACGAAGTTTTCACAATTTGGTTGAACTTCCAAAAATCCATCGAGATTTGTTTGATTCACTCCACAAGCCTCCACAATTTCTAAAAACTTCAGGAAACAAATCGCGGAGACGATTTGGATTTTCATGTTTTCAGACTGAATTTAGTACAACATAAATTGTTTATTTTCGGAATGTTTATTTGATTTTTTAGTGATAAACAATCTTTTTTTTTTGGAAAAAATGAGCCATAATGACACGTGGCAAAGAAAAAAAACAACGATACTCCAGAAATACGCAGCGAGCGGAGGTAGAGGATTTTTTATTTGTATTTTCATCCTTATAGAATTGTGTATGTTAATTTTGAGAAATCAAAATTCGGAAGCAAAGACGCTCCTGAATCTAGTTTTTTCTTCAAAATTTGATATCATTTTTGTTTATAAAGTCACAATCAAAAGTTTATAATGAATAAACACTTTTAATGCTTCTAAATAGTCTGTATGAAAATGTACAGTCTTCTACTATTCGTTTTCTGTCTAAAATCAATTTTCGCCTGCAATCTTACCCTTTCTGGCACTTTTCCTCAAACTCTGCAAATCCCGCCAAATTGCAATCAAAACATCCCAATCCAGTCAGAAAAATCGATAGAGTTAGAAATTCTCTGTGGAGCAAGTTTGGATATATCTCTCATAGTCAATTTTGATGGGGAAAATCAAGTGATTTATCATTCGAGTGTATATACAGATTGTGAACGACATAAAAAGAATTCGACAATTTGGAGGGCTCCAAAAAATACCGGGATAATTATTAGAACGCAAGCTCAACTTTCAACTAATGAGGATCAGGATGAGAATTCTGTAGAAACTGTTATTTATGATAAAAATACTACGATTATCGTGAGAGTTACGGAAACTTCGAATATTTGTGCGTATCCAATTGTAAAAATCGAAGCCGAAGAAACAATTATTCAAAATGAGGTGCAATTTGACAATCTGCAAGATTGTGTTTATCGAATTGTACCTAGTTTGAACTCAAATTTCACAAACTTCAACAAACTTCGAATATATTTCAATGACTCTAATCCAGAATCTGAAGGCATTCAATATTTCCAACGAATCTATTATGGAGATCAAGAAAACAAGCCACATGTGAAAAATATCAAAACAAATAGCAAGGATTTTATTTTAGAGCCTTTTGATATTCTGGTAAAAAAGTATATGAGCCCGCCGGAGATTTTGGTGCAACTTTTTAATGAGCGTAAGTTTTTTGCGCTTTTTAATTAGAGTTTGTGAGATTCTTTAGTGAATTACTGTTGAAAATAGTTTTTACTTTTTATGTATAGTAAAGTTTGTGAGGGCCCAAAATTATTTTTGCTTTTTGAAAAATTACTAGTATGTGCCTACCAACTATTTTTTGCCACTTCATAACTTATTTTCCTTCAATTTTCCAGCATGTCTCTATGGAATCGAAACCATCAAAATCCTTCCTAATCAAAAAGTTACAACTCGAGAAATCGAAAAAGATTTTTTGACTCACTGCAGTTTTCACATAACCACTATTTTGCGAATTGAAATTATCGATAAAAAACCGGATGAATACATTATTTTCGATCATAATATTCAAGTTCAAAAAGATCGCAAATTTATATTGGCGCATTTGGAAAATCGAGAACTTCAAGTAATGAAGTGAGAGCCTATCCATGTGCTTTTTTTTCAAATTTCAAAACATTTTCAGCGAGTTTAATTGGCAAAGTACAGCTGCTTTTAACACGACTGGATTATATTTTGAACTAAAAGACAATCATGCATTATATATGGTGGCTTTGAAGATTCTACGCGTGAAAGTTAAACCAGGATGCCCGTATTCCTTTTATGATTCTCAGCGAATAACAGATAAAGGTTTGACAAAATTGGAGATTCCTGGATATTGCGAAACTGTAGTTTATCATTGCCGAATTCATAATCCATCTAGACGATACAAATATATCGATGTTCATTTATGGACAAACTCGAGTCATTCCGATGATGCAGTTTTGATTAGATCAAATGATAAAGGATTTATCGCACGTCACGCAAATATGTTTGAAAAAGACGGAAGAACGGGAGCTACGACTAGTCGAGATACTGATATTTCATTTGTTCGATTGAATGGAAGTCAGGAGAATTCGACGCAAGTTATCTTCAAATGGACATTCCAAATTAGTAAGACCGTTTCGAGAAAGGGTTATATTTTTCAATCATAATTTCCTTGTAAAGTATAGTTGAAAATAGTGACCCAAAAAATCTTGTCACGTCTCAGCTCATAATCTCTCAAATTGTTATTCAGATTGCGAATGTCCTGGAATCCAATATAAATTCCTGAAACTCGGAGACAAGATTAATGTAACAAGCATTAATTTTCCTGAAACATATTGTACAAATATGCAATGCGTGAATGCATTCGAAACAGAACACGGTGCAATTTTCGAACTTCATCTTAATCACTTCGAACTTGACACATTGGGAGATCATTTATCAATTTATAATAGCTCGTTTTCGTTAAATGATAATTTGGTGGAATTTTTGGATGGCCAGCATAACTTGGGATTTGTCAGAAGTCCGGGAAATTTTGTGAAACTGGTTTTTGAGTCGGATAGAAGAAGACCTATTGAAAAGAAGAATTTTGGATATAGTATTACAATTGAAGCTGTGAAAGATTATACAACTATAGGTTCAAATCCAGTAATGACTTCGACTGAGGTCATGTCTGTACCAAAATCTGGAGGATCAAATGGATTCATAATTTTAGGATTTACTTTTTTCATAGTTTTGTGTGTTGGTGGAAGTTTTGGCGTTTTGTATAAGCTTGGGAAGTTGGGATTTATTTTGGAGAAAATCAGGCGGTAAAGAGAATTTCTGTTTTGATTTTTGAGAGAAACTTTTAAACATAAAAAACCGTAATTCGTGTTGAAAACATCGGAAAACTAACCGCTGGTTGAAAATCTCTATGAAAAGTATCAGCTTTTTAGAAATTTTTCTGGTATGAGCAATAACTGATCAAATCAATTAATTATTTATTTTGGCAAAACTTTGGAAATTACGACTATCCAAAAAAAAACATGAAAAGTTAACAAAAATAATACCGAAACCAAAAATAAATCTTAAAGCACCTCAATATACGGCTCGATTTCGAAATCTTCGCAGTGATATTGGACAAAATACCGATAAATCAGCTCGTTCCTCGTTTGAAATCCGCAAATTGTTTTGCGTTTATGAATTGCGAACAACGCCAAAACACATAGGATCATCACAAAAAGAGCAAGATATACCTGAAAATTGGGAGTTAGATGAAATTTTGCGAAATTCTGAAAGCTTCAGATTAACATTGGATTTGAGCAGGGGAATGTTAAGATTCTCGTAGGAAGTTTCAATAACTTAAAAAACCAAATTATGAATTTGAATTTGAAAAAACTCACATCCTCAGAAGTTGGTTCCTGATGTTGGACTCCAGTCGAAACTTCAACGATTTCCATTTTTCGCTTATTCTTTTAGAGAACAACAAAAACGATTATGATAGATGTATAGGTGAAACATGGGCGGAGCAAAATAGAAATCTCACAATCACAAATAATATTCCCAAGGGAATGTTGAGACTCAAAAAGATTCTTATTAAATTTTGAGTTGGATTGTTGTCAGGGTTACTGATGATTATTGTGATTAATATGGAATTTCAATACCAAAAAAAGTAATTTTGGAGAAAGGAGGGATTTTGAAGAATGATTGCATTTTTTGTTTTGAAAAAATTGGGGGTTTTGGTTTTGATGAATGAAGTGAAACCTCTCCTATTATTCAAAATTTGAAGTTTAATTTAAAAATTATCCTGAAACTCCATTGACTCGAAGAAAAATTGAAAAAATTTCAACTTTCCAAACGAAATTTAAAAACTTCATACAACGAAATTCAGCTTGTACCTCAAGCCGAGTGTTGCTGTTTTCATATCCTTTTTCACCGAAAAGCTTCCAAAAAAAATTAAATAACTTTATTAAAAAATGTATAAATAATTACATAATTTGAGAGAAAATCATAGTTAGATATGAAAGAGTTGCAATTAAAAAACATAATTAACGCTCAAAAAAAAGTCATGAAAAATGTGGACCCGTTTTCACCTAATACCGGTATGTTCCCCTTTCATAAGTGTGTGACATATCAACATCATCATATTCATCAAATCCGTGTCGATCATACGATGTTTGTCGTTGAGTTTGTTGTTGTTGTTGATTTTGCGGAGGTTGTTGTTGTTGTTGCATTTGTGGTGCCCCTTGAATATGTCCGCCATATGTTCCACCGCTTGTTGGTGGACCTCCTCTTGGCGGTGCTAAATATGGAATCTGTCCCTGAACACCGCCCATTTGTGATAAAGATGCTACAGATTGTTGTGGTTGTAATTGTGGTGGTCCCGACGGTGTGATTCCTTGCATCATTTGCGCGGGTGTAAATAGTGTAGATGGTCCCCGATTTTCCATGGGATTTCTCTTGATTCTTGGTGGTGATCTGACTGGTGGATGAGTTGCTCGCCAATAGGCTTCCATAAAATCGGCAAGATGTTCGCAAGCATCTTCGAGTTGATTTTCGTCGAGTAACACATCAAAAAGTTCACCGGGACATTGTGCCAATTTTTCAGCTGCCACCATTTGTACATTCATATTACGACTTTGAGATTTACCGCGTGATTTGATAAGACGTTGAAGGACCTGAAAAATTGAAAGGGATTTATAAATAAGTTGGTGGAAAAGTTGTTTATTTAGTTTCTCAAATGTCGTGATATTTTGACACATAAATTTAAGAGTCCTGAAGTTTTTTGGATTTAAAAAAATTCTTTAAAAATATTCATATGCCACGTGGATTTTTCCACCTCCGAAAATCAAAAAAAAAACACATTTTTTTTCCAAACAAACATTTTTGACTGACATTTACACGACATTTGAAACTTAATATTTTGAACTTCTGTTCTCCGCAAAAAAATTCCCCACTCACCTTTGGACTAGAGATTTTAATATATACATGAATTGGTGCCAAACTTGTTTTGGTCAGTTGACTTGGGTGATTGATTGTATCACAATCAAGAACAACGAGTTGCATTGATCGAGCCAATTCAAAAATTCGCTCGATTTCCGTTTGAATTTCGGCTGAAAAATGGAGATTTTTGATGGAATGGGAGTTTCTGTGATATCTCAATACATATTTAAATAAATTTTCTAGAATTTCCCCGAACTTCATCCCAAAACTTATTCCCAAACGTACCCAATGAATTACTTGTCCTCGAATTTGCTCTCTCCATCATCGCTCGTTTATTCGGATTATTCAAAAGTGATCGTTTAGCTAGCGAAATATCCGCTGTGACTCGAGTTATAATAATTCTACCCTCGAATCGATGTTTCAAATAATCAAAAACTGCTTTTTGCATCATATCAGTCACTTCATATCCTTTTAAAGATGGTCCAACCAAAACAACAGGTCGCATTGATGGAACCACGTCATATGGTGGAACATTTTCTTGTTTTTTGAACATTAACTTCTTTTTTTCTTTTGTTGGTGGAGTTGTTACAATGTTTGTCATCTTTTTTGGATTGTACTCGTCGTCATCTGAAACAATGAATCGTGAGAAAACTTTTTTGACATGTAAAAATTCAATATTTCAACTGGTTTTTAAATCTTTAAAAAAAATTTCCACGTGGAATTTCTCTGATTTTATTTCTAAAAATTTCAGAATCCACGTGGATTTTTCTCTTAAAAATATCAAACATTTTTCCAACCCTTCCGATTATTATTTTTCAAAAAAAAATCCAATCTAACTATTTTTTGAGATTCAAAAAAATCAGTTCACCCCCCTCCCCATTAAATCATAAATCCCACTAATACTTACCAGGTGTCGGCGGTGTAGATCCTCTGGATCCACTTCTCGGCATCATACTATCCAAAGCGCCCAAATTCGTAGCAGATGTCGATTGTTTGCTAAAAAAAAAGTTGGGATGTTTTTCATAACTCAAAACACACGCATCGAAAAAAGTGACACCCGTCGAAGTCTCAAGGGGCTACTTTTTGTCAAAAAAAAATGGAAAAATGGGTCAAAAAATTTGATTTTTCAAGCCAGAAAAATTACTCACAATTTCCCGGACTTTGCTGTTTGTTGCCTTAATGATTCCAGTTTGACAGGCGATGGTATAAATCCCAAATCGTGTCCCTCTTTTACCAGTCGCCCAATCCACCAATCATTGTTATATTTCTCTTTGACGTGTAGAAAATCTTTGACTTTGAAAGAAACTGCGCAACCATGAACTGGTGAATCATCATCTACACTTCCATCATATTCTACATTTGTGCATACTGCGAATGCTACTGGTTTATACTGCAAAAATTAGAGGATCATAAATAAATGAAGTCAGTATTTTTAAAATTTTTTAAATTTCTGACAATCCAAAATTTGTTGGAAATAATTTGAAGCTCCAAATATGTAGCACAAAAATTTTAGAACAATTTGAAATGTAACTTTAATTAAGCACAATAATATTCATGTGCCATATTTTGTTCAATGAAAATTTTTTCTGTAGAAAACATTTTAAAAATCCTAGAAAATGTCTGAAATTGAAAAAAATATCCCAAATGTTGATTTTACCAATCCACACTTATTGTAGTTGAAATTTTACAAAACTACTTTTCCCAAAATTAATATATGTAGTTTTTTTTAGATAAAAAAGTCTCATGAAATTTTGTAACGTGAGAAAGTTTTTCCGGAAAATTTTGAGAGAAAACCTTTGATTATTATTATTAGTATATAAAATGAAATAAATTTTCCAACTTTTTCAATTTTAATGCTTGAAAATACACCCCAGTTTCTCGTTCCTACCTTAGCTCTTTCTAACTGCAACGCAGCCTGTCGTTCCGCATCTCTCCGCAACGTTTCTCGATTTCCCGCTTCGAGTTCCATATCATCGTGATGACTGAAGTTCGAATCACCACTTCCCCGTCTTCGGAACGCCATCCTGAAATTAATTTCAAATTAAACGTTTTTTTGAAGAGCGGGAAAAAAGTTCTTCAAGAAAATCTCATATCTCACATGAAGAGAAAAAGTTATTGAGTGGGTGAAATTGGAGCCCCCGAAAAAACATTGGTTATTCATGAAAAAACACGGAACCTCCCTGCCTCCCCCAGAAAAAATCGATAATAACTAGGAGGAAAAAAAGAAAACTCTTGAAAAAGTGCCAAAAAATTTTTGCTCTCACTCAAGACACAAAAAAAGAAGAAGACGATGCGGAGGGAAAAACTCGCGGAGCTCGAAAAAAAGCAGCGAAAAAAGAGTGGAAATATTGGAGATTCTGGTGGAGACGCAGACAAAGTCAATAGGAATTTTTCGAGAGCAGTGAAGAAGAAAAAATATATAGAAGAAGAAGAAGAAAATAGAAGAGGAAGAGGATTGCGAAAATGAATGAGAGGATGAGAAAAAAAGGGACCTCGATAAATCGATCGCGGATTTTACAACGGAAAATTTGAAATTCTAGGCCATTAAATATTAGGTGATGGTTTCTAGGTTATCATATACACAGGCACCTAGGTTATAGTAAAAAACGATTGAAGATTCAATGAGATGAACGTTTAGGTTCTTAAATTTCTAGATCAACCAATTCAAGGGTTTGAGTTTCTTAGCCGTGATGATACGTTGCTTTTTAATTACGAGTCATCATAAATTCAATCATAAATTTGGCAATAAAAATAGGAATTTTAGATTTATAACAATTTATGAGTTCATGAACATTTTTCGGAATTCTAAGCCATGGACAATAAAGGTTTTGATTTCATAAGCCAACACGACTATAACAAAGTTTTCATGCAAAGATCTGAATTCAACTTATAATCCTTAAATTTAGGATTTTTGAATCAACTGGAGATTTTTTTGTTAATTGTTAATTTTGAAAAATGTTGTAAATATTAAAGTTTAGGTTTTACCAGACCAACAAAGTCCAATTTTTCAGATTTCAGGCGTGTGGTTTTTGAGAAATGTTTGGAAACCTAATTTAAGTATGACGTTCAAAAGTTTTAATGCCGAAAAAATTTACGTGAGAAATATTTTTTCAATAAACCCAAAAAAATTTTCCAACAAAAAAAATTATATACAAATATTTTTCGGGCTCTGCGCGAAAAATCGCGCGCGTGCTCTAATTTTTTAAGTGAATCAGTGCTTTTTGTGAGGCGAAAAGAGGAGGAGCCATTTTCCACCACCACCGAAAAAATCGCATTGAAAAATGGGATTTAATTTGGGGCTTTTTTCAAGGTTTATTTGATTTTTCACGAGCTTCTACCCGGAAAAACCAATTCATCGGAAATTTTCGAGAGAGGTGTCACATAAAAAATTCATTCAAAAAACAAATGGCTAAATGAAATTGTGAAAATGAAAAAACAACATGAAAAATGAGCCCCCAAAATTGTCGAAGTCTAAAAAAGCCTAAGATTAGGCCTAAGTCTAGAAAAAGTTTGCAAAAAAAAAAACAAAAAAATATAGCAGAAGAAGCTTTTTCTGCTGCTGCTGCCAAAGATTTTTTAGCTTTTCCATTCAGAAAAAAAACGAGAGAGTGAGAGAGCGCAGAGAAAAGAAGGAGAAACCCCCCTTCTTCATTGTGTGTGTGTGTGTGCTCTTTTTTTGTGAGCTTCAGCGGAGCTCAGTGAGCTCAACACAACAAAAAAGAGACACAATACTAATGGAGTTATTGAGGAATTTTGTGATGCAAAAAAAAGAAGAAGAAGTGGAAAAAAATGAATGAGTGAAGGATGAAAAAAGGTTTCTTTGTGTGTAGTTCTTGACGAAAAGAAGGAATATTGAGAGTGGATTTTTAGGCGGTGGATCAAGATTCTATTAAACCGCGATTTCAAAGCTGTAGAGCGTAGAACACTGCTATTATGTACTTGGGTTTCTAAGCTACCATACATTTTTCTAGGGCATGTTCCAGATGTGGCAAGTTTTCTAGCCCTCTGGATTTCTTCGAGACCAGAGAAAAAATATCTCAAAAAACTTGGCAATCTAAAATTTTTCTGAGCCGTCTATGAATTTTCTACGTTTTTGAATTTTCCAAAAAAAGTTATAATGCTTTATCATAAAACCCGAAATGAAAAAAAACAACAAAATCTCCAAAACAACACCTCAATAACTGTAATATTTTTCCTCTTATTATTAATTTCCAAATATTTCACCATCCTCCATTCGCATTCCCAATTTATTCCAAGTTTTTGGATAAAAATCATCAACCGATAGTTCGTATTTGACCTGATCATTTGTCTCATAAATATCCCGATAGAATACATTTTCCTGATTTTTTGATAAAAATCCCAGCCACCAGCCAAAAGTTGAAGATGGAGCTGTGATTAGCACCGAATCACAGTGTTTTATTGAAAATTTGAGATCAGCAATTGCCAAGTTTGGTGGCGTGCGCATTATTTCGATTTTGGCTGAAAAAAAAAAAGATTTTGTTGATATAGATTGCTGAAGAATGTTTTATTAATCAACTAACCTTCTGTTAAATCTTTCAATTCCTCTTCCACCCATTTCGGATCATTTCCAAAAACATAAAAAATCGTATTCTTTTCAAACTTTTTCCTCAAAAACTCCATAGCATTTCGAATAAATCGGCTATCCGATCCTTCGTGAACTTGATCTTGCAAAAAATCACCGCGTCGAATATGAACACAAATTTTGAACTTGGAAGATTCCACAGGAATCATTTCGTGTTTTTCATAATTTAGAATAAATTCAGATTTTGAAGATGTTATATAATTTTTGATATTATCAATTCCTAGATGCTCAAAATATTTGAAACTTTGAAAATATGCACCCTCGATGACTAGATATTTCGATTGTTCACATTTTAATAATGGATGAGTTTCATATGAGCAACATGTATAAGTTTGAACAAATCTAGTAGCATTATCAATTTCAATCGGTAAAAGCAGAAAATCTTCGAGTAACCTTGGCACATTTTCTGATAATAATTCCATACTTTCAATCAAATCACGATCTTTTGTATTGAAAAATGGGATTCTTTGGAGATTTTTAGCGATTCCTAGAATGGAGAAAGTTTCGAAGAGTTGATTTCCCAAGCCTCCGCTTGATTTTAGAGTGAAGAAGTTTGATGTGAGGAATTTGTCGCGGTGATGCGATTTCTGAAAAAAATTGACTCATGGATTTTTTCATATCTGGAAAAAAGCTGGATGTTGAATTTGGAAATATTGTCCGAATGTCACGTGGATTTTTTTGAAACTCGGAATATTTTTTGATCAATTACTAAATTCCAGGATAAATATTAGCTTTTCAAGATTTTGAAAATTTGAAATAACAAAACTTTCCTACGTGGCATTCTGGTGGAAACGTGTTTTGAAAGATTGCCAAGATTCTAAAAAGAAGGTCAACTTGAAGAATTGTTCCACTTGGATTCAGAAATGTTTGATCTACAAAGCCACGCGTGTTTACAAAACCTACCGTACCACACTGAAATTTTCTAGAAATTACAGAATATCGAAAAGCTCTTTTTGTCGTAATAGATAAAAATCCAACAAAAATCAAAACTAGACAAATCGCTAGAAATCCCCCAAAAATTCCAGTATTTTTCATAATTAATTTTCACAAAAAATCTAGATTTTCCACATCCAAAAACAAGATTTTATCTTGAAAAAATTCTGACAAAAATCTGGAGAAATAAAAAATGGGTGTGGCTTACCGTATCGCATGTGAATTGATTAACTGGGATATTTGAGTAATCGTACGGTTTTCGATTTCGACAAAAAATAATATAATTTATGCATAATATTAGGAATAAAATGAGCAATCGAAATTGATTTGTCTGAAAAAAAGTTGGATTTTAGACGAAAATTTTAAGTTTTTGCAAAACTAGCTAATTTTGGGCGAGAAACTCACCTTTCTTGATTTTTCGATAATTTTCACCCTACTAAAAAGCATTTACGACTAAAAATATGTGAAAAGTGCTTTTTTGTCTTTTTTGACTATGTTTGGTTACCCGGGTAATTGGCATCATAATTTAAAACAAGAAAATTTGAGCGCGAGATGCAAATCTCTTCAAATATCCATTCAACATATTTATGGGGTTAATTGCGCTTTTTTGAAAAAATAAGATAAATGAGGCACTGTAGTTCCAGAGAAACAAATGTTACTTATATGTGGGGTCCTCACTTTTTTTTTTTAGTTTTTGCTTAAAAACGACTAACCTTTGATTTTAGCATTGTTGTGTTGTTCAACAATGTGAATTGTACTTTATTTGCCAACATGTGGATTATTTATATGTAGGGATTATTTGAAGATTTATTGGTTTAGAACAAAAAAAATGAGATTTTTCAATATAAATATCTATTTCAACAGAAAAAAGGAGAAGAATATGAAAAATAGTATCATTTTCCCAGCAATGCATTTCTTATCAACTTCTATTATTATTCAAATAGGGTTGGTTTCGGTTTGGTTCTTGGAACCAAAAAGACATTTATGACAGATAAAAAGTGCATGAAAATGAGTGGAATTTCAATCGAAGCAGTTCTCGTGGCTTCCGTAGCGCAGTAGGCAGCGCGTCAGTCTCATAATCTGAAGGTCGTGAGTTCGAGCCTCACCGGGAGCATTTTTTTCTCGAAAAGTTACAAGAACTCTGGGAAAAATAAATAAAGATATTTATTTACATATCACATAATTTTTCATAACACAATTTCAAATCGTTTTCCAAATTTTTCAGCAGACTTGGCTTTAGTTCCAAGTTCAAAGTTTGGTCAGCTATTAGAAGTTCTAGAGAATTTTGAGATTTAGAAATAATTTCTGCATGTGGCTCGCTGAAAACCGAATTTTTCAATTTCTCGCGAAGTCTTTCCTGACTCGCATTGTAGATTTTATGCAACACTTTCGCGTTTTCGGGAGGAAGACCAAGTTGCACTAACTCTTTTTGTAAATCATCAGCTGAACAAAGATATCCGGCGGGTTTTTCGAATAACCAAATCGACAAAATCGAAACGGTGTTGTACAAATCAGAAAGATCTGTAAAGATTTTTCAACTGTGTTTTAAATGAGAGAAAAAACAAAAACTCACAAATCTCCTCGGTGATACATTTTTCCAATTGTTTTTCATCAAATTGTCCACCTTCCAGACTATAATTCACTGCTTGTTGACACAAACTCCGAAATTTCAGCGAAGTCTAAACAAAACATCGCGTAAAATGTATGAAAAAGATCCATAAACTCACAAATTTCGCAAAATTCGAGCAGATTTGCGAGAGAAGCCAATCTGGACAATCCATACCGCCCAGAAAATGAAATTTCTGAAATAAATTGATTTTTCAGCGAAAAATTATTTGAAAACTTACCATTTTATTGAAAAAAACAAGGCAAAAACACGGAAATCAAAAAAAAATAAAATAAGTTTCTGCTTGTTCGTTGGGGCACATTTGCTGCATTTGGGTGTTTTTGGGGATTTCAGTGGGAAGGCGGGGATTCAGGGGAAAGTTTTGGTTGTTTTAAAATTCATCAGACGACGGGCTATCGATTGATACCAGAACCAATGTATTTTGACGAATTATAGTTCGTCCTCAATCTTCCTTATAAAAAAATAAATGACTTCAAAATGTTTGCAAACACCATTACGCAACCGTGCACAGAAATTTGACTTGCCGAAATTTTTTCATTTTCTTTTTTGGAAAACCCGGAAACCGGGATTTGGGGTACTTTGGTAGACTTTTTCTAACTTGAACAAATATTATTTTGTTAAGGAAGCGCAGGTTCTGTTTATTTCGGGTTTTAGCTCGGGAACCCTTAAAATTTCTCTCCTTAAAAGTAAATTCATCAGATTAATAGGGATACGCCTGATAAAACGTTCTGCGCAGGGTCCCCTAGTTATTAGAAAAACGTACCGAAAGGTTCAAGTAGAAAAACATAATGTTAAAACACGAAATGTCACTTTTAAAAAATTAGGCGCATGCTTCCTTTCCTTTTTAAAATATTGTTTTCTTCATGAATCACCCCAGTGTAAAAAAACAATTGATCACTAAATATACTTTATTACTGTTATGTAAAATTTGGCAAAATATATAAAATAAATATCACTCACATTTTGAAGAGGAAAAAAGAATAAATATTCAGAAAGTAAAGTTCAGAAAAATATGTGATTTATGATTAAATTAAAGATTATTGCATCATTTTGGAATATGGAAAACACGATTGAATCAGATTTTGCGATTCACAACTGATTTGTTGAATTGGTGATTGATCATTGTTGAAGTCTGTTGAACCCGAGATCCGGAGCTCCAGCGACACTTCGAAAGCTACTTTGAATAGTTCGTGAATTTGCTGGTTGCACCGCACGCAAAGGTTTCATCGCCAAGTTATCCGAAGTCTCTTCATGATATCCGCCAGCACGAACTTCGCGTAACTTATCCAATTGATGTGAGCTGATTGGCAAAGCAGCGCGAATCACAATCCATTGTACAGTCTCTCTGAATGGATCAGTAGTCTCTGATCCTTCATACATCCAAAACTCTTTGGTTTTCTCAGCGGCTGGGAAAAACGCCTGGAAATCGAAACTGCATAATTTACACTCGCTGCCTTTGTAACGAATTTGCGACAAAATATCGATGAGTGGACTGAATGCCGTGTTGTCGTCGTGCGATTCCTAGAAAACTTTTTATCTTTATTTTGTGTTTTGTTTCAAAAAGTCGGCAAGATAATATCTATAAGCTAATAGTCTATGATTGTTCTATGGGCTTCTAAATTTGTTAGGGATTTATTAAATACAATTTTTCGTTTTTTTTTCACTACAAAAAACAAAGTCACGTTTTGGTTGGAAAACAAAAACACCTGGACTCAGCGCAACGAATAACTACGAACAGAAAAGCGTTTTCCTTGATAAAATACATGCGACCGCAACACACTGGTTGTTTTCCTCGAAACTCACATTCAAGAACACAGCAATAGTGACAACTCCATTTGGTTGTTTGAAAGCATCAGCCAAATTGGCGAATCTAGTATTTCGATGAATCAAATGCATTTCACCGGCATATCCAACTCCACCAATTGTATGCTCAGATCCATTCATTGGCTCAGTTGCCCAATGGAAATTGACCGCATCCAAATGATATTGTTCTTCTGCTAAGAATGAGATGGCGAGTTCGGATGAATTGCCTTCTCGCATCAGCCAAACTGAATTACCATCATTGACTGCTCGGAATTCGCCGGTGCTTTCATAGTGAACTCTGAAAAAGAAATGGGTGGTTTTAAAAAGTGAAGTGTGCTGAAATGAATTTGTGATTTTAGTATTCATCACATCTGATTTTCTCCACTCGAAGACTGTGTTTACTTCCCCATCCCCCTACTTCAACAAACCAAAAACTAATTAGATACTCAGCCAACAAACAGATATGAGTCAAATTATACCCCTTCAAGGTATATGGTAGGTGTTGTTGACATGTAATTAGATAAGCTTCGCTGATTTTTTGAACACCAAAAATCTTTTTTTTTCGGTCAAAAACTCACTCAAAATGTGCATTTTGCAAGTGCTCTCCGAATGCCGTGATAACTGGTACAATATCAATTGGTGATTGATTTCTGCCCAACGACGGAACATTTAAAACTTTGCCCAACGAATCGAGTTTCACCTTATTCAGTCCGTTTTTGAACGCTGATTCCATAAATTTTGGTGCCTCTTTGAGTTGCGCAAACGATGCTCCGAATGACGGCGCAGCCTGTTCCGCCAATTCCGAAGTTTTTTGTTTGAGTTGTTGAAGACCGCCTTGAAGTTGACTGAGAAATGCCATTTTCTGAAAAGGAAATAGTAAAATTTGGGGGAAAATATTCATAGAAACGAGCAGAAAAAACTAATTATTCATCAAATTTATACGAATTTTTGATGGGGCTTCTCCAAATATTTGGAGAGCCACGTGGGTTTTTTGAGCCGAAATAGATTTTGCAACGTGGATAAAAATACGACCTAAAAATTGAATGTGCCACGTGGGATTTCAGAGATATTTTTGATACAGAGCAAAAATTTTACTTTTTGCTTCATTTCGGTTTTTCAAAAAAAAAATCTGATTTTTTCGGGTTAGAAATCATGATTTTTTGCACCAAAAAACTCATTTGACAAAAATACTTCCACAGACATAAAAAGTAAACAAGTAAGCGAAAAGAAGTAGTTGAAAAAAATGTACATAGTAAAAATTCTGAAGAAGAAGCGGAGTTGGGTGAAGAAAAAGAAAAGGAGCAAGCAGAAAAAAACTAGAGCCAAAGAAAAAAATGGGAAAAAGTCGATAGAGTAGAGGCGCATGAAATTGGTTAGAATATATATGTATTTCTTGTGAAAAAAAAGCAGAAAAAGTAACATTTACTCAAAAAAAATTTTATATGAAAAAAAATGAAACATGAGTTTTTTCCCATAAATGTATATATGGGGTTGTGAAGCAGAACATGCCACGTGGCGAACATTTTTATCTACTGGAGGAGAAAATTAGACATCCAAAGTGAGACAGAGAGATCCCAATCCAAAAAAACAAAAAAAAGACATCCCAATCCAAAAAAGACATACAAAGTGCCACGTGGCAAATGTTCAACTTTCCGAAACAAAATTTCGCTCAAAAATTCAACGTGGCAATAAATTTTATCAAGTTCAGAATAATTGAAACAATTATTCTGACGAGTTTTCGTGAGGCTGAAAATTTACGTGGAAGAAAAATAGATCTCCCCCAAGAAAAACTATTCTCCGGCCTGTTTCCCTATCATTTAATTTTCCAACAAAAAAGATCAACAGGGTCAACGATGAAACAATTGTATACATCTCCAAAATTGGAGCATAGAGCCCATATATCCACGAGTCAAAAAACTGTGTCCTACTTTCAAGAAATTCTCAATCAAGAAGTCGGGTTTGTTTCTGCTATTTTTCTCAACTGCTCTCATCAATTCAATAGATTGAGGAAAAATAAGATGGAGGGAAAATGAAATAAAAGCACCCAAGAGATTTTTTTTCCTATTTTGCTTTTTTTCTTTTAAGAAGGAAAAATGCCATAAAAAGCATCTTCTTTGGTAGAAAAAGAAAAAAAACGAGAATAAAAGACAGGAAAAACGCGGGAGAAAAAACGGGAAAAAATGAGGCGAAATTCAATCTTCGCCTTTTTCTCGCCACCAACACGGAAAATATATGTATTTGTGTGAGGGGAGAAAATTAGATGAGCAAAAAAAAACTAGACTGAAGTTTGAGAAAAAAACTGAAAATGTTTTCAAAAACAAAATACTTTTGATCGTAGGCCAGGACTCCTTCCAAAAAATAACAACGACACTCCGCTTGACACACCCCCGCTAAATATTTTTCGCAAATGTTTTTCTAGTCATTCCACGTGTAGCTATCCAATTTTTCATGACTTTCTCCACCTCTTCGAGTTTTTTCAAACATTCTTTGGATTCTTTATATTTACGACACTCCACCGTTCTGCACAACGACACTCCGCTCGCTTGTTGTTTAGTGCATCTCGCCCATTTTTTCTTTTTCTTTTTTTTCAGCCTCCAAAAACCCAAAAATAATATATGTATTAATACATTTTTTCACAGATTTTTCCGCGTGAACGTGAAATTATCATGGCTAACAAGGACATTTCAACAATTTTCGGTTATTTCAATTTTTGGCGATCAATAAATTGGCAGCAAAAATAAGTAAGTTATTTTCTCGGGTTTTAAGGTTTCTTCTAAGCTATCTTTTTATCCTTCTCTGAATAGTTTCTAATGTAGTAGTCTGGACTGAAGCAAAATGCTGTGTATTTCTAATAATCTACGTGGCAAACCTTATTGAATGCCTCCAAATTATATACATAATTATCAATAAAATCGAATTTATTCACAATTTACTCGGCTGAACTTTATAAATCAATGCTTCTTGCGACGTTGACATAATCAATTGTCCATCGCGACTCCATAATCTTCCATGAATCAAACTTCGATGATTCGAATTTGCCACACACTCTTGTTCGTACAAAATCCAATCATTTATGTCGAATCTAAAATATTTTCACATAATTATTTATTTTTTCGTCATTTTCCGCTTAAGAACTAACTCATATTGATGTATCCAGGCTGAATGATCCATCGAAGTTTGTAATTTAAACCGTTTATCAGAAAAACACAAACTTCCAGTTGTCACCAATTCCAAATCACTCAAATAAACAATAGTCGCATGTCTCAACATATAATCACTCTTTTCCACCGGTATTTTATATCGAATCCATAAAAGTTGAGTTTTATTGATACCTTCGTTACCATGCAAATATAAATCGAGATCAACTGGGCGAATTTCGAGAGATGGTGCCATTCTTTCAGTAACTTGACCGCGGAAATCGCGAGCATCATAACCTTCCGAAATTTTCTGATGTCTTCCTGAGATATTGCTAACCAAAGTGTCCGGATCTGGCACATTCTCGGGGAATTTTGGGGTTAGCGAAAATGTGTCTTTGACACTCGCTAATTTTTGCAGCGAAAATTCGGCCAAATGAATAACTTTATTGTGCTGAACCGCTTCAACATATCGAATCGCGAAATTCCTTCCATCCCTGATTTTCTTGACGTTATAAGTGATTGGGATAGATTCCTCGCCACCGCGGATAAAATAGCAGTGGACTGCGTGCATATAGAATCCTTCAGGAGCTGTATAATAAGCGGCTGACATGGCTTGCGCCAAAACATGGCCTCCGAATACGCGAGCTTGTGGATGTTCCGAATCGCATTCTCCGCTAAAAAATTTAATTCGCATTTACATTTATTCACTAAAAATTGACTTTTCATTTGAAATGTGTGAAAAAAGCGATAATTTTTCAAGAAATGAAATTTCAAAACATAAATACAGGTCACGTCTCAAAATCTAATTTTTAAAATGCATTTCTGATATTTTTATCAATAAAAACTTACATATAAGTCAATTCATCAACTTTTTGCAATCTCCGCCACTCACGAACCATTATAAATACGAATAATTATATTCAAAAAATAATTGCCAGAAGAAAATGACAAAACAAGCGAACTTTTTAATAAATAAGAATAAGGAAAGAGACATAGAGAGAGAGATAGAAAGAGGTGATTGGTATAGGCTACAATGTAGTCGACTAATTTCCTTATCAATCGATTCTAGTCTACAGAGAAGAAAATACTTTACCCTTTAAAAAACAAAAAGATTTATGTGTTTTATTTTTGTGCACATTGCTAAATATTCAAAGTTTTGAAAATCTTCATTCAAAAATAAAAACAATACAAATATGAGCAAGATGAGCAAAAAATACATTCAAAAATAAACATTCAAAAAAGAACACATATAAATTAGGAGTCCAAACGTTTTCGTGATCCGCCAAAAATCGTATTTTTGAGTCGCGCACCTAAACCCTTTGGAGTTTGTTCGCGCATAACTTGTTTTTTCCACGGTTCAGTGCTCAAACTATTAGATTTCATTAATCCACCGACGGGTTTCATGACCGTCTCATTTCCCGATAATTTATTGAGGGATAACAGACTTGCTGCACTTCCAGGAGGTCGATTTGATGTAGCGGCGTGGCCGATTTTACGCAAAAATGAACCGATCCGGTGTTTGGTGCCGGATGGATTTGTTGAGGAAGAAGAGGAGGGTGGGAGTCGGAATGAGGAACTGGCTTCGAGTTCACTACCGCGCGAGAAACGGCGATCATCGTACTGTAAAACATATTTTGTTGATGGGTGAAAACATTTCCCAAGAGCTATACAATGAATAGAAAAAATCCTCTAGGATTTTACTATTGATAAAAAAGAAGAGTTACTCACAATTCCAATATTGTCATAAAATCCATCATCATCTTCGTCGACCGATGGAACACGTGACGATATTGATTGTTGATCAATCACCAGACTTCTGCGAGCTGTGTTCGGATTCTGAAAAATGAAAAATTTTCCGATTTTTCAAGAGAAGAAGGTTATATATATGCGTCTGAAAACTCAAAATGGAGTCTGGAGCTCGATTTACATACTGTAAATGTAGATTCCTAGGTGGTGAAAGCATCCCTTTCCCAAAAAAAACTCACGGTAACATGTGGATAATTTGATCCAACACCAGAACTGTTCGAGGAATAATACCCGCCTTGCGATGAATTCGCAGAACCTGGTGGTCTTTGTGGTGGTTGCGATGTAGGTACTTGAGGCGTATATTCAGCATACCGAACATTCGAATTGTTATTACTGCTATTCGAGATCGGATGCATCTGACTTGGATAATTGCTGTTATTATTAATAGTTGGTGGCGAATAGCTGTGCAATGTTGCGTACTGCGCTTCTTGCGGTGGCGACATCTTTTTCCAAGCAGTTGGAGCGGTTCCTTTCTCAAACATATTGTGCATCGCTTCAACGCGGCTTGGATTGATTTTCTCTTGATTTATAGTTTCAAAAGCATTATTACCCAAAGTATTTTGTTTGTACAAATTTTGATGTGGATGTCTGGACGTTTCTTCTAATGAATATTGTGGTTTTGGGCGGTAGGCAGCTTTTTGAATTTGCGAGGACTGCGAAGTCTTTGGTTCCATCACTCGATACCTTGGTCTCTCATACTCGTTCATAACTGGCTTGGCTACAAAACTTGTTGGGAAACTTCGCCGCTTTTCAATTTGTGAGAACGGTTGATGATCGGTGTTGAGCTCAAGTTCTGCGACTAATTGATCTATTGAGAGAAGAGGGTCAGGTTTCGTCGGAAGACGTTGTCGAACTGGCGAATGATCTGGCAAAGATCTCAAAGAAGATCTCATTGACCCACCACCTCGATTAAAACTTTGAAAAGCAGATGGCGATACATTTTCCCGATCTCCACCCTCACTTCTCATTGATCGCAATGTCAAACTGCTATACGGATCTTGCGAACCAGATCTTCTCATCTCATCAGTTGATGTGACACGTGGCAAAGTGTTATTACTTTTGGATGGAGCTGGGGGATCCGAAGAGAGTCCATAGACTGGTTGAGGTCTGAAGGGTCGCGGATTGTCCGATGTTTTTCGAGCAGCCGCTTTTCGATCCTTGGTGGTGTTATAAGCAGCAACTTCGGCGCTGCAACTGCCAAGAGAGTGCTCATCAAAGTCTTGGTAGTAGGACTGAAAAATAGAACTTTTTGGTTTTGATCAACCATGTTTTTGAAATTCAATAGAGCTTTCGTACTGACAATCTTTTTGGAAAGATTCATCTAGAAGTTTTGAATTTTAAAATTTTTGATTTCTTGCGGATCTCGGAGAAAATATCCACGGGACTGAGCACTCTTCCCCTCTTTCGCAATAAGCAAACTCACAATATGTGGTGCAATATTGGCAGGTGGCAAATGCGCTAATGATCCCAAATCATCCTGCAACCACCGTCTTGTAAAATCCATTTTATCAGTCTTTTTCAGCACAATAGTTTCAGCAATATTCGGCTCTTCTGAGGCCTCAGCCGAAATTTTTCGAACCGGGATTACAACTTCGACTGGCGACGAATTTTGCTGTAAGAAAGAGAAAATCGTAATTTTATCGGTCAGTTGACAAGTTCACTGCACTTTTCTTTCTTTTTTTCCGAGTTGAGAAAATGCTATCTAGACAAACTTACTTTCACGAGTTCCTTGGGTTTTGCTCGAACCGCCACGGGTTTCACAACGATTTTTCTGGAAAATCGGAAAAATAGTAAAGTGGTCAAACTAAAATAAAAAAGTTTTTTTCGGAAAAATGAGAAAGAGCGAAAAGATATTTGGAACACATACACGGTGTAAAGTTGAGAGAGGGGCCATCAAAAAAACCGGATGTGTTTTAGTTTAGTTTTTGTCTGTTTGCTGTATTGTGGTGGTGGTGACTAACTTTTTTGGTGCAGCAGTTGTAGTGGCAGTTTGGACGATTGGAGCTGCTGTTTCGGATTGTTTGACAGTTGGGACTGTACGGGTTTTTGGTGATTTTATTGGGCTCGTGTTGTTGTTTTTCTCTTCGACCTAGAATTTTTGAAATTTGGAGGGTGATATACTTGATAGCTAGCCTAAGCCTGACTCATGCGTAATTCTAATTCTGTCAAAATATCACTCGAAAAACCTCTCTTGAGCAGTTCTCTCTCTCTCTCTCTTTTTCTATGTCTTAAAATAAATCCGAGGTTTAGCTTTTCTGATTATCCCGAAATCTGAATTTAATTGAGTTCCAACTTACATCGCACTCTTTCTTCAAATCCTCAAATATCTGATCCAGATAATCGATGGCCTCTTTGAATTTGTTGCGATGTTGATGATGACGATGACGAGCTTGATCAATCACATGATCGATGTTCTTTGAAGCCACGTCCAGAGCACCGCTGCAAATTGAAAATTGACAAATTGAAAGGGATATTCGAGGTTTTAGGCAAAAAATAAGTCTACCTTTGCTGAGAATCCATACTTGTTGTGCTGACCCGGCCACTCGTTGTACTATCATTTCTATTCAGCGGAATATGCGCCGCATATCTGACTTGTCCATGCGCCGAATTCGCTGCGGCAGCTGCAGCGAATTGCGAGGAAATCGAAGAGGACATGCCTGAAACATTTGAAGTTCGCCAATTTTCTAAAAGGGTACAAACAAATAGTTTTGTGATTTTTTTTCTGTAGAAAAACTATCTCACCTTCGTCTTGCGATGATCCTCGACGATGCGGCGATGGATCGCGTGTCTGAAATGAAATGAGAATTGAATTCGAAATTGAAAACTGAATACATGCCAGTTGGAATCAAGTTTTTCGGATTTTCTATTTGTTTAGTCTCCAGTGAGGTAGAATTTCGCTATAAGCCTTTTTTGCGCCATAATTCGTTGGTCAAATAGAAGATGCATTTTTGATAGTTTTAAAAAATTTCGTGGCAAAAAATTATCTAGAAATTTGTTGTGTTTCAAACTAAATTCAGGATCAATCTTTTGATAAAAAAAGCGAAAAATGCAAAAAAAACACAGGTTACCGTAGTTTTCAAAAAAAAATCCACGTTTTTTTCATATACAATTTTTGAGCAACTTTATTTTTTTTCTGAAAACATTATCTCCTCAAAAATTGTGTATCAAAATTCTCAAAAAAAAAATTTTTTTTTTGAAAAAAAATCATCTGCCCTGGCCGGATATAAATAAAAATGATCAAAAATCCGTTCTCAAGCACTTTGGCAAACTTACCCGCGAGCTGAGTAAACTATTATAGTCTCTAGCCATTTGGAATTTATAAATATCTGAATTTTATATCTACTATGTAATAAACGAAAAAAGTGGATTTCGGACACACACACAAAATTTGCTGTGAGATAGATAGAAGTACTCGGGTTGATTGATACATTACACTTTTTCTCAACTCCTCGATTGATCCGATTCTCTCTGTCTCAACTCTCTCATTTTTGCATACTCTTTCTATCGTGTCAAGCACACTTTTCTTGTGCTTTCTCTTCTTTGAATTCCTTTACATCATCATCTTTTGTTAGCAGCTAGAATAGCTGACTGATATGTACAAAATTATGAGGCGAAATTTGAAGCAGAAGCAACGAAAAAAAGATGATATGATTTTGAGAAGAAATTTGGAACTTGCGAAAATTTTATGAGCCTGCCGAATTTCACGTGGATTTGAAAATTAAGAACATTTGATAGCTCATAAATCAGGGGTTACTACAGTAACCCGAATTTTTTCAGTGTTTTTTAGAAGAGTTCAAATTTTGGAACGTTTTTATCTATTATGAAATGTACAGAAAACCTGTAGTTTAACAAATTTTTTCTGGAAATCGGCATTTTTCTGTAACGAAAAAATCCACGTGGAATAGGAAATTTTAGATTTCTGATCTCCTTTTACCAAAAAAAAAACAAAAAAATCCCAAAAAAAATCACAAGAAACTTTCTTCGTGACTCGAAACATGTGTCATCCATCTCATTTCAAAAATCGATCAGAAAAATTGTTTTTTCCGCAATTTTTAATGGAGAATCTGAAAATTCTTGATTTCTCACCTCATTTTCTGCACTTTTCTCATTCTTTGATTTGTTGCGATTCGCCTGATCTTGAATCATTTTTTCAAACAAAGTTTTTGGAGCTTCAAATGGCACAGGTTTGATAGCGGCAATTGGTGGATTTCTGAAAAAATTTCAATTTTTTCCTTGTAATTTAATACCACCTGGTGTATAACATATATTTTGTGTAAAATATATTATCTTAACATAAATCATCGTGTTTTTTCATTTTTTTTTGCGGTGAAAAATTGTTTTCCCGAAAAAAAGTGGAAAAGTGTAATAGTATTCATATTTTTTGTTGATATTCATGCATGATTTTTTGAACATAAAAAGTGCACATGTTTTTGGGGATTGAAAAATGATTGGAAAATTCCATGTGGATTTAGGGACCAACTCTACTACGAAAACCTAATTTTTTTCCTTAAACCGACCTCGTGAATCCTTTAGGTGTCGATGTCATTTGGACAGTCGGTTCAGCACTATTTGGAGCCCTTTTTCTCGCTTCATGCACAATTACTGAACTCGGCAAACACAATTCCGAAACTGTGGATGGACATGGTGATGCACAATTACTTGATTCGTATCCCCTTGACGAACAAATCGAAGATGGTCGAAGTCTTCGTCTCTTCCGATTCACATATTGCTCTAAAATCGACTGATCCGGCAATATCAAATCATCACTGATCTCCTCTCCATCTTTAATAATCCATTCAACATCCGCTTCTCTATTTCGCATTTCATCCAAGATTATTGAAGCACGAGTATCGGATTGTCTTGAACAAGATCTACTGAATGCCGATTCCTCTGTTGCTGATTCAGATATCATATAACTTTGCATAATATCAGGTATGTTTGGAAGTGAAGGTGGAGGTGGAGTTGGGACTCTGATCTTCAACTTTAATCTCGCCTGATTCTTTCCTTCAATTGGGGTATCCACAAGAACTGTTGCTCTTTCTTGTCTAGCCTTTCTCCGATAATGCTCGGAAATTGCGATCTTTAAATCTGTTGTGCATCTGCATCGAAGTCCGATATTTCTATGATTTGGAATAGGTTTGCTGATCTCAGCTCGTAAGAATGTTGTCTTATTCCGTGGAGTGAAGTATTTGGTAATCTCTTTGGTGACCATTGGAATTTTCTTGGGTGGTTCGGGCTCTTTTTTGGGCTCTTCTGGTGTTTTTTCGAGTTTCTTGGCAGGCTCTTTGGTTACAACCACGGATTTTTTGGTGACCTCAGCAACCTTAGGCTTGGACTCTTCTTTGGATTTAGACTCGACTACTTTAGGCTTGACTTCTTCTTTAGGCTTAAGCTCAGATACCTTGGATTTCATCTCGGCGGTTTTAGGTTTTGGCTCTTCTTTAGGTTTAGCTTCTGTTATTTTTGGCTTTGATTCCTCTTTAAGCTTCACACCAATCTTAGATTCCACCAAAGTCTTAGGCTTAACCTCAGTTTTAGGTTTAGCCACCTCGTTAGGCGTTTTATTTTCAGCTACAACAGGTTCCTTGACTTCCAACACGATTGGTGATGATTTCTTGCGTTTTGTGACGATCTGAAAAATATTTATTTTGCCACGTCATACTTCTTCTGATCTCTCCGTAAAAAACTAACTACTTTTTTCTTGACAACCTTCTTCTCCTTTTCTTTTCCATCACCAATTTTCAAACTCTTCTCAATTTTCTCAATCGTCTTCAGAATCGCCATTATCATCTCAACCTCTCCAATTGCATCCGACTTATGAAAACTCTTATTTCTTGAAATGAACTCCTCATTTTCCGATGTTGTCGATTTCCACATTCCTGGAACTGGTCTCGCCCGTTTTTTAGGTTTAAAATGAGCTACCGCACTATACTGTGATTCGTCGTTATCCTGAAACATTAGGAAAGTTTTAAGACGATTCAGCTAGTAAGTAAGTTAGAGTTAAGCTAACTAAAAAACTACCTCCTCTTCTAAAGCATCTAAATCGGTTAGTTCGTCTGCTACATCCTCCTAAAAATCTATGAGTTAGAAACTAATAAAAAAACTTGAACAGAAAATTATTCTGAGAAAAATGAACCTTTGAAACTCCAAGAACTTCGATGAGCGATGGACTTTCTGCAAATAATGTTTTTTGTTGATGAGTTTACACCTTAAAAATTCTCGAACTCACTGATGACCTGATTTTTGACAACTCCATTTTTTGAGCTGCTTCGGGAAATTGTGGGAACCAGCGGAGAGGCGGCGCACGATTGAAAACCTTCGCTTTCCGGCGGAACAGATTGCCCCATTGGAACTGCGACGATTGAACCATCTTCGGCTCCCGTTTCATAGTGAGAAAGGGATTGAAGAGATTGCAAGGAAGTTTTCTGAAAAATTGAAATTTTTAAGACTAAGGGAAATCTGTACGCTTGAATAAATCCTCTTTGACCTAGTAAAATTCTCTAGTTAGCCAATTTCAAGAATTTTTTTTCCATGTGAAAAACGATTCTCTATATAAAATTTAGAAATAAGTCCTACCATTTCCTTCTCAATTTCAGCCGCTGTGACTTTATACTGAACGCCATCCAAAATTTCCGATTTCTTCCTCAATTTTCTCAACCTGGCTGCAGAATTTGACCTGCTTCGAATTCTCAACTTCTTTTGCTCCTCTGTCAATTCCTCATCCGACGACGATTGTTGTTGGCTGTTTTGACGAGAAGCACGGCGAGCTGCTGCAAAATATTTCTTGTTTCAAGAAAAAGTTAGATCTGAAAATCTTACTTCTTTCTCGAACACTTTTCTTGCGCACCACGTCTCGTTCTTTGCTCGATTCTCGAATAATCGATGACGATTTTTGTCTCTCCACAGCATTTTTTAATGGCGGGATTTCGGCGACGGTAGATCTTTTTGTGTATGTAGTTGTGGGATAGGTGGAAGTAGTAAAGCGGGTTGATGGTGAAAAATAAGACGAGGTTTCGGTTGATGGTTGACGAGAGCGATACTGCAAGTAAAAATGTTCGAGGGTTGCAGAGGAAGACCTTGGAGGAAAGTGAGATGTTTCAGAAGGTAAAAAGCACTGAACAGTTAGAAAAGCTGGAGCAGTCGGATAAGCTAGAGAATCTAGAAAAGCTATAGAAATTAGAGAAGCTTAATGATACACAAAAATAACTGAGAAATACACCCAAAATGATCATAAAAGGTCACACAAGCTAACCAAAAAAAATAAAAAACTAACCGTTGTGCCTAGCACACTAGCACCACTATAACTATTAACAAACTCATAACACGAAGACTCGCCGCCGTCTTGCGACAACGAGCCGCGACGCGAAGACGCATTTCGCGCCCGCCGTGACGTATACCCTTCACTCACATCATCGCCTAATGTCGAGCGAATGCGCGACGATTCGGCGAGTCGTTGACGCCACGGGCGATCGGCTTTTGGTGTAGTGCTGGAAAGTGGATTTTTTTTGGGAGATTGTATAAACGGAGACTTACTGTAGAGATATGGGAGTTGGAGATGGCGAAAGGACGCTGTTGCGATCACTGGAGTATCGTGACATAATTTCGGATGTTCGTGTTGGGGTTAGAGAGGTTGTAGATCGATAAGAAGCTGCAAAAGGCTTAGATCTTGAGAGTGGGAAGATTTCCCCCCGGTTCAGCATCGAAGAAAAAACTTACGTGTCGTGGATTTTGTCGTCAAACTACTTGTCCTCGGCTCATAACTCGATCGATAAACACTACTAATACTATTCGAATTTGCACCACCACTTGTCTGATTTCCCACTGAACGACGGAGCAAGCAAAAAAATGAGTAAAAATGAAAATGCGACAATAAAACTCACCAGATGTTGTTCTTTCGCGACTCGACCATTTATTTATCAAATCGCGCGCTTCACTGCGATATTTCTCACGATTTGGCATGCTCAGCGAATCAAAACGTGAAGCTCGCGCGCTTACTGATGGACCGATGCTTGCAATATCTGCAGCATTTTTAGCGGCGCTAGAGGAGAATCTGAAAACTTCAAGATTGTTTTGAATTCTGAGATAGATTTTAGACAAAGGATGTTGGGCACAGAATAATTCACAAATTTTCAGCTAACCGAAAAAAGTTTAATAAAAGTTTTCGAAGCTTGCCAACTTGATAGATATAATTTTGTGTGTTGTTGAAAAGAAAGAGCATGTGGTTTTGGCCGAACAAAAAAAACAGACGTTTTCGTTCTTTTTGATCGTTTTTTAGTGACCCGAGGCCAGCTGGACTATTCAGTTTTTTGGTCATTTTATGTTTAGACAGGGTATTTAGACACGGGGGTGGAACTTTTTTCTCAGAAAATTTTGAACATTATCATTATACAAACCAAAGTTGTGTGAATTTTTTGTTTGAATGTATAACCGAAAATATCAAAGGAAACATCTAGCAAAATCTAGATTCTACTTTATTTATTCTCTGAAAATTTGTACTCACCTACTACTACTAGCCCGGCTCTGCGGAATATACATCGATGCCAAATCAGATTTATTTGTCTCAAATCTTGATGCCAATCTATCTCGATAACTAGTTGATGGTTTATTCCATCTAACTGAATTCCAACTTGTTCCAACTGTTGATGGTTCTACTCCACTTGATAATAATCCATTTGAAGAAGCTGTTGGTGTTGTTCCACTACCACAAGACGACCAACGTTTTTGATAAATTGACATTTTTCAGATATATGTGTGGTCTGAAAAGTTATTGATTTTTTATTGAAAACTCATAAATCTAACGAGTTGGGTTAACACCTGGGATTTAGAACGTGGGCTGGAAGTTTCGCAATATTTTTTTGAGAAAAAATGACTAGTCAGAATTTCAGAATTTAGAAGAAATCAGAAATTATGGATTTTCAAAAAAAATTATATAATCTAACGAACTTGCTGATAAATCTAGAAACATAGTAAAGTTCCTAGAAAAAATATCCAGGAAAATTAGTGATTAGAAAAAATGAGAAAAAGAAGAACATTTTTACGATGACCAGTGAGATATATATTTTTGTCACACTTTTTTTCTGCTATTTTGCAAGGAAAAAAATGAGATGAGTTTGTGTTTTTAGGGGATCTTGTGGAAAAATCAGAAATTATTTTTGATAAAAGACCTTTGAATTTTGAAGCTGCATATTTTACTATGCCTCGAAAATTTCTGCGTCAATTTTGAGATGAAAATTACTGATTTTCGGGAAAAAAGGATGGTGGAATTCATTTAAAAGTTTTGAGAATACACATTTTAAGAATGAAAAAGAATTCAAATTTTGATCACATTCACGTGAAACAAATTTCAAAATTCAACTTTTCAACGAAAAATGCAGTATTTGGAAAAGAATGTGATAAATCTCAAATCATCCAACGCGAAAAAACCAGAAAACCTCTCAACTTTTTTCCATCTCAGAAAAAAAAAACAAAAAATCATCATTCAAATAAACATCAAGTACCTCATATCCTCATACTTCACACAAATAAACATCATACAAAAAACTTGTAAACATCAAAGCTCAGGCTAAGCTTAGGCTGAGCTTTGCTCTAGACTGTGTCATTTGGGGGTTTTCAGGCTTAACCTTCGGTCTGGTATGGTTTAGGCAATGTCTAGAAAAAACTGAAAAAAAATCGGTCATCAAACACCCACACAAAATCAGGCTTTATCACTTTCTCTCTATCTCTAACATAACATAAAAACTAATTTTCACAGTGATCAGGAAAAAAATCGGAAAAGAGAAGTTGTGCAATATATATAAAATCAGAGAGAGAAAAAGAAGAGTCAGGTGTTCTTCGAGCTTTTTCTCAACACAATAATGAGTGAAAAAAGAGATATAGAAAAGAAATGGACACTGTTTGTATAAGATACATAAAATACACAGGAAAAAAATACGAAGTTTATATCGTTTTTTATTATGGTTTTTCTAGTAGGATCTGGGAGATCTGAGATTTTATGATCTGGACACATGAATTTGAGAAGTTTTAGTTGACAAAGAAAAAGCCTCGGTCATTTTTTTTGAAAATAAATGCACTGGGTAGTTTTTGAACATTCTTTTGGATTCTGAAAAATTCAAAAAACATTTAGAGCTGTTTTTGAGAGAAAAAAAAACTTCAATTATTTTTCATTTTTTCAATAAAAAGTACACGTGGCTTTTCAACAATTCCTTTTGGAAATTAGGCTTTGAAATTTGCATGACAAAACAATCGGTCCTTAAACTTTTGGGAAAAATTCCACAAAATTGGGGAAAAATTGATTGCGAAAATCTCTGGAAACCAGGAAAAAAACCTACTTGTTTTCTTTGTAAATTAGTGGCAATTTGAAATAAAAAATAGAAGTTTCAATGCAGACACTTGTTCCTCAAAAAATGACTGACAATTTTTGATTTCAGTTTTAAAGAACAAGGAAAAGTTCAAAGAGCCCAGATGTTGTGAAATCACAATGACTCACTTCCCAACTCAAGAGTCTAATTTTCACAATTTTACTGAAAAAAAACTCACCTATAATTTTTAGCGTTTTCTCTAACAAAACATCGAGACAATTGTGATTATTCGTTCGCTGCAAAAACACAAAAAAAATTATTTTTCCTAGTTTTCGAGGGAACAAAAATCATCAATCAATCAGTGCACATTTTTTTCATTCCAAACCAAAAGCTCTCTAGAAACCAAACCTATAGACAAAAAATGAACGGATTTCTTTTTCGCTCAAAAAACCAAAACAAACTTGACAAAAGTACTTATCAGGTGTTTTTCCTAGCCTAAGAGCCTACTAAAATGACACATGCTCTAAGAGCAACCAAAAAAATGTGTAAAAAACGGAGTGTAGAATTACAAGAAAAAATGAGACACATCTGGAATTAGGTATGAAGTTTAATCGATTTCTTTGAATTTGATGACATCGGGTCACGGATAAATATAAAATTGATCTTTTATCTGAAAAAATGAAGAGAAATGTGCACAGTTTTCAGTGCAAATATAAAAATCAACAGATCTAGTTAAAACGAACCTAGTAAGTTGAACAAATGTTGAAATGCATTTTTGAAAATAATCGAGAATTCTGATAATAATTTTTAAAGTTTATGGAAAACTTGATACAGAGATAATTGGAGATTCTCACCATTTTTTTTGTATTCTCTCATGATGTGAATAAATACTTCAAATTTTTCCGATGAAATTTTGTTCATTGAGCATGAAATCAAAATTTTGGTATTTTATTCTAATTATTGTAATTAACCTTTTTTGAGTACATTTGAAGTGGAGTTATTCCGAATTTCGGATTTGCTTAGCCAGAATATTTTGATGGCTGAAAATAAGAAAGATTTTTGCAGTCACTCCAAACTCGGAACCGATTTTCATGAAAATCCTTCGATGAATGTACTAATTGCAACATTATCACTCAAATGAGCCTAACTTATTTTTATCTCGTACTCTACCTTTAAAATAAGAATTTCCACGTTTTTTGGTGCCAGACGTCTGTCCGTTCCTTTTTCGAGTAAAAACCAAAACTATCCATCTTTGTGCTCTTTTGCTCATTTCACTTCAAAATCGTCTTATTCTTTCCTTATTCGCCTGCTCGTTTCCAAACTGATCCACTCGAAAACAAACACAACCTCTCGAAGAATTGTTATTATTATTATTATTTTATTTTTATTTGTACATATATACATGAGCAGGAGCAGCAGCTTTTCCCTTCCTTCCTTTCCTTTTTTCCTTTCTCTACACTCTCTCTCCTCATCTAAACTCCGCCCATTTCTGGCTCTAGCTCACCTGCTTTTTTTGCCCGTCTTATGTATATTTGAAAACCCCACGCCACGCTTTTTTGCTCAATCAACAAAAAGAAAAAACATGAATTTTCTAATATTGTTAATATTTTTTGTGAAATTTTCGCAAGCGATTGATGTTTTTTGTGGACAACTCGAAGTTTTTAATGAGCAAAGATATGGTCTTGGCGCGATTACTGTATCCAGTCAGAGTACGGTGGATTTGAAGCAGTGTTTGGATGTGTGTTGTCAGATACCAAGTAGGTTTTTTTTGAGGATTGCCACGTGGATTTTTAATCCTACTTTTTGAAAATTGTTTCTGATAAATCGAGAAATAGATTTTTGGGGGGGGGGGTTTTTTTTGAAAATATTCGCTACATAGATCAGAATTTTCTACAATTTTTAAACTTTTTTGAAACAAGATTTCTCAACAGGAATTGAAGTATAATTTTCGAGTGACTTATTAAATCTAGTTGTTTTCAACTTCCGGTCATGATTTTTCCATATTTTCTCGTCAAAATTCCGAATTTATCTGCTCATGTTACATCCCAAAAATATACACATATACATAGATAAATCTCGAAAAATCCTCAGCTCAAAACAAATAAAATGATAATATTTGTTCCAAAATGAAGTGTGTCTATCTATCTATGTGTATTTATTTTTGCTCAAACATGTCAAAAAAAATCATGTTCCAAATTTTCGTTTCAAAATCCCACAGAAAACAAACAAACAAAAAATCTTTTCACGTCATTGTAAAATCCAGATTTTGTGGGAAAAATCGAAAATTGCTCATATTAGTGTTCAATTGAGATCAAATGAATTTGACCTAATTATCCATTCCTTGAAAAAACAATTATTTTTATTATAATAATCCCTATAAATGGCAGGTGTTTTCACCAAAAAAAAAAGAAATCTATATAAAATCTTGGGACCTGTTTGAGCCGAGAGTATTTTTTGTGTGAATGCACCAACAAAAAAAGGGAGAATAATTATACCTGGTTTCTATGGTGATTTTTGAGGGAAAAATTGAGGAAAGCAATTTTTTGATCAAAACTTTTACCAGGAAAAAAAATATCAAATTTCAATTTTCAATGTATACTTTTTATAGAAGTCTCAACTTTCTAGGTTCGCTTTATTTTTGGAGAAAAAATAATATGAAACTATGGGAAGTAAAAAAAAACGAATTGAAAATTCAAATTTAGTGACGTTTAGAACCAAATATTACTAACTTTCTGAAATTGGCTCGTATAATTTTTGAGCAAAAATGTGAGCTGATGCTCCATTTTTTAGAAAAATTATTGCGCGTGGATCTTAGAGCCAAAAATTTGTGCTGACAACACGCCGACGTTTCAAATTTTTGATGCCACGTGGATTTTTCGTGTAGATTTTAAGATTTTCTCGAATTTTCAATTTTTACATCACGAAGTTAGTCCAACTCGTTTTTCATCCATTTCATTCAAAAAACTGACCACATATATAGGTTTATTTCCTTTTCAGATTATCGAAATGTGTTTGTGTGTGCTCATCTTTTTCCTTTTCTTTTTCGAAAAAGAATAGAAAAATGTGTCAATAAAACAAAAGGTTTTTGTTGGTGTTGTTCCAAAAAGATGTGATGACACGGTCGGATTAAAATACCGTGCAAGCGGAAAACCAACAAAAAACTTTTGAAATCAAACAAAAATTTTGTATTGTTTTGTTGAAAAACTGGAACTTTGAAAAGCCCGAAATCCACGTGTCAATAAGAATTTTAAAAAGACGAAAGGGGAGAGGTTGAGCATTTTTTATGTAGATCAAATTTTTCGACATCCCTAATCTCTAATTTTTTCCAGACTGCGATGGTGTAACATTCGAAGGAATCACTGCCAACGACTTCAACGAACCGAATTGTCTTCTAGTTTCCTGCGATCCAATTTGTCAATTAAATCCGCCAAATCAAAAATCATCGGGAATATTATCGGTGATTCTGCATCGACAGCGAGTGAGTTTTCAAAGTAATTTTTGTTCGAGAATTTCTGGACATAGAAATTTCTATTTTTATTTTTATTTCATATTGGCTACTTCCTCGAATATCTAATTAATTTTTAATAATAAAAATAACACTATACATTCTTGAGATATTTATTTACTTCTTCTCCTTTTATTATTTTTGGGACTAGTAATAATACTACTAGTTCTAATGAATTATTAAAATGTGCTTGTTACCTAGAAACCGCAAAAATAATAAGAAAGAAAAGATTTGTATGGTTGAGTTGACCAAGCAGAAAGGGCAAGATTTGGGTGAAAATAGATTTCTTTCTTGATTTTGAATTTAAACAAAAGGGAATTTAATATTCTTACAGAATACTACAACAACAACTACAACTACCGAAATGTCACTCTCAAATTCCACGACACCTTATGAATTCAAGGCGGCTCTTACGCCATTCTGGGTGTTGGCAATTGCAATTACGGTGGCTGCTGTTTGCATCGGGTTGAATCTAACACTATGTTTGGCGTATTGTTGTTATTGTCGAAGGAAAAAAAGAAGTCAGAAGGCACAAATTTCGACGGTTAAAGGAGGACCAACGTTACATGCATATAATCAACCTATTTAGGGTTTAAAGCGTTTCCCAAAGAAACTAGGATTACTTCAAGTGTTTTACGAGTATTATTTTTGTATATTTTTGTTTTCAAAGTTCATCTTGCCAAATGAAACGTTTTATTTCTCACAAGTCAGTTTTTTATTAGTTTGCGACTTAACTATGTATAGTGATCCTTTAAATTTTTCAGGATTACTGTAATTTCTAAATCCATCTTTTTGAAAGTCTCTTTCAGAAATTCATGTCTAATAATTCAGAAATCCAAAATTAAAATTCAAAATTAAATATTATTTGCCACCTCATAGTTTTTTGTTTATAAAAAATATTTTTGAAACTTTTTTATAAACAAAAAATATCGCATCCCCATAGAAAATAAAAATAAAAAAGCTATCAGTTTTCAATATGCTTCTCTTATTTTTCCTACTACTATTTTTGATCAAAATCTCTGGAGCAAGTTATATTTGCAAGGACAATGGTCTCACATTCGCGGCAAATTTTACAGAGAACTCATTTTATGAGGAAGGCAAAGACTTATGTGAATATATTTTCGTACCAAAAATGAATGAATCAGTTGTTTTGTCGGATATTTCGTGTGATTATAATGTGGATATTTGGCTGATTTTTGGTGATGAACAAGAGAATTTCGAAGAAAATGAAATTTCATTGGGAAAAATTAGTAAATCGTATTGCTCTGATAATTATAAATATGAGTCTCCAGAAAACACTGGAATTCGTGTAAAAATCTATAATAAAGAGGAATATGGAATCAGTTTTGACTTCAAAAGAAACAAAAATCCTACTGCCAAATGCGAGTTTCCTATCAAACATCTGATTGCAAATCAATCGATTCTTTTAACATCACAATCGAAATCTGAAAGATGTGTATATCGCCTGATTCCGTCTGAACATTCCGAAGATTTCAATGAAATACTTATTGAAGATCTTGTTGGTGATATTTCATACGAAGTTCGGCGACATGATGAAAATGGTACAATTTTGGAAACGGAAGAGATTAGCCAGACACAGTTTTTTGCAAGGCAGATCTTAGATGTTTATTTGGAACGGAATTATGATTCTTCTAAATTTGAGTGGAGAGCGAGTTTGGCGCATAGATGTGAGTTTTTTTTCGATTTTGAGGATAAAAATACACCTGGGAAAATTCAAAGATTTTGAATCTTTGAATTTTCTAAGGTTTCTTCCCCACACCTCCCGTCCCTCTTATATTAAATTTTCAGCTTGCAATTGTGGTCCATCAGAAGTGTCAACAAATTCCACGATTACAACACTACGATCACCGGGTTTTCCCAAAGCAAACTGCCATCATCGACAATGTTATTATTCTCTGAATTTTGATATTTTGGAAAACTCATATCAAATTCTATATTTCAATATTATCACAAATTTAGTGGAATATGATACTTTGACAATTTCTGAACTATCATCTCACAATCGCATTTTTCGTGAAAATGAAGAATTCAAAAAATTCGCCATAACTCCGCGAAATTTTGTGGTTAACTATGAAGCCAGTTCTACAATTTCTGATCGAAGTTTTGAGATAAATATCACAAAAATTGATATATTGGAACAATGTCGTTGCTCATCTTATGGTGATAAAATATATAAAACTTCACGCGGAAAAATACAGCTAAGAATTCCCAAAATCTGTCAAAACATTTTTTGTCATTGGAGAATTCAACGCGAAAGTGATGGTTATTATTATGTAATTTTTTTGAATTTGTAAATTTTAAAATAGATAATTTTTTCAGAGATCCCAGAGTGATAAAGAAAGATTGGTTTTCGAAATATCTTTGGAATCCGGAAACCCCAATGATTTTCTAACCTTCAACCAGAAGAAATTCTACAAATCTCCTCATAAATCAATATTTTCAACCAAAAATTTTCCAGTGGATATCGATTTTCAACGTTTTGAAATAAACGTTTTGACAGACACAAATATTACTGTAACGTGGAAGAAAACAACTGGTAAGCTTCAAAATTCATCGTAGAAAAATTTATCTGAATCTTTTTTTTAGATTGTGTCTGTCCCACTCCATTCATTCAAATTGCTGAAAATCAATCAATAATTCTAACAAGTCCAAATTATCCGGATGAATATTGTGTAAATATGAATTGCCAAACTAATTTGAAATCCGAAAATGAAACTCAAATCGAAATTTTCATCGAAAAATTGGAACTCGAGAATTTCCACGATTATTTGAAAATCGATAACAATAGCATCGAATTGACTGGAACTTATCGAAACTATACAATTTCGACGGGAAAAAATGAGGTGGATTTGAGATTTGAAAGTGATTCAAATGAACAAGATAATGGATTTTTTATTGTTTTGAGATCTCGAAAAGTGGAGGAAAAATCGACGGGGATTTCGAAATTTCTAATTTTTCTGATGTTATTTGTGATTTTTATTTTGTTGGGAATTGGATTCTTAAAATATCGTCACATTTTCCTGAATAATACCAAAGAAAATGGGGTTGTGAATTATCAGAATTATGCTGTTGAATAAAAATCTTGTTTTGTTTTATTTTTGGGAAGATTCTAAATTTAGAACGGGTAGAAAGTATTCTAAAAAACATGAAAAAAACGACCGATTTTTAGCTCTCTGACGTGAAAAAATACGTGTTTGAATAACCAGTGAAATTTTCTCATTTTTCAAATTTACTGCCTTAGAAATGCCAGTTTTGAAGTTTTTTTCATTTGTCCTCGACATGAGTTACTGTCATTTTTTTCGGGTATGTGAAATCATTCGGGTTTTCAGTAGAAAAAATCGAACTTTATTTGAGAAATAATTATTTTTCATACCATCTTCATCTTCTCTTTGATCTTAATCTTCTGGAATACCAATAGCAAGCTCCTGGATTTACGATAGGTCCCTCTCCCCTCCCTCCAAACTTACTTTACTTTGATACTTTTATGGTCCATTATATCAAGCCATAATCATAGTTGTGAACCAAACAGCTCCATAGTGAACGATCTTGAGCCATTCGTGACCAGGGAATTTTGCTGGATATTATCCCGATACTTCTTCTTCTTCTTCTGTGGCCTGCCCATCTGATTTTTGTTTTCATAATCAAATTCGTCATATCTGGTAATTTACCGGCTCCAGCTTACATCCATATCTATGCATATATGTGGTTGATTGTTCTTGACAAAAAAATATTGTGTGCATTTGCGCGTCAATTCCGCAAACACCGTCACCTCGTGTTATTATTTTTTCATTTTTCTTTTTCCTCCTTTTCCCTCGATTTTCAGCCAAATTCCAGTATTTTGTGACAAAATGAATGAATTGAAACAAGGCATCGGAATACTGGAAACATCGTTGACTGGCGAGCCGCCATTTTGGGACAATTTTGATCAAATTTTCTCGCTCGACGCGGCGCCGGTTTTTGCGCTTGGAAAACGGATTGATACGAGCAGAGAAGGCGGAGTTCAGGAGTTGAAAAAGTATATACAGTCGAGGTTGTGGTTCACGTATAGGAGGAATTTTTCGCCGATTGGTAGGAAATTTTTGGGAGGGATTTTGAGCAGATTTGTCTGTATTTAAAGAAGAAAATCTGTTTCAATTGGAAATTCAGTTTTTTTCTGATTTCTCCGGAAATTCACAAAAAGCCAAAAATTCTTATCAAAATATAACATATATTCCAGGCGGCACAGGTCCATCATCAGATCAAGGTTGGGGTTGTATGTTGCGATGTGCTCAAATGCTACTCGGTGAAACTTTGCTCCGTCGCCATATTCATCGACATTTCGAGTGGAACATCGAAGAAATCTCGCCAATTTACGAACGAATTTTGCAAATGTTTTTCGACGAAAAAACGGCGATTTATTCGATTCATCAAATCGCTCAAATGGGTGTGGCTGAGGGGAAAATGGTTTCGGAGTGGTTTGGACCAAATACTGCTGCTCAGGTTAATTTTTGATGGGAAAATTCAGGTCGTTCGGGAAAAATTAGACCTAGGAGTTGAAAGTTTGAAAAATAAAACAAATTTAATTTCAGGTCATTAAAAAGTTGACAATTTTCGACGACTGGAGCAATATAGCAGTTCACGTGGCATTAGATAACACTTTAGTAATTGAGGATGCGATTCGAATGGCTACAAGTTATCCAAGTGAAAATGCTGTCAAATTGATTTTTGGTGAGATTTTGGGGGAAAATGTGGGATTTTTTTGAGAGCTAAAAATCGGTCATCAACCTAGAAAACTAAAATTTCCCTGAAAATCCAAAGAAAACTCAAAAAAACCTTTTCTCGAAAAAAAAAACCAAATTTATTCAGAAAAAAACGACAAAAATACAACAAATAAAACAAAAAACGTAGTGAAAATATGTGAAGAGCAATTTGTAACTTTTTTTGATTTTTCAATTTTTTGCTCGAAATAAAAAATAGGAAGAAAAAACGTGGAAAATAGTCATCAATTTATAAATTTTTGTGATTTTTCATTTTTTTTGTGGGGTGAAAACAGGTCGAGTTTTCAAGTTTGAAGCGATCCAATTTTTACCAATTGTATCGGGCGGCGACATCTTGAGCTTCTGAAAATTAGAATTTTTAGTTTTGAATGTTCACCTTGAAATAAATAAAAAATAAAAATGAAAAATCTCACAAACCTTCATCTTCATCTGCCAAATATTCTCTTTGTCCATTTTGATCAACAACAATAACTCGAACATTTCTATTTGGATTTTCGACTGGAACTTGTTGATTTCCTTGATTTTCTCCTTGTTGTTGTTGGTTTTCTTGTGGATTTTCTTCTTCTGAAGACAAATCCTCATTGGCTGCAGCATTCACAGCTGGAGCTTGTCTTGCCACTGGAAGTCTTCGCAAATTTTGTTCTTCCGAGCCATCCTCGGCTTCTGAGATCTGACTCGCTCTCATTTGTTGAAGACGTTGCTGTTGTTCTTGGATGATGTGTGGATATCTGGCCTGAAAAAAATGAGGACGTTTTTTGATATGAGAGGTATTTTGATCCTAGAAGCTCAGAATAGAAATATATAGAAACTCATTTTGAAAATGTTTATGTTGGGGTTTCTTCGATTCTAATTTTCATAATAATTCAAAAAAAAAACTCACTGGATCTCTTCTCGCTCTGAGAACTTCAATATCGTGAATCAATTGCTCGATTTCTTCGGCAACCAATCCATTTCCTTCTCTGTATGGTCTGTAGACATTGTTGGCCATTTTTGTGTGTGTTAGTAGTTGTTGTTAGTGGTAGAACTGAAACAAAATATGACTTTTGGTGGACTTGGTGGGGAATAAACGGGAAATGAGCGAAAATAGACGCAGTTCTAAGAAAAAAGATCAAGAATAGGTTGAAAATGCCGTAAAATTCACAATAAAAAATATCAAGCAAATTTACTGTAATGTAAGCTAAATGAATGAAAAATTAACCTTTAGTTCATAAATTATCAAAAATAAAAAATAACCAAGCATAAAACTAGACTAGGCTCTAAAGTCACCAAACTCTAGAGCCCAAAAAATGGATAATGAAAATAAATAAACAACAACAAAACCATGGCTCTGACTCCGCCCCTTTTTCCATTTTTTGGCCACACCCCTTCACATTTTCTTGGGGCACTTCCCAAAAGCAACAAAACGCTCCAATTTGTTGTTGTTTTTTTGTGAAAGGTGTCAACAGATGTTGGATCATAGCCATTAAATTTGAATTTTCACAAAGGAGGTGTTAGGATTTGCCACGTCATAAGACTATAATTGATAGGAGATTGGTAAAATGTCAAGTTTTGAATGAAAAAAAATGGAATTTCGATGGGTAAATATCTGAAAAGTCTATGAAAAACTTATGAAATTCCTAGATGCTTTCAGAATGAAATTTTGGAATTCAAACTTGCCACGTCATAGAGTATTTTTTGAAAGAAATTTGAAGAAATTGACAAGTTTATTTTAAATGCTGAATGTTTGGTGTCATCTTCAGAAAACCCTTCTCCAGGTGAGAAAAATTACCACAAAATATTGAAAGCTACCCGAAAATCCTCTGAAAAAACCCCTGAATTAGAAAAAAATGTTATTTTCTCACCAAAAATAATTTTCAATATTTTTTCCAGAAAACGGCAAAATCGACGAGACGCTCAAAAAACCGCAGAATTTCTCAACTTCCACAGATTGGCGCCCTCTACTCATCACAATTCCACTCCGATTGGGTCTTACAACGATTAACGAGTGCTATTTACCAGCAATTCGAAAATATTTCGAAATTCCACAATGTGTTGGAATGATTGGTGGAAGACCGAATCATGCACTGTATTTTGTGGGAATTGGTGGCGATAGAAAGTTATTTTATCTGGATCCACATTATTGTAGACCAAAAACTGATTTGGCACCGAAAAATGGCGAAAATTCACCAAAAACTGATGAAAAATCATCAGAAAATGATAAAAAATCACCCAGAAAATCCCCAGAAACCGCGCAAGATGAGAGTTTTTCGAATATAGAAGATCTTGAACCGCTGCCTTCGCAAACTTCAGATATTTACACAAAACTCGATAATTCGACTTATCATTGTGAAATGTTACTTTGGATGGATTATCAAAATATTGATCCATCCTTGGCTATTTCATTTTTCTGCGAAACAAAATCTGATTTTGAAGAGTTGTGTGCAATTTTGAAAGACGAAATGTTGAGCTCAACGAGTCCGCCGGTTTTTGAGCTCGTGGAGAAAAGACCAAAATATTGGCCTGAGTTTGAGCCGTATGTTGGAGTTGAAATGAAGATTGAAATGAATGGTAAGTGGATTTTTGAGGAGTGAGACTATTGGGAAATCTTTAAACTTTTAAGAATTGTGAAAATCCCGAACGTGAAATTGAAAAATTGAATTTTTGAGTTAGACATTTATTTCGCCACGTGGCTTTTCTAATTTTTGATTCTCTTAAATATTTTATTTTTCTGACATTTTTTGTCCATTTCAAACACACTTGGCGAGAGAGTGTCCCAAAATTTTTGTGCAGCGTGAAAATTTATTCAGAATAAAAATTGTGCAGCGTGAAATTTTGAATTTTTTCGAATATTTTCATCAAAATCTGCTGAAAATCAATGAACACCTCACTTTTTCGTGAAAAAAATTTTGAAAATTTTCATTAGCTACCCGCCCGAATCCAAATTTTGGTTTGGGTGGGAATTTTTATTTGAAAATTTTTGTACAGTATCCTTTTTGGACACGTCTCGTCAGGTGAAATTTTCAAACTGAAGATACGGAATTCAAAGTATCTATTTTTCACCCGAAAAACAACCTGCAAAAATTCTAAACTGCCACGTGGCATTTAAAATGTTAACTGTTAAAAACCTCCTATTTTTGCAGAATTCGATGATATTGGACAAGCGGGAAATGAAGAAGAATTCGAGGTATTGGATGTATAAAAAATAATGTTGTATAATTTTGTAAATTTTCCCATTCAATTTAATTTGAAACTGACTTATTTACACGAATAATTCTTTTGAAAAAAGGAAAAAATATGACTTTTAAGAGATTAATAATAGGAGAAAATAGTGTGGGATACAGTGTAATCAGAGTTCGATTTGACTGGAATTTTTCGCGCTTTTTCCGAATTTTCGCCAGGTACTGTAGAAAGTTCGCGCATCGCTGGTCGTTGCGAATTCACAACTTCATTAACCTCCTCGAGCGACATTTCCAAATTGAGGCATGTCATGAGTCGCGCAACTTGTCGTTTTCCTTGTGATTTCCTAGTTTCACATCGCCAAACCGTAGGGCGACGAGATTCGAAAATTGATGATGAGAGTGAGGAGATTTCGAGACGTTGTTCGAATTTGAAATCGAATTTCGATTGACCGAGTTGAGCAATTGTTGAGGAAACGTGTTCGGCGATAATTTTTCTGAAAGAAAAAATGATATGAAAACAAATATTTATTTTTTTGGTAGGATTCAGGTAGCAATCACAGAAATGTACGCTTCAAGAGCTTGTATATTTAAAATTAATTTTTAGCTTTATTTTTTGTGTTCACCTATTTATAGATGAAAGTCAAAATGATCCAATTTTTTTTTGAATTTCGGCTGAAAATTCTCCAAATCAAACAATTTTTGCCTGAAATCTTACCTCGCAATATCAGGAATCCGTTTCTCCGAATTCTTATTAATCATTGTCACAAACTCCTCAATCGTCGCCAAACTCATCGCAATCGGTAAAATGGCAATTGCTCTTGATTCAGCCTCCTCAAATTTCCGGCGAATTTCGCGTTCGCAATTCGTCATCGTCATTTCCAGCTCTTCTTGACTTAATTGAATCTTGGTCGAAAAATCTTGAATCAATTTTCTTTTCAAATATTCCGTTCCGATTTCCATTATCATTTCAACCGTATTCAATTTTTCTAAGCGCGGAATTCGAAAATTGCCCGATTTTGAAGAATGTATCAATTGAGCCAATCGACTTCGATTATTATAATGAACACGCGAAGAAATTGATCCGAAATTCAGTGCGGTGAAAAAAATGCGAAGCAAATCAGCGGCTTGTTCGATATTCGCAGATTTGTAGAGAATTTTCCAGAGTTTTTCGGTGATTTCGAGCTCGCCGGCAGTTATTCCAAAAACTTGGTCTTTTCGAGAACCTTCTTGAATGAGTTCGTCTAATTCTGCGCGAAGATTTTCCGGATTACTGGCGATGAATTTGATCTCTTCTTGAGGATTGGCTGGAAAATGAGATTCAAGAATTTGCAATTGTCATCTAGATTTTTATTCCCAGAAAATCTGAATTCCCGGACCAAACTTTCCCAAAATGAGATTTTTCAATTCAAACTCACCCAAAACATCAGCCAAATTCAAAATGAACATAACCTCTCCATACATTTCAACATCTCTAAAAAATCGCGTATCCGCCCATCCCAAATCCACTTTCACTGTACAAACCGCCGAATTTGGTGGTGACGCCAGAAATTCGCTCGCCGTTCCCTGACACCATTTTATATCCACCACAACTTCTCCGGGATTCCTCCTTTTTTGGCTGCAAATAGCGCGCTTAATTTGATAAGTTGCCCGGAATTCTTGAGTTTCGGCGGGGTAATTTTGAGAAGGAAATGCGCCGTTCAATTGAACGACTTGATTTCGTGTCTCATTACAGGCAACTCCAAGAATTCGCGTGATTCCTGTGAGTTTTTGTAATGGGTCGATGATTTTCCAGGCAATTGATGATAACAATTTTTTAGGGGATTTTGTTGAGATGATTATTGGTATTGGTTTTTCAATATCAAATGGAGGAGTTTTGCGAATTCTGGAAGAAACTAAGAGATTTTCGATGGGTTTTTGGACTTTGCTCACTTTGCCTCCAAACTCATCGCTTCACTGATATCAATCGGATTACAGTCGAAAAATTCGACACACTCGAAACCAGCCAAATCTTCTTCAGTTTCGTGACCATTTCGAGCTTTCAATTTCGACAGTGTTACAAATGAAGTGTGCAATGGTCCATTTTCGATGTTTTCTGTTGTGTCCATCGCAAATTCATCTTCTTCTTCTTCTTGTTCGAGGTTTTGATGTTTCTTAAAAGTTTTTGCGATTTTTGAATCGATAACTATGGCTTCAGTGGCAGAAAGTCCGATTGATTCGATGTTGGGATGATTTTGAAGAATTGGAAGTTCAGAGATAGGTAGAAGACGTGCACGGTACTTTTCGAACTGAAATTAATTCTTCGTTGGAAATTTCTATGAATATTTGAAAAACTTACGATAACCACAGGTGCTGGAAGTGGAGCATTTTCATCTCCTTCATCTTTCCAACACTTCATTTTTTCATTGTACACTTGCAAAGCGTACATTTTACCTGAAATTTTACCTGAAAAGGTTTCGAACGTGAGAAACAATAAAAAATTTGAACATGAAGACAGTATACAACTAGCAATAAAATTCAAAGGGACGTCTTGAAAAAGTCTGGGAAAATTACGATTTTCTGTGTGAGACCTTGAAATTTTTAAAAATTATTCTTCCCGCGGTGCAAAACACTGACGCTGTTCTCATTTTGCTGGCGCGTTTCGCGATTTTTCTATTTTTTTTTTCGCCTGAAGGAAACATTTTTCAAGTTTTCCAGTGAAAAATGGCTGTTCAGGGTCAAACTTGGACGGAAATTCGAAAACAATTAAGTGAGTTTTATATGAGGGTTCAGATAAAACGTAAAAATTCTCATTTATTTTTAGCGTCTTCGAAATGGCGAGGGATTTTGAGTTTTGATGAGTCCTGCCCATATTATATGCATATTCCGACGCAGGTGAGTTTTAATTGATAGTTAATTAATAGTTTATCGAATTTTATTTCAGTTTTCTCATTTGTCAAATGTTCTGCCGGAAGAGCAAGAAGAGATGGTTTTCACCGAGTTGAAGCTTTTCCTTCTCGGAAATCAGACGGAAAATATCCGAATTGGGGAGCTTGATGAAAATAATTTGCCATTATCAATTGATGTGAATATCTCGTTTGATCCGTTTATTAGATCCGAATTGGAACGTTTTCACGAAACTTTGATTGCGATTTCAACCATCAAAAAATGTTGTTTTGGTAAGTTTCGGATTTTTGAAAGGTGTAAAAAGTTTCTAGTGGTTTTTGAATGTCCCTTTGCCCCGAACAATAATTATCCAATTTTTTCTTTTAAGCCATCACTAACGATACAGTAACCTACGCGCTGATTTCGGCTACTGTAGCAAGTGCAATTCAGGAAAAAGTTGATGGATTTGTGTTGGAAGTTTGCGAGAAATTGGACGCTCTTGGGGTAATTTTTTCAAGAAATAAATCTAGAATTCCAAAATTTTGCAGGATTCCACCCAACAACTGAATAGTTTGTTTCGCGAAGTTCACACAATTCATGAATCACTTGCGATTTTCGCCGAAATTTGTCGCAAAATCCACGTGGAAAAGCTGATTGGCGGACAAGTTTTGACAATTTTGGATGCGAAAAGACGCTTGATTTATGGTGGAAATGTGCTAAAAGATTTGAACGATGTTTTTGCGGTGAGAAGATTTGAAAACCTGAGTTCCTTTTTTTAAAATTCTTTTTAAAATTTCAGGCCGGCTGGCGAGTTTTCGCCAAATATATCGGACAACTTGTGTGCAAATTTGAAGCGGATTTTTTGAGCTATGAGGTGGGATTTTGGTGAAAATCTATAATGATTACTTGAAAAAATTAATTAGGGCTGTAAAAAAAGTGTGTTCGGGTGCCGGAATACACTGAAAAAAGATCACACGAATACACTTTCACCCGAACACACTATTTTTTTGTGTGTATTTTATCATTAAAAGTGTGTTCGTGTGTGAAAATAGTGTGTTCGTGTGAAGTGTGTTCGGGTGAACTATTTACAGCCCTAAAATTAATTGAGAAATTTTTTTGAATCATTGTTTGCTTCCGAATCGCAATTTTGCCCATTTCTTAAGTTTGTAATCTGGTCCACAAAATACATGTCCGAACAACAAATCAAACAACTCTCACCTATTGCCAAACATACCAAAAACAATCGATTTTTGATAATTGAATCGCTTTGTCCGAAATTCTTCACAAAATATTTGGATATTTTGGTGAGATGCGCCGAATTTGGTGACGTAGGAGGCGAGAAAATTTTGACGCAAGAAAATGGCGAAAAAAATTGCGATGATAAAGAATCGATAAAGAATATGATGGAGGATGTGAGAAATGTTGATTGGCAACAAATGGATGTACCAACTACGGCGAGAATGGTAGGCAAATTTGAAGTCTAGGCTCTATTCTGGTCTACAAAAATCTTTTTTTTTGTTTTTCAAGCTCATATGGAAAATTCTGACAAAAATTATGTTAAAATTTACCAGAAAAACGTGTTTCTAACTCTACATTTAAAGAGGAATATCAGCTTTTTACCCAAAAATCACAAAACATCTAATTTATAATTTTCAGCTTCTCCAATTTTCGCGCAAAGAATCCACGTGTCTTCTGCGAAAAATCACATCGGCCACAAATGTGGGACAAGCCATCAAGTTAGTTTTTTCCTGAAATTGAAAACTCAACCTGAAATTGAAAACTCAAGCTGAAATTAAATTCTTTCAGAGATATCCACGATTTATTGTTGGGCGGTTCGAGTGCTCATCAAATTATGATGCATTGCATACAAATGGATATTTTGGAAAAACCCATTGATGTACGCTAATTTTTTTTCACGAAACAAAATCAATTTTAAAAAATGTTTATTTCAGGAAATTGGTAATATTCGCCTGAAAAAACTGACAAATAAAGTTTTCCACGTGGCAGCTGAAGAGGATCATCCATTTTGGAAACATATCACATTCCGATTGGAAAAGCGCAATGTTTTTGAAACTTTGGCGGCGAGAATGCAACCTGGAATGGCTGTGGAGCAAAATCAGCAATATGTGGGTGAAAAAAATGGTTTATGGGGAAATTTTTACCAGGGAATCAGTTTGTTTTTGGTTCTCAAGGTCTCCAAATTCGTGATCTACCCACAATTTTAGTCTAGAAACGCTAGAATAATGTATAAGTATAATTGTCTATGTTAGATTTAGGTGCTGATTTCGATAATTCAAATTAAAATGGATATTTTACTCTAGAAAACTCCGTTTTTTGCAGGCTCTTTTTGAATGTCTAACTGTGTCCCTAAATTGTCCCATCGAAATCGAGCCAATCATCTCAGTTTCCGCCTTCTACGGACTCGAATCAATTTTCCGAATTTGGTTGCAATTACACGTGGCAAGTTGGAAAATTGCCAATTTGCGCGATAGTTTTCGTGGAATGATGCCGCAAAGTGGAGGCGGTGGAAGTGAAATGACAATTCGAAAATTGTTGATAAGTTCGTTGGGATCAGAAATCGATGCAATTAAATGTCGATGGGTTGCTTATATTTCGGTGGCGCTTTCGACGTATTCTGAAAGGATTTTGAAGGTAATTTTGGGATATTTGAGCTGAAAATTTGCCGAAAAATTGCCTGAAAAGTCAATTTTTCGATGAGAAATCATTTTAGAACACCCAAATTTTTATTTCGGCATAGAAACACACCAATGAACGAACTTGAAATTTTTCCAAAATTTCCAAAAATTCCCAATTTTCTAGGCAATCTCATTGGAAGAATACACCGAATGTCAAGATCAACTAAATCGCGACGTGACTCGAATGATCGGAATCACTGAACTGTCGCAAATCGAAATCATCAAGGATTTGTTGAATATTATTTGGAGTTTCGAATCGGCCGAATCGATTGCGGATTTGTTGGCCGATTTAGAAGAAGTTCAATCGAGAGCTAGACTTGGAGCTATTGCTGTTAATTAATTAATCAATTATTTGAATCTCAAGAATCGTGTATAATTTATATCACTTTATTTTTTTTGCAACGGGGATGAATTTTGCTTACTTTATTAAAAATTGGTGACTAGATTTGAATTTCCGTATCCTAGAATGTGATTATTTTTTTCATCATCTAAAAACCTGACAAAATACAAAAACAAATTCGAATCGCTTAGAATTCCTCAAATCTCTGTCCTGTTTCCTCGCAAATCCCGTTTTTCACATGAATTTTTGTATCGTAGACGAATTTCGGCGATTTTCCGTAAATCCATTGCCACGACTTTAGGTCTTCCAGAATTTTTGCGATTTCTGGAGTGGATTTGATCAGTTCGGCGGGATTTTCGGTGATTGTTGAGGTGGAGGTGAAGAGATTTCTAGAAAATTTTGAGGATTGAATTTTTTACACAAAAAATACAATCATTTAATTTTGGCATAAAAAGACACAGGCAATCCGCAAAGGATCCTTTAAGGACGCTTAAAGGACCGTTCATCCTTTAAGCGTCCTTTTTTCATCCTTAAATTTTAAAGGCCGGAAAAAGGGTGGGCCAAAACGGGCTCATTTCATGCTCGTAGTGATAATAAATTGATGTCACACACTCAAAAAACCGAAATTATGTGTTATAATCATGAAACAATACAAAATTCCAACAAAAATGTAACCTTAAAAAAGTATCCTTTAAGGGTGCTTCAAACGATCCTTTAAGGAAGGCAAGCTCCGCCCCCTACACAAAAAATAACAGTGCGCGCAGCTCGCCATGTGTCCGTCATGCAGATTATATAAATAAATTTTCTCTGCAAAAAAGGCAATTCAGCTTTATTTCGCAGAAGTCTATATTTAATTGAAGTTTCGGACTTCTATTTTTGTTTATCATCTGTTTAACAGATTTATCACCAAAATTTTTCAAAATTTAATAAAAGGTCCATTTTTCATCCATCCTTAAACCGTCCTTAATTCGTCCTTTTTGATGTACTTAAAGCCCCCTTTTGTACAATTTTGGAAGGATCCTTAAAGCGTCCTTAAATGATCCTTTGCGGATTGCCTGTGGAGATAATAATTTTTCATGCAGAAATGTTTTTTTTCGCAATATTTTTCAAAAATTCCCACTCTCTTCACACCTGACGAGACGTGTCCAAAATGGACACTGTGCATTTTTTTCAAAAGTCACACTGCATTTTTTTCGAAAAAAAACTTTGTTTCCTTTTTTCATCAACATTTAACTTGGGGAAATAAATGCACATTTAGTTCAGTGGTAGGCCATTTTGCTAGTGTTCAGAAGGCCCAGGTTCGAATCTTCATTCGAGCTAACTTTTTTTATTTTTTCCCAACTTCAAAATCAACTTCAGATTGCGAATATTTCGAAGTTTCTCGGTGAAAATCAACTCAGCAGACTTTGTTTTAGTGTGGTAACATAATGTGCAGTGTGGAATTTACGTGACTGCTTAGCAAACCATAGTGTCACTGAAATTTCAAAAAAATTGACTTTCTATGAAAAAACTTCAAATTCCACACTGCACATGGGTAAATTCAAAAACTACGCTTAAAAATACACCAACTTTCTGAATATACCAACCCTTGATATGTGCTCGAAAAAAAATGCCGTCCGATTCTTTGTAATGTCCATATTTACCATCAAAATGGACACTTCAAAATAACAGCGAAATAGGGCATTTCCACACTGCACTCATGGTGTTCCACACTGCCTATGACCTTAGCAATCTATTGGAAAAAAATCAACTATATCCGTTAAGCCTAAGCTTAGTTATCCTAACTTCAAATTTTGAGCAACGTTGCAACGCATTCGTTTGAAAACAGTTTCCTTTCCACCAACACTTTCCCCTCGGGAGAAAAAAGAGATGTGGCCAAGAGGATAGCATTTTAGACTGACGAGCATGAGACCAGGGTTCGAATCCTCCTGCCCGCGGACTTTTTTTTTTTCGAAAAACTTGAAAATTTCACGCTGCACATTTTTTTTTGAAAAAAATTTTCACACTGCACAAAAAATTTGGGACACTCTCTCGTCAGGTGTGACTCTCTTCAAAAAACTTACTTATATGCCTCAATAATAGTTTCCTTCACCTCTTCAACTTCACAATTCACATCATCCTCTCTCAAAAATCCAACCTTTTTTGCTCTCACACTTCTAGTCGCATTTGTCTCAATTCTTTCCGCCAAATCACTTTTCAACGCGTTTTTTAAATTCTCCAAATTTGCGTCGACTAAAAGTGTCAGATGATGATAGGCTTGACCTTTTGCAATTCTAGCCGCAGTTCCAGAACATTTCCGATTTCCTGGCAAAAGTTCCATATCATCTCTCGAATTTGGTTCGATTTTCAGCGCGCGATATCGATTATTTATGGATTCGGATATGAATTTCAGATTTTTCGGGCGGCAATGTTGCGCATGTGTTGTTAATAAGGAGATATTTAGGTTTCCTAAATCATGATAAACTGCTCCACCTCCACTGTGTCTTCTAGCTATTTCTATATTATTTTTCCGTGTGAATTTTTGATTTACTTCCAGCCAAAGATTCTGATGTCTTCCTATTACCACACAAGGTTGATTCGACCATATTAACAATAATTCTCCACTCTTTTCAACGTTGTGAGTCTAAAAACCACATTTTTCAATTTTCTTTCAAATATATACTCACCCTAAATAGGTATTCCTCAAACGCCAGATTCTCGAAAATATTCTTTGATGTCGATTTTATCACCGTCGCTATTTTTCCCTTAGATAAACTACACATTTTGCCCCGTAAAACACGTTTTTGTGTGAAAAAATGCGAAAAATAAAAGTAAAAAAATTGTGTGCGAACACGGCCACGTGCAAATGCACACAAAATTTTTGAAAAATATTTTTTTTCGGGAGAAATTCGGGAGATCTTCTCGATAAGAATATTTCTTGGAAAAAAAAGATAAGCAATTCTCTGAAAAAATTTAACGTGAATTTTTCGGGGAAAAAAAATTCAAAAAAAATTTTGAAAATAAAAAGTTGTTATGGGGTGATTCAGGTCGAAAAAAAACTAAAAAAAAAAGTTTTTTTTACAAAAAATTTCGATTCAGCAAATGTCAAAAAACTATATTTTTTTCCTATTTTTCGACATTTTTTGACATTTTTTTTCATTGAAACATTTTCGCTGCGAGATATTTTTCATTTTTGTGTGGAAAAAAATAGGGTTTTTTGGCATTTGCTGAATCGAATTTTTTTGTAAAAAAACGTTTTTTTTAGTTTTTTTTTCGACCTGAATCACCCCATTAAATAATGATTTTTCAGAGAAAATTCGATTTTTGAAAATCAAAACTCTATTAAACTTTTTTCGAAAGAACCTGAAATAATGTTTCAGCTCTAAAAATACTCAGAAACTGAAAAGAGTGGGTGTCAAAAAAATTCCTAAATTCGCAAATAATCCAAAAATAAAAATATTCAAATCTATTTATCACGTGAACTTTCCAACACTACAAAACGTGCCTATAAAAACCCACAGTTTCTTCAGAAATGCTCAGTTTTCAATCAGAAAAAACAGAAACAAGAACGAAAATAAATGCCTGCAGCACCGAAAGAAGATTCATGGGCGTTTCAGGTAGAGTTAAATAAAGGCGCATACCGTAATTCGGGAAGAAATTATTGAATTTTTCAGCCGATCGGTTCGCCATTTCCCGATGCACCAGTTCGTGCGCCAAATCAAAACAATCAATATGTTGCACTTTGGTATAAACATGGAAAACCAATTCATGGAAGAGCTTGGAATAATGACGGAGTTGTTGAATGCTCATTTCCATATAATAAATCGGAGTTGAAAGGAAAACAAGATTTGGGTGGACAAATTCAGATTTTGCAATATAAAGGAGATTATAATTCATTGGGTTAGTTGGAAAATAATGTGATTTTTAGGGAGAAAGAAGAAACTGTCCTTTGATGTGAAATCATTCAATTGGTTTGAAGTGACCAGTTCATGTGCGCTCCTTTGATATCTAGGAGTCAACTAGTTCAAAACAGTCTATTTTCTTTTTTTTCAGGATACTGGTATGAATGGCTTCCACTCAAACAACGCCACGAAAACAACGAAGGAATCCGTGAACTTGTTCGATGCGGAAACTCTGTTCCAGTTTTGGCAAAACTCAAAGATGGTTCGGACAAAATGGGATATCTCGATCTCAATTCCGAAGTCGCCCTATTTTCCACAAATGGAACAACCGAAAAATATGAGGGTGGAGCCACTGCCAATTTTTTGACAATTTTCCGTAATTTGAAACCACCTCCAACTGGAATCAAAGTCTACGATGATTTGTGGTTCGATTTACGCTACAATGATAATTTCCCGGCGAATGCTGTTCCAGCAGATGGACGTCCTTTGAATACCGAAACTGGACCACATACTCAATATGTTGCACTTTGGTATAAACACGGTGAACCGGTATTTGGAAGAGCTTATCCAAGTGGAGCCGGTAAAACAATGGCGCATTTCGGAAAGAATAATCAGGTGAGGATTTGTGGTGAACAAAAAAAAATAAAACAACAGCGCTCTAAACGTACGCTCCCATTATGGTCTAAAAAATGAAGCTCATTTTAAAAATTGTTTTTAGGAAAACGCGGGTCCCGAAATTGGATCAATGCAATTATTGACAGTTCCTGAAGCCTCTTGCATTGGTTTGGAATATAAATGGATGCCTTTGGCCGAAGGAAAAGCTGGAGGATGGGAAACTGTTCATATCGGCGATTCGGCTCCATGTATTTTGAAAGATGACAAAGGACTCGAGGTTTTGGGAAATTTGGCATTATCGATTGAAAAAGCATCGGCTGGTTATGGTGGAAAAGAGAAGATTATTAGTGGAGGACCGGCTGTTGGAAAATTGAAAGTGCTTTTCAAGAGAAGAATTAATTGATATTCTTAATTTTTGGGTCTAAAATGATGAATTGATACTATGAATGAAACGTTTTTAAAGAATTTGGTGGGTTTTTTGAAGAATTTTTTGTTGGAAAGAGAAAAGGCTGAAGTTTACCTTAGATTTCTAGTTCAATTTTTCCCTGAAGTTTCCCTGAACCGGAACTTTTTTTTTTCCAAAAATCTTAAAATTCTTAAAAACTATTTTATTTAAATGTTTCTGGGATATAACTTATCAATCAATTATCATTCAGATATTTCTTCAGAAATAAGTGAATTTTCCACTTTTCCTGCAATTTTTCAAACCCGTCTCTGAAATTGACCCGAAATTTTCCGGATTTTCCAAAAGCGCCTTCGATTGTCCCAGAAATCTCGGGGTTTTCAGCGATCAAAATTTGCATATTTTGAAAAATCGAAAAATTTGTCTCGCCTTTGAACATTCCTGCACAAATTGCTGAGTTGGAATTCTGCTCGAGCCGATCGATGAAGCCCTGAAAAACTGGATTTTTCTAGAAAAATCTGGATTAATTTTTGCGAAAACGTACGGTTCTATGCTTCCTGGTGAATCTTATCAATTTTCCATTTGGTTCCAAAATTTTTCGGACAAATCCGCGAAATGCAAATCGACATCCTTTTCCGTTTTGGTCCAATCTGGAGGCCATTAGAAAATCGGAATTCACAAAAACTGGTTTTTCGAAAATGAGCCAAACTTGACACGGCATTTCCATTTTGTCGAGCTGCTCAAACTCGTCCTCTCCACTATTAGAAATCCCAGATTTTCTCAAAAATTGACATTCAGCCATAACAGTCTCATATCCAATAGAAATATGCATCTTTGTCCGCGAACTCAAAGAAGATCGAAAAAATTGAATCGGTTCCACATCACACAAACACTCCTTCATCGGTTTTAGATATTCTGGAACGGCAACAATTGCTCGCGAAAATCGCGCCGCCTCAAAATTGGTGACAAGAATCGCGGCACGTTCCCCAGCTTCGATTTTATCGCGCGATGTTTTCCAGGATTCGATACTTTTAACTTTTCGAACTTCTTTGAGATTGGCGAATTCGATTTCTTCGCCGATTTTCAGGGTTCCTTGTGTTATTGTTCCGGTTAGAACTGTTCCTTTTCCTTTGATTGAAAAACAGTGATCAACAGCAATCAGAAGAGGATCTTTTGTGTTTCTGGGCGGTTCGAAGTTTTCTATCAACATCTCTATGGTTTTCCGAAGATTTTCCATGTATTCTTCGCAAAAATGCTGATCATCCAGTGACATTTCAAGAATTGGAGAGCTTTCCAAGATTCCCATAAGCTTCAAACTTTTTCTAATAGATTTTTTGGTTTGCTCAAGTGAAACTTCTTTCTCCTCAAGAAGATCCACCTTGTTCAGAATTACTATAACTTTCTCGGGGCAGAAAATCTTGCAAAGTAGCATATGTTCGGCGGTTTGAGCCTGAATTCCATTTCTGGCATCGATTAGCAGAATAGCCATATCGAAAACAGTGCTGGCAGCGAGGACTGCGCGAATCAATGCAGCATGACCGGGACAATCTACAAGAGCTAGTCTTCGACCAGAAATCATCACCGATGAAAACCTAAAGAATTACTATGAATTTAAATTCATAAAATGATAAGATTTACCCTAAGTCTAAAGTGTTTCTTCTTCCACCGCCATCCGAATGTTTGTCAAAAGCGGAAGTTGATGCGATTTCCGCGAATCTCTTTGTAAATGTTGTCTTCCCACAATCCACATGTCCCAAAATCCCAACATTCAGCGAGCACATCACATTTGCCTTTCCATGGAAATTTTTGAAAATAAATAAAAAATATGTGCGGTGGGGCGCGTTTGCGTGTCTTAGAGAGCGTGCGAAACGGGGAGGAGAAGAGAAATAGACAGCAAAAATTATTTCATTTTCTATTTTTTGGACGGTATTTCTTTTTCTTCGAAAAGTAGCTGGATGATAGCAAAGCGAGCATTTTCGTTGTGTAGAAGTTTGTTAGCCAAGGAGAAGAAGGGCGGGAAATCAAAATCTGCTGCAAATATTCCACAAGCAGATCTTGGAGATGATGGATTGCCGAAAGATTATAAATTGAAGATTTTGCGAGCTGGAAGTCGCAGATTGGACACATTTGTAAATCGAGCAACTGGGCAAAGTAGCAGGTGAATTTTTCAACCGAAAATGTATTTTTTTTCAACATAAATTTACTTCAGCGAGGTGCTAAAACTGATTTTGCAAGGAAAAGTTCGAGTAAACGATGAAGTTTACACCAAAAAAGCCTACAATGTTTGTCAAGAGGATGTTGTTGAGGTTTGGAAAAATGCGTATGCTGAAAATTCATCACTTGCTCAAGTTGAACGCACCGAAATTGTTAGCTATGAGGTCACCGAACAGGGATACAATTTCGAGGTGAAGAGTTGGAAATCTTTTTTGTCGGATAATTGGAGAAGTTCTCAATGAGGTTTGAATATTTTTTTGTTAAAATTATAGATTTTCATAAAAGTTCTTTGCCCTCTCTTTGAAAACCAGTAGAGCATTTATATTTCCTTTTTTATTCCATTCCAGGGAGAGAAAGTACAATTTCATCTTCAATAACATTTTCAAATGTAGTTTTAAGAACTTTACGAAATATAATTTTTTCTAACTACTGTACTATTTTTGCGGGGGCTTTTTAAAGTTTAAAAAACCAAACGTAAATTTCTTGTTGCGCGTAGTGCGCTGGTTTTCCATAAGTTTGGGTTCGACCCCCGCCGTAAGCTTGACTTATTTTGAATCATCAAAAAAGAAGAAAAAGAAATCTGCGGTTTTTAGTGACTCAAAAAACGTATCCCGAAAATAATTTGGCCAATTTGTGGGGGTTTTGGTTCGTCATCGCCGCTTTTTCTTCAGGTTCCTCCGAGAAGAAAAAGAAGATTAAATTTGAAAAAAGGAACAAAATGGTCCCCAGAGTGTATAAAAATTGGGCTCGCCAATTTTTTTGGGCATCTCTAAAATTGCAATGAAAATTAGAGTGTTGCATTTTTGTTGCCAACACAAAATCACGTCATTTTCTCGCGCGAAATTCGTATTTGAAATTTTTCCAGAAATTTTTGCAGACCATAAAAAAGTTGGGGCCATTTCGAAATGCACGAAAAAGTCGTAAAAATGTGTTTTTTCGAAAATTGGGCAAAAAATGATGAAGTATTGGAGTGCACTTTAGTTTTATGGTAATTTAAATACGTGAAAATTGCAGGAGTACTGTAGATTAAGGCTGATTTATTCTTCAACTAAAATGTTTAGATTTGAAAATTTATGGGGAAAAAATAAAATCCAATGTGTTTTTCTCTTTTTTTTAATTAGCCCGATTAGAAGTTGTTTGAGGAAGTTTGTCGTCAAAAAGTTAGCCACGTGGATTGTCTCGTAGTTTAGAAATTTCTTATTAATGTTTTCATTTTCAATTAAGAATACCACACTGATTTTTTTCCAATTTTCAAGAGTTCACATTTTTATCCAATTATTCACTGGCACTTTTCAGAGTTGAATTTAATTTTCAAATTTAAATTGATATTTGGTCACCAATTTTTTGGCTCCCAAAAAGAATCTAAAAAAAAACAAAAACCACGGTCAATTTCCCGCCACAAATTCAATTTTTCAAAGCTGTGTTTCTTTTTTTCTTTGTTTTTTTTTTGGAGAAATTTTTCTCATCCACCCTCAATTTTTCACTGAAAAATAAAAGTTCCATCTAAAAATCTACATACCTTGGCTACAGTACCCTAACCTAACATTTTCCAATTACTCTCTTTTTGGTGCATTTTTTGTGTGTGCTCATTGGTTATTCATTAAATATACTGATTTTTATCGCTGAAATTGGATTTTTCTCGTACTCACATTTTTGTTGTTGTTTATTTGTTTTATAGACTTTCAAGGTTCAGAGTTTATCCGATTTTTTAGTAGTTTTATATAGGAAAAAGGGAGAGGGAGAATAAATAGAAATAGAATTAGAAAACAAAACAATGATGTCATTTTGAAACTATTAGGAGTAGTACTGTGGGATTTTTAGAAGGGAATGTGGGACTAGTTTTGATATACCAGAAATGATACAGTAATAATCCTCAGACAACTTTTCAAATACGGAATTTTTTGAGATGTTTCAAAATTAACATTTCTATAGTATTGGTAATACCAAATGATATTTATAAAATTTTTATGAAAGGACTCAGAGATTCGCTGGCCAGCTCGCCACTAGATCAGGACCAGGTGGCCGGAAAGTTCAAAACGAGCTGAATTTGATCCGGCCACCAGGTCGCCTTGAGTTTTCCGGCCACGTGGCCTGTGTGTTTGAAATCCTGGAAAGCTAGCAAGACGGTGGTCTGTACTCAAAATAGTGTATTTTTTACTGTTTTTTCACTTCCTAAGGTTTCTAGTACTCCGAAAAAACAGAAAATGAGCCAATTTATTCTAGAATGCTCGGATTCACAAGTTTTTTGGACTTTTTTCTCTTAAGCGAGACGATCTGGACGCGAGGTCGGGTCGAGCTGGACAACCTGGGCGAGGTGGTCTGCATGAACTGAACGACCTCGCGACCACGTCGTCTGGCAAAAAATACGGGCGATGTGGTTGTCCGTGTCAATTTCAGATGGGCAGTCGACCCCACCTAGTGACCAGCTGGCCAGCGAATCTCTGAGGATTACTGTAGGATTTTGAAAGTGTTTTTGACCTACAGTAAGATTCAGGCAAATGTTTCACTCGAAAAGTGTCTCCAGTCATATTTAGGAACTATTTTAGGTTTCTGAGAAATCAATAAATTTCTTCAAAAACTACAGAAAATCAATTTGAATATTTCTCATTTTCTGAGTTCAAAAATGTCTGCAAAATATTTTTGATCTTTTCAAAAATACAAATTTTCAGACAAACCTATTCATTATCTGAAATGCCGCGTGGTATTTCAGATGAGCCGACTCTAATTTCACCTGGAACTTTTTTTTTTCGAAAAATTGTTTTCCTAGCCGTTCCAAAAGTAAACTTCCAAAGTTTTTGTTAAAATTGAAAGTTTTGTTTTGTTTTTCTGCGAATTTCGAAAATTGAACACCTTCATTATATTTTTTGGCTATAAATAATTTATTTATGAAAATAGCAGAAACCAGCAAAACTAATTAATTAATTATCAAAACCAAAAAACAAAACAACACATAGAAAATTCAGTGAGTGTTTTGACCTCTCAATACTTCCTCTTTACAAAAATTATCCTTGGCTCGGGGAAATTTGCCACTTTTTGAAGTTTTTAATGTTTCAATGTTAATTTTGGGAAACCATTATAACCTGCGAATCGAAGATTTTTGACGCCAAATAAAAATTCACAGTGATTTTGCATTTGTGATCTCTGCTCTTCCCAAGAGACAGAACCATTGAGTACTAAAAAATGTTTTGAAACACCAAATAAGTTTCAACCCACCCACCACTTTTTGCTTGATGAAATGAAAAAACGAAAAACCAGAGCGAGAAAATAAAGCGGGGTGAAAACGTGTACATTTTCCATCGACACCCCGAGGGATCAACATTTTAGAGACTAGCCTGGATTAGAAGAAGAAGAAGGAAGAAGAGGAGTCATGAGGTTTTCTTGTTTTTGGTTTCGTTTTTTGTTGTCCGGGAAATTTTGAACGAGAATTGTTCAGAAATGAAAAAGGAAATGTATTCTGGCACCTTAAAACAAGTTAATTCGTAGATCAGGTTTTGCTATGACGTCCTAAATTTCTGCGCATTCTGAATCTGTGAATCAGATTTAAAAAACTTCTCCAAAAATCAGAAAAAAACTAATTTCCGTTCCAAAAAGTTTGAAAAAGTCACACTGTACCATTTAAAAGAAAATGATAGGAGTTTTTTTTTTCAGAAAGTTCAGTTAAGCAAAGAAATTTTCTGAATTTTTTCCAATTTCCGAAACATTTTTCTATTTCCAGCCTGAATTCTGAGATCACAGAATACCAAATTTTATTTGTTTTTTTTTGTTTCTTCATAAATAAAAAATCACCCGTCTATTTTGATTTTCCCAGCGAAAAATAAGTTTCAATATTTTCATTTTCCCAAAAAAACACTGGTTTTTCAGAATTCTTTTTTTTCTTCCAGCTAACCACAAAAAAGTTCATAATTAATTCCATTCTTTTTCTCGCCGCCCAAAAAATAACAACTTTCATTTTTCCAGAAAAAAATGTTCTTCGAACTTTTAGCCAGAAAAAAACTATATGAAAAAATTTAACGAATCCAATTGCCCCCTCCTGAAAATAGACTCCGCCCCTTTTTTTCCTAGTCAACCTTCTCCCCTAAAAAGCTCCGCCCACTTTTCAGGCTCATTTTCTGCTCGGCGCACAAAAATCGTCGGACACAACCGCGACAAAAAAAATGAGATCTATTATTTTTCTTCTTGTGATTTTGGTGGGTTTTCTTTTTTTTTGAAGAATTTTCTCAGAAAAAATAATTAGTGAAAATGGGTTTTTGTTGTTTTGTCTTTTTTTTTGAAGAAACAGAAAAATCACACATTTTTTCTGAATTTCGTTGAGTGAAGTAAGATGAGAGTCATTAGTAGGGCAACAAATGACAACAACAAAAATGATGTCAAAAAATTGTTGATTTTTTCGCAAGGAGCTAATGAGCTGAAAAATGAACTCATAGTCAGGGAAAAAGTTCGAATTTCCAAGTGAAGTACAAGAATTAGATATTTTTAGGTCAAACATCAACTAGAAAATGATTTTCTGAAAATCAAAAGAAGAATTTACAGAGATCTTTCAGCTTTGAACTTAATTTTTGAATCTGTAAATTCAGAGGGGTTTTCACGACAGAAACATGCAAGTTAGCTTAATTATGCTGAAAATCATTAGAACTTCGAAATTTTAAATTAAAAAATATCTGAAAATTTGGAAAAAAATTATGGGAATCTAAAGTTGTTTAACAATAAGAGTGGCAATGTTGAAAGACGAAACCAACTAGAAAAATTGGCTGTGAAAAAAAAAAATATTTTAAAAAATCAAATTCCACGTGGCAATTAGAATCTCCAAAAACAACTTGTCATGCAGAAATTTTTCTGAAACCCTGTGATTTTTCTTCACACACCAATTTAGATGTCCACGTGGAAATTAGCAAATCACACTTTTCTGTCTGTTTCTGTTGATGGAACTTCCACGTGATGTCTTATAGACTCTCGTTGCAACTTCCAAAAACATCTACGTCAGCGTTGTGTGAAATAAATATATTTTGCAAATCGAAAAAAAAACACACACACGAGGAAAGTTACTTATCCTAACCTCACCACAAAATAATTCGTGTGTTAGGACACAGATGTGAAATTGGTTTTGACACATTTCCCAAAGGATCTCCGCTAGACTTTTTCTTTTTTGTCTTTAATTAACTTTCGCCGCTCGATGTTTTTTCCGAAATCCGCAAGAAATTTGTTTATTATATGTGTTTTTTCGGACGAAAGAAAGAAAAGAAAATTTCAAAAATTTACTGAATTTCAACGACTAGATTTTTGAATACTGTAGCTCAGATTTGATGCTGAAACATTGCAAATTATCACATTTCTCCAGAAGTTTTCAAAACGTTATCAAAGTCTCTGTGAGATTTATTGAAAATCATGTTTTTTTTTTCAAAATCGTAAGGATTTTGTTTATTTTTTCGAAAAATTCGAATGTTTATTTAATGAACTAAGGGTATATATTTTGAGGAACCGCCGCGCCAGCGAAAAATATTTAATATTTTGAATATTCAAATTTGTTCTCTGGATATACTGAAAAACAAACAACAATAATAATACAGCTTGAGAAAAACATTTGAATTCAAAAAATTTAAATTCTAGGTCACACTCACTGAAAGTTCGGCCATCAGAATTCAACCGGTTTTTATGACGACAAAAAGGGCATTTGATCGTTTGGGCAATAGTGCTTTCGACACTTTTGATAAACGTGCTTTTGATACTTTGGTGAGTTTTGAATTTTTTGTCACGACATAGTGCAAAATTTGAATATTCATTTAACTGAGAAAGTGCGCTCAATTGATAAACATGTTTATTTTTCTAAAATTCAAATAGGCATATTTTTACTTTATTTTTGCCATTTTCAAAATATGTTCTTTTATAAAAGTGCGTTCGTTCTACTGATCATTCAATTTTTCAGGGAGGAAACGCATTCAACAAACGAGCTTTCGACACATTGGTGAGTTTTTTTCAAGTTTTTTGCCACGTCATAACTTCATTTTTCAGTTGGAAAAGTTTTTCTCGGAAAATTAAAAGAGAAAGTGCTCTTTAATAAAATCGCATTCCTTCTAGAAATTTGAATTTTTCAGGGTGGAAATGCTTTCAACAAACGAGCTTTTGACACATTGGTGAGTTGGATTTGCCACGTCATGACTCAGAAAAAAGTCAACAGAGCATGGATGCTCGAAGTTTCAATGACTGAAGTGCAGTCCATTAAAAATATGACGTTTTCTTGTTATCCTAAAAATTTATGTCGAGTTATGACGTGGCACTTCAAATATATTTTTGAAACGTCATAACTATGGTAATTACGATAATATCTTGCGACGTCATAACTTGAAACACTCAAGAAAATTTATTTTCCCTTACTATTTGTAATTTGTAATTCACTCCAATAAATACACAACAATCAAAACAGGCTTAATTTTTTACGTTACTATAAATAATTTTGAAACCTATTTTTTCCAGGGTGGAAACGCATTCAACAAACGAGCTTTTGACACATTGGTGAGTTGAATTTTCCACGTCATAACTTCAAAACTAGCAAATCTTATCTATTTTTGCAGGGCGGAAATGCTTTCAATAAACGCGCTTTTGATACCTTGGTAAGTTAGTATAACTTAAAAATATATATAGTGTTTTTTATCCAAAAAAATAGTGAATTGAAGTTAATGACTACAAAAAGTAGGATATTTCCCAACCAAAAACAATTTGGAGTTGAATTTGAACAAAGAATCGGCCCTCTTTGATTTTTGAAATGAGAAAACTTTAAAAATAGTCAACTGGAATTGGAGTGATTCGAAAAATACAATTTGAACTCAACTCTCGATTTGTTTGATTCTGGAAAATCTGGAAGACCTGAAAACTTTGATATTATCTTTTAAAGGATTTTGAGAAATTTTTTTGAACATTTTCAAAAAAATTATTGAGAATAATTTCCAGGATAAGAATTTTTTAAAAGAAAATTTGAAAAATAGAAAAAAGTTCGATCTCAAGATTCTTGATTTTTGCAGGGCTCAAATGCGTTCCAGAAAAGAGCATTCGACACAATAGGAACATCGGCTTTTGGCGATTTCGATTTCGACGATTACCGATACAACAAACGCGCTTTTGATACATTGGGCCGAACGGCTTTTGGAGATATGATGCGAAAACGCGCTTTTGATTCTTTAGTGAGTCTTGAACAAATTTTAATTCCACGTTTTTTAACATCAAAGAATCCCCTTGGTTACTTCAGAATTCCTACGTGGATTACTGTATTGTCATTCCGAAAAAAAAAGAACCTTGGAAGAGAACCGAAATGGCCTAAGACACCAAGACTACAGTAGACTTCGCAAAATTTTGGAGTCTATTTGAAAAATAAAATGCGAAATTTACACGCTGGCTATTTGCCAACCAGTTTGATGTGCATGTGTCACGTCATTTTTAGTCTACTGTACGTGAGCGCCAATTTAAACGAGGGTTCTTTTATTTTCGGATTGACAATATTAGTGTATTAGGTAAATCCACAATCTTAAAAAATATCTGATATTTCAAAAAAATTTTTTTTTCATTCAGAGAAATGTGAAGTTTTCGATAACTTTGGGCTCTCTCATTTTATTTTAGACCCATATTCAAAATATTTTTATTTTCAGGGCAACATGGCCGGCTTCGACAAAAAGTGATCTTCAAAAAACAACTTCAACTTCAACTTCTACTAATAATAATACTGATTTTTAAAACTTTTCAAAGAAAAAACTATCACTAATAATAAGAAGAAAATAAGAAAATCAATCTATTTACCGGTTTGCGTGTGAAATAAACATAATGACGTTAATTAAAATCTTTTTTGTGGTCGAGAAAAAAATCCAACAAAAATTGAAATGTGTGGGTTTTTTAATGACTGATGCGATAATGTATTCGATTGTCATGGAAAATAATAAAAAATAAAGAATAAAAATTGTGCGGGGGATTTTTCTGGATTATTCAAGAATCGTAAATTCACCGCGTGGATTTTGGACGAAAAACATTGAGAAATTTTCAGAAGAGATTTTCAGAGGTACTGGAAAAATTAAATGTTTAAAATTTAAATTTAGTTTCATCTGATAATTACAAAATCACTTCGAGTTAATTTTTATCATAGTCCTCACTACTAATTTTTTTAAAAAATATGTTTTGTTAGAAATTTTACTGGTAAAATGAACTTCTATGTCATAGGGTATTTATTTTTCAAAAGATTTCAAACTTTCTAAATTTTAATCGAGGAGTTCGGGGAGATTAAAAAAATCATAAAATTTTCCCGATCGGGAAATTTTTTTCGAAAAAAACATCGATGTTTACTTTTTTCAAACCCTGCGAGGGGTTTTTTTTTCAATGAAAAACATAGATTTCGAGGACGTTTTGGGCTTTTCAGTCAATCTAACGAAAAGAATTTTTAGTCAATCTATTATTTCATTTTTTTCGAGGTTCTGGGCTCAAAAAATGAGTTGAAAAATAAAATTTGAAATTTTCAGTCAATCTAACGAAGAGAATTTTTAGTCAATCTACTAGGGGCTATTAGCCCCCAGGCGAAACAGTCTTCTTATTATTTCAGTTCCATTTTTTTCTGTGATTATTTTCAATTTTCTGTGGAAAACAAATTCATGAAAAATTTCAAGTTTTTTTATCAAAAAATGACTCGTGGCAAAATCAGGAAGGCTTCCTAATTTTGCCATGGATGAAGTCATCAAACTATTTTTCATAAAAAAAATATTGAATCTCTTTTTTTATTTGCATAATTATAGACATGACCGTCTCCATACAGAAATTTCGGTTTGAAGACATGACTTTTTCTCAATAATTTCATTTCTGGATGAAATTCTGAATTTTCTTGTTTTTTAACCGTGTTAAAAATTTTCTTTCAATTTTTTTAGCTTCAAAATTGCTTCTGGGTGGCTTACTAAGCCTAAGCCTGAGAGCAAGTGTCATTTAGGTCCCAACTCATCGACTTCATTTTTCCATTTTTGGATTATTCCAAATCTGTTACTTTTTTTGTTGACTGTATACACGAAAATAAACATTTCAATTTTTGTCAGCTACCCATTCAATTAAGTCAAGAAGAGCTGGAAATGACGATGACGAATTGCGAACGCGAAATTCGCCGGAAATTTGAGGAGGCTGAATCAAGAGCAATTGCCATTTTGCCGATTGCGATGAGTTTGGCGACGATTGAGGAGTTTGTGACAATGATTAATAAGAATTCGGAGAAACGGATTCCTGAGATTGCGAGGTAAGATTTCAGGCAAAAATTGTTGGATTTGGAGAATTTTCAGCCGAAATTTTTTAAAAATTGGATCATTTTGACTTTCATTTATAAATAGGTGAACACAATTAAAATAAAGCTAAAAATTAATTTTCAAGATACAAGCTCTTGAAGCTAAAAAATATTTTTATGTGATTGCTTCCTGAATCTTACTGAAAAACATAAAACATTTAATTTCAGACACAAAATATCAGCTCTCTCTAAATTTCATCAATCATTTTTTCTTTCAGAAAAATCATCACCGAACACGTTTCCTCAACAATCGTCCTTCGAATGAAGCGAGATCTGAGTGGGTGTTTTGGGGAAGGGGGTTTAATTTTTATTGAAAAACACTCCTGAAACAATTTTTGATCCATAGAATTTTTAGAAAAACATATTATACGGTACCTTTTTTTATACACATACAGTACTCCTGTCACAATTTTTGATGAATTTATGAAGTAGAGAAAAAAGAAAAGCAAAAGAAAGGGAATTCTCGCGCTCCTTCTTATTTGTTATCGACTTTGTTTTCCCAATCGAACGGTGCGTCGAGTTTTCCTCCAGCTCTTGCACATGCCTTTTTCAGCTAATCGAAAATGAATTTGTAATCAACTTTATCTTCGAATTTGCGCGAATCGATATATTCGATAATTTTATATAATTCGGTCGTGTTCGGCAAACCGTCCAACATCGTCTTTGCTTTTTCTTGTCGACACCTCTTTTTGCACTCGAAAATATCATCCATTTCCTTTAATTCTTCCCACGGCAACCCTTTTGGCGAAATCAAATCCAAGAGAAGGTAGAACCAACTCTCGCAATCGTCTTTCGGTGCCGTGTCTCGTTTCTCGTGAGCGACTAATGGCGCATAAAAAGGCGTCCCTCTAAACCCAATTTTAGCTTCTCGTCTCTTTCTCATTACTCCATTTTCATCCACAAATTTCCGCGCCAAACCGAAATCCAACATGAAAATGGTATGTTGTTGAGGGTCCAGGCCACAGGCGAAATTTTGCGGCTTAAAATCTCGATGGATAAAGCCGTGCCTATGCAAAGCCTGGACAGCCCACAGGGTGTAATTTACTACCTCAAATCGCTAGACCTCCAATTTTTCATTAATTTTTGGGTAGATCAAAAATAATTTTTCTCTAAATCTCTCGTTTTTGCGTTGTATTTCGTCGATTTTAGTCCCACCCCTAAGATCGTGTCAGGTCTCAAAAAATGCGCGAAATTTTTCGGGTAGTAAATTACACTCTGTGCAGCCTCCAAACATTGATAACCAACACCAAATCCAGTTGACAAGGAGAACGCCTTCCCATTCCTCTCTTTTCTCAAATCCGCCAAACTTTTTTCCAAGCAACTCCATAACCACAAATCAAAATCCTTCCTTCTCTCTCTTTCCTTTATCAATCATTTCTGGGAATCTCTTCTCGCCTCTCATTTCTTTCAAAACCATTACTTCCATTTTCAAACTCTTCTCTTCTCCTTCAATCAATTTCTCATATTATCGAAAATCTCATCGGTACCACGCGCTCCACCGAAATAAACACGCAACGCAGACCGCGCCGCGCCACAACACACACAAAAAAGAGAGGGAATTTGAATCGTTCCCTTATTTGTGTGTGTGTTGTGGCGCGGCGCGGTCTGCGTTGCGTGTTTATTTCGGTGGAGCGCGTGGTACCGATGAGATTTTCGATAATACTTCATAGCATAATTTTTTGTTGTTTTCAAATCAATGATTTGGAAAACCGCACCGAATCCGCCCTTTCCCAACAATTGGTTCATCTCATATGTGGTTTTTTTGGTTGTGATGGTTGTTCCCTAAAAATTATTTTCTTCAATCGATCTTCTTCCATCTTCTTTATTCTCGCTTTAATTGTTTTTGTGGACATGTTTTTTAAGACGCTGACTTGATTTATCACATTTTTTCGCATTTTTTCGGGCAGTTTTGACAATAAACTGAAAAAAAATAATATTGAAAAAGATTAATATATTTGATTTCCTGCTTAGACAGACTTACTTGAATAATTCATCATATCCAGCAGCAGATATTATCGATCTTCCTGCATCTGCTCCAGGTGTCGATAAAAGTCTTGCTTCATCATATTCAAATCCATGCAAAAATCTTTCAACTTTTTCTTCAACTATAAAAATCATTGTAATTGAACATTTCATTGTGAAAACAACACAAACCTTCTCAAAGTTTTCGACAGTTTTTGTTCGACCTTTCACAGAGTGTAATTTACTACCCGAAAAAATTCGCGCATTTTTTGAGACCTGACACGATCTTAGGGGTGGGACTAAAATCGACGAAATTCAACGCAAAAACGAGAGATTTAGAGAAAATTATTTTTGATCTACCCAAAAATTAATCAAACATTTGAGGTCTAGCGATTTGAGGTAGTGAATTACACCCTGTGCCTTTTTTGGATAACGAGAAGTTCTTCGATGCGGTTTTTGTGGTGTTGAAACAGCTCGAATTCACGTTGTACATTGTCGATAAAACAGAGTCGTCGGATTCGCTTTGAATCTGGAAAACTGTATGGTTTCAAGAAACTGAACCTTTTCATACCTGCATATCTTCTCTTTTTTCGCATACCAAAATGTTCTTGAATATGATGTACCAAAATATATTCTCCACAATCCAAAATTTCCCGATAAATTGGACGGAGGTGGCTGTTTTTCGAGAAACAATTTTCATCATTGCATCTCCTGAAAAACAATTATTAATCATGAATTATAGTTTAATAATTGGATGAAAGCAAGTTTTTTGCAGAAACAATAATAAACAAGACTCCGACTAAAATTTTTATGTTGCAACGATTTGTCAAAACATCTGAGATATTCAAAATACTCACCTTTTTTCACTTCAACCCAAAATTTGTCCATTTCTAATCGACGATCAAAAACTTCAATGTTGAAGTCGATGAGGGAATTTTCTTGAATTGGTGAAAAGAATCCAGATCCGCTTAGAGTGCAAGATCGAATAGCGGTTCGAATATTCATCTCGTTTTTTTTGTCGAAAACATTTTTTGGTTCTTGAAAACTTCTATATTTTCCAACAGAGTGTGGAACCTGAAAATTAGAAGATATTATTTTCGAAAGCCGAGAGTAATTTTTTCTCTATTAGCTAATCACAAGAAAATTCAATTGTTTCTGATTTTTGCTGAAAATGTGCTTTTCTTTTCAGAAAATTCAGATAATTTTTTAGTTCAAAAGATTCATATAACTGTGGCCGTAATTAGATCACTTCTTTATTCTCCTTCGAAATTTGGTGAAGAAAAAAAAGATGAAATCCGAAAAACTATTTAAATCACGTGAACGTGTACTCGTGGAAAGAACAGAGGCCGCCCGAAAAAAAGTCAAAAATTTATGAAAGTGCTGAAAAACCAGACTGTTTTCCAGAAAAATGTCAAAATTTTGTTATTTTTCAATTAAAAAGGCAAATTTTCAGAATTTTTTCTGTGCTGAATTTTCCTAAGACTATTTTTAGCTAACTTTAATAATTCCCCAACTGTATTCGATAAATTCAGCCGATTTGAAGCAACAAAAGAATTTGATTGAATTATGGCCACATCATGTTTATAAAACCAAAAAAGACTTACCAGAGAATGGAAAATCATTGACAACTCATTTTGGTCCGAGATAAATCTCGGACCACAATGAGTTGGTGTGGAAACAGCAGTCGATTCCATTTGAGACATGTTGCATCCGCAATAAATATTTATTATTGTACGTGACGTACACGTACCAACTCGTGGCATTGCTAAGCTGACGTTGCTTTAGCACTATAAAAGCCGTCAGCCTCGTCATTTCTCTCTCTTATTATTATTATTTCAATAAACCTTTGTATTAGTAATTGTTACTTATCTTCGGCAGTCACCGTATCCTACCCAAGGATACAACATTTTGGCGATCAGGACTTTAAGGAAAATAATTCCGAACAGAAGGAAATTAATTCCAAACAAAAGGAAATCAATTCCGAACAAAAGGAAACTAATTCCGAAAATCGAACTTACTGCACTCTCTTGGAATCCCAGCTTACTGTAAGAACAAGAAGAACACAGTTCTCAGAGTTCTCTCGAATCACTCCAAAGAAGAGCACAGCTCTCTTGATTCACTTCAAAAAAAAAAGAACACAGTTCTATTGATACGCAGAAGCTCATCCATCGAAGATAATAATCCATCATGGATCCAGAGCAAGTCGCCGAATTAATCGAAGCGCAACGTCTAAATACTGAGTTGTTACTCGAACAACAAGCCAAATCCACTGATTTGCTTGTGACCAAGTTGTTCGACGGTTTCAAGACCTATCTTACCTCAACAACTGGAACTTCTTCTGTTCCTCCAGCTGGTCCGATAACAACTTCCGCAACGACTACTGAGTACATCTTGAACTCATTATCCAGTCGAATCCCTGAATTCATATTCGATGAGGAAAGCGGTCAAACTTTTGATGTGTGGTACCAACGATACCAAGACACGCTCTCGAAAGACGCCAAAGCACTTGATGATGATGCTCGATCTCGTTTTATTCTTCAAAAGCTTGATCCGACGTCAAATGCTCGGTTCATTAACCACATACTTCCAAAACGAATCTCTTTTTTTATTTGCATAATTATAGACATGACCGTCTCCATACAGAAATTTCGGTTTGAAGACATGACTTTTTCTCAATAATTTCATTTCTGGATGAAATTATGAATTTTCTTGTTTTTTAACCGTGTTAAAAATTTTCTTTCAATTTTTTTAGCTTCAAAATTGCTTCTGGGTGGCTTACTAAGCCTAAGCCTGAGAGCAAGTGTCATTTAGGTCCCAACTCATCGACTTCATTTTTCCATTTTTGGATTATTCCAAATCTGTTACTTTTTTGTTGACTGTATACACGAAAATAAACATTTCAATTTTTGTCAGCTACCCGCTCAAATCGAAATTTTCATTTGGGCGGGTATTTTTGTCAAACACTCGAGCCGATTTAAAAAAAAAAAACTCGGGCCGATTTTTTTTTTTGGAAAAACTCGGGCCGATTTTTTTTTCGTAAAATGGGAACTTTTTTCCTTTTTGATTTTTTTCCAATGTTAATTAGAAGTACGTTCTTTCAATTTGAATTATGGAAGTTGGAATTAATTCAGGGTTAATTAATTCAGATCAGGGGTGGGGAACCTGGCCTCACGTTGGCCTCATGTTGGCTTTGTTGGTACTCAGGTAGCAGCTTGCCCATGGACTGCCCTTAGAAAAGCGGTTGCCCCATAATTGCACCTTGGGCAAGCCCTAAGGGCAAATTTTTTAATGGGAAAAATAAATCTATAGCTATTTTTAATAACGTGACCTAGTTTTGATACGTGTCCTGTTTCGAAATCTGAATTTCTTCTCATTTTTTATATTCTGTTAGCCAAGAAAATAGCGAATGAATCAAACTATTTCGATGGCTGTCAAATATCTATTAGAAAAGCAGTAACTACTGTGAGCAAGTTATAAATTCAAATATAGTGAAGCGGATTCTGGGATTATCACTGTGATTGTTATATGGATTTTTATTAATAAGATGTTTTCCAAACCATGTATAAATTTATCCGATTCTCAAAAAAGTTGCTCTGGATCAACTGCTTCAGCCATTGCAGCTTTGAATTATAAAATTTCGGTCAAATTATCTAGAAAATTCACGAACGGTCGAAAAAATAATTATCAACTTATGTGAAATTTTGATTTTACAATGAGAAGCAGAGTATGATCAAGCTGAAGTGCATCTATCTCTCCTATGTTATTTCGTTTAATAAAACTTTTACTTAACACTTATAAAAATGTTTTCTTCTATTTAGCTGCTCCCTTTTGATGAAGGCTGCCCCTCCAAACTGCCCGATTTTGGGCCTAGGATCCATTTTTCCAAGCTGGAAACAAGAAAAATTAGTGAAAATGCTTTTTTACGTGGCTTGAATTAATTTGATTTTTAAACGTGATGTCCTTGTTTAATTGAAATGCCCAAAGATTGCCCCTTGAATGCTCCAATGCAGCCCTTAGAACCTGCTCTAAGGGGCAGAGTAAGGGGCAGTCCATGGGCAAGCTGCTACCTGAGTAAGAACATAAGCCATGACAAGTCCACGTGTAAACCTGGCTACCTGTCCTGTTTTTTTTAGTTGAGAAACAACACGGCGAAAAAATAGGAGATCGCATTTTAATTTTTTTATGCAGTAAAAAAAATTTCTCTGCTAATTTTTGTTCAAGCGAGGGCAGGTTGGGCATATGGCTTTAGCACATGTTCAAGCCATGTTCGAGCCAGGACAAGTTTAGACCATGTTCAAGGACAGGACAACATGAGGCCAGGCCAATTTCCTCACCCCTGATTCAGATAATTTTAATTCACACTTTTTTCAAGTATTTCCAAAACATTTTTTTTGCAAAATTTCAAAACACATTTTTTTAATGTGTGTACAAAAATCTCAACCAGAAAATTACAATATCCAAATTTGAAAGGAGAACATACTTGACTTACAGAGTTCACTACAACAAGTGGTTCAATAGATGAAAACTCTGATAATGTTAAAAATAACTTTTCCAGAGTTCTCACGACATTTTCGATGTTGGATTTAAATTTCAAAGAACAACTCAATGCAAAGCTTTATTTCTGTTAAAAATCGGACCACTTCTTGGAACTTCGAAATATATCGAAAATTTTAAACAGATTTTTGACACTCCGTCAAAAATTTTCGCACTTTGGTGCTAAAAAATCGAACGAGAAAGACTGCACGAATTTTGAACAGACCGAGATGCATGTTTTGGGAAATCTCATACCTGTCAGAAATAATCCAGGGAAAAAAGAATGTGGATTTATCTATTTGAAAAATTATTTTCAGATCCGAAAACTCGAAGTTTATTCTAAACGAAAGAATAAAGTTATCTGAAAATCAAGGTTGCCAATTTTTTCATAAAAAGCTGACCAATAAAAATGAATCGTATTTTCCGAGAAAAATTCTGAGTCGGACCTGAAAAATCAGACAATGTTTTGAAAATCGTCCAATTCATGGACCGGAAATATGGACTTTTTCCAAGTTGTTCGATTTTTATGGTCCAAGTCCAATTTCAAATTTTTTTTTCAATTCATTTTTTGAGCCCAGAACCTCGAAAAAAAAAATGAAATAATAGATTGACTAAAAATTCTCTTCGTTAAATTGACTGAAAATTTCAAATTTTATTTTTCAACTCATTTTTGAGCCCAGAACCTCGAAAAAAATGAAATAATAGATTGACTAAAAATTCTCTTCGTTAAATTGACTGAAAATTTCAAATTTTATTTTTCAACTCATTTTTTTGAGCCCAGAACCTCAAAAAAAATGAAATAATAGATTGACTAAAAATTCTCTTCGTTAGATTGACTGAAAATTTCAAATTTTATTTTTCAGCTCGATTTTTGAGCCCAGAACCTCGAAAAAAATCAACAAATAGATTGACTAAAAATTCTCTTCGTTAGATTGACTGAAAAGCCCAAAACGTCCTCGAAATCTATGTTTTTCATTGAAAAATAATCACTGGCTGACTAAATTTCTTCCAGAAAATGCTAAAATCACTCAAAAAACTGAAAAACAGTCGAAAACACCAAAAAAATTGATTCACAAAACACAGAGAACAAACAAATAAATTCAAACACCTCGCGTTGTGCGCTAGAGCGCGTTTGCATCTTTAGTCAATCTACAGTTAAAAACCTGCAGCCTCCCCTCGCAAACTACACGAAACACACCAACACCCCAATCACTGGCGCACAATTCGTAAGGCGTTGTTGACGCGTTTCTTGTCATTTTTTTTTCAAATTTTCATTTTTTTCGCTTTTTACAGTTTTCGACGTAAATAAAATGACAACAGCGATAGAAATCGAATCGGCCGAGTGAGTTTTTTAATTAAAAATCTATTTTCTGCACACCCGTTCAAGCCACGCAATGAGTGTTTTCTACTGTAAAACGAAAAATCTGCGATTGAAAAAAACTGTGCAAACACTTTTGTCTAATTCTCTCTGTTCGCCGTTATATTTCGCACTACAGTATTAAAGGAACATGATAAATTTAATGCGTTGGGTCTTGTCGCGATTGCTAACTTTCTTCGCAGGACCTCAAAAAATAAGAAAAGTAGCAAGTCAGGTAGAACTCCAGGCGCTGATTTTCATGCTATATTTAGTTTAGCATGAAGCTTATCTAGGTTTTGAGCTACAGGGTGCACCGTTTTTACAGCGTTTTGCTGATTTTTGTGTTGCTTGAGCGGGTGTGTCTGAAAAAAAACCAATAATTTTTCGTTCAGTGTCATTCGATTAATCGAGCAATATTTGAAAGAATCGAATCTGCTTCGAACACTTCAAGTTCTTCAAGAGGAAACAAATGTAACATTGAACACTGTGGATAGTATTGATTCGTTTTGTAATGAGATTACGCAGGGACATTGGGATAATGTTTTGAAAACCATTCAGCCGTTGAAATTGCCTGCAAAAAAATTAATTGATTTATATGAGCATGTAAGTTTTTGGTAAATTTTAAAGGAATATCTGAAATTGATTGTGAGCAGCTTTTGCGAAAATTGAAATGTTCTTGTGATTCGCCAGGTCCGAAAAAAAAATTTTCTAGATCATCATCGAGTTAGTGGAACTTCGTGAACTCGCAACCGCTCGTCTTGTTGCAAGACAAACCGATCCAATGATTTTACTCAAGCAAATCGATCCGGAAAGATTCACAAGATTGGAAAATCTCATCAACCGGCCATATTTCGACAGCTCCGAAGTTTTCGGTGATATCTCGAAGGACAAACGACGCTCCGCAATTGCACAAGCCTTATCTTCAGAAGTACATGTTGTTCCACCATCTCGACTTCTTTCGTTGTTGGGACAATCTTTGAAATGGCAATTAAATCAAGGATTATTGCCACCAGGAACTGCAATTGATTTATTCCGCGGAAAAGCGGCGCAAAAAGAGCAGGTTGAAGAGAGATATCCGACACAAATGGCTAGACATATCAAATTTTCAGCGAGTGAGTGTAGTTTTGTGATTTTTAAGAATTATTCAGGAACCAAGAAATCATACAACATAACTTTATGATTTTTCTTCAGAATCATACCCGGAATCAGCGATTTTCTCACCAGATGGAAATTATTTGGTAACCGGTTCGAAGGATGGTTTCATCGAGGTCTGGAATTATATGAATGGAAAATTGAGAAAGGATTTGAAGTATCAGGCTCAAGATAATTTAATGATGATGGATGCTGGTGTTCGATGTTTGGCTTTTAGTAGAGATTCGGAGATGTTGGTTTCAGGAGCTTTGGATGGAAAAATCAAGGTTCGGAAGGGGAAAAATTGGGGACTTTGGGAACATATATCTAGATAGCTGGATTCCGGTTGAAAAATGGCCTAGAACATTTTTTGATTGCCTAGTAAATGAAAAAAACGTTCAAAATCTATTTTCCAGTTGAAATTGTGAAAAATTCTTAAAAACCAAACACAATTAATTACTTTCCCAGGTCTGGAAAATCGAAAGCGGCGAATGTCTTCGACGCTTCGATCGAGCCCATGTCAATGGAGTTTGTGCAGTTAGGCTATCTCGAGACAATTCGCATGTTTTATCCGGTGGAAATGATCATGTAGTTAGGTAAATTTTCAATTTCAGATCGAATTTTTGAAATTTCAGACTAAAAAATCGAAATTCTTGATTTTTCTCATAAATTTAAATTTTTGAGGAAAAAAAAGTGATTTTTGTTGCCCAAAATCTTCCTCCGAAAACCCATTTTTCATGCCACTTTCAGTACAACTAATAATTCTTTTTTTTTTTCAAAAACATTTTTTTTTGAAAACAAGTCATAAATTTCGGGGAAATATGTACTTGTTTCCAAGTTTTACAAAAACCAAAATAAGGGATTTTTTGCAGGGTTCATGGAATGAAAAGTGGAAAATGTTTGAAGGAATTGAAGGGACACACTTCGTATATTACAGATGTCAGATATTCGGATGAAGGAAATCAGATTGTGAGTTTTTCATCCGGCAAAAAAACCTGAGGGGAATTTTTGCCACGTGGAATTTTTTGTATAGAATTCGGAAAGAATGACGTGTAAACCTTGACGTTTTTTCATGAGAAAAAAGTACGATGAAATTCAACATGAATTTAACTTGAAAAAATTCATCTGCTTTCTCATTCCACGTGTATTTCCCAATTTCTTCAAAAATTCTCTTCCCACCGATAAAATCTGTCTTTTTTTCCCTCTCTTTTATTCGATCATAAATTTCTCTAATATTTTTTTTCTGTTTGCTTTTTGTTCTTTGTTGGCTGATGTGGATTTGACCAGCCAGCCAAATGAAAATGAAAAACAATGAAAAAATATTGATTTTTCTTGAAGTTTTCGGGCTTCGAATACTAATTTTTTTGAATTTTTAGTGGACATTTTGTTCAAAAATTTTATTTCTCATCGATGACTTTTCATGTAAACATTTACCTAATATTTTCCAGATTTCCTGCTCCGCGGACAGCACAATTCGTGTTTGGCACGGAAAAACGGGCGAATGTTTATCGACATTTCGAGTGGCGGGTGCAGGCGATGCGCCAATCTTCAATATTCTCCCGATTCCCAAAAGTGACCCGCCACAAATGGTAGTCTGTAATCGAACAAATACACTTTATGTTGTCAATATTTCGGGACAGGTAAGGAGAGGGTTTTATAGGAAAATTTGAATGAGTTATGTCAAAATTGTCTCTGAAAAGCTGAATTTAATTCAGGTTTATCTAGAAAATCTGGATTTTCACCTGAAAATGTGAATATAGAAAAATACATGTTCACTTTTTTAAAAATTTTAAAAAATTTCAAAAATTACTTCGAAATTCGCAAAAAATGATTTTTCCAGGTCGTCCGAACAATGACATCAGGTAAACGTGAAAAAGGAGACTTTGTCAGTTGTATATTATCGCCACGTGGCGAATGGGCTTATGCATTGGCAGAAGACGGTGTAATGTATTGCTTTTTGGTGTTATCAGCATCGTTGGAAACCACGTTGCCTGTGAGTTTTTTGGGGGTCAAGTTGGATTTTTGTGCTGAAAAATGCTGGAGAATCGATTTTGTTTATCTAGAAATATTGGAAAATTATGTATTTTAAACTGGAACTCATCAAAAATCGTAATATTTATGAAGGAGAATCTAGAGAATTCAAAAATTCAAATGTACATCGTGAAAAATTTAAAATCCCATTTCCCTTCACATTTTCCATATTTTCCCTGATGTTTTTCCTTCAAAAATTCCAACCGAGATAACTATGGAAGATAAGAGTACAGAACTTTTAGATTGGATCTTATGACGTGTGATTTTTCGATCTATTTTATTTTTTTATTGAATATTTTGAGTTTACCGAGGTTTTATCCACGTCGATTTTCGAATAATTTTTTTCTAGATTCCCGGTTCTGAATTCCCAGTCAATCCTATATATAATTTCAGGTCTCCGAGCGATTACCAATTGGCCTTGCACATCATCCTCATCAAAACTTGATTGGAACTTTCTCTGAAGATGCTCATCTTCGACTGTGGACTGATTAATTAATTTTAATTTTATTCAATTTTTTATTTTTTCACAAAAATCTGAAACTTGTTTTTATTTTCATTTTATTTTTCTGGATCTCAATAAATTCCTAATCTACCTTTATTTCGTTGAAAAATTCCCGAAACTTTGTTGATTTATTCCTCCCGTTTTCTAACCGGCGAAACATATTTTTTCTGTTGAATTTTTTTGCTGAAAACTTTCAGATTTTTTTGCAGGCTTTTCAGGCCAAAAAAAGTGAGTGGATTGTAGTGGTTCTTGTTTAGATAGGTGAGTATTTTGGGGAGATTTTTTCGGGCAAAAAATCACAAAAATTTGGGAAGATCTTGATGAAAAAGGGAAATTGGGTCAAAATTACTCGCTTTGTTCAGCTGAATTGAATTTTATTGATTTTTTTTGAATTTATAAATTTTGGCGCGATTAATGGAATTGCCATGTGGATTTCTTTTTAGTTGAAATTATGCAAATCAAAGTTCCACGTGGATGAAAAAAAAAACATTAATTTCAGTCTTCGTCCAAAAATTGTACATTCAAATTTAATGAGCAAGATTTAAAGTTCCAAAAAAAATTTGATTTTTCTTCTGCAAAATTTATATTTTTTTGTTGCCACGTGGATTTTTCGTTGGTTGCTATGAAATAAAAATTCTTGTTTTTTTCTCTGAAGATTTTGAATATAATTCTGGCACCCAAAAATGTTCTAAAAATCTAGATTCTGAAAATTATTTCTATATTAGGTGAGATTATTTTGGAAATTTTTCAAACATATATTTTCATGAGCAAAAAACCTCCAAAACTGGATATTTGAGACTTTTGACATTTTTTTCCGTTTTCATTTCGAATGTTTTTTCGTGCTGTAAAAAATAATAAAACATGAAAGGACAGGATGTGGATGCTTTTAGAAGCAACAAAAAAATTGGAGCAAAAAAAGAAGCAAAAAAAGAAGAAGAAGTCATGTTTCCCTTTTTTTATTCATTCTCTCGAATTCTCAAACCAACCGGAAAAGGTTGACTAAAATTATTTTTTTTTTGGTGAAAAGTGAAAAACCTAGGTTTTTGTTGAAGAAATGACGTTTTTAGGACAACACGCTTTAGACTGAAAACCGAGATTTTTTTTCGAAAAAATGAATTTCAATTTTTCATCTCAATTTTCCAATAAAAAACTTGACTGAAAATTAATAAAAATTGTTATTTTTTTCAAATAAAAGAAATGGCCACATGGTTTTTTTCCACCAAAATACCCCTATTTATTTTTTCATGTTATTAGCATATAAATTAGTTAATAATACTAATATTTTTCTTCTTTTTTCTCATCACCAAAACAGAGAAGGATTAAAAATATCTATATATTCATTTTTCGTCATAAAAACGAAAAAAAATGTGGGCGCGAAGAAAATTATATTTTCATTTTACATATTTTGGTTTGATTGTTTTTTGTTTTGCAGGTGTTTTATGAGGTTTTCGGGCGGAATTTTTAACGATTTTTCGGAATCTTGACGGGGGTTTTTCTCAGAAAAATTGCGGTTTTTAGACTGAAACATGTGAAAAATCTGAAACTTTTGTACGTTTTAACCTGAAAATCGGGAATTTTCAGCTTTTCGTTTTTTTTGATATAAAAATTCGGATCGAAAATGTGAAATAATTTTTGAAAGACTTTGCCTGGAGAATAGAAATTGAAATAAAATTTTAATTTTTCTAAGAAAGATCAGAAGTTTTGAACTTTTCTAATCCAAAAAATCGGATTATTTCGGTTTGTTTTTCAAAAAAAAAATATTCAGAGCATAGTTTTTGACTAGAATTTTGAATCAGACAAATCTCTGAATTTTTTTGATTAAAAAAATGTCCTAAATTTTATATCCCTACTAAAATGGTGATTCTTTAAAGAATGTTTTTGAAATTCGCTTCCTAAAAATTCACTTTCACCGCCCAGAAAAACTTCATAAGATTGCATAAATCACCTTTGTGAAACTCTACAACAAAATAGTTGTCACCAATAAATAACTCATTGAAAATTCATTGAAAAACGCCCCTTTTGCCCCCTTTCTTAGCTCTTTTTCTTCAATTTTTTCAAATCGACTTTGTGTCATTTTCGATTATAGAAAAATATAAGAAATCCAAATCTTATTATTTTCAGCTGTTTTGCACTTTTTCTCTTTTTTTCGCGCCACAAATTTTTCTCATTTTTCAAATAATTGAAATAATTATTCTCAGTGTGACGTATGCAACTCGAAAATTATCCATTTTTCTGTGCCCCAAGTTTGCACAAAAAATTTTTCTCTAATTAATTTTAATCAAAAAATTCTCGTCCCTCAGCTCGGTGAGCTAGAAAAAAGAAGAGTCTAATTTTTTATGCAGATATAGACACATTTCTTACTTTTCCTCGTTTTCCTTCTTCGTTTTTCTACACATTTCCGAATGTAATTTGAATAGATTAAAGGCAAAGAAGAAGAAGAAGAAGCTCTTATTCTGCCGTGAATTTACTTCCTTCCGTCACTTATCGCTTCTACACTTTTCAGCGCAGAAATTGTGATTTTTTGATACCAAATAGACCTTGTAGTTTCACAGTCCCCGCCCATTTTTCTGTGCCGCAAAAACACACTGTGTTTTTGTCTCAAAAATTATTCATGCAAATTTCTAATCTTCCTCCTCCAAGCCACGCCCCCTTTTTCTTTTTGACATCTACAAGGAACAAAATCCAATTTTGCACTATTTCTTGTCAAAAATTCAGTTTTTCAAAATTTTCAATTAAATTTTTTGTTTGACTGACAAGGCGCTATTTTTGGCGCCAACGAAAAAACGTCAGATAAAACCGGAAATTTGAAAGAAAAACTTTGGGGGTATTTTTAGAGATAAAATCTAGAATTAGAAAAATATTTATTCATTTCTTATTTGAGTATTTTTTTTTTCTTATCAAAAATTCCAGAATAATTGATTAGTTGAATAGAGGAAATAAAAAGAGTTTTATCTCCAAATCGTCTTTGAAAACTCGGGTTTTTAGAATATTTCTTGGGTTTTTAGAGCTGGGAGTGTTCTATTTAGGTCAAGAGACGGTTTTTGAGATTCATATTGATATAGTTTCTTGGATTCAGAGCCTAGATATTGATTTAAGCTCCGCCCACTTTTTCAGTAAACCCTGAGGGTATCCATAATTTTCTGCGGTCTTTTGAGTATCAAAAAATATTTATTCATTTCATTATTTGTGTATAATTTTTTCTCATAATCATCAAAACATTCTATTTTTTCGGGGGAAGAAAAATTGAGAAATTTACATTTTTTGCGTGGCTTCATTCTTCGTTTTTTGTTTTTTCTTTGCAAAACAAAACATTCTAATTTTTCTAGGCAAAAATGAACGGAAATGTCAAAAGTCATCAGGTTTGCTTAATTTTTTCTGAAATAAAGAAAATGGGAAAACTAGACGCTTTAAATAGTCTAAATTCAAAATAAACATCTTCAGATCGACGATAAGGAAGCGCCAAAATCCACCGCTTCAATTTTTCGAGTTCAAGGAAATTCCACCGTACCATCACAACCACAGACTGTAAGAAAATTGAGTACGGTATTTAAAGGATCATACCAATATTGTTACAGCAAACAACTCCGCTGGTTTTCGGAGCGGCGAAAAAAGATAGCATTGGAAATAATTCAGAGGATATTATGATCGAAACGCTGACGGCGGAAAATGCCGCTGAACATGAGCCGATTGTAAGTTTCTGTAGATTTGCATATTAGTGTAGGTGAGAAATTAGTGATCTACAAAAGATGAGGGTTATTTTGAGTGTAAATTTGACCTAGTGAATATTAAAAGTACAAGCATAATTAAAATGATAGGAATAAAGCTTAGATTCTGAACCTTTCAAAAAAAAATCAATAATTTTGTAGCCTTGTGCTCATATGCTGCGGACAAATATTGACGAAGGTTTGAGCACGGCCGAAGCAACGCGTCGTCGACAATATCACGGATATAATGAATTTGAAGTCGGCGAAGATGAGCCGATCTATAAAAAATATCTGGAACAATTCCAAAAATCCGCTTATTTTGCTGTTATTAGCCTCAGCTACTGTATCAATTTTCATGAAACAATACGACGATGCAATTAGTATTACGATAGCTGTGATTATTGTGGTTACTGTAGGATTTGTACAAGAATATCGATCTGAAAAGACTTTGGAGCAATTGACGAAATTAGTGCCACCCACATGTCATGTTTTGAGGGATAATAAGGAGCAGAATATGTTGGCGAGGGAATTGGTGCCTGGTGATGTTGTTTTGTTGAATACAGGTGAGGAGGAAATTTTGGTGCAAGGTCGTTTTGATATTAAAAATGTGCCAAGTAATTACTGTAGCAAAATTCTGGATTCAAATCGAGCAGGGATCGGGTACTGTAGATTTGCAGATTATGGTAGTTTCGAAATTTTAATTTTTCAAAACTTCTAGAACCCGCAAAAAATCAAAACGTGTTCTATTCAAATTACGTGAAATTAATTTTCCCCTGGAACATTTAATTTTTCGCCATTTCTAAATTTTCAAAAACTGCAAAATGCCTCCTCAAAAACAGGTACTGTAGTTTTTTCCCGCTAATAAACTCCAGAAATCTCTCTGATTTTGCAGGCGACCGTATACCAAGCGATATTCGAATTGTCGAAAGTTTCTCTCTCCAAATCGACGAAAGTTCGCTGACCGGTGAAACTGAACCAAAACACAAAGAGACACGAGCAACGAAAATTATGGGAAAAGACGATATTGAACATATGATTTGTATTGGATTTATGGGAACTTTGGTTTGTGGTGGAAGAGGAAAAGGAATCGTCATATCAACTGCTGCCAATTCACAATTTGGAGAGGTAAAATTATATATTTTTCAGTTAAAAATTGAGCCAAATTACCCTAATCCTCTAACTAACCTAATCTTAATTTCAGGTTGTTAAAATGATGATGGGCGAAGAGTCACCAAAAACTCCTTTGCAAAAATCAATGGATGAACTCGGAAAACAACTCTCGTTCTACTCATTTGGTGTAATTGGTGTGATTTTTGTGATCGGTTTGGTTCAGGAGAGAAATTTTGTTGAGATGTTTACGATTGGTGTCAGTTTGGCGGTTGCTGCGATTCCTGAAGGATTACCGATTGTTGTAGCGGTGACTCTGGCTATTGGTGGGTTACTGTGGATTTTTCAGACGGGAAAAAATGTTCCAAACTGGTGAAGGTTTTTGATTGAAGTGTGATGGATGTTTTGAAACATTATCGAATCTCGAAAATATAATAGAATTTTTTAGGAGTCATGCGAATGGCAAAACGTCGTGCAGTCGTCAAAAAGATGCCAGCCGTCGAAACTCTTGGTTGTGTCACCGTAATCTGTTCCGACAAAACCGGAACACTCACCAAAAACGAAATGACAGCCACAAAAATCATCACAGCCGAAGGAAAACAGGCGAAAGCAACGGGTTTAGGATATTCAGTTGATGGTGGAATTGTGAGCACAAATGATGGTGAACAACACATTACTCAGTTTAGTCATCCGGAATTTGCAAGAATTATTGAAGCTGGATTAGTATGTAATAATGCGAATATAATTGAAGGAGATAAATTGGTTGGACAACCGACTGAAGGTGCAATTGTTGTGTTGGCAAGAAAAGCACAACTCGAACAATGTCGACAACAATATTCAAGATTGAGAGAAATGCCTTTTTCATCAGATACAAAATGGATGGGAGTACAATGTGAAGATCAGAATCGACAACAGGTTTATTTTATCAAAGGTGAGTTGAGCTTTTTTTAGTCTAAATATGTCTATGATCTTTGAACATCACATTATTTTTCACTGGAAACAATCAATTTTGAATCTGGACATTTTGAAGCAATTTATTGTCTTGAAACTCTACTTTTTTCCCAAATATTAAAATATCCTTTTTTGTTCGAATAAGCCTTGAATTTGTATTATAAAAACCCTAGACTTTGAAGTATTTTCAAGCTTGAACTTGTAAGATTTTGTTCGGAAATATTTTTTTCTAATTTATATAAAAATCTCTCATCTTTCTGAAATACAATCAAATTTTCTATAACAAATTACATGTTTTTAATCGACTCTTATTTTTCACTCAATTTTGTTGCAGGAGCCATTGATCGTGTTCTCGAACAATGTTCGACATATTACGCAGGAAGTGATAATTCTCGCCGTCCAATCGATCAATATTCCAAACAAAATATCCTCGAAAATGGTCGACAATTAGGATTGGAAGGTTTGCGAGTTCTTGGAGTTGCTCGAGGCGAAAATATGCAATCAATGATGTTTTTGGGAATGATTGGAATGTTGGATCCACCAAGACCTGGAGCTGCTGATGCTATTGCTATTGTAAAAGCGAGTGGAGTTGATATTAAATTGATTACTGGAGATGCACAAGAAACGGCTCAAAGTATTGGTGGGTGGACTTTTTGACTTGTTAAAACATTCAAATTCAGTTCCATATAAAATTTTGAAGCCCTGAATAATTCTATAAAATATCCTGAAATTTCTGTAAATTGAAAAATAGTTGTGGAATTCGAAACCACTATAAAATAATTCAAAATTTCAATTTAAAAAAAAAGAAAATTAAAAACAGAAAAATCATTTTGAAAAGTCCTGAAATTTGATCCAAAATGGTCTAGGTACCCATTTTTGAAGTTACTCTAACTCCCCACAGTTTTTTTGTTCATTTTCCAGGTCAATCTCTCGGAATTCTCTCTCAAACCACAGATTCTTGTTTATCTGGCCAACAAGTCGATCAAATGTCCGATCATGATCTCGAACTTATAATTCGACAAGTTACCGTATTCTATCGCGCATCGCCACGTCATAAACTCAAAATTGTGAAAGCGCTTCAAGCGATTGGTGAAATTGTTGCAATGACAGGAGATGGTGTAAATGATGCGGTTGCACTGAAAAAAGCTGATATTGGAGTTGCGATGGGTTTATGTGGAACTGATGTTTGTAAAGAAGCTGCTGATATGATTTTGTGTGATGATGATTTTAGTACAATGACTGCGGCAATTGAAGAAGGAAAAGCTATTTATCATAATATTACCAATTTTGTGCGCTTTCAATTGTCGACGTGAGTTTTTATTGCAAACGCGGGACGGGCAAATTACATTTTGAAAACTATTCACAATTACATGTTTTTATTCAAAAATGCAGAATTCTTTCCTTTTAAAATTCAAAAAAGTCAGATTTTTCTATTAAATTTTCTGAAACCCTGATAAAATATTTCGAAAATGTTAGAGATTGAAGGATTTTTCAATTTTAAAGGGTTAAATAAATGATTGCTTTGGCCCGAAAACCCCGTATTGAAGCCTAGCTCCAAAAACGTTTTGACTGAAAAATTTACGTTTCAAAAATATTTGATAATTGTTTTATGAATGAGATCAGGGCTTCTTATTTTTATTGAATCTCAAGCAACCGAATTTCAAAAAATAAAGCTAACACAGTGAATCAAACATTTAAAAAATCTGAAATTTCTAGTTATTCACACCAGAAAAATGCAAAATGAAATTGAAAAATGGGCGGAGCCTGTTTTTCTCTCGCTTTTTCTCTCGCTCCCTCCCCTTCGAAATTTGATCGGTTATTGACCAAATTTGAGATGAATTTGCCTTGTTTTCTTGATAAATCGTAACCAAAAATGATTTTTTGGTAGGAAAATTGAGAATTTTGTGATTTATCGTAACTTGTCTGCCTGCTTTTGAGAAAATCATGATTTTTGGGAGAATTGGTCACAAAAATATTACTGTAAATCGTTATTTTCCAGAGAGTTTGTTGAACTATTGGGTTTTTCTCAAGTTTGGTCAAGTTATCTACGAGAAAATCAAAGAGAGTTGTGATTTTCTCATTGTCCAGTTGACCAGGTCGTGATTTTCGCGAAATTATAAAAATTTTAAATTTGAATTTGAAAAATGGAAAATTTAACAAGGTACAAAGCAAATATAGATCTTACTTTGTTGAGAGTTTGCCATGTGGCAAGACAAAATTCTATTTTTCAACATTTACCATGTGGATTCGCAACCTCACAAAGTGGATACAGCATTTTAAAAAATCGCCCATTTCAACAAAACCGTGTTATCTTTATTCTAATATTTCACACGTGGCAAAAATGCTGAAAAATAAAGTTTCAAAATTTTTGGATGTCAAGAAATCATTGGTCATATTCGATCATCAAAATTCTGTGATTTATCAGGAAATATCATGATTTTCCGAGAAATTACTGTAGATAATGATTTTCTCAATTTCCAGTTGACCAAATTTGAACTATCGTGATTTTTCGAAGAAAATTAGTGATTGGTCAATTTCTGATTGGGAAAATCACTGAAGATTACTGTAAGTCGTGATTTTCACAAAAAGTTCGAACTATCAGCAAAAGTTGAACTTTTGCCACGTCATAATTTTTTCTTTCGAAATTCTCAATAGTTTCAATAAAAATTAGATCTGCTTCGGAAAATCACGATTTCTCTGATGAATTACCGTAAATCGTGATTTTCTTGAGATTTCTTAACCAAATTTGAACTATCACGTTTTCTCAGAATTGGTCATTTTTTATTGAAAAAATCACTGTAGACAATAGTTTTCTCTCCAAAAATCGGGAAAATATCAGAATTTATCATGATTTTCTCGAAATATTATGATCTACGGTAGTTTTCTCATTTATGTTTGGTGATTTTTGCGAGGAGAATCAAGAATTTATCAAAATGAAGATAAACCATTATTTTTTTTTATATACAGTACACCTATTATTTTTTATGCTTGAGTATTAATATTTTAGAAATGAAACTCGCACAAATGGTAATTTCAGGTTACGTAATTGTTTTACGAATCTTCGAACGAAAATTTAAACACAATGATTATTCAAATTTCCCCTAATTGTTTCAGAAGTGTCGCCGCTCTTTCGCTCATCGCTGCTTCCACAATTTTCCGTTTCGAAAATCCACTCAACGCCATGCAAATTCTATGGATCAATATTATAATGGACGGACCACCGGCTCAATCTTTAGGTGTCGAACCAGTTGATGATGATATCATTCGACAAAAACCACGAGATACAAAACAACCAATGTTGACACGGAAATTGATTTTGGATATTTTGGCGTCGGCTGCCATTATTGTTGTTGGAACTTTGAGCGTTTTTTATAAAGAGGTTTGGACTTTATTTTTGTTTTGTTATATTACAAAGAAAATATGAATTTTTCTGGAAATTTGTAAAAATGACTTTTGGAATAGTTTTAGAAGAAATGGGTGGAGTAGCCTGACTGACAACTTTTGAAAATGGGGCGGAGTCCAGTGATTCGCTTTCTGTAAAAATTCCCAGAATAGCATAAAGTGACAATGTGTGCTTAAATATATATCTTGAAAAATTCTGGAACTTTTATTGTCACAAAATGTCTCTGAAAAACTATGTCAGGATTGTAAGAACAGAAAATGGGTTATATTTTTTGCAACAAATTTAATATGTAAATGAAAATTAATTGTTCCCTTCGAAAAACCCTGCGAAACTCCTAATTTTCCAGATGTCAGCTGACAACAAAGTAACACCCCGTGACACAACAATGACATTTACATGTTTTGTTTTGTTTGATATGTGGAATGCATTAAGTTGTCGAAGTTCGCGTAAAATGATATGGCAAATTGGAATTCGTCGAAATGGAATGTTTTCGATGGCAGTGTCAGCATCATTAATTTGTCAATTATTAGTTATTTATTGGAGCCCTCTACAACACATTTTTCAGACAGAGGCATTATCGTTTTTTGGTTAGTTTTTCAACCAATCAATTCTCAAGAACTCCACCAATTTCTCGTTTCAGATCTCATCTTTCTAACAACCATCACATCAAGCGTTTTCATTTTCAACGAAACGCGCAAATATTTTTCGCTTCACTCAAAATCGAGTGTTTTAGAAATCTGATACTACGGGATATTCTGATGAAGAAGAAAAATAAATTATGTAGATTTTTTGAGAATTTATTATTATAATACAAAATAAAATATCACAGATTTTTTCTGGGCCTGACGTGAAAAGCCTATAAAGTCGCATGAAGCCTTGTTGTTGAAACAATAAAAATGATGACAGTTTGCAGAAACCCGAAAATCATACAAACCGCTGAATTACAGAAGATTTAATTTTTTGATGAATTTTTGAAGTTTTTATTTTCGAAAAATTTATAAGCTAAAATACGTTTCAAAATTGTATGAAAGCCTTCCCTTCTGTTTGACATCGATGGTAAACTTATCCAATGCTAGCCTTCTGTCAAAGATTTCAATGTTCAAATCAATGAATGTATGTGTACGGTTGAATCGGGGTAATAACAGCAGTTCCACTCAATTTACAAGATTACATGGCCTGTCGAAGCGTATTATCAGCTTTTTGTTTGAAGAGGTTTTTTTGTGTTCTCCTAGGATATTGTCCCATCGATTGAGGAACCTGAAAATATCGAAAACTTACTGAAAAATGACAAAATAACGAAAATGATATAGGGATGCTTGTGGCATATTTCACGGTTATATTTATTTCACCGTTTGGGGTCTGCACTCTTGATCATTTGTCTCCATTTCATACGGTCCATTGCATCGGTTTCTGATATTTTGTTAATATTCTTGGAGATTTAATTTTTTGATGAATTTTTGAAGTTTTTAATTTCGAAAAATTTATAAGCTAAAATACGTTTCAAAATTGTATGAAAGTCATTCGCCTAACCTAAACCTGCAATTCTTCCGGGTATTCATAAGCTTCTGCCAACCTGATCATCGGATTTTTGTAGCTCAACTTTATGGATGAGCAAGTCACTTCAAATAATGTTTGTAGATTAAATTTGAATTTTTCGACATTTCAAATTGCTGAATTACAGATTCTTGAAGATTTAATTTTTTGATGAATTTTTGATGTTTTTATTTTCGAAAAATTTATCAAAGCTAAAATACGTTTCAAAATACTCACCACGTTTGACATCGATTCATCCAATGATAACCTTCTGTCAAAGATTTCAATGTTTAAATCATTTTGGTTCAATCGGATTGATAACAGCAGTTCCACTCAATTTACAAGATTTTATGGCCTGTCGAGACGGGTGTTATCAGCTTTGAGGGAAGAGGTTCGTGTTTTCGAATAGCTAGTTGATTCCATCGATTGAGGAACCTGAAAATCTCGAGTAGGTTGGTTAGTTGCAATTTTTGCGAAATGACTCTAGGGATGCTTGTGGCATATTTCACGGTTATACTTTTTTCACCGTTTGGGGTCTGCACTCTTGATCATTTGTCTCCATTTCATACGATCCATTGCATCGGTTTCTGATATTTTGTTGGTCTTCATATCATTGTTTATAATATTCTAATATCGCAGTTTGGGTCTTCCGCGGCCTAGTTCTGCTTCAGCTTCATAAGCTTCTGCCAACCTGATCATCGAACTTGCATCCGCTCTTCTCACGTGTCCAAAACATCTCAATCGGCTTTCTTCCATCTTATCTCGGATTTTTCTTGAAGATTTAATTTTTTGATGAATTTTTGAAGTTTTTATTTTCGAAAAATTTATAAGCTAAAATACGTTTCAAAATTGTATGAAAGTTATATTTGACTCCTTTCAAATATTCTCTCAGTTCTTTCTTGAGCTATAAAAATTACTGTAATTGAAAATTTCATTGTGAAAACAACACAAACCTCAGCTTTATCTTGTACCAAATTATTGGTCGAACCAATTCCGCTTTCTTGTGTTGTTTGAAACGTGGTTTCCGAAACATTGGTTGTGTTTTGGAAGATACTGCCGAATCGTTTTCATCCATCTGGAAAACTGTATGGTTTTTTTTATTTGATTTTTTTTCTGAAAAAACTCGCCGATTTTTTTTTGGAAAAACTCGGGCCGATTTTTTTGAAAAAATCTCGGGTCGTTTTTTTTTTTGAAAAAACTCGGGCCGATTTTTTTTTTGAAAAAACTCGGGTCGTTTTTTTTTGGAAAAACTCGGGTCGTTTTTTTTTTTTGAAAAAATTCGGGCCGATTTTTTTTTGGAAAAACTCGGGCCGATTTTTTTGAAAAAAAATCTCGGGTCGTTTTTTTTGAAAAAACTCAGGCCGATTTTTTTTTTGAAAAAACTCAGGCCGATTTTTTTTTTGAAAAAACTCGGGTCGTTTTTTTTTTTTGAAAAACTCGTTTTTTGGTTAGTTTTTCAACCAATCAATTCTCAAGAACTTCACCAATTTCTCGTTTCAGATCTCATCTTTCTAACAACCATCACATCAAGCGTTTTCATTTTCAACGAAACGCGCAAATATTTTTCGCTTCACTCAAAATCGAGTGTTTTAGAAATCTGATACTACGGGATATTCTGATGAAGAAGAAAAATAAATTATGTAGATTTTTTGAGAATTTATTATTATAATACAAAATAAAATATCACAGATTTTTTCTGGGCCTGAAAAGCCTATAAAGTCGCATGAAGCCTTGTTGTTGAAACAATAAAAATGATGACAGTTTGCAGAAACACGAAAATCATACAAACCGCTGAATTACAGAAGATTTAATTTTTTGATGATATTTTGAAGTTTTTATTTTCGAAAAATTTATAAGCTAAAATACGTTTCAAAATTGTATGAAAGTCATTCACCTAACCTAAACAATTCATTGTAACCTTGAGTCGATAACTTTGAATTTCCAGAATCTTTTCCAGGACTTGAGAAAAGTCGACATTCGTTATATTTGACTCCTTTCAAATATTCTCTCAGTTCTTTCTTGAGCTATAAAAATTACTGTAATTGAAAATTTCATTGTGAAAACAACACAAACCTCAGCTTTATCTTGTACCAAATTGTTGGTCGAACCAATTCCGCTTTCTTGTGTTGTTTCATACGTGGTTTCCAAAACATTGGTTGTGTTTTGGAAGATACTTGAGTTAATATTCGATAGGGTGTTCAGTGCCGAATCGTTTTCATCCATCTGGAAAACTGTATGGTTTCAAGAAACTGAATTTTTTATACCTGCATCTCTTCCGGGTGTTCACAACCGAGTAGATGAGTGAAGATTTTGTGGCCGTCATATGATCCTTTAATTGTATATTCTCCGGATTCGAGTATTTCAACAATATAGTTGATTGCATGTTCATTTTTTTGATAAACAGTTCTCATCGATGTTGTTTCTGAAAAACAAGAATAACGATTTGTCAAAACAACAGAAGTTTTCAAAATACTCACCGCGTTTGACATCGATGGTAAACTTTTCCAATGATAGCCTTCTGTCAAAGATTTCAATGTTTAAATCAATGAATGTGTACGGTTCAATCGGAGTAATAACAGCAGTTCCACTCAATTTACAAGATTTTATGGCCTGTCGAAGCGTATTATCAGCTTTTTGTTTGAAGAGGTTTTTTGGTGTTCTCCTAGGAAAACACCAAAAATTGTCCCATCGATTGAGGAACCTGAAAATCAGAAGATATCATTTTCAAAAGCCGAGAGTAATTTTTTTTTTCTGATTTTTGTTGAAAATGTGCATGTCTTTTCAGAAAATTCTGATATTTTTTTGGTTCATTGATTCATATAGTTGTGGCCGTAATTAAATTTCTTCTTTTCTTTTTTCGGGCTATTCAGAAATGCCTGTTGCGAATTCTCATTCGAAATTTGGTGAAGAAAAAAGATGAAATCCGAAAAACTATTAAAATCACGTGAACGTGTACTCGTGGAAAGAGCAGAAGCCGCCCGAAAAAAATGTCAAAAATTCATGGAAGTGCTGAAAAATCAGACTGTTTTCCAGAAAGAAGTCAACGTGTTATTTTCGAATGTGGTGAACAACCTTATTTGAAACATGAAAGTTGTTTTTCCACCCAGGAACAAGGTGAAAATGGGCAAAAACCAAAACTCAATTCTAACTTTGGAGCTCCAGAAAAGTGCTCACAAGCATATGCGGCAATTTTTGACTTCGGATTCGTGATCAGCATGGCCGATTTGGTATATTTCGATATGACCTTTTGCACTTCCCTTGTAAGACCACCTTTGGCTAACTTTAATAATCCCCCTACTGTATTCGATAAATTCAACCAATTTATAGCAAAAAGAAAAAAATTGATTTAATTATGGCCACACCATGTTTATAAAACCAAAAAGACTTACCAATGTTTCAAACAAAAGCGATAAATCATGTTGGTTCGCCATGAAAAAAGGTCCATTGTGCGATGGAGTCGAGACGGGTGTTGATGTTTGAGGGCAAGTCGGTGTTGAGTTCGATTTCGAATAGCTAGTTGATTCCATTGTTAGTTGAATTTCGAGTAGGTTGGTTAGTTGCAATTTTTGCGAAGTGATTCTACATATAAAACAGAATAATCCACATTTTTGAAAAAAAAATAGAACACGTCCACGTAAAATTTCAGAAATCACATTTTTTTAAAAATAATCGTTGTCGTTTTTCGAAAATTGTTGCCGTTGTGAAAACAAGGAGTTTTCATTTGAAAACTTCTCAAAAAATATACTCGTGATCAATTCAAATTCAAAAATACAATTTTTGCGAAAATTTAGAAAAAAGGGAACTTTTAAAAGGAGATATAAAGAAAGGCTAACAAAAAAACGGAAGAGAGATGATGTGCGAATTCGAGAGGGTCTTTAATTTTATAATTTTGTGTGAATTATTTTGTTTTTTTTTGATGATGAAGAAGAAAAATAAATTATGTAGATTTTTTGAGAATTTATTATTATAATACAAAATAAAATATCACAGATTTTTTCTGGGCCTTAAAAGCCTATAAAGTCGCATGAAGCCTTGTTGTTGAAACAATAAAAATGATGACAGTTTGCAAAAACCCGAAAACCATACAAACTGCTGGTGAGACACTCTAAAAAAAAATCATGTTTCTAGACTTGAGTCTGAAATTCAGGCTTGAGCTTACCAAATCTGTCGAAGAAACCGCGTAGGCCAAAATCATTGATGTTGGAGCACCAAAACTTAGTGGAATTAGAATTGTTGTGACTGCAAATTATCATTATTTTTACAATTAAATGTTTAAAATTAGGTTTTCAGACACGAAAACTCACTGAAAAATGGCAAAAGAACGAAAATTATATAAGGATGCTTGCGAAGAGTGAAAAGAGCAATTAGAGAGGAGCAGGCGCCGTAGAACTGCAAAAATTCAAACTACAATAAACCAAATATAGAGAAACCTATAAAAAACTTACTAAAAATGGTAAAGCCATCCAGATAAATGTGGCCAGCGAGATTTCGGACCAAGCCGACATTTGATCGCCATTTAGAAGAAGAACGCCGCTCAGTGTGAAATTACTTCTGAAAATTTTTGGGAAATTTTTATTTGGTGCGATTGAAAAATGACGTCAGAACACCTACTTTCCACCCATTGTGGAAGAGAAAACTGGAAATTATAAAATTTCGCAAAAAAATGAGAAAATTGACGTGGCAGGTTTACGTGACGATTAAAAATTTTAATTTCAAAAATTATCTTCACGATTTTTTAAATTAAATTTTATTCTTAAAATTTTCAAATTTTACAATACGGTCAAAAACCCACTTTGTAAAATTCGAATTCTGCTCAAAAATGGTGACAATCATCCTCTGATCACTTTGCACATGTTCGAAACTTTTGTTGCTCATCTTAATCGCATATTCTTCAGAAACACAAAAAACTACCTGAAATTAAATTTAGGCTCAAGAAATGAATATCTCAAGATATTTCAAAAGTTCGGGAAACTTTTCTTTAAAAAAAGAAAATATAGTGTTTGAAAAATAAATAAATTTTTATATATATCTTTTAAATAAACTTCAAATTTCGGGGAAAAGAAAATGCAAAAATGTTCAAAAAAAAACAGGACACGAAAAAATCAATAAATTACTGGGATATAAAATATGATATGCAGGAATTGAGAAGATAATAACTAAACTAGATTGTAGTTTGGGAATAGGAAAAAATACCGGAAAAAAGGAAATGTTTACTGGGGTGGAACTAGACTCTAGTTTGACGACAAATTGATCAAAAATGAGGTGGAAAATGCGGCAGAGATAAATTCTTTGGACATTTCGTCGAACCAATTGGTTGGAGTTCCCAAATCGGCAATGGCCGAGTCTGAAAATTTGGTTTTCTTGACCGTGAAATACTGTTTGGAATTCTAGGCACCCATCTGATTTTCCAGTCGAATTTTTCAAATTTCACCGAACATTTTCGTAGAAGAACCATCAATTTTCATTCCCTCCTTCAAAAAAAACATCCTTACCAACAGCAACAATACTCGGAGCCGCTCCGCAAAGTTGTTCAAAACAAGTGCGACCGGTCGCCAATTTTTGTTGAACATGTCTGAGTCCAGAAGTTGCGCAGCCATACATCAAAAGATGAACTCGATTTGGTGGAAGTGGTTGAGGAATTGATTCGATTGAGATGAAATGAGTTGAAGTGGAAGATCGGAAACGAAGCCATGTTTCGACATCTTCATTGATTTCAGATGAGAGAAGGCAGATTATCTGCAAACAAAATTATCACTTCTCAATCTTTTTTTCTTCAAAATTCAAACTTACTGGTGATTCAGGCAACTCCTTAATATTATCTACAACATTAACATGTTCAAACTCTTCCCCAGGATATTTTCCAAATAAATGACAATCGAATCTGCAAGCAAAAATTGAGATTTTCAGCGAAAGAAAAACAATAATTATCATACCTTCTCTTATCCAAATGCGTCAAAATTCTACGGATAAATTTGACCGAATTTTTCGCAGAGGCGATCAAGACAATTGTGCCTTTTTCATCACCAAATCTGCAAAAATTTAATGATTACATGGATTTTTTGTGTCAAGTCTTCAAAATCAGAGAATCGTTTTCCCAACAAATCGACCCGTCATACCTCATTTGAACATCACAAATCCATTCAAAAAGTCGATCAGCCGTAATTGTTTCATAAACCAATTCGCCCATCGAATTCGATGCTTCTTTCAAAAAATCACGTTTTTGTTGAATCGAAACAGCTGGAATCGGCTGACCATTTTTCGATTTTTCAAAACTGATCGAATTTAGAGTGAATTTTGGTCTGCAAAACATGAAAGGAAATTGCGGAGTGTCGTAGTAACAGAAAACGGGTTCTACAATTTTGAACTTTCAAGATTTTCAGTTCACAATTTCAAGCTAAAAATTATCAATATTTAATTTCTCGCATTTTCCAAACTTTCCATTTAAAATTCTCACCGATCCGCTTTAATTGGTGAAATATCCGCCGACCAAGTAGTATTTCTCGAACTTTTCACACTTGTCCACGAAATCACACGATCTTCGTCCTCAACAATATTCTCATAATGAGCAAAGTTTTTGGAGCACTTCAATTTTTCGACATTTTCAAAATACTCGTCATCATTTTCGTCGCCTTTTTCGAACAATTTCAGATTTTCGGCAAAATCGAAATCGGATTCAGGATCGAAATCAATCGAACCCAAATCTTGTTTTTGTCGCGAATTTTTTGTGCGAATTCCTTTGTAGCAATTAAGGGCATCGAGAAGAGGAATTCCAGATGGTCCCTGCAAAAAATACCTTTTTTTTTCAGATGAAAACTGAAGATTTTCAGAATGGAAACAATAAGATTGGGATTTTTCAAGTTTTCTAGATCTTATGACAATTTTTCAAATAGGCTTTCAGAGATTTTGAAAGAAAAACAACGATGCTCCGCATTTACCCCTATCAATAAATTCTACCTGTTTTCGATCGCAATTTTTTCTTCCATTATTTCCATTTGATAAACCACCTCCTGATCCTTTAATTTTTGATCCAGCAGTCAATTTCGACAAAATAGTCGGATGTGGAACTTGTGGTTCAAATGATTGAAAAAGGGGTGTGGCTGAGATGTCGACTTTTTCCGGCAATTTTTTCGTGTTTTGAGCTTGTTCGAACAATTTGTCAATAGCGTCTGGAATTGAAAAATGGAATTTATGTAATTGACCTGAATAAACTTTAAAAATAGCTGATCTTCACGATATGCTTTTTTCACTTCTCAATTTTCAAAAAAAAAATAGTGAAAACCTTGTTTTTGAAAACCCGTCTTCTCATAAAAACTTACTTTTCTTCGGACTTTTCTTATTTTGTCCAATATTCGAATGTTTGGAGTTCGACGAACTCGAAATCGTATTGGTATTTGAGTTGGAATTCGAAATCGAAGAAGAAGATGTGGCTTGTTGATTTGGTGGCGCTTTCAAAACTTTGAGTGATGATATTTGGGTGGCCGATAGAGTTACACATTTTCCAAGCGGAACTCCTTCTCTGCAGAAAAATTAGGAGTTTTGGAGAGAACATTTTGAGATTATTGGAGTAGAACTAAACTTTTTATGAAAATTCGATGATGTTTCAACTTTTCTTGAAATTATGAATTTCTACCCAATAACTAAAAGAATTATTCAAATATTACCTAAACGCATTAGCAATGGTGATATTTTTGGTCTTTGCATCAACTGTTGTCAATTTTCCTTGATACAAACTTCCATCCAAACAATCAACAGAGATAAGGCTTCCGATGTGTTGATCTTCCATCTGAAAAAAAATTCAAGAATTTTGTGGAAATTTTTCGCTTAAACTTAAATTGTGGAGAAAAAATAGACTTTGAAAAAATAAAATGTTTCAGGAAGTTTAGAAAATTTCGGAAACTTGAAAATTTTAACAAAAAAAGTCCTTTAGATTACAAAAAATAAAATTAGGCAAGCCTCCAAAAATCCATCAAAAAATATTCCACGGGTTTCCAAAACCGATGAAAAAACCACACAAACAAAGACAGCAAATAATCGATAAAAATTTTTTTGAAAAAAAAACAACCATACAGAAATTAATAATTAAGAAAGGTCAAAAATACTTGGGGAGATCAAAAACATTTTTTTGGTTTTTTTTCAGATTTTTCAGACAATGAATTTCCAAAATAAAATCAATAATTATCCCATATAATCGAGTGGTCTGTTAAATCCTCCTTTTCTGTTCATATATTGACGATAACGACGTGGTTTTTTGATATTAACACATCCATCAACATTGTCTTCGACCTGCAAACAGAATGATTTGACTGGAAATTACATAAAAATAGGTAATTTTGACTTTTTCATAAACTTTCATCAAAATGTAAAAATTTCCAATTCATATTTTTAATGAATTTTAATTTTAATGGTAGAACAATTCTTAATCATCCACATGGAAATAAATTTCAGCGGAAAAACTGCCACGTGGCTTTTATTTCTCCATTAACCCCCATAAATACCTGTTTATTTTTAGTAGTCTCAAATCCACCAAATCCCATCGCCTTCATCATATCCTCCTCAGATTGTTGTTGTAGATCTTCTAAGTGAATTTCTTCTGAAAAAAAATTAAAATTGGGAAAATAGCAGATTTTCATGTATTTCTTTATGAAAACTCTAAAAAACAACTCACGATTCTGTTTTGGATACTTCTTCTCTTTTTCTTTATCTTTTTCCTTTCTTTCCTTCTTTTCCTCTTTTTTCCTCTGCGTCTCTTTTCTATCTCCTGATCTCTCATTTCTCTCGCTTCTTTCTCCTCTCGGACTCCGACTTCTCTCTTTCTCTCGTCTCTCTCGCGGACTTCTACTTCTATCGCGATTCGATTTATCTCTGCGTCTCTCTCGTTCTCGTCGTCTTTCAGCTGATCTCGATCTGCTTCTAGATCGAGATCTTGAATGATCTCGCCGTCTTGTGGATTGTCGTTCGCGACTTCGGCTTCTGCTTCGAGCCATTTTTCGGGAGCTGGAAAAATAAGAAATGAAAAAAAGTGAGTATTTTCACGTAAAAAATATAGATCAAATGACGTGGAATTTTAAAATTCTTAATTTCTAAATAAAAATTGTTTTAAAAAACTGGAAAAACATCAACAAATTCAAATATGAAATGTGGTTTTCAAACACATTTTGAGCTTAAAAATTCAAAGAAAAATATATAAAAACCAACATTTCATAACAAAAAAAATATAACAAAAATCCAACAAAAACAAATCAAATATCCTATTCATTAGTTCTAACAGTTTTCTTCATCTTCTTCTTTTTCGCCACTTTTTTCACCACAGCAATTTTGTGGCGTTTTGGAGCCCGTTTGAGCAAATCTTTCCGTTTGTCTCTGGAAAAATGGGAGAATTTTGGGAAATTTGTGTTTGAGACGGGATTCTGGGAAATCGCATTTGAGTGAGAAACTATTGATTATTCAAAGTTGTTTTTTGTTTTATTGATATATTACTCGGTGAATAATTCTTCGAATATTTTCTCTTTCCACCAACCTCGAAACTTTCTTCATTTCCAACAAATATTGTGGTACTTCAAATCCGCTTTGCCTAATAACCATTGCAATACTTTTCACATATTGTATATCAGAATCCGTGAAATATGTCACCGCATTTCCCCGATTTCCAGCTCGCCCAGTTCGTCCAACTCGATGAATATAACTGACAATTGAGGTAGGTAGATCATAATTGATAACTAGGCCAACATCGGACAAATCTAGACCACGACCTAATAATTCAGTACAGACGAGAACCCAAATTTCACCATTTCGGAATCGTTGCATTGTTTCATCGCGCTGAAATAAAATTAGATATTTTAACCTGAATTCCTACACATAAAATTCAACTGGTTTTATTTTCAATTGGAAACATCTAGAGTTTTCAAGCCAAATATAATTTATAGAGTGAATTTAATAATAAATCCCAGAAATTCGACGCTCTGAAAATTCTTCCAAAATCCCACCTCTTTATCACTTTTATCACTATTGATCGAATCAACTTTCAAACTTCCATCAATCGCTGATAACAATTTGACAAGTTGAGCAGCTCGATCTTTACTTTGCACAAAAACTAAAGCAGGTGGTTTGAATTGAGTTTTCAGCAAAAGTTTGATCGCAACTTTTTTGCCATCTTCTGTTCCACAATATTTCAATTCTTGTTTTACATGGGTGTTTGAAGAGTTCCGTTCACCGACGCAAACCATTCCGATATTATCAATGTTTTCTTTACACCTGAAAAATAATGTGAGGTGTAAATGCGGAATATTGTAAGGCTAAAGTTCCCGTTTTCACTAGAAAAATGAACATTTCTCAAAATTCCACGCTTTTCAGTGAATTTTCACCCAAAACATACCATTTCTCAACTTCCTGCGAAAACGTGGCACTAAAAAAGGCAGTTCTTGTACATTTTGCCTCACAAGCCTTATAAATTGCAGCCAACTGATTTCGAAAACATTTCTCATTTCCTTCGACAACTTCGAAGAGTCGATCAGATTCATCAACAACAAGCCATCGAAGATGACTCAAGTCCAATTTTTCGAGATGAAAAACGATTCGATTTGGAGTAGAGATTAGTATTTCAGCTGGAAAAATAAGCGATATCGAGGAATTATAAGTAGGGTTCTGTTACCTTTCTCAAATTCTTCATCCTCTCCACTAAAATTACAACACTCGATTTCTCCATTCGAATATTTCTGAAATTCGCTAAACGTTTGATTTGCCAATTCTCGAGTAGGTTCCAAAATGATCGCCAAAAGTTTGTTTTTCGCAGATTCCGAGCGATTTTTGAGTTTCAGAATTTCATCGATGACTGGAAGGGCAAAGGCAAGTGTTTTTCCGGAACCTGGGAAAATATAGTTTGAGTTAAAACATTGTTAGTGGAGCAAAACATATTTTTATTCTCGAAAATTTATAAAATGATTTTTTGAAACGTATGTTTCCAAGATGAACATTTTCAGTGTTTTACTAGATTTTCCGAAAATAAATTCGCTCAATTTCACAGATTTAGAATATTAGATAATTAAAAATTTTTAAAAGTTGTCAGTTCAAAATTCTTCATTTTTCACGGTATTTTTTAAAAGCTGTCTAATTTATATCCCCAAATGTTCTCATTCCCGCTCTCTTCCCAATTCTCTTACCAGTTGGTGCACTACTCAACACATTTCTTCTTTTCATCATCAATGGAATCGATTGCATTTGAATCGGTGACGGTTTTTCAATATTTGCCTCTTTCAATTTTTCAATTATCGATTTTTCGAATCCCTCTTCTGCTCCAAATCTCAAAATAATATCGGGAATATTTTCGCCCCACGTGAAAATTCGATTCGCTCGTCGAATTTCGCCAAGTAATTTTTCCAGATTTTTCCTTGCCTCTTCCGGGCTTCCAACATCTTCATTTTCTTTTTGTTCAAAATTCTTTCCTTTTTTCTGTGATTTTTTCTCAATTTTTCCTATCGTTTTTTCGCGAAACTCATCATATTTTTCGAGATTTTCTTGTGAAATTCGGGAGATTTCCAAACGGGTTTCTTCTTGTGGGCGAAGTTTAGATTTTTTGGTTTTTTGAATTCCGAAACTCAGTTTTCGGAACAATTTCGAAGACATTCTGGAAAAATGGGGAAAAGTTATCATGTGTAGGCAGGAACCACGTGGATTTTTAAAATTATACATTTTTTGCGAAAAATCATGCGATGTGGATTTTTGTAAAAAAAAATATTAAAAAATAATAATATTAACAAAAATATCAAACTGTATATCTCAACAGCTACTAAAAATTCTAATTTCCAATTTCAAAAAAAGTTCAAAACTTCATTGTACAAAAAACAACAACAATAATAAGAGAAAATTAAATATAAAATGAACAAAAAGAGATCGAAAGCGCTAAAAATCCCCCATTTTACGCCGAAAATCTCAGTGAACTGTACGCATTTTCGCCCGAATTATCCAGAGATTTACCGTGCACAATTTTCAGCGCAATTTCAGCAGCCATTTCTTCGGCAACTTTTGCCATTGCTGGTTTGGCACATTGATCAGCGCCGAGTTGGCGAGTGGCCAATAAAATATCACCAGCTACGAGATCGAATTGTTGAGACCAACCTTCGAGTTTTCGAGTGTTTTGGATAAGAGATAAATTAACAGCTTCGAGGGCTTGTGTAAGGCCTGAAAAATAAGAAAACTATTTGTTGATTTTTCACATCATAAATTAGAATTCTATGCCATTTCCCACTCCAAAAATCACAAATTTCACCCTAGAAATCCCAAAATGTTCACCTTTAACACTTCGATCCGCCGTAACACTCGGTTTCAATTTCGCCAAACTTCTACTCATTGAAATCGCATATGCCAAATTCGCCGGTTTTTCATCGAATTCGATCTCAGTTGCGGCTTCATTCAATCGTGGAGTTGTTGAAAGAAAACTTTCGACGAGAGAATTCACAGCCAACTGTTCAGAATCAACACAATATTGAGAGAATCTAAAAGAAAAAGCACATTTTTCAAAATATTTTCACACCAAAAGCTTCAAAATCTCCCAAAAAACTATGACGTACGTGTGTGTCAAAATCAAAAATCGATCAATAGTTATATCAACTCTAGTATTCACTTTTTTCACATTCCATCTCAATAAACAACTTGTCATTGCGGTTTTCAACATTTGTTCAGCGCTTAAATGTTTCGGTGTGAGACCCAATGCATTTTTTAAAGCCAAAAGTCGTTGATTGAATGCCTCGTTGTCCAATGGCTCTTCTTTGCTGCAAAAAATACGCGATTATTGGTGACGTTTTGAGTTGGAAATCAGAATGTAATTGTGAGAAGAACAATTTCAGATTTTTGGGTTTCGAAAAATCAACACAAATGATTTGCTTCATAAACTAATGGGTGGATTTTTTTCAACATTTTCTGGGGCCAACAAATCCACGTGGAAATACAGTACCCTTAGCTCCATTTGGTCTCATTTTGACGCAATATTTTGCAGGTCAAAAAATTCCCTACAGTACCTCTTTTTCGATCCATCTTTCTCTTGAATATCATCCATTTTAACAGCTTGTCGTTTTTTAGCAGTCGATGCTTTCACATAACTTCCACCCGCTTTTTTTCGATCCATTTTCGCCGAAATCCCACGTCCCATTTCGTGGATTTTTTCCATCAGAGATTCCGAATATTCACATCCAAGAATTGTGACATTTATGAATAATTGAGAGAGGCATTGAAGTTGGATTCTGCAAAAAAAGAAAAAAATGAAAATAGTATACATTGAGAATAGAAATATTTATTAGTAGTATGGGGGAATTCGTTTTATAATGATACCGAATTTGATCGATTAATATTTGAGAAACATAAAATTCTAAAACGTATAACTTCAAGTAAACATTTTGTTTCAAAAAAAACAAAAAAATGCTCAAAGTTTTCGATTTTGAAAATTAAGAATCTAGGCAAACTGTGAAAGAAAGATTTGATTTTTGACCAATTTTTTCTTGATAGTTAATTGTTATGTTATGTATAATTTACATTAAAAATTTTTTATTTCAAACTTATTTTCAAATATCAATTTTTTGAACTAGGAATTAGTTGAAAATAAACTTTTGATATTACGATAATTGTAGGCCTGAGCTAATTGTAACCCAAAAATAATGATTTTCAGCCTATTTTCACTCCGAAAACTAACTTCGAATAATCATCATAATGCGCTTCCATAAAAGTTTTTCTTAATTCCCAAGCTTCATCTGATTCCCACAATTTCTTTTCCGCTTCGATTTCTTCAGCTTTTCCCATTTTCTATCTGAAAAATCCTGAAATTCGGAAATGTTTCATGCGAAAGAATAGTATTTCAGAGTAAAAAAAACTCAAATTCACAAGTTTGAAAACGAAAAAAAAGATAAATTTATTATTTTAAACAGAATCCATTGCGAGAATCAAAAAAAGCCCGATAATTCCAATGAAAAGTGTGGGTAAAACAAAAAATACGAGACCAAAGTGTTGAGCCAAAATCAGATAGAAAATCAGGGAAATCACGAAGAAATTGGCAAAAATCTGAAAAAAAATATACATATGAGAAAATGAACGGAGATCGGATGAAAACTCACTCTTAATCTGAGCAATGGAGGAGTTCGGCGAACTCGTGGCGAATAGCAAGGAGCAGCGGCTTTTGGGTCGAGATTTGGGACCGGTGGATACATTACAACACGAGCTATTAAACCGAGCACTGAAAAATAAATGCGGTTCAGGAGGAACTTTTTCGTTGTAAAATTTCAGATTTTCCGTTAAATTTTAATAAATTTCAGGAGATTTCTAGATCCAAAAAGTCATTGCTCCAAAACTCACAATTCTGACAATTATAGTTATCAGCCAACGTGGAAACACCCGGAATATTCGTCGATTTTTCAGCAAGCCATGTCATAGCTCTCACCAAAATCTCTGATTCATTTTTCGAAACCAAAGAATAGGCACTAGATTTGATATATTTCGATGGATCGAAACGTCGTTCTCCAGTCAAAACTTGTTTTTGTCCACGTGGCGTCAGAATCATTTGATTGGTTTTTTGATCGATGAAATGATCAGGAAGGAGACTTGATTTGGGGGTGTCCATCGAAATTCTAGAAATAAACAGGCTTTTAGAAGAAACATATTTTTAAAGAATTTCAGTCAAAAAAATTCGGATTTTGTGCTAAAAATCACGATTTTTTTACACTGAAAATTTAACAAAAAAAAGCCCAACCGATTAACATCCTCATTCATAATTTCACTCCGATTTGTCTCATTTTTCGCCAAATTCTCCCCAACATTTGTCAAAATCTTCGTGCCCAAATATTTATCACAATCTCCGATCATAGTTTCAATTTCCTTGATAATTTTCACAGATTCATCTGATTTTTCCGAAATTCCAGTTCCAAAAAATGAATCCAAAAAGCTTGAAGAAGTAGAAGCCATTTCCATTTTCACTGCATTTTTTCGTGAAATTAGCTCAGTTTTCATATGCTCCAATAATTCAACAACATGTGGCTCAATATTTAATTGCACATTTTTCAACAATACAAATTGTGGATCTTTCCATGAGAATTCAATAATTCCGCGCATCGAAGATATTAATTCCAAATTCACGTCAAAACTTGAGAATTTTTTGATGATTTTTCCCAACAAAAATCGATAATAGTCAAAGTTTTTGCGAACGAATGGGAGAAATCGAGAGACTAGACTGTAGTCTTGAGGAAAGTTGGCCGAAGTATTGGGAAGAGTTTGGAGATAACGCCATGGTCGACAGTAGGTTAACCAACACACTGTAATAAAATATATTGAAACCGGGGAATTTTGATAGATGTTTTGAGGGAATTTTTAAGGAAATTCTGAAAAAGCCCTCCAAAATAAACTTACTACATATATCTTTGAACAACGAAACTGTCGGACAATGATTCAGCGAATTGACGAAAAATTGAAAAAGTGCCGGAGAAAACGGCGGATCGCACATCATTTGATTTTTCACCGAATCCACGTACTCATCAACAGTTTCATGGAGGCAAAACACATGGAATTGTTTGAGCAAATATCTAGAGAAAAACAGTTTATTTATGTGCTCCAATGGATGTTTTTCAATGCAAGAAACTGTGGACTTTTGAAGGGTTTTTCTAACCTGAGCAATAAAAATCGATTAGCATTTGGATAGACATCAGTTGTACATATTTTGTTGATCAAAAGATTGAAATAATTAACATGTCGTGGTTGAAAATTTGCATTTGAAGTTGAGACAAGTTCAGTTCGATCATCTGAAGAAAAATTGAAGATTTTTTGGATTTCTATTGGAATTATGAGAAATTTATATTTTGATTTTCATCCGGATTTTGGAGGTCAAGAAAGATCTTTTTTTTTCAGATAAAAAAAATAAACAATTCAACATTTTCCTTATATTTTAAACAATTTCCATCCAAATCTCACCAATATTCATCCGATTAACCAAAGGACTCGTCGGTTTGAATAATTGAAGAGGTGTTTGAATAATTTGATGAGTTTTACTTGTATTCGGACTTCTCATTGACATTTGTGGAACAATTTCATCGCATGGTAAAAGACGGGTGATGTACGTGGCAATTACGTTGAGAAGAACTGATTCGCGAACAATTTGAGTGTTCTGCAAAAATGGACAATATTAGTGTTTTGACAATGAATAGATTTTTTATTGGATAAGTTATTTTTAAAAAATGATTTTCGTATAGTGCCCAGGTACTGTAGAATTTCAACCTAAACCCCCAAATTTCAGGTCATTTATTTCATAAACTTTCCCCCAAAGCCTCACCATTCTCGAATTTTCAATTTGCCAAATTAAAGCCTCCCATAATTCATCCACCAATTGACTATCCTCAATAACTGTATTGAAAAACGGTGAATACGCATAAATCAACTCATAAATCACATTAAACAAGTGCAAATCCGAATTTGCTCCCACAAAAACAGGCGGTGTAATTGAACATAAATCGAAATTTCGATTTCGCACAATTTTTTGAATGATATTTCTTGCTGTTTGTTGATGTTTTCCAGATGATTGAAATGATGTGGCTAGTTCTTTGCAAAGAGTTAGCAAATCATCTTGAGGATTTTGTTGATAATAGAAATTTGTAGATATTGGTGAACTTGTATCCAATATTGAATAGTTGTTCGACTGATTTTGAATCATGATTTATTTCTGGAAAAATAGAGCGAAGTTGTTTCAGGTCCAAATTTGTCGATCAGACTTAAAATTTAAAAAAGTTTTTCTCAAATTTTTCTCCAAACCTTTCCCACAAAAAATACAAAATTTCTGGTAATCTCAACCAATTTAAAATCAAGAATCAATTTTCAAAAACCCAAATATTCCCACCGAAAATAATTTCATTCATATATAAAAAAGACATCACTAGTTTCAAAAAATCACCCAAAAAATAATTAAAAATAAATTACATAATTTAAAAACAGAAAAAGAATCTATCGGCTTCGATATTGAATTTTCTCGCGTTTTCTCAATTTTCGATCATTTTCCGCTTCATTTCCAGTATCTTCCGATCCTGCGGTGATCCATGGCAAGAAAAGTCCAACGACAAATTTATAGCCCAAAATTGCTGGGAAAACGAGAAGAATCAAGTAGGCGTAGTTGGTGTAGAGAGCTATGAGCTGGAATAAATATTTGGCTGAAAATCAGGAATTTCATTCAGGTTGAGTGTTTTTATAATTTCTTTTATTCATCAAAAAAATTTCAATTTCAAATTTATTGAAAATATTTTGAAACGTAAAAAATTAAGGGATTTTTCATAGAATGATACATATTTTCAGAATATCTATGTTAATCTCAGCTGAAAACTATTTACCTGCACAATGACAGTCAAAATAATCGCATCCTTGCAATATTCTCCAAAAGCTTCCGGATCATTCAAATCAGCTCCCGAATCCAAAATATGCCCTTTTTGATCGAATTTCGCTTTTGACAACGATTTCATGAAAAGCAAGGCAAATGTTTGAATGGAAATTGTTAGAAGAAGTCCAATTAGACCTGAAGTTGTGTTTGAATCAAACAGGAAAACCCATGCAAAACTGTAGATTGTCTGGAAAAATTACAACTTGAGAGAATTTCTTAATCTAAAAACGTTGAAAAAGTGAAGTTTTCAATCCATAATTGGCATTTTCTCACATTCTTGTTCAAAATTCGATATTTCTAGCACAAAATATCATGAAAATTCAAATCATCGCTTCAAAAACCCCGGAAACAAAACTCACAAGGGAGATCGCTGTCGCTGCCGCATACTGCAAAATCGTCTTCCGATTCTCCTCGTAAATCTCCTTTTGTCCTTTCGTCGCTTGTTTCACCATACCTAAAAAAATATACTCAAAACTATTTCTCAGGATCATTTTCGTCTGAAATTCAAAAAAAATATCCAACACGGTTTTCAAAACCAGGTTCAAAAAATTTCGAGAAAAAAAACCAAAACATTTAGAAAGGATAGAAAACTTCAGTAAAAAAACCGGAAAAACACCCATCGGAGCACACAAAATGGATCAAAAATAATGGAAAAATGAATGAAAAATCGATTACTAGGGTGTATTTTTAAGGGAGAGTAAAATCGAGAAAATTGGGCCGAAAATTCGCCACGTGGCATCATTTTATTTTCGTCTAGTTGTTGTGAAGATCGAGCCGGAAAATTTCGTTGCCGATGAAAAATGAGCCGGTCGAATTAGGACGAATGATGAAGACTTGAGAGAATGGATTTATTGGATCTTCGTCGGTCTGCAAGAAATTTTTATTTTTAACTTCAACTTTTAAAAAAATTATTATTTTCAGCATGATGCATTTTAGATTTGAAATTTTTTTGTTCAACTTTTTCCATTAAAACTTCTCCAATTTTGTCAAATTTTTAGCATACCTTTAATTGTCCCAAAACCATCACCAAAATACTTCCATCATAAAGTGGTTGCGAGTCGAGTTTTGTGATGGATCTTTGAATTTGTTTGAAGGCCAAAGTGGTGAATTTTTGCAAAATTCCCTCTCTTCCTTTGCATTGAACACCTTCGAATGTCATATAAGAGTCATTTGGGTCGTATAAATCGCAAAGTCCTGGAAAAATCAGGGTTTTTTTGTTCAAACAAAAATCGTTTGATTTTCTACCTTGCGCTCTTGCCATTCCATCTCCAACATCAAATTTTGCATAATAATGTTGAACAAAAGCAGTAGCAATATTTTCGTATTCTGGATTGAAGCTCATTTTACCTGGAAAAACCACAATTTTATTTTTTGTTGAAGAAAAGAAAGTTAGAGAAACAAATAAATTACGTCAGCCGAGAAAAAAAAACAAAACTTGAACTTTCACGGATAAGTACAACAAAACATCCCTTTTTGATTTTTTTCCCGTCAAATTTTTCGTTCATTTCGGGTCGCTCTTTTATGGTCATATTTTATGTCTTGTTTTCTTTCGAATTTTCCCAATTTTATTGGGGCGACAAAAAACGAACGAAATTGATGTTTTTTTGGTCGTTCGAGTTTTTGGCGGCGTTGTTGATAAGGATTTCAGATCGTTTTGAACTTTTCGACATTTTAAAGGGTTTGGGGCAAAATATAGATTATTTCGAAATTTTATGAGCACAGTAATACTCCTTCAACTTTCTCCTAAAGTTTTTTTTCACTAAAATACATGTATACTAGTAGTTTTTTGACAACATTAGCATGTCTAGAGGGTGAAAATTTCTACTGCAAAGCCTATTTCATCAAACGACTCGAGAGAAAGCTCATTGTCAAGAAGATCCTTCTGAATTTTTTGTGAGCCTATTTTTCTTAGAAATGTTAAAAATCTAGTTGAAATACGGGATTCGGCGCAAAAAAGTCCAGTTTTCTTCGAAACAAAACTCAAAAATATCTTAAAGTATAGATTGCAGATAGGAATAGTTTCAATTTTCCACTTCATCACTCAAATTCAGAAAATTAAGCAAAAATGATGACTCATCCTAATTCCAGAATTTTCCATAGAAAACCCTCTAATTTTGATGATAAATCTCGCGATTTTCAGCTTAAACGTATCCTACAATCATCTGCAAACTTTTCCAATGAAAAAAACTTTTAAAAAACCCCCAAAACCCACAAAAACGCAACAAAACGAAAAACGAAAAAAGAAAAGTAAAAAATGGCTTGTTGTGCGTTAGAGCGCATTTGCCAGTCTCACTCTCGTCGAAGAGACACAGAGAATCAGAGAGTGGGGCAGCGCGCCCCGCGCTGATTCTCTCAACTCTCTCATCTCTCGCTCACAATTTTTTGTTAGTTATTTCACTGCATTTTTTGTGTGTTCCTTCTCTTCCTCTTTCTTTTCTACCTTTCCATCTCTCCATTTTTAGAGTGTGTGTGTGTGGGGTGGGCTGTCAGCAGGCCGGCGGCCGACAAAAAAAATGGAGAAAAAAAACGGAGAGAAAAACTGAAAAACAACCCCGTGTTTTTTCTCTTCTTTTTCTGCTTTTTTTCTGTCATTCGCTTTTCTCTGAAATTCCCCATTTTCTTCTTTTTGTGAGCCAATTTTCAATGCTCCATTTGAGATGGTTTTTCTCTGTGTTTGAAAAGGCGCCGCATTTTTTGGGAATTACACTGTGTTTTTTTCTAATAGAAAAATGCAATTCCGAGGAGACGCAGACAGAGAGAGAAAGAGGCTGGTCTCGACACGATGTGTGTCTACCACACACTATTTCTCTCCCTTTTTCGGCGAGAGATTTGTCTGCCCACGTTAAAGTCTGCGTCTCCCTCGAATTGCAAAAAAAAATACAGTGATTATTCTGTGAGGTGCGCGGGAAAATCACGTGATCTTTGAAAAAAGTTTGTTTCAAATTTATAATAAGTTGGAATAAACTTTCCATTTTTTTTTACAAAAACTTCCTCATTCACAGAAAAAATTAAAGAATTTTCGGCTAAACTAATAAATGTTTCAATTGTTCGTTTAACTTTCTAAATTGCCGCATTTTTTATACCTGGACTCTCGGACTGAAAATTCTACCAAAATTCACGTGAAGCCTAATTTTAATTTCAAATACGAATAAATGCCATTTAGCATTAAAGTTAAAAAATAAACTTTTTTTACGGAAAAGGTTTTGAGAACCCAGAGAAAACCTACAGTAGCCTAGAATAAAATTAAAAATTAAAATTAAATGTTTTTCAAACAATTATTTTTCCAAATTTCCACGTCAAAAAAATCACGTGCAATTTATGAAAAAAATTATTTCACATGTTTAAAAAAATGTTAAGTTAAACATTGTTAACACTTGGATTATTGGACCCGAAAATAATCCCAACTTCCGAAATAAATACAGTAAGTAACTCATATGTCTCTTTTTCCCTCTCCCACCTCAATTTTTTCTACAAAAAATTATAATCGCATTTTGTCTGCGTCTCTCAAACCTCCAAACTCTTTCTTAATTTTCACACAGTTTATTGTTTTTATTGGTTGTTGTGAGTTTTTTTTTTTTTGAAAAAAAAAACAACATGCTTTTTTTGTTGAATATTTTATTTTTCGGCGCCAGACGAATTTTCCCCAATAATTTTTTTTAATATATGAAAGTTTTATAAAACTTGAAGTTTATGCTGACATTTTCTAGCAAGATTATAGGGGGCTTATGAGCGAAAAATTGCATATCTATGAAAAAAAAAAATTACTGTAAAAAAATCTATAAAATTTTATTTCCGGATTCCTTTTTGTTTCACAATATAATAATGAATATATATATATAACAATGAATAATTTTTTCTGTGATTCACAAAATTTATTTTAAAAGTTCAAAAGTTCAAACATCTGTTAGACACATTGAAAATGAGTGTTTCTTTTTGAACAATATATTATAATACATTTTTTGAGAAAATATGTAATTTATTGCAACAGAAAAAATGAAGAACATATTTTTGCCACGTGGCTTTTTTTTCGTTCTGGAAAATTTTGAATTACTGTAAATCAATGTTTGATCTAAAAACTGAAGAACACGTGATTTTTCTCTTAGAGGATTACTGTAGACGGTCTTTCGATCCCCGAAAATTTTTTGTTAAAAAAGTCACAGCACATCTGCCAGCCAATTCCATTTTTGTAACAGATTTCTCGAAATTTTATGAGATTTTTTTATTGGAAAATGAAAATGAAATTTGGTCGGATTACTGTAGTTTATATTTTCAACCAATGTTTCTCGAATTTTCTGATCTGATCTTCCCATAGAGTGAATAGATTTTTCATTGTAATCAATCATTTGCCACGCCAAAAAACTCACATGACGTCCGCTAGAAAAATTGAAAGATTCTCAGAATTTTCCCTATCAATGACTTTGCTTCCAGTTGTTATGGAAACCATAAAAAAAGTGGAGATTTTTTCGAGAAGCACAATTTTTTTCTAATATAATTCGTTGATTCATCCATCATACTTGCACTTTTATTTGAAAATTTGGAGCTTAAGCTTACAATTAGTCTCAACATTAATCAATTTCCACATGCTGATCTTTTCCTATTTTTATTTTATTTTGAGTTCACCTGGGGTATTTTCGGCGCCAAAAAAAGAAGTATATTCTAAAATACCACGTCATAGTTTTCCTCTATTGTGAGGTATTTATCACTTGACACAGAGTTAGTTAAAAATTAATAAAAAACCACGTGGAATCATGTGAATATATTTTAAGTATTATTTCATTTTCACCTAAGAATCTTCAGCTCTCGCTTTAAAAAATAAGCCCACTTTTATTTTTAGTTAGCAAAAAATATGTTTTTTTTAGCTTCAGGCTTAGGCTTAGGCTTAACATATACAATTGCCACATGGTGGTTATTTTCCAATATTTAATTTCAAATCCACCTGTCCTATCCAAAAAAATTTAATATTTATGACTTTTTCCAAAAATACACAGCCGTTCAACATTTTTTATTTCAATTAAAAAATTGTTTGTAAATCCGAATTCACTCATAAATATGTTCTTCGAATTCATAAGTTTCTAATCGAAATCATTTCCCAGAAAAAATAATAAAATTTCTATCATTTTATAGTTGTATAGCTACAATTTTTTAGGGAGCGTTTTCTAGTTTTTCCTACAGTAATCCAAATTCAGCTTGACATTTCGTGACCACCAAATTTCAAAAATTCAACTATTTTTTAATTGGATTATGGAGCACGCAATGTGTCCAAAAATTGAATGTTTCCGGGTTTTTTGCGAACAAAATTTGGACTCTTGGATAGAAAAATTGGTTTTTTGGTATAGCTTCCAAAAATACTATTGAGCCTGTAAAATAACTCAAGATTTTTGCAATGTGTAAAAAAGGTTAATCCCTGCTATGACGTGGATTTTCATCACCTTTTTAAATATCATTCAAAGAAGCCTTTTATCGCTATCAAATCTTTATCTTTTTAGAAAAAAATTAGATTAATTAGGAAACTTTGCCTTTTATTGACCGCTATCATTTATAAATTTGAAGGAAAAATATTTTTTGAATAAAAAATATTAACCGATTTTTGAAAGTTTAAACAAAATTTAAGTGTACATATATGGATTAAAATATTTTGGTAAAAAGTTTGTTCGGCCTTTCGAGCCTATTAATACTCTAATTAGAGTCTGCTGAATTATAGATTAAATTGCGCTCAGCCTATATAAGTTACAAAGTGTATTCCCGGTTATTTTTTGAGTTTTGAAATCCAAACTGATTGTGAATTGCAAATGTTATTCTTATTCTTGTCTAGCCCATCCTATTTTATATCTCACTTCAAAATCACTTTAAAAGAATAAATGACAAAAGTTCGGAGGCCGAGTAACCTTAACCCTAATCGCCGTCAAAAATCTCCGTTTCCACGTTTTCTTTCAAAGATCATCTTTTTTTTTCATTGTCAGTCAGTTGTTCTTTTTTGTCGTGTGTTCGTTTTCGTGTTGATTTAACTGAAGTACCTTTTTTTTCCTCCCGAAGAAATCGCCGTGTTTTATTTATTTTTTCTCTGGAAAAATCCAATTAGGAATAATTCGATTAACGATTCGATTCCTAGTAGTTTTTTCCCCGCACTCCACTTTTTTTCAAAAAAAGCCCCGCCCACTTTTTCCATTGGCTCCGCCCACTTTTAGCTTTTCCTCAACACAACAATTTTTATTCTTTCAAAATTTTTTTGAGTTTTGGGTGAGTGAGTGTACATAAAAGTTTTATTATCGTTATCAGCAACTTTTTCTTACCCATTTTTTTGTAAAAATGTTGCCATATTTTCTGTCATAATAATAATTTTTGTGATTTTCAGATCTCATCTAATTAATTGACTAATTAAAAATCCACGTGGAAAAACAATGAAAACCACACGAGAAAGAATGATGGAATGTGAGGCGGCAAGGAGAGAACATCCAAAAATTTTAGATTTGGTCGAACGAATTAAATATGAGACGCTTCTTTGTGATGGAAATGTGAGTTTCGCTCCGGATTCTTATTTTGAACTTGAAATTTAGTAGAATCTAGTTTGGCCTCTTCTCCCTAAACTAGAATCTAGTTATGCGGGAAGTGATAAAACATCAGTTTTTTTGCGTTATCTTTGCCTTTTTTGGTTGTTGACATGCGTGTTTATAGTTTGATTTTCTGGGAATCAAAAACAAGATATGATTTTTTGGAGGGAAAAGTCACATTTGGAGTTTTTTGTTCTGCAAAACCTGCTTTGCAAATAATAGATACTCTAGAATCTGCTTAATATTTTAACCTCAAAATCCACGTATCCAATTTTGATCTCCAGAAAAATTCATGAAACTCGTGATCTGAAAACCCACAGGGGCAAAACAGTGTGAAAAATTATCCGCGAGTAAGATTTCAAGATCAGAACATAGATTATATATTCAAAATGGTTTTCTATTTATTGTCAATTAAATTATAAGATTTGCAACGCGTTGCGGCTCAAATCCTACAGTACTCCACTTTCGTCAAACCAAAAGCAGATTATCTTCATAATTGTCTCTCTGTTTCAGAAAAAAAAGATTTTTGTTTTTCATAGCGCTTATCTCTAGATACAGTAATAAAGAACTACATTTATAAAAATCTATAATTAAATGAACAATTATAGATTAGATGAAGTTTAGCCTCTACAAAACAAATATACATAAATGGTACAAATCCGGGATTAGATAATTTAAAATTAATATTATTATAGGAAAACTGGGAGTGGGCATTAAAATCAGTTCGATTGGTCGCAAAAAATGTCAAAAAAGCATCGAAATTCGAAACTTTCTACAATATTATTATGAATGGCGAGACTTCTACAAGTTGTTGTCATCTAGTCAAGTAAGCCTTAATTCACAAGGGGAACTTTTCAATTTGAAAAATCTGGAGTTGAAACAGTTCCCTTATTTGATTCATGATCTTAAATCATCTCATCAAAAAATATTTTCAGCGAGCGTTTACAAGGCGATCGTGGTCGTATGAATCTTTTCATTCTTCGTTTGTACAGATTCCCATTTATCAGATATTACACACAATTTGAATCAAATAATAATTGTCGACATAGATATCATCGACATAAAACATCGGCTTGTATGAATCCATGGCATTATGAATTGGTTGCAGTTCCAGATCATAGTATGTTTTTGCTACAATTAAATTGTTTTCAATTTGGTTAGGCGTGGTCTAAATGCAATTTCAACACCCTGTTTTTTACAAATAAAGTTTTTTTTCAGGATTGCCTGCGATTGTTGTGAATCACAATTTGAATTTTGGAAGTTATGAGAATCTTATTGGTAAAGAGGAGACTTTTGATTTCAGTGGTAAGTTTTTAACCTAAAAATCAGACAGCAAACGGTATCACTAATTGAAAATTATTTTAGATAAGGACTATGGATGCGAAAACAATACAATGTTTCCAGTACCAAGTGTGGCTATGCATGGAGATGAACTAAACATTTTGTATCGAAGAATTGAAATTGACAAAGAACCACGCAGTCCAACTGCTTTGCTTTCTCCACCAAACAGCGAAGCAACAAGTGAAATAAATGACGACGAAACATTGGATATTTCAAGTCTTGAAATTTCACCAGAACAATCTACATCAGATGTGGAAATGGAAGTATCTGAAGAAACATCAGATGAACAGCAAAAAGAAAAAGAAAACACGCCAATATCACAATCACTTGAAAATCAACAACAACCAAATTCGCCAACAATAATTAATCCACCATTGTTGGATCATTACGGTTCACCGCCACGTGGCAAAAAATACCGAAAAATGAAGCGGTTTGAGGATGAGCCAATTGAGATTTTGTTCGAGGAGGAAAAGATTCCCGGATATGATGCAGCTATGGGAAAATGGGGTTAGTTTGGAAAAGAATTTGGACAGGAAATTCGGAAGAAGATTTGATTATTTCCGGCAAAAAGAAAACGGAAATTATCATATGATGGTTTGGAAAAAAATAGAATTGACAACTTTATAAACAGAAAATAGAGTTTTTTTGGAAGTTTTTTGAGCTACAGAAGAAATCAGGCAAACAAATAAGTCCATGTTTCAAAATTCCACGTGTAGTTTGTAATTTTGATAAACTCAAAAATCCAAATTTTCCCCCAAGTTCATTATTTTACAGAAAGAGCTCTTCAATCAAAAGAAGAAAATTACTCATGCATCGAATTTTCGAATGTCGTTCAACAATGGGCTCAATTAACATATTATGAAGAAGGTCAAATATGTGCGCCAATAATGAAATTATCGAGTCCAAATATATTAGTCGATGGATATACAAGTGCTGAATCAACAGCTGAACGAATGTGTATTGGATATTTTACAAATCCAGTCAGATCAAAAGATTCCGAATCATTGAGAAGATCAATTGGACATGGACTTCGAATTTATTATTTGGGAGGAGATGTGTTTTTGGAGAGTTTGAGTGAACAACCAATGTTTGTACAAAGTTTTAACACAAATATTCGATGCAGTTTGCCATTGAATACTGTTGTTAAGGTTGGTTTCAAATCAAGCATCAACCCCAAAATCAAATGTTTTTTTCAGCTCTGCCCATTTGCCACAATGAACGTGTTCAGTATGAAAGTATTTGCCGCCCAACTTTCTGAAAATGCTGATAAAAATTACCAAGGTATAGAACCAGAAGATCAAAATTGTTGTTTGTGTAATCCAATTTTTCTTGAAAAATTACATGTATAATTTTTTTTAGGAAACCATCTAAATAATTTTCCGAAAACCAGAAAATTATACGGTTCAATATTTTTATTTGAAAAAAATCCATTTATTTTCAGCAAAATTACATGGCTTCATAATTTCAATTCCAAAAACGTATTGAAAAATTTAATTTTTGCGGTAACCAGAAAAATAATACGTTTCAAAAATTTGACTTCAGAATTCCATTTAAAACCGTAGTTAATGAATTTGGAGAAACATTTGAATTGCAGATGTTTTCGCTCTAAACCGCACGGCCGCATTTCGAGTATCATTTTGCAAAGGTTTTGGTGGACAATATAAACGTGCTAGTGTTATGACATCTCCATGTTGGATTCAATGTGTTTTACCAGGTCCAAAAATGTGGTTGAATGATGTTTTATATTGTATGGGATTGCCGAAAATGGAATGTGGTTCGAGAACATAATTATGCCTAAGCCTAAGGTTTGGGCTAACCCTCTGGGTTTTCAATTCGGTCTACTCTTAAGCCTAGGCTTGATTTATCATAATTCTGATCCTATATTTTGTCTATGGCCAAAGGATCTTCCCTAAACCCCAGTATATTCAAACCTTATTTTTTTCATGATGATTTATTTTCTCTTAGTCTTAAAACACGTGCCATTCTTTGAATAGGCTAACTGAATTTATTTTTTCGATGCACGAAACTTTTGAGGCGATTTGATCTGCCAAAAAACATTCCAAGGTGTCATTTTTGGCTCCAAATTTTCTTTTGAGATAGCCAAAATACGGTAGTTTTTTATACACGGTACATGTTTTGTAGATTTCTCACTTCCAAAAAAAAAACAGTCCCCACCGCTAGAAATCCCCTACTAGCTTTAATTTTTAAAATAATTTTTTGCAGCCCAATTCTTGTGTTCTCCCAAATTTCCCCCGATTTTTTTTTGCATAATTTTTGTTCGAAATAATATTATTATTGTATTTTTATTGTAATGTAATGAAATAAAATTTTGGCATTCGATTTCTTTTTTTCGCCGCTGGGAAACGAAAATTTTTGAATTTATTTCAACGTTCAAGAGAAATTCAAAGAGCCCAAGTTTTTTTTGTTTTTTTTTGTTTGGAAAAGACTTACGTTTGAATAAATTAAAGGAAGTGCTGGTCGTTTTTGCAGAAAAAAACCTTTTTCTTCAACTTCCTTATTTTTCCAGGGTTCGGCCTATTTTTAGAGTTCAGAAATTTTAAATTTTTTTTAATAATCATAAATTTTATAGCCCCATCAAAGCCTGTAGATCAGTCCTTCTCCAAATGTGTTTTTTTTCAGAAAGTCGAAACTCGATTTTTTATCGAAATTTTGTAAGTCAGAGTATGAGATTTTCATGATCTATTTAGCAAATTGAATATTACAGTACCCCACTATATCCACATTTTTCAACAAAACAAATACTATGCTTCCAGCAACTCGTGAAACCCATAATTTCAGTCAATTCCAGACATATTTCCGGTCAGAAATCAAGAAATCAAACAAAAATATTTTTTTTATTTACAAACATAATCCGGAAGACTTTTAAAATATTTTGAAAATTCTGTTACAAAAATAATAATAATTTTTTTCTTTTTTTTATTTCCAAGTTTCAAATATTGCTCTTTTGACCTCATTTTGTCTTTTCAAAAATGTTCTTTCTCTTTTTTTTCAATGACGTCTTCCAAAAAAGTTCAAATTTCCAGCGAACTTATTTATTGGTTTTTTTTTTTCGAAAAAAAAAGGTGTTTTTTGTAGCTATATAGCTATAAATTTTCCATTTTTCTCGTTTTTTTTTTGCTGAAGAAAAAAATTAAATTAAACTTTTTGCTGTGCAGAAGTCTCATGACCTCTAGAAGCTTCTGTCAAATGAGATGAGAAAACATTTTTTTTCTGAAAATTGACAAAATTAAAATGAAAAATTCCCAGACATAATAAAACTTGAACAATTGAAGAAAAAACAAGATATTTGCTAAATAAAAAAATTTGAATAAGGTTTCTCCTGGATTAATTTTGTAGAGAAAATATTTTAGTTGATATTTTGATCTCTGAAGCTGAGTTCTAATGCGAAAATATAAGATTTTCAGTTCTAAACTATTAGTTTTCTGTCAATTTTTCACCTGAAAACCCCAAAATGTCCATCAAAAATTCTTCGAAAATGTACATCTATGTCTCTTTCTTCTTCTTCTTCTTCTTCTTCTTCTTCCTTTCGAATATCTATGCTTAAAAGCCCATTTTCCCCCGTTTTTCTCTCCTTTTTCTGCTTGCTCATTTAGTAGATATCCCCTCTTTTCTTTTTCCTCTTCTCTCGTTTTTTCTAGCTCCTTTTTGCTTTTTCTACTTACGCACCACCTCTTCTATTTTTCCTTCTTCTCTCACGACATTTCAAATAATAATGTGACTTTCAACATGTTTCTTTTGACGTTTTTTTTGTTTTCAGCCAGAAAAAAAGCTGGCAACAGAAAACGTTTTGTTGTTTTTTTGCTCAAAAGAAAATTGGCGATGAATTTCTCTGCGCGAGAATTAGGATTTTCTCCAATTTTCGACTAGAAATATTTTTCAGTAAAAAACGCATGGGAAAACTGAAATTCTAGAATTCAGGTATACTTTTAAGAATCAAAATAGACTTTTTGTATGGCTAGGTATTTTTTATTTAAAAAAATAGTCGATAGATTTCCGTACGCGAAAACTATAAAATTGCAGTTTTTCACAATTTGTGACTGGAATTTCTTTCAACCAAATTAACATGAAAACGATGAAATTCCAGAGTTCAGGAATATAATTTGAGTTTACTTAAAATCCCACATTTTCAATAAAAAATACATAGGAGAATCTAAAATTTCAAGGGTCTTCTCACATTTTTCGAAAAAAAAAATTGTTATTTATTTACAAATGTTTTTTTTCTCGAATATTTCGTTTCCACTTATTTTCTCCTCCCACAAGAGGTTTACTATTATTCTCTGAATAGCAAAACGAAGAAAAAACAGCATATTTTCTCCTAAATAGTAATATGAGCTCAGATTTTTTCGAGATTACTAGAATTTTTATTTTCTTTTGCGATTTTTTTGCTCTGGGATTACTACTCCAAATGTAGAGTATAAAATAACAAAATTTTCCTGGGGAAAACAAGTTTTTTGTTTTTTTAGTGCGTGTGTGCCTGAATTTATAATTTGCAAAATTGAATTTTTCACCTGCTGGAAGCGAAATTTAGTGATTTTCATATTTTGGAAATGGATTTTACTAGTTTTCTTTACTGGAAAACGGAAAAATTTCAAGATTCGTTAATAAAGTGGCACTTTATGAAAAAAAAACTTGTTGATTTTTTGGCAAAAAAGTTTCTGACGTCATCTAATTTAGCAAAGATTCCTCATTTTTTCCTCAAAACCTCTCATTTTTACTCTATTCTTAAAAAATGACGTCAACAAACATTTAATCTCATGAAAGCATCTAGGTTTAGAGTCTAAAAAAAGAAATGGAAAAAAAATCAAATAAAAATAAATTCTAAACACCGTATGAATTTTCAAGGCGCACACATTCATTTGCAAGATATTTCAACGCGAATGCCGCGCATTTTCAAATTTTTAGAATTTTACTTTCATTTTTCCGTCCCATTTTCTCATTTTTCACCAAAAATTGTCTGGTTTTTCGTCGTTATTTACAAACAGCACACGCACAAAACCAAAACCAATTCATTCGCCATCGAGCAGATGAGGTTTCCTCTCGAAAATTAATCCGTTTTCAGTGGAAAAAAAGACGAATGAGAAAAAGGATAGTTAAAAATACATATACACTTTTTGATGCGAATTTCCGGACAAATTCGATTATTTATTTCCAATTCGCCATTTTCTTCGTTTTTATTTCTCTTTTTCTTGTAGAAACTTTTGATAAAACTTTGAAAAACGTTTTTTCCAGGAGAAAATGCCGTTAGCACAGTTCGGCGAACCTTTCGGTATAACACCAGCCGCCGTCGAAAATGTATCACCAGGAGTTATGCTAAAGACAAATGATGTGAGTTTTTCAATGAATCTTCGTAAAACATAGGGATTTTCGCGGAGAAAATCCAGAAAAATCAAAAATTTCAACCCCAAATGCTATTTTAGTCTACGCGACTCCTCCCTTTAGCCTCTTTATTTGCTCATATGTTCAAAAAAATCCGAGCTCCAAATACTTTCATTTTCCAAAAAAAGAAATAGTATTGTGAGATGACTTTTGATTTTTTGGAGCTGCGCGAGATTTTAAAATTTTTAAAGGTTCGTTCATTTTCAGTGAGAAATTTTAAAGAATCTTGCAATTTTTTCTAACAATTTCAGAAATTTATCTGATTTCTCAAGTGTCTCTTCTTTTTAAGCTGAAAACCCATGATTTTCGACAAGAGTTCTTGAAATTTTTAAAGAAAAAAACGAGAAATAACTTCCGTCAAAATCAAATTTTCGACCCATTTTCACCCGCTCTCAAAACAAAAAATATGGGAAATTTTGAACAAATACAGCTGCTTCCCGAAAAAACTTGGATTTTCCGGTCTGTTTACTTTCTCCTTCTTCGTTTTGGTTTTGAGACTAAAAATATCTGAAGGGGAACTAGAATTTGTTTCGAAGAGAGACAAAAAATGACAATTTTATTATTCATTGAAAATGTGTGAAACGCTCAAAAATTTGATCTATTTTTTGCATTCTTGTGGTGTGAGTTTTGGTTTTGTTTTATTCGGATATAAAGGAGAAGTGTTTCTATAGATGATTGCCTAAAATCAGGAGTTTTTAGAAAGGGATGAAAATCTGAAATATCGCGTCGGAAATTGTTTTTTGTATTAAAACTACAAAAACTATTTACGTCAAGAAAAATCTGCCTAAACTTTGGAAATTCAGTTTTTCTGGCTTGAAACTCGGCAGAATCTGAAAATTAATAAGTCTAGCGCAGGCAAATCTATCGCTAATGTTTCTGGCACCCCAAAAAATAGAGAGCCCAACCCCTAAAAAAAAAGTTAATTAACCAAAAAAGACGACGAATAGAGACCCTCACGTCATTTCTTCTATCCTTTTTCCCTTTCCTTTTCTTGTTTTCTATCGATATAGAAAATTATAACGCCAATTTCGGCGACAAAAACGTATTGTGAAGTGAAGTACTGTGCTAATTTTTAGGTCTCGATGCGATCCGATGAATCGACGACGAATTTTGCGGATAAGGTAAGCAAATATGGACTAGAAATTCAAATTTCTCGGATTTCTAGGCCATCATCTATTTTTCTTTTCTTCTTTTTTCAAGCACCTGTTCTTTCAAAGTGTTAGTTTTATTTTTTTTTTGAAAAAAAAAACAAAAAAGATTTTTGGGATCATATGTTGTTCTTCTTTTTGCTTCTTCTTTTCTATTCCCAATTGCCAAAAAATAGAAATTTTCTTGCCAAAATCACGTCACTTTGTATTCTTATTTTGGTTCGGCTCTTTCTCAAAACCACGCCCACAATTTTTTCCAGCTATTTTTGGTTTTTTTTTGGAAAATAAGAAGAAAAAGAAGAAATTTTCAATAGAAAGTATCCATTTTTTCATACGTTTCAATGATTTTTCTTTGAATTTTTTCTGGTTTCATCGAATTTTTTTGAAAGTTTATACGTGCAACTCAGAAATGTTTTTGTACGGCGACAGTCTGTTTGGTGTGCGTGTTCTGAACTATCATCGTACAGGAACGCGTCCAAGCGGAGTATTGGCACATGTTCAGTACAGTCTTCGTACACAGATCGTTCAGTACCCGCACAACGCTGCTAGGCTCTCAGAAATGGGGTATCGAAAAAAGACAGGACAGGTACAGCAGGACGACGTGAGAGCGAGGAAAGAGAGACAGTACGCGTACAAACTTAAGAATTTATTCATTAAAAAACCAGTGACAAAGTATAGACATCACTCGTACAATTATTAGACGGTGGTGAGATGTGGTGGAGTTGTGATTTTGGCACTTATCCAAAGCGAATTTCGAAACTTTTCGAAAATAATTGAACCATCTTCGTTCCATTTTCATCAGTTTCGCACTGTTTATCCATTGCTGAAGTGAAGATGAATTGATGAAGTAGATAGAATCATAGGTATCTGCAATTTAATAACGGTAATAACTCGATATGTATCCAAAACTAAAAACTCACTTTTGAAACCAGAAAATATTTGAAGTTGGAGCGGCAGAGCAATTTAATCGATTTCGACGTGGCACGGCTTCCATGTTGATGCAGTCGAGTGCTCCGGCTTAAAATTAGTTCTATGAAAATCGAGAAAAAAACAATTTCGAAGCGTGGAATTTCACAATAATCACAATGAAAACGAGAATCAATTCAGAATTTAGTTTCACAATTCTAAGTTTATTATTTTTTTCTATTTTGATACAACAAAATAACAAAACTTATAATTCAAACTTGAAAAAGGAAAGAAAAACGATGAAATCCCAAAAAAACGAGAATGAAAAATGAATGTCTCCATCATTGGGATAACCGATCGTGACAAGACCCATATAAATTTCATCGCAGCTAGTAGACAGAATACGAACAAAATGCAATTCACGCAGCGAGGTATGCTATACAGTACTGGTACAAACATGATTGTTAATGTACGTGTCCTGTCTTTCTTTTCCACTTGGTCTTTTTTCATTGACTCGGAGAAAAATGAATTCCAAGGCATAAATCTTTCAGTGCCCGCACAGCGATCAGACAGAACTCGAACAATGTGCTTAAAAAGTTCTGTCCCCCTACAAAAAATTTTCTGAGAATCTATCTTTCTGGTTTGAAAAAAATCCACGTGGACTATTTATTTGAGTACTGTAGATTACTTGAGTTACAGTCACCAGATTTCAAAAAAAAGAAAACCGAATGTTCAATTAAATTTCGGCACGTTTACGTGAAAAATCCAACAGAAATGAATCATTTAAAATTTTATTTTTTCTGAAAAATGGCTGGATTTCAAGTGAAGTGAGTTTCATAGAAAAAAACTATGTTACTGTAGGTTATGTCTATTTTACTGTAGATGATCCCCAAGTTCTGCAAATTTGCCTTATTTCTTTTTGCCAGAAATTCTTTAAATGTTTGCAGAGTGACCTGGCCTCGCTAGAACACGAAATCGACATCGGCGACGTTCGAAAATGCGGCGAAAAAGCCGATCCGCGACAGTTCGAACTACTCAAAGTGCTCGGCCAAGGATCATTCGGCAAAGTATTTCTGGTGCGAAAAGTTCGCGGACGCGACGCGGGACAAGTTTATGCAATGAAAGTGCTCAAAAAGGCGACACTAAAAGTGCGCGATCGACAACGAACTAAATTGGAGCGAAATATTCTCGCACATATTTCACATCCTTTTATCGTCAAATTGCATTATGCATTCCAAACCGAAGGAAAATTATATTTGATTCTGGATTTTTTACGAGGCGGTGATTTATTTACACGATTATCCAAAGAAGTTATGTTCACTGAAGATGATGTCAAATTTTATTTGGCTGAATTGACGCTGGCATTAGAACATTTGCATAGTTTAGGAATTGTTTATAGAGATTTGAAACCGGAAAAGTGAGTTTTTAAATGGAGATACATGTATAAAATAAAATAGAAAAAATGACAAAAAATTGACAATTCGATTTTCATTAAAAATTTGTCATGTGGTTTATAGTCTCGCCACGTTTATTTAATATTTTTAGAGCCAAAATAATTTACTCAAATCTCAATTTTTGCATTTTCCAGTATTCTCCTCGATTCGGATGGCCATATAAAAGTGACAGATTTCGGGCTGAGTAAAGAAGCGATTGACAGCGAAAAAAAAACATATAGTTTTTGTGGAACTGTCGAATATATGGCACCCGAAGTAATTAATCGAAGAGGACATTCGATGGCTGCTGATTTTTGGTCACTTGGTGTACTTATGGTGAGAAAATATCGAAATATTGTCAAAATTTGTAGAAAAAACTCTTTTGAAATAGACCTCACTATAATTTTCCACCTAATATACTTTTTTTTGCAGTTTGAAATGCTCACTGGACATTTACCATTTCAAGGAAGAGATCGAAATGACACAATGAATCAGATACTAAAGTGAGTTATTGTTTTTCCTTTCATGTATGATTGTTTTTATAATTTTTCAGAGCCAAACTCTCAATGCCACATTTTCTGACACCAGAAGCTCAATCGCTACTTCGCGCACTTTTCAAACGAAATGCTCAAAATCGTCTGGGAGCTGGACCTGAAGGAGTTCAGGAGATCAAAAAACATGCATTCTTCTCGAAAATCAATTTCACCAGATTATTGAACAAAGAAATCGATCCTCCTTTCAAACCTGCTTTAGCTACTATTGATAGTACACTGTATTTTGATCCGGAATTCACGAAAAGGACTCCGAAAGGTGAAGAGTTTTGGATTTTTCGCGATATTTTTTAAACCCCTAATTTCTTCAGATTCTCCCGCGCTTCCCGCTTCCGCAAATGGTCACGAAATATTCCGTGGTTTCTCGTTTGTCTCAAATGCCGTAGCCGCTGAAAAAGCCGCTGAAAAAGCTGCTGCAAAAGCCACAGTAACCCGATCGATTCCAACTGCCAAAACACATCCATTCACCGATGATTATGAAATTCAAGAACAAATTGGACGAGGTGCTCATTCTGTAGTTCATAAATGTGCAATGAAAGCGACGCGACGAAAATATGCGGTGAAAATTGTGAAAAAATCATCGGTTTGTGATGCGACTGAGGAAGTTGATATTTTATTGCGGCATTCGCATCATCAATTTATTGTTAAGGTGAGAGATTTTGAGGAGACACAAAAATCTGCCACGTGGATTCGAAATCTGGTTCCAAGAATGTTTTTCAAAATATTTTTATAAGTATCACTTTGGTGAAAAAAGTTTTCCATATTAATTTAGATAAAGGGTTTAGGGTATTTAGTTTAAGTTTGGAGGATATTTAAAGGTTTTGGGGTTTTCTAAATGAATATATCTTTTAAAAGTGTTTCCACGTAAAATTGTAATCTGAAATTTTGTCCTGAAAATATCAGATCGAACGGGCCTTTCAAAAAATGATATGTTCTAAAATTATATAGGAATTCTCATTCTACTTTAATTATTTTCTTTTCTTTTCAGCTTTTCGATGTTTACGAAGATGACAATGCGATTTATATGGTCGAAGAACTATGTGAAGGCGGTGAATTGTTGGATCGATTGGTCAATAAAAAATCTCTATTAGGAAGCGAAAAGGAAATTGCTCAAATTATGGCGAATTTGTTGTATTCGGTGCAATATTTGCATTCACATCAGGTAATTTTTGAGTTGAAAGGCTGAATTTTAAATGATTTTTCATCCAAATTGGGATATTTTCACCTCAAAAACCTCCTGAATACTCGCAGGTTGCTCATCGTGATCTCACAGCTTCCAATATTTTGTTCGCCTCAAAAGATGGTGATCCATCGTCTCTGCGAATTGTCGATTTTGGTTTTGCAAAACAGTCGCGAGCGGAAAATGGAATGTTGATGACACCGTGTTATACTGCACAGTTTGTGAGTTTTTTGTGGGAAATTCGAAATTTTCAAAGTATTATAGCGTTTTTAACGGAAACTTATTTTTCCATGTGGATTTTTAGTGCAAAATCAAACTTTTTTTTTTGGAAAATTACATTTCGAAAATTTTAGTCCACGTCTCTTTTTTTGTTTAAATTCATGCTTAAGCTTAAGTTTTGAAACTTTTACCAATAGTTTCTAAAAAAAAATTAAAAAATTTAGAACTTCAAGAAATAAAGAGACATTTCGAATCAGCTCAACGTATTCTTATTTCAGGTTGCTCCAGAAGTGCTCCGAAAACAAGGTTACGATCGTTCTTGTGATGTTTGGTCTCTTGGTGTAATACTTCACACAATGCTCACTGGTCGAACTCCTTTTTCAACAGGTCCAAACGACACTCCGGATCAAATCCTCAAACGCGTCGGCGATGGAAAAATCGAGAAAAATCAAGAACTTTGGCGCGGTGTTTCGGATGAGGCAAAAGATTTGGTTCGAAAAATGTTGGAAGTGGATCCAAAACGGCGTGTTACTGCCAAACAAGCATTGCAACATCCATGGATTTGGCACAAGGAAACACTTTCGGATGATCCGATTGAAGTGATGGATAAAGTTGAAGATACGTTGAAAGAGGAGCTGAATATTGTGCTGAAAGCGAAACAATCAGCACCGAGTGTTGAATTGCGACCTGTTGGATCTTCGGCGTTGGCAAAGCGGCGATTGATTTTGGGTGGTGGAGCAGCGAATCTTGGAGTGACGACGAGCATTTTGTCCAATGCTTAGGTGAGTATTCGACGTTTTTTTGTTTTTGGCCATGAAAATGTGAAGATTAGATTTCCACGTTGCAAGTTACGTCCAAAAATGTCACATTTTTCAGGTTACCAATCTTCGCACATTTTGTAAATACCTTCTAATTTTTCTACTAACTCTCCCCAGAAACTTATACCCTAATTTTTTTTCAAATTTTTTCTACTAGCCCCTAATTTTTTTGTACCATAATTTTCAACATTCATTTTTTTGTGATTAACTACGGGCTTCCCTATTTTTTAATCCAAACACACTTTTTTTTGCGAAATTTGATATCTTTATTATTATATGATTTTCTAATTGTGCGTTTCTTTTCTCACAAAATTATTTATGATATATATTATATTTTATTTTATATAAAGCATGCCAAATTTTTGTATATTTTGTTTTTTTTTTCGCTTGCCAAAAAATAGAATAAGCATAAAATTGGGATTTACCGGAAGTATATGCATTTGGGTGCAGTAGACACTCAAAAAAAGAACATTTTTGCAACTTTTTGTATAGTTGCCGTTTTTTTTTGTTTTGAAGAGCAAAAAAACACGGGAAATTAGATATGATATGTGGCCACGTTTTTTTTTAAATTTAATTTTTAAAGATTTTTCACCACGTGGTAGCGGCTGGTTATATCTATTTTTCATTTTTAGAACATTTATTTTCGAACTAGAATAATTTTTCACGTGGCATTTCAATCAATAATTCCATTTTTTTTATTTTTCAAAATTTTTTCGATTCCTAGAATATTTTTTCCACGTGGCAACCAACACTCTTCGCGTGTTTTCTCATTTCCATATTTTGTTTCCCCGAAGAAACGTGTTTTTGTGCAACCAAAACAATCAAATTTTCAGCTGACTTCCTCTAAAATCTGATTTTTTCAGCTTTTCAACTGAAAAAGCCTAATAATATTCTAAATAATAATAATAATAATAATATTTGTGAGTGTCCACTTCTTTTTTCATTCTGTCGTCAAGGAAACGTTATTCAGCTGCGCGAGAAGAAAAGAAGAAAACTCGGCTCATTTTCGAGCAAAAAGAATGGCGGCTTTGTAAGTTTTCAGTGAAAAATTTGAGATTTTCAATGAAATATCACCGTTTTCAGCGAAATTCCCGAGCTTCCAGCGGGTAGAATTCTCGAAGTTCGACTAATTTCCAATTGGGGAGATCCGACTTTCATTGGTTTGAATGCGATTGAGATATTTTGTGAGGACGGCGAGCGAGCGAAGGTCGAAAAGGTCGGAATTTCTGAAATTTTTCAAAAAAAAATAGCTGGAGCAGCAAGTGCGCTCCAGTGAATACCGCGAAAAACAAACAGTTTAAAAAAAAATGTATTTTTAATACTATTTTTTGTGGGTTTGGATTCAGATTTTTCGTGGGAAAATACACGTGTTTTGCAATATTGAGAAAAAGGCGGAGCTTAAAATTTTCAGTCGAAATATTCAAAATTTCCAGATTTTCTCAAATGCCACTGATATCACTGGACATATTGAAAGTCTCCTCGTCGAATCCTTGACTTGTAAAGATGTTGAAAAAATGTGGACAGCAAATATGATTTCGCATAACAAAGAAGAAAATAAGGAACCGATAAAAGTGACGATGGAAATGGAAAATGTCAAAAATATTGCGATGATTCGGTTTTGGGTGAGATTTTCGAATTTTCATTAATTTCTCTCAAAACTACACAAAAAGTGGAGCGAGTTTTGATTTTTCTCATAATCTGGAAGTTCTTAATGAAAATTTCCCACGCATTTTTTCATATATTTTTTTAATTTCCCTTTTTTAAATTTACCTTTTTTCAGAATTACAATGCTTCCCGTGTTCGCGCTCAAATTGGTGTTCGTCAATTGGAAATGTTTTTGGATGAGAAATTGATTTTTCAAGGCGAAATCGATTGTGCATTTTCGAGTGATTCAGAATTTGAGCCGCAAATGGGAGATGTGAGTTTATTCGGCATGTAAATCTCACGTTGGTTTTCTGGTTTCTCAAAAATTGATCACTGCCACGTGGATTTTATCCACCATTTTTGAAGTTTCGAAGATCCAATTTTCAGACAGTCCTCTTCACAACATCTGACCAAATTCTCGAAAAAATCGCGCTGAATGATATCTGCCTAATTCCCTCGAATATCTTCCCACATAATTCACCTTCTCTTCAAAATTTGACACTAAATTCAACAAATAAATTACTCGAACTCACACCGTATCGACCAACAACTTGTGAAACTTCTACTGAAAAATCAACTGAGAAATCTGAAGAAAACCCTGCTGAAAATGTGAATTTTGAAGAAAATATGGATAATGAAAAGGAGAAAAATGTGAAAGTGATTCATATCGAATTGACTGCAAATTGGGGAATGAGAGGATTAATTGGATTGACGGGAATTGAAATTGTTGATAAAAATAATCGAATTGTGAATGAGAATTTGATTAGTACGACAGTTTCGATTGGAGAAGATCAACAAAATGTTCGAAGGTAAGAAGATGTTGAGACAAAAATTGGGGAAAAATAAATGCTTGTGTTTAAAAATCGGTAAAAAAAGATACTGTTGCCACGGGAAATTCCAAATTTTCTGAAAATTTGCAAAAAAAAAAAACATTTTTGTGAGCCAAGTAGTGACACCTGTATTCTCGAACTTTTCAAAACAAATTTACAAATTTCAGATTATTCAATGGTCGAAATCTTACCCGAAATCAAGAAGATATGTGGCTATGTGAATTCCCCGAAAAATCCCCACAAAAAGTTACAATTTCGCTGAATTTCCTAAAAGCAATAAGCCTTCGAGCAATTTCAATTTGGAATTATAACGGATCATTTGAAATGTCATATGCTGGCGCAAAAGTTGCCAATATTTTTATCAATGGAAAACTTATGATGAGCAATGTTTTATTGAGAAAAGCAACCGGTTTTGTGTATTTTGATTATGTTCAGGATATTATTGTAGATGGAAATTTTGGGGCAAATATTGCCAGACCGTTGACACATACTATTGGAGGATGTAAGAGAATATTTGGGAAATTTAAAGCTAGAAAATTGAAATATTATAATTTCCAAAAATCTTTAATTTTCAATTCTGGATAAAACATATATTACCAATTACTTCGAAATCTCAATGGCCTCTCCTAAATCCACTTTTTTCAGTTGTTTTCCAAGTTCGATTATTATCAACTTGGGGTGATGAATTTTATGTTGGATTAAATGGAATCGAATTGTATAATCGAAAAGGAGAATTGATGATGATTAGGGAACACAGTCAGTTTATTATAATATAATACTTCTGCAAATTCTCATTGTTTTTTTCTAGATCTTGCTGCATTTCCGGAAAGTATCAACATTTTGCCGCAGGTTAAAAACGATATGCGAACATCGGATAATTTGGTGAACGGGAAAAATGATACGACTGAGTTAGTATTTTTGGCATTTTGTGCCACGTGGATACTGTATTCTAAAAAAACCACATGATTTTACTGGGACCAAAAGTTCCTGATGAGAAATTTTCAGATGACAATTATTCAGATTATTTTTAGTTCTAGAAATTTATCACGTGGATATTTTGCTCCGCCTAAAATACTCGTAAAAACCAGCCCGAAAATACAAATTATTTCCAGCCCTCGAAATATGTGGCTAACAGCAGTTTTGCCAAATAGCTGCGCTCGCGTCTTTTTCGTCTTCGACACTCCAACTTATATTTCAAAAATGACCATTTTCAACTATCGAAAAACACCGGAACGTGGTGTTCGCCACTTGTCGATTTCTGTCGATGATTTGATTGTTTTTTCGGGCGAAGTTCCGATTTCCACCGCAGATTTTACTGGGAAATTGGATATCGATTTACAGGAATCTTGAATTTTTTTTGTTTTTTTTTGCTGAAAATTTTGTGAAATTGGTGTATTTCCGGTTCGAACAATACGAAGAATTGTGATAAATTTGTGTATTTTTTATCCGTGGAGCATATTTGAGAAAACAAATAGAATTACAGTAGTGAATAACTCGACCGGCTTGAAAATGAAGAAAGAAATCGAAAGTTGTGTGAAAATTGATGAAGATATGGCTGAAAATTTCAATTTTGGACAAGTTTTGGAATTTTTCTGAAAAAACATTGGTGCCATTTTTATCATTCAACTTCTTCAAGAGAAGTACATTTTTTAGTGCCAAAATTTTTTTCTCGAAAATTCCAATTTTTCACGGAAAAACAGAAAATTTGAAAAATTTGCATAATTTTCCATATTTCTTATTTTCTTCAAAGAAAAATCGAGTTTTTCTCCCACAAAACAACTCACAACTTTAATTTGCGTTTTACACGTCGGACAAATGTTGAGTGATTTTTGTTGAGTGTCAAAACTGACGTAGCGAGGATATCGATTCTCGCCACGAAATGATGACGTGGAAAAATTGGAGGCGTTTTGAAAAATTTCGGCCGAATGGGAGGTGGTTAGACGAATTGTGGCGGGGCGGCTAAAAACAATTAGAGGCTTTGATGAAAAAATTTGGTTGGAAAATTGAAAGCCACGTGGAATTTTTTGAATATGAAAATCCACGTGAAATGTGACTTTTTATGGTTTTCTAGCGCTAAAACATCTACGTGGATTTTTTTATCCAAAACTCAAACTTTAATGTTTTTAATATTCTAACCTTCTCAAAATCTCTCCATTTTTCTCTTTTTGATCCAAACACATTGATAATTTTGCCTGTTTTCTTCTTCGACTCATCTCAATTTCTCCATTTTTTCGTCTTTCAATTTGAATATCCAATTTATTTGATCTATTCATACAATTTCGTAAAATATTCGCGGCTTGATCTACGGAAATTGCGCGTAAAGGAATTCCGGAGCATCGTATGATTCGATCACCTTCGCGTAGACTTTGAGCCTGAAAAATGCATATTTTTGAGTTTAAAAAATTCCTGGTTTTAAGCCTGGCGTTAAAATATCTAGCCTTTGAGCCTGAAAATGTCTAAATATTAAGCCCAAAGGCAACTTTTTTGTTAAAATTTTGTGGGGACAGAAGAAAGTTAGGCTAACTCGGTTTGCACTTATTTAATTATCGAAAAGAAAAAAAAAAGAAAAGTAATCGAGTACAACTTTTTCAGTTTGCAGGAAAAAAAGTAATTTTAAATTTTTCCAAGGCTCAATTTTTGCAAGTTCAAAGACCGAATTTTTCCGGGGAATTAGACAAAACGTGGATTTCAGGAATCATTTGTAAAATGTTGAATATTGGTGATTTTAGTTAATTGTCGAAATATTCAAAATTTTTAATTTTATCCAGTCTCATACTTTATTAATTTTCAATACTTATTTCCTGGAACCAGAATCCAATTTCTTTCCTCCAACCTTCTTCCGGAAAAAATATTCCATTTTTCGAAAAAAAATGGAAATTTAATCACACATTTGCTTTCTCTATGCCCAACAAATAAAAAAATTATAAAAAATATATTTTTTATATGTCTATTTTTCTCCTATAATCCAATCTCGCTTTTTATTGGGAAAAAAGGGAAAAAATATGGGTTTCGAGTCAGATTTTCCCATTTTTTGTGTATAGGAGAATTCCCTAAGGATCACATTTTTCAGGCGCCAAAAAACGACTAATTACTTTTTATTCTTTTTCCCTTATTTCTCCACAAAACAAAAAGAAGAAAAAGTTTTAAAACAAAAACTAACCTGCTGTGAAGTCGGATTGACATAGGAAACAAAAATCCCTCGCGATTTCGAACCAACTAATCGAAAAGCAAGCCCATTTGGTTGTTGAACATCGCGATCAATGCAAATCTGCAATATTTCAATAGATTAGCTCCGTGGGATTGTTTTTGTCATGAAATTTTGGCTAAGAAGCTTTTCTTTTTTTGGGTTGAAAATGAATGAAAACAAAAAATTGTGAAAAAATAAATAAAAGTCCGAGAGAAGGAGACTTTCTTACTGTATTTTTTGGTTATTTTTGTTGTTATTTCACCAACCTCTATCAAACTCGCTTCATTTTCATTCTCAAAATCCTCCTCATCAAAAACAATCAGCTGCTCACAAAAACTTGAAGATGGTCTAACTCTTTCCTCTTGCTCTTCACCAAAATATAGGCTATTTTCATAGGCCGAAGTTGATTTTCGCATCATTTTTCAAGTGGTTTTTATTTCTTTTCTAATAGAATGAAGAATGTAACTCGATCCAAGACAATTCAAAAAAGCCGAAAAAAACGAAGTCGAATCAAACACAAAAAAAGAAAAAGTTCATAAAATATTCATGAAGAATTTCGTTGCTGCTGCTTCGTGTAGTCACAAAAAAAAAGGAAAAAATGGGCGTGGCCTATAGAAAAATGGGCGAAAAGGAAGGCGACGATTTGTCTCTTTGAGACAAGATGCTGGAAATGACGGATTAAGTTTTTTTTTTTGAAATGTTTTTTTCTGGGGAAGAAAAAGGAGAGGAAAGACAAATTGGTTCTACTCAGCACTTGACTCTGTAGACTGACTGTACAAATTTCGTTGATACTTTGTACGGAAACGGGGAAGAGAGAATTGCACATAAGTAACATCCGTTTATCTACAAAGTAGCTACAGAACAGCAACGGCGTAGCTACGGATTCAAAAATAATATTTATAGAGCGGTCACTTCACTTAATTTCTGTCCGCGAATTGTGTAGCTACAGCGTTGATACGCTGTACCTACGTTTTCATCTCTGATTGTGTGACGCTTGGCAGCTCTCGTCAGAATTTAAGGTGTGCGTAATAACGATTTATCATCTGCGTAGCTACGAATTTGATTTTTTCCGTAGCTACGCTGAAGATAAAATGAACCTACGATTTTCGGGAAAAAAAAGTGTAGGTACAGCGTTCATTCGCTGTATTCACACTTCTTCAATTTGTACAGTCAGTCTACAGAGTCAAGTGATGAGTAATTAACATTCCATCAAGAAAAATGCGCGTTTTCCCACGGAAATTCATTTCAGCTGCTTTTTGGTAGCTAGGAAACCAACCAAAAAAAAGTAAAATGTGAGCTCAAAGAAATTTCTCAACACCAACAGTCAGACTCATTAGAGCAGATATCGATCTTCATCGCTAGAAATCAGGGGTGGCGGGGAATCGAACCCGCGACCTTGTGATCACAGGTAAAATCTGGCAGTCCTGTGGCGGACCTGCCGGGGGCATGCCAAGGTCATTTCTGCCGCTGTCCGTCGGAGTACTGGCCGGCATGACTTCCTGGCATGCGTGCGGCAGGTGTGTGGCAGGTCTCTAAGCTTTTTCTGAAATTTTTTGGGAGGCTCAATCTGAAATGAATATAACAACAGAATTTCCATTAAAAATTTATTGAACAATTATAATTTGATATTTACTTAAAATCCAGGCGATCGTTGATGGTTGGGCCTTTGAATTTTTTTGATTTTCGTTGACATGTGTGATCCCAGGCGAATTTGACTCTGAAAGAAAACTTTAATGAATGCATAGCCTAGAAAAAGATTTATGCAGTTTTTTAGATGTTTAGAAACAATTCTGAGTGTACTATGAAATTTTTAGAAGTCTGGTAATAGTCCTGGTGACTCGGAAGACTGCTAGTAGTAATAAAGGACTTAGAGACTTGGGCATTTTTCAGGAGTGAGACCTGTAGACGACTCGGGAACTTATAAGTAATAATGGGACCTGGAGTGGAATTTTAATGAAATCCTGAAACTGTCTGAGATCCCGGTGACTTTATAGAAGCCAGGAACGCAGGTGGAAGAAGCTTGGCCAATTTTTCACCAAACTCAACTACGATTTCAACCGAAAAGTTACTAATGTAAGAATTTGATATCTTTAGATGACAACTTTTTGTCTAATTCACAAAAGGGCATAAAGATTTTTATCATCAATATGATTTATTTTCGATAAAAATTATAAACATTTACCTTGCTCAAACTCGGCGCATCTTCGATTTCACTCATTTGTCCAAGCAAGCGATGGGAAACCTGTAAGATTATCGAAATTATCGAATTCACAACATTTCTAAGATAGACTTACAAGGAATTCCTTGCTCAGCAAACCAGGGCGTAGCTACATTGTTCGAATTCTGGAAAGAGAGCCTGACAACGATGTAGCTACGTGAATAGACTTTTGTAGCTACGAGACTGTCTGCCCCACACTATTTCCACGTTTGTGAACTATGCGGAACTCCAGAAAATCAACAATGTAGTTACGAAAATTTCGAAAAAAGTCAAATTTTTTGTGTAGCTACACCGTTCTATGTAACTACAGAGTTGGATTTCTGAAGTTCCACATAGTACACAAAAATGGAAATACAGTGCTCCACATAATGATATGACACCCCCCTGATTTTCGAAAAACTCAAAAATGAGCTATGATAGGGAAATGATGTGTTTTGAAAAAAAGTTGCTTTTAGATGTAAGTTTAAAGATATGAACTGAAAATTAGACTCGATGAAGCTGAAAATCTGAAATTTGATTTTTTCTGAAAAATGGTAAATTTTTTTTCCACATAATGATATGACATGGTGACGAAAATCAACGAAAACGGTAAAATGAGGGCCCAGATGTGCTTAATTATTGATTGGGGCATCATTTTGACCAAATTCATCAAGAAAAAAAATAATCCATTGAGAAATGGAGCTTATCAAGTGAATCTTGGTCCACTTTCAGACTTGCGTTAATTATGGCAACTCTGACGTAAGCTACGTTGTCGTAACATGTGTTATCTTCAAAAATCTGACTTAAAACAAATTGTCAGACGTTTTCGATGATGTTTCAGTCTGAAAACCCCGCAGGCCAATCAAGAACCGTTATTTCTTGGTCAGATTTTCAGTGGAGTGTGCGGTTCGAACCATGGAAGAATGCTCAACCTTGTCGATAAATAACATTTCTGACTTGGTTTTGACGGGAAAATGGTTAAAAAACACGACGTATCAAAAATCTGTACTCGAATTCATCCATGTTCTTCGATTCGAATCACAAACTCCACCGGAATTGTGTGCTAATGTGCGCTCACACCACGATTCCGTCACATTTGAAGTTACGACGCAAAACACGGAACTTATCATTTTGAAATGGGTTCCAATGCACCCGTTCGCCATCCGGACGGTCACGTTCGATAATTTTTTCATTGCTGAACTCTGTCTGAAGGTCCAGATGTCGATGAGAGATTATTGGTCGGTATGATCAATGGAGTCTTGATGTGAGCGCACATTAGCACACAATTCCGGTGGAGTTTGTGATTCGAATCGAAGAACATGGATGAATTCGAGTACAGATTTTTGATACGTCGTGTTTTTTAACCATTTTCCCGTCAAAACCAAGTCAGAAATGTTATTTATCGACAAGGTTGAGCATTCTTCCATGGTTCGAACCGCACACTCCACTGAAAATCTGACCAAGAAATAACGGTTCTTGATTGGCCTGCGGGGTTTTCAGACTGAAACATCATCGAAAACGTCTGACAATTTGTTTTAAGTCAGATTTTTGAAGATAACACATGTTACGACAACGTAGCTTACGTCAGAGTTGCCATAATTAACGCAAGTCTGAAAGTGGACCAAGATTCACTTGATAAGCTCCATTTCTCAATGGATTATTTTTTTTCTTGATGAATTTGGTCAAAATGATGCCCCAATCAATAATTAAGCACATCTGGGCCCTCATTTTACCGTTTTCGTTGATTTTCGTCACCATGTCATATCATTATGTGGAAAAAAATTTACCATTTTTCAGAAAAAATCAAATTTCAGATTTTCAGCTTCATCGAGTCTAATTTTCAGTTCATATCTTTAAACTTACATCAAAAGCAACTTTTTTTCAAAACACATCATTTCCCTATCATAGCTCATTTTTGAGTTTTTCGAAAATCAGGGGGTGTTATATCATTATGTGGAGCACTGTAGTGTGGAGCAGACAGTCATGCGTAGCTACTTTGTTCAAATTCTGGAAAGAGAGACTGACAACCGTGTAGCTACGCACGTTCGCCAATGTAGCTACGCCCTGGTTTTCTGAGTGCATATTGGCGCATTCCACCAATTCTTCGAGATCCATCGTGGTGAAATTGTCTGTAATCAATATTATTTTCGATGCATGTAAAGAAAACGATTGAATTACGAGAATTTGAAAAAGAAAAATCTTATACTGTAACCTATCAACCAGTGTTACGCCAATATCCTAGTGGCAAACTTATCTCTAAATTAACCAAATGAAGTTTCACTAAAACATTCATAAATATCATTTTTCATAGGTTTCATAAATTTCCTAGGTGAGAATTACTGGTCAATTGTACAACCCTTTGAAAATAACCCTAAAAAATTTAACCCTCTGAAAAAACATAACCCTTAGAAAAAATAAGATCTTCGAAGCATCAGAAGGTGACAATGGAAAGATCGATTTTTTTGAAAAATCTCAAAACTTGTTGAAAATTCGAAATTTTTCATTTTTACACAGAAATGATTGAATTTTTCGATTTTAATCATCCTGGACTTCAGCAAGATCTTCGGTGCATCAGAAAGATCGAATTTTTTGAAAAATCTCAAATTTTGTTGAAAAATCTCGAAAAAAAAATCAACCAAAATTACAGTACGCTGGAGCCAGCTCACATAAGAAAAAAGACTACATTGGAAACATATTTTTCTTATGGTTTTCTGAGTTCTGAAACTTCAGTAAGACCTTCGGAAATCTGAAGGTATTACTGAAAACATTTAATTATTTTTACATCTCAAAACTTCTTGAAATTCATAAGATAACTCGAAAAGTATTATTTTCATATAAAAATCTATGCGTTTTTTATTTTCATCGTCCCGAACTTTACTGAGATCTTCAGAATATCTGAAAGTTCATTTTATAAAAATTCCTAAAGCTCTTCAAACATTAAGACGGAACTCAACATGTCTCCTTAACTTGAAATCGACGACGTTGTTATAATTCTGACCATCTTGATCTCTCAATTTTTCATCATAATCAATTTCTAACTTTTTCTCAAAAATTATTTTAAACCGGGCTTGTGGCCATTCTTATGGCCACAATAGAATGTATTTGGGCTTGGAGATATTTTATAACCTGAACTCTAGACGAGAATAGAAATTCCAAGCTTGTCAAATTTTAATTTTTTGCTCAAATACCCGCGATTCAAGAAATTAATTTTGTAGTCCTTTCAGTTCAGCAAACTATCAGAGTTATGTTTTCGAATTGCGGGTATTTGAGCAAAAAATTAAAATTTGACAAGCTTGGAATTTCTATTCTCGTCTAGAGTTCAGGTTATAAAATATCTCCAAGCCCAAATACATTCTATTGTGGCCATAAGAATGGCCACAAGCCCGGTTTAAAATAATTTTTGAGAAAAAAGTTAGAAATTGATTATGATGAAAAATTGAGAGATCAAGATGGTCAGAATTATAACAACGTCGTCGATTTCAAGTTAAGGAGACATGTTGAGTTCCGTCTTAATGTTTGAAGAGCTTTAGGAATTTTTATAAAATGAACTTTCAGATATTCTGAAGATCTCAGTAAAGTTCGGGACGATGAAAATAAAAAACGCATAGATTTTTATATGAAAATAATACTTTTCGAGTTATCTTATGAATTTCAAGAAGTTTTGAGATGTAAAAATAATTAAATGTTTTCAGTAATACCTTCAGATTTCCGAAGGTCTTACTGAAGTTTCAGAACTCAGAAAACCATAAGAAAAATATGTTTCCAATGTAGTCTTTTTTCTTATGTGAGCTGGCTCCAGCGTACTGTAATTTTGGTTGATTTTTTTTTCGAGATTTTTCAACAAAATTTGAGATTTTTCAAAAAATTCGATCTTTCTGATGCACCGAAGATCTTGCTGAAGTCCAGGATGATTAAAATCGAAAAATTCAATGATTTCTGTGTAAAAATGAAAAATTTCGAATTTTCAACAAGTTTTGAGATTTTTCAAAAAAATCGATCTTTCCAGTGTCACCTTCTGATGCTTCGAAGATCTTACTAAAATCCAGAATGGTTAAACATCGGAAACTAACAAAAAAACATGTTTCCAAAACAGTCTCATCATTTTCCAAAACTTTCAAAAAATTTGCACTCGGCAGGGGTCGAACTCGAGACTAACCAGTGTCAACGTTGCTCAACCTGCCAGATGGGACAAAGCCATGCGTTATGACAAACCTATTATTTCTTGATTGCGCAAAAGCTTGCGCGGCTGAAAATTTCTGTAAATTGAGCTTTTTCGACGCGGGAAAAAGATTTTCGGTCTATTTTTCGATTCTGAAGACACTGGTTATATCGAAACAACACTAAAATGCCTTTGAAACGGACTTTTCTCGGCAATATAGATCTCAAAAGAATCTACCTCGAATTCCAAAAAATCCAGTCGAACAATTTTTTTGTAAAAGTGCCCTAAGGGGTATTTTTAGGTGCTCTTTCATATTTTATTGTCAAAATAATAGGTTGCAGGCCTGGTTTTCTCGGAAAAGCCGATTTTTTAAATTTCAAATTATCTTCCAGATGTCATATCATATCATAACTCATCTTAAAAGTGGATATGCGACTTCTAGTATTTTTCGTTGATTTTCTACACGCCAAACGCTACATTTTGAAAAAAAAATCATTTCGCTACGTTCATTTTGAACCAAATTACGGTTCCGTGGAGTTTCAAAAAATCGAAAAAACTAAAATTGAAAATTTTCAGCTTCTCCTTCATCAATTTACAATGTCTTTTTTTTTGAAAAACGCGAAATTATGTGCTGCGTCTTAATGAATCAAGAGATTTTCAAAATTAAGACAACCTAGAGTAGAAACTTGCGTTCAAAAATCGTCATGTTTTCAATGGTCCCGCATTCGACGCAGATATCACAAATTGACCTAACTCGAAAAACACCTCGAGGTATTCACATTATCTATCTTTTAAAAAAAAGAGCTTGAAATTTCATGAAGTACAAATTGCTTTACGGTGGTACATGCGAAGGGTCTTTTTTGACTTCTCGGCGAGTTAGCGTAAGTCAGAGGCAATTTCAGAAAAAATCCCATGATAGGTTTTCCTCATTTGGGGTGTAGATCAAACTGGAAAAGCGTTGACCCGAACAAAAATTTCGAAAAACTATCCCAAGCCCAAATAGGCGCAGTCTGAAAGCCTGCGCCTAAATAACCCTAAGAATGTTTTCCCTCTGTTTCTGAGGGCTTGAAAATTATTCCCAATAACTGTAAATCATAGTTATTGTGAATAACTCTGACATAAATGTCTAAAAATATATTCTAAGAAAAACTTTTTATTAACCCTAAAGGTGAAAAAGTATAAATTTCACATTATTTTAGTAATTATACGGAATGAATAATCATGTTTTCTGAAATTCACTTTTTGTAATTCAAAAAACTCTGGAAAAAACACCCTTTTACTAGGAAATTTCAATTTCAGAGGGTTATTTCTGAGGGTTGTTCAAGTCCGAGGGATATTTATTTTCAGAGGGTTAAATTTTTTAGGGTTATTTTCAAAGGGTTGTACAATTGACCGAATTACTAGATTTGTAAGCAAAACGAGACAACTTTGGCGATTTATCGAATTATCGTCGAGACAGATTTTGTTCTAAGATGCGCAGACGAAAAAATACCTCACGAATATTGGGCTTCCGAATCACCGACTGAATTGTCGTCCCAGAAACCTATTTCGTCTACACATCCAAAAAACATACGCCATTCATGCAAAAAAATTTTAAAGATGTTTGAAGACGTATGTTTGAGGAATTTTGGTGTTTTCAAAGAAAATTTCGAATAGCCGCCAAGTACATTTTCATTAATATTCTCCTTAGACTAAATAACAGCTGTTATAAACTCATTAAACGCTTAAATCTCTCAAAAAACACAACAACAAAACGAAACGAGAAAAAAATGAAAAAAAATTTCACAAGTTGTCCGTGAGAAGTACACACAAACGCGTTTCCGCGTAGGACCAAAGAAAATAATTGTATGAGCATTTATCACAACGTTTTAAGCCTGAACAAAAATGACACAGGTGAGAGTTTTTCGTTTTTGGAGCGTGCAGAGAAAAAAAAAGGAAGAAAGTGCGCTCTATCCACAACGTTCCGAAACGCAATTGGGTGAGAGGAGAGAGATTCTAGAGAAAACATACGTTTTTAGTGGGCAAACGTGCTCGAATGAGAACGAAAACTCCATTTTTTCGGACATTTTCCGAGAGGTCGTTCAAACGTATTGCCGACATTGATCAAACAAATGGTCAAGCGCTATACACACATGTATTATTTTTCTTTGTTTTTTTTGAAAAATGAAGCGAGGCGACAAGAGTTCACGCGAATAATCAACAAAACGTGAATTCTTTTATGTTTTTCTCTAAATCTCTTCCTCTCACCCTATTGCATTTTATCATTAGCCTAAAATGTTGTGTATCGAACTTTTCGCACCAGCTTTTTTTTCATTTTCGAAAATCATTTTTTTGTTTTTTGTTTTCTCCTCTCCTTTTCAGCAGATTATCGATGATTTCTCGATCAATAAGTCATGTTTTCAACTGTATAACATTTTTCAGTATGTTGGGTTGGTACGGAACGTCGATTTTGTCATCTACACACGAAAAACACACGCTTTTACAGAACAAATAAATTTTAACGAAAACCTAATATACAGGTATAGGCAGAGCGCAGAGAAACGCATCTTTCGTGTATATATCTGTTGTCTACCCATGCATGTGTGTATATTAGGCTCCGCCCATTTTCGTTAAAAATTATTTGTTATTTAACTTTTACTCGAAAAACAGGTCAGTTTTCTTGTTATTTTCCGAATTCGTCAATTTTATAATTATTTCAGATCTCTGCAATATTTATTGTATCAGATAGATCGAAAATAGGATTGTTGTGATGAAAAACCGATTTGACAACCATCAAACCGAAACTTTCGCACCAACAATCTCGACGAAACTGCCAGCGAATCAATCATACTCTCGGAACTGAATCGCCGTTATTTCATTAAAAGCTGAGGAAATGCCGAGTCTCATTCGAGTTTTTGGTGACCTCACACTTGCTCAATTTATGAAATATGAAATAACTGCTGAAAATAGCATGTGA